TCTAATTCTTTTAATATAAGGGTATTTTTTATTTAATTAATTAGTCCTTAAAGCCTTTTTCCCTTAATCTAAGTCTTTTTCTTAATATTAGAGAATTTTAATATAATTTATTCTTAGTATTTTAAATCTTTTTATAATTTCTCTTTTAATTTTTTTTATTTTTATTTTTTATTTTAAGTCTTTATCTAAGGTAAATTTATTTAATAAAATATTATTATATAAGTAAATCTTTACCCCTTTTTTCTTATAGAGGGTATTAATTAATATTTCTTTTAGCTTTTTTATTATTATTAAGCCTTAATCCTTTTAAATTTTATATTTCTTTTTTATTTATCTTTTAATTATTTAATTTATATTTTATAGGGCTATCTTATATTACCTAATTATTATTAATCTAATAATATTAATTACCTCCTCTCTTAATTCTTAGCTTATTTATTATAATAAAGTTAAGATATTATCTAATTTTAAATTACTTTTTTAATTAACCTTAGGTTTAAAGAGAAAATTAATATTTATTTTAATAATATATTATTATCTACTTTATAAGTAAGGGCTTTTTACTTAATAGATCTAATAACTAGAGTAATAACTCTAATATTACCTAATTAATATCAAAGGAGTATAATATTATCCTTAATTAAATAATTAAATAATACCCTTATAGAGTAGATAAAGGGTATACTAAGAATAAAAAGAATTAAGATCTTATTAAAAGGCGCTATATATATTCTCTATTATATCTATATATTACCTAGGTATAATTAAATAATTATTTACCTTAGTATTATAATGCGATCTTAAGAGAAAGATATAATTAAGGCGCGGGCTAGGGTAATTTAGAGGCTATAGGCTTTTATAAGCTCCTAAGAAATAATATTCCCTTCGGATCTTATATTTATTATCGCTTTTATTATCTTACCTTCTAGGTTATTAAGTCTTATAAGGATATATAGTAACTCCTATAATTAAGCTACTACCTTATTATAGTGCCTAATTATAAGTTTAATAATATTAACCTTCTAATTATATAATTCCTTACCCTTAGTATTAGGGATAATAATCTCTTTTAGCCTAGGCTTATCTTAATAGACTTCTATTATTCTTATCTCTTTTATAGTAATTCTTATATCGGTAATAATAATATAATCGCCGGGCTAAAGTTTATTTATATAATTATCGGATTATTTAGTTTTAATCTTTTTATTAATAAAAATTATATTTATTCTTACTTTCTCGCTAATTATTATTTAATAGGCCTCCCCTTAGTCTTATTTACTAACTTAGATTATATTTATATTACTAGCCTTTTAATTAGATAATCTTTATTCCCTATTAACTATATAAAGCGCTAATTTAATATAAGTAATCTATTTAATATTATTAATAATATCTTAATAATTTTTATTTATCTCTTTATTTAGCTAAGGTAATAATATAAATAACTTATTAGTTAGAATTAAGATCTTCTTTATCTTATATTTATCCCTTAGCTCTTATAAAATAGAGGCTTATTTCTCTTTAAGTATTTAGAATCTTAGGTTCTTTTCTTTATCTATACCTATAGGCTTCTTAGTTAGGGTTACCTTCTAGATAAGCTATATAGCTTCCTATATTTCTATAATATCTTTAATATAAACCCTCTTTCTTATATTAATATTAATAGTAATAATTATTATAATAAGGACCTAAGGTATATTTATCTAATTAAATAATATAGGTTTTTTATTAATTAAGATAATATTAATAGAGGTTCCTTACGGCGGGTTTTAGCTATTAAGGATATCTTAGTTACCTCTAGTAATAGCTATAAGTAATTAATTAAATCTATTAGGGGACTTATATTTTAATCAATAGAGCTTTATAGCCCCTAGGTATTTTTAAAAGAAGTTATTAATAATATTATCCTCTAGTTAAATTAGCTTAAGCCTAAGGCCTACCTTATTATATTATTTAAGCTATCTAGCTAGTAGGCTTAGTTTAGACTCTAGAAAATAATTTAGCTAATTATAAATAAGCTTCTTAACTTTAAATTACTTAAAGAGGTATATAAATATTAGAGGTAATATTATATCTCCTCTCCTAAGTAAGGCTATTTTACTTAATAAATTATAGCTTATAATTTTCTCTTTTTTATTATATATTAGATCTATATAAATATCTAAGAAGTAATTTTTACCTATATAATATTAATATATTATATTATTTCGGTTATTTCTTTACCTCGATTTATATATAGTATTTATATAGAAATTCTTATATTTTCTTAATTAATTAATTAATATTATATAGGTTTAGAAATATTATAAGTTTACTAAGGTAATATACCTATTATTCTCTCTCTAGCTAACCTATGCGAGCTAGAGCTAGGCTTCTTACCCCTTTATAAGGTTAATTAAGAGCTAAGTTAATTACGTGGTTAAGTTATTAATTTTCGCGTTAATTACTTCCTTAGGTTCTTTCTTAAGGATTTAAGGAGCCATAATAGCTTTCAGAGTAAGACTAAAGCTCTTTAGAGGAGTTAGAGCCTAGGTAACTTTATAGATATTATTATTAGCCTTAGGGTAATAAGTTTTTTAAATCTTAATCTTATTCTTATAATATTATCTAATTATTTAGGTAAGATTATTATAATTTATAATAGTAATCTCCTTAATACTCTTATTATATTTTTTATAAATATCTTTAATAAGTTCTTTAGGTAATACTTTATAAATAGCTTAGGATTAGCTCTAAGAGTCTCTCTAATTATTACTAATTTACCTAAAGAGGTATTAATATTTATTTAATTACTTAATAATAATATAAAAGTTAGCTTTTAGTTATATTTTATTAAGTATCTTTAGTTTCTCTTTAATTATTTCTAATTAATTAAAATCCTTAGCTATAAAGGATTCTCTTAGTTTCTCTTAGGCTTCTTTTTAATTAAGTCTTTCTATAGCTTATTAAATTTCTTTTTTAATCTTAGGGTTAATATATAATTTAAAAAGCCTTATTTTTTTATCCTCTAGGATATTTATAAGTTTTATTTATTAGTTAAAGTCTTATAGGTATTTAGTGATATTTTTCCCTTTAAAAGGAGGAAAAGAGTAAAGGGGAACCGCGAATAAAGAACTAATTAATCCTTTAGCTAAGACCTTCTAGAATAAATTAATAAGAGCTTTATTAATTACGACCTTATTATTACTCTTAGCTTTCTTACTATAACTAGTATTATACTTTGGCATTAAGTTAGGTCTTTTATTATTTTATGCTATTATTATATTATTTATAGTAATTATTAATAATTAATTAAATAATTCTAAGTAACTAAAGTCTCTATTATTTATACTTATAGTCTAAAAAGTATAATAAGGATTAGCTATTAGGGTTTCTTTAAATATTATAAGGACTAAAATAAAAATAGTAAAGGATTTATTCTTTATAATTACCTAAATAAGTATTCTAATAGCTAGGGTCTTCTATTATTATAATATTAAAATCTTTTTTAATAGCTAAAATAAGGCTAAACCCTTGGTTTTATTAGGAAATAATATTTCTTATAAGAGCTATAGGTTTATAAAGTCTCCTTTTTTTATATCTATAGTAAGAGGATTCTTTTATCTCCCTATATTTATTTTTTATAGGGTATAAGAGGGGTCTATTTTAATCTCGATCTTCTAGAGAGGAATTTAATTAAATAATTCTAAATACCTAGGGTTAAGAGTAATTAGAATTTATTTATAGTTATTTTTACTTATAACTAGGGAGCTTTTAGGGTCTTCTTAATCGCTTACCTTTTATTTCTTATAGTAATCCTTATAATCTCTTATCCTTTAGCTTAATAATAATTATTATATTTATAATTTATTAATTAATAATATAGAAATATATTCTCTTATCTAATTAGATAGATATATCCTTTCTTAGTATATACCGGTAATTTAAAAAGATAAGAGTATTAAAAGTCTTATATAGGGGCATTAGATTTATTAGAGAAATAGAATATATTAAATTATATAGCTAAAAGAGGGATTTATTATATAGCTTTTCTTTAAGGTCTTTTTAAAAGAGAGATCTTATATATTTTCTTATGAGGTAAATTTAATATAAAATAATAAGAGTAATTAATTAATTAATAGTAATAAAGATATGACCCTTAAAGGAGCCTAAAAGTCCTCTGCTTAAAGCTAGCGAAAGTAATAATAAAAGTAAGGCTATATGGCCTCTGCCTCCTTTTCTATGTATAAGAAATTGCTTTATAGCCCAAAATGGCTTAGCACGCTTTTCCCCTAACTCACTAATAGTATATGTATTTATAATCGCGGATACGCTATTATAATCTAAACCTCGCTTACTGTCTAGCCTATAAAGAGTGGGGCGAGGGGAGGCTAATAGGACTACCAGCCTTAATATACCCCGCATTTAGTACCATCACTATCGATAAGACGCTAATCCTCGATTATCGATACCTAGCTAAAACTTCCCTATTTGCAGACTAGAGTTTAAAATAGACTATTATAAGTTCTATAATCGGAATTATGAGACGGTCGGGTCCTTCGAGTAATATCTAGAGATTAAGCACCCGGAAACGTATTATTCGCGTTGCTAAAGATGTTTTCTATACGCTAGTGCTAAGTAGCAATATATCGCCGATTCTCTGCAGCACTATGTCTACTATAATACCGGATCGTCGGCAAAGGCGCCCAGCTGCTTACCAAACGGCCCTGGGCTAGCAGGGCGAGGCTGGTAGTAGGGTGATTCGGTCTGGATAAGACCTAGAAAAACGTTCTCAGCACCTGATAGCTGGTACTGGTAGAGGGCGCAGTGCTGAACCGAAGTCCCCCACAGCCAGGTAGGCCCTGTGCTCTCAATAAGAATACCTCGTGCTGCATAGAAGTCGATACTGGCCTGCTTCTTGTCGTCGATATCGTGGTCTGCTGCCCACACCCAGATGCTTTCAAGGTACGCAGAGGCCTTGGATGTGATGTGAAGCATAAGAGATGCCGCAATGCAGGCAGGGTTAGCCTCGTTTGGAAGCTTAGGGCAATCGGCAGCCTGAAGTTGGCTGCCCTCAGCACCCCCAACTCTAAAATGAGAGTCTAGAGAACACTTGATGTCAGCAAGAAAGTGCATGGCAACCGGAAATGCTTGACGTACCCCATAGACCAGCGGAGCCCTGGAACGACTCGTGGACGTTCCACTCGACAAGAATAGCCCCCGCTGTTGGACCTCGAACTGTGAACATGACAGACTGGATCTCAGCCACACCTTGGTTTCCGGGGACTCCCACGCGAATGACAGGTCGAGGGTTGGATATATCTTCAAACTTGGCGCCGGTCCCCATCAGCTGAGGCCAGGTCTGGCCAATAACCCGGGATCCAACGGGAATGGTGACGGTATCCTTGATCACGTAGACGCCGTACGGGATATACACGATAGCCGACATGTCGGCCGCTGCCTGGAAGGCGCGGTTGAGAGCTACTGTATCGTCGATCTTGCCATCTCCCTTGGCGCCCCATGCCTTGACATCGACGAGATCGCAGCCCCCAAGGTTAACATACCGGGGGCGTTGCCTCGTAAAGTAGTACTCAGTATCTCGGATGGAACTCGAGAGGCCAGGTCTTGTGAGCATCGACGCCCTTTCAGGAGCAGCGATCTCGCCGCCTTTGACAAAGGTGGTGTTCCCTGAAGTGTCAGTGACCCTTCCAAAGCCCCAGGACTTAATGGGGAGGATCTCCTCCGCATCGCCGTCTCCAGCCAAGAGTACCTTTCCGCTGTCTACTTCCGTGAGAAAGGCGTCAACATCGTTCATCAGAGCGTTTTGTATCATGAGCGAGGTAGAGTTTTCTGGCGAGAGGGTGGATGTAATGAAGGCGTCCATTGCCTCGCCTTGAACATCGGTCACAACGAGAGAACCTACGCCTTGTCCGCCTGCCGTCTAGTACGAGTTAGCGTCCCAAATGGATAATTTTGAGTTTTTAATCGACTCACCTTTTCTCGGTCGTCGATGATCTTGATACCTGTCTTCACGTTCTTGAAGTTAATGCCCTGCAGTGTCAAACCCCAGGCCCAGCGGAGCTGGATCGCCGCGTCCAGAATGTCCGAGAACCATAGATCACGGGCTGTAAACTGTTGATTTCCCATGTAGGCACTTCACAATTCCATATCAGCTTGCTACTCCTTGAATGATGTGTTATCGTCATTAACCTACCCGTATTTACCTCCTAGGAAAAGGATGTTGGACATGAATCCTCCGTTCCCGTCCTCCATGTAGATGCCCTAGGCGAAAGAAGTGAGTGAGCTGTCAAACTCCTTGTCGAGGGTCTTCATACCTGCTGAGTTGTGTCAGGTGAAGTATCGGCCCAGAGGACGACATTCTCAATGGATGTTCCCTGGCCGACCTTCCAATGAATACCACAGACTTGGGCGTCTTTCGGGGTGCAGCGGATATCGATGTATAAATTGCGCACACTGCAGAGGAAGTTTCGTTTGCTGGAGTACCTGCGCAATCACTAAGAAACAGACACAAGAAATTCACTTGAAAACTACCCACCACTGGGTGTCTTCGCTCTCGTAGACATTCGTAGTAATGACACCGAGACCAATAAAGCTGGGTGCAGCCACGATTCGGGGCATATCGACAGGCTGTGATGCGATATGCGTCAACGATGCCCAGTGCGATAAAAATTGAAATGCGTCAACTTACATCACCAATAATCTCAGTGTTGTAGTACTGGATGATGGAGCTGCTAACCATGTAGACACCTGGGGGGAAATACACAGTTACTGGGTGGATAGTGCTTCCAGAGCAGTTTCGACCGCATCGGCCGCCGTCAGATATGGCACGGTTGATAGCGGCTGTATCATCAGACTTCCCGTCGCCTGTTGGGGGTATTAGTAGAGGATACTGCGTGTAAACACAATACACACCTTTGGCACCGTAGTCCTTGACGTTTCTCCAAACCTATTGCCCATCAGCTTTGGTCAGAACTCGATCCATTGCGCACACCTCGATCAACTTACCTTGTAACCATCGGGAGCAAAAGGACTCAACCCGCGCTGCTTGATGTTGGCCATCCACCAATGAGAGGCCGACCTCTTCTCGTCATGGCCGCCGTTCTCCTTGGTCTGCCCAGGTTGGATCACTTGGGACTTGTTGTCACCGAACCGGTAGGCTTGTCCAGGCTCAGGGCCGTGGTCATGTAGCCCATCACCCTTCCTCAGGACAGGAGGCATAGCGTAAGTGTCGACATGGCCGCGTTTGGAGCCGACAGTCTCAGACTCGGCAAGAAACTTGGAACTACCGTCCTGCGGTAGCGGCGTAGATTCAGCTAAGATACTCGCAGCCTCAACGAGCTCTGTCGGCACCACGTAGTAGCCAGGCAGACTCTCGGACTCAGCACCCATTGCAGCAGCACGCATCGGCCCACCCTCGTACTGCAGCTCAAACGCTGCCGACTTCTGGGGTTTCTTGGAGGCCATGACGCCGGGTTGGGGCCTGCGAGAGGTTCTGTTCATGATTCTGGCATTCTCCCTTGCCATAGCAACCTGTCCCTTTTCCACAAGCTTGCGAGCTTCCTCAACTGACGAAGCCGATCGCCTCGGCAGCGAGGCAACATCTCCATCATTGAGGCTCCGCTCAACAGCAGCATGGTTACGAGCAGGGAGCGCGGAAGGAAGAGCAGGTTCATGAACCTTTGCGAGAGAGGGGTAATAGAGAAGAGTGAGAATAAGCCAAAAGACCAATGAATTTGCCATTTTGACGAGGTCAAGAATGCGTGGTGCGAAGAAAGGAAGAAGAGATTGTGAATCAAAGTCTTGGGAACGCGGCTTCTGAAGGATCTATACCAAAGTTGATATACTCGGCCCGGCCCATCTCATTCCTGGTCAGCATCCATCATCATATCCCAAACACGGATGACCGAGATGAGAAGGGCTCGTCTGACCCCATCAGGAGCTTGGCTGTTTCAGTTAGTAGTCGAGCCGTCACCAACAAGCTTTACAGGGAGCGAGCCGTACCGATGACCTTGCGATGATCAATGCAGGGAATGATTGACAAGGGTCGCAAGGTCTAAGTGGAACCCAACCATGCATATTTTGACTCAACTGTTTCTATATCTGTGACATAGCAACCAACCAACACCACAACCAACACCAACTCAATCCTCCGCCCGGCGGGGAAAGAGTTTCTGATAAGAATGATGAAGAGATTTTCTGCATTTTAATAATCCCGGAGTTTCAAGTTAAGGTTTGAGCTGTAAATGAGTCGGCAATAATCACATCATTGTATGCCGTTGTAATCCCCGCCATGTCCTGTTGCTTTACTCGAGACACGAAGCATGCATGTAGACTATACGAATTCTCACCTTTAGTATAGTCCATGGAGTACGTAGCTTACTTCATTTACTCACAACAGACCCATCGTGAACCCTGCGGCAATCTCTACTTCGGTTGCAAAGCAACTCTGAGCGTGACTGAGTCGATCCGGCCGTGATCTATGCATGACTACTTATGTCCTTGTTGCTCCCATTACAATGTCTCCCTTCTCAACTGAGCTCTCTTGCACATGCCCATTGTCTCCTTCTGTCTCTTCTCTTACCCATTATTTAGTCGCTCACTACCTATCCTATTGTTATCATGCGTGCCGTTGGCGGGACCTCCCCGTTCCGCCTCTTCCATTCCCTATTACTCTTACTTGCCCTTTTCTCAGTCGAAGCACTCTCGCAGGCGAGATGCAGTAAGGAAAGCATTTGCAAGACTGGCTGCTGCAGTAAGGATGGCTTCTGCGGAACAACCGACGCGTACTGCGGCGATGGTTGCCAGAGCACATGCGACTTCCAGGCAGCCTGCGACGCCAAGAATCCTTGTCCAGACGGTTCCTGCTGCAGTAAGGCGGGCTTCTGCGGCTTTGGCCCAGACTGTAAGTCTCTGTTGTCATGATACGAGGTCACCGGCCGTCTTGACCCATGCTAATCCCAGTTATTAACATCTAGATTGCGCTTCCGACAACTGTGTTGGAAACTGTGACGCCAAGAGCGAGTGTGATCCTAGTTTTGGCCAACAATGGGCCAACGCCACAGCTTGTCCTTTGAACGCTTGCTGCTCAGACACCGGGTCAGTAACTGCCCTGACACCCCCTTCTCCCTTTTCATGAAATTGCATACTAATTCTTGACAGTTACTGTGGAATTACTCAAGAGTTCTGTGGCGATAGAAAGTTCAGCAAGCCTACTTGCAAAAAGGACTACCCCGTTAGTAGAGTTGTTGGCTACTACGAGGGCGGCGCAGTAAGACGATCGTGCAACCAGTTCTCTCCCGACGACATTCCGGCAAACATTTACACGCACATCAACTTTGCTTACGCTGTTATCGATCCCGTCACCTTTAGGGTTACGCCGGCATTCAAAGACGACATCCAGACCTACCATGACCTCGCCAAAGTCAAGCGCCGCAACCCTGGTCTCAAGGCCATCATCAGCGATCTTCAGGCTCAGTTAACCCATCAAGGGCCGGGCTGCAACTATAATAAAGAACAGATCTCAAACACAATATAACATCATGACCCGATGTTAACACAGTGGCCTAGTTAAACTTCTGCAGCAGCAGAAGAGTCATACCTAGCTGCATCATCATGAAAGTCTAACCTCTCATGGGTATTTTAATTGCTCTAACCTCCGTACGAGAAACAAGAGAATTATCCACCTCTTCATCTTCTCAAGCTATAATCTCTTAACACCATAGCTTTGAACCCGATGCTAAGAACCACAGTTGATCAAGCAATCAAAGTCACTAGGTCGTATGACCATATCGCCGCCACCCAGTATAGGAACCAACATCTTCTACCTTCTGGCCCCCTCCGTGAGATATATAGTCTCCTTCGTAACACACGATTATCGTCATTTCGGGATATCGATATAATGAGGGCTGCCACGGACCAAATCATCAAGCCGGACGTCTATCTCGAGCTCGCAATCCTAGGCGGAGAGACATTCCTCACAACCTCAGAGCGCCTAGGGGCACCATAGAACCTCAGGCGCTTCGTACGACACCAAGAGCTGCCGCTGCTCAAAAGTCTCAGGGACAAAGAGCCCGATAAGCACCTATTCGTCGAGGTCATGAAGAGAAACACAGCCTGGATCGATAGGCTGCTGGACGTGATCCAGCAGCTGAGAGAGGCCCGGCGAGAGGAAGACCGTGGGTGAAGCGGGGAAGTCGGAGGATGGGCTGTGGAGGACACGTTGCCGGGGGGGGGGGATCAAGGTTTTCAAGTCGTTGAGTCACAGGAGTGACTCAACTGTCGGGAAGGAAGAAGGTTTCGGTCGTGAAGATGGAAAGGTTTGGGTGGTGGAGGAGTACGGGAAGGAAAATGTTAGTTAGAGCTTGAATGCAACATCTCGGCGAATTGCCAAACTTGTTGGTTGGCGCACACATCATCTTTGAACACAATGGCCATCATCAGCGTTGGCGGCTGGCAGTTCGGTGAGGGCCCGACCGAGAAGGTCTTCTCGCAGATGGTCGCCTCTGAGGAAAATCAGAGGGCATTCATCACCTCCATTGTCTCCTTTATCAACACATACGACTTTGACGGCGTTGACATTGACTGGAGGTACCCGACTGCTCCTCCGAAGGGGGGTAGCTCTGACGATACCAAGAACTATGTCGTCTTTGCGGAGAACCTACAAGCGGCTCTCAGAACCAACGGCCTGCGAGACGGCTTCTCCGTGACGGTGCCCGCTGTTTACTCGTACCTACAGTATTTCGATCTCAAACAGCTGTCAGATCATGTCAACTGGTTCAACGTCCTGGCTTTCGATCTTCACGGGGCCTTCAGGAGTCCCGACAGTTGGGTCAACAACAAACTCAACGCTCACACAAACCTCACCGAGATTGCCGACACGGTCGACCTGATCTGGCGAAGCGGCGTGCCTTCGGCCAAGGTCGTCATGGGCTTGGCCTTTTACTCGCGAACCTTTACGGCATCAAGCACCAAGTGTGTCTCCAAGGGGTGCTCCTTCGACTCGGCAGGTCGGGGAGAGAGATGCTCGGACGAGATTGGTCTTCTCAGCAATGCTGAAATTCACCGAATGCTGTCCTGGTCTGGTACCAAGCCGAGACTGGACAAGGAGGCCGCTGTCCAGGTTGTCAGGTACGATGACCAGTGGATAACGTACGAGGACAAAACGACGCTTCAGATCAAGCTCGACTTTGCGCGCAGCCAATGTATGGGCGGCGTCGCTGTATGGTCTGTTAGCCAGGATACCAACAGTGGCACCTACTCGCGTGCTCTACAATCGGCCATTAGCACCGTGAGTCAGGTTCAGACGCCAACCAAGCCATCCAACCAAACCAACCTTAGAAAGCGAGACGAAGGGGACCTCAATCTTGAGAATGTTCCCCTGGATTCGTGCAGATGGACCAACTGCGGAGGAGCGTGCCCCTCAGGCTGGACTGCTATTCTCCGTGATGAAGAGGGCAAAGAATTCCAAACCATTTGGGAGGATTCAGGATGCACGACACCCGAGGTGCGGACCTGGTGTTGCCCCCCGGGAGAAGAGCCCAGGTGCGAGTGGAGTGCATGGAACCGCGGCATGTGCATGTCCTCATGCCGGGATGGTTACGTTGAGGTTGGTTCATCCAAGATAGCCTGTGACTCTGGAAGTCAACTGGCTTGTTGTTCAACCAAGACCAAGGATGGTCTGATCATTGACTCGATGAGAATCTGGGACAAGTGTCGATGGGAAGGTGAAGAGCCGGTTTGCGGCCCAACCAACGGCCCGGACGAACCCTGCTCTGAGATGGAGGACGACCGACGCGTTCGGCTCGCCAAGGCATTCATGGGCAGCGGATCAACCAAATGCCTGGCGGGCTCAAAGGGGATCTTTCACTTTGAGGTGGAACAGAACCTTTGCTGCAAGCCCAAACAGGAAGAGGATCAGAACCGATACTGGGATCAGTGCTTCTGGAACGCCGATGCCCTCGACGACGGACACTGCCGAGCAGGATGTCCCCAAGCCTCCAGCCCGACAGGATACACCAAGCTGGCCCTGAGCTTGAATGGCGGGTGCGAGTCTGGGTCGGCGGCCTACTGTTGCAAGCCGACAGTCACTAGGAAATACGACAAGGACAGTCTGGAGTCGTACCTGGAGGGCAAGGTGGCGGAATGGGTCGAGTCCCCAACCTGCCCAGCCGATGTTGACAAGCGATCCATTGAACCAGACTCGACCGAGGCATCAATCAAGGCCGCTCGCCGAGAATTCGATCCTGAACCAAGCCCTCATGAAGTTCTCGAGGAGGTAGTCTATGGATTCATCACCCTCGACGACAACAACCACGAATACGAGCACGTTTTAGACGCGCAGTTGACGGAGAGGTGGACCCATGTCACCTCGGACAATATCGACATTATCTACAGATACTCTGCCACGGTGAGGGATATGGTCGAGAAAAACAGAGAGCCTGGCATTGCCTCTCTGTTATGTCGACTGAATGAGTGGGACGATTTCATGGGCAGTGGCGGCACCAACAAAACCCTCACTTGCAGCTTGTCAGACCTACCCGACGAACTCTACGACGAATACGAGGCGCCCGAGATAGAAATCCCAATCCACGATGGCCTCAAGGTCCGAGACCACGACCTAGCCCCTCGTGCGAAGGGCGAAGGGAGAGCGCGCCCTATCGTTGTCACAGTCAAGGGAAATGCCAACAACAAGAAGAATAAGATCTACTGGGTTATTTGGTCGCAGCCATACTACAATGGTGACAAGCTGGCAGAGAAGAACAAGGATAAGAAGTATTACATGCTTGAATTTGACCCAGACGACTGTACAAAAGCCGAGATTGTTTACACTGACCAAAAGAATGGACAGAACACTGAAGGTAAGCTGAAGCCTCCGCCTTTGTTACGAAATGTTTACTGACATGGCCTTTCCTCCAGGAGAGCATCTTCCCGAGCTCCAGACCATGGGGGATTTCTGGGGGTTCTTGTCCGAAGGAAGGATTCCCGCCATCAATGAGTCCATTGAGAATCCTTTAATTGGCGAAGAGTTCATCAATGAGCTCAACCCAGCGGGCTATGGGCGATACTGGGTCGAGACGTACCTACAGACGAGCTTTTCCAGGTGGCAAGCAGAGTATGGCAACATCTCCCCGATGGACCATATCTTTCACGCCATCGGTTCCCAAGATGATGCTTCGCACATGGTTAACACCCATAGTGTCGTCAACAACATGAAGGCCATAGTGAGAACAGCATACAACAGCACTTTTTGGGGCAAGTCTGCCAATACAAGAAACATAGATATGGGGTAGGAAACAATTCATTGGCGACAAGAGACTGGGAAGATACACCAGAGATACGAGCATAGCGACTACACGATCGATCGGGGCCATTTACAATGTTGTAAGTCTCTACACCTCACTTTGCTTCGATGGACTTCGCTAATCGTGCATAATCAACCCAGGCAATCGGCGTCTTTCAATATCTCAATCATGCCAACATCGTAGAGCACATGCGCCAGCAAAATCTACTGATTGTTCGCATATTAGAGGACGCCGAAAGATTGATCCGGCAACAGATGGAGGACGACGACATAGAACCCCCGGCCAACATGAACCTTGTTGGACAGTGGCGATTCTTTATGAACGGCCTCTACGAACGCATAGCGGCTCGTGCTCAACAAACTGCGCAAGATAGGATTCAGCGCATCCGGCAACGCTGGGAAGAACGCCTCTATGACAACTTCTTTGCCCCGTGGAGGACCAATGGTGGCAACGTGGATGAGCCGGTTGAGGAACAGTATAGGATCACCAACTTTCTGTTCTTCCTGGACAGCATAAGTAGGCGGGCAACTGAACTGATGACGCTGCCTAACAACTTTTGGAGCGACGATACTCACCCTGACAGCGGCGACAGTGACTCTGACAGCGGTAACGATGATCCTGTCAAGGATCCTGATTGGGACCCGGATAAGGACGATGTCCCCCGACAGTGAGCCAAGAGAGGGGATGGCTCTTTTGAGGTCTAGCCGGAGGGCACTCGGGAGTGCGTTTGGAATCAGCAGTGCTTGTGTCTTGTGGTTAGACGATGGATAGGGATGAAATGATTAGAGCCAGTGTCTTCTCCCAATACGTAGTTAGTTGCCCCAGTATTTGATGGTGTTACAGATACTGGAACGCCATGTAACTAGAGCTTGAACCTCGAGGGTGACGTGGAAAAGTGCTGTTATGGCTCCAAACTGATGTGCGTATTTGTTGTCATCCCCCCTAAGGACAACGCCAGTTACCATCCGACCTCAGCGTATGGCCTTTGCAATTGAGACTACCCCAGCTTGATTATCCGAGACTTTCTATGATTATTACATAGAGATTAAACGGCCTCCATGCCATGCATTTTGTGTGTGGACTTCAATTCGCGCAGGGTTATGGGGAGCCGCCTATAGTGCAATGGTGTATTTGAGGCGGTATCACACGAGCCGCCCTTCATCATCATCAGCGACACATTACTCTCGTCGTTTGTCAGTTGATAGAAAATTAATCGCCACAGCCTCGAGCAAAGCTCGTAACGTGGAAACTGCAATTGCCATCCAAAGATACATCAAGCACACACAGGAATGCCGTCCAGTCGCCTATTTTGTCGTCTGCTACCGCAACCCCCCACGTCACACCGTCGATTCGGACAGTTCCGTGTCTATTCACACCCGACCGGTACAATATCAAGGCAGTGCATTCGGGTGGGACCTATCATAGCGATCCGTCCCGCAATTCCACACTTCGTTTGGCATGTCCTGGGCGATGCGCCAGATATCCTTCAAGTCGATGACTTGGTCACGAACATGCCTCGCGTAGTACAGCCAAGTGAACAGGGAGTGAACACGGACCTTGACGCGGCCCTGATATCCATCCTCATCAGCACCACCATAGCCTCTGGCAAGAGTTCCTTGACAGTTGCATCCCTCGACTTGAACAGTCGTGGCGACTTGGCCCTCTGAGCGATTTGGGGGCTCCCAGTCAGCGTCATACGCCCAAAGAAAGAAGTGAGGGAGGTCATAATTTGTTAGTAGAGCTTCCCCCTCCTCATCGTGGACGCCAGCGGATGGAAACAGGGGTTCCCCGAGTTCCACACCATGGGTGTCAAGGTCGGGGAAGATACAATCGTTGTGGAGAACCAAAAATGTGTTCCTCGACATTCGTGGGCTACCAAGATTCAGCTTCGCGACTGTTTTGAAATGCCTTGTTCATGGAATGTTAGTGAGAAGCATCCTCGTTAGGTTGGATGGCTTACTCTCGAAACGCAGAAGGGTAGGCTTCGGATGGCAGACCATGGACTGAACAGGGCGACTGCCACTGAGCGTTCATGTACTCTCCCAAATCATATCCACGCATGATTGTCATATCCGCCCCCCTCCGGTAGCCGCAAAACTCATTGGGGTTACCGTTGTAACAGCCCGGAGCGTTGGTATCCTCAAAGATGGAGAACCAGCGATCTCTCGCCACAGCTGGTCGTCGCTCGACCTCACTGGACCTGTAGCAGACAAACCCAAAATCTTGCCCCCATCTCCTGATCTCAGCGATCCAGGCAGGGGCTTTGGGGACGATGCTGGCCCAGACGGCGGGGGCTGTCTGGTCGGTCAGAGGCTCCTCTCTCTCGACCGCAGCCTCGTACTCGTGTAGCATCCTTCGGGCCCAGTATTGTGTCAATCTGAGATTATACTGCTGTGGGTGCCCACGAGCCACCTCTCGAGCTTGTGCCAGTCGGTCATCTTGGCGCAGCTCTTGGACGTGTGCTTCGTATAGACTGTCAAGAGCAAGGCTGGGACCCAGTTCCCGGATGTGTTCCTGCCTAGGGACTCTCCAGTCGACGAGAGCAAACTTGCACAATTCCGCGGAGCGCAGCATAAAGCACTTGGGATTCCCCGTGTTCTCGCCCAGAACCCGTCTGAAATTGCGTATGTCGCCCATGTTGTCGAGGTAGCCGTTCAGCGAGCGCAAGAAGGTTGTCCCGTCGGGTGGATAATAAGGCTGCCGAAGCAGATCAGTGCACTGGTCTTCGGTCAAGTAGCCAGTCAGCGCGACCTCGACAGTGTCTGCTCGCCTCGCTGCTCTTCTTCGCTCGGCGTATCGGTTTCGGTCACGCTTTTCGAGGTAGGTGGCGCGCTCTTCAGGTTCCATTCTCTCGAGGCGGAGTAGGTATTGACGGCGCTTTTCCTCATCGCGTGCAATCTCTGCTCTGATCCTCGCCATCCCCTTTAGGGGTTGTGGTTCTTGCGGGCCAGTGTCGCTGGCAGCGGCAGGCTCAGGGTCTTGCTCTTGCTCCTGTTGGGGCTGACTTTTTGTTTCGTCATTGTCGCCGGACTGCGAGGTCTGGCTGTTGGGTTCCATGGACGTTTACGTAGCAAAGTAGGGGTGAAGTTGTGTTGTGATGAAAGGATGAGAAGAAGAAATTGTATGTTAGGGCCATCGGGGCAGGTACACTTTATATAACACGTGCTCAGCTCATGTGACCGTTGGTTTGTTATGCTTGTTGTCGCTGTTGGTTGCCGTGGGTCGAGCTCTTTACATGTCAATCAATCTGTGACAATGAATGCAAATATCAAACGCCGAATAATTAACCCATGACAAAGAGATCCAGACACTCCCTAAGACGCTGATTCAATTTAAAACAGGATGCATCCATTATGCGGCAGCCTAGAGCGCTGATATGTGCGAGTGGTCACTCTGGCCAGTATTCTCAGACCTGGGGACTGGGGTCAACGTCTGAACGGTAAAGCCAATTCCAGACAAACCCTTCCAGTCCCTGCAGTCTAGAGAGGAGGGGCTCAAGCCGTGATTCCTGCCGCCTATTAAGCTTCGTCTCCGGTCAACTTCCTCCAGAACGCAGCCCAACCACTCAGAGGCCTGCCTTGGTGCATACCCATTTCTCTTCCTTACGCCCGAAATCTACATGAACCGACTCCCAGCCAACAGTGCCGAGTGCCTTCAAGTGGCAAAGGTTAAGTCGAGAACTGGGGCCCTAGAGGTGAGAATCGCCGCGTGAAAAGGTTGAAATATCACGTAGTAGGTAAAAGTGGGAGGAAAGAAACCCAGCTTGACCAATAACTAAAGACAACCCCACTGCATTGTTAAAGTGAGCATCCATGCCTCGGCTAGAAACCGCGCCTAGCTTTAACAAGGGGTTACCCCGGCTTAGCTTTTTTTTTTTTTTTTGGTTGTCTTTTTCAAGTTGTATAGGGTATGGGGTGGCTTCCGTGTTCACAAGTCTCGGCTTTTGGGATGGGATATTTAGAGTAACATATACGTATTAAGAAGAGTAAGTATACTATCGCGGCTTAAGTGCTTAGGCTTAGCATACTAACGTAAGAGGAAGACTTTATCCTTTATGAATTTTCCTTTAAGTTTATTTGTATTGTCTAGAATAGGGTTTCACCACGGGATGAAAATCGCATCACAACATGCGGAGTTAATTTACAGCTTATCGATAGACGGTTAAGCGAACCAACTAAATAGAGACATTGACCAGGTTAAGATGAGGATCGGACGTTGATTGGCTCAAGCCAATCCGCGTGTTAACACAGGCCAAGGATAAACAAAGCCCTACGCGTGACGCGCCATGAGTCGTAGCAAGTGGAATACTGCGTGTTTGATTCTATTGCCGCGTTGCGAGTCCAATGTTGATTAAATAACGGGAAGCAGCGCAGCAGTCTCAGAGACAAGGGACCTATAAGCCAGCCAGAGGCTAGGCATAGCCAGCAAGATACAGCTGGCCAGACGTTCCGAGCGCCTTGTTTCATTTCGGGCTGCAAGTCTTTTTGAGTTGTTAACAGCAGGCACCTTTATTATAGTTGCAGCCCGACCCTTAATAGGAACTAAGGCAGATGATCGTTAACAGTAATATTCAGCGCTGACAGACCAAACACGCACGTGACACGCTGTAAGGCGAAGATACAGTTCAACCCCTGAAAGTTTCATTAGCGTGTGCTCACCCCTGATTTCTCCATTCAACAGCGTACCCTAACGCCACGGATAGCTTCTAATTTTAGAGACACGAGAGAAAAATAGATTAAGTTCATAATATTAAAAGCCTCGAGTTCCCAGAGAGAAATATACAAGGTTGAGACTCAGAGACTCTTTGCTCTTATTAGAAATGTACAAAGCTGCTCTATTCTTACTCTCTAATAATTCGATAAAATCGAAACGCCTTTGTACTGACTAATCCAACTTTCACGCATTGGATTGTATATACGAAGATGCTCACAACCGTGATCAACTATTAACCACCCTGAGTTTGGTATTTTATGTCCCCCGATGGACCACCAATGTCGGCACTCAAACACATTTCCATCCACTTTGCGGCTCGGAGAAAGGGGTGCCGTAGCGTGCAAGCTAGTAGACAATAGTCAGGGTTGAGACCATGATTATTGGAGTAACAAGGCGCCATGGCTTGCAAAACCATTCACTAGCTCAACGCCATATTGCTATTGATCAAGATCTAGCGGCGATCATTAATTTCCCGTCATCTGCCTGTCGTTTAAAGGAAGTCCCACCCCCAGTTTCCACATTCCAGGTAACCTGAATCTTTATCTAAACTAACCTCAGTCGTTCTTTTTGCCCTGTCGTCGAGAGATCATGTATGCAAAGTCTGTTTTGTCCTTGGCCCTCGGGCTTCTGGCGGCTGATACTGTGGTCGCCAGTCTGTGTCGGCCCCCATCCTCAGGTATGTGAATATTGCATTGCAGCTTCTGCGATACTCTGACTGACGCTCTCTCTGCTCAGACACGTCGTCAGCTGTCTCGTCGACAGCGTCATCTACTTCGGCTTCCTCCACGATCGAGTCCCTCTCCTCAACCGAGTCCCATTCGACCACAGAGACTGCCTCTACTACCGAGTCCCTCACTTTGACGTCTTCCTCTTCTGATCTATCTACCTCGACAGCTTTCTTCACCACCACTACCTCTTCCGACTCCACAACGATCGAGACATCGACATCTGCACCTGCAACCACCAGCTCAACAGGCCCATACGACCCTATTCCCACCTTCAAGGTTGTGGCTGTTGGTGGCCCCGTGCCTGGCGCAGAGGTCAGGTCGACCGGCCAGACGGGAAATATCCTCACTTTCAACCCCACCTATAGTGGCACTCGTGTCCTCTCCTTTAACCTTGAGCATAGCACCGGCCGTGTTCGCGAGAGCAATGGCAAGTACATGTGCCTATACTATAGCAGTGGTCCTTCCTGGGTCGTACTCTGTGATTCTGAGTCAGACGGCATTAAGTATCTCACCTGCACGGTCATGCCCGACCTCACTCTTTCGTGCAGTGGACCGGAAGGACACCGTTACTTCGATGACGAAGGCGAGCAAGTTACCTATGACACTGGTGGCACAGTTGATCACTTTTATGTCACATGGCAAGGTCAGGGATATTACTCCGCCATTGGGGGCGCCAATGTTGGTGGGGACTTCAGCCCGGTCAAATATGGGTTGGAACAGGTGAATTAGCCTTGGTGTAGGCGAGTTGTCTCTTGCCGAGCGTTATGCCTTGTACATCCTTCTTTCTCGAAGTCTAAACCTCTAGTAATGGTACCGAAAGTGCGGATTTCTCTACAAGAGTGGTGAGCTATCAACGTCAACTCATTTCAGGGCATAGAACCTACATTGTCGGCGATATCCTCGAAAGCATGAGCAAAGTCAACATCATCGACGATCTCTCCACTGGCAACCATCGCGTCTCGTTTCTTGTTCATAAACACGTAGTATGTTCGAAGCGTGATCAAGACCAACTCAAGGAATACAAAACAGCCGAGAATGATGGCCAGTGCAAGGAAGTAGCGCGGTGCGTCCTTGTCCCGAAAGCATTGAGGGCCAATGGCGTTGCCCACGGCCCAAAAGACAAAGTTGCTAGCAATGACAACCGATTTCTTCGTTTGGCCCGCGACATTTCGAGACACAAGAGACAGTGCCAGGCCAGAGCAGGTCCAGAATGAGTAGATGATGTAGTATGCAATTAGGAGCTCGACTCTTTTGCCGTGATGGAATGGCTGGGAGATGAGCACCACAACGCCAGCGATGGTGGGTAAAAGACCGAGCATCATGATCAGAATGGTCTGCTTGAACTTCCGGTCAGCCCATGCCGAGGTCAGCATGACGGTGAGCATAACGATGCCGATTGGCATTTGCAGAAGCTGAGTCTCCCATGTAGAAAAGCCGAAAGACTTGACGAGGATGTTGGCGTAGGCCCCAATACCACCGGCAGGCAGAGTTGTGCAGATCTGAATCAAAGCGAACGCATACACTTTTGAAATCTTAGTATGTGAGTCAAAACTTTATGACGAGCACTCACCTTGAGGGTCCAAGATAGCGTGAAAGATCTGTTCATTGCGAAACACACGATTCTGAACTCCTGTTCTGTTCTCTCGTACCCGCTCTACCATGAGCTTCTTGTCTTCTTCTGACCAGCACTTCGCCTTCATGGGCGAATCGGGCATCCAAAAGAGGACAAAGAAGCCCCAGAACACAGTCGCTATTCCATATGTCATGAAAAGGGCCTGCCATGACTTGATCGGGGAGGTCGAGGGGACGAAGGAGAAGGCAAATGCAAGAAGCCCGCCCAGGATCTGTTGGATACCGTTCATCATGTACCTAGAGAGCAGAAACATTAGTACCCAGAGAAGCATGAGGTAAACGGCTAACTTACCAATACACAATAGTACTCGCTTGTTCCTCCTTCTTGTACCTATGAGATCCAAGATTAGTAGGAAATCCTGACAAGACAAAACTGCACTCACCATGTAGAAGAAAGAAGCACAAAAGCAGGCTGACAGACTGCCTCAAAGCCACCAAGGAAGCCACGGAGAACGAGGAGTCCGACAAAGTTGGGGGCGGCAGCGTGCAAAGCCAATGTGGTCACCCAGAGAATGACGTTGATCGACAGCCACTTTGCAATGGGTAGACGTTGGAGGAGGTAATTTTCCTAACACACACGATCAAATCCACTGTTGTTGTTGTCGAGGTTCATAGATGGCTTACAGGATACTCAACCACCAGAACGACGAGATACATAATTGTTGTGAACCACGAATACTACAACCAGTCAGATGTACTTGGTTCAACCAAATCTCGAGGTGCATTTGACGAACCTGGTTCGGGGCAAGGTTCGCGTCCTGAATGATACCCATGATCGAGGCAAACGACATAGTGCCTCTATCAAGCGACTGGGTAAAGTAGGTGACGACCATGACGACCAAAATGCGCTTGTCTATCATCCTCTTGGGACGCTTGTTCGTGTCCTCGTCGATCTGGACTCGTGACTCGGCGACATATTGTGCAACTTCGTTATCGACGAGATCGAGGTTCGCTTGGTTCTTGCCAACTTCGCCATCTTCAGCGTGGATCGGCGTGTTGACTTCGTGGTCTGGCTTCATGATGTTTGAGGAATGGCGAAAGAAGATGATGAATTGATCAGGTTGGCCGATACAATGGGCACAGTAATGGACGGATGGACGACTTTATATGAGTCGATGAGTCTCGAAACCAACTCGCCAGACACCCTCTTCTTTCCCCAGAAGGAGCCCCACGGGGAAGAACAAGGTCAGAGTCATGGGGAAGAGGGTCGTGGGGAATCGGAGCAGGATCAAACAAAGTCTTCCTCAACCAAGGGCAACAATCATGACTACGCCAGGAGAGGAATGGCCCAACAGCCCCTCTCGCTCTTCGTTTAGGTGCACGACTCATGCGTTGCCCTCTCTCGACCTGTGGGACTTCGGCTCTCGTGAAAAAAAGACGTCTTCATTATCCCGAGTCCGACACCATCAGTCACCCATCAGTTCTCATTGGCTGTCAACCACAGGGATAAACCCATCAGTTTTCGGAGCCCGCACCAATATCACCACGCCAATTGCCCGAACCCGAATAAACTCCATCTTTTGTCGTGGACGGACAATTGAGCAAAAGCCCTCGAGCCGGCTTCCACGTTGTAATTGGCCCGGCTCCTCATCCGCATTATGATGCAACAGCTACTCCACCTCAATGATCATCCGAGATGCCATCAACTCCACACACGGTGGGATACGAGTGGATAATCATTACTGGAGCTGTATCCCTGGATGATATAAGACTTCTGCGAGGGGTCAAGCAAGGGCCTGAGGTACTGTTTTCAGTTTGAACCATCTCAAACACAAATGCCTTACCATGCTTGAAGAACAATTCATCGAGTTCAGCCCCGGTGGCACCGATCTCATCGACGCTACCATTCTTGTCGACGATTCCGACTTTGCTGGCGTGAAGATAGCTGCTCGCAACTTGTCCCAGGATTTTGCCAGGGTAACAAAGAAAGATCCCCTCCCCGTCGTCACAGTCAAAAACTCGAAAGACATCAAGACAGGAGGCTCGAGAGTAGCCATAATTGTCGGTTGCATTGAGTCGAGTCCGTTATTGCAACGTCTTGAAAGAGAGAACGGCGTTCGGTATAGCGCCATTAGAGGGAAATGGGAGTCTTTCCTCACCACCCTGGTGGATAAACCCCTCGCAGGCTGTTTTGATAAGGTACTTGTCATTGCTGGTAGTGACAAGAGGGGCGCCATTTTTGGTATCTACACACTGTCCGAGCAGATCGGAGTATCTCCGTAAGTGATCCGGCCAAGGAATCATAGCCAATTGAGTACTGAGCCGGAGCAGATGGTACTGGTGGGCCGATGTACCCTCAAAATATCACTCAGCCGTCTATGCAAGCCCCAAGACAACGACACATGGCGAGCCGTCGATCAAGTATCGAGGAATCTTTCTAAATGATGAGGCTCCGGCTATGACAGGTTGGGTCCTGGAGAAGTTTGGCAAGTACAATTCCGAGTTCTACAAGAAGGTCTTCGAACTTTTGCTCCGCCTCAAGGTAAGCAAGCATCCTTTTGAGTACGTTCTGGAAACTGATGAGTGTCGCCAGGCAAACTTCATGTGGCCTGCCATGTGGCCTGGATACCCAAATCCAGGAGCAAACTTCTTCCTGGATGATCCAGACAACCAGCGAGTAGCAGATGAATACGGGATCGTTATGTCAACATCTCACCATGAGCCAATGCAGCGTCTCACAAACGAGTGGGTTCTCGAGAACGGAGAGGGAACTTGGGATTGGGATAACAACAAGGAGAAGATGACGCAGTTTTATGAGCATGGTGCCCAAAGAGCCAAAGGTTACGAGTCATATTTCACCATTGGAATGAGAGGAGAATATGACCGCAGGATCAAGGCATCTGACCCAGCTGCAGCCATATCGGAGGCTATCGAGACTCAGCGCGAGGTAATCAGTAATGCTTATGGCGGCAGCGACAAAGTTCCACGTAAGTGTTTGACCCTGGCTGAAGCTGGGGCGATCTGACATCTTGCAGAACTCCTCCCTCTGTACAGAGACATTGAGCAGCTTTACGACACTGGCCGGATCCATGTTCCCGAGGAGGTGACATTGCTGTTCCAAGATGATAACAATGGCACCATGCGCCGTCTTCCTACCAAGAATGAATCTGCTCGAAAGGGTGGTTCTGGTGTGCGTCTCCAACTTGTCCTCTTGGGGACATCACCGCTAAAAGCCTCTAGCTCTACTACCATTTTGAGTACGTCGGTCTGCCACGGAGCTACAAGTGGATAAACAGTGTCTCACTGGTGTGTTTAGCTATTCCCTGACATCATTCACTGCTAAGAAACCTCTAGGGAAAAGCATGGCACCAGCTTAGACATGCGTACAACCGCAATGTTCGACAGATCTGGATCTTCAATGTGGGTGATCTAAAGCCACTGGAGACTCCAATCACGAGGGCCATGAGTCTAGCATGGGATATCAACCGGATCACATCAGACAACCTGGGTCATTTCCTCCAAGAGACGGCAGGAAAGAACTTTGGCTCTGAGCTGAGCTGCGAGATTGGCCGTGTCTATCATGGATATGATCGTCTGGTCTCTTTGCGCAAGCATGAACTTATCGAGCCGACTACCTTTTCCCTCCTGCACTATAATGAGGCCGAGACTGTTCTTGGCAGATGGGAGAAGCTTTTAGAGGATGCCAAGTCGGTATATGACCGCCTCACAGAGGAGCAGAAGCCTGCCGGATACCAGCTTATCCTACACCCTGTCAAGTCGAGCCACATTTTTGTCGCCCTACGCGTAATGCAGGCGCGCAACCAACTCTACGCACGACAGAGGCGCAACACCGCCAATACCACGGCCCAGCGTGCTCTTGACCTATTTGATGCGGACTTTGATGTGCAGCTCGAGTACCACTCTCTGCTAGGCGGCAAATGGAACCAGATGCTGATGCAGACACATCTTGGATATGAAGACACCTGGCACGCACCATCTCGAGATATGATCACAGGTTTGGGATATGTGCAACGGCGCCAAGACTCCAATCCTATTGTTGGACAGATGGGTGTCTCTGTTGAAGGTCATCAAGGCGTCCGTCCAGGTCTCATTAACGAGGAGTCTGAACGCACGCATCGCAGTCGCCGTGACCTTGTGCCAGGCTTGACACTGGGAACCATGAGCCGGTACGGCCCTATTTATAGGTGGTTTGAGATCTGGACTCGTGGCACTCCGACGATCAACTGGACGGCATCGACGCCTTACGCTTGGCTGCAACTGTCCAGTTCCTCGGGGTTCTTGGTGCCCGGCAGGGATGATGCGAGAGTCCATGTCACTGTCGACTGGGACCAAGTCCCTGACCACTTTGATCAAGAGGTTTTGATCAATGTTAGATCCGGCATTGGCGATTTTGAGCAGATCCACGTACCCATTGTGGGACGCCGTGTGCCTGGTGCCTTTCAGCAAGGCTTCATTGAGGGCCCTGGTTATGTCTCTATGCCTGCTACGAGCGGCATATTCGGGCACGACTATATAGCCATGCCAGACTGTGGTAGGTTTGAAGATGGATCTGTTGGATTGGATCTCACACACAATGTGAGCGACACAGCCGACTTCCTAACATATCACTTCTACCAATTCTCAGACACCAGCACAGCAAAACTTCTACTTGAATTCGGCATCACATTCACCACCTCGGCTGAAGATGTCCCCTCATACGACTTGCAGCTGAAAGAAGGGCCTGTCACACACCACAACATTGAACAATACACAGAAGCCAGCAACCGCTTTGGCTTGAAGTTGGGAGTTCCGCGCGCTGAGGGTTGGATGAAGGCGGCAAGTGATCATGTCTGGAATGCGTCGCATGAAGTGAATGGTCTCAAGCCTGGGCCTCAGGCTATCAAGATTAGGCTTTGCCATCAGAACGTATTACTCGAGAAGGTGGTGGTGGACTTTGGGGGTGTTGGAGAGAGTTATCTGGGACCACCACTGAGCTACAAAATCGGGGATGCTTGCAGGCCTTGAATTAAGTCGGGCAACATAGAATCGAAGGAATAATTTCTGCCGTCTTTTAGCTATTGCTAGAAAAAAGGACAATGCGGAAGCAGGTCTGGCGCGTTCATGACTTAAGAACCGTTGACCCCTGGCCACACATAGTATGGGATGAACCAGGCCAACTTTAGCTCTTTCGAAGCCCCGCAATTTCTGGTTTACCCCGCGGGAACTACCGTATCGACTCAACACATTGAGTAGCGTCAATGGGTAAAAGACCCTTACTAGCCTCTTTTCTCTAAGACTCTATTGGCCGTCCTAGAACTATATCCAATGAAGGAGCTTTAAACGTATCCACCGACGTTACTCGATATATTGAGTCGATACGGTATTTAAAGGCACTCGGAGTCCGCATTAATTCCACATGTTCTTTTCTCCGTTGCTCTTACTGGGTGAGTCTTGATACAGCACAAGCTGTGATAATGACTGCTGATGAGGACTTAGCCCATTCTCGTTACTATAGCGAAGCTCTGATGCCCGAATTCTGGGTGCTTGTCCGTAGCCTTGAGAACATGTCCAGACGTTGGGCTGGTGTGACTCATGGTGACTCGGGCTATTTTCTCAACTTGGCTGGGAAGTATGCATTGCATCTCAGAAACACATACGAGATGTGTCAACAAGATGTGACGTATAATCTCACAGTACTTGACTACACCGAGAACATAGAACAGGCGATGAGCGATCAGTCTCGGTCTCAACATCCACGGACAGAAGATAATGACGACGACACAAGAGCCATGTCAACTGCCATTTCCAGTCAGAAGCTGGGACGAATGACTTCTCTTCCTATAGCTCCCCAAGGGCATGTCCCGCCCACACGACCACAGAACATCTCAACGGGAACCAGCCCACCAGTGAGGGTAACAGGTACGGTTGGTCAGCCAGAAAACGTCGACACTATTTGGTTTACTGCGGCAAATACAGACGTTCAGGAGCTACCAGAAGACTTGCTGGCCATATCGCAAGCTCTGATGGACCAGAGGTTCGCCGAGATGGATCGCATCATTACTCTGGATGACTCCTGGTTTGAAGCTACTGAACAGACAGCAGATATTTCTTCACTGCATGTTCCTGGGTGGAACACTGCAGAAATGAGGTTTACAGATTTGCAGAGCGATAGAAATGGTGTTACAGGCAGAGAGTGGGGAGGAATGCAGTAGATCTATAGTCGCTGAGCGGCAATTATTGCTGTTGTTTTGTAAGAGAACAACAAGTGAATCCAAGAACAATGCCAACTAGACTTCTCAATTGAGACTAACTAATGTGGCTACTTGAGAGAAAATTGATGGACGAAATATCTCTCAGCTCATTCAGCCAAAGGCGGCTTCCGACCCCATACTACCCTCTGCCTATAGTAGGGATGATACTTGCCAGAGTTGATCTCCTTGCGGAAATGGGCAATGTAGACTTGTACTTCGGCTTCAGTCCAGCCCAACGTGTTGGCCATAAACAACACGACACCCTCAGTATCTGACAGCGCAACATGTCGGCCAAAGTGACCCAACTCTTTCAAGTGAGAGTCCTTAGGCCAGCCTCCTACTGGTGTCTGGGCGTTTTGCTCAGGTCAGATTCTAAACTCGTCAAGAAGAGCGGATTCTCACCTTGTACTCAAATGTCTGAATATCCACAAAGCCCGCCGCTTCCATGGCTTTCACCTGGACGTCATCTTCCACAATAGTAAAGTTCATTCCGAACTTTTTACCGCCCTCAATAAAGAACTTGCCCCACTGACCAAGTGCAGATTCCTCTTTGACAGTTCCATCATCGCTAGTGAAGAAGGGTGAGGGCTCAAAGCTCTCAACCCAACCGTCTGGTCGGCAGCATCGATAGGCTTGAGAGAAAAGTTTATCCCAGTCAGGAATGCTGCCGACAAGCCAGCGCATGTGGATGTAGTCGGCGTGGTCGGCGGGGAATGTCCACTCCTGGGTGCAGTCTTCGATTTCACTGAGACGGGAAACACGCGTTAGCAAACATGACCAGCGGTTCCCAGTGTTGGCACGGTTTCAATTCCTTTGAAACGTACAATTTCAGGTTCGGTGGAACCCACGAGGGCTGAATTGGCGAGATATCCGTCCCGATAACCTCTGCGCCGGGGTACTCATCGGCAAAATCCCTAACTTCAGTGTCAGTTATCCTCAAGCAGGAGTGGGATATTTAGGAGCTTACATGGCCCAAATGCCTTTTCGATGAAGAAAATTGTTATTTAACTCCAAGTCAAATAGGGAAATATCTCAGTCCTTTGGTCCTTTACGTACCAGTGCCGGTTCCAATGTCAATTACTTTCTGAGCAAGGGATGAATATTAGCGCCGTCTAGATTGTCTGTGGGCGGGGTAAATATGCTTACTTGGACCTTCTCCTTCTCCAGTGGTGCAAGATGGAGCTTGCCGTTGATGCCAAGAGTCAAAGCATGATGGCTGGGGCCCGATCAGTGACTGAACGATACCATGTTTCCAGCAAGAAATGGCTGCGACCTACTTGATATCTAGAAACTCGCTCTGCTTTTCATCATTGGCCCCCCTTCTCAGGTCAGCAGTCATCAACAGGAGAGCGCATCCGGAAATCATTACCAGTACTGCGCATTTCCCATCTCACGGTGATAGGTTCGGTCATGAACCTTTCGATACTCAAAAATGCTGGATGAGATTGAGCTTGTTGAAGATGCCGTGCTCAAGCCGGTCGTGGAATCGGCATCCGAATTGTCGCCCACATCGTCGTCCTAGCATACCGTTAGTCTCCAGCTCGCGCTTGGACGAAGTGGATAGCCCTCAGTCGCCATGAACTCAAATCTACGCACCTGAGCAGCTTGTTGCCAGTGAGAAGCCGGGAGAATACCAACGCCAGTGGAAGCCTCCGCAGTGTTGGATCCGATGCTCTTAGGGCTCTCAGGGCCCTTGGAGCTCCTCGGACTCTTACCGACTTCTGGCGGTGATGACATGGTTTGGGTCGTAGAGATTAGGTGTGGGCACTGGGCACACAGCGGAGGGGACTAGAGAAGAGAGGAGATAGAAGACGAAGAAATCTCTCATTGCGGGGTTCCCTCGGTCACCAAAAAGGCCACAATGAGGACGGCAGCCAACCACAGTTACATCAATATCCTTGTTGTGTGGATGGTAATTGGTGGGTTGGCAGCAAATACGAGATAAAGTTACGAAGGAGCCAATCTCACCGTTAGTGTCCAATCGGAAGGAATGCGCCTATTTGTCACGAACCTAAGCGAATGGTAGTCTAGCCAGGTCTTGAAATGTTGTGGATGCTTCAAAGAGCTTGGTCTACCATTGACGACCAGCACTACACAAAACGATGTGGGTACGTATAGAAGGCTATATGAATAACTATAAAGGCTAAATCACATATCTAATCTGATCAAATTTTTCAAACCGTACAGTGGGGCTTAGGAGCATGGGAGGATCAGATAACTACCTATATAAACCTCCCTAGATCTGATAAACCTGGGCATGGCCAGGTGTCTACTCTTTCTCTTCTCACGCCTGCCAGTGGTTTAAAGACTCGATATTCTCTTACTCCACCTACGCTCGCCTGAAAGGCTATCCAAGATGGACACTGCTGTGAAAAATGAGGCGATCGGGTCCAGAGCCAGGAGTAAGAGCCTCAAACATCATGTCGGACTCATTACACGATCACTGATCCTCACAGGATTCTTCCTTGGCGCTGCGGCTAGCACAAAAGAAGAGAGGAGGCTGGTGAGAAAGCTTGGTAAGCGAACCGCCGGAATTGAAATATCGCTCTACATAACTGACTACTTTTCATAGACTTCTTCATCATGGTGAGAGGATTGATCCGAGTTTGCTTAGGCTGAAGCTCATACTAAACAGGTCTACTGCTGCCTCAGCTACTTTTTCAACTTTCTCGGTATGGATGAGTTTGCTAAAATAAGTTTTTAGAGTCAAGAAGAAGAACTCACATGGAAGTAGATCGCGCCGCATTCGCCAATGCCTACGTATGATGATGTTGTATAGCAAAATGATCCAGACCTAACCATCTCCTTCAGGTCGCCGGCCTCCGGGAAGATTTACACATGACCGGTGGAGATTACAGCAACGTCCTTGCAGTCACGACTGCCGGGTAAGACTAAGAAAGACCTCCCAGTACTGCAGTTGAGTTTTCTGATGGATGTAATAGCATGGCCATCGGCCAACTTCCCCATGGTATCGTCATTCAAAAGGTTGCCCCAAGGATTTGGTTCCCATCCATGGTCGTCATTTGGGCCGCATTGACTGTATTGAGTTGCCGCATCTCACCACGATATGCCCTCGCTGACTGCCACAGATGGCGAGCGCAGCTGCCAAGACTGTGACACAGTTATGTGTCATTCGCTTCTTCTTGGGTCTGGCTGAGGCTAGCACCTACGCCGGCGCGATCTACATCATCAGCTCATGGTATAAGCCCGATGAAATCTCCAAACGCACGGCACTCTTCACTGCATCCGGCCAAGTCGGAACCATGTTTGCTGGCGTCATGATGGCCGCCATCCACAAGGGAATGAATGGAATGAGCGGGTTGCAAGGCTGGCAATGGGTTTTCCTCATTGGTAAACGGTTCAAAGCTGCCTAACATGATCTCTGCTGACTTGTGTCACTTTAGATGGCATCATCACGCTCCCCATCGCCGTTTTCGGGGTCCTCTATTTCCCTGATACGCCAGACCGTACCCAGGCTAAGTATCTCTCTGCCGATGAGAAAAAGCTGGCACGTTCTCGACTTCCTGCCATTTGTGAAGATGGACATAATATCATGCCACTCTCCCTTGTCAAGCGAGTACTGATGGCACCGATCTTGTAAGTTTGACCATCTACATAATTGACTTTGCCGTCCAATTAACATTGAGACTAGCTGGGTTCTTTTCTTCTGGTCTCCGGTCTGCGCCGCCATTGAAGCCTTTCCCTTCCAGAATAACTTCCTTCTCTGGCTCAAGCATCATTCCGACCAGTTTACCCAGACCCAGATCAACACTTATCCCCTTGGCGTCCAGGCCGTCGGCATTGTAGCAAACATGATCGCGGCTTGGCATATGGATGCCACTGGTCAACGAATTCCGGCGGCCATTGTAGCCATCCTCTTCCAAGTTGTGGTTGGGTCCATGCTTCTCGTTCGCGATATTCCTTTCGCGGGAACATTCTTCGCCTTCTATCTCAGTGGCACAGCCTATGCCGTGAACCCTTTGATCTTCGGGTGGGCAGGCCTCATTCTACAGCGTAGTGGTGACGATGCTGTGCGGAGCGTCACCCTGTACTCCATGAACATTGGTTCAATGGTGTTGTGGACATTCTGGGGCATCCTATTCTACTCGGGAGCCGACACGCCATACTGGAAAAAGGGCTGCATTGTTCTCCTCGTTTGCTGTTTCGTCATGTTCTGTTACATGTGGCTGGTGTTCAAGGTATGGAGTATGCCTACTGTTCTACTTCAACATACTTACTTACATTTGCAGGTTGATAAGCACACTGCAAAGAAGTATCGCGACCGCATGCCTGGAGCCATTGATCCAGAAGCCAAACTTTCAGAGCCTGTTGAGCTGGCAGAGCAAGAGATGCCTACTGTTGGGGAGAATGATGACAAGGTTACTGGCCAGATGGCAGTAAATAGCCGGCAATAATTCTAGAGACGTCCTTTGCATCTCGCTCTGTTGGGCTTCCCTTCAAAAATATTGAGCAAATAGTCTTCGGCAAATAATGAAGATGCCTCCTGCTTAGCGTTCTCTCGTTTATCGTTTGAATGCACTTGATTGTTATTACCGAGAATGTGCCCAAAAGAGCATCAGTAACAGTCGTAGAGAATCTACTAAATCAGATCCCAATGCTACCTAGGATTGAGTAGTAGTTGCTTCCTCTGGCTTCCTTCCGTAAACCAAAGTCCTGTGCCTAGTTAGTAAAACGTTTCAAACTCTGGGGTCTGAGTTACTTACACCTCATAATAAGGGTTCAGTTTCTTATTCCTCAAAGCCTGCCTCATCTCGGCAATAAACACCTGACACTTATCATACGGCCACCCCATCACCTGCGTCAACAGGAATAGCCCGAAGCCCTCCAATCCACCGTCAACGAACATCTGCACAAATGACCCAATCTCTTTCAGCTTCGGATCAGACGCCCACGCACTCATTGGAAGCCTAAACTTGCGCTCCGTAACTTCCACGAAGCCGGTCTCGTCCATGAGATCTCTCATTCGTGACCCGATGGCAATCTTGAACGTCTTGCCCATCTTTTCACCTGCCTCTTGGAACACGGCATTCCAGCGGTGATAAATGTGCTCAGGGTCTGTCACTACATCCGAATGGGCACGGATGTCGAGTTCAAGGTCCTCAAACCAACCTCCTGGCTTGAGGTGGCGGAAAGCCTTGGCGTAAAGAGCGGACCAGTCATTGATGCTACCGTAGAGGTCGCGGACGTGGATGTAGTCAAAGTGATCAGTTGGCCAGGTCCAATCAAGCTGGGCGTCATCGATGTGGAATTCGCAGTTTGGAGGGATCCAAGAAGGTTGGATAGGGGAGATATCGGTGCCGATCACTTGGGCCGAGGGGAACTGGTCGGCAAAGTCACTATAGAGATGTTAACAAAGTAGGTGGATAAAGTGTTGCGGGAAGCTGACATGGCCCAGATACCGGTGCCGGTTCCTACATCCAACACGCGCTAAGAAACTATTAATTTAGGTTTGTAAATTCCCAGGATAGGAGTTACGGGCCTGTGGATGGCTGCCAATTGGCGCTTGATGAAGCTTATTATCGAAATAGAGAAGTATGTAGTGGTGTCTGTAAAACCGTTGAGCGAAAATGGTACACTGAGGCATCAGCCAGAACGTGCTACGGAAGCATTCGTGGACTCACGTAATGTCTAGACCTTCATTTTGCCGCTCGTCGTTAGGTGCCCTGCCGATTCATGTCAGCTCCGCTAGCGATAGCATGCCAGCTGTCACATTTTGCGATTACGGATGTCTCACCAGTACTCGGTTGTCTTGGAGTTCCCGTAGGTGCGACCGTGGATATTTCGGAAGTCTCGGATGCTGTCCGTTAGAGAAGTTGTCGACTCAATTTCCTGACTACAACACGTCAGCGCGCACGTTCACTGTTCAGATGAGAGATAGCTACCTCAACACTGAGTGTTCATCGTCATGATCGCCTCCCTCGAACTCCGGGTCCTGCGGTCGCACCGAGATTAGGGGAAATGCAACCGAGGGGGCGTAATACGTACCGCTACAATTGGAGCTGACGTGGCAGCCCCTGTTGGAGACTTGGGACTGGAGGCTGGAGAGGCTGTCTTAGACTTTGGGCTAGACATGGTGCTGCGCAAGACCGAAACTGGAGCCAAGGCTTTTGAATGATGGGAAAGAGTTGTCGAAAAGAGAAAATGGGTTTCAGAAAGAAGAAAGATCCCGCCCAGACTTCGAGACAGGTGATCGGTTAAGGTAACCAGGCCCCCACGTTTGGCCCTTGCTCTTCATGCGGGGAGAAATGACCTCCTTCATGGCAGCCAGTGAGAGGAGCATAAAGATGCATTCTGTGGACCTTGCCTTGGTTCAAGGATCAAATTGCAACCAAACCTCCCACGCTTCGGGACGACAAATTTGCTGCCGTGAGGGGGCTGCCCCAATTCGCTCATTGCTAGGGTGGAAGAGGTTGAATTATGGTTGTTGAACTTGTGCACTAGTGGTTTAATAAGAGATATATAAGTTCTTATGGGGAATACTACCCGATATTAGAAGGCCCTATCCCAATCAGAAATTGGTAGTGGAGTGCCGCTAGAGAGATGTAGATCTCTAGAGATGTCTGCATCGTTCATTATTTTTTGAAATTATCTACCTGCATGATCTTCAAGGCATGTAATCATGACACAAGAAGGGCCTAAGAAGTGAATTTTTATTCGACTTTTGTATCTTGATGATGGGGTTGGGAATCAAATTAATATCTCAACCTTCTCTAGGGTATGGTCTTCTGTAACGGAGGTTGGCTGGCAAGGGCATGAGTTTTGACCCATGGTATACTAAAAAATATATTAATCTTATCTTGTGATCTGCTCTCTCGGTATGCATCAGGGTCCAACTGCATGGACAAGAACTTGATGACACTCCAAGGAGCTGTGGCCAATGCTCCGTCTAAACTCCATGAAGTATTCATCTAGGCTAATGACATGCTTCGTAACCTGTTCAAACCATGGCGAGATCAGAGAGATCATCTCATTCTTCTACCACCGTGGCACACATAGGATGCAATAACAGCATACCAATAGCAGGTTAGGCTCGTATCTTAGAAGTAAATGATCTGTTTTAAGAACAAATAGGGATTGAGAAGAATGAGATTAATCCTTGGACCAAAAGTCGAAGGCCGCATCATCTTCAGTTTCTTCAAAACCACCCAAACGCCTGCCCTCAAGATGCTCCTGGACAGTCTGGTAAATGGCCTCAATCACTCTCTTCTCTTCATCGCTCCAATAACTCAGCCCAGGTACTTCCTGTGTTCCTTCGTTCCTCCAACTGGCGATCACATCCGACACCTCCAGGAAGATGCGCTCTACCCGCCCCCATAAACGAACCCGGACCTCTCTATCCCCCTCCCGCAGTGCAACGTCCTCCATAGACCAGGCCTGTAAGTCTAATGCGTACGTTTCACGCAGTAGGGCCATGCAGCGTTCTATCTGCCGACCCTTCTGCCGCGTTTCTTCGGCCCAGTGCCGTTGGTCGTCCCGCCAGGAAGACCCTGACCTGCTGTGCGGCTTTGCTACTAACTCCCAGCTAATTTCAACGGGCCGCTGAGTCGGTTGCCGCTCCGGCGCCTTGTAGTACTTGTTGATGGAGCTGTCGTGCTTGATGATCGATGGCCGGGGATGTCGCAGTGGCTGGCGTGGCAGTCGTGACTCTAACCCGATGGCCTCTTCGGCTGGTCGAGGGCGGTCATCCTTAATGGTATGCCGGTGACCATCACGGCTAGGCGGCGGGCTTGGGATCGAGTGGTGGCAACCCATGACCAGACTTGTGGTGATGAAAAGGATGAGCAAGATGATGAGACCGTGAGTGAGGCCGATGATATCTGAGTGTGCTGGTCCGACCTTGGTTGCACCGATGCCTTCAATGGTGATGGCACATGAGAAGTTTTCGCAGGGCTGGGTCCATTCACAGAGAGAGCTACCACAGGGGTAGATTATCGTCTTATTAGGCCAGTCTTTGGTAGCGTTCTCGCGGTCCCAGGATCCCTTGATGCCTACGAGATTGGCCGGGAATGGTTGCAGCCGCCACCTCTTAGTCGTGACGTTGAGCGCTGCGACGTGGTATGAGAGGAGGTCGTCGGGCGTTGACTTCAAGTGCCAGGCCTCCATGAGTATCGATGAGGGAAAGCTTGAGGGAACAGATACGGGTTTCCCGCCATGAATGGGGCTCAAGCAGGTAGTAGAAACTGGCTGTGATGTTCTGAGACAGACGGGTGGTCCAGCCTGCATATCCGCCGGGGCGTTATCAGGCCGAATGATGGTGTGGCTTGCATACAAGGCTGCAAGCATGTAGGACTTTCCAGCGTTTCCGGGATACTTTGAGTTCATGTACTTGGTTTTCTATTTACTAAAGCGATACACGCTTGTAAATACAAGATGAATGGCATGGTTCGCCGAGGCATCTCATGTCGGGGGCCTCAGGCAAGGTAGACATGCAGATAGAGGCTTGAAAGCGGGATTTATTGGCAGTCACAAAGGGCTTCACACTAACAAACCGGGCAATGCCATCCGTCTTCCTTCGGAACCTTATCACCTCATAGATTAGTCGAGTACTTCGCCTTTTCCCGGCCATCGCAGAGCACTCTGACTTGCACCCCCTTGCCATTGTTGTATCCAACGCGTATCTCCACGTCCATCAAGGCCTTGGTGTAGCCTGATCTTTTCTGCTGACACGACGAGGGCAAATCGTCTAGTTTAACCTCCAGCACGGGAAGCTCATTGCTTGCTAAAAGGCTATCAGCTGCCTTCATCAGACTACGGACTCATGGGGGTTTGGCTTACCTTCTGGAAGTTGGCCCAGTGCAGTCGGGGCCTCAGTCATTGTAGTCGCACAGAATGTGATCCTTGCGGTGCTGCTGTTCCCAAGATAATCGTCGTCCTTGAAGGCGCAAGTGACAGGCTGTGTCACCTTGATGGGTTTGTCTGCGATGATCACGTCTCCCTTTCGTACCAGCCAGGTAATCTGACCGACGGCCATACTGCGGCCATGTACTTGATCCTTGACGGGGCTCTTCTGGCCTTTGCCCCCGTGCCGCCACTGACTCCACACCCCAGAAGCTGCGATGCCGTAGTGTCGCGGACACTCTTTGACTGCCGTTGGCTGGCTGGCCCCGAGGCCTATTACACGTAGAACAGAGCCTTGCGTGACAGCCGTCCAACTGTTTCTATCTGTCAGCTTGTTCAGGGATCATATCAACTGTGAACTGGACATACCACTCCTCAGGTCGCGTCACCTCCATTTCGTTGGGATTATTTCGTGCCCACTCTTGTACCATCCTGAATAAATATTCACTTTGCGACAGACCACCAGACATGAAGACTTTCTGCAGAGATAGAGTTGTTAGCGTTATCCTCCATGTTATCACTCCAGAGTGCCCAACCGTGACAACCTCCCCCTTCACTGTAGCTCCCTCAACTTGCTTTGCAATGAGTCTTAGAGTCCCGTTCAAGGACTCGTCAAAGAATCCTTTCATTCTATCCCTGCTCCCAATCAGTATAAACTCTCCAAGTCAACAAGTGAGTCATCACCTACGCATCAATGGTAAGGAGGCCATTCTTGAAGCCCGGCGTTTCAGGTTTGACTTGGATCCCACTTGCCAACGTGAGGATATTGGTTTCACTCCCAGTGAACTGGTGTTTGAAGGGATCAAATCTGTTGAGAAGCGTCTTCCTCTCAGGAGTGAGTAGAAAGTGGCCTCCGGTGCCAACCTCGTCGTCGAGAATGTCAAGGTTTGTTGTGATGGACTTCAGCCAACGGATAAAAGCTCTGTCGATGAGAGTAGCTCCGCAGTAGGCACCTGGAACAAGAAACGGGTTTCAACTAATTAAGTACGATATGGATCGGGATGGAACTGGGACAGTTGACGTACCTGTGCCCGGAGCAACTCTTGATATCTCAAGAGGGTTGATCTTGTCGATTCGGTATGTGGCTAGATCCACGGTGCCACCTCCGGCGTCACAGATCACAAAGCACTCCCCCTGGACGGAAAATTAGCTGGATAGTACGACTAAGGAACAGATCAACTTACAGGGATGAGACTGTCCTCCTTATTGCGGATGAGTTGCTGCACGGTAAATAAGGCACAAGCCTCTGGCTCGGGAACAAAATAAACGTGTCGAAGAGTTGGGAACATCTGTTTATGAAAGGCGCCCATTGCGGCACGATACAGCTTGTTCAGTGGCTCGTAGCCCCATTCCTATCAAGATTCACAAATCAGTTGAATCCGAAGGCATAGACATGGCAAAACGTGGACATCTCTGTAGTGAAGAGGAGGTGACTGACAGCGGGATGGGTTAGAGCCACGTCGAGTGGGATTTGGCCCCCAATCAAAGCAGAAGACTGTCCCTTCATGTGAAGATAGTACTGTCTGGCAATCTTGAGCAAGAAATCCTTGACAATGTCCGACGGACTCTTGGTCAAGTGTGTCGGCGCCTCATGATTGATATCGGCATCTGCAACCTCGCGCAGTCGCTTGACGAGACTCAACCCCTGTACAGCTTCCAGAAGTGCCTCCAACTCGGTGGCAGGACGTCGAGTCTCGAGCTCCAGCTTGGTCCAGTGAAGCACGAGCTTGTGCCGCTCGGCGTCTTTACCTGGCTGGCGGCTCCGGTTTGTCGCCTTGGAGTAGGATATTTCTGAGGGGATCTTGGGGTTACCGCTGCCGCCACTCCATCCTGTGAAGACCTCGAGATCATTGAAGTCAGGCTCACTTAGAGTCTTCTGTTGCATGTATGACAGGCCTTTGTAGTAATCAGCGACTGAACATGTGAAGGCGCAGGACAGCCTAGCCTACCGGTGCTTGTAGTGCCATAATCGAGTCCAAGAACGACGCGATTCTCTCGCCCATTATCCCAACTCCCAGGAGCCTCGAATTCCTGATGTCTGACTCGGGGGGGCTCTATGAATATTTCATCTTCGTAGTCGATCGTATGGACGCGTCCCAATGGCGGGAACGGGGGTAATTGTGATCGATGGGCCATTCTGTATGCGATGCGGTCTACAAGATGACCCCCAAGAATAGCAGGCTGTGTATTCTCGACTGTGACCTGGAATCAGTGGTCTACTCTGGCGTTGCCGCAGGTATTGGCGGGCTTAAATCCATGTGCCCGAAGACCCAAAGGGTGTGTGGTTAGGCACACGGCTCTCGCGCACTTACCTTCACGCCACACTTCATCGGGGCCAAAGATCTGCTTATTCGAGCCTGAGAGCATGAAGTGGAGCTGACGGCGTACTCACCCATGTCCGCCCTGTGTTGCCTCGTTTTCTCTCAAACACCATGATAAAAGTGAATCCCGATACATGATCCGTTTTTACCTTGTTTTCATCGTACTCGCAGTTGTTGTGCTCATCACTTCACGGCCCGACCTTTCGTCCCAAAATGAACTGGCTGCAATCACTCGCGGGACACGGCTCAAACAAGACCGAGGAGACTGCCAAGTCGGTCAAGAAGCGTACCGCGGCCGCATTCGGCATTTCCTGGACTTAGCTGCCCGTGATGAATTGTCAAGGTCCAAACTTCAAAGATCAGGGATCGTTGGTGAGGATGAGCTAGGAGAACTGTTCGAATGGGGTAGGCAGGCCGCCACTGATATCTCCCACTTCAGGGACTCGCTGAACGAGACGATCAATGAGAGGAACTGCCGTGTTGGGGAGCTTGAAGGAGAGAAAGAGACTCTCTACCAGCAGATCACAGGTCTCTCGGATCAACTTGACAGCAGAAATGCCGAGTTGGAACAGACTACAAGAAGGCTAGAGGCCAAACAGGCAGAGATGGATCACGCTGTGCGGAAGCATTACGAGCAAGTCGACAATCTCGTTCTCGACCACTCCCGCGACCTTGACATTCTGGAGACCAGGCTGAACAATGAGAAGCGGAATCTACAGGCACAACTGCTGGTATCGGGCGACAAGAGCCAGGCCTGGCCCGATGAGAAGCTGCGAACACAGTTCCGCGAGCTTTGTCGCATCGTCGACAATGCCACGGCGACTATTGCGACAACAGTCGATATCTCCTCTCAAGTGCTGGGCAATCGTCTTGATCCGGATAACTCGCTGAGTCTGGTGAAGGGGAGGCCGCATTTCTGGCTCAGGTGGCGAGTCTGGTCAGTCCTCCAGGCGGGATTCTTTTCTCTTCCATTCGGATTTGGCGCTTTCGGGCCCGACAGGGGGGCAGCTGAGATTACAGCGTTGTGCTGCGCATGGAGGAGCAGACTTGATGGCTCGACAGACTCTGGTGAGAAACCTTTGATACGTCCATCGCTGGCAACATGAGCTAACTACTCCTTAGACCTGGATATCTTCAACAGCAACGAGGTTGCAAATCGCTGGCGTTCAATTACCTTTCAGACGCTGGCTGCTGCTGCGACGGATGGAGGCTCTGGGAGCCTTATCCAGCTGGGTCACAACAACGTTACCAATGTGACGGATCAGATCATTTCCCTACTCTCGGTCATCGCAGGCACTCAGCTACAGAGCGGACTGCAGGGCGAAATGCGCACAGCAGCAGGCCTAGCCTATGAGCTGGCGCTGCAGTTTGGCGTCAATCCTGCTAGGCTAGTGCTGCTGACCGCGGAACGCAGCCAGATGGTGGTGATCGGCGGGAGCAATGGCTTCATCGACTGCGAGGACGGAGAGGAGAGGAGGGGTCAGAAAGTCCAGGTGGTCATGGTGGCGTCTCCAGGGCTACAGCGGATTGGTGATGGGCGGTCAGAGACAACGCAGAAGCACACAGTTGTGCCGTGTGAGGTAATTACTGGGATGTAATGCGTAGTGGCAGTTTATTTTCAACCCTTTTGATTGAACCTTTCAACCTAGTTACCCCTCCGTGGCACCTCTTAGTGAGATTGAGGCTTGCTATTTCATGGTCGAGACACAATATGCACTTTGCGGCTGAGCTGCAACAAGGTCATGCTGCATAATCAGCGCGGGGATTTCAAGGCTAAGCAGCCGGTCAGGATAGAGTCTAGCAGAAAAAGCAAAGACAACCCGACAAAGTAGTCCAAAGTACCGAGAAATGTACTTGGGCAGGCGGTACCGCTAGATGTGTGCAGATTCAAAGTAGATGCAGTAATCGGGGGACCCAGAGAGGAGGCAGACAGTCTCCTTGCTCTGTCTGAGACGTGTACGTGTAGGAGCATTGGTCCTCGGAATCCCTTCATCTTTACAGCACGTTCAAGAGACATGAAGGGTCTCTGGTATGTCCCCACGCGAGGCATCAAGCCGGGTATTGGGGTTGTTGTCTGGCTTTGGCTAGTTACGACTTTGATCACCATTATCACCATCTGCTCCATTAGGAGCGTGCCCTCTTCTTGGAGAATTACGCGGTTGCTTCATGCAGGAATGGCGTTTCTTTCCTTGTAAGTCTGCCAGTGAATACGAACGCTGGATGCTTATATGATATGCCACTAGAAATTGGCTGACCCCCTTCAAGATACTTGCTCCTCCACTGCCTTGATCTCACTGTCCAGCAAGCAGGGACTGCGGTGACGTACAACTACATCGTTTTTCAGAGCCTGAATACTGTCTGGAGAACATTCTCTGATGTTTTCTTGTTATGCGGTTGCTGGTTGAACATCCTCCGACATCAGACACCAAAGGTTGCCGTCTCGAGGTGTGACATGATCATTGCTGGCACTCTCTGGGTATTGGGCTTGTATAAGCTGGGTCTTCAGTTTGCCCTATGCTTCGCCTGGCTCGATTTCGTCGACATCAAAAAAAATAGATTCCATAGCAGCAGCTCGAAGTGGGTTTGATGTTGCTTTTACAGCTCTCTACTTCGCCACCATGCTCCTGATGATGGTGGGATTGGTGCCAGAGCATGGCAAGAGGTTCCTCTCGCCGTGGGAACCTTTCAAACACGGTGATGATCCAGCCATGCAACGGTGCTTGGAACGATTCACAGAAGTATAGAATTTGCCTGTTTTCCCTGACAGATCTAGATCACCAGCTAACTCCAGTGATTCAGGAATCTCATATGGCTGGATGGGCCTCTTACTGCCTTTTGGTACGAGCATTTTGCGAAGTCGTTATTGTCGGTCAACTTGATCGGGCACCAAAAGCACTTCTGAAAATCTACAGAGCCCAAGACGTTTGCTACAGTCTGTTCAGCCTCCTTTTTGTGATTTTCACTGCGGGCTCTATCCCAAGTGGCTCCGACAACGATCCGGATCCATGGGAGTTGGAAAGTAAGATTTCTGCGCGTTTGGCAGAGGAACAGAGAAAATTAGATGAAGCCCTCCAAGTCACTCTGCAGAACTCTCTCGATGGCTGGCCTGAGGAAGCAGACAGGCTGTTCAAAGAGAAACTTGCAGCTGTGACCGAGTCTGGGACAAAATCAGCCCCTGTGGTCTCAATTGTTCTTGACACTCTCCGTGACCAGGTTCGACAAGAAGGGTCGGACGAGAGGCTGCGACAGGGAAAGCTGGACCACTTGGAAAGAATGGGGCAAGATCTCGAGGATTGGGTTCCTGTGTACAAATGGGATGGGCATTCCAGCGACGATTAGTTGAGTCGTGCACAAGATCGAGACGGAGCTGGTTTTAAGAGAATGCAAAGTAATATTCAAAGACAACAGATGCAGACTTGAATTTGATGTCATTTTATCCTTCGTAGACGCCCACATCTAGATTGCCCTCCCTGATCTAAGCATGGCGAAAGCAGTGCTCATAGCAGGTACAACATGCCGACGCGGCGGAGTGTGATAATTTGCCGGAAGCAAAAACACATACCGCACCAGAACTCTAGTCTCATCCGTGACGACATGGGTTGGCGTATTCGCTGTCGGATACTTGGCAAGCTCACAGCCCAGCATCACCCGCATCTGCTGATCGATGGCACTGTTGCTCCAGTTGTTCCCTATAGCCTGCGAATAACCCAAGGAGGTAGCCTGTTCGTCCCCACAGTAAACCCCGGGGCCAGAAGCCGCACCGTGACGCATCAGCGGCGTGTTGCTCACGTTCTTCAGGCCTGCTGATAGAATGAGGTACAGCCGGCTAATACTCGTGCCGTGAAAGACAGGTCCACTGCCAGCAGAGGCAGTGGCACCCAGATGAGTCTCAAATGCTTTCTCTCGCTCGTGGTGCGAGTTCATGAGGAGGAACTGCTGCGTCTGCGGCATACTCGGGATCGCAAACCCGCTCGGGACGCTCCGTAGAAAGCCTCTGAAGCTCAGGCACAGCCACGAGAGTAGTCTCTCCTGATCCACCGCATAACGGCTATTTTGTAGGGCTCGTGAAAGACTGGGAGCTCTAGCCAGAGTTTCCATCGAGGGCAGAGAGTTGATGACAGTCGGCAACGAGGCCTTGGCTACGGGGCAGCCTGGAAGCAAGTCTAGAGCGGATCCGTCCAGAGCGGCAGCATACACGCTTGAGATCAAGAGGTCCATCGACAGAGGGTCAACCATTAGGTTGTGAAGACGGACTTCCAAGGGTGCCTGTCGAAACCTTATCGAACATGTCTGTGAGCACGCGGCGGTTTTCCACAGTCTTACGCTAATGAGAGCGCCACAGACACCGCACGTTGTTGGCGACGTAGTAACCCATTTCTCAATGCTGTTGTGTATCGTTGCAATAGTCTGTGGGTTCTTTAGTAGTCGGTGGAGATTTCTAGAAAGACAGTACGTGAAGAGTGATGGCTTCGTTCCACAGATGGGTCGATCTGGAGTGTTGGAACTCTTCTTCCAGTACTGATGCCGATTTCCTGTAGCTTCATCGTTCGGGGCGTAATGAACACAGAAACCCCTGGAGGATGTCAGACAAACTCGAACTACAAGCAGTCGAGCACCATCTGGAACACCTCGTGCCATGCGCTGAAGCTCATTGAGTCCTGTCAGTGGGAATGACAGCTCGTACTCGTTTGGTGCGACCTCCTCGACTGCGTCAGCCAGTTCAACAGGAATGCCTTGCCCTGTAGCTCGGAAAGGTGTATCCCGGATGCCTGCCTCATGGAGCAGCCTTGAATGCCCTCTTGCATCTGTTCTCTTGAGATTCCACCGCGACGTCTCCAGCTGAGCGGCACGTTCAACAAGGGAGTCATGCTCGCCTACCAGCTGACCGAGCAGAGACAATGCGGCTTTGCGAGTAAAGGGTGGGATTGGTTTGAGGTTCTCCCTCATCATTCTGAAGACTGTTTTGTCGAAATTTGTCGGGAGTGGGCTATTTAGCCAAGCTTTGCACACTGCGGCTAGTGATAGGTTTGTCCAATGTGACTGTTCCACCGCTCTCGTCAACATCATTTGCAAGATGGCCGCACCGTGTTGAGAGAGTTCTGCCAGTGAGTGCAGCATATTTGAAACAAGCACGAGATTTCTTCCATCCGCTTTGAGTTGACATATGACTAACCGACTGATATCGGGCATATCTTTGCCCTTCTGAGCATGTTCGATCAAGGTGAGAAGTGATGCCTCCTCGCCAGTGAGAAAGATCCACTCGACATCTTCAAATCCTTTGACCAAGGTTTCGATCAACCGCAGTGCTGTGGCATACCCAGACAAAGTTCGCCACCAGGTGAGTCGCCGCCGGGTGATGCCATCTCCAGAATCTCGTAGCTGCGCTTGAGCAACCGGCGCAGTCAGCTTGGCGAGGTACTGGATAAAGCCGAGCCATTGATCCATGGTTCTCATGTGTGATTTTCCCTGGCTCGAAAAAGAGCCATTCTCTTCAATGAATGCAAAAACTAGCATCGTCCAGCAGTCGGCTGAGAGTTGGCCAAGGCTTCGGCGAAGAGAGACGTAGGATATGAGTTTGGCGCATGACCCCCAATGTTTTTCCATGAGCGTCACACGCAACTCCTTCACAAACTGATCCTTCTCGAGAATCACAGACCCAAGACAGGTCACATATGTCTTGTAATCCAGACGCTTGATACTGGCCAGAATCATCGCCAAGTCCCGCCTGTGGGCATCTGGACAGCTCTTCCAGAACTTGACTTCGAGCTGTATATCAGTGAGGTCAACATCACCCGCAGCGAACTCGGTACGACCGCCGAGGCTAGACACCAGGTATGATTTCAGCGCTGAACAATCCCTAGACTTGCTCAGGGCAGCATCCTCAAGCCGCTCGAATATGGATTGCGCCACATCAGGTTCAGGGAACCTGCGGACCATTTCCAGAAGATCCGGTGGCAAGTTTGGATGTACCGCTTTCGCAGCCAAGATCGCCTTGCCAAAGGCCAGAATGCTCATGCCGACATAGTCACCCGGGCCATTGTCGAGCTGAGCCACGAATTCGCTCTGGGCTGCCGACATGACTTGTGCAATCCTAGTAACTAGGTTCCCGATACTATCGGGAAACATTGTTGAACTAAGCAGGGGAAGAAGGCTCGAAAGTCCAATCATCTGAGTGCAAATATCCAGGTTATTGTTATGCTGCGACCGCAGGAAGTTGAGAATAGTCCGGTGAGACTCGTCAGAGCCACCTTGATCGAGGGCATGTTTGAGGAAATCGAACGAGGACTGAGTTTCCGGGTTCTCAATCAAGAGATAGATGAACAGGTCGACAGTGTTAGTCCCAACACGTTCTGAGCCTGACAAAAGGACCAACATCTGTTCAAGAGTGCCTGTTGTCTGCGGCTCAACCTGAGTTCGTGAGAAGGAAGTTGGGTCTGACAGCCGCAAGCATGATTCTCGACACGTTGCGGTGTCGGGTCCATCGAGGCTGATGAGTGTCGATAACTGACGTCTCTGTGCATCTGAGAGACAACCTGACTCCCACTGGAGGAGTCTCTCTGTGTTTGGAGCCCAGCACAGGCAAGCCTGCCAGAAGGGCCCATTCCAGCCGCTGCGCATGTCCGGGCCACCGGGCAAGCTACAGATGATTTCGATGCATCGTACAAGCCGGAAAGCGGTGTGCAGTCTTTGTTGTTCCCAGTGGATGACGACTTCAGCATCCAGACGGTCTATGATGCCGTTCTTGCTTAGCCAGTCTTGTATCAGTTCGTCCGGGAGGAATATGGACGGACGACAAGTGGTGAAGGCGTTGATGAAGTTTTCGATATGCTCAATGCCGAGGTCAGACTGGGGTTGCAAGCGCTGGATTTGTTGGATCGCCCTCGCTTCATCTTCGCGGATGAGGCCTGCCCTAAATTTACCGGCGACAGCGAGACACCGCAAATACATCGCAGAGTCGAGATGGATGAGAGATGCCAACTGACTTGAAGCCTCCGATGCTGACAAGAAGCCAGTACAAGCCAGCGTTGCCACGGCGCTGTCCAAATCTCGGCCCCAGTCAGCCATGAGATCCAGCAGAATAGTATCACGGTCGCTGCCTTGTCCGGCATGGTATCCCTCCCAGCTGTTCAAATACCCCCTCGTCGCACTCGCAAGCTGGTCGACATCACGCTGCCGCAGGAACCCCTGTTCATTGGCGACAAAGCTGGACAGCGAGGAGGCGATGATTTGGTCCCGCCAACATCGTCGATCAGCAGTAGGTGTGAGCGGTCTGGGGGGCGCTTCGGGGACGTCGCAAGGGGTTGGAGGTCGTGGCAGCTCTAGTTCTACAATTTGCGGTGCTTCAGGGAGTTCGTAATAGAGAGGTATTCGCGGCAGCTCTGGCTCTCCGGTCCTGGTTAACGGTGCCGCGGGAAGCTCCCAGCAGGCTTGGATTGGTAGTGCTTCAATGGCAACGTCGAGTTCGGGCTGTTCTTGGGGGTCTGGTGCACGTTTGGGCCTGCGAAGAGACTTGATCATCCGTCGCATCTTGGGTATTATGTATAGGGAGATCTAGGTAGATTGAAGAGGTCGGGGCAAGGCGGCCCGTAACAACAACGACAAGAATGAATGCTAGGTCTCGCCGGCCACTAGAGCCAAGCCCAGCAGGACCTAGCAATGCGCTGCTAATGATCGGATTGTAATTTCCATTCCCTGTTCTCCCGACTCCTCGTTTAATCGTTATTCCTATATCCCGTAGTAGTGTAGTGTAGATCGAGGCTCCGGGCTTAGGTACCAGTACTCGCCAGTGACAGCCACATATGCAAGTCCAACACCCCTCAATAAGTCCAGCAAAGCAGGGCGTATGGCGTTCTGCATTAGTTCAGAGAAGAGAAAGAGGCAGTGCCTGCACTCCCAGGTGTTCCTCTTTCCTTGGTCTTATCAGTTGCCACCGCAGTTGCCGAAATGTCCACCGAGCCGAGCATCATTGACCTCCTGTATGACATGCTGGATCAACAACCAGGGAATGTCTATATTCTCGAAAGAATCATTGAAGCATGGGAGTCCAAGAATGAAAAAGGTACGATGAACTGAATATTGGAGGGAACGAGAATAACTCGTCTCTGCCCGCCTTGGTGCATCCATATTAAGCCGTGGGCCAATGCAGATCTTGCCTGTGAAACAGCTAGCCACCTTCTCCAACTAGATCCTGACAATGCCGTGGCTCTCCTCTGCCTTCAAGCTGGACGAGATGCAATCAGAGCCGCATCCAGCAGTAGCAGTAGTAATGGGGTTCAGCGACGTAAACAGGCACAGCCTCGGAAAACATCGACAACAGCCAGCACCGGCAGAAACTCGGATCTTCTAGGCGACTATAAGCAGCTGATGCTTGAGGCGGAATATCTCAAGCACGAACTCTCTGGCATCATGCAACTTTCTGGGTTGCAGAGCGTCGAGGAATGTCAAGAAGCCATGACCAACCTTGGACACATTAGCCGTGGTGAGATCAGCAAGGCCATCCATTCTCTGCAACCTGTATCGGTGAGAGAATCAGCAAGAAACATTGCGGCAAATCGCGACAAGGCCCAGGAGCTTTTGGTCCAAGACTTTGAGGCCGTGATTGCATGGGCCTCGCAGGAGACCTCGGCCAGCCTTGAATCCATTCGGGACAGACTGGTAAAGCGCAAAACTCTCTTGGATGCAGCCCTACCCGAGAACATGGCAAGATACATCGCTGATGCTCTCGCCTTGGTGGAGCGGAAGCACCTGAAGAAGAAGTACGTCAACTCGGAAACCATGCTCGGGGACAAGGTCGAAGAAATTCCCGCCGAGAACTTCTTCGTATCCGAGGACAATTACGTCTGGGACATGGACGAACTGGCGCAGGCGCTAGCAGTCAACGACGGGGTCATGAGGAACCCATTGAGTAAGGAAATGTTTACTGAAGCCGACATCCGCAACATTCTCTCGCATCGGCTCGGTGTCCGACTCAAGCCCATACAGCTGGCCCAGAGTCAACTGAAGCAAGGAGTGCGAGCGGAGACGATCCGTCGAGTCGAGACGCTTGGGAGCATACTCTTGGCTGATCAGACCGAGAACGCTGCGCCGAGTCGGTCGGCAACAGATGAGTTTTTGGCCTACATGGCCACGCTCCCGGAGAGTGAGCAAAACACTATCAATTCCCTCAAGATCCCAGCGAGGGATAAGCTCAATGGCCAACCGTATGACTACACTATAGGACAGTCAGTCAAGGATGCCAAATCCAACCTTACCTGTTTCCACAAGGTATGCTGCCCGTTGAGAATAGTAAAGATATCTTACGCTAATTTGCTGGGCTAGGTTGGGGACTTTCTTTCCCAAGCGGCACAGACTCTGAGGGATTAGTGGTGATAGTTACTTGAAGGATTATTCGTCTGCGTACTTTCTACCTCTTTGCTAGTGTAATCTCAGTATTTGCGACTCAATACATCCCGAATTGATCATCTCCCCATCCATAATACCTGAGATAAACACTCTCCGATAAGCTGATACATACCCTCCCTTTCAGTGGATTTGCGGATAAGAAAAGGAATCGAACCCCCAGCGAATACCACTACTATATCGCCCTCTTGAGCATTGCTAGGCACAATTCCACAATCGGGCGATTCAGTGGTGGCAAATCTCCAGCCTTTGATACCACCACCGAGTAACAACTCGTAACTTTTGCTCTTGTTCATCAAACCCATCTCCTGCGACTCTGCGTTGGACACCGACTCGGAAGCCATGGCTGAGCTGCGTTTCTTCTGATACTTTTTGGTGTATTTCTCCTTCTTCAAAATCTTTCGGAATGCTTGGTAGGACTGGGGAAGGTCGAGCCCTCCTGGGACGGCGACCTGAGGATGCTTGGCGTTGGCGATAGGAACTTCTCGCTTCAAGTCTTGGCGTTTTTGTGCGGAGAATAACGGGCTCTGTTGATCAACCATGGCATCGACTTCAGTGAAGTACCGACTCCATGATCTTGGTTCGTTGGAAGCTTTGCTGATGCACTTGATGGTGCTGACAATGTACCCTTCAACTTCAAGCTCCTTAAGCATTGCGGTAGTGCTGTCGGCTTCTAGACATGTAATCCGTGCCTCCGTATTACCACAAGCGTTAAAGAAGACTCCTTTGTTGCGGGATGTACTCAGACTTGGCGGCTTTGGGACTGTCCAGTCTGGGACCCAAGACGGGAACCGGTGTGGTTGTGAGCTTATTCCAGCACCATGAAGGAGCTGCATCCCCATTCCTTGACCGACAAGCGCACGTGCAAAGGAACACACCACGACCTCAAGAGGGCATTGGTAGTCTGGTGTGAAGCCTGGCAGGTTTCCATCAGAGGAAATGCCAAGGAGTGAGAAGAATCGATCTCGAGTCAACGACGACTTGACGTCGCGGAAGGTCTCTAGTAACAGCAGTACAGACCAACGTGTTTCACGAACCTCCCAGATTCGTAGCCATGAGAGTGTTTGAAACGGACGCCATGCGGTTGCCACAGTTGTTGGAAGCTGCTGATGTTGGTCGAGAGTTCGCATGACAGCGAAGAGATCTTCCCAGCTAATTGTAGAATTACCGCAGACTAGCACAACTTCTGGAGAAGCCACCGCTTCTTGAACGATCCAGGCTCTTCGGAACCACCAGTTGTTGAAAAGTTCGGCGATCAAGGCCCATTTTGGTTCCCAATCCTCGGGCAATAATTCTGCCGATTCGGGATCTTCAACATGGGTATCCCTCAAGTTTTTCAATGCCTCCACGGCAGAGCCCATCTTGGTGTCGTAGCCCAGCATTGCGGCAGTAACCGAGGCATTCTGGAAGATGTGCGGCAGGAGCCCAACCTGGCGGGATTTCTCATCGTTGTCATTCTGGTTGATACAAATGCCATCCGCCCAAAGTACAGTGACTCCAGTAGACTTCCTCAGACGAACAAGAGCTCGATACAGAGAGTCGTGGATATGCAAAGTACCATCAGGGGTAAGCAACTTGTACCTAACCGTTTGTTCTCCCCACACGTACGAGATTGCAGCATAACTTCCCGCTTGTTCGAAGGGCGTAGAGTAGAGCACGCCTCGTAGGGGATCCTTAGGTCGTCCAGGAAAGAGCACCAATAGCCGCATTTCGTCCTTGTTTAGGCGCTTGTACGAGTATTTGCCCTTTGTATCCCAGGACATGGCCTTGATTGGGTTAGACGCAGGGCTAGGCTGAATCGTGCTTCCGTAGTCTGCAGGGCCGTACACAGGGACTGAGTATTGTTGCGGGATCGCATCCATGTATGGGTAATAGTATGAGAACCCAGTTTGGTAAGCGTATTGAGGGTTCCAAGCTGTTTGGAACTGGCTGTAGTCGCTCGGAAAAGAAGCTTGTGTCGTCCATCGACCGCTGGGACCCGCGTTACTTTCACTTAACAAGCGCAGCGCCCCAGAGTCGGGGCCAGCTTCCTGCAGAGTGGCAGACACCACGAAATCCTTATTGAATCGGATGCGTCCTGAAGTGACGAGGTCCCATGGATTGACAAAGAATTGAAACTCAGGTTGGGTGTAGATGTTCAAGACCCTGATCAGGACCATCACGTCATGCACCTCGGCATAAGGGTCGGTTGGAAGCCGAAGATCTAGAAACTGCAACATGGTTAGTTGAATAGACACAATTAATTGAAAGACAAACAGGTGAGTTTTACCCTTGTCAGCTGTGTAGACGTCCATTCAAACGAGTCGTTGAGGCCACCAGCCGAGATGGCAAGCTCAAAGTGAAATGTGGGCCTCCAATCGTGCCATTGTGCAATGTTGGGGGTACCGTTTTCCATGAGGAAATCCGTGACGCGATCAGACAGACCCGAGCCACTCAGTGTGAATGGTGACGCGTTTTGGTGATCTGCAGTAGCGTTTGGTTCCCGGAGCGGGCTTGTCCAGTGCTTAAACGGATTATAAGCTCGGCCCAGGTTCTTCTCAAAAAGCTGCGATATCTGACAGGACAATAGGGTCAGAAATCAGGATTCTTCTCCCACTTCGAGTAACCAACATACCATGCGTTCGCAGTGATGTCTAGGGCTCCCGACTGCTGTCTCCCCTTCCTCCTCTTCCTCCTCCTCCGTCATGTGATCATCAGCAGAGCACAGAATTGGAAGTCTTCTGTCTTCATCGTTGCTCGACCAAGTAAGCACGTCATCCCGTCCACCCCTTTTTGATGACCTTTCAAGGTGGATCCCAAAGTACGGCTCTGAGTTGTCATAGTCATTTGAGTTGGAACCGTTGTTGAAAGGGCAAGGGATCGAGTCCAAACTGCTGTGGTAGCGTTTGATTGAGGGCAACTGCTTGGTGGCATCTAGATCGCGGGGTCAGCAAATGGAGACAGTTTTCAAGAGGTTTTCCTACCACAGATGTCAAATCCTTGCCTTGCAAATGCTTTTTGAATCTTGCTATACACTTTTTCGTTGAACAGCGTGTAGAGCAGCACCAAGTGAGCGGGGTCGTCGATTTTGAAATGGTCGGACAGCATCTCAACAATTTCAGTGACGGGTAATTTTGACATGTTGCATTCTTCGGCGATGAACACCTGAAAAATGTTCCCACTCGCTGAACATGCTACAGGGCTGCGTTCACGCCGGCCAATAACCTGATTAGCTCCAGATTTCAGAGTATGCGTCAAGAATACCTCAGCAGAGGTGCTGACTCGCACGTGCTGAATCTCCCGAAACAACTGCTCATGTTTGGAGTGTGTCTTGGGAATAAGCCTGATTATGAATTTAGCCAAGATCAGCGAAGAATAATGTGTTACCATACGTACACTTCAATGAAGTGTGACCTCATGGCAAAGTCTCTGGTGCGTGAATGGTCGAACTTCAACTCTCCGCTTGGGAGACTCTCTGACTTGACAGCGACGGACAGTTTCCTTGAATTCAAACTCAAGGCCTGGATGAGCTCTTCTATAGCTTCCAATTCCTTGGGGGTGAAGGCCAAGAGGTTCACGATCCCGAGGAAGGCCCGTCGTAAGTGAACTCGGTCAGCAATGAACCATTTTTTGCTCTCTAGCGACATGAGCCTAGGCTTTGTTCCCTTCCCCATCTCAACGGGAAAGATGGGTTTGGAAAACAGGGACTTGAGGGTGCGTGAGGCTCTCTTTCTGCTGATTACGGGGAGGATTTTGCTGATGTCGGTAAAAATCTCCAAGATGTCCTGGGTATCAGTTGCCGGTGTGATTCCGGCCGCTTCCTGCACCAGCTCAGCGAGGGTGAGGCCGCCAGTAGCCAAGAGACATTGAAAGAGGTTGCTACTTCGAGGATACTGGGCTGCGGGGTCGATCTTCAGCCTCCTGCATGTTTCGATGTCCACCCAGCGATAGCGGTTCGAGTCGCTTTCAAAGGACTTTGACTGGGCATATATGAAGTTACTCTGGCCGAAGTAGTCCCTAGAAAGACAAATCATGAGTAATCCTTCTGAAATCAAGGAGTCGAGGTACTGACTCTACAGTCTCTTCATTCTCGTCATAGCGAGACTGTATCTGCTCGTAAACGTAGGCGACCGTCTCGGCGTCCGGGGATGATTGCCGCCTCAAGTAGATCAAGCATGCAAGGTAGTAGTGGATTGTGTTGTCAGTGATTACCTCAAACAAACCCAACCTCTGTCGCATCGCTTTGACACTTTTTTTGTCTCCCAACTCCCCATTCCTAAACCTCAGGTCAAGGACGGGCAACATAGTGTCTTCGATTAACGGATCGAGTCCAGGTGCGAAGGTATCGCAGAGACGCAATGCACCCTGCGAGGTTTTGACTACTGAGTGGCTGATCTCAGCTACAAGGCGCGTTCTATACATGGCTGCATTTCCCTTCTCTGTTTCGTCAGACATCTCAAGCCACTTGGAGTAGGAGGGCCAATGCGCAAGCAGCACGTGAAGGACGTCGGCAACAGGACATTCCCACAGGAGGAACCTAAAGTCGTCGGAGAGTTCAAACTCGTTGGTTGAAGACTTAATCTTTACCAGGCGAGGTATGCGGGAAACTTGAAGGGTTGTGGTGAGATACTTTGTGAAACGGTGTTGGGACGCTGTTTCGGAAAACACACTCTCGATAAGCTGGTCCGGGATGGAAGTGATGGGAGTGATTGGAGTGATGAGGCGTGTTCGTCGGGGGAGGAAGAGGCTGTTTGTATCTCCAAGCCCACTGTCTGGTCCAAAAAGCGAGAAGGTGGTAGAAAAGTCCAGAGGGTTGTATTGGAAGACATCCATCTTTTCAGTTCCGTCAAGCATCCGTCTTCTTGAGTCGGTCCATTGTTCTTTGGAGTAGCGAAATCTTTCAACTGCAGCTGCCCATCGGCGGGATGGCTTGAACCCAATGTCTCGACCACCTTTAAGCGGATCCTCAGGTCCACTGTCTGATTCAGAATGCCAAAGTGCACTGAAATAGTCCGGGTGAATGCAAGGGAAGGTCTCCACTAGTCGGTCAACGACTCTATCTGAAGCATGAGTGGTTCTGGCTCCAGGTTTTGGCCCCAGGTATAGCTCGGACCCGATGCATCGACCGCCATTATTGGTAGCGAACCACAAGTCTAGATCTTTCCCCGCCGGCGCCCAGTTTGACTCATAGAGAATCCTGAAATGCCCAACCAGCTGAGATACTGTCCAATCATGGGGTTTAAACGACTTTGAGCGATGCTGATCGTATATCCACTCGCAGAGACGAGTTCCGTCGATGGACATGATGCCAAGAGCCCGGAACAGACTCATTCTCGCCTGATCTGCCGCGGCCTCGGGATCTACAGTTGGAATTGAATCGTCGATGGAGGGGCCAGCGAGCTCGAACTTCTTTGACATGAGCATCGGTGCTGGCTTTTGTGATGCTGAAATCCACCGGCCGCTTGAAAGTGGTATAATCCGGAGCTTCTGTAGCCTCTGCTTGTACAGGGGGTTCATGATCAAGGACAACAGGGCCTTGGCTAGCGCCGAGTGCCATTTTGGTGATTGAGAGGAAATTTCGGCCGCAATCCCAATCTTGGAGGACAAGTGGTCCAGAAAAGCGTCTTCCGACAATGAGGCGGCACCCAGTGCCTTGATCGAATCGATTGCCCACAGTGGGTAGTTGGTAGATAGATAGCGACCCGATACCATTTCATGCCAAGTGAGAGGAATGCCGTCTTCCTCGACAAATTTTCCGGGGTCGACGTAAAACAGGTCGGATGGCTTCGTGTTCGTTTTCGCCATAGATTCCAACACACACTTGGCCTTTAGCTCATTCACGGCCGAAGTCACGGCTGGTTCAAAGAAGGCTGAGACCTTGTCGTTTGAGTTGATGAAGAATGGCCAGCAGTACCGCATCGAGCTCTCGTTCAGTCTTTCAATGGATCCCAAGAGAGCCTCTGTCACACCGTCCCGGAGAGCTCAGTTCCACAGCAATGAGGTGTCGATGTGAAGGCGACTTGCCGTGAGAAGAAAATCCCCTTGCAAAAGGAACTGCCTTCATGTCAGTACATACCTCTAGATCAAGTTGGCAAGCATACCTTGAGGCCGTGTGTATTACCAATAGGTAAACCGGCGTAGACCATCTGGGGGTCATCGTGAGGCTCCTCGTCGCGGTCCAAGAACGGAAATGCCAACACAAGGTCTGAATCAGTGCAACCAGGACGTTTGGTCTCTTCTGGAAGATTGGTCACTTGATGCTTGTACATTAGATACTTCAATCTGATGTTTCCTGACTCCAGGTAGGAAACGGCATTCCCGTCCTCAGTTGTGTCAGTCCTGTGAATACTCTTCGTCCATACCTTTCCATCTGACGATGTTACTTCAAGCTCAACATGCCTCAGCCGCCTCAAAAATAGGATATGGGTAGCTTCAAAGTTCAACAGCATCTGCACAAGTTCCTTCTCGTCGAATTGAGGGGAAAGCTGGAAGAAGAAGGAAGTGTAACCCTCCTGTATCGGCTCAGGGAATTCGGCCCAAAGAGGGGCGACGAGGCCGAATCTCCGGTGTTTGTCAAACTTAAAGCTGTACGCGCCTGATGATATCCAAACAACATCGGCTGCCCTAAAGACGCTCTTGAAGCCAATGCCCTTTTCTCCAGTGTAGCCCCTTCTGCCAGCCTTCGTGCTCTGGCGGATGGTGCAGATGGCCTCAACATTGCTAGCATCGAAACCCCGCTCATTGCAGTCGACACGGAGACTTCCTGGCTTGTAGACAAACCTCATTGTAGGCGTCTCGCAGTCGTACTTGTTGTCATCGGCATTTTGCAACAGCTCCTGGATGAAATGGGTTGAGGTGTCGTACAGTTCGCAAGAAAGGCTAAGAAGTGTCAGCCAGAATCAGGCACATGGTAGGCTCGTGATGACATGCATCTCAAGAATATTTTTGATGACGTCGGCGATTTTGTCGTGGCCCTCTAGCCTATACTCCTCATGGAGACGCTCAATTTGAGCTTTAGCCAGGGAGATGTTCGACATGATGCAGTTATAAGCTGAAAAAAAAGAAGAAGAAGAAAATGCGCGTTAGAGGGCGGAACTTTGTCTAAATAGGTATGCCCAGACTTGTTATTTAGGCATCACTGTTTTTTTTTTGTTTGTTTTTTTTTTTTGTTTTTTTTTAAGGGGAGTTGCATGTCTGAGCCACGACGCATATCAGCTCTTAGAACCAACCTGCAGAGCGCGTTGAGAGACGATTGGCGGCGAGCATTCTGCCTTGCGGCTGAAAGGCGGCGCAGCAAACGCCACGTTGTAGGGGTCCGGGTGGGATAATAATTGTGAACATAAGGCTACCTTATGAAAAAGGAAGAAGAAAAGAAGAAATTGACAGCGGTCTTCTAGCTCAGTTGTCCCATCCAGGGCTAGGTTTTAACTATAACTTAGAACATTTTCACAATTGAAAGCTAAGGAACTGTCTACATCAAACCAGTCCAGGAAATTCGTTTCCCAGACTTGAAGACTTGTCAGCCGACACGCCGTTGACCTCAGGCCTTGGACCATGGTTGATAACGGGGGGTATGTCAACATCATCAAGATACTGAGTCGTCTTCTCCCTCTTCTCCTGTGCAACAGTGAGACCATTTCCAAACCAATTGAACCTGTTCTGTTCCACCTCTAGCATTCAGACATAACGGAAGTCCTCAAAGCGTGGGTTCTCCATGGCCTGTTGAGCGTGGACCGACGATCCTGGCCAGATGCCAACAATTCGCCCGGTTTCGCTGTTTCTCTTGAACCAAGACTTGCACTGCTCAAAAAGTCTCGTTAGCAAGAATCAATTATGATGTGAACCTATATGGGTTGACTTGCCGGGTAGGTGAATATGGTTTTCTCAAAGTACTTGTCGGCCTGTTTGCAAAAGTCGACATGGGCATCCATACTACTGGGATTAGCAACCAGCTTAGAGGATCGATGCTTCGACTCACGTAGGCTCAAGTGACGATATATACTCTCTCTGCAGCTTCTTGACACACTTGATGATGTATTCAACCACAAACTCAAGCATGGTGATGAAGCTTCCAGAGCCGGGTGCGCCGGCTGGCCCAAGATACATGAAGAAGTTGGGGATGTTGGGCACAGTCACTCCCATGTATGCTTCAGGGCATGGATCCCACATCTTTCCGAGGGTGATTCCGCTACGGCCTGTGATGGGCGTATCTTCGGTGCTCCAGGAACTATTCACGGTCAGTTACTGCAAGACATGTGACGCAAACAAACCCACTAATCAAACCCAGTCGCGCAGATGATGACGTCGACCTCGTGGAATCCACCGTTGGTATCGAAAAGGCCATTCTCGGTCACTTCCTTGATACCAGCTCCTATGAAGGCGACGTTGTCTTCAACCAAAGCCTCCAGATATCCGGGGCCTGGAGTCAGTCTGCGGCAGCCTGGAGGGAAATTGGGGATGAGAGACTTGTAGATCTCGGGCTTCTTCTCCAGCTTTCGTCGCATAAAGGCGTCCGATTCTTCCCAGAACTGTTTTTGGACATCAGAGCCGAGAAATGTAGATAGTTGGCCCTTGTTCATGACACCCTCGACCATGTGGCGATACTCCATGTATGTCTGTGGGTTGTTGGCAAAATCCATTCGTTCCGCGGCGGTGTAATCTGTTTTGCGTCAGATTAGACAACATATTCCCGCAGGAAAAGATCATACGCATACCTCTGTTGGCGCCTCCGCCGACTTCCGCCGCGTATCCAACAGGGCTGATCCAGGTCTTGCCTCGCATGTAGTGGAAGATGTGCTTCGCCTTGGACTGAATGTGAGGCAGCACTTGGATTCCGCTCGATCCAGCACCAATCAGGGCCACTCTCTTATCAGCCCAGTCAAACTTAGGGTCCCAGCCTGCTGTGTGCATGAGGGACCCTTTGAAGGATTGCAAGCCCTTGATCTCGGGCCACTTCCACTTGTTGAGGATGCCAGTTCCTTTAATAAGGATATCTGCGGTGTCTGTCAAGGTCTGGAAGTTTGTTAGAGAATTTGGTTACGTAGATAGTGGGATAGCACACTGACAGTGTTGTTCCTGAGATCCTTGACCGTGACAGTCCACTTCTGTGTGGTTTCATCCCAATCGGCCTTCTCGAAGTGGTGCTGCAGACGAACATACTTCTCAACATTGTAACGCCAGGCAACATCTTTCAGATACTGTTGAATCTCTGCACCACCAGCATAGAACTTTGACCAGTTGGGGTTGCCAGCAAACGAGTACTGATAGACATGGGATGGAACATCTGGATCACGAGGTCAACAGAGTACTACGGCCATCCAGCGCACGATTTCTTACCACATCCAACACCAGCATATCTTCAGACTGTTAGTTGGTTCAACAAGTGACACTGCAACGGGATACGCACGTGTTCTCATACCAGGTCCCCCCGATATCGTCGTTCTTTTCGTAAATGGTTAACTCGAGGTTAGAAATTCGTTGCGGGAACCTAATTGCTGTCAAAATTCCCGAGAAGCCAGCGCCGATACATATGACTTTGATTGGTCGTGGCTGGTCAATGGCCTGATCTTTTAGGGGGTTGTGAAAGGACATGGTTGCCGTCGTGGCTGAGATGAGCTTGTGTTGACGGAATTGAATGCACGATGGTCTGTATCCTCAATCACAGCTTTTATAAAGGTTTAGAGGCTCTCAGCATGTCACATTAGTCTTATTCTAGTCCTCGTCTCCGATAGCCATCCCACCTTGAGCCGTTGCCGAAATGGAACACTTCGCGGCGCCATATGGCAACGTGCGGCAGAAAGACGGACAGGAGAATGCACCAAATCACATCGGGGCCTAACAAAAGGAACCCTTCGGGCCAACATATGTGGGGTCCGTCTCTGACTGACCAAGAAAGGCAAGTCCCGCTGCCTTATCTTACTGCTTGACTACTCTTCAGCGTGGAAATGGGAGTCACATGCACGCGCCATCTTAGACCAAGAACCCCTTTCCCTTCCCGGCTCATTGAAGGTGACTCTACTCGTTTATCATGGTTCAGCGCATTAACGATTACGATCTGATTGGCTGATACCGCAGTTAGTTGCACACGCTGCTACTATGTTCAAAACTGGCAGTCACCCCGAGTTAGATAGAAATAAGAGAAACCCGAGTTTGATCGACTGCTATATCCATAATTATCGTGGCAAATCCTTTGCCAAGGCTCAACCAATACGTAGTTTCATATTATCCTGAATCAGAAGCTCCGGCCAAGTTACACCACCCCCCTCCATCCTCAATTGCCAAAGTCTATCCAACAAATTCGCTGCTACTAGATTTGCCGGGATCCTACTGCAGCTATACAGGGCAAGTAACCTAGACTTGCTCTCGCTTCGGAGATGACTGTCCTCTGCCGTCAACTCTGCTCCGGCTGTCAACAGGGGTATGGGTTGAAGAGCTAGGTAGGTTGAGGTTAGAGGTATGGCAGAAAGGGAAGTCATGATGTCAACTGCATATTGTTGGGTCAATTGATCGATACTTCGATCTACGCCATGTTCTTCGGTATCGGTCCAGTCTTCCCATAGGGCCAAATTTTGCGGATAGCAGAAGCGGCAAAGCATGATCAAGCCGTGCTTACGAAAGGCTTCAGCTGTTTGAACCCACATAGTGGGAGGGTCGGGGTCGGGAAATTCCCAGGCTAAGAGCTTCACCTCGAGGATGATCTCGAGGTCAGAGTCTCGAATACCACCCGATATGACATGGCGAATGTATCTCCCCAACGTGCAGAGGATGTAGAACAGTCCAGTGCAAGGCCCGGTAGTAGGGTGTGAGAACCCAGCCATCTCCTCGGCAATGAAGGTGTAGAGAGGCCCCTCAAAATTGTGTATGGGACTGCTGGAGGTTTGGCTCAAGAACGCACAAGACATGTCCCAGTAGACAAAGGTGCCGACGACCAGACGAGTCAGCGGATGCTTGAGAGACGCTTCTTCGGCTAGTATGAGATTGATGACTGTTCTGGCCGCCTCTAAATGTTCATAGCCAAAGTCTTGTAACTTGTGGTCGAGGAAGGATGATGATATGCCGAGCAGGTAGATGGAGAGGAAAAGAGTGTGGGATTGTTGAGAGCCCATAGTCAGTTCTCCTCGGAGAGCCTCAATGCCCTTTATCCTTTGCTCAAGACTATCGTGGACTTGGCCTGGATGGAAGAAGTGCTGGTGCGCTGAGCTGATGCTCTTGATGATGTACAACATGGAGTGGCTGGTGGACAGATGCTCGACGATGGGATAAGCAAACGGGTTCTCATCATCGCAGGCCACCAATATTCGGCTCGTCTTTTCTAGCCAGTACTGCAACAACTGACTGTCGCTTTGGCTGTGTAAGAGAGATGAGACATGATGGCCCGAAGTGAGAGTCAGAGCAGGGAGATGGATCTGCCACTGCTGTTCCCTCGCAGCAGCGTGGCACACAATGCCTTTGCGCGAGCAACGGAGGCAGACTGGGTATGTCTCGTCGCACCTCGAACGGCTTTGCCTACACTCGCGGCATGGGTATCGACATCTGTAGAACCGTCGCGGTGGGGCCTGTTTCCTCGGCTTGAGTTCCTCCTGGGGAAGTTGTTTGGGAGTGAATTTGTCAGGGGCAAAGCGGACCCTGAACCTAGCCATTGTCGTTCGATGACTTCTAATTCTGGGGAAAGATAGTCTGAGGCCGTAAAAACTGAGCAATGTTGCAATAAGGCCTGGTCATCGATGCTTGCAAACTGCCATGGATGAGCCCCTCCATGCTGAGCCCCGATGCCGGCCGGCGTCAATCAACGCTATCCGCGACCCCGCATCTGCACGACTCAAAGAACCAGACACTTGCCTATTCAGGCTTCTACGCGACGGCTTCTTATCAGTCTAGCCAGGTGATTCATATGTATGACCAACCTTGCGATCTATCGATACCCCGCATTCGAAGCTGTTGCTGCACGTCATAGCATGGCAGATAAAGGGGACTAGCTGCGAAGGAACCTTTTCAGGAAGCTTTCTCATAGACACCATATCCGGAGGATGGCAATACGGCCTCACATGGACCGTAGGCGGGGGTATTTCAAGGGTTGAGGCACCTGTAGAGCATCATGATTATCGCGTGATTGAGAACGACAGCAAGCCAGCACAATCCACCATGGCCTCTACAGGCATGACTGCCATTGCTCCACCGGAGCAGTACGTCTTACCGGCTACCAAATACTGTCCTAATAACAAGATGCCGGTGCTGATTTACAGGAACGTGCTTCCCAGACCGCGGACAGAGAAATCCGCGCAGGAGTGGATTGAGAAGAACGGCTGGCTCAGAGCTGTAAGTGGATTGACCAACAGTTTGGGTAGCAGACTGTTTCTAATCCTCTCTTTAGGGCATTGTGTGGCCAGCCGTTTACAGGCGTCACTTCCACCCCAACGTACATGAGTGCTACGGTATGTAACGACCCTAGCGGAGGTGTGTATTGGCCGCGACTTGACGTTTTCTCATAGCCATCTTATCTGGGTCGTCTGAAGTGCTCATGGGAGTTGGAAAGCTCGATGAGGCGGAAACACCTGAGTCAGAAGCATCGAGTCAATTGGGGCTCCTCTTGACGCTCAGAGAAGGCGATGTCATCGTTCACCCCGCCGGAACGGGTCATTCCAACGTCTCCGACGAGGGTCGCTACAGATACTTGTCCTTCTTTCCCGAGGTTCGTGTTCTATCATTGATGCCCATTGCTGGAGCTGACGGCGAGAAAGGGTTCGCCAAAGTGGATGTCCGAGAACGGAGATAAGCCTCTGAGGGATAATGAAGACATGTGGCAGCTGATCAAAAACGTCCCCATGCCCCAAGACCCAGTAACTGGAGGCGAAGGACATCTGACACAAGCATGGAGGACTGGTTCGGTTGAAAACGCGGTAGTTTAGTTGCTTGCGTCAGGGTGCATACAATCTGGGGTAGCCGGGCAGCCTAGAACTCATAGGTTCATCGAATCCTTCAAGCCAAGTTGTGTATTGCACGAATGCGAGAGACGGTGAATGACATTACTAGCCCAAAAAGGACTCACAAAGATGATCTATGCTAGATCGAGATCACCAGTGGCTTGCAGCCCCTGGCCAAGCAGAACCAAGTCGGATCTGTCGCGTGATGATGTTTTTTCTCCAAATATTCTTGGTATCCAAGATGATCTGTCGGTTACATGTGCCTCACCATCTGATTCGCGCTTTGGTGTCCCCCTCAGTTACCCGATTCAGCGCCGAAACGAGGGGCTAGCCAGCTGGTGCCACGCAACTGCTTTGACAAGACAGGGCTAGACATTTCATGGACAGGATTTGATGGACCGGTCAGTAAGTGCATGACGCTCTGTCCGTGTTTGAAGAGACAGCCAAAAATGGATAAACAGCGTCTAAGGCCTAGTTTGACATGCGTGTTTCTCCATTTTTACCGCACGCAAGGTGCCAGGCACACAACCTCGTCAGGTCAAAGAATCCAACAACGGCGTTCCTCTTCACCGGCCTCAGTCGACCTTAGCAACATCATGATCGGGCGGTTTCCATTCATTCCTTTTCGTTCGCCCTGGCCGAACCAGCAAAAGCATCAGCCCGTGAGCAAACCAGTCGATATATCCTCCAAACTTGCCACCGAAGCTGTGTGTTCGATGTCAGAAATTCTTCATTCCGATGTGATTACAGTAGGTGTGAGCATAGCCAGCCATATTCAATTCACCAGCTCTCTCATCTAGCTCTTAAAGTCCAATGCACTGATATTACTAGCGACGTCGGCGAGACGTGGTACTGGATCACCTACCCGGGCGCCAGAAGCGACCCAGAGGTCAAGGTTAAACAGGAGTAGAGCAAGATTTGTGATCAGCTCGTGGAGGGTTCTTTATTTAAAACAACAGCGAGTTGGATTTTTGGATTCAAAGTAGCCAGTCGAAAGTCAAGTACCAAGTTCTAGTTGGGAGGTCTCAGAGGCATGCACAGCTCCGGCCACGTGTATGGTCACGTGAAATCAGATAAGCCGTGTGAGTTGTATTACATAAGCAGAGTAACCTTCATGCTCTTAAGCTCGTACAGCCAAAAGCCATCTCGTGATAGCCTCATCAACGCGCGCCAGTTATGGCACCAGCTACGGCGCCACTTCCAGCATCAATTACAGCGCCAATCGCGGTGCAAACTAGGCCTCAGCGACGTGATATGAAGTTCTTATTTTAGAGCAAATAAGACATATTATCATGGCATCGATAAGGGCCTCTATTGCGCCGCACTTGGCGCCGTAATTGGCAACTCAATTGGTGCTGTGGTAAGGCTCGTCTCTAGGTGCAAAAAAGGAAAAGAAAAGACAGGTTAGTGAAACGTCTGACACGTGACGTTCACGTGATGAACTGTGCGAGCCGCAATAAAGGCCCTGCAAATCGCCCGGTTTCTTCTTAACATTTCAGGTAGGCGCAGCATAAGACAGAGATCAGGTTCCCCAGCATCAAGGCTGCCCGAGAAAACAAAACCCGACCTATTTCTACCCAGATATTACCCCTTGAAACATAAATAGAAGAAGAATTATATCATTTTGGCAGGTAGCATCACCATTTCGGCTTGTTGAACTTGAAATCAAGTCATGCTGTTGGAACTTCAGGGTAGCGCTTGCACTGTGTGAGACCCCAACGAGCTGACGAGGCACTGTACAGCCTGAGCAAAATGTGGGCCTGATACGATCAACCCCACCGCTTGGAACCGATTGGCTGATCTTGGGGCTAAATCTGAGTGCCCCGTGCGTATCCGAGCTGCGTGGGTAAAAATTCCGATTGAGTCCGATTGGCTGAGCACTGACCAACTTATGGGTCTCTCGTTGTTGACAAATCTGGGGTATTCTGACCCTGGCTCTTTCAACTGTGAAACGCGTTCTGTTGAATAATATCACGGGACCACAGGAAATATGAAGTGAGTCATGACAGTTTGGATTTAACAAGATGACATAGCCTATCAGCCGATGTGACAAGGCGTCGTGATTAGGCCTAGGCGGATCCAGAGACTGAGCCGAGTCGCATTAGCGCCTTTTGCCGAATGCGGAGGATACGCGACGCCAAAGTCTCACTAACCTGAGGGAGGTCCGAACCCTGCACATCGGCAATCTTGAGTTGGGGAAAAAATGGCAGTCCTCAGCTGTAGTAGACACTTTGCTGAATTAAGCTTATTGGCGAAGTCATGAAAGACGGATCCCGATCTCGCTGTTCATGCACTCATGCTGCCCCCTACCTTTATCTAGCCTTGAGTGCAGCTGTCTTCATATGAAGTTGTCAACCATCGACAATAACCTCAGTCCTACCGTTTAGCATAATCAACTCTTCTTTTTGCCCTAAAACTCTCATCCAATTTCAGCAAACTTCGCCATCCATTGCCATGCCTCCCTCTGTACCCAATAGCAAAGGCTCCAGCTCCCCAGCCGATGTCCCCTACGGCACATGGAACTCATTCCCCTGGGAGCCCTTCCCTGAATATGCTGGTTCCAAGTCAGTTCTCTATCGCTCGGCAGACGGCAAGATTGTCGCGGGAGCCGCCAAAGAAACAGGGACAGCAACACTCACCTACCCGTGCGACGAGTTCTTCTACGTAACCGAGGGGTGGATCAAGCTGGCAATCCACGGAGGAGAGACATTCACCTTGACCAAAGGGCAATTCATATATCTGAAGAAGGGAACGACGGTTGACTTTGAGTTTGGACCGGATTTCGCGAATGTGGCTGTCTTTATTGATAGCAACCCGGTGACACTTATCTGAGGGCGCACTCGTTGTGACGGAAGGATGGTCTGGACAGGACGAGCGCTCTATCGTATATCAGAGCCAGTAGGATATGAATCAATACGCCTTACCTCGAGTTGGCCATTGCGGTGTTTGCGGTATTGTGTTTTGATGTCGTCATGTATTGATAACTGTGTCTTTTGCTATTATGGCTGACGGTCGCGTCATTAGAGACGGTAGTTGAGTCGGCCGTATTGAACCTGTTCGAGCAAGCCGCTGTGAAGATGGGAGTGCTAAGTAGAGTTCTGTCTCAATGTTACGTTCCTCATTCGGCTCAGCCAAGACACGTTGGTGATCTGTTCAGCAACGTAGCACCAAGACGCCCTAGTCATGAATCGAGTAGCTGTCTATTCAACTGGTATTTCTATCTACATGACAGCCATAGTATACCTTCATTTCGCATACTTTACAAAGAACTCGTCTATGGTCATGGGTTGAGCCTTCACTCCATTGGATCGACGAGATTTGGAAGCATTCTCCTTGAGAACGCGGGCATCCTCATGCTTTGTCGGGATGCCATTGAAGAAATTTCCCTTGATTTCTTGCATCAAGTCAAAGAGTCCATTCACTTCAGTCGTCTTGGAAGCCGTTGTCGCAGTCAGTCCTCCTTTGGGAATCACCACATGTCGGGCCGGCTTGCCAGTCACTGCGGAAAGAAATCATTAGCAACTCATGCCCATCAATGTCGTGTGTAGGTGGTATCGGATACATACACTTTTGAAACTTGGCTGTTAGCTCGGCGAAAGATGCAGACTCCGACACTCCGTGGATGTATTGACGGTTCCACCTCTCGGGATCTAGAAACACGCCATGGACAAAGTCGCCATAGTCGTCGGCTACTGCCAACCACGGAACAGACTCAGGATCGTTGCCCATTGCAGGCACGCGATATGTCAGAAATCCTTCGGCATCTGGTATCGTGGCAAAGCCTCCAAATGCGGCCGTGTACTTGGGGTCAAAGGCATTCTCCAAAAACCAGCCTGCGCTGAGTATGCAGGCAGTCTCAAACTTGCCTGGTTCAAGAAGGTACTCTGAGATGGCTGCCTTATCTATTGGGATTGGATTATTAGCAGGAAATGCCAATGCATTTAACACGACCACTTACCATCAAAGGCGAGAACTGGGACTTTGCCGTTTGTCAGCTTAGACGCCGCTGGGAGTGACGCGTGCACTGCATGCTTGACACCAGTCTTGACCGCCGCGTCTATGATGATTTTGCCCATTTCAAACTCAGAGGGGCCGATCCTGTTCTTGAAGTTCTATTCTCACGTTAGCAGTCTGGCTCAACATGGACATGGACTTCGGGACTGTACTGGAGCATCTGAATCGATGTTGATGAAGACCCCCCAGCAGCCAGTGAAGGCTCGCTCCAAGTCATCTGTCTTCCAATTGTCGCACTTGGCGACTTCAATGCCGTCCTTGGACAGAATCTGTGCCTTTGCAGCCGTGGGATCACGCGACAAGACTCTGACATGGAAGTCGGGGTTGTCGTGAAGCGATCGCGCCACCGAGCTTCCTAGATTACCCGTCCCGCCCACGACGGCGATGATTTTGCGAGTGCTAGCAGCCATAACTGTTCTGCCTGAAATGATGTCTGTCGTTCTTTTCCGTTTTAGGAGCGTTGGCGATGACTGCGATGGTTGTGCCCTGGAGGGAGCTGGTGAAGCGTGTTTTATGTCTGGATGGGTCGAGTGGGAGAATGCTTTCTTCTGCCAATGAAACCGTGACTAAGTCGCCTACTTCTGGAATTTCCTGACAAGGAAAAAGAAGCCGACTTTCCCTTCCAGACTCGAAACGACTTACTTGAAATAATTATATGGATGTTGGTAATCTGTCCGAGCAAGAAGGAATTCTTGCTGAGAAGCCAGCGTCAATCTCTTCTCCGCACCCCCCACTTGCCTCTTTGGGCTCTTTGGCGAAGACCGCAGGTCATCTACTCATTGGAAGTTAAAGAGGTTGGGAGTTGCTGTATACATGCCATCCTCAATTACTACTCTCTCAGCCTCCTTCACATCTTGGTACTAGACCTTGGCTTCATCTCAAATAACGTTGGAAGGAGTTTGGCTGCTTCAACGACCTGAGCCTGGCATCCCCAATGACTTCACTCAACATACCGGCCGTGGCCGCAGCCTTGGTCTTGCTGGTCATTGTCTACGAAAGAATCATCAAGCCCGCGTTTTTGTCACCACTTGCCAAGATACCAGCACCGCATTGGAGTTGCCATGTCGCCCCCTTCTGGCTCTGGTGGGCGAAGCTCACTCATCGGGAAAATGGGCTCGTCTACAAGAACCATATGGCCAAGGGTAAGGCTCTGCGACTTTCACCAGGCCTGGTCAGTCTCAATTGCTTCGAGGGAGGCTTGAAGCAGGTCTACCTCGGAGGATTCCCCAAGACTGAGTTCTACTGGCGAGGCTTCGCCAACTACGGGTATGGTTCCTCACGATTACGCTCGAGGCCATGCGCTAACCTTGATCCTGCTCAGTACTCACAACATCTTTACCTTTGAAGACAATGCCACGCACTCGGCCCGCAAACGAATCATTTCCGGTACCTTCTCCAAGTCCTTCATCCTTGCCGATGCCACAAGCCAAGCTTCGATGAAGAAGATCCTGTTTGGCAGGCTGCTTCCCAAAATCGACGCCGCGGCAAAGCGAAACGAGGCTCTTGAAGTGCTCGAGCTCTTCTACTCGTACTCGATGGACTCATTTGTCACTTGGCAATTTGGAAGCAAGCTGAGCAGTAACTTGATCGAGGACGAAAAAGAGAGACGGTTGTACCTGGATGGATTCTTCGCTGCAGCTCCATACACTTTCTGGCAGTACGAGTTCCCACGACTCAGCAGTTGGATGAAGTTGCTTGGCATCATCCCGAAAAAAGTCGACCGTGGCTTTCACGACATTGAACAGTGGAATCTTGAAAAGTGCGACAAGGCACAAGAGCTCTTGGCCCAAGGAGAAGACAAGCTCAGCGACGAGGACAAGCCCGTCGTCATGTCTCTCGCCCTCAAAGCCATGAGCGACCTTCATGCCGAATCTCGTCAATACCCACAGCGACTGGACATTGCCAGCGACATGTTTGCGCACAACTCGGCAGCACATGAGACCAGTGGAAACACTTTGACCTACTGCTTTTACGAGATGTCTCAAAGGCCGGAACTACAAGCGAAACTTCGACAAGAGCTTCTCACGCTTGACCCTCCGCTGTATTTCCCTCCTCCCGATGGCGGAGAACTGGTGCTACCTGAACCCAAAATCATGGATAAGTTGCCGTTGCTTGAAGCCGTGATTCTGGAATCCCTTCGTCTGTACCCGTCCGTTCCCGGCGGCCAGCCCCGTCGTGTTCCAAAGCCTTGCTCTCTGGGAGGCTACGATGGCATCCCGGCCGGCACTACAGTCCAATGCTACGCGTATTCGCTTCACCGCACACCCGAGATCTTTCCAGAACCCGATGAGTGGAAACCTGAGAGGTGGATTGACTCGTCTCCTGAGCAACTGAGCCAAATGCGTCGGTGGTTCTGGGCGTTTGGGAGTGGCGGTAGAATGTGCATCGGAAGCAACTTCGCATACTTTTGTGAGTCAAATATCAGACACCTCGCCCTCATGAACCTTTAACGGATACTAACATCAAGTCAAAGCTATGAAAAATGTTGTTGGAAGTGTATACACCAACTTTACGACCTCGCTGCATGACCACGGAAGCATGGAGCTTGAAGATGCGTACCTTGCGGGTCCCGCCGGCCACCGCCTGGAGATCAAGTTCACCCGGGTTGAGAAATAAACGGAAGGACATGCAACTGTAAGGTTGCCTGAGGTTTAAATGTACAGATATGCTGGTTCGTGTTGGCAAGGGAAATAGGTTCAACAACTGGTTCTTTGATATGGTGCATTTCTAGAAATAGTATTATCTTAGATAAACATGTAAAATTGTTTTTTTACTCTCTATTTCATCCTCGACATGCATGCGTGTTTCATCTTTTAGATCTTGGTGTCTGGTTGTTGCAGATTAAAAAACGGCTATCTCTAGCGGAGCTAGTCTGAATTATCCGGGCTCTTTTCCCAGCAGACACTGAAGACCCGGCTTCCAAGGCCATGTCTCACGTCACTTAAATCGATTGATCGTGCTATGCAATAGACGATAGGCAATAACCGCACCCTGTCTCTGTTCACGCATGAAGCCCCAGTATCTCAAACGACCGAGCATGGTGCGTATCTCCGACAAATCTGTGGTGCAAAGAGTGGAACGGGATATACCGAGGTTAGGTCAAGTCTACGAGGGGTGATTTGGACATATAGTCTATCTAGTACCCTGAATCATGTCCACCTTGCGTAGTTTACGTGTTTGACCTGGGGTGTTTGCGGCTATTGTCCCGATTAGGAAATTTCGTGATATTCAGTTAATCGAAGCGAGCCGCGGAGACTGACCGACCCGTAGGCCCTTGACTAAGCGGAGACTATAGCACTCTCGCCACTCACTAACCAAGATAAGAGCACGGTTCAGGTAAGCGTGGTTGCTGATAATGCTGATAAAGAACACGGACGGTCAGTACCAGGCGGTGTATACAGCCTAGGTGCAGCGTCAGGGTTCAGCAGGTCACAGCTTTGAGATTTTGTGCTCCTATTAGGGGAGGACAATGTTTTCCATTACAGTAGGTAGTCCTACAAGTTGTCAAGCCAAGATGCTCCGCAGACTCAACCTCTCATGGTGCGTCACATCCCGGGGGGACAGGGCTTCCCCAGTTTCTTTACTTTGTCGTGCAGGAGCCGATTCGACAAATCCTGGGGTAACCTGCATGTTCCTCGTGGCTGAGAGGAGTCTCGACCGTATGCTAGTCCACCAATTATGCTCTATGGGCTGGTTGCCACCATCCAGGCTAGGCAGGCGAATGGAGCTCTCATGATGCCCGACCAGCGCGCGCCATCCTCGAAAGTGGGGCCATCATAGCAAGGGACCGTGGTTTTGGAGACTGCTTTTTCCTTTTTGAGACGAGAGGCGAGCATTTCGGACACGCGGGCACGGATAAGCATGATTTGGTAGGGCTACTTTACACTGAAAGGCCATTTGCTACCACTGGGGATGTCGCCCAACGATATCTTGGCGACCTTGCAAGTTAAGATATATATAATCTTACTTGGTTAATGGCTCTTCGTGCAGTTCATCGTTCTCTCCCACAACCTCTCACCCTTCTTAATTGCACCACCCAGACATGCCATCATGAGTGCCTCAGATGCTGAGAAAAAGGTCGCCATCGTCGATAACGAAGATGTCCAGTCCGGTCAGGTGCAAGAAGACAACGGTGGTTTGCACCGCCGTGTCGGAAACCGCCAGATCCAATTGTTTGCCATCGGCGGTTCCATCGGCACTGGTCTCTTCGTCAGCATCGGCGGAGCTTTGTTCAAAGCCGGTCCAATCGGCCTCCTTTTCGCCTTTATCTTCTATTCTTGCATTATAGGCCTCGTTAACAACTCTATGGCTGAGATGTGTACCCTCATGCCCGTCAGCGGTGGTTTCGTCCGTATGGCTGGCAAATGGGTGGACGACGCCCTCGGCTTCTCGGCTGGTTTCAACTTTTTCTGCTACCAGGCCATATCCATCCCGTTCGAGATTACTGCTGTCAATGTTGTGCTGGGGTATTGGAGGGATGATATTCCAGTGGCGGCGGTTTGTGCTGCTTGTATCGCCGCTTATGCGTAAGTATTATCGACACACCTAATGAAAAGACGCGGCTGAAGATACTAACCTTAGAGTAGTGTCATCAACGTTACCGCAGTCCGCTACTACGGAGAGGCAGAATTTTGGCTCTCTAGCGGAAAGGTTCTCCTCATTGCGATTCTATACTGCTTCACCTTCGTTACCATGGTCGGAGGAAATCCCCAGCATGACGCTTATGGGTTCCGATATTGGAGCAAGCCCGGCCCCTTTGCCGAATGGATCACGACTGGCGGCCTTGGACGCTTCGAGGGATTCCTAGCTGCCATTTGGCTGGGCATGCTGGTGATTGTTGGCCCCGAGTATATTTCTATGATCGCCGCCGAGGCCGAACGACCCCGAGTCTACATCAAGAACGCGTTCAAAACGGTTTACTGGCGGTTCGCTGCATTCTTCATTGGCGGAGCCCTCTGTGTCGGCATCATTCTCCCTTCCAATGACCCCCAGTTGACTGCCTTCGTCGAAGGAACCGCCTCCGGCGCCGGAACTGCTTCGGCTTCCCCCTACGTCATCGCTATGAGCAACCTAAACATCGACGTTCTGCCCCACATCATCAATGCCCTGCTACTCACGAGCATCTTTTCTGCAGGAAATACCTACGTATTTTGTGCGACCCGAAACCTCTACAGCATGGCACTAGAGGGTCAAGCGCCAAAGTTCCTCACTCGCTGTGATAGCCGGGGTGTTCCTTACTATTGCCTTGGCGTCACGCTTCTCTTTTCACTGCTCTCGTTCCTTCAGGTCTCAAACTCGGGCTCCAAGGTTCTCGACTGGCTCATCAATCTGCTTAGCAGCGGCGGCCTCATCAACTTCATCATCATATGCATCACCTACATCCGCTTTCATAGCGCTTGCAAGGCGCAGGGTGTTGACCGCAAGACTCTTCCTTACTGCGGCTGGTTCCAACCATATTCCGCCTGGATTGCATTGATCATGCTCGTTATCATTGCCTTTGTCCAGGGTTACACAGTCTTTCTTCCTGGAAACTTTGCGGCGGATTCATTCTTGACCAAGTACACCATGATCATCCTTGCACCCATCACGTACCTTGGGTGGAAGCTCTGTTTTCGATCAAAGGTTATTAAGGCGAGCGAGGTGGATCTGGTTTGGCTGCGTCCTGAGATCGACGCCTATGAGGCGAGCCTCCCTGATCTTCCAAAGTCGCTTTTTGCAGACTTGCGCGAGAAGATGGGACAGATGAGGAATCGGGAGGTTGAGTCACAGTAGTTGGACGAGCCTGCTTGATCGTCAAATGTGAAGAATGTGGTCAACCTGAGGCTCAAGTGCTTGGGCTTTGGACAGCATTCAGTATCTGTAGCTTGCCTTGCATGCTTTTCCATCACTTTACAGATTCTATTCTACTTAGTTATGGTAGCAATTGATATAACCGGCATGGGCTTTGATCCAATACCGCTTGTTCTCTGCTGATCCTATGTTTTTTGCTTTGACATCCGTCTGTTGTCCTGGCCTGAATTTAGTGCGATAATTCATGATATATCTTGCATCTCTTTCTCGCACAAGATTTTGTTTATGCTTCATTACTCCACTCATTTTGACGAGTATTTCTTAAAAAGATATTACACGCCCATTATTTTCACCACTCATGTTGTTTCTAAAAAGGCATACCGCCCACGAAAGCAAAGACACAGGTAATCACATATCTATGCTACCCAGGGCTTCCTCCAAGCTGTCGAAAGATGAAAACAAATCAACTTCATATTATTTTCATATGCAAAATTATGCCAGGCTTTTAACTACAAGTGGCTAGAAATAGGAAGCTCGTACGCGTACTGCGCAACGAGTTCACTGGCGGCCCTCGCCATTCCAAAGCTATAGGTGAATCCTCCCGCCTCCTGGCCATAGGCGTGCACAACCTTTTGACCATTGATGACTTCCCTTTCGACCCTCGCACCTCCGTGCTCCTGCCGTCTCAACATGTATGACGTGGCAATGTCGTATAGGATCTTGTAGTCTTCAGGACGGTCTGATTCCATGACATTTGGCAAAACGTGGTGACCGCGAGTTAAAATCTGAAACAGAGTTATCAGCCGCCGCTCAAGGTAATTAAACATGCATGGCTTACTGTTTGTCTCTGGTCGTCATAGACGGTTCGATCGTCAAGGCCAAAATCTTTGAAGCCACCGACGTAGCAGGTGCCGTCTGGTCGACCAAAGATGTTAAAGTAGAATCCATCACGGCCACGGTAGATGAATCCTTGATCCCAATCCTTTTCCATCACAATCGATTGAAGTCGGCACGGGATAAGAGTCTTATCGGCAACGCCCGGCAAGTGCTTTGAGCTTGCACCAGAAGCATTGACGAGAATATCGTGACCCAGGCTCCTGAGTTCATCCAAGTTCTCGACCGACATGCGTTTGAACTCTACACCCCTCACCTCAAGCCGGGTTCTCAACCATTTTAGAAAAACTGGCGGAGAAATAATGATGGATTGGTAGGTCATCCCCCAGGTCGCGCGGGCAGGCAGCTCATCGGATTTCAAGAATTGGAATCCGCGGATCTTGTCGTGGAACCAGATGGTATCGGGAGAGCCCGTCTCCATGATCTCTGTGACTTGAGAAATCCGAAGGCCAGAGTCAGGGTGCTCGGAAGCGAGCCTCCAAAGCCCAGCGTATGAGTCCAGTTGTAGCTTCTGGTCTCGAGGGCTCGAATCGGGCACGCCGACCCAACAAGCGCCCGCCCAGTTACTGGCAAAGTTGAAATCCTCTGGATCGCCGGGGAGGTGCTTGCCAACAATGGTGACCTTGTAATCGATTGGCAACTGGCTAGCAATTGTCATGCCGGTGACACTGCCATGTGTTATTAGTTTTGCTGCGCGCACAAGGTCATTCATGGCTTGGTTGGAGACATACCCAGCACCCAGGATGGTAATTTTGACCATGATTCGTACTTTGGAGGGCGCAAGCTACAGCCATTCAAACTCACTCTGACGTCCACTGTTCTGTCCATCTCCTCCCTATTAATACATGACACTAGGACCCTCGACCCTTCGACCGATTCCGACCCAAGCCGATGCAACCCCAATTTCCCCGCAAAAATGGGGAACTTTGCAAAATTTCCTATTTCGGCCAGTAGGCGAAGTTGGAGATGACACCTGAGCCAATGCAAGGCCTGCCGCTTGGATCTTGATCATGTGGACAGGGTGGCGAGTCCATTGGCTTCTGTAGTCAGGGTCTCTCACGGTGCCTCGTGTCTCTGCGTCCGTGATCGGCTCGATCCCATGGTTCAAGCTGAGCTATGATGAAAAAGAAGCGGACGTCGCCAAGGTTTCCAATGAGGTAACTGGGGCTCTGAACCTGATTCGCCTACCCATGATGAATGCAAGCGAGAAAATGAAGGGCATGGTGGATGGCCCATTTCTGTTTCTGGTATTGAGCCGACCCGATGCCCGACACTCTTAGAGTTGTCTCATCATCACATAAGGGGGCCCGGAACTGTTTCGCGTCTTCACTCTTTTCCTTCAACGGTAGTTTACTTGCACCTTTGACTGTTCATTCTCCATCTTCCCGTACGACTCATCATGACAGCCAATGTTACAATCCTGGGTGCTGGGTAAGGCCACCCTCAATCCCCAACCTCGACGTTTCTCTAACAGAGTCTGCCTGACTACAGCGTCACTGGAATGGTGATAGCAGCCAGCCTCCCCAAAGAGTACGATGTGACGATTGTTGCCGAACACATGCCAGGCGACTACGAAACCAAGGACTGGGCTAGCCCTTGGGCTGGAGCAATTTGGGTCGGCGTGCACGACTCCAGACCCCACGAGCAAAAGATGCAGCTAGAGGGTTTCGCGGGCCTGTGGAAACTCGCCGAGAAGCATCCCGAATCAAGTGCCCGTCAAATCGAGATGACCGAGATTATGGATAGGGGATCAAAGAGCGACGTCTGGTATGCCGATGAACTTCCTGGTTTCCGGTTTCTCTCCAAAGACGAACTTCCCGACGGCGCGATATACGGTATGAAGTATTGGACCGTGGTTCTGACGCCGCAGAAATTTCTTCTGTGGCTGTACCAGAGGCTCCAAGCCAGAGGAGTGAAATTCCTCCAAACAAAGGTCATGGCGCTCTCAGATCTCAAGGGCCTTGGCCACGACGTCCTAATCAACGCTTCCGGGTTCGGCGCCCAAACCCTGAGCGACGTGCGTGAGCAAAACATGAAGTCGTGGAGGTTGCAGTGCGTAGTAGCCAAGAACGATACATACAACCGACTTTTCATCCGCCGCGGCCTCAACGGCTACTACTCGACTGCTTTTTCGAGGATGGATGGCACCGTTTATGTTGGTGGAGTGCTCAGCGAGGGCTCTCAAGACGTGAGCATTTCGGCAGAACACAGAGCGACGGTGAGATACTACCAAAGTTTGAAAACCAGCAAGTCTAACAGATTCAGATTTGTCAAAGGGCACATGAAAACAATCCCGACTTGTTCCCATCCCCCGACCCTCAAGATTGGCCAATTTTATACGATCACGTTGGCATTTACCCGACCATTGATAACGAAATCGCGGGCGTAAGATGTGAGAGGGAAAAGGTTGGAAGTCAAAATGTGATCCACGCCTATGGTCAAAATGCTGGTGGCTACGTGTATAGCTTTGGTCTCGCAAGATCGGTTGTCAACCTCGTCAACGAGACGATCCTGGAAGTTCCCAGCGGCTCCAAGCTGTAGGCTACCTAGCAACTAAGATCGGTTGATGCTGATTCCGCTCCACCGTTACTTTAATAAATTGAATATTGGTTGGCAGCTGTTTGAAGTGTTTTCGGATCAATCACCAATTACAGTAGTGCAAGCTGTATGCGTGACTGTCAAGGTAGCAAGTGATGACAACTACCTTTTTCCTCTTTTCTATCCCTGTCGAGAATGCCGACCAGGGCAGGACATCCCCATATACTTAGATTAATCATTGGGGTCAAGAACATGCGTCGAGGAGGCGTGCATGACCTGTTACAGAGGTTTCCAGGAGCTGGGTAGGACAGCACGATAAGAAACAGTCTCAGGGGCGGCGGCCAAGGGTCTCTTGGCTGCTTTATGTACCCCAGAATCCTGATGCAAGGATCCTCGCGTGCAGGCTGAATTGGGAAACCCTTGAGATCGGTTGATGATCTCTTAGGTATCTATATAAGCCATGACGGAGTTTGTACTTGTCATGAGGGTCTTGTTTGGCATCAACCAAAGACTTTTGTTTTTTCTACCGTCTCCCTTGTTTCTTTTACCGTGACTTAGACAGTTGCCAAAGCATCGAAAAGAGTCCCATCTCCGACATCTGTCTTTACCATCACGATTCGTATTTCAGCAATCTACCTCATCTCTGCCACCTTTGTCGGCCTGTTTGTGTCATCTGATGGCAACCGGCTGTTCAACGGAGCTGTTGTCGCATCACCATTTGTCATAACCACCAAAGATGCGGATATCAAGGGTCTTTCTGAATTCTGAACACTGGCATCATTTTTGTGGTGCCGTCCATCGGGAGATGTCTTTATCGGTCTCGAGATCCCACCGTGAGTCGCTGAGATTCCCGACTTATGCCAGTAAGTTATAATAAGTATTTAAAACACACTTTTGTTTGACCTTCTCAACGTGTCTCTTGCTCGGTTGTCTTGATCTAGACTCTCGTGTCTTTACACATAGGCAGGCATAGGCCAATCAGGGAGTCGGAGACAGAGTTGACCCTTATATTCGGGGTAGATAACGCTAGACGCAAAAGAGGCAAAGACGCGGGGAACCCTGGGTTCATGTGGGACTCGAGTCATGGATAAGCCGGCATCCCCAACTGATAACCGAAAGGGTGGGTGGGTGTTATGGGATCTTGGGTGGCCATTTTCCTCTCCTCGTCAACCTGTCGCAAACATTCATCACCTTTCATCAACACTCACCCAAGAAGTATCACCGACTCTCTTAAGTAAAGCGACAAATCGAAATGAAGACCAAACAGATCAGGTTCCGCCTCTGGAACCAGCCTCGACCGACTTCCAATGGTGACTTGACCAACCCGGCCGACCGCGACACGCATCCCAAAGGCCGAGAAGCACGGAGAAGTCGATCGGGCTGCAAAGAATGCCGAAGAAGGCGCGTCAAATGCGACGAGACATTTCCCGTGTGTGTCCGCTGCCAGAAACGCGGTTCCTTCTGCCAATCTCCCCCCAGATTGACAAAGTGGCAGCACGAGGCGCCCTGGATCAAGCTTGGCTCCTCCCCAGCTCCCACTGAGCAGCTCGTTATCGAGTCAAAGTCTGATGACAAGGCGCTACTACGATACTGGCTTGAGAGAGCCAGCCAAATCATGGCCATCGACCCTGATGAGAACCCGCTCTCGTTCCCCATACTTGAATACGTCGAGCGATGTCCCAGCCTCAAGCATGCCCTACAGAGCGTTGGTGCTGGACACAGACATTACTTTGATCCCGACAAGCTCTCTAAATGCCTGGAAGAGAGAAGCTCAGCCCTTCGCTTGATCATACAGGATCTGTCTTGCCCTGGCGACAACCTGTTCCCTCTCTTCTTGAGCGTGCTGCTGGTCGGCCTCTCCACGGCCTGGACCAACGCCCCCACAGCCGAGTTTGGCCAGCAGCATCTACGTGGAGCGCGAGCTCTTACAGATATCCTGCTATCCGATGCATCGAGTCGAGAAACGCGACCGCCGTACTTCAACTTCGTCCTCGGGGCATATCTGTATTGGGATATGGCCATGGCCTTCCTCATCCCAGTCGACGAGCAGGTATCTCTCAACACTGACGAGATGTACACTGCGCTGCTGGATGTGGGCCAAGAATACCATCCTTTCGGGGGTTACTCGACCGAGATTTTCTACCTGCTGGGCAATGTAGGACGCTATTGTCGGTCGGTTGTCGAGAAGGGTGTTCGCGATGAGTCGGTCGAGGTTGCGCTGCAGGAGGAGATGGAGAAATGGGAGCCGAATCGAGAGAATGCCCAGCTCGGTCTTATAAGCGATGCCTTTAGGTCTCATGGGTTGATTAACCTGCAAGCCATCTGCTATCGGCGTCGGCGAGATGAGGCTGCAGACGACACTCTGATGGCCGAATTCCTCAACATGACATGCGAAGAGGATGAGGAAATGTGGCAAAACCTGACAACAAGCTCAATCGACGACGACCTGGAGGATAGAATAAGGAATCGGGCTCTGGAGGTGGTGCGCAACCTCATCTCGATCCCCTCCAGCCACGGTTGCACCAACCTTCAGGCCATCCCGCTCTTCACTGCAGGCTCTGAACTGACCAAGGAAGACATAAAAGAGAGAGAATTGGTGTTGCAGAGGTTTAAGGAGGTGTATTCGCTGAACCATCTGCGGGCGAATTTGACGGCGCTTGAGATGCTCCCAGAGATTTGGAAACGCAAGGATGGAGGCGAGACCATCACCTGGTTAGAAGTGATGATTGAGAAGGGTTGGAACATCATGTTGGGGTAAAGCTTTTGCTTTCAAATCATTGCCGCAGGCCATGGGAATGTTGTCAATCATTTGTATAACACGTACACCTTCCATCTCGACCAGGGTCTCTATATTGCACAATGCGACGCTCGTAACAGGGGGCCTTTGGCGCATAGGATGCTCAGGCACGTGTGTAGTAATCTAACGACTTGTTATTGAAGTGGCCTGAGCTGCCAGAAGGAGTTCCCCGCGTCCGTGGCCTCACTGAGAGAACAGTTTCTGTATCTGGACTTGATGCGAGGGAGTGGAGGCGGTGGCTGGTGGGCCCTGGAAAGATCCGGCACGCGTATCCTTGCATATCTAGGCAAGTTAATTACGTAGTAGTGTCCGAATTCGGACGGTAAGCGAGTGGCGGTTATCACCGCTCAATTGGCTGTGTCATTCGGGAGAGTAAGAGGGATCTAAATACTCCAACCCGAGGCCTTGCATCTTCCACTCAGTTCAGACTTGGCTCCCCTAAGTTATTGGTTCAACGCAAATCGACCTCGACATGTCTTCTTCCGCCTTCCCTCCGCCCAATGGTATGAGTTCCTTCTGGAGGAGCCAGACTGGGGATCTCGACAACCATCAATCAACGAGCGCGCTCCCGGACGAATGCGATATTGTTGTGGTCGGAGCTGGATACTCGGGAGCAGCTCTCGTGACGCACATTCTATCAAAATGCGTTGACCGAGTACCTTCAATCCTAGTCTTGGAGGCGAGGCAGCTGTGCTCTGGAGCGACTGGGCGAAATGGTATGGCTCTCTTAGATGGTGATGCTATATGGCTACGACTAACGTGTTGCTAGGCGGCCACCTCAAGCCAGATTCTTATTATGCCATCTCGAGATTGGCGAACGAGTATGGCATTGAGGCTGCTGCTGAAGTCGCCAACTTCGAGAGCGCCAACGTCGAGGCGGTTGCGGAGTTTATACGAGAGGAGGAGGTCGACTGTGATTTCGTAATGACGAGAGCTATCGATGTTCAATTCTCGACGCAGCACCAAAATAGCCTTGAAGCAGGCTACAAGTCGTTGCTGGCCAAGGGAGTTGAAGCAACAAAACGCACATATTGTGCACCGCAAGAATTTGCTGAGAAAGTGAGTTGGCGACCTTTCACCACCGTGACTTGACTGACAAGAGTAAAGCTCTCGGGCGTGAAGGGAGCAAAGGGATGCTTTAGCTACACTGCTGGCCACTTGTGGCCATACAAGCTCATTCACCACATGTTTCGCAAGGCCATCGCCAGCGGCGTCAACCTACAAACAAACACACCAGTGCGAACGATATCTCCGACTCAAGACGTGAATGGCTTCTGGACAATCACAACAGAGCGGGGTGTGGTCAAGACAAAGAAACTCGTCATGGCAACCAATGCGTACACGGCAGCTCTGTTGCCAGAGTATGAAGGCAAGATCGTCCCTTACCGAGCCATTTGTAGCAGAATCACCACCCCTGGGACAGCGCCCTTGTTGACAAACTCGTATGCGCTGCGATTCAGCAGCTGGGACTTTGACTACTTGATTCCGCGACCTGACGGGAGTATCATAGTCGGAGGCGCCCGACAGGCCTATATCAGACACTTGGAGGATTGGTATGGTAACGCAGACGACAGCAAGGTAATCGAGAGGGCTCGTCGTTACTTTGATGGTTACATGCAACGACATTTCAGTGGATGGGAGAACAGCGGCGCTCAGGTCGATGATGTATGGACAGGAAGTGAGTCATGATCCGATAATATTTCTCCTTGTTCCTTGCTAACCTGCTTATTGTCATGGGATACTCTTCTGATAGGCTCCCGCGCGTGGGCGAGATTCCAGGCCGTCCCGGCATGTTCATCATGGGCGGCTTTACCGGCCATGGCATGCCACAGGTGTTTCTGTGCGCTAGCGGGATGGCGGATGTTGTTCTCGGCAACAAAGGTTTTAGCGAAACTGGAATACCACGACTGTTTGAGGAGTCCAAAGAGCGACTTAGTGACAGCAGAAACAGGATATTGGAGTTGTACGAAGAGCCACTGAATGAGTTCCAGTCAAAGCTCTGAATGTAGCAATCAGCTAGCCCTTGACATACAAGCAAGAGCAATATTTCCCCACTTTCTTTAATTCTGGGCTCTTGTCACGAAATAAAAGAACATTTCCATAAACCTTTAGATGACTTGATGTCTTTGCTGCCGAAAAGATGGGGGGTGGAGGCTGAAGATGACGCGGTGTGAGGCTCTCCATTGCCGTACGAGTGGCCATCGCCTCCACACAAAGCCCACCCTAGAACCTCGTAATGCAGCACGGTTGAGGACACCACGGCAGAAATCCCGATAGACGATTTGCCAGTAGCCCCGTTACACAATAAGCTACTGTGAGTATTCAGCTAGGGAAAAATCCCCCCGTCAAAGGACTCGGGGACAGTTGGCGCGCCTTGGACTTTGTCGTCGCGAGGTGACTTCTATGTAGGGCTCAGTTATCCCATGAGGGCTAGGTTTCAACTATAACATAGAACGCAACACCAAAGCTTCGTATCATTCTATACCAATGCTGACACAGTGGCGGCTTGTTCTTCTTGTTGATCAAATAGAAATTAAGATGGGTGCCTCAACTATGCCTCAGTCGTTTCCCAAGTACCATGACACAGAGTAAAATTAATGCACAACGGCCCTGGAATCTATGGCCGCGAAACATGTGGCCGGAGGGAGACATCATCTGAATTCTGCATGGAGTTCAGAGATACGGAACTTCGTTGAGTGCATAATACACCCGAATAGCTGGGCGTTGCCGATTATAGAGCAAGCTGTATCTCTTCCCACAGATGAGGATGAGTCAAGACGTGGTGTTGCTATCGAGTAGAACACCACAGGCGAGTATCAACCCCCAACGGGGCAGCCTCAACGGGAGCAATGCCTATGACTCGCGGACTAGATGAAGTGGTGCGAGCTGCCAAAGATTTGGCTTGGCATCGGTTCACTAAAGCATCTATCCTCCCAAAAGCTTTCTATACCCGGAGGGTACTTCTAGGAGTAATTCATTCAACACGGAACCACTAGTCTTCCAGAAGATGGGGCAGCATAATTTCTGTTCATTTCCCACTTTTCCCGGTTCAGATCACCGCCCCGACCATCCGACCCTCCGACCCTCCGACAACCCAGCCCCGAGAAGCGCGATGCTCCGGCTCTTCCGCCCTCATAAGCAGGCGTCATAGAAACTCAATACATAGACCGCCATTATCAGTTGAAAGAGTTGGTTCGGCTTAAATATGCAAATCCGTCGCTTCATACTGATGCAAACGGTTCACAAATTCCCCAGCAGAAATCTCAACACTGTGCATACAAGATGACACCCTCCGCTCGCGATGCCAACTTCAATGAAGAGGCTTTGTCTCGACTATGCAAAGCTATCCAGGACGACATCGACAATGGACGAATGTTTGCCGCTTCGATCATCGTCGGGAGAGGAGGAAATATTGGCCTACAAAAAGTGTTCGGCACAGTGACCCCTGACGGCCGGGCTGCTTGCGATGATGACATCTATCTCGCAATGTCAGTCTCAAAGTCTTTTACTGCCGCACTCATTCTCCGAGCCGTCGACCAAGGTCGTTTTACCTTGGACACAAAGGTCGCCGACATTCTTCCCGACTTTGCCATTGGCGGCAAGCAGAATGTCACCATTCGCCAGCTCCTCAACCATACGGCTGGCACATTCCGTGGTTTCCTGCCCCCAGGAATCTCTGCGGAAAATCTAGGCAATCTCGATCAGTATTACGCCTCTGTTGCGAGTATCCCGATTGAGTACGTCCCAAGTACTCAATGTGTCTACAATCCATTTGCTAGCTATGCCGTCTTGGGAAAGATCCTGGTCGCCACAGATCCAAAGGAACGCAACTTCCGCACTATTGCCAAAGAAGAACTGTTTGACCCGCTAGGCATGGAACATTCTTGCTTTGGCCTGGCTGAGGATCACGAAAACCGAGTCCCAGTATGCCATACTGAGAAACAGACAAACGCTTCTACGCCCATGACGCAGCAAATGCTCACCAAAGGATGCACTGACGGGAATGAGATGCCTGCCGCATCCGCCTTCTGCACTATTCATGATCTGTTCCGGTTTGTCGAGACAATGAGACAAAGTGGCACCAATGGGCAGTACCGACTCATGTCCAAGGCGTTATTTGACTAAGCTTGCAAGAACCATACGGGGTCACTATCAAAAGATGCACTTGTCCCTGAGAAGGAGGCCAGAAACATGCCCGATTCTCCGGCCTTGTACTCTCTGCTTGGAGGATACGTTCGAGGTGACGGTCATTACTTGACAGGTGCTGGATACACGGCCTCTCCTCGAGCCTTCTATGGTGTCGGTGGAGGCTCGACCATGTGGATGGTGGATCCAGACCGCGATCTCACCGTGTGCTTCTTCAGCGCTGGGTTCATCGAGGGACTTCACCACCTTGAGCGCCTATCCAAGATAAATGACGTTGCGCTATCGGCTTGCAATTGGTAGTGTACATGGTACGGTGTGTTCGTATGCTTAAATAAAACTCTCCACTCATTTAATGGTGTCTTACACCGTTTTCGTCTGGAGACATCTTGGCGCACATCTCCAGTGCTCTCGCAAGTTTCGCTCAAGCACATGCACCCATGGAAGTTGTCTACACCCCTCGCTATAGCTTTGAATTGCCTAGAAATCAATCTTTGAAGAGGAACTGGTAAAGTTCGCCAACTAATAGCTTACAGAAGATAAAGGTGAAACGATGACAGCTTTAGCCACGTCAGCATCCTCGGGTGTTGCAAACTGCCGGTAGAATGACTCGGCAGTAAGCTTCATGATGACAATTCCAAAATATGAAATTCGGCTTCAGATTTTGAAACAAGGGGAGGGTGACACCATTTGCACTATCGATGATACGTCAGCTCTCAACCCAGTAGTCATTACCTCGACGTGAATATCCCCGGCAGATCTGACTGTTGCTGCTCGGACATTTTCGTGCAGATCACCCACCCATCTTTGTCGTGTCTCAAACCCATGCCGTTCTAAAATAACACGCCTAAAACAGCACTGCGACTTGACACCACACACTGAATCGCCGATTATTGTGCCTGCCGTTTGAGACCCAAAACATCTAACAAAGCTTATCTTCCACTTTATGCATTCCATGCCAAAGTCCCGCTTAGTGATCACCACGAGTTGACGCGGCTGGGGTACCTCGACTGCTTTTTAACGCGGACCTACCCACTGCCAGATTGCTTGCATCACGAAATGTCATTCTCTTCTCTTACTTGAGGGTACTATCCTGGGGATGTGCTTCTCGTTATTTTCAATTCTTGACTAATCTTTTATTATCTTTCTTCGGTACGTTTGTTCTCATCTCTGGTATCCATCCCAGACCGGCGAGTCCCTCCACACCACAACTTACCACACAGTTCCAGCTGGTCTGGAACTCGATCTGCGGTAATGGCGTTTGGCGTTCTCGAAGACCGCCATTTGGCACTGCCTCCTGGCAGCTCCATCCTCAGCGAGGCTAAGAATGCACCGACGCATTCTCCCGGTATGTGCCGTTGCCGCAAACCCAGCCTCCCACCATCTCTAACCATGGCCGACTAGATACTCTAGGTCTGAAGAAGGTGGGCGATATCGTCTTGGAGCCGCAGCCCTCGGATAATCCAAATGATCCATTGAATTGGTACGTCAGTCTTTGAACCCGAGAGCACTCAGGGATTGTTGACGCATCAACCTGCAGGTCCAAAGCAACAAAGAACACGATTGGCATTCTGGTATCAGTCATCTCCACCACTGTCATTGCGTAAGACCAGTATAGTCCCGGATAGACGCTAAGCTAACCGACGGTAGCATGTCGGTCATGCTGACTCCCGCAATCCCCATCATCTCGGACAAATTCTCCGTCAGCGTCGATACCGCTTCAACATGGACAATTGGCTTGTTGGTTTTCTGGACTGGCTTCACTGCTTCAGTCACGGCAGCTGGATCAAACGTAATTGGGAAGCGACCTTTCATTCTAGGTTCTATCTTGATCATGGTCATTACAAATGTATGGGGTGCGTTTGCAAATGTGAGTAAAGTTTCCTAGGAGCAGTCAAGCCGTGTAATTCTGATGCCTTTCAAGTCCTTCCCTTCGTTGGCAGCTCTACGGACATTGCAGGGAATCGCTTCTGCGCCATTCGAAACCATGGTTACTGCACTTATTTCCGACATCTTCTTCCTCCACGAACGTGGCATGTGGCTCGCGCTTTGGAGCCTGGTTATAAGTGCCGGAATTCTGATCGGGTGAGCTGCTCGATGGTTGAGTACTGAACCGTCTACTGATCTCTGTGATGCAGTCAAGTCCTAGCTGGCCTCATTATTGACGGTATGGGCTACTCGGCCACGTTCGGCTTCAGTGCTCTTGTGTTTGGCATACTCTTGGTACTGTCTTATTTCCTCCTCTTCGAAACCACATACTCAGGACCGAGGCCTACTGTCGGCGAAAGACCGGTGCCCATGGAGCTCCCTAGCCCACCAGAACAATCATATACCAGGAACGAAACATCTCGAGTGGGTCCTGGCGGGCTTAGCAAGACCTTATCCACGACACTCTCTATAGATGCATCTTTATACACGTCTCGATTTGACGACGATGTAGATCTGCTAAAGGGGAACGTTGAGCGGCCTGAACCATACACCCAAAAACTGCGCATCTTCCGCGGCCGCGTATCCAACGCCAACTTTTTCCGCGACATGTTGAGCCCGTTCCAGCTGATGGTCTACCCGGCAGTGCTCTTCGGGGCTATTATCAACGGCTTCTGCACCGCTCTCGCCATCGGCACTGGTCTTTTGTCGACGGTTTTGCTGACGCAGCCGCCCTACAATCTTACTCCCACATTCCTCGGCATCGTCAACATCGCTCCGTTCGTCGTCGGCCTCATCGCAGCCCCGTTAGCGGGCTGGATGGCAGACGCCGTCGCAAAGAGTTTGGCACGACGCAACGGCGGTGTATTTGAGCCCGAGTTCCGCATAGTGCTGATGATCATTGGTGCTCCGATCTTCATCCTCTCCTTCATCGGGTTCGGTGAAAGTGTTGCACGAGGCCAACCTCTGCCTGTCGTGCTCGCATGGCTAGGAGTGCAACATGCCGGCTTCCCATTTGTCATTCAAGCGGCTCTCTCGTATGTCCTCGACTGCCATGCTCACGAGTCTAATCTAGCGTTTGTGGTGATTGCGTTTTTCAAGGCAATCTTTTCTTTCATCGCAACTTCGTTCCTGACCGGGTTCATGATCAAGGTTGGAGTACGGCCCTTTTTCTTTGGTGTGGCAGGTGTTACCACGGCAGTCTTGTCGCTGTCTCTCCCGGTCTATGTGTTCGGAAAGAAGTTTAGGAGCTTTGTGAGTATTTGGTTCCTTTCTATGTGTCTATTGAGTTCGGCTGACTTGAACCTTAGATGGCGCGGAGCGCAATTGGTAGAAGGGAGGCCAAGTAGGGATAGGCCATCGTTGCCTTGAGGACCGTGACGGTTGGGCAAATCCAAGGGCTTGATGAAATGTCGAGGGGCATCCACTCGTTATCCAAAGTAGATAGCTTTGCAGGAATTCAATCGTTGTTCCCGCGGTTCAGCAAATCGTCTAGTCCAAGCCAAGACACTATGTAGTTAGTTCAACCCGGAACTAACCAGGCCACATGAAGCGCACGTAAAGTACCAAGACCAAGGACACTCCCTGTCACACGAAAGCAAAAACTACCTCCTTGATGCTGAGCCCAAGCAAAGAGTGACTCGTCACAGCAAGACAGCCAGGAAGAGAGGATGTGTACAGGTTCCAATCCGACATCGTCTACACTCTAATCCTTCTCAACCTTATCGATAGCCTTCTTCCAAGTCTGCCTGCTTGCTCTCACCATCATCGCAGTCCACCTCAATAACATGCAGGTGAGCACCATACTCATTAGTCTGGCACTTGCGGAACTTCCACACAGAAACCGACTTCTGGAATAGCTCGTCCAACTCCTCGAGGCTTCGAAAGCCTATCTCTGGCAGGAATAATGACCACGCCGCAGCGGTAAGAGAGATTGCCCAGTAGAGGAACCCGATGCGACTTTCAAGGCCGCCAAAGCCCTTGTCCTGGATAAAGGGGCTGACAAAGGAGAACAAGACGCTTACGCAGAATCCTGATACGGTGGCAAGAGTGATGGACTTTTCTCAGAGCTGGGGAGAGAGACCCTCGTCCTGCGCCTTGTGGACGAGAGGGATAGTCAGATGGCCCCCTGCAGAGGTACCTCCCAGAACGAAGCCTCTCGCTGGATTAGCTCCAACAGACGAGGCGTTAGAGGAAAGCTACTCCACGTCAGCTTTCAAGACAATTCCCACAGAGCCACACGACGCACCCATTTCAAAGCATCCCAGCAATCTTCCCAGGGAGTCGGGAACTTGACCCCCGGTCCCAGCCTGTACTCGAGGTCTATCGAGACACAGTCATAGGCATGCGCTGCACCGATGTGCCCAGCCGCCTTCATTTCCTCGATTCCATAGCAGAAGCCACCATCATGGAGAGGAACGACAAGGGGTAGGTCTGACTGGGGGGCACTCGTTGATCGGTACACAAGTGCCCGGACTGATGAACCGTCACGGGCTGGGATGAAGATCTCCCTCTCGGTGACCTGGTCACCGCTTTGTTTGAGGAGCCCATCCGTGTCCGCTCTGACCAAGGATTCCATCTCTCCCGCGCTTGGGTGATTTCAGAGAGTGAAATTGTGCCAATAAGTGGGGGCTGGATCCCCCAATAAGCCGCGGGCCCCGATGATCATCAGATAGTTGGATCCTCAGGCATCCCCATCTCCAGCCATGATTCCACTCAAGCTGGAAACATGCATGCCGACCTGTCGAATTCGTCACCCCGTAGCCGACTCCAGAGTCAGCGCTCTCGGTTGGGTTGCTGGACATGTCGCGACAAGAAGGTCAAGTGTGAACTGACGTGACCAGCGGAATGGAAGGGCCCAAAACAATACTCATTTGTCCGGGATCCAAGAGAGAAGCAGGCTGTAATGCTAGCTAGCGATAGCCGAAAAGCCTCCCGTGCCCGGACATTTCAAAATCTCCGAAATGCAGATCCACTGCATCCCACATCCCACATCCCACATCGTCAAGCATGTGGGTACACTGTGCTGTGGTGTGAGTCCTTGTCGTCGCATTCAGCCTGCGTAGGATCTTGCTCTTAGAGATCAGGATGTTGAGGTTGGAGGAATTGGCACTACGCAAACAACAAAAGGCAGCACATGCCCCTACGGGACTCTTCTCTTGCCTCAGACCAACCCATCCCATTCAAATTCCGCCTCACGCTGCTTCAACAATCTGATTCTACTCCTCCCCAGTCACCATGCCGTACCTATCTACTACACACATCCAATCTCTTGACCTTTCCTTGCCAACTGGAAGCCTCATAGTTGTCACCGGCGTCAATGGCTTCATTGGAAGCCACATCGCCGACCAGCTCTTGGCTATAGGATACCGCGTTCGAGGCACCGTCCGAAGCTTGGAAAGGTCCGGATGGTTGAAGGAGTACTTTGGGCAGAGGTACGAGACTGGAAGTTTTGAGCTCGTTGAAGTAGTGGAAATCGACAAGGAGGGCACCTTTGACAACGCAATTGCTGGTATGCAGTCGTCCATTTCATCCTTTTACCAAGGCAAAAGCTGACCGGGCTGTGTCAAGGGGCCAACGGCATCGTCCACAGCGCAGCGATAAACAATCTCGATAGAAACCCAGACAATGTTGTCCCCAAAATGATTGCCGCCACCCTCAGTATCGCCAAGTCGGCTGCAAAGTCTCCTTCTGTCAAGCGGCTCGTTCTCACGTCGTCGATTGCAGCCGTTGCCGATCCAAAGCCAGGTGTTGCTGAAGAGCTCACCAAAGATACATACAACGAAGAAGCCGTCGAAATCACCTACTCTGGAAACATCCCTCCCGGCCTATTTGGGGGGCATACCGTGTACGCTGCGGGTAAAGTCAAGGCGGAGCAGGCGTTCTGGCAGTGGTACAGGGAAGAGAAGCCTGACCTTGTCGTAAACACGGGTAGGTTGAGCAACTTGCAGATGATTTGGTCCTGACATGGAGCCTACAGTCCTTCCTAGTCCCTGTTTCGGAAGGGTCCTTTCCGTAGAGAATCAGGGTTTCGGCTCGGCAAACGCGGTCTTGAAGCTTCTGTTCGACGGCGATACGTCTGAAAACGTACTCGACATGCTCCTAGCGCGTAAGTACATATTTTGACAACCAGCTTAACGGCCTTGGCTTACATGATGTGTTTCCTTGAAGAATGGTACATCGACGTCGTAGACGTATCCATCCTCCACCTTGGTGGTCTACTACTCCCAGAGGTCAAATCTGAAAGGCTTTTTGCGAGTGCCGGCACATACACGGTAAACGACTTGCTGCGTATTTTCCGCACCCTTCACCCCGATCTGAACATCAGCGACGATATTCCCAACGTCAAGCCTGACCTCAGAAAGGTCCCCAACGAACGGTCAGCCGAGGTGCTGAAACTGCTGGGCGTTCCGGCCTGGACCTCGTTGGAAGACTGTATTGGGCCTTTGGCAGAGCAATTTGCAGCAGTTTCCGAGCAAGGTAGCAACCGTAGATGAGGCACAGGCAGTGCCCTCAACAATGCGCAGCGAGAGGTTGGATGCATGCGGTAGTCAATTAAGAAATTTGCTTTCTACTTACACATGTTGGTATTTGTGATTCAACAGTCGCTCCTCTACTTTGCCTTCTTTGCTTCCTCGGAGGGGACGCCCGAGAATAGTATTCGGGCGCCCAGTTGTAGAGTCATCCTCACCTGGCCAGGAAGCTCAACACTCGTATCTGTAATCAGCTTGCGATCTTCGGGCTCAGTTAACCCATCGAGGGCCAGGTAATAACTATAATAAGGAATAAATCTTTAATATATCGTAATATTATAACCTAATATTAATATAATAGTTTTTTTTAAGCCTTTTGCTATGTCGTCATAAAAGGTCTAGCCTCTCACGGGTATTTTACCGTAAAAACTCAATAAACACACACACTGAGGTGGAGAGGCTAAGGCACGAATCACAAGCGGTCATTGGCAGTAAAGATCCGACCTCTTATCCAATTAGCAGAGGGGATTTTAGTGACTCCACCTAAGTGTGTGTGTTTATTGAGTTTTTACGGTAGCTGCTCCAACCTCCGTACGAGAAAAACAGAAGTACGGGGAGGGATATCTTAGTTAGAGATTGAATGCAACATCTCGGCGAATTGCCAAAGGCCGAAGATCCTGGCCCTGCTCGGACTCGGTGTCTCTCGGAGTTCCGCGATGAAATGGAAAACCGGGGTCTACCCACACCGCGTCATGGAACTCAACCCCAACTCGAGCATGCCCATGAACCAGGTGCAACCGAAGGGATGCGGGCTTACAAATGCGATGATGCAACTACGGGTCCTAATGTCTCAGCCCATCTTGGCTCCAGGCCGCGAATCATGATTCTCACCAATCGAGTATAAGTAGAGTCATGTACCTGGTGAGCTGGAAGAAAATCTAAACTCCAAGTACAACACATTCTTATTCAAACCATGACTGTTGCTATTGCTGGTGGTACTGGCGGGCTTGGCCGTGCACTCGTCGAAGCCATCAAAGCTCGGGGCAGGCATCAAGTTCTCGTTCTGACAAGAAAGGTAACTATCCACCTCGAGCTCTATTCCAAAAAGTTGGTAATACTAACCTGGGCAAGGAGACACCGGGCCTGGCGGAGCGTCTGGGTGCCCCTACTGTCACGGTAGATTACTCTGATGTTGATTCCCTCGCATCAATTCTTGAGGAGTCAAACGTCGAGATAGTCATCTCAGCCGTGAACAACATCAGTGGCGACAATAGTTCAGAGATCAACCTCATCCATGCTGCCGACAAATCAAAGCCAACCAAGAGGTTCATCCCAAGCTACTTTGGTACACCATACACTCCCGAGTGAGAGCCCCAAGTACCCTACATTCTACGAGCAATGACCCTTTCTAACTTGCCATCCCCCCTGAATACAGGCAGTACGAGTCATTTCCTCCAGCATTAGCCAAGAAAGAAGCCCTAAGGGCGCTGGAAGCCAGCTCCTTAGAGTGGACCAGGGTTTACAACGGCTACTTCCTGGACTACTACGGAACGCCAAAATGCAAGTCGTACCTGGACGATATTTCCTTCTTCATTGATGTGCGGAATAATTTTGCTGCCCTTCCTGGCTCTGGGGAAACGCCCGTGGTTTTCACCCACTCGTTCGATGTCGCAAAGTTCGTGGCAGCTGCACTTGATCTGCCCAAGTGGGAACAAACCTCCTGGATTATTGGCGATAGAATCACGTGGAACGAGCTTGCCAAGCAAGCCCAAGAAGTCAAGGGTGAGTGAGTTCCATGTTGCTCCTTACCTTCTCTCTAACCTTTTTTGGTTCCAGGTGTTCCCTTTTACGTGACACATGATTCAATCGAGACCCTCCAAACCGGTGTCGTCACCGAGCTTCCTTCCCACCCCCAGTTCTATCATGCTTATCCCAAAGAACATCTTCAGAGCTTTATTTCTGCGTTTGGCATCATGTGCGACAAGGGACAAGCCAATTTCACACCAGCCCATACGCTGAATGACGAGTTCCCCGAAATCAAAGCGCTAACCGCTCGCGATGTCTTGGAGAAGGGTTGGGGACACTGAGGGGGAGATCGTTGCAAAGACTAGTTTACATAGCTCATGTCGGCTTTTATTTCCCAACCTTGACACAGGTTGAACAAATCATCATCGTTTGAATATAAAACTTGTCTCTGAGTCGCTAGTCATTCCGAGATTGGCGGTCTTTTCGTTCACTACTATACAGAGTCCAAATTGACACTCTTGATCCGGTATAGGTGTCCGAACAGGCCCACTCCTACTGCCGAGATCATGATATGGATCTGAGACTGGTGTCTCAAAGGACCCAGAATATCGGCAGAGTCCACAACCGGGAATCAACGTGCGCTGAGACAGCATTGAGAATGGACCAGTGCAGGCCGAGACCTAGCCAATGATTTCGCAAGTAGAATCAGACAGGCCCCAATCGATGCACGCTCAATACGGAGAGTCTTCTTTCAAATGGGGGCATTTGTCACTTCTTGGACTTGTACTTTCAATCCCTTAAAGAACAATCATTCGATCCTCCAAAACCAGCCGTCATGTCTTCCAAGAGAGCCTAGAAGATGAAAGAGCAGGCCCGCGAATTGGGTCTTATTCAAACATCACAACACGACCAAGACCTTTCTTCCATCAAAGTCGAAAACTGTGTGGGTTTCACCAAAGTGCCCCTCAGCCTAGCCGGCCCTTTACGGATTGTCGGCCGCGGTGTTGACAGAAGGTTGTACCCACCATTGGTAATCTACGAGGCGATGCTTGTTGCCAGTTGCCCCCGCGGCTGCAAAGCCTTTGACTCTTCTGGTGGGGTGCAGGTTCACGTGTTTGAAGATGGCTTGTCTCGAGGCCCTGTCTTCATCTTCAAGGATCCTGGCGCTGCGATAGCCTCGCACAAAGCGGCCCCGACATTGCAGGATGAGTTTGCAGGGTGGTCGACGTCGATGGGCTGCTTCTTGAAGTTAAAGAAACTGAACCCGTCAGTAATCGGTTCCAACGTTTATGTTTTTTTACAGCTATCCTTATGGAGACGCTGCCGGGCAGAACATGACAACCAAGGCCACCTCTTACGCACGCGACATGCTCTGAAAGAAGTACGGTGATAAGTATGCAATCAAAGACTTTTTGATCGAGGACCAGATAGCATCAGATAAGAATCCATCCTAGAGAAACATCTCAGGCACTCGCGGCATCGATGTCATGGCATAGGGAACGATAACAACAGCCTCCTATAAGAAAATCCTCGGCCTTAAACACTGAAAGTTTACACAACATCTTGAAGATTAGTAAAAAAGGAGAATGCCGCAACGGGCAGTTCGGATCCAACATCAACACGGCAAACATCTTGCAAATTCAATTCGTGGTAACTCAACTTGCCCAACTTTAACGGCATATCATATTGACGATTGGCAACCAGAAACCTTTAGTACCCAAGAATATGGATCATATTCAGGAGAGAGCCTTTCCAGACTGTCTAATAAACGGGAACACGCCTTGTCCATCCCAGACATCCAGCTACATAGGGCTGGGCATGTGCCTCGATATGATTCGACCCATCGAGTTTTAGCGATTAATATCCGCACTCGCTAGATACTGCCAAATCACGCTCGTAATGAGTAGCTTTATTCATAATAGAGGTATCCTTGAAATTATTGACTATCTAGAATCGGGCTTGCTAAGGTCTTGCCGACAATAGCAGAGACTAGATGAATAAAAAAGACTAATTAACAAGGTCCTTCCAGTCCGGATAGATATACTGGGAGGGTTGCCCTTCTGGAAGATAAGGGGTAACGAGGTCGTAGAAAAGTTTATACGCCACTGCACTCAAGTGCAACCCATCAGTAAAAAGGCCGTCAAAGTTGGCAGCGGGTGATTCTGTTGTCAGGTTTGACTTGTTGGCCTGGGTTGTCGTATGTGTCGCCTTTTCCACCACAGCTTGCCATAGATCAATGAGAATTATGTCCGGATTCTCTTTAGCGACCTCTCGGACTGCCTCAGCATATAACCCCGTGTGAGCCAAAGTTCGAGGTTCATGGCCCAGGCTATTAAGCTTGTCTTCATCCACTGGGGTTGGTGTGACCAGAAAAAATTTCGGTCTGTGAGATCTAATGTGGGCGTGGTTGATAAGGCGGATCAAGTTGAGCTTATAATCATCGACCGGCACATGCCTCGTTGAGGCGGGATGAGGGACGATGGCATCATTAGCACCAAATAAGACAATCTATCCCCATTAGTCCAAGGTATCTGGCTTAGAGTTTTCGTCTGGCTTACAAGATAATCCAGTTTTGGTGACTGATCGCTGGGCGCCGGAAATATCTTGGGAAAATATTCGAGAGCGTTCTTGGAATTCCAACCTGCGAACCCGCGGTTCACAACATCAAAACGTCGTATCAAACCTGCGGCAATGCTTAGTCAAGTACAAAAAGGCCCAAGGTAGACAAACATACGTGTTTGAAGTGCGGCTTGGAAGGAAAAGCCGTCTTGAATATCTATGGACCCTTGCAACAGAGAGTCACCAAACAATACGAGTTGAGGATAAGTTGTCTACGATAAGTCAACACCACACCGCACAAGACCACGGGTAATAAACTTACAGCCATGGCTAAGGAATATTAACATGCCTCATCGTGTAGCGCAATTCGTGGTTTTTCGCGTTTAATTTATATGCGACTGGTAACAGATATATGTGGACCATGATGAATGGTGTTATTTGAAACTTGAATGAGGCGATTCTCCTAACGCATATCCCATGAGTCATAGGGAAAATGGACTCTGGAGCCAAGTGTGGCTATGCTATAGACCCGCATATCAAGAGTCTTGGGGCGGTATTATTCCGCACCTGGACTGAGACAGGATAACGACGACGACCCATGACTTCCAATCCTCACTTGCTGTTTGACATTTTATCCCCACACCACACGATTCCTTCACTACATGGAATAGCTCTTCCCTCGAGATGATTGTGCCTTACCTCTAGCATACCAGCCAGAGACCGAAAAGCCAATCGTATCTGGCAGGCGTTCTTGGCTGAGAATGTTCTACTCCATGGTTATTTAATCCTTAACCGAGAGCGATCTTTAGGCTTATTTAGTAATACTTATACATGCTTTGCTCGGGGCGAGGCTAAAGCGAAGCTATGGCTCATTAAGCATAGTCGTTCTAAGATACAGATACGCCTTGCGCGTCTAGAATGCCGTATCTCTACGATTGAAACTTGAGACCAACCGTAGAAGAATATGAGGCAAGTGAGACAAGACCAGGCCAGCCGCCGTTTAGGCACCAAGCCCCAGGTTCGCGGCAGGTAGGATTTCCATCGGTCTCGTTGGTTGGCTAAGATTCTCTTGTTGCATGCAAGCAACATGCGGCTCTACCAATGAAGTAACTGGATGAAAAACCATTGTCTCAGCTCCACGCCGATTACATGTCTGGAACTAGATCCCGTCCCCCCGAAGAGGGAGTGCCTCACCAATCTTCCAATAAATTTAACAAAGCCTTATCCTCTCCCTCAATTGTAATTGTGGCGCATCAGTTCCACAAAGTCCTCAGCCGGTGATTACGGCTGTGATGGGGGCCAAGACTGCCTCTTGCTTGCATTGCCTCCATCATCATCGGCTTACCGGATTCGAGGACACTGGGCCCAGAGCCTGATTTATACACCTCCCTCTATAAAACGCGCATCTCACCCCTCTCCGGTCATCAGGGTCAAGTTCATCGTTATACTGGAGCCTTACTACTGCAATATTGATGATTTCTCAGTCTTGTCTCCGCAATGGCGCCTCCTTCTGTGGAATTCTCAACCGGGGACAACTATCCCCGACAGCCTGTTCGTCCGCCTCCTCTTCCACCTCCACCCCCGCCGGTTCAGCCTTCCTATAAGCCTTGCCACACATGCCACAAGTATACGAAGACTTTTATCTGCATTCAATGCAACAGCCTTCCATTCTGTGACAAGTGCTGGTCAACCTGGGTGCTCCATGTCGACGGGGCCACTGGCTGGGGCGGGCGACCACACGAGAAGTCGGATCCCCATGTCATCACGCGCCTCCGAGATATCCTAGAACCCGTGACTTCGAACGCAGACCATGAGAAGAGTCTCGAGTTGGACGATGATACCACCTGGTTCGGCGTCGTCCGTAACCAGTCCCAACAACAAGTCTTCCAAGACTACGGGAGATTCGCTGCATTGATAAGCGAGAGCCAGAGCGAGGAGGCCGAGGATCGTTTCCCCCAGCTGGTCTCCTTTATCGGCCAGACAGGTGATGAGCCCACCACCCATTATACGTCAGTCGAGGGAGCTAATATCTGCCAGGTGCCGGCAAAAGCACGCTAATCAAAATTCTCATCGAACGTGCCCAAGCTGAGAGGAGGTGAGTTGCACCATATCAAACCCATGTGATATAAGCAATCCATAGGGAATCTCAAGAGATTAGATGGCTAATCATTTGATATAGTACTGGTGGTATAATCGCTCTTGGGCTTGGTGTGAACAATTGGAGCGTCGATGATTGCATTTCAACGTTCCGAGATCTATGTCGCCAAGCCTTCACTCCGCGCGAGCTGAAGGGTGTTCCAGTACTGGAATAGCTTGCGGTTTTGAATTATGGGAGCATATACAAGACCAGACCGTTCGAGGAGTTACTCAGAGACAAATTCGACCAGAACCGGCCTTTATTTGGAGGCCCTTGGGTGGAGACACAGCCGACTCACTACCTGGAGGTCCCAACGAGTCAGGTGAAATGGCAACAAAGGTTGCAGTCACATCAACCGTCTCGGTCGACCAGCATGCCGTGGTCATTTCAAACTACAACAGGCCGGAGAGTTCAGCATTTTGTATGTGCAGTGAATCCATCATCAGATCTTTCAGTGTAGGCTAACGTTGCCAAGGCACGCCATATCGGTTTCAGAGAGCACCCGATCCAGGCACGGAAATGAAAGTTTGGGAAGCGTAAGACACTTTTTCACACCTTCAATCGCACCAGTTCTAACATTGTTCAAGAGCAAGAGCTATAGCTGCAGCACCGCCCTTCTTCAAGCCTTACGAGAAGCCTGAGACCAAGGACATGTACATCGATGGCGCTCTCTACCACAACTGCCCAGTGTGGGTTGCCCACCACGAGAAGAAGCTGATCTGGGGCGACGTCAGTAGCCGCCTACCAGATTTACTGGTTTCTGTTGGAACCGGTTTCCATAAACACGATTCACCAGACGATCCCGCAGGGCGTCTTTCGCCCAATCGCAAACATAGGGCAACCAGGAAGTCTCTCCTCACGCAACTGTATCATACAGGAAGTGGAAGACTTGGTGACACTCTCAACTGCAACCGAATTTGGGAGTCATTCTTGGCTGAGAACGCTCAACTGCACGGCCGCTCAATCCCAGATGGAGAGCAACGTTACGTGAGGATCAACCCTGATCTTGGGGAAAGCCTACCCAGGCTCGACGATGTGTCAATGATGGACGAGGTTGAGCGCACTGTTTCCAGGTACCTACGGAAAACAGAGAGTTTATCAAGGAAACAGCCCATCGCCTGATTGCCAGCACTTTTTTCTTCGAGACAGATCCCGGTCGGATCAAGGAGGACAGAAACGGATTTTGGTGCCAGGGTCAGTTGCTCCGCTAATGAAAATTTCATTGCTTACACACGATACAGGTCGCATTCTTTGCAGGTTTCTCGACCGTTCTGATGAGTTAAAGGCTCTTGGGAAGTTCCTTCAGGCTTGTGTCAGTGGGGACTTTGAGCCCTATTTCCTCATTCAGGAGCAGGGCTATTCCTCTGAAAAATTCAAACTCAAAGAGGACATCATTAATACGATGTGTGTCAGGGGCATCTTCGAACTGGGCCTCATCGAGTTTCGTGCGCACAAGGAAATGTCACTCATCCACATGTCCCTTTGTCTTCAGGATAACGCATCGTCTAGTTCCAGCGACCGATACTTCCCCATCAGTGGCTTTCCACGAGAATTAGTGGTTGAGGATAGGAGGCCAGGTACGCGTTTGTATTTCATTCCATTTTCAGAGAATATGCTACGCCAGCACGGAGGCTATAGCACATCCGCCCATTCTGGCCCTATCAAGCAGATTCATGAGGGCGAAACTCACCGGGGCGTTGACGAGCTGACTGTTTTTCTAGCACCGCCCAGAGCTCCCGTAGGCAACGGGATCCGCCGTGACCTCAGTGGGAGACGAAGATTTTGGAATACTGCAGGGGACCACTTGAATAGGGATCTAGATCAGCATGCCTTAGACCCTCTCGACAACTTGACATTGAGTCCATCTGCCTCAAGGCTTGCTGATCTAAGGAAGGGCAGTGACATGTTTGGCATGTCCTCATCCGAAACGGAGCGGGTGTATTATGAGCTTCCAGCCTAGGGAGAATGTCATACGACTTGTTCTGAATTTACCGATAGTCTATCTTCTTGTCGTTATAGTACTCTTTTGTGGGTTAATTAGGTCGAAAGTATGTTACTAAGAAGTTCTAAATGTCCACGAGTACGTATTGTGTAACTATCTAGGGTAGAACAACGGGATGAGAGGCGAGTATGTCATTATGCTATCTTCGATATTTCGTCCTGAACGGTGAAAAGATATACTCTACTGCCGTGATAAGGGGCTTACATGAGCTGAAGGTGTTGTCTGCTCGGAACATCGAGGCCTCCGAGGTGTTGCACACGCGTAAGGGATCAGCACATTGCAAACACCAAAATCTGTGGAACCCTTGCTCTCGGTAACACCAAGTTGATTATGCACCGAGGACAACCAATCAGTCTCTAATCACGCCTTAAACACTACCATTTACATACCGCAATTTACGCTGTAGTTATCCCATAAAGAGAAGTATCTCCGCCAGCACATGAAAAGCGTCAAAATATTTATCCTCGGAGTTATAGAACTCTGACAACTCAATGCCAAGGCTAGGCAACAACTTGGTAAGACATCAACAACGCCGATCTTTCCTTAGTCCTGCAACTAGCTGCTTTGACGTCACGTTCCAGGCCGTTTTGCTAATTTAGCGCTCCCTAAAGATACGAGAACAATCTCATTAGCGAGATGGGATAGCTTATCTAAGCGAGCCTTATCGCCTCCGAGCTTTCCACAGGATCCACCCCTCTAAGGGATTATTAAGCCGACCCCGTCACTTGCGCTCTGCATCCGCCGCATGGTGCTGCACACTCACGGCACTTACATGCCCAGCCCACTATCGACGCCTTGCCAGCCCCTCTTGAAGCTCAAGTTTGACATACTTGAGCTGGTGACAGCTACTTGAACCGCCAAGACTGCCACCATCGCCGAGTGTGGACGGAACACGCTGGACGTGATGTACGGCGGAAAAATCGCGCGTCGAGACACCACCTTGGAGAAGCGCCACGTCTAGGATCAGTGAGTAACGGATTGGTTGGCATACGTCATGCTTACCGGCTGACAGGACGCTGACTGACAAGAGGGAGCAGACCTACTGTACTGTACTGTACCCAGAGCGAGCGATGCGATGCGATGCGCTCGCGGGACAAGACTTTCGTTACTATACCCTTTCCCAGCGATGTACCCCCTCACGTTGTGGTGGAATATATCCAGACATATGAGCCTGTCTTGCAGCATAACCCAGGCGTAGTCTCGTATGACCCTGTCGATATTGATCCTGCTCAGTTTGCAACCGATCCATGGTTGGATCTCTGCGAGTTTGATTCATCACTGCGCCTCTTTCAAGCCCACGAAATCATCTGGCTTGCCCCAGGCGTTCAAAAGAACTTGAGCTGGCTCATCCTTTTTCAGCGCGTCCCTGACGGCATTGTGTGCCGCTGCAAGGCGGGCGTTGGTGTTGTCAGCTGGACTGAATGGTCTGTACGACCACGTCAACGGGAGGAGAGCTCGCCAAGCACACCTAGCACGGCAACTCCCTCCAGCCAAGATGGGGATGACGGCTGGGAATTACAAGGGATTGTGACGGTAGAGGCTAACCGGCTGCTTTTGCCTTCTTGCATGTGGATTGCAAAATGGTTACAGAAGCAAATTGGACAGTCGATGGTTAATGAAGCATGTGTAAAACATGTTACGGCAAGCAAATCATGACATGAACACGAGGGTCATGCAAAAATATTAATGCAATTTCAAATCAGTCATTCTTCCATCCATCTACACTGCATAGCGAGGCAATGTTGTACCATCCTTCGTGAATGGAGACTAGAGCCTGTGATCCACTGAGAAGGATGTCACCACCAACCTTAGAAGGATTTTAGTTCCTCCTGTCCGCATCTTGGCTGCATTCAAGCACGCAGAGACCCCACTAGTCACTCCCCAAAGGAGTTAAGAAGTTTGTTTGTTAACCATGCCAGCGTAGGATTGAGGGGTTCATGGAGCGGGAACCTGGTGGGCGGAAACCTGCCGCTGGTTAGGTGCCCGTTCCCGCCTTTACTGGGAGGCTATTAGCATGTCTATAGCAAACTCCTCTATTGGCTTCGGAGTCTGGGGGGCCGGCTAGGCGGCACAGCAGGGTGACCACATGGTGAGGAGGCCCGTGAAGCCAAGACGTGTCGCAAACATCCGCTGCATTTACCCGTTAACCAAGCGGGGCAAGGCACCCTTTATTCCGTCAAATATGAAAAAAATGCATGGCCATTTGTTGAATTGGGGCTTGACAACCAAAATCCTGGCCTTGGAGGTCTCTTCTTGATGACCCCAGTTGCGGAACTTGCGGTCGAAACCAGAACGCATGAGAGGGTGAAACAACTGAACGTGTTATGAAGCCTATGAGGTGTAAACTACTGATTCTAGATTATTAAGATAAGATACAACAACATAAAGGCCTAAACTTGCGAGCAACTCTCCTTCCTCAGAGCTCTCACTGCTTGCTGCCGGTGTTAAACTTGGCTGACAGCAACAGTTACACCTACAACGGTACTAACAGACAGACGATATGTCATTTTACAAGGTTGAAAAATATGACGACAAGGCCATCTTGAGTTTCAAAGAAGAGCAAAGAAAATATTGCTGATCTTGTGAGTTGGGATTCTCATCATCACATTGGGGCATATAGGGCTTGATATCACATGAACACTGGCTGAATGAATTAAAGCTCAATGGGGCGAGACATGAGTCATGCTATTCTAAAGTCAATCAACACCGAGATCGATTGCGAAAGACACATTAGGTAATAATCTATGGATTCCAACGTCAAGAGTGCTGCGGTCGACATCCCTCGCAGTCTTTGTACAGGAAGTATCTAACGACCACTTTACTTGGCCTTGCACATCTTTCCATCAGAAGCAACAGACCACTGCTCACTTCCAACCGCATTCAGAGCGTAGAATAATCCGTTCTTGTCCCACTTCTTCTTGATAGAGAGCAACTTGGCATAGTTGCTTCCAAAGAACTCTTGTTGAAACCTGGGCTGACGGAAGTCGGCCTCGTTCATGTAGGCACCGCTACCAGGTGTAACGGCTTCGATCTCAGGCATGATCTTTTCCGTCATGAGGTTTTGGAGGTCAAGCATGTCAGACCAAGGAGCAGTAAAGCTCCAGGGAGTGGTCAGAGTGGCATGCACCAGGGTGTTCTTCCAAGCAGGGAGGACAGCTTGCGTGTTGGGGTTGCTGAAGGGGGCAACGTTGGTACCAACGCCAATCCAAGTGACACCCTGCTCAACGATGCTCTTGGCAGTCTCCATAAGGGCAGCGTTGTTGTTGACAATGGTGTCGCGGGGAATCAGACGGCCACCGTACTGGGCAATACCGACTTGAATGTTGCCGACAGGCAGGGGACCAAAGTACTTGTCGTAGTGGTCATAGTAGGAGCTGCCTTGGTCGTAACCCACAGTGTAGTTGATTCCAAGATCGTTCAGCGCCAGCACAAAGGGCTTCATGATGGCCTGAACCTCCTCCTTGGTCTTGTTGTAGGCTGTCAAGGGGGCGATCTGGAAGAAGGTGTTGGTGAAGTAGTAGACAACCATCGAGCCGGCATCAACCATAGCTGGAAGCTTAGAGTGGAAAGCCTCAATTCCCTCATAGAAGGTCGCCTGGTCGTTGTTGGTGGTGAAGAAGCCCAGGGTTCCTGCACCGATCTTGGTATCGGGGAAGGCCTTGACAGTCATGGAGACGACGACGCCCCAGTTGCCACCGCCGCCACCATTCAGAGCCCAGAAGAGATCCGAATTCTTCTCTCGTGAAGCGGTGACAAGTCCAGAGTCAGCGGTGACGACTTGGTATTCGAGCGTGTTCTGGGCCGAGAGACCGAAGCTTGAGCTGAGAGCAGAGTGACCACCGCCCTGGGTATATCCGCCAGCAAGGCCAACTGTAGGACACTCGCCTCCGACGACAACGTATCCGGCTTTGTGGCCAGCAGATAGAATGTCAAAGCCCTGGACACCGGCGCCGATAGTGACAGCCTTGCCCTTGTAGCCGTTGGCATTGTAATCCTTGAACGTGATGTCCTTCAGATGGTGAGTCCAGATGGAGAGGGCACCAGCACCGGTCGAGCGGCCATTGTAATCATGTCCAGTGTTGCGGATAACGAGGCGAATGTTGTTGTTACGAGCAAAGTTGATTGTGTTGACAATGTCACTTGGGGTTCGGACGTCAACAGCGTAACGGACGTAGTTGCCAAGAGTGCAAGCACTGGACTGAGGCTGAAAAGGATCGCATGATTGGTTGGCGAACCATGGGGCCATGATAGAAGAGGACGAGTCCATGCTGTAACCCGTATTAGATCAATGTACCACCAGGACGGATCGGGTAGGGGATTTGCATGATGGTGCCACAAGTGGCTACACACCCACACATGCAGGTGTTGCAGGTAGCGTGCATCAGAACATGCAAGATATGACTTACTGGATTCCAGGTGACTGCCACTGACTCTGCAGGTACTGACACTCCTCTCCATCGTAAGTGGGATCATGGCAGGGCGATCCCAGGGGCACAGTCTTGATGAGCCGACCATTCACAGTAGAGTTGAGGCTCTTCCACTGATTTTCAGATGGCCAGCACGCATCGCCGGGGAAGCACTTGCAGCTAGAGGTTTCAACGGCTGCTCCGAGGGCCGTGGCCGCAAGAGACCCGATCAAGAGAGTTTCGACGCGCATCTTTAGTGTCTCAGGACCTTGCAGAGGCTGTAACAAGGGAGGGGGGGATGAGGGACAAGACTAAGGAGTGGGCAGAAAGCAAGAGAGGAAGGCCGAAAGAAATAGACCCTTTTGAAGTGATGCTTTCCTGCGATATTAATTTCAATCTGCATGAACGGGTAACCCGGGACATTCTTGACTGACGGGTATCATGGTCAGTTCGAGCAGGGAGCCGCAGTCTAGACTCACCTGTATATCCGTCTGCAAGAGAGCGCATTAGGAAACTCCATGTGTTAGCGTCGCTCTACTGTGTTGACGCGAAAGTTAGAGATGTCACTAACAAGACGGGGTCCAATTTCTTGGCTAACGATATTCGGGCCTGTCACCGATCCGGGTCTAGAAAAGACCCCTGACAAAGAACCTTGAAGACCCATCGTCATTGGACCTCTTTTGACATTTGGAATAGGGATTCCTACCCGGTCTGTCGGGTCTCCCTTTTCACATGCAGCAACTACCGGAGATTGGATCTGTCTTGGGGGCCAAGGAGGGCAACCATGTCCAGAACCACATGACGTTTTTTGCTTTGTTGTAGACTTGGGTGGCTTATCAAAGGCCGAGTAGTGGCGAACAGTTCTAGAATGGTTTCATTCACCGAGGGGGACTTTGTAGGATGGAACTCTTGCGGCAGATGCGCTGAATTGCGTTACTTTGTGGCTTCTCGCCGCACCATTGATGCACCCCTTTGGTAGAGTGACAGCAACACGAAGACGCTCTCCTGCGCTCGTTTATTTCCCTCGTCGTAGCCCATTCTCTCTGGAATTTTTTATTTCCTTCATTCTTTTTGTCGAGTGCTCCTTTCTTTCACCATGGCAGGGTGGACGTACAATGCGCCGGATGGTGCTCCCACCTCTGGCCCCCAGATTTCATCCTTGGCCATTGTATTCACGTCCGTTGCACTTCTTGTGGTTATTATGCGCGTTTACGTCAGAGGCTTCATGGTAAAAGCATTCGGAGCAGGTAAGCATTCGAATCCCGTCTTACACGTGGGAGAGACCCTGGAGCTGACGCTGATCCTTCGGGGGAAAACCAGATGACTGGATCATTATTGCAACATGGGTAAGAACCGTCATCTTGGGTCGTTTGGAATCCCTGCTGACTGAGGCTCTTTGTCGATCAGTTTGCCAGCTGTGGGTTTGCAGTTGTGACGATCATCCGTAAGATGCCAGCTGAAGGTTTGCCAAGAGCAAGAGACTAAAGAGAACAGAAACGAAGTACGGCCTCGGACTCAAGAACCTTGAAGATATGCCTCAGGAAAACTACTATCACTTTCTTTTGGTAAGTCGATTGCCTTCATCACGCTATTACAGAACAGATGCTCAACATACGCAGTTACAATTCATCGGTGCACCTTTGTAAGATACCACGCCTCGTCGTCGATCGAAATACTCATCCCGCGATAGCTACATTTCGAGCATTCTTGGATTCAAGCTCAGTCTTCTCTTGAGCTACCTGCGCTTCATGGCAGCAGGCTTTTGGTACAAGGCAACTGTGGTTGTCGCTGTCGCCTGCACTCTGTTCCATTTTTCCTTCTTGATGGCCCAGGTCAATCTGTGCACGCCCGTAAGTGCATTTTGTTGCCGACAGGTCTGTTCACCTTACTAAAGACGATCCCCATTTAGGTTCGCAAGCAGTGGGATGCCAGCGTCACTGGAGGATCTTGTCTCGACGGTGTGCCCATGTATACCGCGATGGCCTCCATCACCATGGTCTTTGACGTGGTAGTGTAAGATTTCTCTACCTCTGCCTTGATCTCCCATGCTTACGATATCTAGCATGCTCGTTCCCTTCCCGACGCTTATGAAGCTACAAATTCCGAATCGAAAAAAGACAGTCCTCCTCGGCCTCTTCGCCATGGGCACATTCATTTCCATCATCCAAATCGTCCGTATACAAACCATCAAATCTCTCTCAAACCTCATCGACTCGGGGCCCCTCATCATGTGGTCAACGGTAGAAAACAACCTCGGCATCATCGTGGCCTCGGTCCCCACCCTCGCTCCGCTAGTGAGATACTTCAACGAGCAATCCAGAGTGGGAAGTCGAAGCCGAAGCAGGTCCAACAAGGGAGGAGATTCGGGGTACGCTCTGCAATCGAACTGGCGCAAGAATCTGTCGCGTCGAAGTGGTATTCAGGCTCTGGGGAGTGGTGTCGACCAGAGAGATGGAGACAGTTCTGATGGTGTTTTGGGCTCGGCAGAGGATGTGCCGGGTATTATGCGTAAAACTGATATTCACGTCACGACCAGCAAGCATGAGGCATCTGATGATGGGAATTCTGCTCATGCCGTGTTTAGCACCTCGCAGCGCAACATGTTGCGATAGCCTCACAAATAATTCTTCTTTACTTTTGTCAATCTCGTCTGCGCATCAACACTCTCCTCCTTTTCTTCTCCTTCTCCGCTGGTTCCGCTCTGCCGAAGGAACCGATCGATTCCACAGCGTCCCGTTGTCCAAGCTCTCGGTCCGTACATGGGTTTCAGTACTACGCCGCAAGTAGAAGGTGTCCGAGGTCAGGTGGAGAATCCATGGAACAATTGCCGCTTCGAGAGACCGTTGCGAAGGCGGAGCCTAGAGGGTCCCGACTCCAGCGAGTCGAGGCCTCGGCTACTGTCTCAAGTCCCTGTCAGTGCAGTTGTGGCTGACCGGGAGCTATACGTAACCTGTATTAAGACACTCGGGAGGGAAAACAAGAGTTGAGAGACTATTGAACTCTAAGGTCATGTTATATGCGTATTTCATCGGCTCCGCAGAATGATAACGGTAATTATTTTCTCCATGGCGGATAAATACGCCACACCCGTTGAATGTGCCGTCCCGTGCTGGAGGCTGAATCATGAGCCGGGCGTTTCTCCATTCGCTTATTGGCTGGGTCTCAGACACGTCCCACACTGCGAAGGTTCCGTCTGTGCAATAGGGTAGTTCGGCGAACGTTATCGCTCAACATTGGCCTTTCCTCTGCTTTGCCGAACATAATCATTGTCTATCACAGAGACGCTAAATGGTATGATACTGGAAGAACCGGTGGAGCTTTTTACTGGTAATTGTATTGTAAGTACTGCTGTGCGATAAGTATTGTCGGTGGTGGGGCGACTGAGTTGGGTGGCTGTACCAGCCGTCCTTCCAGAAAAGAAACCGTGCAACCCACAACATGGTCTATCAAACAAGTGAGATACGCCTTGCCGAGGTGACCTTGGTCATCATTGTGTTGAATCAATCTCTACTTGGAGGGGGAATTTGATCTAGGTCGATCATTGTGTCGGCAGTTATAAAGCTAAGTTCAAGTCAACGCCACCGAGCGGGCGTTGGTTGTTAAGACACGACTCCATCAGGAACATGATTATCACGATATAAATTGTGGAGCATGAGATAAGGATGCACTCTGCTCTTGGCTGTGAATACTGTTGTTACAAGCGATGGTCTATTCCAAGACTACCTAATTCGTACTTGACTTTTCATTGTGGCCACTCGGATTCAATCCACACCTCTCAAGGTCTATCAATACCAGTGGCAAGAAACTCTATTCATTGGCTGACCAATACGAGCTACAAGCCTGATGTCTCAGGTTCGACGACGAGTGAACGTACGCAGCCAATAGAAGGCAGAAAGTCGCCATGTCAACATCTAATGGCTGACTATACATCAGATCCCAAAACGGCCTGTACATGAATATCCATGTAGCTTTGCAGGCCTAGACTAGTGTATCGTGTTTGAACAACTGAAAATTTCCATCTACAGCACATGGTTCTAAAAAGTACCAGATAAATCCAAAAGCCAGAGATTATAGCCCAAGTCACGTTCCGGACACTTTTGTCTCGGATACTTACGCTTATATAGCATGGATTCTCCTTGCTAGATCTGACGCGTTTGAACCATGACTCCAGGCACCTTGGCGGCTCATTTCCCTCAGACAAAGAGCCGTCACCAGAGCTAACAAACTCGATAAATTCTTTCTCCGAATTAGGAAATATTGCTTGGAAAAATTTTCGAGTCTAAAATCAGTCTTTTATATCTAGCCAAGACATACCAAGACATAGATTCCTTGTGGTTGGTCACTGGCGCTGACGACGTCAAGGATTTTGATGGCCCCGCTCCACCCCCACAGCGGTGAGACCTTGTCTCGTAGTCTATCTCGCAAACGGAACACCAGTTCAAGGGAGAAAACAGGCCATTCTTTTCAGCTATTGGCTCGGAATGTGCCAGATTATTCCCGGTTGCGGCATGGGAAGTAAGAACTGTATGCCGCGTAACACATATGGTTACACCCGAGCTCTCAATGTCAGGTTGACACCCTGCAAAGAACAAGGGAGAGGTTCCATTCTTTGCGGAGCTTTCAGTGGAACCCTTTGCCAAAACAGTTGGCTTGCAGAGCTTGGACTGGGTCATTCGGATGACCGGCTCGCATTCCAACTGGTCTTGGTAAAAGACGTGCAGAGAGTTGAGCTCATTAAACGCGTGACGCGCAGAGCGGGGGAAAAGATGCAACGTATAAAAACATTCCAGTCATCTGGACGATAAATATTGTTCTTATTCCCGCATTTTGGAAATCGCCTCAGACGACGTAAATTACGTGAATCATGGCTAGTCAACAAACTCAAGAGCCGGCGGTCGCTTCAGCTGCCCAGGAGGAGCCGCAGCACGATGCTCATTTGGAAGTAGATGTGAGTTGTTGATTTTGACGACACGAAAGGGTCCCTAACCCGCTATTAGGATACTCTGGAAGAGGCCGACTCTGTCATTGATGCCTCGTGAGTTTGATGAGCTCGATTTTCTTGGCTTAGTTGACTTACGTCTCCCAATAGAGAGGGAAACTCTAGCTATCTGTCTTCCTTGAAATCGAGCATTTACAACTATAGGTGAGTATTCTGTCATTGTTCTCTTATAAAGAACTAAATGTCTGACCTGGAATGATATTTATTAGATACGAGGTATGGGGAATGACAAAAAATGCCCGCTGGATACTGACCATGTACAGAATGGACGCCGCTATCATGCGTTCCGTGAAGGCACTTATATCTTGGTAAAATTTCTCGGAATTATTGAGGGCCAAAGCTGACATTGAGCAATAGCCCAACGATGAAGAGGAACAGGACCGAATGGACCTAGTTCACCACATTTACAGTCTCCTCCTCGACGGGAAGCTCTACCTTGCCCCCATTGACAAGAGCCCTCAGCGCATCCTCGATCTGGGAACCGGCACAGGTATCTGGGCTATGGATGCCGCAGAGTAAGCTCTGGATATTGGATTAGCCAAGGGACATCCAACTAACCGGTGCATCACAGTGAGCACCAATCAGCAGAAGTGATTGGAACCGATCTCAGCCCCATTCAGCCCCAATGGTATATGCCCTGGTCTTAATAGTCTATGCCTCACTAATGCCTTGAATAGGACACCCCCCAACTGCGTCTTCGAAGTTGACGACTTTGAAGATGACTGGGTGTACAAGAAGCAATTTGACTTTATCCATGGCCGCGAGCTGGAAGGATGCATATCTGACGACCTCCTCCTCTTTCAAAGAGTTTTCAAGTCTCTTGTACCTAACGGATACATCGAGTTCCAGGGTGTCGAAGCTCGGTTCGTCTCTGACGATGGCACCCTTGAGAAGGCCACCAACGCACAGCAGTGGATGCAGACCCTGAGGGACGCTAGTGTCAAGTTTGGCAAGCCATTGAACAGTGCACCTAGCTGGAAGGACAAGGTGATTGAGGCTGGATTTGTGGACGTCAAGCATGAAGTGCGCAAGGTACATATCAACTCCCCAGAAAATGCATTGGCTCAAGTTACCTTGCTAACCTACCTAGCTACCTATTGGCGCGTGGCCCAAGGACCCCAAGCTCAAGGAGATTGGAAGATACCAATCGATTCAGGAGCTGCAAGTCGTCGACTCATATACACCCCAACTTTTCAGCCAGGTTCTCGGCTGGAACATTGACGAGATTCGTGTGTTTATGGCCAAGGTCAAGAAGGAACTTCAAGACCCATCTATTCACCTCTATCTCCCGGTGCACTTTGTTTGGGGCAGGAAGCCTGAGCAGTAGAATACATAGTTTTTTTCACATTTAGAGAAAGAAATATGGGTCAGTTGCGATGAATTAGCTACCTAGATACCATCGCTGAAGCAACCAGTATCCACGACAGTGCTTAAGCATTGATTTGCTTCTTGGGGTGCTCCTTGGGCGCATCAAGTGGTGCATCAACATTCATATTGAAGTCACGCTTAGGATCAATAATGAAGAAAGAAGCTATTCAGCCTGTTAGCCTGGCCACGTTGTACTGGGTGGATAGCATTGTTTCGTGCTTACCGATGACAGCAATTGTAGATAGTGCAAGGCCAAAGCCGTGAAGAGGACGAAGTGATGTGATGTAAGCCTGCTGCAGACCATGAGCTCCAGCTTGGATGATTTGCGGAGTGACACCCTCAATGGTAGCAAAGGCGCTGTCGTTATGGTCGGACAAGGCTTGAATGAAGGGCCCGAGGGATTCTGTAGGGAGACCAAGAGGAAGAACAGCTTTAGCGATATCCTTGGGGAGGTTCTTGGTGATCTGCGAGTTGAAGATGGCGTTACAGATCGCAAAGCAGATTGATGCTCCAGCGGATCGAGCAGTGATAAGGGCACCACTGCTGATGGAAAGGAGCTCAGGCGGAGCACTGAACTGCGCTGCGACGACGATGCATGTTAGGCAGCCACCGAAACCAAGACCGAGGAAGACGTTGAAGCCCCAGACATTCTTTCCATCGCCAAAGCCAACAGACATCATCGTTGCTGTATGCTGTTAGTATGTGGAAGCCTGGAACTGGACAGATTCTTACCGTAGAAGATGACAAATCCAATGTAGGACACAACCAAGGGCCATCTCAACTGCCTACTCCATGAGCAATAGATGGAAGCTACGATGCTCCCAACCACGGCTGCAATAAAGACAATTGAGAAATTGAGGCAGACCAAGACTGGATTAGTTTCAAAGAGAACTGACACCTCCAGGGGCACATAGGAGTTGGCCACGAAGAACGCCATTCCCTCGACAAAGATCAAGAACAATGCAATAGAAGCATTTCGGTCGTGATTGAAGAGTTCATGGTGGAAGAGACCATCCTTCTTCACAAAGGCTTCATACAAAGCAAGAATAATGACAAGAACGATGCCAATGGTGAAGGGGGCGACGACGTGAGCGTTGCTCCACGAGAAGGGGTTCTCGGACCAGGTAAGCCCGATGCAGAGGACAGTAACGGCGACAGGAAGCAGGATGATGCCGACCCAGTCGAGTTTCCTGAGCTTCTCCTTCAGTGTATAGTTGACCTGCTCTGGCCGTGGAGGCGGGTTATACAGGAACATAACGACAAGAGCCGTGAAGGTAAACAGGCCGGTGTTGAAGTACCACACGATGCGCCATCCAGAGGGATTGTCCTTTGTCACGGCACTGCCCATCATGAGTGCGACGATGGCAGCAACGGCAAAGATGCCAGTGACACCACCCTGAGCAGCGGGACGATATCTTCGAGGCAAAATCTCGGAGGCGACGGCGAAGAGAAGAGGTTGAGCGGACGTGGAGATGCTGGCGAGAGCGTTACCGGCGAGTGCCATGTCGATGTTGGTGGCTCGAGAGACGATGATGCTGCCAACGACGGCAAAGGCGCAGGAAATGACGAGAAACCATTTTCGGCCCCTATTTGTTGATGAGTTAGCGTGTTGTCGTGAGCTGAGTGAAGGAAGATCCTACCAGTAATCCGCAGCTTGGGCAACTGGAGCACCCAGAGCAAGGTTGACGATAGGAACAGACTGCGATATCCACTGTGTCTTGTCACTGCCACCAATATCGGCAACCATGCTTCGTGCAAGCTACGTCAACGAATGTTAGCAAACATCCATAGAAGTGTTCGATTTGGGCATCGCACGTTGCCTGAAGAAACAATGACCATCATCTCGGCAAAACCAACCGCAAGAATGGCCTGTTGTGTTAGCACTCCATAAACTACTGTGATTGGACTGACTTACAAGATAGACAATGACACATGTTGCTGTGAGTCCCTCATAGTTGTCTCCGTCTTCTGATGGGACATTGTCGAGATGCGTAGCTTGTCCCTCGCTGTCGGGCTTCTCGCTCGTGACGGGGCTCTTTTCGGGGTTTATTCCGTCGGGAGCCATATTGTAGACCAAGGGCTATCACTGATTTACGGTATCAAAGTAGTATGACAAAGACTGCTTCAACAGATGGATGCTGGCTGTGTTGATGAAAGAAGCTTGCAGATCTCATCTCGGGGATGGGGGTGACAAGGCTTCATATAGCCAGAGTCAGGGAGCCGAGAGCTTGGAACCTCATCTGAACTGCCGGTGGGGTATCAGATAAGTCAGCGGGGGAATGCCGCCTTCCAAGACTTTTTATTAGACAATGGGCTTGCTCAATTGAGCGCTGCCGAACCAGCCATCACAGGGTCCCTTGTAAAGTGTCAAATGCCAACCGTCCAGTCATCATCTGAGATGGGATGGGGGCAGATGACATGTCCTGCAGCGACATTTGAACAGACATGAAAGACCCAGAAGAGCCAAAAGCCAAGAGAAAAGGTCACATTTTGACCCGAGTGGGCGAGTCCCTTCATTTGTCCTCGACGTTGGTCAGTACAGCCATTTCGGGACCACAGTTGAAAGGGAGCTTGGCCCCGCGTTTAAGCCAACGCGATGCGCATTAAAAACAAAGCTAGCTATGCTAATTCAAGAAAGGAGCATTACCAAGACTCCCACTAGCTAATTGTGGCTGGGTCTAGGCCTAACTGCTGGTGCACATCCCATAACGTTGAGAGCCTCCTGAGATCGGTCAAGACATGATAAAGCCCCAGGTCTGTCTTTGTGATTGCTAAATGTACTTAAATTAACTGAACTGGTTTGCTTTCTAGACTTCGAGCCCCTTTTAGGGATCCTCCTTCACTGACTTGAGTGAGGGAGCTGAGCCAAGGTGAAGCTTTGAAACCACATCACCACATTGGTAAGACTTGGCGCCAACATCGACTTCCAGCCAATCTGGATTTTGTCAATCCTTGCCAAATTTCGCGGTTTAGTTTTGCAGGAGCCAGCTACTTTGCCTTTAACACAAAGTCGTGCAAGACTCGAACAGTTACAGCTAGATTTTCCCTCCACCACAGACAGGGTTTGGTCAGGCCCTGCTTCGTACAGCATGGGGGCCAGAGCAACTTGATAAGGTGGCGATGATCAGAATGATGTCTCTAGATCCATCAAACCCCAAGATTTAGATATCGATGGCTCAAATCACCTCATCTCGGTTAGAGTAAAAAGCAAGGACGCAGGCCGGCTCCACAATCCCCGGATCTGGGGCCGACCAGAGGCCATGAACCAAAACGCGGGGTCAGTTCTTGGAGCACTAACTCGATGTGGGCATCCTTGCTTTTTGTCCAGTTCTTAAGATGTATCATCTTGACGGTCCTGCTCACCAAATATTATATTCTTTCAGGCTTCAGGCCGTTCTTTGAGTCATGGAGGTTGAGTGGACGATGAATAACGACTATTAAGCGCAAAGTTAGTTTAGGATACAAAAATCATTAAGCAGTTGAATAAAGGAGTACACAGGAGAGATTTGGCCAAGCCTTGATATTCTGGATAGGAAAAGGACATGCTTGAAATAGAGAATCTCGTTTTGGATGAGCAGTGTGGTACCCGAAAGTAATGGCGTTGACTGCAACGTTGGGACAACGAGTAGAATGATTGCCACAAAGGAAGAGGTATTTATCGCATTTATTGCTCTATGACCCCAAGAAATCACATTACTGAGACTGAATAGCATTTTTATACTATTAGTAGCGTCTTGTCAATATTTCTTGGTCCCAACGCCATGCTGTCTGTCGCCAAGATTGCCACCCAACTCGGCCAGGAGGCAACCCTATACACTGTCTCTGCATTGATCATCTTCGCCTTACTGTCAATCGCGGTACTTAAAGTACGATACAATTACAACTCTTTGCCTAGGTTCTTTGAAGCCATGGGATCGACTGACTATTTCTCAAGTGCGCCTACCGACTCTTGCTTCATCCTCTTCGTCGTGTCCCCGGACCCTTTGTCGCCAGAATAACCGACTTGTATTTCTTTCCATCCACCTTTAAATGCGACCGAGTCTATGTGAGTTATCAGTACAAAGTACGCTTTGCATACTAACACCCAATGCCTTGCAGGTCTTGCGACGCCTGCACGAGAAATATGGCCCCATCGTACGTGTTGGGCCCAACGAGGTCTCGCTATCCGACTGGAGAATGTATCGCCGAATATACACAAACAAGCAAGCCCTAAAGGATCCCAAGTTCTACTCGCCATTTTCTTTCCTCGGACATGGGAACGTCTTTTCCGTTACGTATGTACCCCGTTCACATCGCTCATTGACTCCGTTAACCAGTACCAGCAACGCCGTAGACCATTCTTCACGCCGAAAACTTCAAGCAAAGACTTACTCTCAACAAGAAATCGCTTCGCACGCCTCCAGCATCTTGCAGAGGACGGATGTTCTAATCGATCGCCTCCTAAAGTCTGCCTCAGACTCTCCTACAAGCACAGCGAATGCCTACGACCTGTTCGGAGCATGGGGCCTCGAAATTATATGCAAGCTTCTTGTAGATGCCGACATTCCCGACGACCCAGGCCAGACCATTCACATGCTCGAAGCGCTCGAGGCAAGCCCTCCTACGTTCTTTGCCAACATCCTATTCCCTTGGCTTCCGACATTCAGGTTCAAGACCAGCCTACCTGGAATTCTTGGACATGCTTATCGGGCCTTTGATGAATGGGAGAGGCTCACTATTGGCATGTTGAAGGGCTACGAAAGCCAAGAGCGAGACCCTGGCGACAAAAAGCAATTCGGTGTGACCCCTCTTCTCGAGGCAAACAATAAACACCTCGGGCGAAGTTATCACTTCCGCGAAGCGCTGGAAGAAGCTATGGGCATCGTTCTGGCAGGCAGCGGGGTTAGTGGACACACCTTTATCTACTTGATCTACGCTCTGGCGCTTCCTCAAGGAAGACGAGTTCAAGAGACACTACGGGAAGAGCTCAAGGGAGTTGGTGACTCTTTATCGGAGCTGATGGCCTTGCCTTACCTTTCAGCGGTCATCAAGGAGACGTATCGGGTGTATCCAGCCATCATGTCGACTCTCCCACGAATTCTGGGCGAGCCGCTGGAGGTTGCCGATACCGACCTTACACTTCCTCCTGGAACCGTCGTCGGCATGCAGAACTATGTGCATCACCGAGATCCAATACTCTTCCCCAAGCCGGATGAATTCATCCCAGAGCGTTGGCTTGAAGGCCACAAGATGAGCCAGGGCATCAATCTCGACGACGCCAACGCCGCCTTGACGCCCTACAGTGTAGGATCGAGGAACTGCATGGGGCAGACACTTGCGAAAACAGAACTTTACCTCTCAGTTCCCCGCCTGGTGCGGCGGCTCGACTTTAGGTTGAGTAGTAAAATGAAGCCGGATGACATGCATATGAAGGATTTATGGGCAGTTCAGCCCAAGGGACGACGACTTTTCTTGGATGTCAAGCCTGTGGATGGGTAAGAAGCTGTTGCGGGTATTCTGTGAGGCGCCACACTACCTTGAAATAAGTACTGCTTTGACGCGCAGCTCATTTGGATCAATGGCGACAATTCTTCCCCGTATCGTGAAAGTGCATGATAATCAGAATCAGCAAGATACGACTGAAACGCAAGTAGGCAGTGCAATGCAACTCAACAGTAAATGCCTTGGTAAATACCACATCGCTTCAAAAAAAACGCCTTGCATTGCCTCCCGGCTTGCTCGGCACTTCTGACACAACATCAATCCCTGACTCGGGGACTTGAACTGACGCGATAAGCCGGCGACGTGAGATCTTCTTGTACGTAGATGACGCCAAGTCAGATTTCTTGGCTGCATCTCCATCTTGGTAACTCGAGACCGCTTACAAAGGGGTTGATACCTGAAACAGGTAGAAACTGTGAGGCTGAAACATGAACGAGGCCGGTTCACGGCCATCCCGCCCTACGAGGTCGCCATCACGGTCGGGTCGCCCTTTTGCCGACCCCTGCCAAGCCAACTTGAAACAACCCATCAAGTTTCCACTCACAAGCCCCATATTGACTTAAGCTTGATTGAAGCTTGATTGAAGCTTAATAACAACGCCCTACCGGACGAAAGGGTTACATTCTACAGGATCAGACAATGGGGCTGCCAGGTTCACGAGAGCCAAGAGGCACAACCGAGTTGAGAATGAGATCTGCCAAACACTACCATTGTCTCAGTGCGTTACGGCACAGCTTGTTCCCGAGCCAAGAGTCACTGCGATGGATCAGGACGAAGAAAAAACATGGCGCGGATCGTCTTTACCGAGCTGAGCGACGTCTCATGATTGTTCTAGCATCAGCAAGAGCCTCTCCTTGTGTCGCCTGGCACATGTCACTTGGAGAGTAAAACCTGGCACTTCCCGCCGGTTCCAAGTCTGATCTTCATCCCCTCTCTCATCAAGTTGTGTGTGTCTCATTCCTTTCTACCGCAATAATCTTTTTTCGTTTCTTAATCCTTCATTCTTTTCTCTTGCGATCTGGTATCGCCCATTATTTCCTAATCCACATCACGATCCAACCGCATTCCTTTTACGATCCTTCCCATTGACGACCTAGTCGCCAGCTAGACATGATCTTCTCGAAAGTCGGCAGCCTGGTGCTCTTTGCTGGCCTTGTCACAGCCTCTCCTTCATTCTTCACGCCAAATACGACAGAAGGCCACGAAGCTCCTGCTCACGAGCCCGCAGAGCCAGTTCATGAACCCGCTGAACCAGTCCATGAACCAGTCCAGCCAGAGCATGAGCCAGCTGTACCGGCCCATGAAGCAGCTCCTGGCTGTGAGCCAATACAAGTCACTGTCCACGAGATCGTGACTGTTCACGTCACACTCCCTCCTGAGATCCAGCACGTCACAGAGACAGTCCACGTCACATTACACCCAGAGACCATCCACGTGACGGAAACCGAGGTCAAGCATCAGATTGAGACCAAGGTGGAAGAGGTCGTCGTCGAGAAGCCCATCGAGAAGTTGGTCACCATCATCCACACTTCGGTCGTCAACAATGAAGTGGAAAAGCCCGTCACTGTCATCCACACGTCAGTGGTGAACCACGAAGTCGAGAAGCTCGTGACAGTCATTCACACTTCTGTGGTCCACCAAGAGGTCGAGAAGCCAGTTACTGTGATCCACACATCCGTGGTGGAAGTCGAGAAGCCTGTTCAGGTCGTTCACACAGTCGCGGTTGAAAAACCTGTCGAGGTGCCGGTGACAGTTATCCATACCTCTGTTGTAGAGAAACCCGTTCAGGTTGTCCATACAGTCGAGGTGGAGAAGCCAGTTGAAGTGGAAAAGCCAGTGACCGTCATCCACACGTCCGTGGTCGAGGTCGAGAAGCCTGTTCAAGTTGTCCACACCGTCGAGGTTGAGAAACCTGTTGAGGTGCCAGTCACAGTTATCCACACCTCTGTCGTGGAGAAGCCAGTGCAGGTTGTTCACACTGTCGAAGTGGAGAAGCCAGTCGAGGTGGTTCATACTGTCGAGGTTGAAAAGCCTGTTCATGTCACCGTGGTACACACCGTCACGGAGCACGGAGCCGCAGAGACGGTGCACGTTACGGCTATCCACACAGTGACAGTCCCTGCTGCTGAACATGAAATGCCGGCTGAAGAGGAGCCGGTCCATGAGCCGGTTGTCGAGCATCCCGTCCAGGCTGAACCTGCTCCTGAACATGAGCCTGGGGCTATGCCCGAACATGAGCCCGAATCAATGCCTGAGCACGAGCCTGAGCCAATGCTTGAGCATGAACCTGAGCCCATGCCCGAGCACGAACCACAACCCATGCCGGAGCATGAACCTGAAGCTGTGCCTGAGCATGAGCCTGAACCAATGCTAGAATATGAACCCGCTCCTACGCCGGAGCACAAGATGCAGCAGGAGGAAAGCCACCAGAAGGCTGAACCTGAGCCGATCCCAATCGTGATCGTTCCTGGGGGAGGATGGAATGCCACCGGGACCCTATCACACATCCCGGGTCGTCGTGCTGTTTTTAAGAGGTGGTGAGGGCTGATCGATGCTTCGATTCTTTTAATTTGTCAACATTTAGATAATGATATCCCCCAATAAGAATGCATTTTCAATTACACCTGCCTTGGATCCTATTCTCCCTGTGCTCATTGGTTCCTTTCATTAAATACATGATGCTTTGATCCGTGAATGGTATTATCTTTGGCTTTCTTGCAATCAATTGACCATCAGTTATCACCCGTGTATGATGGTCAAATCATGGAACTTATCTTGCCTCTTGTCACACTATAGCTGACCTGACCTGACATAGTATTGTCCATTGGTCGTTCTCCCACGGTTATTATTCATTCCTTTTTATAACTTGCCTCACTGCCTCAGTAGCCGTCAGTGACAAACCTCTTACTCTGCCTGTCTACTTCATGAAGTTTCGACTCGTGATGCTCCACATTCCATTGCGCCGTCACAATAATTTCCTCGCCAGCCTTACCATCGTCCTTTTTGTATGATTCTGAGCCCATGTTTGTAGCGCTAGCCGGCTTCTGGCCTCCTTCGAAAATTTCTTTCTCGGAGCCGTATCGTTCGTAAAAAGCTTCCCCCGGCAACGAAAGGGGGTGCTTGAAGGCGGCCTTCTTTCTTCCCTTGCCACCTATAGTCGCGAGCTGAAAACGACTACTGCTCTTACTGACGCCGGGAGTGCCCGCAGACCGAGGTCCGTTATATCCTGGATATCCTAAACGAGCACGTCTCACACCGCGTTGGATCAAAGGTGTGAGAACAGGCAGGTTGGTCACAACCATAGCCACGAAAGACTCTCGGCTGGACCACTCTCCAGCTTGTTGGGGGCCTTTTACGCCACCTTGGAGAATGTAACTGCACAGAAGACCTCCAAAGACTGCTGTGATGAGAACGCCACAGAAGATGATGACGAGAGCAATTTTCTTTGCTCTGGGAATGTTGGCGTTCCAGACTATCTAAAGAAGGAGGCTCGTTAGTATTCCAAGATTATTAGCCACTAAAAGACGGGTCCAATGTTCTTACCGGTAGGGGGATAGACATAATGTACGGGTCGGTGCTCAAGTTTTTCCAGATCAAGGTCCAAGCTTGAACGTGCGACACGACAGGATAGATGATGTACATGTCAGCAAAAGTCTCATCGGTGCCTGAGACTCTGAATGCACGCAGTTCCAGGATCAAGGTAGATCTGCCACTTCCTGTAAATGGGCCAGCATGAACACAGCATGGTGAAAAAGGTTCCAAGGAACGTCACCCCGACAATTGCAAAGCCAATATTGATCTTCATGGTCATGTCATCGACGCCATCTCCGAGGCGCTTGAAGATGAGCAGCCAGCATAGCTTGAGGCACCAAAGCAACACCGTATACACCAGCCAATCGAATAATTGTGTATGCGATCCATGAACTCGTCGGTAATATTCGTCGCTGTGGGGGTCGAGGGTTGCACGTTGTTCGTCCGTCATGCTGGATAACAAGATGAGTCAGCTTCCTAATACGTTTATATCCTCCGCTGAGGGGGTCACGAATCGAATGCTGTTTTAGGGCAAGGGCTTACGCATTGTTGGTCAATCCTTGCCAATAAGCTTGGTCAAGGGCTCGAAGAAGGGGTGGGGTCGTTAGTGCTGAGAATATCACCACGTGGTCAAACGTTAACAACTCACTCCAGCTAAAACCATAAGGTAGTCATTGGGAGCCAATCCTCCAAGCCCCATCCAACGCCATTGAGCACCGAAGCGAATGGTCACGATGATGAGGCTGAGCCCTAAATAAGTCCAAGCCTCAACCGTAAAGGCCGTCAAAGGGTCCAAGGCCATGCTGGCCGTCGAGTGGCCGAACTTTACGAAACAAAGGAAAGGGCAAAATGACAGGAAATGACGGGGTTTTCAGTCATCACAAATTGTATCTACGAGACTGGCTAGGTGTGGGACATGGCATCCTTCTTTAAAGTTGCCCGGGCAGCAACGGCAAGACTTCACAGGACAATGATAGAATTCGGTAGATGGACTCGCCTACCATTGGCTGTGGAGAGATTGCACCGCCGTTACCCGCGCCGCATTGACATCCCCCAACTGCCATCGCCAAGTAACTCTATATCCATGACCTGTCATAGATAAAATCAAGGGCAAAGTTATCTGAACGGGAGCATCCACGTTTGATACGAGCTAACGACGTGACTGCTATCTGCCTGCGCTATTCCTGTACCTCTAATCCTTAAAGACTCGCACTAGACCCGTTTTGAGAAGGACAGCGGGAAATGGAACCTAAATAGAGTATGAGAAGAAAGAGATCAAGACAACCGATCCCATCTGCAGCTCTACGGGGGAATTAGAGTTTAGGTGATGATAACGGGGAACAGGGGTGCATCGGTGATTGACAACCAACACATGTCAAATGTGTTTGCAAGGTCAGGGTAAAATACTAATGGCCCTTGAGCCGTCCTGCAAAGCGGTATTTGTGTTTCCCCGCTCTGAAAAATCAGCAGAGATTGGAAAACTGACGTCGTCATGTCGACCGAGGCTTGGAGATTTCCCCTCTTCAGCCATGCTCCATCTGTGGATCTGTTAGGTCGTATCGTTGATGATGGTGCGACGTCACCCTGGCTTCACTCCAACACGGGTGTTACTCCGCAGTTGAAGAGAGCTCCGCGTCTCGCCAAGCTGTCCCGATTCAGATTCCGCGGCGGCTCTCTTCAAGGTCCAGGACTGTTTGAACTGGATGCGATTGGGCCGTACGTACGGAGTATGCAAGGACTAATTGTCCCCATGTCAGCGAGCTGCAGGAGCATAGCCCGTAAAATCAGCTCATGAGGTCCCCTCGACAGAGCTCTCGAGACGTAAATACAGTGCCTGGTAGCTTCTGCAGCCGACGATCCGCTTTCTCAAGAAAATTTTCTCAGAAAAAGCAAAGAGAAAAACATGGCTGTTAAAATCGACATTTCCGTCTGTCACTCCCCTGTCCACTGTACTGAACCCTGCTAACTCTTTCTAGACCTACCCTGGTAACATCGTTAATGGCGAGTTCGCCGCTACCCCAGAGACCCGGCACTCGATCGATCCGTCCACGGAGCAGGCTCTGCCCGATGTCCCTGTCGCTACCGAAGAGCAGCTAGATCTCGCAGTCAAGCATGCCCGTGTCGCGTTTAATAAGTGGTCCAAGACCACCCACGAGGAGCGAAGCAAGCTAATGATCGCTTTTGCCGATGCCATTGAGGCCAATCGCCATGAGCTCGAGAAGCTGCAGTCCATGGAGCAAGGCAAGCCTTTGGGCTTGGCCGGGCAGGAGATGGACATGACCTTGACTTGGCTACGGGCCTTTGCTACCATGGAGGTCAAGGATGAGATTATTGAAGACACAGAGGAGAGAAGAATTACCTCGACGTTTCCCCCACTGGGCGTTTGCGGCGCCATCGTCCCTTGGAACTGGCCTATGCTCCTGGGATTGGGCAAAGTCGGTCCCGCAATCATGACAGGCAATGCCGTTATCATGAAGCCGTCTCCATTCACCCCATACTGCGATCTAAAATTTGGTGAGATTGGAATGTCAGTCTTCCCCCCAGGCGTGTTTCAGGTCCTTAGCGGCGACGATAACCTGGGTCCTTGGATGACGGCCCACCCTGGCATCGACATGATTAGCTTCACAGGATCAATTGCCACTGGTAAGAAGATTGCTGCCAGCTGCTCCAAGACATTGAAGCGAGTCGTTCTCGAGCTGGGCGGAAACGACGCTGCGATTGTCTGCGAGGACGTTGACATCGAAAAGTGTCTCCCCAAGATTACAATGCTGTCGTTCTTGAACTCGGGTCAGATCTGCATGTTGACCAAGCGAGTCTACGTGCACGAGAAGATTTATGACCAGTTCAGGGATGCCATGGTTGAGTTTACAAAGAACCATGTCAAGACTGGTGGCGCCTTTGAGGAGGGCGTGGTTGTCGGGCCAGTGCAGAACAGCATGCAGTAAGTTGTCTCCAATTGCTCTCAGCCAAATATGCTAACACACACACTAGATATGAGCTTGTCAAGAACATGTATTCGGAGATCGAGAAGCAAGGATGGAATGTCGCTCTTGAAGGCAAGATCCGAGAGACATCCAAGGGTTACCTTATCGAACCCGCCATCATCGACAACCCACCTGAAAACTCCCGCATCGTCGTCGAAGAGCCCTTTGGCCCCATCGTGCCGCTCCTCAAATGGTCGGACGAGCAAGACGTCATCGACCGCGCCAACGCCCTTGAGACAGGTCTCGGCGCCTCAGTCTGGAGCAAGGATCTGGACCGGGCTGAGAGAATGGGTCGCCAGATTAGCGCTGGAAGCGTGTGGATCAACTCGCACTTTGATGTTGCGCCTAATGTGCCGTTCGGTGGACACAAGGAGAGTGGTATCGGAATGGAGTGGGGCCTTGAGGGATTCAAGCGTTATACGAATAGCAGGAGTCTTTGGGTGTGGAAGAAGGTCTTTGCTTGAGGTTGTTAGCAGGTCGTGATCTTTGAGAAATACCTACGGGGCGAAACTGGGGTTTGAACAAGTGTTGAACGAAACTGAAGCGCTCAATACATCAGGAAATTATTGGAGCTACAGTTATTCTACGCAAATCCTTTGTTCTATCTGATAGACAGGTCTGCTCAAAGCCTAGTTCAACTCGCAAGATTCAAATGTCTCGTCGTATCATAGCTCTTCGTGCTCTTGGCCATTCAGCCACAGGTGGATGATACCTAGAAACTAAGGCGTTGTGTGGCCGCACAACTCACCTAACCTAAGGAGGCTTTGCGTAAATAAATAGGGGTGATATCATCTTTCAAATAAATGGAGTAAAATTGTATATATGGAACAAATATTCGATCCCACCATAGCTCCCGGGTGTCTAATTAGCAGCTTGTAGGTTAAGACTTCTTAGTGTTCATCTAAAACTTGCCTTTTCCCTCCCTCAATTGTAGTTTGCCGTTCAGAAATGGCTGGAATATTGCCTGTACTTTAAAGTTGATCAGATCCTGTTGTCTAGAAGGCTGTGATCTCAGGATTTGTACTCAAAGAAACAGTAGGGACATCTCGAGTAAAGCGAGCAATCTCTTAGTAGTCTCGATATTAGTTCTCCTGGCTATGTTGCTAGCCAACTCTAAATGTTAAATAGCCAATACCATGGCAGAGTATCAACTGTGCATACGCACCTACCATGTTGCTCCAGGCTCCGTAGAAAACATAATAGATGGCTCGATAGGGGCAGCAGGAGACGCTTGTCAAGTTATGCCTTGGTGAAACAACTTCTTGCGCGATAATTGACGCGTGAAAGGCCAGGGCGTATTTATACAGAATTCATAGTTTTGTCGCAACAGCAAACTTTGAGTTGTCCCCCGAAAGTATCTTTAGGCTTAACTATCCCATCAAGGGCCGAGCTTCAACTACGACAAGGAGTACCATACTCTTGCCAAAGTCATGTTAATGCAATCGACAGAATTAGTTTACTCATTTATATTCTATAGACAGCTGGCTGGGCCTATCGTAAAGTTGCCTATAATGTCATTTCTAAATGATTTGAGTTTGATGAGCTACTTGGTCGCTAAGAGGCACCACCTAGCCAGGTACCTGGCCACTCACTCCAAGCTGAGATCCGCTTTACCTAGTTTATTAAAAAATTATTGCATCACGGTACACGAGCTTAAGTGATGGCTCTATTTTAAAATAGCAGATGGCGCGGCGGGTTCATTTGAGAGAAGAAGCGGGTGCCACTGCTTCCCGTACGAGCCTGTCCTTTTCGGTCGATTATCGTCGGGTACTCCTCATGACATAGTGGTAGCACAGAGACCCAACAAAAAACTTACTGAATGGCCTTGTGTCTTCAGCTAAGGCTGTCATGACTTTAATTTCGTTGGATTTCGTTTGTATCTCCTTTAGGGAGGTCTACAAGGCTGCAGACTGTATAAGAGCCACAACTCTCTCCAGTCCATTCTGGTACCTTTACTGGCGATCCTTTGCCTCCCGCCAGTACATAGATAGAGGAGGGTTGAGCAGGCTTGGAGCTCTTACGCTGAGTATTCTCGAAACCTTGGGGTCCGATGTTAGCGATTCACCGTGTACCCTAATGCCCGATGCAAGCAAGCAAGCAAGCCGTCGGGCATGCGGGACTTGTACGTGAACGCCTTTCTCACTCAGTGTCGTGGCGTCAGGGCGAGCACCCATTGCTCTTCATGTATGCAGAAGATGTTACGGGGCTCATCCTCGGACTTGTTCAGTCGTCTTGAAATGCGACCCTATACTCCCTTCTTATTCGCCAAGGTCAAAACTTGTCGTCTCGTCCCCGCACTTGTTTCCCCAACCCACAGCTTATCACGGTAATCTCACGCGTGAACAACTTGCAGCAGAGGTCACGTTCTCCTCTGCCTTTTGGGATTAGCTGCGGGAACGTGGTGTTACTTTTTGGCTGGCCAACCCTCGTCGCGGTGCAACGACATTGACCAATGGCCGCCGAGGCAGTGCTACGTTGCAAATTGAGTGTCTCTGTCTCATTTAGATGGCAGGGTTACACCCAGGGCTGACGGTGACTGGGGAATTGATCCCGTCTGACAGTAAGTCGGGTGCCCTACGTCAACTAAATGAGATCAGCGCTGCGTTAACCCACTCTTGATTGACTTATTAGACCTGTGCAGAGCCGAGCAAAACGTTTCCCTAGACTGTCAAGTCAAAGCTATCATCATGCATTCTCTGGCTATTGTTGCACTCACCACCATCGCCAGTCTGGCCAACGCCGTCAGGGTCCCCTCTGTCAACGTTCCAGCATGCCCCAGGGTCGGCACCATCAGCTACTCCAAATCTGTCCCTGACCAGACCGACTTCCCCCTCACCAAGGTCGATCTCTGCTACACGCGAAACTCGCTCTCGTTGACCTTTACCGCCCACAACGAGACCAACTTTTACTTCGACCCCAATCAAGGCACCAACGATGACATCTGGGAGTACGAGGTCATGGAGGCCTTCATCTACAAGGGCACCGATGATCCCAAGACCTACCTAGAGTTCGAAGTCAACCCCAACAATGTGACGTATCAAGCGTTCGTTTACAACCCGTCCAAGGATAGGGCCGAGGGCGCGCCGTTTGATCACTTTTTCGTCTCCAACCCAGCAGCTGATGGTTTCTCTGCCACGACGAAGCTTGACAAGGCTGCCGAGTGCTGGGTCAGCAAGGTCAAGATCCCCTGGGGTCTTTTCAACGTCGACGATGGTGCTGCCAAGGGTACCAGGTGGAGGATGAACTTTTTCCGCACAGTCACCAGTCCATCCACGTTCCCTGATCAGGAGCTCGGAGCTTGGAGCTCACCAAACAAGGCAAGCTTCCACATCACCAAGTACTTTGGAAATGTCAAGTTTGTTTGAGCCAAGGTTGGAGTAAGAGTGTCCGCAGGATGGTTGTGAATGCGTGGCAACTTTCGCTGTTCGCTCGGCTACCTACTTGAAGCGCTGAAGAATACACAACTCCCAAGACAAACCTAAAACGAGTTCTCATAGTCAATCCAATAAACTCAATTTATTATACCGAAACATGCTTATCCTGTCATCTCCCTGCTCAATAGCAGCAAACCCATCATCACATGACGCCTCGCCATGAACTAACAATCGCTCACCAAAACTCATGCCTCGACTCTCTTCTCAGGGTGGCCCGCAGGCAAAACATCCGCAAGGGTCTCGTCTGTTCCCTTGAGGTCATCCTCCGTGTCAACATGGTCGCGGATCTTGAGCAGAATCACGGGAGCAGCCACCACAAGAGAAACGGAGAGCAGAACCCAGTTGCTGATGAACTCTGTCTTGAAGGGGGTCTTGCGCGCGTCAAGGTGATTCATGATTGCCGAGCCAGCAGACTGAATGCCCTTGTAGAAACCAACGTAGTTGGCAGATCGACGACCAGAGTTGGAGAGGGCGCCGATGAACCTGAATTGCATGTTAGTATCAAGATGAGAAGAAACACAACAAGACCAACATACCAATAAACACTGGCTTGCCAGCAAGCATCGTAGAAGCCATAAAACATGTACAAGAACATGGGCCCAACATAACCCGAGTCCTCCCAGTCAGCGCCAGTATAGCCCTTCTCTGGATCAACGCTGGCGCGAGTGTACTTCTTTTCAAAGGCATATCCGCCTCCCCAGATGGCAAAAGTAAGGATGAAGAGGACAACAAGAGCAGCCTTTGCACGAATAGTACGCCTGACGCTCTCGACATCGAGGAGATAACCCCAGATGCCGGCGGCGATAATCTGGAACAACCAGTACAACAGACTGTTGAGGGCCTTGGTTCGGGTGTTGAAGTAGGCACCGTTCACCGCGTTTTGCTGGTAGACGTAGAACCAGTTGGAAGAGAAGAACATGGGGAAGAGGAGAATGACAAAAGGCTCAAACTTGAGTGTCTCATAGAGACCAATGAGTTCACTTTGCCAGGTCGGATTCTTCATTAGGATGACGCGGGAGCCATCCTTGCGGACAATGTCGCCAGCGTTGCAGAGAGTGAGGGCCAGGCAAGCGCCAAAGAACATGAGAACGATGAAGCCAATATAAGTGCCGTCGCTGACTGTCTTGTTCACCTTGACGTTGATGTTCTCACCGAGAGGGATCTAGGAGGGAGTTAGTTGGATGTGGCACATGGAGCTGCGGAATTTGATGTATCGCAGATCTCAAGTTGGAGTGACTTACCAAGCTGCCAATAACAGCGCCCATGTTAAAGATTCCCCAGAACCAGGCAAAGTACTGTCCCTTCTGGCTCTCGTGCGGGTACGAGATCATGATGGTGCCCTGCGCCGTCCACAGAAGCGCAGCACAGATACCCAGCCAAACTCCAGCAAAGATGTTGAAGCCCGGAACATGCTTGTGCTCCGAGACGAGCAGACTGATGGCGTAGAGACCATAGCCAACACCTCCAAAAGCCAGAGTCCACCTCACTCCGAGCTTGTTGACAAATGTGCCTCCGAAGAAGCCAAAGACGGCGAATGTCGCGTAAAGGGCCGTGTTCTATCGCGAACATGAGCATTTACCAATGAACCATCAATCTCAATTACTAACCATGTTATCGGCCAGCGTCGCGTCCGTCTTTCCACCTCCTCCCATGCCACCCAAGGCATTGAACATGCCAGGACACATGAAGCACACAAAGGCGACCATGCCCAGCTGGATCCGAGGAGACGCATACCAGGGGAAAATCTTTCCAAAGAGGTGAATTCGTCGATACTTCCATCCACGAGGTAGATCGATCGTGTCTGCCGTGTCTGGCACGTGTGGCGTGGTGTCGACGTCGGCAGTCGGAGACGCGTCGGTACCAGCTGGGTTCTTGGACGACATGGTTACAGAAGCTATCAATGCGTCGAATTGAAATGAACAAATCGTCTCTGGACGGACCGAACCGTTGAATGTGGAGCTGGGTGTAGCTTTATACCCAGTGTTGAAGGATCGCGGTTCAAACCCAGTCGCAACACCATCGCGAGGCTGCCAGAAACGCGAGCTCCCTCATGCGACGTTACATATCAGCTGGCCTTTCATGGAACGTGCTGATAGGGCAGAGCGGTGCGGGGTGAGAAATACGCCGAAGGATCAACTGCTCAGATTGGGCAGTAAAATGTGCCGATCAAGCGCGTTATCCTTAGCGTCAGACAGGGAGGCAAGGGGCCGTCAGCATTTCTTATCGGGCCTCGTGAAGGCAGTATCTTGTGAAACATGGATGGCATGTAACCATGAGATAGGTACTGTATCTGGTCGGCAAGGATAGCAGGGAAATTCGGCTTGGTCTTTATCGACCATTCGACTGGTTGCAACAGTTGCAGTTTCTATAAACAGCCGACGCAAGATTGTCGATCAGTAAGCATGATAGGCATGTCAGATTCCCCTCAGAGGCTTCAGAGGCCGGTAACTGGCCACGTACCATGGATTTTTTACGTACATGGGTGAGATTTGTGCCGCTCCAGCTACTGTCATGGGGGCCATAGGACCTTTTCGACCCCAAGTTTCTTTTAAGATCAACGCATATGTGTCTGGAATACGAGGGGCTCTCAATGTCAGGAGCTTTTTTAGAAAACTTGCTTGAGAAACCCGGAACCCGACCTGGAGGGAAGCAGAAGGCTCAAACCCAAGCGAGTGCTCAAAACTAAGACAAAGTTGCTCAATAGATCCCATGCCGCGCATCACTGGATGGAGGCTTGGTAGTAATGTCTTTGGCAATGCAACAACAGGCGCGGTGTTTGAGGAGTACTGAAATGCGGGTCGCGTGACCACAAGGGAACCAAGGCAGGGGAGCAGGACTCAAGTCACAAACGCCAAAATAGGATGAATTTGCTCTTGAGAGATACTTCCAACTCTTACTATACAATTTCAACCAACTGGGACTCTCAGGAGACTTGCACAACCTACGCCTTGACTCAACCAGCAAAAGGGTAGGCCCACAGTGGAACCGCACAATTCTCAACGCCCACAAGCAAAAAGGAAACTGATCATGATGGGGATCGAACCCACAATCTTCTGATTCGTAGTCAGACGCCTTGCTGGAGGAATTGTTAGTGTGATTAGGTCGAAGAGGAGCTGTTTGAGGTTTCGTACCCATTGGGCCACACGACCGTGGTTGCTTGCCGTGGTTTTCGGGCCGCGGAAACACGCATCAAGACAAAGCCGGAAATCCTGTCAAGCACGTAACACGCACGTAACACTCGTTTCTGGGAGGGCCGCCGTGAAATGGAAGTTCCTTGAAAGGCCAGTTTGAGACTTGTATCACTCTGGAATGATGCTAGATTTGATGGTAAAGAAGGCATTGATTGGCGCCTTGTTCGTAATCAAGATGGGGAATTCCGTGAACCTGTCTTGTCTAGGGATAAACGAAGCTTGCTGCTCCTGTTACTGGCTACTAACGCTTGGAGTGCTAAAGTATTTACGATAAGATATACGTCGTTCTTATCAAACCAGCTCAAGGAGGATACTAACAGCTTTGTGCCTGACTATCTCCCGAGTCTTGACGAGGTTTTGTGAGATTTATGGGGTGTAGAACTACGAGAGAACCTGGCTATCCTCTGCTGTATGACTAGGGCCAAATCTTAGGCCATTTAAGGTCTTGATAGGCTTTAACCCTGCGTAAAGGAGCGGATGAGAGTTGATAATGATACGCAATATGTCTGGTACTAGGAAATCATTTCCGTTGATGAGGGCTCATGCTCATGCGCACTGGCTGGCAATAGTCCTAGGGCTTTTGGTTATGCTTCAAATCATAGCTTGTGAGGAGGGGATGATCTCATGGCAGAAGCCTCCATCTGCCCTCATCAGGACTGGGGCTTATGGAGCGGCGATCATGAGTGAACCAGAAATAGCTACGTGGCTCTCCAGGTCTGGGCTACCGTGTCTGCAAGGGAATGTTCTCCAACTATACTTATAGAGGACTTCTGGAGAACCATGGTGGCAGACCTAGTAGGCAAGGGCCGTCAAGTTCTGCAACACTTTGGAAGGTGGTATTGAAGAATAATTTGGCCTCGTAGCATACCCAGAGGGTAGATCAAGGCAACCCAGTTGACTTGGAAGGTGGTATGGGTATTTGCAGCGGTCCCAAGTGATGTGTCAAACCGGTGATAGGGCAGCTCCCGGGCAATGGGATATGATCGCCAAAGAAGGGGGCAGAACAACGAGAGAGTCCGCAATACTTACATGGGCATCTGAATGACTTGGTTCGTAGTCGCTGTTTAACCCCAACCCTAACCCTGAGAAGGATCTAGTCCAATAGATTGGTTTCCTAACATAAGGAAATAGCATTATTCGCGAGTAATCCGATTTTAGAACTCTGCGCCGTCGTCGCTGAGACACTTGGAGTTTCATAATGAATACATCCTGGAGTCCCTAGTCCATATCAAAAAGTTGAGTATTGCCCATTCAAGACCTTAAGGCCGTTACACCTAGCTTGCACTATCTTGTGAGCCAGAGAATGGAGTCGTCGTTTTCTGCGTTAACCTGACAAGAACTGCAGCAGTCTCGCCACACAGTAGACCCCATATCTTTCCAACCGCAAGCCTGAAACTCGTTTACTGATACTACCTGACCACTGAATTCAGAGTCGAAGGCTCATTGTGTGAACCTGGTGACGCTGCTAAAAGAATCCGTCGACCGCAATAACAAAGAGCACAATTGATGATACGTCTTGGAGTATAAGATTCAACGTAGAAAAACTGTGACCTATACTGAAGACTCACGGCCCCAGACTACTCTAGGGCTAGCCAAAAGATCAAAGAAGATGATAATAAACATATAACAGTATCAAAGCTCAATTCTGCATCACGAACTTGGATACGGTACACAAGAAGATTTGAGAATTCTCGCGCACTATAGAGTTTACATGAAATCAAATTCGTCATGACCGCGAATGATCGACACTCTCTCTCCGACGTTCAGATTCCTAAGTAGCTCCTGAAGAGTGTTGATGCTGCGCTTATGATGCAGTCTGTTATGGGGGGTCTTTGATCGGGTGAGCTGAGGACGAGCCGGTTGAGGGTGAAAATGAACGACCCGAATCAGAAGACGATATAGAGGAGATTGAAGACGAGTTTGCTTCGTTTGAAAATAAACCAGTGCTGCTTGAAAACGGCTATTCCGTTTCAAGGGCGTAGTAGGACATGACTGTAGGGTCCTGTCACACCAATCCTGTGCGTCCTGCCTGTTAACACGGCGTTGGACTATCAAGAGTGGAAGTGTTTTGTATTTGTTTTCGCGGCGGCTACTGGAGGGGCGAGTTAAGTTTTCCAGGCACTCGAGAGGTCTGGCCCGGGAGTTTGAGCTAGTATTTGAAGGCGACGGAGAAGGGCTTTGTAGGATAGGCATGCCAGGAGCGCAGTCAAATGGCATTATCGTGTTACCAGAAGGATGGAACATTACGCCAGGGGTTAGGCTGGTAGTGCAAAAGTTGATATAGAAGATTGTTAAAACTTTGATGCGGAGAAGTCATTAGGTGCGAGGGAGAGGTAGTGTTGTAAGGCGCTGGTTTTTCAATGAGGGTATTATTTAAGAAATCCGATTTGTTAGACGAGTTGGTTTGCAGGGTCGCCCGGGAATGCATCAATCATCAACAGGTAAGCGCGTAGAGGCAGTGTCGGTACATTCGCCTGTGAAATCGTTCGCATGACTAGTACCAAAAGTTGCACCTAAATCTCAGTTAATGGAATGGAAACACGATGGTCTGATGTGGATGGCAAAATAGAATTGGCTGCAAAAAGAAATGTCGATGGTTCAAATAATCAGGCGTGTCAAGACTCAACTTGGGTATGCGTCTTGGTTGTGTACGGTTGTACTGTTTTTTATGAGTTGCTTTGAGGCACTCACCCCCGACCTTGTGTAACCTTTTGAGCAAGTTTCAAGACCAAATCCTGTCAGTTTTTGATGCAATGGCTTAAGTTGTGATTGGCTCTGGAAATTAGCCGACTGATGAGTTTTACCCAAGGTTGCATGAAAATGACCCACTTTCGGGAGCAGGTTTTAGCGCCATCGATAGGTCGTGTTTGTTTCTAGATGCGCTAGGCCAGGGTCTAACCCCATAGACTCCATCTCGTTGCGTGCGTGGATCTTTAAACATCTCGCAGTAGTCATACTTGGCGCCCCCGTTTACCGACAATCGCGTCAGGTCATCCTTAGAGAAGGCGGAAGGGGTAATGTAGAAGCTTTCCGGGTAGAAGTAACTCTTCTCACCAAACATCTTCTTGAACCTCCCGACGTCGTTCCTGACTTGTTCGGCCTCCTCGTCGGATCGGACCATCAGCAGCACCTCTCTCTCGGGCGCCAACCGAGGACGCTGCCCAGAGACGACAAGGCTGAGGGAGCCGCCTGCCCTTTGGCATCCGTCAAAGATGCGGTGCGTGCTCAAGAGTTCTCCAAAATCAGGGTCGATGAACGTCCTCACGGGTGAGTTGCGTACATTCTTTTGAGCAGCCCGCCTGTTCTGGGACGCCCACAACTGCTGTTCAAGAGAAATGATGCGGTGGTTCAAAGCTTCAAGAATCTGAACAACCTGATCGTTCATGGCGTTGGACGGGGGTGAAGGGTTATGGGGTGGGTGGCTCTGGGATGGGCCAAACATCTGGGGCATGTACCCCTGCGCCGAAGTTGAAGACGGTACTCGAACTGAGCTCCCCTGAGGAGTTTCAGGCCAGCTACGTGAAGGGAGAACAGGTCGTGAAAACATGATGACTCTTGATGGTGAAGAGAGGTGTAGACAAGGTAAAGATGGATGTAGGTAGTGTAAAGATGGATGTAGACAATGTAAAGATAAGGTGCAAGATCGTGGACGCGCAAAGAGACTGGTGGAACAAGTGGGAAAGAGGCTGTCTTATGTATGTTCGCAGTCGACGGCTGATTGCGATGGGTGACCCGAGGCTGGGCATGCCACAAGAAGAGCTCGTCAAGAACATTTGGGGAGATCAAAGACGAGGGCATCGCGAAAACCCTGAGAATTCGCCCATCGAGTGATCCATTGACTGATCCGAAGTCATCCGCCTGGTTTGCAGTGGTAATACTTGGGTGATTGCTGCGTCCCAACCTCTACAGGGATCGACCCCCTGAGGCGGAGTAAGCCCTTGCATCTTGTCTCACCTGATCAAGCCAGGATGGCAGGGTTATGCGCTCAAGTTTGAGCTTGGGCCCCTGTCCCCCTGCCCCCAACAGGCAAGTACCTACCACGACAGAGCACGTACCGGCTCGCCAATCTTGATGCTAATCTTGACCTCGACGGCATCCGTAACGTCACTACCCTACAGTGATGGCCATGGAAGCTCTTTGCTGTGCATGAGACTGCGCAATTGAGGTCTAGGTAGCGGCCTCATAGTCAAGTAGATCAGAATACAACTCTGCTTCTCTACATCTGGTATCAAATTCGTAGCCTTGGTCCTGGAACAGATAGTCTCTAGTGTTGGTTGCCATTTGTGAGATCTTCTCTGCAAAGAGGTTGCTTGCTTCCAGTCACCTACACTTACCACTCACTCATGCAATGAACTGCTTGCCTGCGTTCCACTCGGGTACCTGCAGTGGTACTCTGTACCGAGACGCAAGGTACTGCAACTCTCAACTCTTGACGCAATTGCCGATCAACCCCTGCTCACCTAAGCCCCTCCTTGCCTCTCCTTGCCCCTCCTTGCGTGAGCTAGGAAGGCGAGTACGCTTCAGAATGGAGGTATCTAACCGTCTTGGAAACGCTCGGATCCATTTCCCCGCCACCTTCGGAAAGGGACGGTTGGGCATCCCGAGTCTCAATTTCAAAGTTCAAAGTCCTGAAAACCAGAAAGAGAGAGAGAGAAAACAGGCAACCCTCATGGTCCGATTTTTCTGATTGGGTGCCTTTTTTCCCTTCTGAACATTCGGATGGTTCGAATTTTTCATTGGCCGCCGATTTTTCTTCTCCATCCTCGTTCAATCTGCGAGTTACTGATTGCAATTCATTATTAAAGTGCTGCCCCGGACCCTCGAGGTCACTCACTTCATCTTCATCACAGTCTCTCTTGCAACACCAACACCAACACCGCCCATGTCAGCCTAGATCTGGCGATACTCTCCCATCTTGACTTTTCTTTTGACTTTGGTCATCATTCACAAGAAGCAAAACTTGTTCAACTCAGCTCGGAGCGCGTTTGCTGTGGCAGCTTTCTACGCACTTCGCAATCCCTCCCCTTTGTTGGTAAGAGCTACCTGAGGGTCTTGCTTCGTTCTCTCGAAGCGGTTGTTTCTTGATGACTAACATCTCTACTCTTCTCGTGGCAGTCTCTCTCTCTCTCTCTCTCTCTCTCTCTCTCCCTCGCCCTCTCTCTTCTCCCTCTCTCTCTCTTCTCCCTCTCTCTCTCTTCTCTCTTTAATCTCTCTGTCTTTTCATTGTCTCTCGTTCTCTCAGAGCTTCAGACCTTCTCTTATCTTTGACCTTTCCGGGGTGACTAACATTTCTGTGTTTGTTGATCGCTAGAGTCGACCCTTGTCTACGCACTCCTCCTCACTACGACATCTATCCATCGCCTACCCATCCTCCTACTTGCCTGCCTTTACGAGGGCTGTGCAATTTTCATCTTGACGTCGTAAGTTTTTGATCATTCTCCTATTTCCCAGTTTTACTGCCGATGCCTGGATGCGAAAGGCCGCGTATCTCTGTCCACCAATCTGCTGCCCGGGCCATCATTGCTGACACCCTTTGCCAATGCAGCTACAGACAACCTTTGCCAATGCAGCTACAGACAACGAGTTTTGCCGACCAAAAACTCATCGACTTTGAGTCTTCAGCCCAGCTTAGAGAGGGACTAGAGAAACGATGGCCCGCGGCAGATTGACGATCCAGGGCGAAGGGCCCAACGAAAGTCTTGGCGACGACAACTCGAACTCCTCCTCGGACTACGCCTGCTCTTCGGACGACTCGGATGACGACTCGGATGACGACGGCGACCTGAGCGACGATGATCCCGCTTTTGACGGCGATTTTGAAAACCAATTGTTCGACGAAAACGAGGTCCCAGCCTCTGCGTTGAGAGGTTTCGAGGCCAAGGCAACCGAAACATTTCGAGTTTGGAGTATCAACCTCAAGATGGCAGACAAGAGATTCACGGCCCTGAAAAAGTATGTTGCCCGACGCCGCGAAAATCCCGACAAGCCCGAAAACCCCGACAAGCACAAAAATCCCGACAAGCAAGGCCCTCCCGATGTGATTGCAGTCCAGGATCCCAACACGTCGCAAGTGTTCAGACGCCTGCCTGGCTACAACATATGGTATAAATCAAAGGGGACGTTCACCGAGGAAGACAACCCTACCAGGCGGCGCAAAAAGGCACGTGCACGTGCACGGCGTGGTACTCAATCGGCCTCAGAGACTAACCCAATCCCGAACCAACATGTTCGCCCCGAGCGAGAGAAACCGGAACTGTACAAGGTGCTTTTCTATGTTCACAAATCAATCCCACCGGAGTCCTGGGACGTGGTGGCGCCCGACGACGGACCCAACAAGGGCTTGGTTGCAACCCTCGTGTTGACAACCAGTTCCGATACATTCCGGCTCTACAACGTTTACAACCATGAAACACAATTGGACGTCGGCGAACTGTCAGCCACGATTGTGGGAGATGGCCCCCGTATGCTGGTCGGAGATTTCAATTTCCACCATCCTGATTGGAGCGGCCACGGCAAAGGACGAACAGAGGCTGGCGATCGGTTTGCCACTGCTGTCAAGGGTGCGAAACTGGAACTTGTCACCGAAAAAGGCATCATCACCTACTCCAACTCGCAGGATACGTCCAAGAGGAGTTCGACCCTGGATCTTACGTTTGTGAGTGAAGGAATCGGATCTCCCAGGCCATTGTGCGGTCTGATTGAACCTCCAGGGTTCGAGAGCGACCATCGAATTGTCGAGACCGTAATAAGACTGCCCATAAATCGACAGTGCAAAACCCGACGCTGCTGGGACAAGGTCACACCGGAGCGCTTCCAGCAAGTTCTTATCCCTCTCCTTCCACCAAAAGACCGCCCTATCGAAACTGAAGACGATTTCGACGAATACTTGACGGAAATCAGCGAAGGCCTGACTAGGGCGACAAGATTGGTTGTCCCACTAAAAACCTATGGCCGTCAATGACAACCCACGGTCCTGGACCAGATTCATCACACGATAGCCCGGCTAGAGGACCTTCAGGAAAGGTCTAAGCTGCTGGAGCACGAGGATGCTGTGTCAGACCAGGAACACCTTCGACGACGTATCCAAAGACTGGAACAGAGGGCATGGCAACTTTCTACCGAGAGGCGGTCCGATACCCCGCGGAAGGCGTTCGGCCTGGCCAAGGCGGCGCGTCAGTGGAACCAACCGCAAGAGGCATGCCATGTGCCACCATTACTTCACAATGAGGTATATGTTCATGATAACAAGGAGAAGACTGAGACCTTTGTCAAGGTCATATTCCGAGACAACGACGACAGCAGGTCCAAGGTCGTGCCGGACTATCCCAGGCCTAGGCCAAATGATGGAAGGCCCAAACACGTCATGTCCCAGGAATTGTATGACGCCGAGTTGTGTCAAAACATCAAGGATCTGCCCCGAAGAAAGGCCTCCGGACCCGACGATATCCCCAATGAAGCCATACAATTGGGCGGCGATCCCCTCCGATACCATCTGCTCCGATGCTTCCAGGTCTGCCTCAAGCTGGGCTACCATCTGGCCATCTTCAAAGACTCGATCCTGATCATGTCGCGGAAATCCGGCAGAGAACCCCATCTCCCCAAGAGCTGGCGCCCGATTGCATTGCTGTCATGCATTGGCAAGCTACTGGAGAAGATAGTGGCGCTGAGAATGGTTGCCGCTCTCAAGGATCGCCTCGTGTCAACCCAGTTTGGTGGTAGATCTACCACGGAAGCGCTACAGTTCATGCTGGCCATCGTCTATGGTGCTTGGTCCAAATCTCCCCCCAAAGTCGTCACGTTACTCGCTCTTGACATTAGCGGTGCCTACGACAACATGGACAGAGCAAAACTCCTCGAGAGGCTGGTGGACGAAAGCATGCCAGACTGGATCATTGGCTTCAACCGATCGTTTCTCTCCAACCGCCGCGCCCGCTTTCACATGCCCGGCTACAAGTCTGATAGCATCGGCCTACAGACGGGTATTCCCCAGGGCTCACCGCTCTCGCCCATTCTGTTCCTCATCTACGCATCCCCTCTTATGCACGTGAGTTTGAGTGATATGAAGGATTCAAAAGGAGGATTTTGCGACGTCAAAGTCTACACCTTTTCTTTCGTCGACGATACCTACCTCATCGCTGTGTCCAAAAGCTACGAGCGCAACTGCAGAGCTCTGGCAGCCATTCACAACAGACTCCTGGAAATCGCGAGGCCCCTCAGTATCACGTTTGGACCTGAAAAGTACGACCTGATGCACTTCCGACGACCGGGAGGAGAATATGGTGGCGACAGAACCGTTGTCCCTGACATTGTCGGATTTACAAAGACACCCCAAACCACACTAAGGGTCCTCGGCGTTGAAGTTGATTTCCAGTTGAAGTGGACGGCGCACATCGGCAAGATCACCAACGACGTCAATCGAAGTTTGGGATATTTGACTCAGATTTCTGGAACCACTTGGGGCCCCAGCCTGCAAAGGATGCGCCAGTTTTACCTGACCAAGATCCGGCCCATGATCACCTATGCCTGCGGGGCGTGGTTCATCAGGAAATGGCGAGACGGGGGACGTTTTTCTTGGTGCTTGGCGAAGGAACAGATCAAAGAGCTCGAGTCTTTGCAGCACAAGTGTCTTCGAAAACTCTCGGGCTCTTTCTTCCAGACGAAAGGCATAATCCTTGAGAAGGAACTGCACATCGAGGACATTTGGACCGTGTTGCATGCGCAGGCCAGTACACAGCGAGCAAAGGTTTTCTCCAGAAGCTGGACAAGGGGACGTCCCAATCTGATGAATAAGCCGTCAGGAAAGGACGAGAAAAACCCACACCTGGTGTTGACGTGGTATGCTCAGAAGACGTTCCAAAAGGCCAGGATAGCATTCGAGGAAGGCAATGGCCCAGAAGCTGTCAAACGCTGGGACAACGAAAAGACGCGCAACACAATCATCAGCCGCTGGATCAAGAAAACGGTGGCAATCCCGGGCTGCGCGCGGCGATGGGCTACGTACGTTGATGACAGGAAGAGTGGTAAGGAGAAGCAGATGGAGACGGGTCCGAAAAAGTGGGTGTCGAAGCTGCCAGCTGCTCTGACAGAACCATGGGGCAAGGAGAGCTTCAACTACTACCGAGGCCTATCCAGGCCGCAAAGCACCATGCTGCTCCATTGCCGAACCGGCATTATCGGCCTCAACTCGCACCTCAGCAAGATCAACGTAAGTCTTCTCGCTCCTCGCTCCCCATGACTGGATGCTGACCTGACTTTCCAGCCCCAAAAATACCCGTCCCGGCTTTGTCCCTGCCGGCAGGGTCCGCAAACGCCATTCCATCTGTTCATCGAATGCAGGCAACTCCGAGATCAAAGGCAACTGTTGCAGAGCGTCGCCCAGCACACAAACTACGACCTGCTACTCACCAGGGATGCAAAAATCGCTGCCGAATGGGCCATCAGTTACTTCCCCATCGACCAGTTCGAGGACGCCCAGGAGCATTCTCAATTCCCCCCTATCCAGGACACTCCTTCACTGCCCCGCGACCCCCACCTGGCTCCAATGGCCACCCCATTCTCCCCTGGAGGGAGAACTGCACAGACTCTTTCTCGTCAAGGGCCAGCCGGGGCTGCTCCTGGTGGGACAGCAACCCGAATCTCTCATGGAACATCGACATTGTCCCCTCGACAAGCCCATCAATGTCGAGGGCCAGCCAGGGCTACGCCCCGGACCTCTCAAGGAACACCCGCATTCTCCCCCGGAGGGAGATTTGCACAGGCCCCTTCTCATCAAGGGCTAGCCAGGACTGTTCCTAGAGCGACAACGACCCCGACCTTGCATGGAGCACTCGTGTTCTCCCATGGAGGGGGGAGAACTGCCCAAGCCCCCCCAACCAGGACTGGTCCTCGAGAGACATCGACATCGCCCCCGACCCCGATCCCGATCCCGATCCCGACCTCGCATGGAGCATTTGTATTCTCATATGGAGGGAGAACTGCCCAAGCCCCTCCAGCTAGGACTACTCCTCGAGAGACATCGACCACGAACCCGAATCTAACCTCGCATGAAGCATTCGTGTTCTCCCCCGGAGGGAGAATTCCGCAACCCCCCCCCTACTACAACTATTCCCAGAGAGACAGGGACCCGGATCTCTCATGGAACATCGACATTCTCTCCTGGAGGGAGAATTGCTCAAAACCCTCATCGAGATCCAACGACGACTACTCCTGCAGAGATATCGACCCCGACCCCGACCCCGACCTCAACCTCGCGTGGAGTCTTCGTATTCTCCGGAGGGAGAACTGCGTAACCCTCCCAGAGAACGGCTGGATCCTCCGCTACCCTGCCACTGCCTCATTGGGGGATCCAGACTTCTCCTGGAGAGAGTATGACCCAACCCTCTCATGGAGCAACCTCATTCTTCCCTGGAGGGAGAATGTCCTCTCCGTGAGGGAACATTCCCGGCCTCCCTTGAAGGGAGAGATGCCGGATTTTCTTTCTGGGTAAATTCCCAGCTTCCCCCGGAGGGATAGCTATTCGATTGCCCGCTCCTAGCGGGAGTGGGCATTATTCATTGTGTTCAAAGATGATGTGTGCGCCAACCAGTGAGTTTCTTTCTTTCTCTCTCTTACCTCTCCCTCACGTCTCTCACCTCTCTCTTACATCTCTCTCATGTCTTCGCAACCTGCAGTAATCGTGCTAACTCACTCTCTGGACAAATTTGGCAATTCGCCGAGATGTCGCATTCAAGCTCTAACTAAGCCCGTACTCCTGTAAGTCCCAACCCTTCGATACCCACAAAACAAGCCGCTCAGTGCGCAGCACAGGTTGACTCACCCCAGCAGCCACCACCCAAACCTTTGCATCTGTAAGCTCGATCCCTTCGATATCCGCTCAGTGCAGGACAGGCTGACTAACTCCAGTAGTCACGACCGAAACCTTCCTCCTCGTAAGCCTCATTCCTTCGATGCCCACAACACAAGTCGCTCACTATGCAGGACAGCTTGAGTCACTCCTGTGACTCAACGACTTGAAAACCTTGATCCCCTCCCCGTAAGTTCCACCTCCTCGCCACATGCGCAACAAGTCACTCAGGGTGTGGTCAGGTTGACTCATGCCAGAAAGAAGCCCCAGCAACGTGTCCTCCACAACCCATCCTGTATGAAACCCAATCATTCTTGCAGCCAGTACTCTTGAATCGTTTTACTAAATGATTTAGCCACAGCCGACTTCCCCGCTTCATACATGGTCAGTAGGTTATCTTAATGGATCACTCTTGAGCCGCATCTGATCGATTTTCACAGTCCTTTCAGCGGCTTCAACGTCGCAACCAGCTCCAGCAGGCTATCGACCCAGCCCGTGTTGTAAGTAGCCCTTACCGATCGAAGTCATCTTGCTTATGTGTCGATGTAGCATCATCATCGCCTTGACGAGGCGGCGCCTTGCGGACTTTGTAAGTCCTTTAAGCTCCGGTAGCTCCGTATGTCGTACGAAGCGCCTAAGCGCTCGAGGTGCCCCTAGGCGCTTTGAAGCTGCGAGAAACGCCTCGCAGGCCAGGATGGCCAATTGTATGTTCTAAGTATTGCTTTATTTGTATCATTACTAATTCTTTTTCTTTCTTTAGCGATGTATTGTTTTCCTTTGAGCACCATTCGCTGGTCGCTATGATCTAGTGTTGTGTCGATATCATAGATTGAGAGCCGTTCTGTATTTCGTACGATCTGGCTTCTTTCTTGAAGATCGAGAGGGCGAGGAAGAGGGTAGTGGGTTAGTTATGACCCCTCATCTCGAATTTCTACTATTTACTCATATCTGGCTAGTCCCTATAAGCGGCAGCAATGGCGGCAATGGCAGCAGCGGCAGTGTTGTTAGGGTCGTGCCGCCGATCGATTATGGTTCTTGGTAAGTAGCTATCATTCTTGACATGAGACTCGAAAGCGCTAATGAGATTTAAGTAGGCATCGTGTTTAAAGACATGGTGTTGAGAGACTGCAGCTTAAGAAGATGGAAAGGTAGATAATTCTCTTGTTTCTCGTACGGAGGTTAGAGCAGGCAAGTAATAACTTTCTATCCACGATGGAAATTCCTAAAGCTAACTTGCTATTTATAGTTAAAATACCCATGAGAGGCTAGACCTTTCATGACGATGTGGCTAGGTATGACTCTTCTGCTGCTGCAGAAGTTTAAATAGGCCACTGTGTTAACATCGGGTCATGATGTTATATTGTGTTTGAGATCTGTTCTTTATTATAGTTGCAGCCCGGCCCTTGATGGGTTAACTGAGCCCGAAGATCGTTAATATTGATACCCCATAGATTAGTAACTTGCGGCCCCCCTCTCCTGTGACATGATGTTCTTGTATGATGTTGTTGTTTTTGGTGGACGAAGCCTGCGGGGATGGTTTGAGTCATACCTACAGAGCACAGGGTTTGAGGCCAGCGGGGCTTCTGCCTGGCTCTTGTCACCATTACCCCGCAGTGAGGCGTACAAAAGGCCACACCACAGACAGTTCGGGCACTTGGAGCATCCATCGACCAGTCTTTTCTTGGAACCGAGCTACTCTCCTTCCCACTCACGGGTTATCAATCAAGGACTCAATGTCCTGTCGCCACCATGTCTTCCGAAGCCAACCTCCTCGCCCTACCTTACGAGATTCGTGAGCAGATCTTCCAGCACTACTTCAAGCTCGACCGCGGCTACTTCTACGATGGAGAGTCTGAGAAGCTTGTCACGGCTGATGGCCAACCCATCGACCTCTCGTTGATGTATACATGCCGCTCGATCGCAGACGATACAAAACATGTTCCCCTGAGCGTGAATGCCATCACCTTTTCGACGGTATACCGGGAGGACTGGAGAGAACGCGCTGGTGGGCTTGGGTATATCTTGGAGTTTCACCGCCGACTCCAGGTTGATATGATACGCCATATGGCTAGATTCGTCACTCCTGAGATGTATTCTCAGATTGGCCTGGAGTTCCCACAGAGCATGCCAAGCATCAGGGAGGAGTTGACGGCTCATCTACAGTTTAATGAGGAGACCAATTGGCAGCATGACAGATTGGTCCAATTCAGCGCATGGATGAGAGGCGGTGTGATTGACGCGTATCAGAGCATTCTGACCTACACCTGGGATGATAATTTTCAATGGAAATGGGGGACAAGTTATTCTTCAACCTTGGGCGCAATTGCCTACACTTTACGCCTCCTCGCGGAAACGTACCCTGCCGAGTTCACCGAACGGGTCGATCAATTACTTCCAGGCTGGACTGATTCACATTCACCCGATGAGTTCTTCGACCTTACGTTCGACCCATGGGCGATTCCTTCTCTATCCGAGCTCGTCGCAACAGCGGACCAGTTACAGGCCTACCGACTTTGGGAGTGTTTGGAAACTTGGCACCATGCTGAAGAGGATGAAGCTACCGGAAACCGCTATCGGGAAAAGCTCTACTTTTCGGCGGCGGCTGTCGCCATACGATTCCTTGGCCAGTTGCCAGAGCCTCGACGCCTCCAAATACGAAACATCATAATCAACGAGGATCGACTTGCCGTTGGACGCTCTGAGGGTCACATTCTTGGGTTGATACCATTTTGCAGAGAAAACCCCAAACTTCGAGTTGAGCAGCGCGTTAATCTCTGGCGAAATCTCCTACTAAGAGTGCACATACCTCGCCCAAGTGTCGCTGTTCAACTGGCTGAACTAGGGTATTCTAACGATCGCGACCATAAACTCTACAAGTCCGCGACTAGTTCCGCTTTGGCTTCCTGGGGATTTCATGTCATGGAGGTCATGGGCAAGGGCATGCCTGCTGGGACCTTTTCCTTTTTTTTAGACGGAGATCCTGACCTGAATTTCTCGTCCGAAATATTCGACACGCAGGTTCATCCAAATGTTGCCTGGCTGAAGGCATACGCCGAATGCTCTTCTCAGGGCTCCTTCCCACAGCCATACCGAGATATTTTTTATTTCTCGACGGCGGCCTATCTGAAAGGCATAGAACCCTTGCTTGGTGGATCCTCCTTTCTCAAGACCAACTTCAATGTTGGTCAACCCTGGGATTATAGGAAACTGGCTGAGACGCAGCAAGACCTGCCATTGTCTGCTTGGAGAGGTAAATACTCCGGTTTCGCCCCAAGCTTCGACGTGTCTAGTCCAGCCCTGGGCTGGGTCAACATCAAGCTTGAGTTTTTTGAGAAGCAGAGGGAATCTGACTATCTTCACTCATCACTCAACCTTGGCAAGCGTGAGAAGAAGCGCTTGAGACGGGTTCGACGGAGATGGGCGTGCATCAAGACCGAGGCCGAGGATGATACTGAGGAGGGACAGAGGATGCGGACCCTCTTTGGGGATGTACACAAGGCGCCGCCCTGTATGACCAGGTCTGAGAAAAGGATGCATCGGAAGGAGAGGCGTGCGCAAAAGACGGCTGCGAGCCCATCAGATCAGACACAGGAGGACCTGACAGACATTGACAACATTGAAACGACGATTTTTGGGGACTTCTTTGAGCCACGGACGGGTCTGTGGTGGTGGTAGTGAGATTGGATATGTGAGAGTCTGGTAATGATGATAAGGATTGCTTTTGAAAATTGGTGGGTGGGTTCCTGGAAAAGTTGCATTGTTACAAATTGATCATTGCTTTCGCTGCTTTCTCAGTCCAACCGGCCTAGGTATTCTCCAACACTCATGTCTCATTTTTCCCATGCATCGGGCAATTTGTTTCGCTTCGTTGTCGTTGGACCTGGCCCTCTCGACTCTCAGTCTCCGCTGGCCTCTTTGCTCCACCGGTGTTTGACGTGCTCGTCGGAGTACTTGCAAGAGCTTGTTCGCTTGAGGTCCTTGTTCTAAGAAACTCGGACTGTGCAAACAGCGTCTCCAAGCAGGCCGCACCAGTTGGTCGCGGTCTTCTCTGCCCACCGACCTTTGAACCCGAGAAGCGAAAAGCGTAGGTCAAGAAATCACAAACAGGGTCTAGTCTAGAGTCAGTTTGTGTACTATAAATGTTGAACTTCTTACCTCTATGGACCCCGGCATGCTCTGATATCTGATATAGCGCAGACCTGTACTTGGAGTGAAAGTGGGCTCGCGATTGTTCTTGATCAGGGGCATCATTTCTCCACGGGTTCCCTTGCTTCCCGTACGACCACGGTAGTCTGCCAAAGAGGACCCTGAAGAAACTGACGCCCAACGCCCAAATGTCGGTCCTGCCGTCATACTCTGAGCTTTCATGCTCTGGTGAGTGAAACCCCACTGTGCCGTTCGTTCCCGGGCGGGAAACAATCGTGGTTCTGCCTTGCGGAATACTCTCTATCGAGTCGATATCGAGGATGACGGCGTGGAGACGACGGGGAGAGAACGGTGGAGAAGACGGAGCCTCCTTGTGGCATTGGTTCAGTTGAAGGTTCCGGAGGCCAATATTGGTGGGCTTGATATCCGTGTGTACAAAGCGGTGTGCGTGGAGAAACGCAAGGCCCTGAAGACAGTCACGTAGAATTATTTCAAGTTTGGTACGACTAGGAAATACACGTCAACGCTAGGCAGAGGCACTGTAAGGGGCCTTCTTACTGAGTTCCCTGCGGCATCTTGTCAAAGGTGATTTCGACAAATGGCTCTAGTATCACGTGGAACTCATCGATTCGAGTCCCTGGCACATGAATGGTTTCGATAACCCTCAGCATCTTTGTCTGCTTCTCTGCTTTGACGAGCGTCGAGAGAGTGTCCATCAGGTCAAGTTTACGACGAATAGCCTGGGCATTGTTGACCCTGACTTCAATCGTCTTGATAGCCACCAATTGGTCACGTTGTGGATCGGTTGCAGGGCGGACACGACCAAACGAACCCATGCCAATCAAGCCCGTGACAGAATACTTTCCTATCGTTTGAGAGTTAAGTGTTGGTGTAGGAGTTGCAAGGAGAGCCTCCTTAGTGGGCTGGTCATCACCGTGAAGAGCATTGACATATTCTCCAAGACCAGCTTGGCCTTCTGGTCGATGGCAGTGCGGCGTGTACTCAAGAGTGTACCGGAGATCTTCAAAGGACACCGAGTTCTGTGCGTTGACGCAGCTTACATTGCTGCCGCGGGACGTCAAAGAATGGTTATTGACCGTGACCGAACTCCCAGACTCTAGAGAAACTCGGGCTAGACGTGTTTCAGCAGAGAAAGAGATGAAAGCGTGTCTACGAGCAACTTGGCTGCTCCGGCTTGTGGTGAGCAGCAAGTCGACATTTGCTCTTCCCAAGGCCAAATTCTTCTGGCTAAGACGTCCCACAGACCATCCCAAGCGCTGAAGAAGTGGTGGAATGTTTGGATCGAGGAAGAAGAAGCCGGTCCAGATCCTGACGTCCTGCGAGAAGTGGTCGCTTGAGGTGCCAGATGACGGCGATGATGAGCCATCAAGCGACAGTTTGAGCTGATGGTTCACGAGCCGGTTAACTGCGGGATCATAGACTTGTTCATCGGAAAACCACATGTATCGAGAGAAGCGAGACCGAAGACCGTGTCCATCATCGTTGTCTTGCTCCTTGATAAAGTCAACAACGTCGGAAAAGGCGAGTTTTGCAGCTGCATTTTCGGGGCGTAACACAACAAGAGCGTTTCCTGCAGGGGCATTCGGGCCAAGAGGATCCCACTCTGTCGAATCGCTAGCTGGAGTGGCCATGGAAGTAGATTTGTAAGGCCTGGAGGGCCCTTTAAGTGAAGGATGATGAGATGTTTTCACTGTTGGTGGTGAGAGGTGGTGGGGCTTGCAGCCTAAACCCACCTAACAAATGTTTTTACCAACACAAAGATCAAAACGAGATCTAACAAGGGTAACTGGGCTTTATAAAATTGAGAAGAAAACTCTTTAGAACGTAGGATTTGAGTAGGGTCTTTTTCTTCTAATTTTATACCATCTTGAGCCGTTCATACCATGTGATATTTCCATCATGCTCTCAGTTAGGGTAGCCCACATGATTACCGGGACGGAACAAGCTAAGCGCCGACTGACTCACGTGACCTCGTGATGTTCTTCCCCATTCCCGTGGCACTTGGGGAGATGCTCACATCAAATGATTCACCAATCGCGCATATAACCACCCTCATTCTCCCTAGCAGTATTCATTCTCCATGTTTCGAAGAATAGCATCATATTCCGAAATTCCAGCCATCTTGCTGCCAGGGACTTGATCGTCGCCATCGCGACGGGCGTCGCCGACAATGGCGACACCGCCAACGTTATCGACACCCCGTCTTAGCTACCCATGGACATTCTCATTAGCCAAGGTTCTTGAGAATAGCGTCGGCGTATGTCATCTCCATCATCTCCCCTTCGCACTCTGCTGACAGAGTCAACAGCCGCTCCCGTGCCCTGTAGCGACCCAAGGGGCTGAGCTTGTTCCGCCACCCGAAACTCCAGCCCTGCGATACCCTCCCCCGGATCCCGCCTTCGTCGAAACCCTCACCGAGCGACTCGAAAAACTCGCCTGGCGACAAAGAATACGCATCAACGTGTATGGTGTAGACTTTGCAGAGGAATGGCCCATCTCAAGGACACCCCGGCTCCTAGCAGAGGAGGCCGCGGCTCGACGGATTGCATTCTTGGAAAAGGATCTGCATCTCGACTCGAGCTCCACTTCCGAGTCTGAAGGTGAGAATGAGAGGAGGATACTGCGATTGAAGAAGATGTTGCGGCGATCCCGGAAACAAACCCGACCACGTGGTGCTCAACTCCCTTCGCCCCAGTCGACGACGGAAGAAGAGGCAGGAGAGCAAACCCCCGCGGCGAAGCCGTGTCTGAAGCGCAAACGGTCTAAAGTACTGTTCGAGCCGACGAAGATGGCAAAGACGTCGAAGGAACTGGCTGTTTCCAGGATCAATCTGCCATCGACGGCGAACGGGGGGGAGGCTCCGATGTCGTAGTATGAGGATGGACGGACTGAACGTCGTAAGAGACGTAATACCGTTTTGACAGAGTTGTTGCCGATCCTGCGAGCGCATCGGATTTTGCTTGGATGAACTGGACTTGGGTAGACAGAAGGGTCGGGTAGTTCGCTTCACCTGTAATAGACTTGTACATTTCGCTGTTATCCAAAGCTCATACCTTTCGCATTGCATGGCTTCAAAATGCCAGTCATGGGAGTGACGCTCGTGTCGTGAAGTTAGGAGGCCGAGGGCCATGAGTTAGTCCCGTCCAGTGTTTGCAGGACATTGGGAGAATGGATATAGGGATGCACCAGGTGAGAAAGGCAATCAGTCACCAGCATTTAAATCGTACTTAATACTCTATTGACACATACTATCACCGACCATCAGTTCTGCAGGCTCTGATAAACTCACCCAAGCCTTACTATTTTGCTCTCTCGGAACAGAACTCCTTCGACTCTGCCTTGCACCAAGCCCAGAACTTGGCTGACACGCCATTCCCGCATCCCTTCTCGATGTCATCTCGTAGGTGACCAAAGCGACCCCATGGAATGACCCAGGCTCCTGTTTTCTCCATGGTGATATCTTTGGACCAGCCCGCGTAGAGCTCCGTGTAGGCTCCGTAGACTGCCGGGTGGCTCATGATATGCTACGCAGACTCTATTAGGAGGGCTACAGACGAATTTTGAGTGTAGGCAGGCTTACCACGAGTACTTTGCGCATTGTACTTCCGTGTCGCTGCATTTCTGATCTGAGATTTCCAGGGTTGAAGGCCTATTCTGTCAGCTCTATTGCCTCTACTGCCTTGAATCAAGCCTGGGGGACAAACCACGCTGATAACGCCGTCATCCTTGAGTCTTTTGGAGAATTCCCGCGCAAGATAAAAGTTTCCAGCCTTGGATTGTCCATAATTTACACCCTGACTAGTGTGGTTCCTCGGCGAGCCATCACCATCAAACTGGATGCCGTCTGGCGGTGACTGCAAGTCAGCTCCAAGGGAGCCAGCCCATGTAACGCGCACCCCCGTAAGCGCCGCGGAGGCGGTCTTTCGAAGAATGGGAAGCAACAGTTTTGTAAAGAGGAACGGCCCCAGACAGTTGGTCCCCATCTGCAGTTCGTGGCCCTAGGGTATGTAAGAAGAGTGAACTGGTGGCGAGAAAGGTTCAATACTTGGCTTAGCTTACTTGACATGTTCTGGAACCCACAGGTGGCTCACATACACCAGCATTGTTAGTCAAGACATCGAGACGATCCTCGCGGGACATGAAATCACTGGCAGCCCTGGCGACGCTGGCCAGGTCAGCCAAGTCAAGCTCAAGAAACTCAAGACGGCCCCGAGACGATGGATTTTCCTTCTCGATTGCAGAAATGGCCGCTTCAGCTTTCTGCTTGCTTCTGCCAGCGATGTACACTGTTCCGTGTCTCTGATGGAGGATGCGACTGAGTTGGTAACCCACGCCAACGTAACCGCCAGTGACTATGAAGACCTGAGATTTAATCAGCGCCGATTTGTTTGAATATGGGGAATCCTTCGTGCCTTTCCTTGTTGGTCATCGAGGTTCTTCTCAGTCAAGGTGGGAGTTGGGATCCAGAAGGACTGGTCAATAGCGGGAGACGGCATGGCAGAGAACAGGAATCTAGAGAAGAGACTTGAAGATGATCTGAGTAATAACAAACTTGGAGCAGTATGTTGGAGTCTGGGTTCTCAGTTCCTACTATTTATAGACCTGTGGCAATATGATGATGGGTCACATCGGCGGTATTCACAGCGAGCATTCCAAGGCTTGGATCACCTTGACCCTCATAGTCCAACCTCTCCTTTCCAAATTAAGAAGCAAAATCCATCACTTTGCCATCATAGCCTGATCTGCCCGAGACCCAGCGTTATCTCCGATGCAAGATCTCTCTGAAGCTGGTGGTTGTGAGTCTGCGACGCTTATGCAGAGTGGACAAAGCGTCAGGGATTATCTCCGCGATGCCGACAAACGTGCATTAGTGCGACGCGTATCATTAAAGGGCCGGCTTTTTACTGAACAGAGCTGTAAGCACAGATAAAGGACTCGGTCGGATTATACACCCTGCATACATGCTTTCATCGCCCATTCTGTTGATTTCCTTGAGAACTCTGCTCTTGATGACATGTCCTGTACCGTACTAGATGGCCTGCAATAAGCTGGTTCACCAAGTCAACCTGACCTAGCATTCAAGTGAGTGGCTGCCATGACGCGCGTTGATTGACTTGATGGATTGGACAAGGTTAGCTGAAATCCTTTTTGCGCCCTACACTTCTTTCTCAGCTTGAACACCAAGTCTACAATGCAACAATATCACAGTGCAATTACTCTTCTTGCCCCTCCGGGAGAACCTGTCTTTTGCCTTTCTCTGCCTTGACTTGCCGGTCATGGTTACACAATTGCCCAACTGTCGCCTACACATCAACCATGTCGGGCTTCGAAATACTCTGCGCCATCACTGGCGCCATAGGCCTGGCCGAGGCTCTCTTCAGACTTTTCAATGGCATTGAAACCCGCGGTAACCTGCCTGAGGCTTTCCTTGGAGTGGGAAAATGCCTTTCACCGGCCAAGGAGACATTGGAACTGGCCAATGGGTTGACCTGTTGCCTCAAAGAGGACAATCAGGAGACGCGGGCTCTCAAACAAAATCTCGACGACTGCCGTTCGAAGTTTCTCAGCTACACGAGATTGTCTAGCAAATATACAAAGGGGACACCAAAGAAAACTTTCTTGTCTACGTCTACCAGAAGGTGGTCCGCAGGTTCAAACTCGATAACAAGTCTGGTCGAGTTGAGGCATTGACAAAGGGTGCCTTGGACTCTCTGCAACTCCACGGACTGTTGTCCCATATCAATCATCTATGGCCTTTGTATGTATATCATGCTCATTCCATGAAGAGGTAGCTCATGATAATATGTTGTGTCTGGATTGGTCATAACGTGGGTTAGTGCTGGGTGCTATGACGGGATTATAGGCGAGAGGTAATTAGAAAAACTAAAAGAAACCCGCTAACTGTATTTTTTCAAGGCGAACATGAAAAGAAAACCTAAATAAATTACAAGGATCACAATGAGTCACTGCCGATTGCCTGTTAGTGCCTGAATTGATAGTGCGCGCTTAGTGCTGACGGCGGACTTTGAATCGGGCTAATTCATCACGGACTTTTATAAATATGCCGACCAAGGAAGGTTTGGCGGCTTACCATCAAGTATTTAAACCGTGAATGGTTCTCGCAATATGAGAAGAAATCATCAAACTTCTTCTTTATATTCAAATCTCATCTCAAGAATTCCAAATTTTGTCTCCATAAACAATCACCACCATTCAACACCAAAATGTCTACAGCAACCATCCCCCCCTTCTACAACTTCTTCTTCAAATATGTCGACCCTCTCATCGCCCTCGGAGGAGCCTACCTCAACTTCTTTGACCCAATCAGCGCTGTAACCGGCATGGCTCCCAATTCGAAATACGACCCAGACCAGGTCTTTCTCTTCCATCAGAGTGGTGGCCTCGCGTTGGCCGTTGCCTTTATCTCAGCCGTCCTCCCTCGACACACGACGAATGTCACAACTTGGAGAATCATTCAGTTTGGTTTGTTCCTCTCTGACTTGGCTGGTTTGAGCGGAATTGGATCCGCTCTGTGGCGCCAGGGGAGGTTTGCGCCTGCGAATTGGACATCGGATGATATTGGTTGTGGAGGAAGCTATGTCTTTTTGACTCTGGTGCGGTTGCACTTTCTTTTGTATACGAGTGGAGATGTCCAAGAAGCTGTCAAGCGAAATTGAGCAAGTGAATTGCCGAGGGGAATGTTAACTCGGGCAAGGGACGGATGGGCCCTTGTCTCAATTGACAGCAATACTATTCCTAGCAGCAAGTATACTATGTCTCCAGACTAAATTAAAGAATCTATGAAATAAGTGAATACTATAAGTACTCGTATACTTAAGTCGCATAATTTCTACTCATAGGTATAATTATAAAACAGTAGGATATACTTCGACTTGATGTGAACGACAGCTCCCAAACACGAAACCTAACCATATAGTTACCTTACCCGTAAACAAGAAAGGGAAAAAAGAGGAACTGAAGATAAAAAGGGAGATAAAGAAACCCCCTTCACCCAGCTAGTGTGAAACACCATGGTCCTCCAGCTCCTCCACCAAAGGCTTCAGAACCGTCTTTTCCAAGTCATCAAGAACCTTTCCAATACCCGTAAGAGCCGTAATATCCGAAGTAGAGACATTGACAACTTCCCGCTTCTTAACGACAGCCAAAAACTCCTTGACCACAAACTGAATCGCCTCCTCGTCGCTTGTCCCTGTATACTCAGGAAAAGACTCACTCAATGGGTGAATCGTCAACTGCGCCTTGAAAGCCGTGATATTCGACAAAACCAGATGCAAAGGCTTTTTCGACAATCGTTCCGAGTTTGCGATGCTTTCAAAAGTAATAATCGTGCCCTTTAAAAGATCGTAGTTCTCATAGTCCGAAACATCCTCAATGCGTATCCAATAGCGAGAAATGTCGGCGACAAAGAGCATGCAGGCGCAGTCATCGTAAAGATGCAGCCATCTGCTTCTTCGACATGAATTCATCAAGACGTCGGTGATTGCTAGTGAGTAGTCGGTCATGTTGACTTGAGTCTCACGGACCATGGATGGGAATCGATGGTCAAAGTGAAACCAGTCGTGCTCGGTGGCTTGGTAGTTGGGAGAAAAGACCCTTTGCAGCTGGCTGAGAGTGAACGAGTCTGCATCGCAGGTGCAAGTTGAAATCTTGGGTTGTTCGATGCCGAGTAATTCCGCGTCTTTCTCTTCCAGAATGCTTCTTTCTTGTTGAAAGGCTTCTTGGAAGCTTGAATCCTGGCACATGGATATCAACCTCTCTGCTTGGACTGTGTCGCTTTCTCCATCTTGAGTTTCCAAAGTTTGTTGCAGCATCTCCAGCAAATTACTCGTCGACTCATTAGATTCTGCATTTTGCCGCTTCTTTTCAAGCCGGTCGATTCGCTCAGTGAGATGGTTCCAGAACTCTTCCAGAAAGACTCGTCTGACCTCACTCCGAAGCGATTGCTGTTCCTCCTCCGATAGCGGCTCAGATAAAAGGCGTGATTGTTTCCAAAAGATTTGCGTCTGATCCCTGTCACCTAGCAAGATAGCCCTGAAGCATCGTTGCGACCGGATACCTTCTGCCTCGAGCCACCTGTCGATATCATCGGATCGCTGCTTTCCTTCGGTAGAATACCAAGAGGTCAAACTTGACGCCTTCGGAATAGGAATATATGATGAGACAGTCTCGAGAGCTGGGAAGAGCCAACCCCTGTTGCCTGAGTCATTGTTGGGCAAAGTGTCTGACGGTCCCTTGTCGCTGCTCCCAGCGGTCCCATCCGTAGGCATCCGATCGAGGCCTTTTTCATCAACGAGTGCAACCGTGCTCGCCATGGCATATAATGGAAGCCAAAAGATTGCGGTAGTGATTGTGTCAACGCATTGGAAAGAGGTTGCTGACGTGAAGTTGGGTTGCTCCCAACAGTCCTACGTTCCTAGTTAGTCTGCGGGGAAAGGGAACATGTGAAGGATTACGTAAGAACTCTATTTCTTATCTTTTGTTGTCTTTGGAATGATGGAAAAGATTCTTGCCGGAATCGTAAATAGTTTCACTAGGTGTTTCGCATTTGTCGCGAGTTTTACTTTTCAAGGACTGCTCTCTCTTTGTGACCGGACCGAGCATCAGATACCACCGACGAGAGCCAAACAAAGGCGTCGGTTTGGTCTGCTCGCTGTGCCACTATCATAGTTAGCGCGCGCTCATGGATGGGGTTTGGAACTTGGTGTTGAAGGGAAGCGAGGAGCTCTAATCGCTCAGTGCTAGCCGCCACTGTTCCTTTCGTGCCCCAGCTCCACTTAGCTCAGCTTCAGCGTCAACCCATTCACCCTACAGCTTAACATCAAACAAGCAGCGCTCCTTGGTTCGATTTCTGCTTTTTAGCAAACAGAGTTCTTGTTGGACTTTGCGCGCTTGACTCTCGGAGAGTGCCAAACACCCACGACTTACTTAGGAAGTGGGTGAATCGTCAAGTGCGACGGGAAACGACAAATGCTTGACCACCGAGTTTGGGATAAAAGTACAACAATAATCCTAGTAATTAGACCTTCTTGGCGGCTTGAGGCAGAGGGCTGGAGCATGCCTGCACTGAGGCGTATAGGTCCTCGAGGCGACACAAGCTGCCGTTCTTATCAGAACCATGTGTAAGCGGGGACACAATGCATCAGGGGTGGTGTTAGTTGAAGATGTGTTGGTTTGAAAGTACGTTGGGGGCTGGCTTGGACATGTGTCTGATAAATATGTCTGGTTTCTATCTTTGTACCTTGAGAATATCCTGGTTGCAAGGCGTGTGGCATTTTTGCTGACTTGGAGGTCCTTCGCCAGCTCCGCACCACGTGCTGGCTTGTTCCTGTGGCTTTCCCCTGTAGGTGGCAAAGAACAAGTGTCTCAGCTGCACTGTTTATGCACAATAATTACACTGTATGCCCTACTTTTGTAGCCCTGCCCTGATTACTAGCATCAAGAGCCAACAGGTTGAGGATAACATCAGCCGAGATCGGCCACCAGGACGAGTTGAGGCGATTGTTAAGAGACAACTCAAGGAATTCCATGACAGATTCAGTTATTCAACAAATTAACAAAGACATTAAGTATCCATTATCATTGTCTCATTCCTAGTTTTAAAGCCGCCGAGTATACACCCAACCACCAAACCTCCAACCCAACCCTTCAATCAACCACCACTCAATAGGGGACGGGAGCGATAGGAGCAGCAGTGCAGTCCAGCTGGTAGTGGATATACGGGCTGTCTGCCTTGGCCTTGACCTTTCCAGCCAGCGAGACATCGTACAGCTGGCAGTTGCCACCGCTCTTGAAGCCGAAGCCCTTGCAGGTAGGCTCGGAGATGCACAGAGCACGGCAATCCTTGTAGTTGCCCTTAGTCTTGCTGGTATCGGCCTTGTAGTGCTGGGCCACGTTTTCAGGAACCCAGCCGACGATGCCTTCGGGGAGGTTATAGTAGTAGGTGTTGGATGTCTCGCTGCCCTCGGGGGCGCGGAACGGCACCGCGTAGTCCCAGAGGGAGCAGGCACCGTTGCTTCCGGATGACTTTCTCACGGCAAAGGCCTTGCAGCTTGGGAATGCGGAGCTGTAGCATCGGGCTCGACAGACCTCGGGGTCGCTCGCGCCAGTGCCGGTGTAGATGTCGATCCTGTTGCTCGAGTGGGGGGAGTTGGACAGCATGCCGAGGGAGCCGGCGATGGTGCAGCCACCAGGGGCGGTGGAACATCCTGCTGGGGCGGCAATGGGGGATGCGGCGGCGAGGCCCACGAGGGCAGAGAGGGAGAGGAACTTCATTTTGGAAATGTAGATGATGATGAGGTTTTGATTTGGATGTATCAAGGTATCTGGAGACTACCGAGTACGAAAAAGGAGATCTACATGAGCGACTTCCGGGATTCTTATACCTCTGTCGATGTTTTCAGCTGAGGGTCGAGATGCCATCCGCCAAGCTGCCAAGTATGCAAAGGTGATGCCAAGATACATTCAAATGGTGATCCGACACCAGCATCCTGGACCACCAACGCACATGGACAACAAAATTCTCCCTCGAAAGCATCAAAGAAAAGTGCACGGAGCCTCTGGCGAGGCTTTTCGCTTCAGCTGCCAAGAAACCCCCTTAAGGCTATTGACAGATAGCGCCTGTGCGGCCTCAATAGTGTCTTTCACCACCCAATCGAGACACACGTACCCAGAATTTTAAACGTGATTGTCGTGGTGTGGCGTCCCCCAGGCCGTTGGGCTGGAAGGCCTCGCTTATGCATAATTGTTAGACCAGATAATGGGAACAGAAGCGATTGGAGGGTGGGAAGCGAGAGGTCGCCGATTGCATGGGCGGTTACCCCGGGAAATCGAGAGTGCAACCCTGGGATGATGAACATTGGCATTGGCAGACAGGCACGTTGCTTTTTTAATTTCTTTTCTCTTCTTTCCCTTGTTTGCCACTGACTGATCTGTGCCGAGATGGATTTTGCTTATGTCCAGTCCTTTTTGTGAGCCTTTAATATAGGGTATGGGGGGTTTTAGTATCGGGTTTTACACGCCGGAGCGTGTTAATAATTGTATTCTTTGTTATTACGGCCGATGAATTCCTCTGACAACGCCACCAAATTCACACAACGAGCCTTCTTCAACTATGACTTCAGCGGCCAGTTAGTCACTGTCTATTTAATGTCAATGACCTCAATGTTTGCTCTCCCTTGCTTGGTCATCGCAACAACCTCCCCATTCATCAAACCCAACATGAAACAGTAACCCACAAACAAGTAGTGATCACCCTCTGGTCGAAGAATATCAGGTTGGTTCAAGTGCACAATCACGCACACAACGTCTCCTTCCTGTACATCTGCTCCACGAATGAACTTATGCCTACCTATCAATAAAGCCCCTTTTCGCAGCCCATTCTATAAAATGTCGCTCCACAGTCTCATATGGTAAGCGTTTGAGACCATCTCGTATCATCTGCTCGGATAACCTGGGCGTTATCAGGCTATGCATTAGTAATATGTGGTAAAGCATTTCGAGGCTGTTTTCTATGTCCTCCTGATTAAACAAGGTAGAGCTGAGAACGGCCAAGAGAGGTTGGCCCCAGACATATGATAGACATGCGGTAGGGCTTTGCATCAAGAGATACGGTATGTAGTTTGCAGCTGACCTTTTCGTTGGGGGATTATGAGAGAACTTCAATTAGTTGAATCTGGTTGTTGAGATTATCCAACGGTTCACAGAGTCGTTGTGGGGTGGCCATGGTTGTCTCAAAAGGAGTGAAAACAGCGAGACTATTCAGACACAATTGTAGGTGGAGCCGGGCGTCATTTATGAGTTTTCACTCTGATCCAGGTTCGTGTGATGTGAAGTTTCAGGCAATGCTGTTGCGCTGCCTGTCTCACCTAAATCTGTTAGCTTCATGCACACTCTGGGGCTGTGCAAGAGTGCCTCGCGCCACAGCCACCAACAGGCATTCCGTTTTTGTAACTGGACCCGAGGAATACATGGCTCTTGTAAGACAAGTGAATTGATCATTAATTTAGCACCTAAGAGACCCCGCGGGTAATAATGATGGGATCGTCAAAGAGAGCGAACCAGAGACGAAGAGAAGCCAGCACCAGACAGCAAGCTGGCAAGGACCGCAGAAAAGGGATTTGAAGGGATAACAAAGAAATCCTTCTTGTGCTGGTTTTATTTTGATATTGTATGCTGATACCTGATCTAGTCTGTCTGTGTCGCAATAATCCCGTCTATGCCCACCTTGCGGTCTCCAAGCTGAAATCCTTCTCTCTCCGCCTCCTTCCACTCCCTCACAATCGTCTCTGCAACCTCAGCATTCCTGGGGCTAAAGATACACCGATACGGTTTCGCCACAGTGACTGCCCCTAGAAAAAACGCATCATCCGAGAGATCAACCGGCAACAATCTACCCTCTTCGTCTTTGGGCGCACTGATAGTGTACGCCCACAGTATCTTGGCAAAGACAATGTGCAAGCTGTTCTCGGCCACGTGCATCCCTGAGCAAATTCTTCGTCCAGTTCCATATGTCCAGTGATCTCGTTTGTAAGGATCCGCTATTCCGACATAGTCTCCCGCCTTGAGTGGATGGTCGAGGAAGCGGTCTGGGTTGAACTTTTCAGGCTCTGGATAAAGTTCTGGGTCCATTTGAATGCCGTTTTGATGTAGCATTAGACCAGTTCCCTTAGGGATGGTGTATCCATTGTATTCAATATCTTGGTCAGCTGCATGAGGTCCACCCATAGTCGTAGCTGGTCGGATTCGAAGGGTTTCCTTGACAATTGCCCGAACATATGGGAGGTCATCGTCAAAGGTGGGAGACCGATTGTTACCCACTACATGCTCAATCTCCTCGTGGGCTCTGGCAACCACGTCGGGGTAGGCACTGAGGTAAAGAAGTCCGTTATTTACTGACGCTGCCGTGGTATCGGACCCGGCCTCGATCATTGCTATAGAAAATCAGTTATGTCGTTCAACAGAATGTGATAAGCAACTTACTTCCGCAGACATACGCAGCCTGTAACTCGCTGATGCCCTTTTGCTTATAGCCTGCTTCCACAAACTGGCGACCGAAGCAATCAGGAGCTTCACCCTTGTCGATCTTGTCCTTCATCTGGTTCCAATAGTGGAGCCAGGCCTCACTCTGTCGTTCTTCAATCTTTTTGAGGTCGTTGTTCCACCAATGCATCCACTTTGGCAAGTTCAGGAGCCAGGGAAAGACATCAATGGCACCGTATACTAGATATATTGGGTCAGTGTGTTTCTTTGAGTAGAGAATCTGTGTGGTCATACTGGGATTGGCGACCCTACCAAAGTCATTCATGACCTTGTAGATCTGGGTGATTGCGTTGGACTCCTATCCATGTGTTATCGTCAGTTGTGAACATCGAGGCCGTTTTCAGATGTGAACCTACCCATGTCGGTGCCCTCAACCCGTAAACCATGAGCAAGATGACTGATGCTGAGTATCTCTGAACATGGGTATAAAAACCCATCTCTCGATCGTCCTTGGCTTCCCGGGTCTGACCAGTATTGTTAATGCTGTTGAAAATATTCCAAATCAACTGCTTTCCCTCAAAGTTCTGAGCAGGCTGCAGCACATTAGCCGCCTTCGGGGTCAGTGAAGCATGGATAATGGACCGAAGCGTCCGCCAGTGGTTCCCATATGGCATGAGAACCATCCGTCTCCCGCCCGAGACCATATTTGCCGACAGAAAACTAGGACGAGTGGATGTAGCAGCCGACTTTTTCTCAAGAAGCTCCTTGACAATTTTGGGGCTATTCAAAAACACCCAGTTTTAAGCGGGGCCAAGGCGGACTTGGTAGATCTCGCCATACTGGCGTGCCCATGTCTTGAGGATGCTGGGAGACTTGAACTGTAAGAGGTTTCCGATAAGAGGAAGTGCGGGAGGTCCCGGAATAGGTTTGCTTGTCTGCTTGGAAAAGCCAACAAACTTGATGAAGAGAAATACTAGGCCAAGAATGATGGGTAATAGGATTTCTTGTGACATTTTGACTTGAACGGTAGAAAAGTACGATCTCACGAGCATTAAGGATTGGTCCAAGATAAATGATCCAAGAACAAACTTGAAACAGCCGTCTTGGCCTTGTCTGTCTTATATCCCCTGTCTCAGATCCGGGATGGTGTGGGGCCGAAGTGCCGAACCGATACCCCACGATCCTGCCCTGCTAGCTCTTGAAGTGGAGGTGAGCAGGGGCATGGTCAAGGACTCGAAGAAGCGGTGGGGGAAGGGGTGGACTTCTCAGGGACCTAACGGAAATAACACAACCGTGAAACGGAGATTAGCATAGGGCAAAATGCGGGGGAAAACAACCGAACCAACATGGGTGCAAGTGTGTTTGAGTTATGGGTAGTTTGTTAGATAAGGTCTTGTCGAGGTGCTTGATATCAAATTTGGTAGGTTCACGGGGACATGACAGCTCAGTGAAGTAATATTATCGCTGATCACACGTTCTAGTTATTTGACACCGACGATCACTCTCGGGTACCTCAAGTTGATGCAACCTTGCCGTAGAGATGGATCCCGCACATCGTGGAGCCGATGCAGAGTACCCATTAGCAGAGAGTTATATAATAGAAACATGACACTACAGGTGGTGTTGTCTTAATGACAGTATCTGTATCTTTATTGACACCCTTTACAGTTTCAAAATCGATCACAATGGTTGTAGAAGCCGATAGCCTGAGAAAAGCTGGCTTCAAAGGCGACATCATTGACGCCAGCTCTTCAGAGTTTACCGATGCCTCAAAGCGCTTCTCTGCCATTTTCAATGCCAAAGCCAAACTCATTGCTTTTCCCGGAACTGCCGAGGATGTCTCCACTGCAGTTCTCTTTGCGGGCCGGTAGGTACAAAGACGACCCGTTAGAACCCACTGGCTAACCACAACTATCCAGGACCAATCTTCCTCTTGCCGTCAAGTGTGGTGGTCACCATGCAGGCGGCGCCAGTGCTGTGGATAACGGTCTTGTGATTGATCTTTCGCACTTGAAAGGTGTCAAGATCAACAAAGAGCGGTCCGAAGTGACAGTTGCTGGAGGATGTCTGTGGGGGGAGGTCTATACCGCTCTCCGTGACGAGGGTTTAGCCTGTGTTGGGGGAGGAGTACACAACGTTGGCGTTGGTGGCCACTTGTTAGGTGGTAAGTAGATACTTTGGCTCGGATTGATCTCTTGCTAACTAGGGACATCCTAGGTGGTTATGGTCCGTTGACTCAAAGATATGGCATGGGTAAGTTCTCCATGAATGATGCGATGGCAAATCTGTTAATCTTTTTCCAGCATGTGACAACCTGGTCTCTGCCACCGTTGTTTTGGCCAACGGAAAAATTGTTCAAGCAAGCGACAAGCAGAACCCGGATCTATTCTGGGGTATAAAAGGTTAGTATAGGATTGACTGGTAGATAGAAAACTTCATCCGCCAGGTTTGTTACTTGGGCTCACATGTTTTAGGTGCCTCGTCAAACTTTGGCATCGCCGTCGAGCTTGTCCTCAAGACCTTTCCAGACCCTGTGAGAAAATCCTAGCACGCAAAGTTATTGATTTTTGCCCTGCATACTAACGGCGCTTTGTTCAGGGACAGTGGGTATTCCGATCACTCGCATTTTCTCCCGACGACATGCCAACTTTGGTCCCTCGATTTGTCGTAGGTCAAGACTTGATCAAACGAAGAAGCAACCTGACAGTTTCCAGCAACATGTCAATGCCTACCAACTGAACGGCGATGTCGTTATTGTATTTCTCAACTTTGTCCGAGGGCCAGGAAACAAGGTCAGCGACTATACTTGAATATTTTGAAATTTCTCTAACCTCACTCGACGTTAGCCACTTGTGCTTCTCAACTTTACGCTGCAAGGAACAGTCGACCAGTTCTCAGACATTTTCAGCTTCTTCTTGGACGGAATGAAACCGCTCAATGACTCTTTAACAACCTTCCCCTCTTTGGTGGAGCTCAGTCACTGCCTCGATGACCTGTTGCTTGATGGGCCGCCCAGAATAGCGACCGGAGCACTCCCTGTGACGAATATCACACCTACGCTTGTGTACAAACTCTGGGAGCGATGGCTAGAGTACACGGACAGATACTCTGATGCTTCCTTCACCAAGGTCGTGTTCGAGATGCACAAGGCAAAGCGTGTTCGTCCGGTATGTCAACCCAAACCACTCCATATCGGTGTTGCATCTGGTTCTAACTTGTTCTCTAGGAGGCCAGCTGCATTCGTGCCGCAGATCAAGGCCACAGCATGATTCTCATTAGCGAAGAGTAAGTAATCCAGCAGGCCAACTCAAGTGTTGGAATACTGACACATTTGTTAGGCACAACGACCCAAGTCACGATACAACCGCACTCCAGTGGGTTCATGAGGGTAACCAGCTCGTTCGACAACAGCAGATTCAAGACTGGGGCAAAGATCTCGGCGTGTGGGCCAATGCATCTATGCCAACAGAAACCGCCGAGGATTGCTGGGGACAGAATTACCCTCGTCTTCAGAAGCTCAAGGTAATGTGTTCCTTGTATCTAATGGGTCACCATCACTAATTAATAGTATCAACAGGCAAAGTATGATCCTGGATACCTCTTTGACAAGTACTGGCACATAGAGCCAAGCTATGCACACATTTAAGGTTCCGGATGACTAGAAGATCTAGAGATACTGCAAAAACCCTCAAGTTACAATGTATTTTTCAAGACCTATGATTATCTGTAGGTAGTTAGTATTCGCCGAAATTATTCCAAAACAAGAACTATGGTCTGATATAGTGATAAAAGTGGGCGGTTCTAGAGATAGCTGGTGGAGAATTCGAAAACTTAAATAGACCCGCCAAGACAATGATACGAGCTATATTCGGACTTAAGAGTCAGCATATCCGGAGCTAAGACTATTCGTGACAGACACGGAACCCCTACTTTGTCTCATTAGATCTCATATAAGCTCATATAAGACGTGGCAATGACTAACACAGCTCTGCCTTTTCACCTCCTACCTAAGTCCCCATTTTCCCATTTTCTCTTCAAATCGTCAGCATCAATATTCAAGGGAGACTATCATGGTGAATGTCGCTGTAGCTGGAGGAACAGGCAAGGTGGGCAAAACCATTCTAGAGGTTTTGAAATCCCAGACCCGCCACAAGCCATTCCTTCTCACCAGAAAGGTCAGTTCCGATTTCAAACCAGCTCACCTTATTTCGGGCCAAACTTGCTTACCACGATAAACAAAAGAATGCGCCAAGCGATGATGGTGTCACGTCCGTGGCAGTCGACTATGCCGATGCCACTTCCCTGACCGAGGCTCTTGAGCGCCATGAGATTCACACTGTCATTAGTTGCTTGCCATATGAAGGCAATGCCCTTGAAGTTGGACAAGGTAATCTAATCAAGGCCTCGGAGGCGTCTGTCCATACCAAGCGGTTTGTGCCGAGTGCATTTGGTATCAACTATCCCAAGGAGTGAGTGAACCCCGAATCATCCGTATCAGTATCTCGAGGGTATACTAATGATTTGCAGAGCCATTAAAGAGCTTCCTGTCTTGAAGCATTACTTCCAAGCCGTCGAAACTCTTCGGCAGTCTTGTCTCGAATGGACGCTATTCCAGAATGGATGTTTCTTGGACTACTGGGGCCACCCGCACATCAAGTCTTACCTGCGCCCGTCTCCTTTTGGCATTGATATCGCGGGCAAGGTAGCAGCCATCCCAGGCGATGGTGATGCGCGCTTCACGGTGACATATTCTTTTGATGTTGCCAAATACGTGGTGGCAGCTCTGGACCTTGATGAGTGGCCTGAAACCACGAGGATTGCGGGTGATGTCATCACTTGGAAGGAATTTGTCAACTTGGCCGAAAGCACCACGGGTAAGTGTCTGCCGTATACATTCGAATCTTGTCTGACTTCAAGGTGCAGGGTCAAAATTCGAGGTTTTCTACGATCCTATCGAGAAACTCGAGAAGGGTGAATTAACCGAACTGCCTTCGCAGGTTCCGTGTTACACTACATTCCCCAAACCTCAGTTTCAGTGGTTCATGTCTATTTTCTCCAAGTGGACAGCTGATGAAGAAATCTGTTTCGTTCCAGGAGAACTCAACGCCAAGTTTCCTGATATACAGCCAATGACTGTCAAAGCCATGTTGAAGACATATTGGGGGGCGTGACTGGTGGACGAAAGTGGCCTGTGGAGTTCAGCAAGTTGCATGCACGTCTATTTGGTCATGAGTTTGAGAAGTACTGAGAGTTTTGAATTTGATAACTAGAAGTTGCAACTCATGATTCGAATTGGAAAATCAAAGCATTGTCAACTGCCGCGATCAAGGCAGAATACATCTCCTCGGCCTCCTTGTCCCCTAATTTTGGTTCTGGGGCGAAGATAATCTCTCGCAACCTATAAGCCAAGCCCTTCAGAGACTGAAACTGGGGCTTAAACTCGGCTACTAACTCAGCGAAATTCCCATCCTCCATATCCTCCGTCTTCTTCCGGGCCAATTCACTCCAGTTCCCAACCATCCAGCGCTGAATCCGACTATCAGCTGGCAACTTTCGATCACCACCGCAGATGGCAATCCACAGAAACACGTAGAGAAAGGATTCTAGATCCTGGCGATATGTTCGTGGTACACGCTTGAGCACGCCAATGGCCATGAATGCCTTGGTTCCGATGATCTCACCTGGTCGGGCTGGACCGACGGCAAGTTCCATGCTCATATCGAGGTCGATAAGAAATCCCCATGGATCCCCTTCTTTCTTATCCCCAGTAAGCATAATGTTGTTCGGTGATATATCTTGATGGAGAATCTTGCCATCTAGATGCAATGACCGATACCCAGCGATGGCATCACGGAAACCTCGAAGGAACTCCTCCATTGAATGGAACCGGCCAAGAGGGCGACCAAGGGGATAAACGACCATACATTCCAAGTCTGAGCCCCGGAATGTGAATGTAGTATCGCCAAATTGCTCTTTCAAGGCTGGAAACTCCATGCCTCCCCCGCGAAGACCGCAACTAGGCCCGACCTTTTGGTGGCTAAACATTTGCATCACACCACTGACGTTGCGTTTCTTGACAAGTCGCAGCATGGATTTCTCAGAGCGGCGAGGTTTTGGTCCCCAACGCTCTAATTCCCAGGCTTCTAGTTCCCAATCTTCTGGTTCCGAGTTTTCAACTTTCCAAGTGAACTTGATGACGAATTCGGGTTTGGTCGAAGCCGATAATCTCGCTCGGTAACACGTAGGTCTGGTGCTCACAATATCTTTAGGATATGCGATGGGTTCGCCTTCCAGATAAAACTGGGAAAGTCCCGGTTCGGATTGGTTCTCGCCCTTGGCCAAGATATATGTCCCTATCGTGTCGTAGTGGAGAATCGGGTTCATGCCAAGGTCAAGATCGTCCAAGCGCAAGTAGCTGGCAAATATGGCTGCGAGCGGCTCTGAGTGGTCTCGCAGGTTCAAAGGTTGGGAATGATACAACCCAGCTCGGTCAAACACCCAGAGCTCGGCCACTAGCCCGAGAATGTATATTCCGTGCAGAAAGCGACGGGCTGGCTGACTTTTAAAGACCTTTCGGGCATACTTGTAAAGCTGTACTAAGCCGGAGTCGTGAGCATAAAACTCAGCATCAAGCTCAAGCCCAAGAATTTGGACCGTGGCCCAGCTATACTCGGTAGTACCTGAGTAGAGGAAGTGGTACAAGGTGCCTGGAAGATCGGGCTCCTCCTCGGATTCTGGTAGGCGGGGGATGAAACGGCGTCGTAGGAGATCGAGGGTATTTTTGCCCGAGTTGTCCAAAGGCGATCTTCCGAAAAACCTTTTGAAAAACCCCTTGTCTACCCCATTATTATGGCGGCGGATTTCATCGAGAATTCCCTGGTCGATGGTGGCTTGGGGATCTTCCTCGAGCTTAGGGGTGTCATCGTCGATGGGGTGAGTTGTAGTCATCGTTTCAACGTGTATGAAACTGATATTTGGTTTAGGGGAGATATTTTCGATCCTGTCTTTTATTCAGCGTGGGAATTGTTGTCGAGAATGATTTGTAGACAAATTCAGACGATGCAAGGGGAAGGTTCAGTCTTTAGGCAGCGAGAGGACAGAAGTTCTTTTATAGCCTGGTGATTGGGTTTGTTGAGCAGCAACGTTTTATTGTGTAGAACCTTGCTATGCACAAAAACGTGGCTTTTGAGTTGCCGCATGAAAATCTTCACTCAGTACATGGTGTTTGTAGTGCGTGCAGAAGTGATGGTGTCATTACTGTGTCTTTCATCATGGCTTCAAAGAGCATTAACCATGGACGCTGAAGTGATCCCCTCTTCCCCGATGCAGGTAGTCACGGTGTCATTTGCACCCTGGCTTGAATATCTCTAGTAACTAGAAACTAAAAATCGAGCACATCTAGCATTGGTGGGCTAACAAAGCTAGAGCTCAAAACGACTAAGGACATGCTCAATGCTTAGCGAGCTGGGAGTATCATCCATACCTATCAGGGTGCAACAGATCCCTTCCCTAAAATGCCTGCATCTCCAGGTTAATGGTTCCTTCCAAGGCCATGGATGATCCTTCCGGAGTCTTTATGTCTTGGCGCGTGAATCCTCTTAATTAGATGATCCCTTCCTTCGGAAACTTTTTCGCGGCAAGTTTTCGGACACTTCTGCTTTTGCTAGCATTTCGCATGTATATAAAGCGATGATGTATTTAGAAGCTCAATCAGATCAAATCATCAATCATGGTAGAAATGAAGTCAATTGCAGCTCTTCTTGTCTGTCTTGCCGTCCCCTGTCTTGGTGGTCAAGCGCCATGGGGTCAGCTTCCTCTAAGCGTTACTATCGCCGTCCAACCAACACAACTCAGCATCCCGCGGAGAGTGGTCAAAAGCTTCGAAAAAGAAATTTCTCATCAGAGAGATTTTCAAATCACTTGGGAGAACTCGCAGACCGACCGTCGATTTGGTGTGGACCACGAATGGATGAGCACGGCTCTGCAGCATTGGCGCGACAAGTTTTCATGGAAAGATGTTGAAGCGAGCACCAACCGACATCCTCATTTCATGACCAATATCACTATCGACACCACGGAACTACAAATTCACTTCATGGCTATCTTCTCCAAGAAGACGGACGCCATCCCCATTGCCTTCTTCCACGGCTGGCCAGGCAGTTTCCTCGAGTTCATGGACATATTCGACATTGTCAAGTCACGATACGATCCAGAGTCTAGTCCATATCACTTGATCGCTCCATCACTCCCCGGATTCACTTTTTCAAATGGTCCGCCTATCGACTCAAATTGGGGCATTGCCAATACATCTGCCGTGATGGACACTCTGCTTCAGGGTCTTGGATTTGGCAAGGGTTATGTGGCTCAAGGAGGTGACATTGGATCTTTCGTTGCCCAAACCCTCGCTTTATCATCATCCAGTTGCAAAGGTAAGAGTTATTTTCAAATCAAAAGTAGTCCAGTTGACTAACAACATCAGCGGTGCACCTCAACTTTATTCCCAGTGTTCAGCCACCGAGTGTGCCAGACCCTCAGAACGACACATCACTTACACCCCAAGATCGGCAAGTCTTGGCTCGATCACAAGAATTCGTCAACACAAAGCAAGCTTACGCTCTGGAGCAAGGCACCCGGCCAGCAACGCTTGGCTTCGTCTTGAGTCACAATCCCGTCGGTCTCTTGGCTTGGATCGGAGAGAAATTTCTCGCATGGACCGACCCATCAAGAACTTTGTCACTGGACCAGATCCTCACGCACATCTCAACATATCATCTCACTCAAACCATCTCACGAAGCTTCTACGCCTACCGCGAGACTTCTTATTCTTTATATCCCGAACCTGCTGTAGCGCCTCGTATCGAAAAACCTATGGGATACAGCCGGTTCCCCTATGACAATTCTGGAGTGCCAGAGTCTTGGGCTAAAGAGGTTGGGAACTTGGTCTTTTACAAGGCGCATGAGCGCGGTGGACATTTTCTGGCCTTGGAGTACCCTGAGGTGTTGTGGGAGGATGTGGAATCGTTTGTGCAGCAGACATTCCCAGACTCGACTATGTAATCGGTAGCCGGTTTCTGTACAGATTTGGGCTATCTTTAACTTCTTTCAGTATCTTTTATTTCAATTATAAGGGCATCACCGTCCACGTCTCCTGCAAGCTCGGGGCTATCGCAAGCAGCCAGTCACAGTTCAGACAGGACGCTTTGAGCCGTTGTGAAAAGAAGACCAAGCTCCAGGCGTGCCTTCAAATATGCCTCTTTTTATCGTAGTATTCTCTCGTGACATTCTAATTCAATTGAACCATTGATATACTTTGGCTCATAACTTGTTTATAGAAAGTTGAGCGATCATAATTCAAAGTTATTACGAAACATGATCCCAAGCTTCCTGGTAAAACGGCCCCACTTGAGAGATCCTTCAGAGATCAAGCTACCAGGATACATATTCTTTAAGCACAGTCCTTATCTCGCCGTATTCGTCTTCAAATTATTAATTCATCAACAGAGGCGTAGAAAAAGATATAGAGATCTGACCAGCAAAAGGACACCTTGGGCTACAGGGTAAGCTCTACAGGCCCAAACATGTTTTTATGATACGTGCTTGAGAGCCGCTAGGTCATAGTCGATGAAGTAACTATAGGCATGTGTTGTGGTACTCTCCTGGACTAATAGCGAAGTTATTACCAAGCTCATCGGCCAAGTGTCACTCGCCCATATAATACCGGCATTTCGCAGTCGAGTCCCATCAACTGTCTCAAACACCGCCAGATTTGCCCCGATGAGCGGAGTTGTCGATCCTTTTCTCACCTCAGATTAGCCCATCCAGAAATAGAGATCGAATCAAACCCTGGCACCCGCCGCTGATCGTGATCCAAATTAAACAATTCACTAACTGGGGAAAAGTCGCCGAGGCTTAATCTCATTCCCTGTCAGATCGGCAAGGATCACCTAATTTCGGCGCATGATCAAACCTGTTTAAGCATACGCCATTTCAATGCTCCCCTCATGAAACGCTGGTCCGTGAGATGACATGATGGATCCACGGCTCAGCCCTGCCAGTCGCAATGTCGATCGTTTCTCGTCCAATCAGATTCTCTCCGCGCTTGATGGCCCCTAATAGAGGTCTCGCTTGTTTGCTGACTGCATCGGCTTGGTACCTGGGCGCTAAGCCACGTAGGATTGCAGGATGAGGCTATGGGGGAACGTCATGGTATAAAATCTTGAATGCCCTACTACGTAGTAGACTATGTGGGACTTTTTACTGCCAACTTCTCCAGTTCATTTCTATCAATCACGAAAATGGCGTCTCGGGCGATTTTTTGGACCTTTCTCGGTGCTGCCGTGAATTCGGCATTCGGTGCAGCATGTCTCCCTCGATCACCCTTCAAGTTGGTCGTCGAGCACGAAGGGGATCTTGCGCCCAGCGTCAACCTCGATTTTCCCGATCCCTCCATTATTCAAATCGAAGATGGCTCCTGGGTCGCCGTTGCCACCGAAGGCAACGGTAGAAACCTTCAGGTCGCAACAACCAGCGATCTCCTAGAGGGAGAGTGGTCAGTAAAGGATTACGATATCCTCCCAGAAAACGGCTGGACGAACGGTGAGAACTTTTGGGCGCCCGATATTCGACGCCTCAACGATAAGGAATACATTATTTACTTCTCTGGAAGACGCCAGAGCGATGGCCAGTTTTGTATCGGCGTTGCCCGCTCCGAAGACCCCGTCGGCCCATATAAGCATGATGAAAAGCCTTTGATCTGCGCCCCGGAGGGATACCACGGCGTTATTGACGCGTCTGGCTTCAAGGATCCCGACTCTGGCAAGAACTATGTCATCTTCAAGTACGAGGGAGATGCGAGCGGTCCTAAGGGTGGTACACCCATCCTTATCCAGGAGATTCAAGACGACGCCAAGACGCTCGTCGGCGAACCCACACAAATCCTCGATCGCATTGGAGAACTGGATGGCCCCCTTGTTGAGGCACCCAACATCGTCAAGCTCAAGAATGGCGTATACATCCTCTTCTTCAGCACGCACCTATTCACCGACCCCGAGTACGACGTCAACTATGCCTACTCCAAGAGCCTAACGGGTCCGTACACGCGAGCAGAGGAGTCTCTGATTGAAGCGCCCGATTTTGGCCTCAAGGCTCCTGGAGGCATGACGAGCAACGAGGCTGGAGATATCATCGTCTTCCATGGATGGTGCAGAGAAAACGCGCGGTGCACGTACGCGCTTCCTTACAAGTTTGAGGGAAGTGTTTGAGTGAGGGGCATCGTATGGTCCGAATTGGTTAGACAATTTTGTTTCTAGCAGGGCTATTAGAAGAAGATTTATGAAGGCCGAGCCAGCCAATCGGTTATACAGTCTTCGACGTCTTACTCATTTGAAAAGAACTTCGTTGCTCAACTCATATTCACTTTGTATTCACCCGTTCATCGCACTACCAAGATCAACGATGGCGTCCTCATCCTAAGGTGAACTAATTCAGCAGACCGCTTGACTCCATGTCAACCGCGTTCATTCCGGCCCGTGACCACCCCTGCGCCACGCCTGATCAGAGAGCCATCAGATCCAACCTCGCGCCTTGTCCCAGCGACCGAGAGCAGGGGCGGTGTATCGGAGGCTGCAACGGACCTGGGGCTAAAGGAATCTCAATGTAGCCTTTGCACCTGTGGCGTTTCCTAGAATGGTCCCAAACGCTAGTCTCTCAAACTATCTTAGATAGACCGGAATCCAGGCTCTTCCACCGATCACTGCCGTTCCCTTTTCACTTAAAAGTCTAGACTTTAGGTTAAAGAAGGCTGAAATCTTCCAGAATGCAAGGTTGATTTTTGAGAAGGTAGGTTGTGTGAGAGGTGCTGCACGTTCGGTATAGGTACCTCAACTGGCGCGGACTACATGAACTTGTTGTCTAATTAAGCAACTGCGGTTCCCTTTTCATTCCGAGTCTAGACTCTGCGCTAACGAATTATTAAATATTCTAAAAGTTAGTTCATGCAGGATAATCTATTTCAGGCACTAGCACGCGAATCTCTTCGATCTGGATCTCATGGGATCGAACTAAAGATTAGAAGGGCGGCTACTATAGCTGGCTGGCGTAGAATAGCGTGAGGGACTGGGCAGGATGAGGGGAAGATGGTTGAATCGAGACCGCCTTATCAACGGGCGTCGAACCTTGGAGTTCGAGCAATCCGATCTATATAGCATAAGCCCATTCAACAAATTCTGCAACACTTCCTCATTTCACCTCTCCACCAAATCTTTGAATCCCACTATTATCACTAAAATGAGGCCAGGAGGCCCCCAGTTCGGTTCTCAGCCTGGTGCTATACCAGAGCTTGACTACTCAAGTCCCAGTGACGTAGACCTCACCAATATCCTTTACATCCACAACATCCCCATGGTGCCGGCCAACATGAGGCCTGAGCTCGATACCCGCATTAAAAGCATCACCTCCTGGGTGGCTTGGGAGCTAACCAGAATCGAAGACGGGGTTCAGGACAAGATCAGGGATCGGGACTTGCCAATGGATGACTCCATGGCCTCAAAGCTCAAGAGAATGTCCTACCGATCCAAGGTACTTGACTATACTCGACGAGTTTCGAGATGGTAAGATCACATCCCAATGCAGACGCTACGTCATCTTGCCCTGGATAGGTCAATCTAACTGGATGTTCTCCCCTAGGCTGGTCGAAAACCTGAATCCTGTGACTCATAGCTCCCAGGTCAGTGAAGGAGAAGACAAGATCAACCTTGCGGTCGCGCATAGTATTCTTGAAGCCTTTGGTACTCCGAGTTCCCCACAGGTCCTTAACGTCCTGAAGGCTGTGAGTTCTGGCTTCAACCGCCTTGTACAGACTACTCAGCCGCACATGTTCTGCGTCATTGACTATGATCATGACACCATCCGCGAAACTATCACCGCTAGTCAGTACAGAATACTCCCTTGTCTTTCCACGGGCACTGATTCTCCAAAGCCATCAAGACCTTCTTCTTCAACGTGACCGTGACGGAAAGTCAGGATCCGTCATCTCACCCGGCCAGAGGCAACTTCTCCCATCGCAATAACGCGTTTGCACCGCCGGAAGCCAAGTTCTATAAGGCCCGGGTTGAGTATACTCACACCGAGGCCAATTTTGAATTTCGCCTCTGGAGCGAGAATGCACCAGAAGAAGCGACTCGTTATGCGCTCGGGAAGCAGGTTCTTGCTCAAAGGCAGCTCCGTTTGTTGAAGGAATGATAGTGCCCCATGACATCGGTGGTGATATTCGTTATGCAGTTATATTAACATAGAGTTTCGGTGGTGAGGGTATTGGCATCCATAGTGTTATCATTCTCTTAACTTGAAGGTTGATAAGCTCATCTGGAGTGCTAGTGAGATTGCACTTTCACCTATTAGATAGCGATAAAGAGCATAGCGGGAATTAATGGGTCATGATTATGTGATAGGATTCCTAAGTTGTGCACATTGTCCGACCAGCGTCGCCGAGCCACGGCTGTGTCGAAAGAGACTCTGCAAAACCATCACTAACGAGCTGTATCCTCTCGCCACCTTAGACAGCATTGATGTCGCTGACGAGGACGAGGAGGACCTCTTCTACCTCGAGATCGTCATCCCAGAAGCGACTGGCGAGGTTGCAAGTTTAACTTCACACCCCTGCCTATGCTGATCTGCTCGGCGGCGAGCTGCAGAACAATTTGAACCTGGTCGTTGTTGTTCGTGCCAAGGAGCGTCATGACCATTAAGCTCTCATCTGCGTTGTCGTAGGAGGGAGAGGGGTTGCTAGAACGCCTAGTTAGCTAATGTAGCTAGTTAGCGTTTGCTGGTTGCTTTAGAAAACAACAGGATATTGTATCGTCCATCTACTTCCTTGCATAAACGTCGCTAAGCAGGTTTGGGCGGAAAGGGCATTTTCAGCCTGACCACTCCAACGGAATGAGTGGTTTCTCCTGCAGGCTGCGCCACTGGTGACATATTTCAGCTGAGCATTTACCCCTCACGTAATCCCTCATCACATCACATCCTTCAGCTCCAGTCGCGGATCGCATCTTCAAACATCTCATCCTGCAATGCGTGTCCTTCCTTTAGCCGGTTTTGCGAATGAATGAGTGCATAATCTAGTTCAAGGTGGAGTATGGCAGACCCTTTGAGCACAGCGGCCAGCGTCGTCGGCCTTCTCACAGCAGCCGCGCAAATTTCAAAAATACTCGCCAAAGTCATCGATAAAGCTCGTCACGCGCCCGAAGAATGCAGTCGAATCAAGTCAGAGGTTGACGATATTCGAAATGTTCTGGTGACGCTTCAACTATTCATCGTCGGAACACAGCGTGCTGCTCGATCGCGAACATCTCTCATCATGGTCGAGCAGGTAGTTGCCACGCTGGCGGCTTGTGTCAAGACATTCTCTGAACTCGATACCTTTGCAGCGGCCTTGCAGAATGACTCCAATATGGAGATTCTTGATAGATTGCGTTGGGCGAGCAAGGAGAAGGATATCAAGGCCATACTTGTCCGGCTCGAGTCCCACAAGTCGTCATTGACGCTGATGCTCACAATATTGACCTGGCAAGCTCTTCTACCTACTTGACTACCATGTGAACGGTTTATTAATGCTTCTTTTCTAGCCAAAGCCAAGATGATGCCGAAAGTCGCGTTGATAAGCTCTGTGACTTAGTAGAACAGATGCTGTTGCGCGACCTGACTCTCAAACAACGCCTGGTTGCGTTGGAGGCAGGCAATGGACCAGAAGAGCCTCAAGACACGATAGACACCCGGTTTCACCGACTCAGTATCAGCGAAACCGATCACCAAGGAGAGGCACCAGATCCCATCTCCACCAACAAGCAACCAGAGTGGCAACGCAGCCCTCACGGATTCGCTTTTGAAGAAATACTCATGAGCTCGAGAGCTTATCGGGTTGTCGCAAAAGACAACTCGGATGCTTTTTCCATCGTCAGCTCAGCCGGGAGAACGGCATACTGGTCTATGTTGTCTGGCGTTAGTCTCTCCGAAGTCTCCCATATCGGCATCCAGGCAATCCCCATCTACGCCAGCGATATCACGAATAAGGAACACTACGACTTTTCACCTTCTGCTCCTCATGTCATACAGATAGAGATCCCACCATCGTCAAGTCTCGTGAGGCCATCTCGACGAGACCGCCTAAAAGGCCTTTTCAGAGACCCCCGATCATTTGGTCCTGAACTTCTGCCAGATCCAGAGCCTCCACTTGCCATCTTTGGTGTTACACTAGCAGATAGCATCAATTGTGTAAAATCCCCCACTACTCTACAGGATAGAGATGGTGTGAGGAGAATCTACGGATACGTACCGGTTGTTATTGCTAAAGCAGGCGCTTTCTTGAAAGTGAAAGGTCAGTCTCACCCTGGAACAATGATGCGACCCTGTCTGTTAACAGTGCTTTCAATATAGGCCTATACGTTGAAGAAATCTTTGCTACCCCCGGAAATCCCGTACGAATAAGCAAACTACAACAAAAATTTGACTCTTCCCTAGAATATGGCAGGAGTCTCGTTTGGGACGGATATACTGTCCACGACGCAGCCGGAATCTTTCTACGATACCTGAAGAGTCTTCCCGAACCTATCGTTCCCTACAATTGCTATGCTGGATTCATAGACGGGCTGACACCGTTTGTCGACCGAGAACTGACCGGTGGGGAATCTGCTGAGGCGTTAAAGGTAGCAACAGATCTCATTACGCCGATGCCGCCATACAATCGCCAACTCTTGCTTTGGATACTTGATATCATCCGGGGATTTGCAATTCATTCTGAAATCAACAAGATGACAACACCCAGGCTGATCAGCGTCTTCCAACCCTCGATAATCTCTGGGCCCCCGGATGAGATGGACGCCGAGGAACATCATGCTGCAGCTAGTGTAGCGATTCTGTTGCTCAGATATGGGGTTCGCAGTTATCATATTACTGAGTGGATGGACTAATTTTTTACTCGCGGCGCACAACATATAGGGAAGCGATGGTGCTCATTCTACCGCGTTGAGGAGGACAAAACAATATTCATGGGCCAGAATTGTCGTCGTTGTAACCTTTCCACGTGATAGTGACTTGCAGGCCTTGACGCTGCCAGCATAAACTTAGTTGAGAAATGACCGTCAGGCGTCATCACTACCTAACCTACACTTCGAGTAGACGTTCCACATTGTTCTTTGAGATTGTCTGTCGTTAAACTTCTCTTCAAGAGACGCATGGATTAATGATGCCTTCACTCAGACAGTCGAATCCTTTCTCGACTAGCCCCTAAGCGTTATCTCCGACTAAATGCTTTTAAACCGCGCACTGCTTAGGAAAAGGAAAGGTGGCATCCTGCACTGCGAGCCTCATCTTTCCACTATTGTGTTTTTATGGCTATAGAAGCTTAAATTTATCTTAGGTTTACGGTGTTATACAGTATTGGGTTTTGATATTGCCATCTGTCTCTGTGTGCTTTTTGATTATATGTGTGACAAGTATGTCATTGAGAAAGTAGATTAGAACTGCGCGCACTGAGTCTTTTCTCTAAGGGCCCATTTTACAGAGTTTTCGTTGCCACATAAAATAAGTCCTTATTCGCTCTACACATTTATTCATCTCTCTCCCAAACAACCCACCTGCTCAAGATTCCTTCCTCATTCGCCATGTCTACACCAGAGCACAAGCATTGGCTCGCGCCATACGAAGTTCGCCATGGCGTCTATGCTGTGATTGGAGCAGAAGTCCAGCTGCACCGCCACGAGATTCTGCACCATGTCCGTGGGCATCTGGAGCAGCGTCATCGGGAGGAACTGTATTGCCAGCTCCGCGCGGGGTTTCTCATGAAGTCTTTCTCGCAACTCGACCGGTTACAAGCCCTCGATTTTCGGAACAAGACAGTTCCTGTCTATCTTCTCACTGGCGATGCAGAAAAGAGAGGCCTGAGTGGGCTGCTTCTCATGGTTATCCATAACTACCTGTACCGCAAATGGTTCCGCCTCTATCGTTCCGACATCGAACGTGGCCAGTTCGTGGCCAAAGTCATCCTTGCCACCGACCAGACCACTATTTAGGGCCATGGCTATCGTGATCCCAGGTCAAAGTTATTATACTTGTGGCCTTGTATCTCGTGTTGCTACTATGTCTATCCTGATTATCCTCACCGGCGAACAAGAAGGGCTGAGCGCACCCATTTCATTCGACTCAATCGCTGATCGGGCTGAAACCGTTACCATCGGCGGTACGAAAGGCGTTCGAACCAATCTGAAGACGGCAATCGACTTTATCATGTTCTTGGAGGAACGCGAGGAGGCTGCTTTAGGTCCACAGCCTGACCTGATTGCTTCTACAGACGCCTCGGCACTTGACGAGTGGGAAGGAGAGTGGATTTACGAAAGGGCACAAACAATGGCAAACCAACTGGGATGGGATAACGAGCCGTTGGTCGGTCCCAGCTCACGGTGGGTGGATACAGCCAAATACCCCGACTGGACTGGACACGGAGCTCAGATGGAGCCGTCGTCACCCAATGCCTGGAACAAAATGGGTGGAGGTTCCATGCACATGATTGCAGCTGCAGTGATCACGCGAGTCTTGTAGGGTCGGGGCAGATACATGGGGAGGTAGAGCACGAAGAATAGCTTCCTCAGACTTCTTAAATCATAATTAATTATAGGGCGATCTGCTATTGAGCCCAAGAACCGCGTCTTAATTGCCATTGTCCACATGGGCTCGTCCACTTGTCGTTGAAGATGACAAACCCTTTCCCCCTTGTCTGGGAACAAGACGTTCAATCGCGGTCTCGATGTGGGTAGGTATCTGCCTCCCTAGAGGTATGGAAAAGTAGCGTAACAGGATCGTGTGAGGACTAAAGCTCGGCATAAGGAAGACTTTTCGACTCGTTCTGAGAGTCGGCAAGTCGCCACGGGCGTGAGTGAAAGTAGGCGAGCAATCCGAGAAACAATGAAGGCGGTCATGGGTCGATGCGTGAAGATAATAGGACGTCAAGCCATTAACCCCAGGGGTTTCAAGAGATTCTTTGCCAGTTCAGGCATCGCGAAGGTAGTCTGGGTAGAGTCATACCTGTAGAAGGTTTCTGGGAAACCATCTGCTCAAAGTTGCCCCATGGTCACGGCGTTGCTGTTTTCGCAGCGGCCGCAGAAAGGTGCTTCCCAGCCAACGTGTAAGTAAGAGCTGATCCAGAGGGGTTATTCCATGGATGTCTTTGGATAATATACTTGCGAGAGATGCTTGTTGAATAGTAGCTTATCTCGTGCGCTCGGTGTGAGTTCGCGAATTAGTTTCCTCCTCGCAGAAACAGTTGGGTTGTTCAGTGTCAGCAAGACTCCCATCGATGGATACCTCAGACAAGCTGAAGCGATGCTGCAGAAGAGTACTCGTCACCTATCGCGGTAGCCCTATCCATGGGGCACAGACGCGCGAACTCATATAGGTGTCACTCGAGGGAGGGGAGCTGGTCGTCTAACGGTAGACCGAGCTTCTGATACCGGCAGGGGATCCACAGCATTTTCACACTTGCGAGGGCCAGGGCCTCGCCTACGTGATCCAGATCAGCTGTGGCCTATGTAGTTAGCTACCAGTTGGTCCTAGTATTAGCCTAGTATTAGCCCAGTATCAGCTCAGTAGGAGTCTGGTATGAGTCATGTATGGGTTTAGGATGAACCTGGTATCTGCATTTGAACATCCCTGAGACAAAGTTGTCGCGCCCCGGGATTGCGTTAATCAACATACGAGTGTCAGCTCTGGTGTAGGAGGTGGTAGGTGTTCGGCTATGTCTGGCTGGAACGGTGTCGACTCCACGTATTTTCTTCCCTGGATAAATGCGAGAGATCGAGGTATCAAGAAACGCGAGTTGGACTAACCACAGTAAAATGTGGACGGGGCGACGGCTCGTTCCAGGACCCAACAAAGCCAGCAGTCCAAACAAGGCTATAGATTCCGAAGTGTGTGTATTACAAATATACCATGCCATCAGGTCGTCTGCTGAATGTGAGTTGGTTGGTTGGAAAAGTCGTTTTTCAAGTTGACCCCCATGAAAAGGTGGCGGCTATTCCTTGTTCACATTGGTCTACCATATTGCGTCTTCTCCACGCCAGCCAGCCGCTGAAACAAAACCCACTCGAGTGGCTTCGTGTTACTCGACTACCGATATCACCCATGCATATCTCAGCAATTGAAATCAGGCTCCGAGAAGGCCCAGCCCCGCCTTTGAAGCTTGGTATCCCAGATACGGGGTGCTTGCCATCCATGCTTGAAGCTCTATACGCCAGTCAACAGCTATTTGAGACTTCTTCATAGGACGTGACTCTATATCCTCTTTTCAGAGTGCGGTCACTTTAAAAACGGCCCCAAAAGCACTCGCAATACTCCCTTGGCAACGGGACTTAGAGCCACAGCGCCAATTTCAACCCTCATCCTGGACAGCTCAGCCACCAGCCTGATCACATCTAACCCAATTAAATTAGGGAGCCACCCTCCTACATGCTCAATGTGTGCTTACAGCATACAGAAAATGCGCTGTTTCCGCCTACCTGCAGTAGCAGAGACACCTGGCGCGGAGGTTCAGGTACAAATTAAGGCCTGCCCCCAAAAGGTTGAAACTCGAAAACACCCACTCTGCAAACCTGTCTACAAGCTCCTCTCTCCTCTAACACCAGCGACAACAGATGCCTGATTACAGCGGAAACTGCCGCAATGACCTCCCTGAAGCTCATTAGACTTCTCATTGGCGCATCTCTCTTTGCCCAGGCTGTGGCCGGCCCTGGTGAAGACTTTGCAAACAATCTGTTCTCTGACTTGGGCCCGTGCGTTCCTAATTGTTCCCTTCATGTACTATGATGGGTTTTGTACTGACAACACTCGCGATAGACTCCTCGCTCTCTTTGGTGAGCGAGTTACAACTCAGTTCCTCAGCCAGGCGACAGGATGGGCTGATAACATCCTTCTCGCAATGGCACCCCTCGGTATCATCACCATCATTGTGAGCGCAATCCGCGTTAGTGGGCCTCCAATTTTGAAAGCTATTATCGGAAGAGCAAGGGAAAGTCGCGCAGTCGCCGAGGCTGAGTTGATGTCTTCGACTTCAGGCGAAGTCTGCGAGCTCTGGAGTGGCCAGCAAATCGTACGAGTCATGGGTAAAGGGCCTATACGAGAGTTCATCATTCTTTTTTCCAGAAGAACCCAACGACAAACAACAAGGCAGCGCAGTTAACCAAGCGAGCTCGGTGGGCCAGCGTGACCTATGTGTAATGAACCTTGAACAAGACTCGGAGAAGTACTTCGACATTGGTCCGCTTTGTCGTCCGCATTCAAGTCATGGTCTGGTCACTAATGAATCTTAGAACTTGAGCAAGAGAGATTGGATGCAAATGACTACAAATCTGTACGAAAGCAACCTGTCCACGTCTCTGTTCCCGAGTCGACTGGCGAGCCTATTCATACGACACAAGAAGACGATTTCATCGCAGTACACATAGACGGTAGCCAGAGCCCCCATCTAAATACCCATTCATCCACGCAATCTCGATCAGGCATGCAATCAGAACCGAGCACACAATCCCAGGAGCATTCTCTTCCCAATGACAAAAGAACTCTCATCTTCCGCAATACAAGCACACACACCCCGAACCTAACACTCAATGTCGGTAAACATTTTCATCACTCCACGCTTCAAGCTCTCGCTGCGGTTGGCGTCATTCTTCAGCTGGGAGTCATCGTTTACTTTAGTTTCATCACCTACTTTCCGACACTGCGCTGGCGTAAAGACGGCGAACAGGTCGAAAACTACGCTTTTCCTTGTACGATCGTTGGAACCATTCTCTTGGTTTCAGGAGTATTTGTCTGCGGCAACATGGTTGAGAAAAGTACGGATGAGACCAAATATCGCCCCAGGGGCCGGACTTGTCAGCTTATTTGGTTGCAAAAGTCCGGCACAGTCAATGACCAAACATTCAGTTCCTTCGCCATCACGCCGGCAAAGCATCAAGAGGTTATCACAACCTCCAGTCGAAGCGAAAACTGGCAGGCTGCAAAGGTTGGCTCAATGTTCGACGGAACCCTCGGTAAGAACAAAAGCCAAGAGCCAAATCAGAATGGCAACCCACTACTTTTTTTGGGTACAACCGGCCATGAGATTACGACCTCACTCGCGGCTTTCCTTGCCGTTTCTGGTTTTGTGCTGCAATTTGTTGGCTTGCGAGGCATGCATTGGTCTGCATCAGTGGGCCAACTCATAGCCACCTTCATCATGACAATCATCAGAGTTTCTATCCGAAAGAACCTAGCAGTATTTCCGAAAAGTCTTTCCCTTCACCCTGAGCACGAGTTGGATTGGTTGGCTTTGACGTTATGGTCCAAAGATGATGATGATTCTTGTCTCATGAGTTCTTCTTCTTCAACATCCGAGGTGAAAACAAAGGATGGCCATGACGCTTCCTGGCGGGAAAAGACCCAGAGCCGTGACTGGATGGACGCTTTCTGTGCAGATGAGGAGTTGCTGTCCTCAAGAGAGGATCACAGGCTGAAGTCAATGGCCACGAGAGACGGTATAGACCACCAAAAACCCACTTCTACCACTCACAAAGTGGTACAACTTAGACGAGACCTGGGAAAGCTCGCCGATTGGCCGAGCGTGGCTTCTCAGGAAGCGATTTCGACTGCTAGGGCTATTGAGATCGCCCTTGATGAGCTATCCGGGACATTTGAAGAAGATCTCAGACAGTGCACTGGAGGTTTCTCTTGGAGAATGCGAATCGGGGCCAATTGGGTTGACTTCCATGTAGAACAATCGGGAAAAAAGTGGAAAGCGCTCGCCGACGAGATTGACGCCGCACTCTCGCTCTGGATCTACCACATCAAGTGCACCAACCACCCTAATAGCTTGGCCCCAGAACCATCGACAATGAAACATGACGATTCATGGCTTCGAACAAAAGGGGAAATACCAAAGCGCAGCCTACGACTGCTTGGTTCGTCATCTAAGCGTCTCGAACAAGATCTCCGTTGGTGGGTGCCAGACCAAGAGCTTCTGTCCGTCATGCCAGCCGAGACTGGGGTAGATGCAGCAGAAGCCCCCTCGAATGGCTTCGAGTATGCCATTGGATGCTGTCATTTCCCACCTGGTACCCAGAGGCCTGTATTTGTTCTCAACGACGGCAACGCACAGAGGCCAGCGGCCTTGGCGATGGAAACATATGACTCATTGCAGGCACTGTTGGCTCAGCACATCTTCTCGCACTTCATGTTCTCGTTAGCAAACACGATGAGCAAGCCTATACCCGAGCAAGCCACCATGAAACTCGCTGATCCCAGCATCGAGGCGGACAGTCTTCGGTGGAATGAGTTCTCTCTTCACCATGATGCGATTTCCAGGCTAGCGCAGAAGATGCAGGTTGTGGGCTTTGGAAGCCTAGAACGCGTCTACTTAAGTCTGATACCACCATTGAGCGCAGCAAACAAACTTCCCGAGATCGAAACGGTAGTTCGGTGGACTCAACAGCATGCCGCGATTTATGAACAGCGAGGGGATTGGACCGAAGTCTCTGAGACTTACCGATGGTTCTTTAGTAGGGCGAGGTGTTTCCCCGAAAGGCGTAATATCAGCAACAAGGCTACTGCTTTGTTTTTGGCTTATCGCTGCCACGTCCGTTGGCTTTTCGAGACAGAAAAAGAGAAAGGTCTGGACCAAATGTTGCGTCGCCATGATCTGGAGGAACTTCTGACCGAGCTTAACAACGACTGGGAGCGCGAGAAATACGATGGCCTTCCTCCTGACCTTCACCACGTCCTGGACATGTTTTGGGACGTGGGGAAGTTGATTTTGCGGGGATCTATCAAATTGTCAAATCATTTGAAGAGGTTTCTGTGTTTTGGCGCTCTCCATCGAGAAGTTGTGGAAGACAGATTTTCCGGTAAACCCACTGGTCAGAAAAGGAAATACATCAACCACCAGGACATCCTCGGGCTGGCACCCCTTCACTATGCTATGATGTACTCATTTCACTTGCACCTGGACGTTTTGGTAGCCAGTGGCGCCGAAATGAGCGCCACAGATATTCACGGAAGGACTCCATTGCATTACTTGTGTCGAATAGACATGACCGATTTTGCCGACGACATGATGAAACAAATGTTGAAATGGGGCGCGAGGATCGACGTCCAAGATGTCGATGGGGTCGCGCCATTACACCTTGCAGCATTACACAACTTGGAGAGCCATGCTCGTCTTCTGCTTGAAGCTGGGGCGAATTTCAACTTGGCCGACAAGACTGGGTACAGTCCATTATTGTGGGCTGCTCGTGGAGGGGCTATTCAAGTGGCTAAACTGCTGCTGGAGAGGCTGGGCGAGGAAGGACTTGTCGAAAAACTTGAAAGGATTCGCGACGATCATGGGAGAACCACACTACATGTTGCTGCCATGTCAGATCAATTCTCATTCATTGAATGGCTAGTATCTTCGTGTTGTCTGTCCACACTTATGCAAGCAAAAGACGACTTTGGCAACACACCGATCCATCTAGCTGCTCAAGCCGGGAAGGAAGATGCTGTCAAGCAACTTCTACACCTCGGGTCAGACACAGGAGGTTGGAATTCATTTGGAGAATTCCCCATGCACTTGGCCGCGGTAAATGGGCATACAGAAACTGTCCGTATACTGTTGAATGCTAGTGGCGGCGCTGCGGACTTGCCAACTGATGAAGAGGGCCAAACTCCGCTTCATCTTGCCGTGGTCGTTAGACACAAAGAAACTGTCGAGTTGCTTCTCAGTCTCAAGCCCGATTCCCGAAGGATACGCGATAGTTCTGGCATAACAGCTCTCGACCATGCAGCAAGCGAAGGGTATAACGACATGATTGATCTGCTGTTTGAAGATAAAGATAGAGAGAGATACGACAACGACATGACACCGCTTCACTTTGCCTCCCAAGGTCGCCACATCGATACCGTCAAACGGCTCGTGGAAAAAGGTGTATCTGTCAACTCGCTCGACGAAAATGATCAGACACCGCTTGATATTGCCATCAAGAAGGGTTACCGGGAGATTGTCAAGTTCCTCCTTAATCAAGCAGATGTGCGATTAGAAGACAAATGCGGGAACACATTGCTGCACTTTGCCGCCAGAGAAAAAGACATTAACATTGCCCAACTGATTCTTGAGATCAAGAAGGGAGAAATTGATGTCAATTCAACAAATGGAGACGGAGATACTCCTCTTCATCTTGCAGCAAAGAACGGACACAGGGAGATGGTTGATTTTCTTGTTGGAGTTTGCAAGTGTGACAAAACACTGCGCAACAATAACGGATACGGGCCCCTCGCTATTGCCGAAGAGGAGGGCCACCAGAATGTAGTTGATTTGCTGGTTAACAATTTTGGTGTCGAAAGGCATGAGAGTGGTGAGTTGGACGAGAAGAATGAGGAGGATGCACCTTAGCAGGTACTTGAATTGTCAGGAGAGGGCATGAACTTGTATGTCACTTCAATGTGTGTATGATCTCCATCCTCTTAGAGTGCTTTATGAGAAGAATGTTAATCTAACGTGTGACGAAGAAATACATGAGTCAGGCTCCCGTGACGTGGTTGACAACAGCTGTTCCTCCCTTAGCGTGTGGACGCAACTCATCAACGAGCTCTTCAACAACAAGGCCAGATATTGAATGCAAGCTATCACATCTGGACCTTAAAGTAGCTATGGTTCGCCCAGGCACGGGTTGCCGACCCCCATCGCTTTTCTCTCATCACCACACAATGAGAGGAGGAGTAAAAGAACCAAACATAATACCTGACCTTACACAGCTTGGTCCCATTGAATCAGTCCTGCCGTAGGTACATGGCCCGCGGTTTGCCCATCAGGCCAAAGTCTCAAGTTTGCCTCAACTTCCGCCTTTGAACCAGCCAAGTACGATCTCTATAGCTTCCTCAACCTGTGATGGGCTTCATGAGAATGTCAAAAAGCTGAGAATAGCAGCGGTTAGCTTCTGAGTCTTGCAGAAATGGCCAGGGTCGCCGTCTTACCCATCTTTCAAGATCCGCCTCGTTGTTCCGTAGATCTGCGTACTTCTCATGCAGACGCTCTGTTTAAGCAAGTCAGTCAATCTCATCTCTTCCAGTGTGAACACGGATGAAACGAACCTGAAGTACGATAGAGAACGCGATCAATAGCCGCATCACCGCTGAGGGAGTCGAGGAACTGGTCAGCCGCGTGGTCGTCGCCAACTTGGCTGATGAGGAACATGACAGCTATGTGATGTTAGCATCTCTAGTGACAGGAGCTATTCGTGGCTTCACTCACACTCCTGGGGATAGTCGTGGTTCTCCAGCCGCCTACCACACCCTTCAATGGTCTTCTTGAACGTGTCTATGGCCTCAGGATTCGGTTCTCCATCTGTGACTGTAAGAATCAGGTGCGGCCTCTCAAGTACACCATTCTTGTCCAGTTGACTGTAGACCACAGGCTGCAAGACCTTTTGCTCCAAGTTGGTTCCGAGATTCGTACCGCCAGATGGCTCAAATTGAATCTGTGCATCGATCTGGTCAGCTTTGAGGTCGTTGCCATGATAATCGCTGTTGATGAAGCGCAGGTGAGCGCCTTTTCCGTCTGGAACGAGGCGAGTTGCGATGCTGGACATGCGTTGAACCAATTGCCTCATGGCATGCATTCTTGTTCCAACCACGTTGCCTTGGTTGTCGTGGATTTCAGCACCCATAGAACCGCTATCGTCTGCAGCAGGCTCAGTGATTGTCAGTTGACCGGTATCGTAGGAGAACGTACCGCAGTAGAAGACGGGCTGATATAGAGCCATCCTGACGAGTCCTTTGATCTGCTCCGGCTCCCTGAGGTGGTTTCTTGGGTCGTCTTTGAGCTCGACGGCCTTTTCGGCCACCTTTTGCAGGTAGTCATTACCAGGGGGGAAGAACTGGCCGAGGTCGCTGTCTCTAACGTAGTCCTCGACTCCCTTTTTGAAGTCATCGACTGTCTGGGGGTTGCCAATCTCCTAGTCTCGCGTGTCAGTCGAGTCGTCACAGTGGTGGAAGTCAGACACTTACTTGAGCGAGCTGCTGATCTGGCTGAGCTGAGCCGATGTGATACAGGTTGGACACGACGCCTTTGACGACGCCCTCTATGAGGCCGCTATTCACGTACGCCAGTACAAACAGGACAAAGCTCACCAGCAGGTTGATGAGCTCCGGGAGGCCTGGCTGCTGCTGGCCAGGTGGCAGGGCATACTTCTGGATGGCAGGGACTCCGGACATCTGGGCTAGCGACTTGGCCGTCTCTCCCTTGCTGTTCTTGGCCTGTAGAGAAGCGCCGGCCTCAATGAGCATGCCGACAACAGCAGGGTCCCGAGCTTGGGTGATGGCCACCATGAGAGGGGTCTCGTTGCCCACCTCAGGGCTGGTTAAATCAACCTTGGCGCCATGGTCGAGCAGCAAGCGTACGACCTCGACTCTGTTGTTTCTCGCATTGGCGGCACCATAGAGCGCGGTGGTGCCGTTGCTGCTCTTGAAGTTGGGAGCGGCGCCTTTCTTAAGGAGAAGCTCGACGACAGCTGGATGGCCAGTCCTGGCTGCGGCCATGAGGGGTGTGAAGCCCCCAGGTCCTTCGTCGTCAATCTTGGCACCGCCGGCTAGATACCTGTCTAGCTTGTCCGAGGTGAGCAAGCCCTTGCGGGCGTCAGTGTGGATGGTGTTGGCCATGTCAGCTGTTTGAGAAAGGAGGGCTATGAGCAGTGATGAGGAGTGATCGGGGTAGTGAGAAGCGATGAGGAGGAGCTAGTGAGGTCTATGGTTACCAAATGCATTAGTTATATATACATACATCCAGACAGAAATAGGGAACTTGACAAAACACGACTTTGCGTCCATCTCAGGCCGTTGAGCTGGTGTATGCGTAGCAGGTCGGCATGGCCCGTACCGAAATCCTATGCGAGGTACCTCATAGTAATTGCGTCTAAGGTCTCATCACATGTGTCTTGTTGTCGTCATTGTTTATGTGTCACTTTCCCTATCCAGAGGCCAGCCAGCCACTATCACGAAGAACGTATTTCCCAAGACAATATTGAAACCCAAGGCCGCATGACACACTTCATGCATTTCAAAAGGGCCGGTCAACGTCTTTCCCGGTGTGGCGGCCTGGTCCTCGGCTAAAATGCAACCTGGTCTTGGGTTGCATCCGCTCAGCTGCTTACATGCTGCTCGACACTTCCGCATCCGGACATCCCGGACGCAAGTCAGAGACTAATAAGGTTGTGTACGAAATGTAGGTGATATGTGAGGGACATTTTTGGCTGTTGAGGCGGTACGCGTCACTTGCGCCATCACCTCCTCCTTAGATGGCTGTTCATCACATGCTTTGTTTCTGGGGCATCATCAGAAAATACCTGATGTTCAGGAACTATGGCTATCTGATAAGTGAGTATGAGGAATGTACTGTCGCTTCACTCGTCTCATTCATGAATAACCCAGCTTGACCTGATGGAACGCTCCGTTGCGAATGATCGACCAAGAATCCATGTTATGCGACATGAGACTCGTTGACAGTCAAGCGAGCTAAGGAGCGTCTTCTCTGATACTGTTGATGGCTCTCCGCCCCTGTAGCCATGAAACCTTTGCAAGTAGGATACGACTATGTGTAAGCAAAGCATGCGTGTATTGAATAGAGAACTACAGACTGTTCACGCAACTGCACTAAACTATCACTCCAAGTAGCCGGCTACCGCGCTTCGCCCTCGCCAACTAAGCTGAACCCAAACTACAAAGCTCAATTTCTCCATCCATGTACATCTATCAGCACCAGCGGGGTCGGCAACCCCCATAGACGGGAGGAGACATGTATACATAGTTTCCGCCACCGTAGCCGCCGCCGTAGTTCCAGTAGTTCTGGATGATGCCGTAGTTGTTACCGTACACATCCCCCGCCTCGGCCTTGGTGGCAGGGACAAAATCACCATTCTGGATAGAACCCAGGGCGGCGCGAGTGCCGTCCTTCTTGATGTGGTCGATGGTGGTGCCTACCAGAGCAAATGCCTCAAAGCTACCGGTCTCGACATCCTGGGAGACGATGATGCTAGTCACGGAGTCGTCCCAAGTGCCCGGAAGGGTGGATTCTAATTGAGAGTCTGTCAGTCTCGTCTCGGCGTGCCGTATCTGGGGCTTCACTTACCACTCCACTCTCCAGACTCAAAGTCCCGGCTGTGGACATGCACACTCTTGTCTTGGCCGATGAAGCTCACAGCCAAAGCCTTGTCAGTCGAGTAGGCCGAGATGGGCGTACCGACGGCGGCGGAGCCAGGAACTGGGAAACCCTCAGTCCACTGGTTACCCTCTTGGTCGTAGTTGATGCTCTTGATGACACCGTCAGCTCCCTGATAAAATACCAGGCTGGCGCTGTGGATGTTTGCGATGGCGAGATGGCTGTCCGGGTGCACAGTCACGTCGATATCACCGAGATCGGCATCATCCCACTCCTCAGAGTCAGAGTCGAACTCGCTGGCCCTGATCTGGTCATCCTGGTCGACATACAGAACAAAGACCTGCTGTGAGTTAGGGCAAGTGACCTATTCACCGTAAACACGTTACTCACGTTCTTCTCTGATGCGGCATACACAGCCGAGGAACCATCTTTGACGTTATCGGCAATCAAGCGCTGGTCCTTGAGGTCATCTCCATCATAGATCTTCTCGACAAGACGACCTGCCTCAATGCTCAGGAGGACAAGGTTGCCGTTGCCGAGAGTGATGGAGCCTGCGGAGCGCAGCACACGGACGATGGTCTTGACTTGGCTGCTCATGGTGATTGAGGTTGATGCTGAGATTGATGGAAGTTCTGTTGAAAGCGTGATATATCGAAGCTCTTGTTGTTTGCCCAACTTTCAAGCGACGTCTTATCCTTTAAATCAATACAAGATACCCCTCTGATATTCCCAAGTACACTCCCTCTACTTCCACATGCTTTGGGATGGCTATGCAAAAGACGATCCGTATCTATGTGGCGTGGCAAATCCATGTTTACCAGCAGGTAGTTGTGCTAATCACCTGTAACTCCATACCCATGCGCTTCAGCCGCCGATGATGGAGGGGGGGCTTCTCAGCCAAGCCTCGTAAATGATGATGCCATTTCTTTCTCTCCTTTGGGTATATGCCGCTTGCAGGACGAGGTTACAGCACGAGGGTGCTCCCGGCAAGAGTATGGCTGGCTGAACTGCTGTTGACGAACTAGTTAGGCTGCAGTTGTCAGAAGATGTCCTTATTGGCTCACAAAGTACCATGATATGTGAGTAAAAGGCAACACACCCTCCAATAATGTTGATACGTATCACGTCGGGAGCTCACCGGTTGCCGTGGGGTCCGGGAGCCTGTTGCCAAGCCTGTACACTGCTGGATCGGGGCTGGCTACATTATCAAAACCGGCATAGAAATGTGACATCCATATGTGTTTGGGTGGGATGAACGGTGCCTCTCAGCTCGTTGCCAAGCGGCTGACGTGGAAACAAGGTGGGCTGTGTCTGGCAGCGGTTGGCGGCCCGGCCCGTGCCTAGGGTCGCATTTTGTTCCGCATGTTTCCTGCTGCATTCCAATACGGCATATGAACCATCATATGATCGACCTACGACGCTTTCAGCTCCCTTCGGGCGGTAGATCTTTTCCAGTACCGGATCTAACAGGAGAGCTGCAGCAAGACATGCATGCATATTATTGATTTCAGATTCGTACCTCTCTTCCCAATGTAGACTTCTCAACTCATTTCACACCTTGACCCTAAACTTCCGCTATGTATTCAGCCGCCAAGGCCGTCGTATTGCAATATTTGGTGTGGTCCGCGCGGGGTTCACCGTTTTCCTGCAGCTCAACGAAACCTTGATGATACAACGATGCAGAATCTGGAAGTTGGCGGCAGACCGAAGGCAGCTGAATAGGCCCATGACCGGTTTTTGTCACAATGAGCTTTGACGTTGCATTGCCAACTACATAGGGGTTGCAGCCCAAATGCCGAAGAGAAGGAGGAGAAAAGCAAGGGGGACAAGGTAGACTGTAATCCGCAACAACAGGAAGTGGTCTTTATCTGCCTCAAGATTCTTGTCACGCTGGGTCAAGACAAGCTTCATTACCGAGTTCCTATCACTGTCATACTGCCCAACGCACCATGGTCGGATCGCTTGTCCCGAAGAATCTATGGCACCCGGATCGCCAGGGAGGAGGAAGCCCCGGGCGAGAGCGGGACAAAGATCCCATCCGGTATGGCCTCAACTCGTTGGATGATTCTGTCATTGGACAGGCTGTCGTGATGCTGAGGTTCATCAAGACCGGAACAGGTAAGCCTTCAGCTTGATAGCCGTGGACCATGTACGCGCTAACACCAGACCTCTGTAGAAAAGGGTGGTAATGGCTTCTTCGTCAATATTCCAGGCCAGGACAAAGCCGTCATCTTCACGGCGGGTCATAACCTGATAGACGAAAACGGCCAACGAACCACACAGCTTAGAGCCTGGTGGAAGGGCGTCGGGACCGGTTGGGTTGACATAGCCGAGAAAGACACACATATCAGCAAAGTCTTTTCGAGCAAGCCCACCGAGGCGTCCGCCATAGACGACTTTGGCATCATCCTGATTCCTAAGAACAACAACCCTCCCCCGCCCAAGACTGCCTTTGGCTTCGCACTCCGCCTTGCTGAGGAGGAGAGGATTGAGGGTGTCTGCAACATCTCAAGCTACTTGACGACCGCCAGGAAAGACGATCCCACCACTCGCAGCACTGGACAGTTCGTGAACCCCATCCTGAAGCAGCACCAGCTCGAGTACCTGGCAACGACTGAGGCGGGCGTGAGTGGCTCAGTCGTCTGGACTGGCTACAACGGCAAGCCAGTAGCTGTGGCCATACAGTAAGAACCTCGAAGCTTTCTGTCTTCCCCTCTCGTAGCTGACCGTAAACCCAGTAACTACGGGCCGAAGCGCAAGAGCCCCAAGTATGGGAGCCGTGGCTCTCGCATCGATATGAAAATGATGCGGGAGATCATGGAGTGGACGGGTGTGTACAAGCGAGCTGTCGCAATCCTAGCTCAGCCGGCAAGGAAGAGTCAACCTACTCCTACGTACCCGCTCTGCTTGAGCTGGTCCGAGACCGACAAAATTCTCCGTGTCCATGTGCAAGACGACACTGAGCCCATCCCAGCCGAGGCCGTCTTCGAGGCTTTACCAGTCTATTCTTCAGCCATGCTACTCGGTGATGACCCCAAGGTGGAGTACGGGTTCGCACAGCCAGACAAGAGGCCCAGCGCTAGCAAGGATGCCCTCCGATGGATCTCATGGAACGTAGAATGGGACTCGGCTAGCTTCGCCAGTTCCCTCGGCAGAGCACGCCTCGCGCGGTGGGAGGTCAAAGGCAAGACGGCACTTATTGCGCTCAATTGGCAGGACTCCATCACTGAGGTTGTGGTCCGCACCGACGACGGCGTCGTCAAGCCGTGGGAGCTCGAGTTCCCCGACAGCGATTACTCGGGTGTCGCGTACCAGAAGCGTGCGTTTGGTACCTTCAAGGTAAGCAGTCCCTTTACGTGGCTCTCCCGTAGCTTGATCCGTTGGCTGATCTTGGCCGCTAACTTGTTCATTTGCAGAATTCTTTCAACAGGTTCATCTTCCAGGATGTGTGATTTGTGAAACGGATCAGGTTCATGGGGCCAATGGGATGTTTTATTAGCACTTGAGCAAGCACATTCAAACAGTCCAAATGGGGCTATTCTATCTAAAATCGCAGTCAGCGAAGTGGTAAACTTGCAAGATCTCCGCAGAGGTCTACATAGTGAAGTCAAATTCGATCTTTCGTCTAGAGAGCTTGTTTGCTGTTGTTGTCCTCCATTTCACCATCAATTATCAATTTCACCGTTACTAAGTAGCTTTCAAAACTAAAAACAAACGCCTTTCTTACATTTAAAACCAAGACTACGTCTTAGTCTTTGTCTAATACTGTGAAATTCTCTAACTCTAATTAGCAGAGCCTAAAAGAAAAAGAAGTTAAGAAGAATAACTACAAGAAGAATAATGGCTCCAACGACATACCATTTACCAAGTCCTGACACCTGATTGTGAACGAGGCATGCATCTGGTCTCTCAGACTCAGCTTGCTGCCTTTCATTAGCAGTTTTCACCGTGTAGTGTCCCTGTTGTAGGTTACCGGCCCGTCTCAAGCGTCGAGCACGCAGCTGCTCATCAGCCGGGGTCAACATGCGTCGGGGCATCTTCTCGTTTAAAAGTGGATGATTTGCAAGTAGGAAAGACTGACAGTGCTCAGGCAGCCTAAGCAACTTCTCCAGGTGTGAGCTAAAATCATTTCTGAGCTGGGCTTACTATATTTATAAGTCAAGAAGGAGATTCACTGGTGCCTCCGGTTGCTGACTGAACGAGGCAGGCGGGACAAAGAGTTATCAATAGATCAGCGAGAACAGAACAGTCACTCAATAGGTACGGGGAGAACACATGCGTTGAATAGAAAACAAAGTACAACTTGCATTGCGTGTAGGTAGCGATCATATACTGGACATTTATCTAAGCAACTCATACCTAATCTGTAATTCAGCGCGTGTTTTGTATTTGCAACAAGATTTGAACAAACGGCTGCTAAGCCCTGAGCGGGCCGAGATAACGATCTAGCAGCGGGTTGACTACAAGATGACAATCGGAACGGAAGAAACAAAGTCAATCCAAATGGATCTATTTGCCCAACTGGCAGCCCATAGCAGGGATACCGAATCCTCCAAGTCCTTACTCGCAGAAACCAACAAAGGGTGGTCACGTGATCTCCCTTCTTGGCATGAATCACTGTAGGGGCGTAATTGCATTTTCCCTCTTGCCAAGAGTGATAACCTCCACGTGGATTAAACCTAGGTGTATTTAATATCCGACTTTATTGGACTTATCTAGCCTCGATTAAGCAAGCACCAGGTAAGCTAGGCTTATAGACTTCCCCTCCTTGTCTCTTTGGCTCACAGTATTCTTTTTAATCTCGCTGTTTCTGGTGATCATCAGGTCAGCGTGTGACGATAGGAGGTTGAGTTACCCTGCAGGGGGCCGACGAACAGGGTCTGAGGTATTAACATATCAAAGTCCCTTTCACCTAGGGAACCCCGTTGTATGGAATTCGAAAAATAGGGTCCTATATGGATATGTCAAGATGATCTCCAAGTCCTCTTTGGTGAAAAACATGATACGTTGACCTCGTCAGTAAGCATTATGTGGGATTCTTCGCTGGTGGAGACTCGAAGGATTCGATGGAGCCGGTCGCTTCCTAAACGGACGCTTCCGGCCTCTATCACTGATTAAACTGTTGCAACCGAGTGCACGGAGGCTGCGCAAGGGCTCTTTTGTGGCGTTTATTTAAGCCTGCTGACGTCAGATGTCAATGTGAGAAATCAGCCCTCCGCTATGATTCGGAGAACTTTGGTGTTGTGATGCAGGGTAGGTGTGTCAAAGACAATCTTCCCGTCTGGAGACGGCGGGATAGGTTATTCTTAGTAGCAATCAGTGTTCGTGCATGTTCATGCACTCAAATGCTACTGAATTCTCTCGACACATGATATTGTCATCTCATGTCCCTCGGCCCTTCGCTTGTCGTGTGATGATCCTTGTAGATAACGACATGGAAGTTTATGGATCAGCCAATTCTCCGTGCTTATCCCCTCCTTATTTTCGCCACAACGCGACCCCGTAATCAAAGCCAAGCGTTGATCCTTGCGTCCGGAAACGAGGTAGGGCTGACTCTTGGCAGCTGAGGTTGCAATCGGCTAGGTTTTGTAACAAGAAGTCCGAGGGAGGAGTCCGAGGCCTGTGATGGTGAAGTCAACACGACCACAATAGTAATATTTTCCCTCATAACTTGTGTTATTGAGTTGGGTTATCATACACCTAGACTCCCATCGTGATATGTCCCTTCTTTCTGGAAAAGACCGTTTTCATCGCTATCGTTAGGGCCATCACCAGCTCGCTCGATCATATGATCCAGGATCCAGCTCCACGCTAATGCAGGGGGCCCGGGATCCAAGTCAACCGAGCCCCAGCCGTTGGTTCATCAAAACCGCAAAACTGGGGATCACAAGGATCTCTGGTGGCTCTACGCCTTACGCTACTGCCAATAGTTGACTGTTTGAACCAAAGTATCTTGGCATGTAGATCAGGCGTTGGAAGGACATGCTTGCTAGCTGTGGCTTTTACACGCCAATAAGCAACTGCAACACCTCGAAGCCAGGAAGCATGCTTAATTGCTTAATTGGCCCGTCGTGTTCCCATGAACCATGCGTGACCGTTCTCAGTTAGAGCGTCCTCGGCCTCCTTTCGATCCATTGGATCAAGCGCCATGCTAGCCGCCCCCCTTAAAATGCCTCAGCCTGCCACTTGTACGAGTTTATCTTGGGAATGCCTCTCGTTTCTCCCTTGCACGATCTTTTCGTCAGTCGCTCTTTTGTCTCAGTAGTTACTTAGTCATTCTTTTGTTGTTTGTTCAAGATGTTGGCCATGTCCAAAATGTCCAACCCTGCGCTGCGGATGTCTGTCCTTGCAGCAGCAGCGGTTACCCTTCTCGTCATTCTTTTCACCTTTTTCCAAGAGCCCTTGAAGGCCCCTCTAGACTATGCTCACCAAAAGGCACAACAATACTGCGACCAGTCCTTCAAGTACGCGCCCGTATCTGAGACTTTACATTCCAATACTAACTTTGAACTGAAGAGATCATTCCACCCCGGGTACCAATGCCGAAGAATTAGCTTCGGATGACCCTGTCCCAGCAGAGGCCCGCAACTGTGTCGATCCCTATCGTCGCCCCGGCTATCTCTACATCCCGCAAGACTCAAAGCAGTACCACGAGACGAGATACATCCCATACACCGAAGAATATCTCAACGCCGACGCCCCCGAGTACGCGCAATACCCCGCTGCCGAGGGTGAGCTCATCTTCAACGCGACCGAAGTCGAAACCGAGTTCCTCGAGTCCCCCGCCAACCCGCAGCCATGGATGCAAAAGGCTGTGGCCGAACACCGACGCCGAACCGAGGCCGCTCAACAGTCCAAGGAAGGAAATCTTACGGTTGAAGACTTTGTCAGCATGAAGAACGATGCCGAACTTGGCTGGCTCTGGGGACGTCGCGTTGTCATGTTCAGCGACTCTGTCGATCGTTACATGACACAGTTTTTCTGCGAAGAGTTTGACGGCGAGATTACTTTCCCCGTGAAAGACGAGTCTGGACGATTCTCTAAGGGCATCTGCGACGTGCCCGCCTTCAACCTCACCCTCGTATACCTCCACTCGACCGGATCCTTCACCTACAAGCCCAAGTGGTGGTGGAAGCCCAAGATCAAGTACGTTGCCTGGGAGGAGCGCTGGGAGAAGCTGTGGAAGCCCCATGAGTCTCCCATCCAGGGAGAAAAGGGCCGTCCCGATCTTATCCTCTGGCAGAACGGCCTTTGGGACCAGCGCGCTTTCTGGGAGGGTGGTTCAGCCATGCATAACCCTGAAGAGCTGCGCATCGCTGAAAAGGGAAGACAGATGGTGTGGCAGGAGGTGCGATTTGTGACGGCTCGTATCAGAAAGATTGCGCAGCGTCTAAACGACGAGTTTGGCGCAGATGCTCCTATCATGTTCAGGTCCTTGACTGTTCACCGAGAAACTGGCATGGGAGATGCCATCATGTTTGATCTCGACCGTCTCGGAAGAGCCGTCGCCGAGCAAGCAGGACACGAGGTCTTCGAATGGGGTCGTCTCATCACCCTCCTCGGAACCTTGTATAGAGACCAAATGCACCCAGGCAAGGGACCTGGAAGCTGGCTCTGGGGCAACATGCTCCTCGAGTACCTAGCGAGATCCGTTGGATCCAAGGTCGGCGGCGAGACAAGATCACCGTTCTTTGACGGATGGGATGCCTGCCACAAGGATCTGTCAGGCTGGGGAGGACGATAAATTGTCCATATCAAAGTTTCATGTTTGTTTATACCTTGAGCTCTAATTGGCCTTCCTGAGCGGTCGCATCCGCCGGACGGGCGAACTGAATTGAATGTACGACCTTTACTATGATAATGTTAGTGGACTGTTCATGATGCTTTCGTGATGGGCGTAGTTGAACTCATGTTATTCTTGTGAGACTGAATCTGGCCATGAGCCGACAGACGCATCTCCACGGATGCCCCTCCCGCTCTCGATCTTGACGCGTGGAGTGAAGCCGAGATGTAGCGGGGAGCCGAGGGAGGCCGAGGCACGGCAGGTGCCGCGAGGGCTGATGCATAGCGCGCAGAGAAAGCTGGTTAGGGGACGCTAACTTAGGTCCACAGCTTGAGTTGGTGAGCTCGAGTTTGTGAGAATCCAAGGTCAGAGGCCTCTGGGGAGGTGTTGAGGTCTGGGACTCAGAGTTGGGGCCTGGGGTGGCCATGGAACTTCTGACGCTGCTTGCCCTTATCACTACCTGGCACACTTCCAACAGGCTGATGTTGGTCAGCAAAGACTAAGGTCCAAAGATGTTGAGCAGGACTGTCGATCTTGGGCAGTCGAGGCTCTTAAACTCGGCTGAACTGTGTATGCCGTTTCTCATATCGGTTCCTCCGATACCCCGGCAAGGCCACACGAGAAAAAGCCCTACAGGGAAGATAAAATCGTACCAGTTCTCAGCCAAGCGGCACTTTGGAGTGTAAAAGCCTCTTGTAAACGGTCGCCAAAGGTCGAGACCATGCGGGCCGGGGGACGTATATGTCTCTCTAAACCCTGCATCGCGCACGGTCATTGTCAAAGCGCGGCGGCGTGTGATTGGCGATGCGGTTTCTTCAACACCACGCTATTTGTCCGGTTTGCCCCGCATTGCGATTGGCGATGGCTTCATGGGATGTAGTGCATTGCCGACACGAGCAACGCCACACAGAATTGTTTCGTCCAATTTCCACCAAAAATGAGGCCCTCTCGATGAGTATCTTCCTGAATCCTGTGCTATCGGAGGTGGACTGCATCTTGGGGAGGGAAGAGGATAACATGTGACTGCTTCGCTTAGCAAGTAAAAGATTAGAAAACACGGGAATTCAGAAAAGTATCTCCGGAGGCTGTTCACTAATTAACTAGCTGATAAGAATAGTTTGAGGCTTGCCAGCGGAGGTGAACAAAACAAGTGCCGATGTGCCGTCCCAACCAAGGTTCACAAGCGTTGAATTATGCCACGGAACACCATCTTCCGGGCTGAATTATATGCAATGCATAAATCTGGGAGATGAATATCCGCCTCGTGATTGAACATTCCAGCTTAGGGCTGCAGATTCTCCAAAGACACAGCCTACAGGGCTGCCAACCACCGTTTCTCACGAGGTCTTGGTCCTCGGGGAGGAAAAAGCCTTTGTTTCAGTGTCGGAAATGCCGCAGCCAAGAAGGATTCTGGAAGGATTGACACGTTTGGAGGCGACTTTTGAATTCAGCCTTTGACGGCAGTTGATGAGAAGCACCAGATGGATCAACAACGGGAACTGTCTGTCTCTCTGATCGAAAATCATCACAATGGACTCACACGACACTCGAGAAGCATTCCAAATCCCAGCCGAGACGACCAACTCCATCGCCGCTATCATGGTGAGGCCGCTGCACGTCGATCGGGTATTCAGATCGGCACAGTGGGCACACTTCCCCGGTGCCTAGCAACTATAAACTTTACCAACGTCAATCTCTATCAGCAACAAATAATCCCAAGAGCCAGATAATGGCCTGTGACCCTCTCCCACTCGTTCATCGTCAAACGTCAGCTTCTCTCGCCCTTCGGGCTAATCTCCCCCGTGCGAGGTTACTTCGCCCTCACTCGACAACCAAAACCGCCGAGCGGCGGATATTAGCGCTCTTGAATCTCCCGACTATCCCTCTCAAGTACCTGTTGCCGACGAGGCTTGGAGACGGTGTTTCCCCCACAATTGGGTAGGAATCGACCGGACCTGCCACTCCTTCGCTGCTCCTGTAGATCGACAAGCTCCGATGACGCGATGAGACGGGGCCCCGAGACGCCTCTTTTCCCCACAGTTGAAGTGCCGGGCGGAATGTCTGTGTTCCGAATGGCTGGACCTGAAGGCGTCAAGGAAGACCCTTGAAATGGAATCTTGATGTTGGTCCTTAGCGTGTGCTGACTCGCCTTCTCCGGCCGTGTGCTTTGACCTTTTACTCTGAGCCCGGTGTGCTAGCTAGGGCGTTTCCAATGTCCAACACGAGTATCAATCTGCCCAGTCTAGGCAGGGCCTGGACATTGCAGTCAAAAGCCACATCAGGAGACAGGGCTGGGCTAAAGGCTTAGCCGACGCGGGGCTAAAACGAGGCCCTCTCCTCCTCCCACCTCCCGTAAGCCATGACTCGTACAAGCGCGGCAGTTGATGTCTGCCCTCTGTCTGACACGTCTCTTGACATCCACCTACGTACATGATGAGGCTAGGTCCCTTGATGAGGAGTAAAGATCGCCATGAAGGACATCTCACTGGCCGAGAAAGGCAACTTGAACCTGACTAGAAGAAATTTGAAATGAACCATCACCTTGACTTGTCTTCTTAGCCGCTATTGCAGGACAACAAAGTTGATCAACCAGGGCATAAAGTGATAATCAAACAGTAGCCGTATCGGCCGATCGCCAGCTCTAGACCAGGTCCCTGGAAGATGGCGTCTCTCACCGGGCGAAACACGATAGCGTCAAGCTGAATAAAGTTTACCGCCCTTCCATCGCGCAACCCCATTAGCTGGTGCACAAGGCAGAGACACCCCTGAACGCAGGTACGTGTGCCCCTGGTTGCTGCAGAATCTCGGCAGGTTTGAAACCGTTGATCGGCTGTGGGTTCATAATTTGTGACAGTCACATATCAACATGCCGAGTCCCCACGATCCCATGCGTCTGGGTTCGCTGATCTATTCTTTTCTTTTTCTTGTTTCTTTTTCCTGATAGTCGTTCAGCCCTGTGGCTTCGAGTGTCAAGATGCAGTCGAGGCAACCTGATCTGTTGTGCGCCGAGTTTATCACTTTTCCGGCGGCCACCGCGTTTCTACTACTCCGTGTCATCAGTCGTAGGATCACCCGAGTTGGGTTTTGGTGGGATGACTGGTTTGCTATTCTCTGCTATGTATGTCATGTTTGTATTGCCGATGAAGTGCTCTTACTGACTGTGATATTAGGCAACAGCCGTGGCATGGGCCATCATGATCCCCTTGTGTACGCCATCCACCACAAGGACACAAGTTTAAAGCTAACTCAATATCAGGGGTTCAGAGAGGATTCGGCTTACACGCAACCGACGTCAAGGGCGCGTCCTTTGAAGATGCAAACGCGACAACCAAGAAATTCCTCTTTTTCATCGAACACATCTACGCCTTTACCCTCTTTTTCGCCAAGATCTCCATCTTGACATTTTACTGGCGCATGTTTCGAGTAACCAACATCAAGATTGCCATCAAAGTTCTGCTTGGCTGCTCTATTATTTGGATCCTGGCTCGGGTATGTAATTTCTGGTGGCTAAAGGAGATCAAGTCTAACTTGGTGTTACAGACATTCTTGACAACCTTTCATTGTCTTCCCGTGGAGGCCTTCTGGGACTACACAATCAAGAACAAGACATGTGCCATTGAAAGTTCCAAATTCTTCTTTGGAACCGTTCTGGCCCACGTCATCATCGACGTCGCTATCTTGGTCTTGCCTATTGTGCAGATTCAGAAGCTCCAGTTGCCTGGGATGCAGAAGTTGGGCATTATCCTCATGTTCATGTTTGGCATTCTGTAAGCGCTTCTATTCTTTCAAGTTGCGTATGCTAATGAGTCCAGGGTCTGTATCGCTGGTCTGGTCATTGTCGGCGTCTCTACAACCTTTGACAACACATCGCCTGACATGACTTGGAACTTGGCCCCGATTATCATCTGGGCCACGGTCGAAGTCAACTTGGTCACAATTTCCAGTAAGTTTCATTCATTATACCTTGAGAATACCTTCTGATGGCGTCTAGCCTGCCTCCCTACGATCCGACCAGCCTGCATCTACATCTTTACCTGCACCAACCCAACCTCATCTCTCGGTTCCGCCTCCAACAGCTACGGACAATCCTACGGTCGCAGCCAAGCCAAGAAGTCGATCCGACTCTCAACCCTCCCCAAGGACGAATCAAGCTCCACGCACCAGCTTGCTGGAGACGAAGAAGGCGGAAGTGGATCCATCTCATCCGACTTTGAGAGTCATGCCCTCGACAGACACCACGGCAACATTGCCACCGTCACCGTGCCTAATAATAATCGCACCTCGGGGGATCATCATAACTCTGGCTCATTTGGAGGAGGAATCATGGTCAAGAACGAGACGGTGGTTCGCGTGTCGACGGCGAAACCACGTTGATCAAGGTTGCGATGAGGTTAATGTAGGATTAGTTATGGATACCCCGTTACATAGTTAGGAGTCAGAATCGATAGCCGGCCACGAAATAATTATCTATATACCACTGCTCATCATGCTTGAAATGCTGTTCTCGGGTGCGTACCAATGTTCAGACACCATGGTTTTTAACTCATCGATAAGTGGTCCCGTGGGACACTACAAGCACTCGAAACTTCAAAATTTGGCTCAATGGCGATATTCAGCTCCAACATAGCCCGTAAGATAGGTAGGCAATGGCCGTGAATAGGGGCAGCTTAGAAAGTGAGGGGGTTTCTCAATGTGGTTAGACAACGTGGCCTCCACCCTCCCATCCTTGTATACAGGTTGCACTGCAACCGAACAATAACCGGGCGAATGGTTTAGTGGTATAATACTCCCTTAGCATAATTCGTCTGAATAATCTGGGAGTGGTCCAGGGTTCGATTCCCTGTTCGTCCATCAGCGGTGGTTTGAATCCACCAAAAGTCTATTTTTTTGCACTTATTTTTTGTGACTGTCTATTTCCTATTTTCCATGTTGTTGTTAAGTTTCATGCCGTCTGCCAGCTCCTGTTTATTTTGATCGCTTTGTCCATATCTCCTCTTGTTGGCTTGCGGAGGTCGGCTGCGACAACTATCTCTTTCTACCTGTGCACTATTGTTCTGCTGTCCCTTATCTCGCACATTGAGCCTGCATTGCGAATAGCCGCCAGCAAGAGATACGAACAATCTGGCTGACCTGGCGAACCACTCCAGCCTTTGTACATTTTCTCCTAGCCGGCTCCGGGTCAGTCTTGGCAACCCGATTTCATCCTATCAAACACCCCCTTTCAAGCTGGATGACGGCCGCGGGGATGTTGGCCTGTCAACGTGGCTGGCTTTCCGCGTGCCAATGTCATTGTGGCTGATCAGCGGCTGGCTGAGTTGTGTACAGCCTGCTTAACGCCTTGTTTTACTCGTAAACCCCTCCTTTGTGCATGATCTGTTGGCTGCCTCCATCGTAAGAGTATTGTAGCCTAATGTACGGCATGTCTGCTTAAGAGATGGCTGTTTGCTCTTCCGTGATTGATGCAGTCATTCCTCTTGGACCGAACTTTCGTCCGCCGCTACTTTCCTTCCATTTTGTTTGGCCCGTACTCCGAGTCTACCAGCGTTAACGTGTCTTGGACTGACCTCGCTCCAAAATACCATGTCAACATCAGTCACCTCGTTTCTTGGGTAATAGTCAGAATACCACCTTATCTCCCACTGACCGGCATTTCCAATACCGACGCCTAGTAGTAGCTCGAGATTCTTCTGCGCACTCGCCCCTCCTGAAGTGCGCTAGCCAATCTCCAGGGCAGCGAGACCTCGTTAGCAGGGCCCCCTCATCAAAAGTCACCGAATTTGCGCATCCCATCTTTTCTTCATACCGTTCGATTGTAAAGCGCAGGAGCAGTCTCCACCAATTGCATCCAAAGTCCCTCAAGGCTAAGGGAGCCCTCAGGGGTAAGTCCAGCTTCCGCTCACATCGCGCCACCAGACCCTCTTGTGCAGCCTATTGATGAGCAACCTTAACAGGAGGCAGCAGTCCTCATGCAAGCAACACCGTTCGGTACACCCCCTCAGGGGAATGACACGGACCAAGAATCAGATCTGCAAGAGTTCAAGGAGATACGTCCCGAGGATATCACAGTAGCTATATTCTGTGCTCTCTCCTACGAATCTGTTGCAGTCAAGTACAGCCTTGATGAGGGATTCGAATGCCGCCCAAGGACCGTGGGCCCAAGAAAATACGTCTATTCTTTCGGCCGCATTGGGGATCATAAGATTGTCATAGCTCGGCCTAACCAAATGGGGACTGTCAAAGCCGCGCAATGCGCTGCGACAGTCAGTCAGCAATTTCCAAACGTCAGGTTCGCCTTGATGATCGGCATCGGAGCCGGCATTCCCAACTTTCCCAAACGCGACATCCGCCTTGGCGATATCGCCATCAGCATCCCTCGAGATAATCATTCTGGTGTGCTTCAGTATGACTTTGGCAAGTACGAGGCAGATGGAAAGTTCGTTCTGAAAGGGTCGCTCGACAAGCCTCCTCCTCTGCTGATCAGCGCAGATGGGTCCTTGGAAGAGGACGAAATGATGAACAAGAGTCGACTTAGGAGGATATTGAAAAACATCACCAAGCAGCCTAGGTATGCTCGACCAAACACAGACGATGTTCTCTTTGACCCAACGTTTCACCATGTCAACAAAGGGGAAGATTGCAGTGGATGTGAGGCATCTGGCGAAAAGAAGGTCACACCCCGCGCCGAACGTGAAGAAAGACCCGGGCAACCTGTGGTTCATCGGGGCCTCATACTCTCAGGCAGTGGTGTTGTCAAAAATCCAGGCGACCGGGATCGTTTGCGCCGGGACTGTGACGACGCAATTTGTTTCGAAATGGAAGCGGCTGGCATCATGGATGAACTCCCTTGCCTCGTGGTCCGAGGAATATGCGACTACGCCGATACCCATAAGCAAGACGGCTGGCACTACTATGCCGCAGCCGTCGCCGCAGCCTATGGAAAGGCTGTTCTTCTCAAGGTCGATGGTCAAGATGTGGAAGAGACAAGGAGTATGAGAGAAACGATGGAGAATCGTAAGTGCGAGAAGCATGATAGACCCCAAGCACACTACCTACTAACAGTAAGTTATAGTCAAGGATAAGATGAGCGAAATAAGTGATGACGTCCGTGGCTTGAAGCGGAAGGCAAACGATGCTCAAGGAGGTACGCAAGATAAGATTCATAATGTACCTATTATTTATGAAAGGGGGTCTCCATAATGAGGAGGAGATTCTCACACCCCTTAGAGTTTATTACTTGTCCCTTGCTTTGCTTTTTCTTTGCTCTATCTCTCCTCGGCAACAAAACTACAAAATCATGATCTCCTGCTTCACTTCCTAACAAGACACAGTTCTAGCAGACATTCGAGGGCAAGCATCAGCAACAAAGCATGGAGAAATCCTTGACTGGCTCGCCGGAATCGACTATGGTCCCCAGCAGAGCTATTACCTCAAGAGAAGACAACCAGGAACCGGCCAATGGCTTCTAAACTCGGCAGAGTTCAAGACATGGGTAGAGACCAAGAAACAGACGCTCTTCTGCCCAGGCATTCCCGGGGCGGGGAAGACGATCCTCACATCTATTGTGGTGGAGGAGCTCACTGCTTACTTTGAAACTGATCAGAACGTCGGTGTTGCATACGTCTATTGCGACTTCCAGCGGCAAGACGAGCAAAATGCCGAATTATTCCTCGCGAGTCTGCTAAAGCAGCTGGCCCAAGGACTATTGTCTCTACCAGCCAGCGTGAGGTCCCTCTACGACAAACATAAGAGCAAGCGGACGCGGCCGTCGTTCGACGAAATCTCAAGAGCTCTTCAATCGGTGGCTACACTATATTCGAGAGCCTTTATCATCATCGACGCACTTGATGAATGCCAAGTGTCTGATCGTTGTCGAGAAAGATTGCTATTAGAACTCTTCGACTTCCAGGATAAGACTGGAGTCAATCTTTTTGCAACTTCACGACCCATGCAAGAGATTGAAGAGGAGTTTAAAACAAGGAGTATAAGATTGAAGATCAGTGCTAGGAATGAAGATGTGGGGAAATATCTTGACAGCCATGTGTTGTCGCTGCCGTTACTTCACGAGAGAAATGGGGATGTTGAAAAGGGAACCAAGGAGAAATTCAAGGATGAAATTAAAACTAGCATCATCGATTCTGTCAACGGAGTGTAAGTTTCTTCTCATGCCGCAGATCGCGGTGATGTTATTAACCATTTGTATAGGTTCCTCCTTGCGCGACTTCACCTAGAATCCCTCAAACACAAGACGACGCTATCCGACCTGTCTGACGCCTTGAAGAAGCTCCCAAAAGGAGAGGCTGCGTTGGCCGAGGCATATGGCGAAACTATCAAGAGGATCAGGAGCCAGAGTAAGGACTTTCGGCTTCTTGCTGAAAGGGTCCTTTCACTGCTCACTTGCTCAGAGAGATTACTCACAAAGCTGGAGCTCCAAGACGCTCTTGCCGTAAGGGCCGGCACTACAACACTTGACAGAGACAAACGGCCGTCCATTGGAATCATAGTTGATGTATGCGCGGGGCTAGTGACATTCGATGAAGACAGCGGTGTTCTCCGCTTGGCTCATGATACGACACGAACCTACTTGGAGACCCATATGTTTTGCATCAAACCCCAGCAGGATCCTGCAACTCTGCAGGACCCCATGATTTTCGACACCCAGAAGAACCATGATGCGATGGCCGAAGCTCAAAACACTGCTACAATCATATGCGTTACCTACCTCTCATTGGATGATTTTGAGAGCGGTTTCTGCCCATCGGATGATGAGTTTCAGGAACGACTGCGACTGAATCCGCTCTACGTCTACGCCGCAAAGGCCTGGGGTCACCATGCGAGGAAGTCTTTGACTTCACGCCAGGAAGTATTGGACTTCCTAGAGTGCCAGGCTAAGGTAGAAGCATCGAGCCAGGCATTGATGGCTGGGAAATCAATGTTTAGCCAGGATGTTCCAAAGCGAATGACGGGACTTCACTTGGCAGCATATTTTGGGGTTTGTGGGGCCGTAAATCTCCTCCTGCGACGACTGCATAGTGTGAATCTCAAAGATAGTTACGGCCGAACGCCGTTATCATATGCCGCCCAGGAGGGGAACGAAGCCGTTATCAAGATACTGATCGGCGAGAATGGAGTCTGTCCTGACTTGGAGGACGCTACAGGACGGACGCCACTGTCATGGGCGGCAGAAAAAGGACACGAGGCGGTAGTGAACCTGCTGCTGGCCACGAACGAGATCGATGAGGACTCCAAGGATAGGTACGGACAGACGCCGTTGTCTTGGGCGGCTGAGAAAGGGCGCGAGACCGTCGTCAAACTGCTACTCGCCAGGGATGGAGTCAACCCTGACTCGAAGGATTCTAGGGGGCGGACACCGTTGTCATGGGCCGCAGAGAAAGGTCACGAGGCTGTGGTCAGCCTACTCCTGACCACGAACGGGGTCGATCCAGATTCTGAGGATAAGAGGGCACAGACGCCACTATGGTGGGCAGTCAGTGAAAGACATCAGGCGATAGTCAAACTGCTACTCGCAAAGGACAAAGTCAATCCGAATTCCAAAGAAATACACGGACAGACGCCATTGTTGTTGGCGGCAGAAAATGGGGACGATGCGGCAGCCAGGCTGCTACTTAACAGAGGCGCCGACCCGAATTTCAAGAGAGGGGGGCGGGCGCCGTTGTGCCTCGCGGCTGAGAAGGGACACGAGACCCTCGTCCGGTTGCTGCTACAGACAGAGAAGATTGATCCAGACCCGAAGTCCACGGGGCCACATGATCGTGGTCAGACGCCACTATCCCTTGCGGCAATGAACGGCCACGAGGCCATTGTCCGGTTACTATTGCAGACAGGCAAGGTTGATCGAGACTCAAAGGCTACAGGATGGTACAATGCTGGGCGGACGCCGCTCTCATATGCCGCTGAAAATGGACACCAAACCGTTGTTGAGCTGCTCTTAAAGACAGGCAAGGTTGAGGTAGACTCGAAGTGCACAGGCCGGAGCGGTGGCTATCTGACACCGCTCTGCTATGCTAATGAGAACAAGCACGAAGCTATTATTCACTTGCTTTTATGGGCGGGTGCTGGCCGGAGATGGGTAAAAGACCAGGAGTTTGGAATGGATATAGTATCAGACGTAGATTAATATGTATATGTATAAGTATTATTAAAACAATACACTTGCTGTTATCAAGCTTGAGTTCATGGTGGCCTTGTTCTTCGTTGGCATCACCGCCACGAGCCGCAAAATCTACATTGACAGATCCAAAGACTGGCGCATCTGGCGTGGTGATGATGGCAAGCGAAGTGGCTTGACATGTGCAAAAGCCTTGTTGCTAGTTCTCTTCAGTTTCCAGGGCTGGGAAACGCGACATTTGTTAGTCCCTTGATGCTCCTCTCGCTTGATGCCCTATCACTGACATGCTCTGCCCCTAGGCCACCGGCGAAATTCCTGCCAATAGACACCATATCTTGCGCCAAGGCTTCATTGCTGACGTTTGCACTGTTGGCTGTTTATATCTCCTCATCGTAGCTGCCTTTGTAAGTGCTATCTTTTACCCTGAGCCTGGCGTGCACTGATATGGGAAGCTTCACTCCATTACCTGGAATGACCTCACGAAAGGGAGCACAAATATCAACTACCCTCCTATGGTATGCCAAGTCGCACGGAACCTTTATGATGGCCCAACGCTAACATGCACCTCCAGCTGACCGGCGACAATGTGGGCGCTAGACGGACATGGGCTATAATAGCTGCCATTTCTTCCTTTGGAAGCCTCAATGCCATCATGTTCAACTTTTGCAGAGGTTATTCAAGATCCCAGCATTGGTCCTCTTCCATAATGCTGACATGGTTGCTAGTTAAACAGGCCATCGGCTAGGCTGAGATCCTCCCGTGGTCTCGATACTTGAAAAAGGATGGCATCATTCAACGGGACCCTTCTGGGCCCGCTGAGGACGCATTCCCTTATAAATCATCATAGGGCGGACTGATTGTCCATTGGATAATGAGTGTCGTCGTCATCTCGGCGACGGCTGGATCTCATGGTGTAATGGAGGCGGTGTTTATTCCAGGCTATATCCAGACATATATCCAGTGTTTCTTTCTAGGCTTGTTGACAATGTCTTATTTCTCTTGGCTATGCCGATAACTGATGCCTGCTAGGTGTACTCGCTTTGGGCTTCTTCAACCTCAAGTCTCGCGAGAGAGCGCTCTGGCCAAAGAACTGGCCAAACAGTGCCACTACAAGGCGGAAAAGCAGGGGCTTCATCGCTCAAGCCTTGATACTTCCTACTATTCTCTTGTATGCCGGTCTCAACCTCGCCATCCTTGTCATCAACGCCATCCCTCCGCACTTGGCGGGTGATGGCGAAGATAGTGATTTCGCCGGTTACATATTTCCTGTGTTGCTAGGTGGATTGCTATTTGTCAGCACGGCCTACTATTTACTCTTCTTTGGGGCTGCTCCTCGCAGTTACGAGCTGATACAGAACGACCCGGACCGATTGAACCCCAACCCGCCCGAGTCTGTAAGGCAAGATGGCATTATAAACGCCCAAAGCGGATGGAATCTCATGAGATGGGCTAATGTTCAGTGTGAAATTAAAAAAGACTATACTTACGACAGGGAGCTGGAGCGGGTCTATAGGTTTGGACGACGATGGAGGGCCATCTATTCTGTCCCTGGCGACCCTACCTATCAGGAAAGTGCATCACTGGATGCAAGTGTGAAAACGTAACGGCTAACTGCCCCTGTAGTATCCAGCTGGTCAAGATCATCCACCCACTCCCCCCAAAAGTGTAACGTTCCCAATGTTTTTGTATTGGCTCTTCGGTGGTACACGCCTCAACCCGAAATGGAATCTCTATGATATCACGAGTACATGGTGGAAAGGAGTCAAGAAGAGATTCCACGATATGACCGGGAAGTTGAAGGCGAGGACATCCGAAGGCGAGGACAGGCCAGAGAGTCGGGAGTGATGACGCAGACATGGAGTACCCACGAGCAGATCTAGCCTTGCTGGGCGAGAACAATGCCAGAGCATGTATTCTAGTAGATCAAGACTTAGGATAATGTATAAAAGATTGTAAGAAAGGGATATATTTATAAGCACATTCTAGAAAACATCAAATCCAGAGTTAAAGCCATGTGTCTGACATCTGCCGCGTCTTGACTCCAAAACCTTAATGTCTCAATAGCAGCCCGTATGGCAGACCCCCATCTCACAGGAAGCTTGATCCTGCGCTCAGGTTGTCTCGCAGCTGCCAACACAAGACAAGCATAAGCAAGGATGCGACGGGTGATGAACCAGGAACCACCGTGCCGCAACGTGTGTTGATACTCGTGGATCTTCTGTACGCATACATGAACTGCCTTCTCTGCAAGCTCAACACATTCTGGAGGCGCTGTCTGGTCGGAAGGTAAGTGTAGAACGTGGTAGAGAATAGGACGGAGTAAAAGTTCGTTCCATTCGAGGAAGCGGCTGCGGAGACCAAAGGCGAATTCGTTATCGGGGACTTGATCATCGTCGAATTGGACGATAGTAGGCAGATGGAAACGCCTTTGCCGAGTCAGCATATCTTCTAACCCCTGCTCCTAGTTGCTTACCATATTGATCTCTGTTTCTCCAGCTCATGGTATTGGTGGACGAGCTGGGAAGGGTTGCTTAACCAAAACTCTTCTCCACCTTCAGCGAGATGTTGAAGCGTATCATCAATGGTTCTCCTCAGGGAGATCTCGGCCAAGTAATAACACCAGCCTCTCTCTTCAAATTGCGAGTCGTAGTTAGTTGGTGACAAACCCTTTGTGTCGATATCGGCAGCTAAGGTAGCAAACGTGAGTGGTGGCTCTGGAAGAGGATCGGGATATGACAAGTCTCCCAAGCCACTAGGTGGTAGGTCTATCTCGAGTAGAAACTCTCTGGAATCAATATCAGAGATAACCCGTTTAGAACCCATTTCTTGACAAACCTTTCAGCTCTGAAGCAAGACCAAAAAACTCTCTGCTCGATGTGGAGATCGTTTGACCCAGAGGATTCGGAACTTGCCCATGGCCTTGTGCCAGTTTTCAGCAGGCGGACCTGAAGCCTAGCGGTAGCTTGTTGAAGATAGAACCATGCCTGAAGGTGCCGAAAATATGTCTTCTCGTAGATGAATGCTAGAAAAAGACACTGTATGTCTAACAAGCTATCACCCAAAAAGCCGAGTCTCGTCTTAGCTGCGAGAAAGTGCGCTTCTGCGTTGGTTTTGTTCTCAAAGAACGGAGCTGTATCTGGCGTATCTGGGGCTCTCAGTAGCATATCTGCGTGGGTTTCTGGTGGCTTCTTCCATGGTTGGGTGGTGACTCCTAGAGCAGATGCCAACAGCTGTACTAGTTCAGTACATATTAAAGAAATATGCGGGGTGGCCGACGTACCACAAGACAAGAAGCCGAATCCCATCGCAGGCCATCCTCGTCGGCGATCTTTGCGAATCTCATGAGCTGCTTGCTATCCAGGATTGGGTTTCGAGGATGGAAGAGAGTGAGAAACCTTTGATACAGCCGTGTGAGCCCCCCATCTTGAAGCGAGCCTGTTAACCCAGCGCTATGTCGATTGCCCCCATCTCCTCCATAGTACCCATCGCTCTGTTCAGGTACAAGGAGGAAGGAGTCAATTTGGGCATCCTTCTCTGGCACGATGTCGTGCAAAACTGGCCATTTGAGTATACCTTCGCACCTAAAGGCCATGAAAGAAGACGAATTGGGTCTTGAAAATCTAGCACGGTCTGTCGATTGTTGGTATCTAGGGACCTCGATTGGAGGAGACTGAACAACCTCCGGCGATATGTCCTGATAATTCGATGTCGTCTGCGGCGAGGTTGTCGAACTTGCACCAGATGCGACTGGCGAGACTACCTGTAACCGCCCAATCATGTCTTTGATCTCGTCAAGTCTTGCAAGGATCTTTTGATCCGAACCCTCACCCTCGGCATCATTCCCAACAGAGGAAAGAGGTGGAGGCGAATCATTCTCGCCATAAACGCATCTCGCACGTTGACGAAGACAGTAGCCGCAACTAGGCCTGGCATTATCGCACTTGACCTTTCAAAGACGGCAGAATTGACAGGCTGCAGGCACTCGCTTCCTATGGGTGTAGTCGGTCGTTCTCCGGGACCGCTTTTTGGCCCGTGGCCCGTCTTGGGAACCGGCCGGGGCGGAGCTGGCGTCATCAAGGATCAGGGCCAGATCCGACGGGATGCGGGTTGCCTGTTGGCCGTGATTGGGTAGAATCGGAGCATTCGGCGATAACGAAGGGTCTGGAGCCATTGGCGAGTTCTTAAGGCGCTGTGCTGTGTTCCTTGTTAGAGGCGGATGAATGGCGGAGAGACAAGAGGGAAAAACAGGGCAGCCAACGGATGGATAATGTTAGCCGCTCACAAAGAGGGGTTAGCTTCTATGGCAACAAGCTAGTCGAAGCACTTCCGGAACATGGACTCGGCAGCTAAGCGATGAAATTGCTTCAAAGAACATGATCTGGATCACAGCTTGACACATCGAGACGCACCCGCCTATGCAGACAGAGAGGCACTTTTAAGCAATAGATGAGTCGGTTGAACTAGCTTGGATTTAGGTCCAGAGTCGCAATTTCTGTCAAAACGCATCTCTTTCAGATGAAGGACATGCTGGCGCATAAAATAAGCCTTACCGCCGTCCCGTACCAAAACCTCGCTACAGAGATGTCAATTGAAACCTCCTTCGCGGAGCTTTCTCTTTTGACCATGAGACTATGTCGATTATGTCCCTAATGGGCGAGACCGAAGCCGGCGTGGGCACGGTACATCGAGTCAACGTCATTTTGATAGAAGATATAAATAGCGACGAGCTATGCTTATATCCGCTGCTGGGAGCAGTGCCAGATTGAGAATAGCGCGTCCTAATAGGCTTCTAAATAGAAACAGATATCGACATTCAATTTGACAGAAATTGCGACTCTGGACCTTAGTCCGAGACGAAATAACCCCCAAATAATGGCATCACTACCTCCCTCGGCCAGGATCTGCCCCACGAGCTAAACTCGGGCATGGGACCATGCTAAACTGCTTCTTCTGCAACCTTGAACTCCTTGTGGTCAACCATTGCCTCCCCAACTTTAGATTCCTCCCTCACATCAACATGAGCTTTCTTAAACTTTCGAATAGGTACCTTTTTGTTAAACAGTGTGTCAATCTCCTCCAAACTCTTGCCATAACACTCAGACACACAGAAAAATGCAAATCCCGCTAACACAGCTGCCAAGCTGCCAAAGATGAACCCAACGCGAGGCCCAAGCGCGGCGTAAGGCGGGTTCAGAAGATAAGGAAGACCAAATGTCATGGCGGCTTGCGTAGAGACGGCAAGGAGTGAACCGGTCGCGTATGTGAGGTCTCGGACTTCGACAGAGGGCAGCTCGGCGGTGATGGTGTGCGACAACTGGCCCCATGAGGCACAATATCCGGTACCAAAAATCATCATCATGGCAATGATGGCACCCTTGACCGTGACACTTGGGTTTGAGATCATTCCCAGACCGCCCATGATCAGAAGCGCTGAAGCCTGCACAGACGAGCCGCCCAGCAAAAGAGGGCGTCGACCAATCATGTCGACTAGGAAGAGCGTCATGATGGAAACGATGAGAGTCACAACCGAGTTGACAACCGTGAGAACAAATGGGTTGACGGTGCCGATGGACTTGTAGAAGAGTGTTCCGTACATGCCCGCAAAGGCATTGCCCGTGCCGTGAAGGAAGAAGTTGGTGGCGAGGACAATCCCCGTGCGCTTGATGTGCTTACGACTCCAAATTTGAAGCCATCGCTTGGCAAAGTTTGCTTCAGTTGGCTTGTAATGGTGAGACTCGCAAGCAGCTTGGATCGAGGCTAGCTCTTCTTGGATCTGCTCTTCCGAGAACTTGCCTTCGCGAAAGAGCCTCAGTGCATTCAGTGCTTCCTCGTGTCTCTCGCGCAGGACTAGCCAGCGTGGGGACTCTGGCATCCAAAAGGTGCATGTCAAAACAATTGCGGGGATGCAATAGAAAAGACCAATAGGCAGGAGATAGCTGGTCTTGCTTGGAATTCCGCTTGTTCCGTAGCAGACTAGAGACATGATGAGAATGCCAGTCGTCAAGGCGGTATTATACGAGGCAACCATGGCTCCTCGTGCTTGTAGCGGCGTGATCTCGGCCTGGCACAGCGGGATGACAGCAAGCTCCATGCCGATGTATAGGTAGTTTAGAGCTCTTCCTGCAAGCATTTGGTCGCTGGTACGGGCCGTGAGGAGAACGGTGGTGCAGATGATGGTCCAGACACACATGACTCTAACGGTAAAGAGTCGACCGAAGCGGTCGGTAAGTCGATTTCCAATAATCACACCTAGCATCATGTGTTAGAAGATGTCCACATCTGGCAAGTGATAGTTGTGACTTGCCGCAAGCAAAACCAACAATGGAGAAGCCGTTGAAGAAAGAGAGCCACTGCGCTTCGAGAATGACGCTACCATCTGGTTGTTTCGTGCCAAACTGGTGGGCAAAGTGCTGCATGGCTTGAATATTGGTGAATGCACTTCCCTCAAAGCCAAAGTTGAACTGAGATAGAGCAAGGATTGCGGCAGTAAAGAAGAGTCTTCCGTTGAATAAGCCCTTGAAAGGCAGTGCCAATTTTGAAGTACCCATGATGGTGGAGTTGCCTAGGATGAGGCGGGGTGGTTGGTGTTGAGGAACTGATGTAGAATGAGAACAACAGTTGTTTGCTGAAATGATGGCCAGTGTCGAACGAAGCTGGATTTCGACAATGGCAACTTTAGGTGGTTCAAGTCATGATATTTAAACTCGAGCAAAACTCGAACTCGACCCAGGTCAAACAGATCTAATCCCCTTTCAGTAGAGGCTTTGGGGATAGACTTTGTGGGGTTGGAAGAGCATGTTCTCCAGGTACGCCCACGATTGAACAAAATTAGTGACAGGTAACAGGGAATGGACTGACTTCAAGGTATCACTAGCTCGCTCATCATCTTGGAGCGTCTTGCCTCATCGCCACCTTAAAGCTGGGGAGCCACGAGACCTTCCTCCCATGTTGAGTGCGGATCGTTGTATTTCCCCACAGTGAGATGATTGGCTGTTGCTTTGACTTTCATTAACTCCGTCCTTCCGCTCCGTCCTCCCGCACTGCCTGATCTCAACTTATGTACCAGTCTAATGATCGTGTTGCAGATTATGGGCGGCCCGAGCACGATGGCCAATATCATCGAAAAGTACTACGACAACAGCACAGAAAACCTCGGTAACAAAGATTCGTTCATCTGGTATGGCCCCCGCTGGGCAAACGCTGGAACTGCCCCTGCTCGAGGCGTCAAAGGTACGACGTTCGAAGGGGGAATTAGATGTCCCTGCATTATCCGTTATCCTCCCCTGCAGCCACAACCAGGCAGCATCAGCAATTCGTTTGCCACAGTGATGGACATCCTCCCTACAGTCCTCGAACTAGCAGGGCTTCAACATCCCGGAAAGACATACCGTGGCCGGGAGGTCGCTCTCCCTCGTGGCAAGTCCTGGGTACCGCATCTCGCCTCGAAAAGGGCAGATGATGTATCCATACATGGAGAGGACACACACATTCACGGCTGGGAACTCTTTGGTCATAGAGCAATTCGCCAAGGAAACTGGAAGGCTGTATAGGATCCAAAGTTGGAGAGTGGGAGGTGGCAGTTGTTCAATCTGGAAAAAGACCCAAGTGAGCAGAGTGATGTGGCTGGTGCAAATTCGGAGGTTTTGGACAAGTTAGTCTTGTTCTGGGATCAGTATGTGGCCGAGACGGGCATGATTCCATCACCGGCCTTTTAAACCGCTAGAAGGGTGGTGTCGAGTATGTGACCTCAGCTACGGACCCCAGACTGAATAAGCATCTCGTCTGCCATTCAGACTCAGAATAGAATTGCATCTTGCATCAATTTCCAAAAATATTCATGTTCGTTTGAAGTTCATAATGTTTTCTATTCACACCAAGTGGCTACAAGAGCCTGTGACCTGTGCCAAGCCCTGCACAATCAGTCTGTTGACACCAAATCTTGTTCCGACACGAGGCCGCCAAGAATTGCCTCCGCTTCAATCTACGGTTGGCTATAAGTAGAACAACATTATCAGACCGTTTATAACTTCCGCTTAGTCATGCCACTATCACGACAACGGGGCAGAATACGACCAAGCAAAGTTCAAGATGTTGTCCAATTTAAGTGATGCACTTACAAAGAATTCACACTCACCTCTATTTCAGTCCCTTAATAAGCATCTATCCATCTAAAAACAAGACGAACCACGTACTCTTTATACGAACAACCCATCTTATCAGCCTCTTGATTTTCAGGGGAAATGGTTCCACCCAACACGCGTCAACTCCACTATCTTCTCCAGTTGAATGACGCAACCATCCACGTACTCTCGCCGATTTGCCGATGATAAGGTCCCATATTATTCGGATCGACGCGAGGGAGAAGCTGAGGGAGGATGAAAAAGTTTACTTTCAGCTTGGATCCGTTTTGTCTCCCACTTTCCGACTCATTTTTCTCTCTTTAATCTCGTCGTGGAAGTGGTTTCCTTAATACACTCTTTTGTTAATTTCGAAAAACCCTCTTCAGCACAATTATTACTTTCCAGAATTCTTTTAGTGACTGCTCGTTCATTAAAAATGCATTTTGGGCGATCTACAGTTGCACTCGCAGCGGGCCTAATCGCCTCAGCCACTGCTCAGACTTATAGCGATTGCAATCCTATGGAAAAGAGTATGTTCTCAATTGGAACTCTTGCAGCACTTCAACTAACTGTGTGTAGGCTCTTGTTCTGCGGACGAAGCCCTCTCCTCCTCATCCTACTCTGTCGACTTCACCAAGGGCGCCGACGATGACGCCTGGGAATCCATTGGCTCTGGAGATGTCGACTACACCTCGAAAGGTGCCGAGTTTACCATCAACGAAAAGGGCGATGCTCCTACCATTCAGACCAACTGGTACATTTTCTTTGGTCGTCTCGAGGTCCATTTGAAGGCGGCTTCTGGCACTGGCATTGTTTCATCTGCTGTTCTCCTATCTGATGTTCTTGATGAAGTGTAAGTTTTCCTCTGAAACACTTTTATGCTTGTATTAACACTGGGGAAAGTGACTGGGAATGGCTTGGTGGCAGCTCCGAAGAAGTCCAAACCAACTACTACGGCAAAGGCAACAGCACCTCCGACACCCGCAGCGAAACCCTCGCAGCCGCCGGCTCCCAAACCGCATCCCACAACTACACCATCTACTGGACGAAAGAAACCTGCGTCTGGTACGTCGACGGCACGGCAGTCCGAACCCTCAACTACGCCGACGCCCTCGGCGGCGAAAACTATCCCCAGACACCCATGCGCATTAAGCTCGGTATCTGGGCTGGAGGCGATTCTGATAATGCTGAGGGAACTATTACTTGGGCTGGTGGAGAGACGGATTATAGTGATGCGCCTTTCACCATGATTGTTGAGAGCGTCAAGATTGAAAACTTTAACCCGGCTGAGAGTTACACCTATGGAGATCAGACGGGAGATTATGGCAGTATTGAGTTGGATGAGACGGACAAGTCTGAGACCAAGTCAAAGACTTCTACCAAGACGACGACTTCAACTGGCTCATCGACCGAAACTTCAACTGGAACAACCTCTTCGACTGAGACTACTGGTTTCCAGAACAAACAGCAAGTCGGCTCAACAGCTTCCTCCGATGTCTCCTCAGCAGCCACCCCAACAGCGAGTGTCACCACGGTCGAAGGATTCGCCGCAATCAACCGACCAGACATTTGGATTCTTCTAGGAGCGCTGGCAGCTATGTATATCTAGTCCACACAAACACCTCCAAGCGAGATGTCCCCACGAGGCCTCACCTCTTGTTAAGCTTATTCATCTCCTTGGCATGCTTGTACACCAACTGCTTAGCCTCCTTGTCTTCAAGATAAATCGTGAATCCATCGTTGTGGTTCTTCCCGTATGAGAAACCACCGTAGCCGAATTGCCAGTACATTCCTGGCATCTTCTTTTCAACTTGAATCTTTTGCCACTTTCCGATAACTTCTAATCTTGTCTCTGGTCGTGTAGTATTGAGATACTCTTTGCGGGCTTCAGGTGTCAACCAACCGTATTCTTCGTGGACGACTGGCTTGCCAACTTTGGCGGCGGATTTCGCGTGGTCGATGATCCATTGGTTAGACCAGCTGACAGTCTTGGACCACCAGTCAGGATAACTGTGAAACACGCCAAAGTCAATGTTAGGAAGAGCAATTTCGTGATCGAAATCACCGCCATCGCTGCCGTTATAAGCCCAATCATCTGACTCGCGGTTAAAGCCACCTTCACCGCCCCAAGTGACAAGATGATATGGGTCAAGACTCTTGATGTAGGCACTCATCTCTTCGACCCAAGCGGAAAGAAGCTTGGGTGTGCAGTTGTCGCTTCGTGGAAGGTTGCGAACTCCATCAGCGCCACAGCGAGGTTCATTGCCCAATTCCCAGGCCATGATTGCGGGTGAGTTCTTGTACCGGTTCACCATGGTCTTGACGTAGCGCTTGTAAGCGTTCTTGATCTTAGGCAGTCGGTAGAACTACACACATATTAGTGTTGTCTCACGAAAAGGACAGAAGTACTCACATCGTCATGATACTTTCCACCAAGGTTAACAGTGTAAACATCCATACCCCCATAATCAGCCCAATTATTCGTCAACGCAACAATAAGCTTGACCCCAGCCTTGGACGCAGCATTGATCACTCTGTCAAACCGCTCAACATTGATCGTGGACTTGCCATTCTCCCAAGTCTGAAAGTAGACGCTTGTATCACCTGCGCCCTCTCCTCCGTACTTAGGGAGACCGTTTGGATCAGTCGTGGCATTTCTGTCGTTGAAGCCCCAGGTACGCATAACGTTCAGGCCGGCCTTTTTAGCTGCCGTAAGGCCGCGCAACGCATCCTTTTCGTCCTACAGCTTATTAGAATAATTCATCAATTAGGGTTGGTGACTTACATCCTGGAAGGGGAGGTAGTAAGCGTTACTCCCAGCAAAATAAAAATCCTTGCCATTGAGCTGAAACTTGTCACCCTTGACAGTAACAAAGTCCTTCTTAGGACCCTTCGGACGAGCCTCAGCGCCCAAAAGGCCCGAAGCAAGAACAAACAAGGCAATGTTGAGTTTCATTTCTGCGACTGTACAGATCCAGCGACCTGCTTCCTACATCAAACAAACTTCCCTGAGGCATTTATACCCCATCTTGTTCAATAGCAAGGATTGGAGTATCGTCCCTAGTTCCGTGTCTAGCTCGGGGTGCATTTCCCTGATCGACATGGAGATGCACGTTCCGACTACTAATTGGGATTTGCCGGTTTCTGCTTAATTAGAGTTGCATCGGGAGTTCGGGCCGCCAGGGGGAGGGGTATATATCAGCCGACGATGCTTAAATGACGGAACCTGTTCATCCATGGCTTTATTGGGTCGATCCGTCATGATATTTCGTCAGTTGAATAACGGCGGAAAAACTAGATGTAGAAGCTATCGGCCTTGTGATCTGTTTTTGAGCTTTACCCCATTTCTTGGCGCTGCATTATTGAGTTTACGTTTATCCGGACTCTGGGAAATATCTCCACCCGGTACGTTTTGGTCGAGAAGATGGACATGGCTCGTGACGACATTGGTGGAGAGATATTCATAGGTAAAACGGCCTTGTCTGAGTGTCTTGGCAGTTTTAAATAAAGGCCTGTAGATGTTATATATCTCACCGATCAGGCTCATAGTGGAACTGATCAACCAGGTTCATTCTATCGGTTCATTCTATCGGTTCATTCTATCCCACAACATGGCTACCAAAGTGTTCCTCGCCGCTTCGGCTCTCTTCCTAACTAGCCCTGCCTTGGCTGCCTCACCCAAATACCTGATCACCTTGTCCGTCTCCAAGAGCCATGTTTCTCCAATAAACTGACCATTCCAGCGGCGACTCGTATTCCCAAACCGGCTTTGACATCAACGGCGAAAAGCCATCATCCTCAAATCCCCTAGGAAACCCTCCCTTCCCAGGATGGACAGCAGCAGGCGGCGTCAACTGGGTCGGCAGCATGGCAGCTGAAGTTAACAGCTCACTCGTCCTGGCATACAACTTTGCGTACGGCGGAGCAACTGTTGATGCCGACATTGTCACGCCTTACTTGCCGACGGTCCAAAGCATGGAGGATCAGGTAGATACATTCGTCAACAACTTGGCTAAGCAACCAGACTATGCCCCTTGGAAGGCTTCGAATACGCTCGCTGGTGTTTGGATGGGAGTCAACGACGTAGGAAACAGCCATTGGGCACCAAACGTGACTGATATTATGGAAGCTTCAGTGACGAGATACTTTGAGCTGCTTCAAGTGCTCTACGACTCTGGACTGCGCAGATTCGTCCTGTTGAGCGTTCCACGTAAGTCATCGACTTGAAATACCAGCTACTCATCTAACACCCTGATAAGCAACCAACTTGACCCCAACCATGTTTAACCAAGGAGAGGAAAACACTTCTCGCCTCATCACTGCCATCGGGCTATTTAACGACCACATAACTTCCAAGCTCCGCGCTTTCAAGAAGGCCAACCGTCAAGCGAAAATCACCCTTGTTGACACATCACGCGCTTTCAACGCGGCAGTCAAAAACCCTACAGCCTACGGTGCTCCTGATGCGCTTTGCATTAACCCAGACGGAGTTTCTTGTGTAAGTCACAGCTATCACACACATTAAGCGAGAGAATGCTAACGATGAACTAGCTTTGGATGGATGGTTACCACCCCGGTGTCGCCATTGAGAGGCTTGTAGCCAAGGATGTGGTCAAGGATCTCAAAGCGGATGGGTACAAGTGGTAAGGGTGAGACGCCAAGGTGCTTAGCAATGAGTGTCAGTTGACGAGACAACAAACCACATTCCGTTGACATTGACGAGAACAAGGCATTTCTTGAGAGGTTGGTAGATACCTCTGGAACATGTTCATTACTGCATACTAGTCCGTTCCATTCACTCCGTTTCCCTCTATGTGGAATACAAAATGTCATGTAGATGATCGTGCCGTATCCCGGTCCGTATTCTAGATCGAGGTCGGTCAGTGGTGCCATAGCGTAGCTCCCCTTCGGGCCACATACTTTATAGCGTAGTTGGTGAAAATAAGTCAGACTTTGCTGACAATGACGTTTCTCTCAAACCTGCTTGAGAGGCTTCGATGGGCTGTCCGATCGCACGGAGGAAGTCGAAGGTATGTCATCAGCGGGGAATCGAGGAGGTGTCAAGTCCTCTGACGAACGCATAGGCACCCTGTCAAGGCGAGCTGTGGCAGCGAGGGCATCCAGCTCAGTTAGAGTGTCGACCTGAGTCTGAGACTTCATGAACGATGCTCGGTCATCAGCCATAAAGGGGAATCGGGAATCTGGGTTCTTCTGCCAGAAGACAATGGCGCTCGAGATGATGGTCATGAGCAGCAAGATCAACGAGAAAGCAGCATTGAACAAGACCAGGATAACACCAGTGACAGAGGGGCCCATAGCCGGCATTCCAAAAACGTTGGTGAGGATGACAAGACAAATGGCGTTGAGGAAGTTGAGGACGTAGATGGCAATGTTCAGCGAGTTGGTGCTTTTGTCCATGTAGGGCAGCATAACCGTGCTCGTGATCATAGGAGCCGCCTCAATAACGACGAGAGCGATGGCCTGCAGGTCGCCGTTGTGCTGGCCGAGGGCGATGAAGAAGCCCTTGACCAAGATGTAGGCAATGAGAGGGACGATAAAGTAGTAGCCCGAGGCACGGAATTGGATATAGAGGAATCCCCACTTGTTCAAAACACTCGAGTCAGCAAAGAGGCTGTAGGTCGGGTTCTTGAACGCAGCGAGACGGATGATAGTGAAGGCAGCCGTGACGAGGATAAGAAGCATGCCAAAGAAATAGAACACGGCGAGGAGGACAAGGGCAGCAGAATCAGCCTGAGTAAACTCCCAGACAGAAAGGATGGTAATTCCAGGGAAGCCCATGTAAATAAGACGAAGAAGGACGCCCTTGAGGATGGTTCGCCATTCGCTTCGGAACTCGAGGAAGCGATCACGCTTGACCCAGGCCTGCTTGACACACAAGTCAAGTGCAAACTTGCAGAGGACGACAATGACGGTGGCAAAGATGAGAGTCAAAATGAAGAAGACGAGGCTGGTCAGGAAGAGATTGGTCGTCTCAATCTTGGAGCGGAAAGCAACGCGCTGTATGCCATACACAATGTAGGATCCGCTAGCGAGTTCAATGTTGCCCCTCTTCACAAGGCCGTCAATACCGCGAGCCGCGTGGTGCATGACGCTTCGGGGCACGACAGCGTCAAGAGAACGCTTTGCAACCTGAACAGAGGCCGATCCGAGGAAGTGAAAGATGCTGGCGGGGGCACCTCCAGTAGCTCGCTGATACCAAGTAAAGATGTCTTGCATCCAACTCATCTTGATGATGCCCATGGTCCACTGGAAGTTCTGCGTCCAGGCCTCCACGATCGGAGGCATATGGATACCGGTCAAGCCAACAATGGCCTGCGCCTGGAAGTAGCTAAACAGAGAGAGCGTGTTGGCAGCCAAGTGCGCGGCCGCATTGCCATAGCCAAGGAGGGAGGTGACGGCTGATGAAACAAGTCCAAGTCCAATGATGATGGCAGTAACCCACTTGACCGAGATCTGCTCAACTGTCTTGCCCGTGGAGAAGTCAGCCTCTACACAAGCAACACTCTCGCCAGTATCAGTCAAGTTGATAAAGGCGCGAATGGTAGCATCCAGGTCAGGGATGCCATAGGCAATTCCTGGGATCTGGTCCAGGGTGTCGCCAAGATCAAAATTGAACTTGGAATCGATGTTTCCGGGCGTCATGGGGCACATCTGCGACAGCTCGAGTTCGCCGTTGCAAGGGTCGAACTTTTCGTGGAAGAATCGGTAACCATAAACATCGAGGGCAACATCAAAGATGACATATCCTTCTACTGAGGCGGAGGCGGAGAGGTCGACGGTGACCATAGAGTTGTTGGGCGTAATGGTGACTTTGAAGAGACTCGCGGAAAAGAGTGATTCGCGCTGACAGCTGTTCAGTGAATTGGAGGTCAAGATCCTCTCAGCCGTCACAGAGGTAACAGCCGAGAGGAGCAAGGCGAGCAATGTCAAGAATGGTCTCATCTTAGGCGGCTTTTTGTCTCGAAGGAAGGGAGTTGCTCGATAGTCGGTCGTAAGCGAATGTCGGGAGCAGGATCGTGGTTGGGTCGGCGTTGTTTGCTCGAGTTGGTGATGCTCGCTCTAAGCGCGCGCTGCAGCAACGGGGTTCATCAGCTCGAATCGATGATCGGATACGACGGAACGAGCGTGGGCGTGTCGAACCTTGGGCCTATCGATGAAGCGCAAGGCGAAAACGACAAAAAGAGTCTTGGGCCATCCAACGTTCGATTGATGGTGATAAGATCGAGAGCGAGGGGAATGTAAAGTCAGGATGAATACGAGAGCGGATGAATAGTTCAACCGGAGCCGTGACAGCTCATTTCCCGTATTGTCTCCACATTTAGCTCGGTTAGCCCCGATCGACGTCACCAGCTAAACTATATGCGGAAATAAGGCTCGTATCCGTCAGCTGAAGGCGGAATTAGCACGAGATTCGTGTTGTTGCAGGGTAGATGTTTGCGTCTGGATGTTGAGCATGAGATCAATAGGACAAGATAAGAGTCTCTGCTTATGGGAGAATATACAATTGGTCATATGATTGGCTCTCGAGTAAGCTTTTTTGCTCTCTTATTTAGCCCTTCAGCTGTGTTTAAGGCTTTGGTCTAGACACGGGAGCTAAACAAGGCTTTTTTAATCCCCGAAAACGAAAGCACTGCGTCACGTCACAATAGAAGACCGAGCGAAACAAAAAGGCTACTGGATTATAACAAGGGAGATGTTTTTTTCTTTCTTGTGTTTCCTTCTATTTTACCTTCATTAGAATGATTTCTCTATAAAATATCACGTCCCCCTCATCGCCGACCTGCCTAGGTAGCTTTATCCAATGACATCTCCGCCATCGACTCAATAACAGCCTTCTCATCGGTCTGCTCTTTGGCGTTGAGTAAAACCCCATGAATGGCATCTACGAGTTTTTTAACGTGCAGTTCCTCCTTCGAAAGCTTCTCTATGAACTCTGTCACAGACCCCTTCTCGGTTGCAAAGGTAACGACCTTCCTTTGCCTGCTTAAATGACAAACCAATATATCTATTTTTCGGAGATATCTCTCTAGCCTCCAGACTGCTATTTCGTACTTCTCAATGAGATACTCGTACGAGATTGGGCCTTCCAGTTTGGCCGGGCAGGTGATGTCCTCAAGCTTCATAGACATCTCGGCATCTGGGTAGTCTATGTGGAAGGACGCTAGCTTTCTGACTCCGGGGTCATTGTCCTGGTCCCCGTCATGGCCCATGATGGCGTTGATGGTATCCATCATGTTGATGTAGTCTTCTTCTTTCATGATGACGGAAGGATCTGTTGATGTATAGGTAGGTACTGGTGGTGGTGGAAGGGTCTGCTGATGAATGCTCGATATGAGTGGTGAGGATATGTGAACTTTCATGCCGATGAAGAGAAGGCTTTTATACTTGAATTAGTGGAAGCAAACAGGCGGGAGTTTATCATTGATTTATGTCAAGTCAACATTGTGCGTTACTATTCAATATGAACATACCTTTCGTTCTCAATTAGGAGAGCTTGTGGGTGATATGTTCCCCCAGAACAAAGAGATTCAGCCATGGATTTTAGTGGACAGGCTCTGAAGCAATAGAGTACAGCTAGCTGTTTCGGAGGTACCGTACGAACAAAATACAGAATGGAGCCTTGAAGAGGTCTGTGATCTGGTCATGCCCCGGAACTGGTTTATTCTGATCGACCCTGACGTTTTCTTGCGCAATCAAGTTTTCTACTACAACTCGCATACATCAACAACATAATCCTCTTTGACCACGGCAAGCACATATCACCATCATTGCATCCAGAACCAAAGTTACGCCTTCAACTTTGACATCTCTATCCCCAATGATAGCCGCCCACTGCCTCGTCTCCAACTCCATCATATGGACCTTCTTCACTTTGCCCGTCACGTCCCCAACAATGGGATCACGAACCTCCTCAAACGCAAAGTATCGAAAATCTGGAGAGATATTTGTCTTGGGCTTCGCAAGAACTCTTGGAACAACGAAACGCCCAACCCTGGCCGTTTCGACATCGGCGGTCCAGACGTGCGCAGTGTACCGCGCCCAACATTTATGAGCACCTAGCACTGACAGTACAATGATGACGCGTTTTCCGTCCGAGCACATGACGAACGACTAAAAGTGTGTAGTCGTATCCGAGGCTTTTGGGCTTTTTAAGAAGATATTTGGAAGATGAAACTGGACAGTTCGAGAGAAAGATCAGCCACAAAAGGCGGCTGAAGTCGTGAAACAACTTAATTGCTTTGGTCTCATTTGGATCCTTTTCCGAACTCAGAAACACTCAAGCTGATATTAATTGACTGCGGCCATAAGATTGGGTGAGATGGTGAGAAGCTAATGTGCTCTTTGTTATATTCGAAGCCTCCTCTATGGGATAACTAAGCTAGAAGACCGAGAGAATGAGGAGACATGCACCCAGCACCCGCCACAAGGAACTCAAAGAAACAAAAGAGGGATTCATCAAGATTCATAGAGCACACATAAAGTTTGACTTTTTTCTCAAAGGTGTTTTTTTATGGTCAGGCAATGGCGGGTTTATGACTGACATTTTGTGGCCACCTCTTTGATGAACGACAACATGAGCCCAAAATAGTCGCTGTTTGTAGTCTCAGTAGGAGACAAAGGCCACATGCGAAAATGATGATATTATTTTTCTGTTTAACTTTTGAAAAACGGATAAAATCCTTATTGCTGGATCTTGGTGAGGTGCCTGGGCCGTATAGGGCACAATGGTAGGCCAGATATCCAGTTTTGGTTTCTCTCTCGCACCCATCCCTTGCGTTTCCTCCACCACTGAGGCCATTTTATTATTGGATCGTATACGAGCATTATCCATAACATCCAAAATGGTGATAATGCGGATCGGCGCGCACAGACTTGAGCGATCGAGGTGACAAATGCGCCATTTCCTCTTGACACATTCCAGCCTCATAGGGCAGACGTTAGACACGAAAAGACGTAATTTGTGGCTGTGCTAAGCTACCGTAACAAAATGACTTTTAGTAACTAGCCCGTGTCTAACACTGTCAGTATCTGGGGAAGAGAGACGACTCATCTGACTCGACAAGTAGTGAGACCCTGCATAAGGAGAGAGAACCCGATCCGAGACGACAACCCTCAAGCAGGAAGGAGACCAATCTTGGCCCTCCCTGGCCAGGCTTAAGCCACAATACTCCACTCCGAGGGACTTCAATTCTCGAACGTAACCCTGAATATCTCCCGTCAAGCCGCCGGCCCCCACGCCATGCATCTGAGACAAGAGCCCGAAACACAGACTAGGATCGCAGACCGCCGGACAAAAGAATTTCACGTGGACATATTACGTGACGTTCTAGGCCAATGCTACTGCTTCCATGAGCCCGGATGGTGAAACAGTGGTTTGCCTGTTGGTCTGCGCATATCCTCGGTGGTAGATGCAATACGGGTCGGCAAAGACATTTGGCTGCATTGCATGAATTCTACAGATTTGATTAATAATCGAAATGGCATTTTGAGTCGGCTGATGGCTGCCGCCGGGAAAGACTTGCTGCATTTGAGACGTACGTCATTCTCCCCGCTTTCCGCTTTGATGGTGCAATATCCCACCTCGTATTTTCTATGGTAATATCTTAGATGATCTTTCGGATACAACCGGTCTAGGAGAAAAGAGAGAGTGCCAAGTTATATTACTCCCATCGCATGCCTTGGAAACGGCAATCTCTGTACGCTTTGGGGTGTGTTTGAGATGACGTGGAGTGCAAGGGAGAAGCTATTCCAACCTTGTTGTCAATTATACGATGTCAAACTATTTCTCCATGGGGTATTGCACGTGCGTGATCCATTTGTGTCTTTGGACTATGCATATCAATTTGTGCCTTCTTACAACGCTGAACCCGTGCTACCTGAACTATCGACAAGAATACCCCCAAGGAACTTCTACCCTTCTTTGTACAGTAACAAGAAAAGTCCCTGCTTGGGGAAGTGCCGAAGAATATGCAAGTCATGCATATCCCTGGTATGAATCGAACCACCCCAGCTGTTCATATTCCGTAGAAAGACAAAGAAAATCAAATGGTTACAGGCCAACCACACAGCCGACGAATTAGCTCACCCAAACACCTTAAGAATGACCCTGGATGGGTCGAGGAGCGTATAGCTCCTCCAGATACCTCTCCTCATCCTCACTAAGCTCCTTACCCACAGCAGCCAGAGCTTCCTCTATACGCTGGACAGTACTGAAGCCAATAATGGGAGCCGTGACTCTCTTGTTCAACCAAGCCAGGGCAACATGACTCATTGGCCAGTTTCTCTTGACGGCAATCTCTTCCACTCTTGAGACGATCTTGTCTGTGTTACTGTCATCCGCTTCGTATATGGAACCGTTTCTACTGTTGGATGCACGTATTGATACAGACTGTTGGCTTGGCCTGCGTGCCAGTCTTCCAGATGCAAGAGGGGCCCACTGACCCATCAGAATGGTTATCATGAAGGAAGTGGGAGGTGACTCACGGGAATAAGACCAACACCTGTATCGTTGCAGTACCGAATCATCTCTCGCTCTTCTTCGCGGTAGATGAGGTTATAGTGGTTTTGCATCGAGACAAACTTGGTCCACCCTTTGGCATGGGCTAAATTCTGCATGGCTGCGAATTGATACGTCCACATGGAGCTTGCTCCGAGATACCGCACCATGCCTGCTTTGACTAGATCGTTCAGTGCACTCATGGTCTCAGCTATGGGCACAGTGGGATCAAAGCGGTGGATCTGGAAGATGTCGATGTAGTGTGTTCCAAGACGCTCAAGTGAGGCTTCAACAGCGTTGAAGATTGCTGCCCGTGATAAGCCTGAAACTGGTCAGTCAAACACTCCAAGGTTTGTCGTGATACATACCCCACTGATTAACGTAGTCTTTGCTCTTATCTGCGAGCTCATGATGCATCGTGACTCCTGAGCCAGGGTCAAAGTTTTCCGAGTCGCATACAACCCGATAGCACTTGGTCATAAGGATGACCTTGCTACGTGGGATGTTGTATTTCCTCAATGCCTTGGCAATGACCTTTTCAGACTCTCCATTGGAGTAGACATTGGCCGTATCCCACTATCACCAGTCAGCAAACACCCAACAAGCAAAAGACCCAATTTACCGTGTTGATCCCACGGTCGTACGCTGCCTTGAGTATAGGCATTGCCTATCAAACACACCCTCCATCAGCCACTTGAATCCTTTCCAACACCACGGACCCGGGTAAAACTCACATCTTCCTCGTTGAGCACCCAAGGAAGCCAACGAGAGTTTCCAATGTGCAACCCTCCAAGGATGGGATTGGACACCCTGAGCCCACAGTTGCCGAGATGACGATAGTCCACCCTGGTGCGCGAGATGGAGTCTCGCAGAGACTGGGGGATTCTCAGAAGCTTGTCGACGGATGTTTTGGACATGGTTGCATTGAGAAATAAACTGAGGCAAGGAGAAAGAATCTCTGACGGAAGGAGAGGTAATACTCTCGACTTGAATGGCTGGGTGAGGTAGACAAACTCGGCTGCTCACCCTTTAAAAGTGCCGATCATCTTTACCGCGGCAATTGCTTCCAAGGTATCCGTCTGTCTTGCCGCTCAGTACCCGCATCACAGAGTTTTTTCTTCTCTCTCATCACAGTTGGGCCCTCACGATTGACTTGCGGTGTATTTCCTCATTGTGATAGTTTCCTCCTTTCTCTCCAAAATAAACACGCCCTCACAGGCGTTGTCCCATTGGTCCACTTTCGAGTTGGCTGCGTGTCTCAAACTGACTGCCCCCGGCAGATCGTTGAATGTTCAATAGAGGGTCTCGAGCCGAGTTGGACTCTGACCAATCGAAAGACACGCTGCCTCGTATAGTTGCCAGATTGGGACAGTATTCGAAGTTTTCAGCCTTTTCTTGGCAAAATCAGCCATTTGCGCAAAGGGGGAGTCGACGTTGGTCAGGTAGCTCATGAACAGCCACCGCATTCCAGCGCGGTCTAGAATAAACTTGGAACAACTGGAGGGTCAAGGTCGTGATATTACCTATTATTGAAGCATCCCTGGTGATCATCAGGGCGGTTTTGCAGATCTTGTAGTCTCCTTGTTCAGCTGTGCCAAGCAAGACTAGTGGAGAGAAGTAAAAGCAGGCTTGAGAAAGGAATTGAAGGGACCGCATTGTAAATAAACTATGCTCAGCTCGCCATGGTTCGTCATGCCACAACAACATGACCTCTACACGCATCCCACGCTTTGCCCTCTTTCAGCGGTCAACACGTCGTCAACGCTGCAGGCCAAGCCACTAGGTACGGATGGACGGGACGGGGCGACGGGAGGGCTTGAACGTACGATGTCTTAGCTAAATAGCGCGTCCTCTTCTTGCTTCCTGGCCACTTAAACAACCCCCCGAAGGCGTTATTTGTCCTTCCGCAAGGGTTTAGCTGCAGGGAGGACAGCCTGCTGTCAACTTGTCTCTGAGCATTGACTCGGGAAATAACCTCAAGTGTGGGGAGATCACCGCAAGGGGGTCATGTCACAGTCCAGCCACATCTGGGCTGCCGATCACCTTCTATACATAGACGTTTCTACAGCTCAACAGATGTGGATGCAGATGTTTGTCTGGACTTTTGAGAGATTGGACCCATAGAGGCTTGCGGACCCAATGAAGTTCTCGTGGGGGTTCGTGTTACACCCGAATCGAGGTTCTGATGTTGGTCTCATCTGTCATGTTGTTGACTCGTCACTTGTCACGATCTCGTATGTATTCTAGAATTAGAGTAACCGGGGGATTCCGGTAACTGGGGATCCAGTAATCTCAGTCAAAGCACACCCAGTTTGGTCAAGTATCAGCCATATTCCGTCACACGGTCCACTGCATGCATTCCCGTCTGGGCAGGGTGATCTAAAACACGCGGTATTTGATGCAGTCGTCTGTATGCGGTTGTTGAATTCCCGATATGCCTTCAGCTGGAAGTAGGGGAGCCGTGAGGGTCATGATGGTCCCCGAGAAGCCCACTGCGCAATCAAAGAGTGGAATCGGTGAACCATTCAGAGGTGCGATCTGCATATGCATTGCTTGATTTGTTGAGTCTTTCAGCTGGAGATGCTGCTGGTCTTCATGTAGGTAGTTAGAAGTACGTTTGACAGAGATATGTTGCATATAAGTATTCCAATGCTACCCTACTAGGTAGATCCCTACTTCTGAGATCAATAGCACCTACCTTGGTTACAGTCGAGGTGGAGTAATTTGATCTGAAAGAAGACGACCTTGTACGACGAGTTCGCTACATTATATATTCTTTCTACCTTATACCGGGCCCAGACCAGACGACACGTTTCCGTCTTTGTTCTCCACGGTATGTTCTAGTCCTTTGAGGCTGTGGCTATGACAACTAACTGATTTGTCAATCAGATGCATCAGTTCCGAGAGAATGATGCCGTGAAGGCGTACCCTAGTGGTGGAATTGAAAAGTTTGGAGACATTCGCGCCACCGTACAGCCTGTCTCGAGTGGTTCCAGTGACACTTCCTCCTCGGATGACTCTCAGCAACTGCAACATGCAGTCGAGTACTGGAAGGACATTTTGGCCGATGGAAAATTTGTTTCCTACCCTTCACCACCAGCTTCAACCCAGCAACGGAGTTCGTTGTCTGGGTTGGCACCTCATGCAGTTGAGCAACTGCAGCTGCCTCTTCCCAAACACTCCAAGGTCCCCCCTGCCACTCTCATGCGAGCAGCATGGGCTCTCGTCGCTGGCCGAATGACAGACTCAGAGTCTATTGTATTTGGTACCAACGTCCTCGATGAGCCCATCCTCTCAGCCGTGCCCTTTCGCGCACACATTCACGGCCACACTGTCTCGAGTTTCATCGAGTCAGTACAGAAGCAGGAAGAAGAGGTGATGGCCTCGCCTCATCAACTGACTCTTCTGTTTTCCGGCATGGAACAGGCCTCTACTCTGTTCCAAACTCTTCTCTTGATACCAAGCGACGAAGAGTACTCCAACAGCCCTCAAGACAGCGGCTGTCGAACCCCAGAACCTTGCGGATTTGGCCTTGTTCTTGAGATTGCACACACTCAAGACAGGGCATCTCTCAAAGTGACGGCTCGTTACCGTTCTGATACCCTTCAAGCTTTTGAGGTCAAGAGGTTGTTGCACAGGTTTGCATCTGTCATGGCACAACTCGACACCGTAAAGCCCGACCAGAGTGTCGATGAGATCGACTTCATGACAGAGCAAGACTTTCAAGACATTTGGGCCTGGAACTCCAAGGCACCAGCTGCCATCAATGGCTTCATCCACGACATTGTCAAGGAAAAGGCCTTGATCCAGCCTTCTTCCACCGCCGTCTATGCTTGGGACGGCGAGTTCACCTACGCCGAGATTGACAGGCATTCTAATCGTTTGGCTGTGACACTCATCACTGGCTACGGTGTTCAGCCAGGCACACCCATTGCTCTGTGCTTTGAAAAGTCCAAGTGGATGGCTGTCTCGATGCTAGGTGTCCTCAAAGCTGGAGCGTATTTTGTCATGCTCGACGCTGCTTCTGCACCCGAACAGCGGTTACGGACCATGGTCGAACAAGTCCAGGCCAGGTTGGTTATCAGCTCTCCTCTGAACCAGGCCTTGAGCTCTCGTATCTGTGCCGCCGTGGTTACTCTTGACTCTCAAACTCTTCGAGAGTGTAAGTACAACGACGATGAGATCGACAGACTTTTGCATCAACAACTTCTCACATCTTCTTCCAACGCACTTGCTCATGTGATATTCACATCCGGCAGCACAGGCACCCCTAAGGCCATCCCGACTACGCACCAGAGCATCCGCTCAGCCCTCCACCACCAAGTGGCAGCCATCCACCTCAACACCAAATCACGAGTATACGACTTTTCATCGTATAGCTTCGACGCCGCCATTTTCAACATATGGGCCACCTTTTACGCTGGAGGATGTCTCTGCGTGCCAAGCGAGGCGGACCGCAAGGATGATCTTGTTGGTAGCTTTCAAAGACTCGGTGCCAACCACGTGATCATGACGCCGTCTGCTGCTCAGCTGCTTGCGTCAGCACCAGAAAAGGTTCCTCAACTGGAGACCATCATGCTTGTTGGAGAGCGTCTCACCATCCAAGATGTGTTACCCTGGTGGAATCGTGTTTGTCTCATCAACTCGTATGGACCTTGCGAGTGTACTCCCCTCGGCACATCCAACTTGAACCCGTCCAGTCCCACCGACCTTCTCGACATTGGAGTGGGACTGGGCCAGGTCACTTGGATTGTTGACCCAGATGATCACAACCGTCTTGTTCCTCCTGGTTTGATCGGTGAGCTTGTTCTCGAAGGTCCATCCGTGAGCCAGGGTTACCTCAACGACCCGGAGAGAACGGCGGCTGCTTTTGTCAAAGACCCTGCCTGGCTGGTTGAGAGAGGCCGTCACGGAAAAGTCTACAAGACAGGAGACTTGGTCCAGTACTCCAACGAGCAAGGCCGACTGAAGTACATCGGCCGAAAGGATGCCCAAGTCAAGATCCGCGGACAACGTGTTGAGCTTGGAGAAGTCGAGCATCGAGTGCAGCAGTGCATGCCAGACGTGAGCCAGGTAGTTGTTGAGATGATCACCCCCAAGAGCGGGAACAACCTTTCGAGTGCCATGCTTGCGGCGTTTCTGGTTCCCTCTCGAGGCAGTGGAAAGGAGGTTTCTGAACCTCGTATGGCGCAGTCCATACCTCAGATTTACGCTGTCTCGGAGGAGGTACAATCTGCCTTGAGTAAGGCATTGCCAAGTTACATGGTGCCGAGCGTGTTCTTCTCAGTGCGAGATCTTCCCAAGGCCGCTTCTTCTGGGAAGCTGGACCGAAAGAAAATTCGAGAGATGGGTTCCTCGTTCTCGGTCAAGCAACTTGCCGACCTGCGAACGAACGCTCAAGGTCCCAAGCGACAGCCGAGGCCGTTTTCAGTGGAGTATAGTCTACAAGGCATCTGGGCCAGCGTGCTCAACATGGAACGTTCCGACATTGGATTGAATGACAGCTTCTTCCAACTGGGAGGTGATTCCATTTCTGCCATGAAGGTTGTTCGAGATGCTCGTGAGCAGCTGGAGGTGGAGTTGAGCGTCGCGGACATTCTGCAGCACCCACGATTGAGTGAGGCTGCCGCGATCGTCGCTCGAGGGACCAAATTATTCAAGTCGGACGAGGTTCCTGCTGCTTTTTCTTTGCTGCCTGGGAACAACGCGCGCGAAGCAATCGACCCGGCGTTGAAGAGTCACGGTGTCCAGTCTTTGTCTGTTGAGGATGCCTTCCCCTGCACGCCACTACAAGAGGGTCTCGTGTTCCTCTCCCTCAAGAGTCCCGGGGACTATATCATGCAGACGACTCTGGATCTCTCCACTTCTTCCTACTCGAACGCCCACAAGTTCCGTCAAGCATGGGAACACGTGGTGGCGGAGCATCCTGCCCTGCGAACTCGGTTTGTCCACAGCGACGGTGAGACTGGACTTGCTCAAGTTGTCCTTCGACCCGAGGCCTTCGCCTGGAACGAGGTCGCCAACTCGTCTTTGAACGAGTATCTTGAGACAGACCGACGACAGCCCATGAGTCTGGGTCAGGCCTTTGCTCGCTGTGCTCTTGTTCACGACAAGGGTGCCCCTCGCTGGTTCGTTTGGACGATGCACCATGCTCTGTACGATGGTTGGAGCATTCGACTGATCATGAACGCATTCCAGCGGGCCTACCGGTCTCTCGAAGCGGGTAGCAACTTAGTGACAGGAACGACAAACGCGTCGTACCCTGCCTTCATCAAGTACATCCTCAGCCAAAGCGTCTCTGCCGATGGTTCCATGGCAAAGTACTGGAAGAAGACGCTCTCCGACTGCGAAGCGGCTCAATTCCCGGCAGTTCCTCTCCACGTCCAGAATCAAGCGCCCGACCATGACAAGATCAACACTCTCTTTCAGGATCTGCCATCCATGACGAAGAAGCAAGGCATAAGTAATGCAACTCCCTCCACTCTCATCCGCGCTGCTTGGGCCCTTGTTGTGCGCAGTATGACGAACTCGGACGACGTGGTCTTTGGAGTCACTGTCTCTGGAAGAAGTGCCCCTGTTGCCGCCATCGATGAAGTACCTGGCCCTACCATGGCCACCGTTCCTTTCCGATCGATCCTGGCAAAGAACATGCTTGTTGGAGACTATCTGCGATCTGTTCAGCAGCAGGCCATCGACATGATTCCCTTTGAGCAGATAGGCTTGCCACGGATTGCCAAGCTGTCAGCTGACTGCGAACATGCCTGTCGCTTCCAGACACTACTGGTAGTACAGCCAGAGGAGACGGCCGACATTCTGTCCGAGTTTGACGACGAGCACGGAGGTCCTGAGAGATGGTTCAACAACACCTACGCTCTCTTACTCGAAGTCCAACTTGGCGATAAAAAGGCAAATAGCAGTGGCGCCGTCAAAGCTCGCTTCGATTCGAGGATCATCCAGGCAAACACTGTCAAGAGCCTCTTGGAACGTTTGATCTTCGTCATTGATCAGCTCAGCGGTGCTGACAACATGGCTAGAGTTCTGTCCGACATCGATGTTGTCACGCCAGTCGATCTTGAGCAGATCTGGCAGTGGAACAAGACCGTCCCTGCGACCATTGACCGCAACGTCCACGACATGATCCTAGAGCGCGCTCTGTCTCAGCCAGACAGGCCAGTTGTGCTTGCTTGGGATGGCGAGCTTACGTACGGAGAGCTTACTCGCCTGTCGTCGACGCTGGCTAGACGGCTCATCGACCAGTACGGAGTCCGACCTGGAGATATCGTTGGTCTTTGCTTCGAAAAGTCGAAATGGACATCTGTGGCCATCCTGGCTGTGCTTCAAGCCGGAGCTGGATTCGCCATGCTGGACCCTTTCCTCCCTGAGACGCGTCTCCAGACCATCGTTGATCAGGTCAATGCTCTTGTGGTGGTGTCCTCGCCGAAGCAGAGAGATTTGAGTCTGCAGCTGGGTTGCGATCAAGTCCTGCACCTGGCTTCCGATTTGTTCAGCGAGCCCGAGACGGCCTTGGTCAACGTCAAGACTGATCCTTCGTCACCCGTCTACATCATCTTCACGTCCGGAAGCACAGGAACCCCGAAGGGCTCAATCATCAGCCACCGCAGCCTTGCATCTTCGCTTGTCCACCAACGAGAAGGCTGTGGATTCAGTCAGTCGTCAAGAGTGTATGACTTCTCCTCTTACGGCTTCGACGCCCCGCTCTTCCTGGCCTTTCAGACGTTCTCTGCGGGCGGCTGCCTCTGCGTACCTAGTGACGAGGACCGCAAGAGCCGTCTTGCCGAAAGCCTGCGAGAGCTCAAGGCCACCTTTGCGCTCATCCCACCTTCGGCTTCTCAGCTCGTGTCGCCAGAGCAGGTGCCGGATCTCAAGACTCTCATAGTGGGAGGAGAGGCTTCAACAGTCAAGGACCTTGAGCGATGGTCTTCGGCCGATCTCATGCTCATCAATGCCTACGGACCTTGTGAGTGTACAGCGGTCAGCATGATCAACCCTACCCACACATCCAACATGAGCGTCAGAAAGGCCCTTGCTATTGGAAAAGGACTCGGCCAGGTGACGTGGGTGGTTGATCCTCAAGATCACAGTCGTCTCGTCTCTCCCGGTGCTGTCGGAGAGCTCTTGCTTGAGGGTCCTTATATCGGTCAAGGATACTTGAACAACGAGGAAAAGACCAGGGAAGCCTATGTTAAAGACCCTGCTTGGCTGTTACAGGGCACAGGAAAAGTGCCTGGTCGACGTGGCAGGCTCTACAAGACGGGCGACCTAGTCCAGTACTCTGAGGATGGAGACGGCAGCTTGATGTTTGTTGGTCGCAAGGCAGATGACGCTCAAGTCAAGATCCGAGGTCAGAGAGCCGAGCTTGGAGAGATTGAGCTGCGTGTTCAACAGGCTCTGAAGTATGACAAGACTGTTCAAGAAGTCGTTGTCGATGTTATCGTCCCTCATGGCGAAGGGTCGCGTCCCATGCTCGTCGCGTTCCTCAAGACGACAGATGTCAAGGACACTTCTGCAACTCCGGATCTCTATCGCGTCTCTTCTGCCTTTGAAGATGAGCTCGCACAGTCTCTCCCAAGCTACATGATTCCCGAGGCCTTCTTCAAGCTCGCCGGCATCCCCCAAACTGCCACCGGAAAACTGCACAGAATGAGACTCCGTGCCATGGGAGCGTCCTACTCTCTTCGACAGTTGGCTGATCTTCGAACCGAGGCTACTCAAGGCCCCAAGCCGCAGCCAACTTCTGAGCTTGAGGCTGAGATGCAGCAGATCTGGGCCCGCGTTCTTTCTTTTGAGCCCGAACGCATTGGCCTTGATGATAGCTTCTTCCGGCTTGGCGGCGACTCTATCGCGGCTATGAAGGCTGTGGGAGAAGCTACCAAGGCTTCCATCAGAGTCACTGTTGCCGATTTCTTCGAGCATCGTACGCTTCGAAACATCTGCAGTCACAGCTATTACTGCTCCGAGATGGCTGCCGAGTCTCTGTCTATTGCTGTTGAGTCGTTCTCTCTTCTCGCCCCAGACAGCATTGAGACTCGAGAGAAGCTCGTTCAAGGTCTAGCTGCCCAGCTCAGAACCACTACATCCAGGATCCAAGACGCCTATCCCTGCACTCCTCTCCAAGAAGGACTCGTTTCCCTGGCTTCCAAGAGAACGGGAGACTACATCATGCAGCAGGTGTTGGAGCTATCACCAGACATGCTCAACAACATCGACACCTTCAAGGACGCCTGGCAAAAAGCTGTTCACGCTGTGCCCGTCTTGCGCACGCGAATTGTCCAGCACGAAAAGCTTGGTCTTCTTCAAGTCCTTCTCAATCATCAAGATGAAGGCATTGAATGGACCGAAGCTATGGGTCTCGACTGGTACCTCAAGTCTGACAGACAGAAGCCCATGGGCCTTGGTCAGCCTCTTGCACGATATGCTCTGGTCAGAGATAGGACTGGAAGACCCAAGTGGTTTGTTTGGACCGTTCATCACGCTCTCTACGATGGCCTGTCGCTTCCCATGATCCTCGAAGAAGTCGATCGCACCATGCAGGGCCAGTCTGTAGAACAGGCACGTCCTCAGGCTCAGGCCTTCATCAAGTACATCCAGCAGCATGACTCGAATGAGCTAAAGTCATACTGGCAGGCCACGCTTGGGGACAGCGGGGAGTGTGTGTCCTACCCCAGCCTTCCTTCAGGTCTTGAGCGGCCAATCATGTCTAACAACCTCATCGAGCACCAAATCCCACGTGCTTGGGTGTCTTCATCGAGCAACGAGACAACCGTATCGACGATGCTACGAGCGGCCTGGGGTCTTGTGACAAGTCAAATGACGGGCTCCGATGATGTTGTTTTCGGTGCCACTGTGTCTGGACGCAATGCCCCTGTGGTCGGTGTCGAGTCAATGGCCTTCCCGACTATCGCAACGGTGCCATTGAGGCTGAAGCTTAATCGCAAGGATCAACGCGTTGTTGACTATCTCGACCAAGTTCAACGACAAGCCACCGAGATGATTCCTTACGAGCAAGCTGGTCTGCAGCGAATCGCACAGCTTGTATCCCCTGGTGCTCGACAAGCATGTGCCTTCCAGACTCTCCTTGTTGTCCAGCCCAAGTCCAAGACTGAGAGCACCAAGACATCCCAACTTGGTGAATGGACGACTCCTGACCAAACCGAGTGGTTCACCACGTATCCTCTAACAATCGAGGCTACCGTGTCACTCAGCCAGATTGACGTTGACGCCCGCTTTGACTCTCGTGTCGTTGAACCTTGGATGGTCAAGGGCTTGCTCGAGAGACTTGACTTTGTCATGCAGCAGCTTGGTCAAGCAGGGCCGGACATCAACATGTCAGATATTGGCATCATGACACCTGGGGGCCTGCAGCAGATCTGGAAGTGGAACGAGAAGGTTCCCGACCCTGTGGACAGGTCAATCCATTCAGTTATCGAGGAACAGGCACGACTACGACCAGAAGCTGCCGCCATTTGCGCCTGGGATGGCAATCTCACTTATGCTGAGCTCAACAGCTTTTCTAGCCGTCTGGCCTTCTACTTGATCGCACTGACTGGGGGAAAGAGTCTGAAGGAGACGTTTGTGCCACTATGCTTCGACAAGTCCATGTGGACTCCTGTTGCCATGCTGGGAGTACTGAAGACAGGCGCAGGCTTTGTCCTCCTCGATTCAGCACTCCCAGAGCAACGTCTGAGACACATTGTGGAAAAGGTCGGCGCAGGCCAGCTGATGCTCTCATCCGACTCTTGCTCTTCCTTGAGCGGTCGCATCTCCCAGGGAGTTGTCACCATCAACTCGGACTTCTTCAAGTTGGCAGCCCAAACCATCGCACGTCTCCCTGTTGCTTCCGCCGACTCAGCTGCCTATGTCATATTTACTTCTGGCAGCACGGGAACCCCAAAGGGCGTTGTCATCACGCATCGAAACCTCGCCTCAGCTCTGCCCTACCATGTCAAGCGCCTAGGATATACTCCCGACTCTCGAGTCTACGAGTTTGCATCCTACAGCTTCGGAGCGTCGCTCAACAACATGTTTACAGCCTTGACGACGGGTTCTTGTCTGTGTATCCCCAGTGACCACGAGAGGAGGAGTCAATTAGACCGTAGCTTGGTCTCGATGAATGCTACGCATGTCCTTCTCACTCCTTCAGTGGCCGAGTCTCTTGCTCCTCGAAGCGTTTCTGGTCTCAAGTCCATCATTTTTGGAGGTGAAGCGGTTCGAAGCCAGGATGTTGGACCTTGGTGGGAGGCTGGAATCAAGGTGTGCACTGCTTATGGCTCCAGCGAGTGCACAACCATCAGCACCATCAACGACACTGCCTCGACTCCCGATGAAGCTACTCGCATTGGTTGGGGTGTAGGACTTGTTCCTTGGGTCGTGGATCCTTCTGATCATGAGAAGCTTCTCCCGCCGGGATGCATTGGAGAGCTGCTGTTGGAAGGCCCTGCTGTTGGACGTGGATACCTCTCAGACCCTGAGAAGACGGCCGAGGTGTTTATACAGAGTCCTTCTTGGCTGACTCGGGGCATCCCTGCTGCCAACAATGACAACCACTCGCAGAAAGGTAGGTCCGGTCGACTGTACAAGACAGGCGATCTTGTCCGCTACAACGAGGATGGAAGTCTATCCTTCTTCGGCCGCAAAGACTCTCAAGTCAAGATTCGCGGTCAGCGAGTCGAACTAGGCGAGGTTGAGCACAGAGTCAAGGAGCGTGTGTCGGAAGCCGCTCAAGTTGTCGTCGAGGCCATCATTCCGACTGGAAGCGATAGTGCGCACCAAACACTGGCTGCATTCCTTGTTATGAAGGAAGAGACCGAGAGACCAGCGAGTGACGACGACAAGCCAACGATTATCCCCATCTCGGCCGGGGTGGAAGACATGCTCAGCCAGAATCTCCCCGTTTACATGGTTCCTACCGTTTTCTTCTCTATGAAGAAGCTTCCTATGACAGCGACTGGCAAAATGAACCGCAGGGTTCTTCGCCAGATTGGCAGTTCCTTCTCGGCAAAGCAGTTCGCCGCAGCCAGAAAGACACGGGAGCAAGGGACGCCGTCTCAAGAACAACCATCGACAAACGCGCAACGAGAGCTTCAACAAATCTGGTCCAGGATCCTCGACCTGCCAACTGACCTCATTGGTCTTGACGATGGCTTCTTCAGCCTTGGAGGCGACTCTGTTTCTGCGATGAAGGTCGTCGGCGAGGCTCGAAAGGCTGGTATTGAGTTGGCTGTTGCCGACATTTTTACCCATCGCACACTGAGACTGATTGCCGACAACTCCAAGTCGATCAAGCGTGAGGGTGACCAGACTGTCGCGAACATTATCCCTCCTTTCTCTCTTATCGGGAACGAAGTCGACATTGAGGCTCTCCGTCAGAACATCTCGACGCAATGCGACATCGATACTTCAAAGGTTCAAGACGCCTACCCTTGCACGCCACTTCAAGAGGGTCTCATCTCACTTGCTTCGAAGCGACCCGGAGACTACGTCATGCAAGCCGTGCTTGAGTTGTCTTCTGAAGTGTCCATCACCAAGTTCCAGGCGGCTTGGGAAGAGACCACCAAGACCATTGACGTGCTTCGTACAAGGATTGTTCACTGCCAAGGCTACGAAAAGCTTGGCCTCTTGCAGGTCATCTTGGACAGTTCGGTCAACTGGATCAACGCAACCGGACTCGAGTCGTACCTACAGGCCGATCGCAAGCAGGTCATGGGCTTGAACGATCCTCTTGCCAGGTATGCTCTCGTTTACGATGGACAGACAGACAGGCCAAGATGGTTCGTCTGGACGGTGCATCACGCTATCTACGATGGATGGTCGCTGCCTTTGGTCTTGGACACGGTCGCGAAAGCCTACCAGGGCGAGACAAACGCCGGCTCCCAATCTTTGACTGGTGCATCTGGCTTCCAACCATTCATCAAGTATCTCGAGGAGCAACAACGAAACCCTGAAGGAGTCAAGAAGACCGAAGACTATTGGAAGCGATACTTTGACTCTTGCGAAGCCACTCAATTCCCAACCCTTCCTTCGCCCAGCTACGAGCCCACTTCCAACAAGACGACTCTTTATCGAATGAAGGTCAACTCTCCTTCATCCTCGACGTCTCTGAACCTCACTCCATCGACGATCATTCGAGCAGCTTGGGCCTTGGTTGTCGGACAAATGACAAACACATCCGACGTCGTCTTTGGCACGACCGTCTCTGGGCGAAACGCGCCTGTTCAAACCATTGAGATGATGCCGGCTCCGACTCTGGCTACCGTCCCACTGCGCGTCAAGTGGACTTCCGGACAGGCCATCTTGGGGTACCTGGAGACGGTGCAGCGTGAGGCCACCGAGATGATAGCCTTTGAACAGACTGGTCTGCATCGCATCGCCAAGATGTCGTCCGATGCTCGACAGGCTTGCCAGTTCCAAACCCTTCTCGTCATCCAATCGCAGGGCCACGACGAGGATGAAAGCACTGGGAGCCTCGTACAAAATGAGCTGGGTTCCTCTCCATTTGGCGAGTGGGTGAACCAGGACCAAAACGAATGGTTCAACCCGTACGCGCTCATGATTGAGGCCCAGCCTGGGTCCCAAGGCGACAGCTTCACTCTCACTGCCAACTATGATGAGAAGACGATCCAAGAGTGGATTGTTTTGAAGCTTCTCAAGCGACTTGAGCTGGTGATCCAAGCGTTCATGGCCGAGTCTTACGGACAGGGTCAGATGGTCTCCAAGACCATTGATGAACTTGGAGGCTCGATCATGACCGAAGATGACCTGGAGCAGATCTGGACATGGAATCAATCCACCCCAGAAGCGGTCGATAAGTACGTTCATGAAATGGTCGAAGAAAGAGTCCGCGAACAACCCAATGCTCCCGCCGTCCACGCTTGGGACGGTAGACTCACCTACAAGGAGCTCGATCAACTTGCAGAGAAGATGGCTGCCCAGCTTCTCAGCAGTATCGACACGGGAGCTCGACTGTCAAGTCCCAGGGTGATTCCGCTCTGCTTCACCAAGTCCATGTGGACTTCGGTCGCTATGTATGGTGTTTTGAAGGCTGGAGGTGCCTTTGTTCTGCTCGATCCGATGGTCCCAGAGCAGAGGCTTAAGACCATTGTGGAACAGGTTGGAGCTGACGTTGTTCTCTCATCCGAGTCCGAGGCAGATTTGGCCAAGAGACTCTGCCCTCACGTCATCCAAGTCGGACTAAGCCTGTCTACCGGCCCATCTCCCACTACCCAACGACTCAAGGGAAGCCAGCGACACTTGTCCCCTCATGCCCCCATGTTTGCCGTCTTCACGTCCGGAAGTACCGGCGTTCCCAAGGGTGTGCTGCTCTCGCACAGGAACTTTGCTTCAGAGATCAAACACCACTCTCACCTTCTCGGCTTCCACAAGAACTCACGAGTCTTTGACTTTGCCTCTCACGCCTTTGACGCTGCCGTTCATAACGTGTTCGCAACCTTTGCGAATGGAGCCTGTCTCTGTGTTCCATCTGAAAAGGATCGCAAGAACAACATTGGCGGAGTCATGGCGTCTATGAGGGTCACGGTCGCCGACTTGACGCCTACGGTCGCACGTCTGTTGGACCCGACCACTCTGCCTGACATTGAGACCATGATTCTCGCTGGAGAGGCAGTGTCTGCTGAAGATGCTGCCAGATGGTGGAGAGACTCGACTCGAGTCGTCAACGGCTATGGTCCTTCTGAATGCACCGTCATGAGCACCATCAATGCCTACCCGACTAGCCCAGAAGATGCTTCAAGCATTGGTCTAGGTGCAGGACACACCACTTGGGTCGTCGACCCTAACAACCACAACATCCTCGTTGCACCTGGATGCATCGGCGAGCTTCTTCTCGAGGGTCCTCTCGTTGGTCAAGGATACCTCAATGACCCCGCCAAGACGGCTGCTTCCTTCATCGAAGATCCTACCTGGCTACTCAAGGGATCTTCCACCCGTCCCGGGCGCCGAGGACGATTGTACAAGTCTGGTGATCTGGTCAAGTACAGAGAAGACGGCAGGTTCTGGTTCATGGGTCGAAAAGACTCACAGGTCAAGATCCGTGGTCAACGAATTGAGCTTGAGGAAGTTGAGCGCCAGGTCCAGGCTTCGTGGTCTGGCGATGACATTTCGCAGATCGCGGCTGAAGTCATCAAGCCTCAAGGACAAGGATCGAAGCCAATGCTAGCTGCATTCATTGTGTCCAAGGATCACCAGTTGAGCGATGACGGTCCACCTGAGAAGGCTGTTAAGCCTGTTCCAGTTGATCCAGAGATTGAAGCGAGACTGGCCGAACGTCTACCTGCGGCCATGGTTCCATCAGTCTTTTTCTTCTACATGCGCAGTCATCTACCTCAGACGGCAACTGGCAAGACTCATCGGAAACTCTTGCGGGAAATTGGATCTTCGTTCTCTTTCCAGCATCTGGCTGAAGTTGCCAACCAAGTCCAAGATGATGAGAATGAGACCAAGGCTCGACGTCCGCCAACAACACCACTTGAGTGCCAGATGCAAGCAATCTGGGTTCGCATTTTGGGCATCAGCCCTGACCGTATCAGTTTAGACGACAGCTTTATCCGTCTTGGAGGTGATTCGATCGCTGCGATGAAGGTTGTTGGGGAGGCGCGGAAGCACGGTAGTCTTGACATCACCGTGGCTGATCTTCTCCGTCGCCCAAAGCTCTGCGACATCATTGCCACCATGACCAAAAACAAGGCTACCGGAGCTAGCAGAAGGCTTCCTCGGGACGACGACGAACCGATCCCCCACACCAAGTACGCAGGACCTGTCGATCAATCATACGCTCAAGGTCGTCTCTGGTTCCTCGACCGCTTGTACCCAGGTCTCACTTGGTGTTTGATGCCGTTCACTGCTCGATTCCGAGGTATTCTTCGTCTCGATGCGCTACACATTGCACTCCAGGCCGTTGAAAACCGGCATGAGGCTCTTCGCACTACCTTTATGTCTCGGGACAACGTGGATCTGCAAGAGATCCATCCTTTCATCCCTCGAGAGCTCAAATTGGTTGAGCTTCCAAGGGGAGCCAAGGGTGAAGAGAGTCTTCAACGCGCTCTGTTCAAGGAACGCACCACACCTCTTGATCTATCCACGGAGACGGGCTGGAGAGTCACTGTCTATCGCCTGGGGCCAGAAGAAGAAAACCACCACGTCCTATCTATCCTCATGCACCACATTATTTCCGACGGCTGGTCTCTCAACGTTCTCCGTCGAGAGCTCGACATATTCTACGCTGCTGCCGTCAATAGCCTCGATCCGCTGAGCCAGATCGATCCCCTCCCCATTCAGTACCGTGACTACGCCTCTTGGCAGAAGCAACGCTTCCATCAAGACGAGTACCAGCGCCAGCTTGATTACTGGGTCTCTCAGCTTCAAACCAGTCGTCCAGCTGAGTTCCTCTGCGACAAGCCCAGACCTGATACTCTGTCTGGAGGCGCGGGTGTCCACGAGTTCACCATCGCGAACACAATGTACGATCGCCTACAGAAGTTCTGCGCTGAAGCTGAAGTTACACCTTTTGTCGTGTTGTTGGCAGCCTTTAGAGCAACCCATTTCCGTCTCACAGGTGTGGACGACGCAACCATCGGCACAGCAAACGCCAACAGAGACCGATGGGAAGTCAAAGAACTCATCGGTTTCTTTGTCAACCTTCAGTGCCTTCGGATCAAGATGGAACAAGGTGTCTCCTTTGAAGATCTCGTGCAGCAGGTTCAAGAGACGGCAGCCGCGTCATTCGACAACCAGCATGTGCCCTTCGAGAAGATTGTCTCTCAACTCAACACCCCAAGAGACTTGTCGCGTCATCCACTTGTGCAAGTCATTTTTGCGCTTCACTCTCGAGGAACGTCGGGACCTGTCAAGTTGGGCGACGATCTTGAGTCGGAGATGCTAGATCCCATCCCGACTTCGCAATTTGACTTGGAGTTCCACGTCTTTGACGATGGAGACTGTTTGACCGCCAACGTCGTCTACTCTCAAGATCTCTTCGAGACGGAAACCATCAACTCTATGGTGTCTGTCTTTAACAACCTTCTTGACCGAGCGCTGAGCGAGCCCAAAACGGCCATCTCGTCGCTGCCATTGCTCACAGAGGACGGGCGCCTCAAGCTTGAGACTTGGGGCCTCACCAAGATTGACAGGACCAACTACCCTCGCGACTCAAGCATCGTCGATCTATTCAAGGAACAGGTTTCTCGTCACCCCAACCGTGTGGCTGTCAAGGGCAACTCGTCGTCCCAGCTCACCTACGCCGAGCTCGATCGCAAATCTGACACCCTCGCCCGCTGGCTCCTCAAACAACAGCCGGAATTTGCTCCCGAGTCAATGATCGGAGTCATGGCTCATCGATCTTGCGAGGAGATTATCGCCCTCTTTGGCATTCTCAAGGCCAACATGGCTCATCTGCCTCTGAACCACAACACACCGACTGGTCGCGTCGAGACGATCCTTTCGGCCATCCAGGGCCCAAAGCGACTCCTTCTTCTTGGACAAGATGTCGCGCCTCCCGCTGTCAACTTGGACAATATTGAGATGGTTCGCATCGCCGACACTCTTGAGGAAGAAGCACCACGCTCTTGGTGGAAGCGAGCGGTCGTTCAGGCTTTGCCAAGGCCAAAGCCAACAAGCCTTGCCTACGTCCTCTTCACGTCTGGCTCTACCGGCAAACCCAAGGGCGTCATGGTTGAACATCGCGGTGTATCCCGACTCTGCAGGGACAACAACATCATCCGTCACCTGCCATCATCTGGAGGATTTGGTCACTTCCTCAACATTTCTTTCGACGGTTCTTCCCTAGAGGTCTACTTTGCCATTCTCAACGGCCTCACTCTTGTCTGCGTCGACGAAATCACCATCCTCGACGCTATCGCTTTACAGGGCGTCTTTGAGCGAGAGAACGTCAGAGCAGTCCTGTTCACGCCTGCGCTTCTGAAGCAGATCCTCCGCGTAAACCCTACCACACTCGGAACGCTGGACTTGCTCTGTGTTGGAGGAGATCGCCTTGACCCTGCTGATTGTGTCAAGGCGTACAAGCATACTGCTCAAGGCGCCAAGGTTCTCAACCTCTACGGCCCAACTGAGAACTCGGTTGTCAGTACCGTGTTCTGCTATGAAGGACAGGACGAGGGCTTTGCTACTGGAACAGCCCCCATTGGTGAGCCTATCAGCAACTCGGGTGCTCTGGTCATGGACTCTCAGCAGCGTCTTGTACCGCTCGGAGTCATAGGAGAGATTGTTGTCACAGGAGATGGAGTGGCTAGAGGATACACTGATCCCTCGAGAGATGTTGATCGCTTCATCAGGTTAGATGGAGGCAAGGGAGAGCGAGCATACCGAACTGGGGACTACGCTCGCTGGAGACCAGTGGATGGTAAGATCGAGTTCATGGGACGTATGGACGTGCAAGTCAAAATACGAGGCCATCGCGTGGAACTTGGTGAGATTGAACACGCCATCCGTGGACATGAAGCTGTCCACGATGTCGTTGTCCTGGCATATCGGGATGAGAAGGATGGTGGTGAGCCTCGGCTGGTGGGCTTTGTCACTCTGCATGATACTTCGAAGGAGGATGTAGAAGTGAAGGAAGTCGAGCACAAGGATGGAGAAGGGGAGACGAAGCAGCATGTCCACCAAGAGCTGGAAGCGAGACTACGTGCCAACCTTCCCACCTACATGATCCCCCAGACCATCACCATTCTCGAACGGATGCCTCTCAACGCCAGTGGCAAGGTCGACCGAGTTGCCTTGTCGCTCACCATCACCCCCAAGACAAAGGCTCGCGCAGCCGGGGTAGCCCTTCGGAAACCAACCACGGATATGGAAGTCGCCCTGCGAAAGATCTGGGCCCAAGTTTTGGACCTCGACCCCGAGACCATCGGCCTGGATGACAACTTTTTCGACATTGGTGGTCACTCTATCCTGGCAATGAGAGCAGTCAGCGAGGCGAGAAAGGTCGACATCGAGTTGACTGTCGCGGATATCTTCCGGAGCAAGTGTCTTGAGGCCTTGGCTCGACGACAGGAGGAGATTGTTGGTGGGCCAAATACGGAGGAGGAAGAGGAAGTCGAGCTTATCGACTCAAACACCAAGGCTGCTCTTCTCAAGGACCTCGACTCGCTCAAGGCAACCATTCATTCTACTCAAGTGGAGGACATGTTGCCTCTCACGAGCATGCAAGAACACTACGTCACGACCGGAGTCGCCTCTGGAGAATACGCCCACTACTTCTACCTTGATCTCGGAGCCAACCCCGACGTCTCTCGCATTGAGAAGGCCTGCCGTCTGACACTCGCGAAGATCCCCATTCTCAGAGCCAGCTTCATGCGTCTCCTTGGACAGCATTGGCAGGTCATCCCTCGCGATGTGCCAGCTCGTTTACAGACGGTCAATACCATCCATGTCAATGGAGACTTGGATCGAGCTGCCGACGATTTCTGTCTGCGCAACTGGGACAACATCTCTGCAGCCGAGCCCCCAGCCTTGTTCACCCTCCTCAAACACCGAACTCAAGGCACGCGACTCGTTATCCGTCTTTCTCACGCCCAATACGATGGTGTCTGCTTCCCTCCCATCGTTCGGGCCATTATCGAGGGATACACCACTGGAGACGTGACGCCTCTTCCCAGCTTCACCAAGTTTCTCTCTGGTGCGGCTCGTCAGCGACCGCAGTCCCTTGAGTATTGGAGCCGCTTGCTTCGAGGATCATCTCTGACCACTATTCTACCGAGACTGAGGCTTTCCAACTCGAGTCGCGCTCTCACACCACCTCGACCCATCGCAGCTGAGTTAGACGTTGCCTTGCCCCAGCGTCTCCCAAGCTCCATCACTCCAGCCATCGTCGCGAGCGCGGCTTGGTCAATTCTCCTGTCTCAAATCTCAGGCAAGCAAGACGTTGTCTTTGGCCACGTTGTCGCCGGTCGCAACTCGAGCATCTCTCGAATCGACGAGATTGTCGGGCCCTGTCTCAACCTCGTACCCGTCCGAGCCACTCTCACCGAGTCCCTCACAGCGACCGAGCTCCTCCAATCCCTTCAAACTCAATTCTTCACCATGGGAAGCGCGGACTCCGTGGGCTTCAAAGACATCATGCACGAATCAAGCAACTGGCCATCAAACTCCGACTTTGAGTCGGTGCTACACCACGCCAACGTCGACGAACATCCCGAGTTTGACTTTGACGGCATAAAGATGAAGCTTCACTTCTTCACCAACCCGCGGCTGATCGTTTCGCGGTTGGCGTTAGCTTCGTACCCGACCAAGGGAGGCGAATGTCTGCAGTTCCGACTCACGGCTAGTACGGACAAGTTGAGTGATGTTCAGGCTAAGATGTTGCTTGACGCGCTTTGCAAGATTATTCGTGGATTTGGGGAGAGTGCGAATGTTCCTGTTTTGTCATGGATTGGCCAAGTCGGTCTCAGACTGTAAGCGCAGAAACATGATAGTTGGGGTTTGCTAGGTGGTCTTTCTTTTTCGTTTGATTGCTCATGGAATTAGCTTTACTACTTCGACACTTGGAGCTCTTATTTTACCGTTCTTACTGCTAGACATACAGTTCATTTACTCTCATGGACTATTCTTCTTTTCCCTTGTGAAGAGTGGTATCGCGGTCGTGAAACAGTTGTTCTCCTCGCTCACCTACCCTGTAGTGAGATGCTGACTAATCACAACGCCAAGTGCCAGATCGCGCTGGCTTAGCTCTCGTCGTCAATCAAGCAGCGCCATCTTCATCCGAAAACTCATCGACTTTTTTTTGTCATGCATCTGTGATCTCATTCACGTGGTCGCGATGGCTGCTCAAAGCAGCTTCGTTTTCGGGGCGACGGCCGATCGCGATGCGACTTTCGACGGCCAGCATGACGGCCATCATGACGACAACAACGACCGTGATGCGACAAGTCGAGGAGGCGTCGGAACACCACTGAACGACGCCCATCGGGCAGGCAAGCAAGCCGCGCCCAGGTGTCAATCTTCCTCACGGATAGAGACTCTCCCTCCTGAGCTGAGATTACGACTCCTCTTGTCTATACCAGATCTACAAACTCTCCGCTCCCTCGTCCACGCTTCTCCAACGCTACATGCCCAGTACCGGCATAGCCGAGATAGAATTCTTGGAGCCTTTATAGGCCGCGAACTCGATGGGTTTCTTATCGATGCTTACGCCACTCACATGTCTCGGCCACAGGAGTTGGGTTCACCGCGGACTAACGAGAAGATCGCCGAGTTTACGGATACCTACGGCAATTGGCTGTCTGCCCCAGAATCATGTCCAGACTTGAACTCGATAGAACCCGAAAGGCTTCGTTGCATGGCGGCATTCTACTTATCGGTCGCGCAGCCCTTGGCTCATCGATACTGTGAATGGGCACTTGGAAAGTTTATACTGGCTATCTTGGACTTTGTAGCCCAGACAAACCCCAGAACAACAGCAGAAGCCCTTGGTATTAATGACTTGACCCCCCAACGAAGCGAGCTGATTCGCGTTTTCCGTGCAATCTATCGGTACGAAACGTATTACAACCTCTTCGGGTGCAACGAGAGCAAACGTGAAGGTGCGCCGTTTACCGAGGACTGGACGAACCACCTATTGCTGTATCGTTTGGAGCCTTGGGAGGCTGAGGCAGTGGCATGCATTCACGCTTTCGTCTCTGATAAATATGAAGAAATCCTAGATCGGTTGAAGGACAACCTGAGCCCTCCAAATATCAGGTTCACGTTGGAGAACGGAGTTTACCGCTACAACGAACCCTTTCGTCTCCTAGCTGAGGTTAACGGTAGGCACTGACCTAAACCCTGAGATTAATCTCGAGGTGAGCAGCTGCTAATTCGAGAGATTAGACTATTTGGAGGGCATGCTCTCGCGCGGACTACGTACAGTAGTACAGCTATTGGCGACACATGACGACGAGGAGCTGATTGTCAAGGTGCGGCACTGTCTTCGTCCCAGTAGACACCGGGACGGCACTCTACAGGGCGCCCTGAGCGAAGACGCCCAAAGCAGCAGAAGATACGAATTGGATGTCCCTCCAGACCCTAGGGACGAGATGGCGAGGAATAGGAGTTGCATGAAATTCACTGGTGATGCTGTGCCACCGACCGGTCCGCCATTAGGATGGCTGCAACTCTGGGGTGGGGGATATGCTAATATTTACGGAGAGTATATTCCAAAATCTGTGCAGCGATGGGGCTATGTCATGTGGAACAAGGAGCGCTGGGACTTTCCGATAGGGCACAGGCTTGTCGAGCAGTGGTGTCGATGGCCCTCGGATGATCCTGAGGTGGGCTCCATGCACTACTCCTGGAGACCATGGTAAAAAACAGCAATAGCATCTATTGCAGGTCATTCAAGGCACTTAGCTAGCTGACGAGTCATGGCACAGCTGCTGTAGTAGGTGTCGAGTGCTGGAGATAGGCAAATATCACCTGTTAACAACATTCCTACCAACAGGCTAAGTTCGCATTCAAGTTCAAGTCTGCCTTGTTGCTTATTTCCCAAACCTCCCGCCAGACATTGCCGTGTGGAGTCGGTTGAAGCGGTGGGAATGCCCTCGGGAACCACTCTGTGGAGTGCCGATGAAGTTTGAGCTCAGGCTGACGCTGGCCTCGGTGCTTTAAAAAGCAAAGCAGGCACAAAAGAGGCTTGAAGATCTATCTCTGCTGCAATCATCACCATGTCTTCTCAAAGTCTCGTCAACAAGGTTACTATAGTCACTGGTGCTTCTCGAGGTATTGGCGCAGCCATCGCTCGTGAGCTTTCCAATCGAGGTGCTCGGGTCGTGATCAACTACCCAACCCCCGCTGAAAAGGAAGAGGCAGAGGCTGTCAGAAAGAGCCTTGCCTCACCAGAGAATGCCACTATTGCCGAGGCAGACCTGTCAACCCGCGAGGGGCCAGGGTTGCTCGCTGCAGCCGCCGCCAAAGCACATGGCAATCGTATCGATATCCTTGTCAACAACGCAGCGATCGGTCCTATGATTCCATTCGACTCTCCCGACGATGAAGCCTTAAGCGCAGCATGGGACAAGACAATCAACCTCAACTGCCGAGGAACGTATTTCCTCACCCGCGCCGTGCTGCCGTATCTTACCAAGACAAACTCACGCATCATCAACATCACATCCGACAATGCTCGAGATCCCCAGCACAACTCAAGCATCTATGCTGGCACAAAGGGAATGATCGAAACCCTTACACGCTCCTGGGCCCGGGACCTGCCACGCAAGTACGGATGCACTGTTAATAGTGTCGCACCGGGACCAACGTCTACAGAGGCGATGAAGATCTTCCCGAAAGAGTTCCATGAGAAGCTACAGCCGGTTTTGAACAGGATGCCGATTGCTTCTCGGATGGGCACACCGGAGGAGGTGGCTTGGGTGGTTGCCATGCTGGCCGAGGAGGGTGCATCATGGGTGAATGGGCAGATTGTGTCTGTTAGTGGGGGCTCTGTTTTGTCTTGAGCGCAGAGTACAGTTTTCCGTTAACAGTGATAAGAACACTGAGGTGATTAGACACAAAAACTACCAGGCCCAATCATGAGATAGTCTTTAACGCGTGCATCAACGATGTGACGGCCGAGGTTGATGAGAATGGAAGGCTGTGTTGTTCCATAGGGCTTCTATCTGGCCCGGAAGGATTAAGCGATCTAGATCGAGCTTCACAAGGATTGAATGCCACACCCGTCCGTCCGATTTGTTCAATATCTTGACGTGTCAAATCTCGCGCTGCATAGCAGCCCGTCGCCTATACAGATCGGGCAGCTGCTAAACTCATCAGTAGGCTGACAGTAGCGTGGAATGCCAATAATCTTCTCACTATGGCAACACCAAAAGTCCTCTTCTTCTTCCTCCAATAGACATTGCAGATCCAAGAGTCATCATATCTCGTCCAATGACGTGCCAGCCTAACCGCTGGATCATCAGACGGTGATAGTGCATGAAATACTAGTGGACGCTTATCTGCACCGCCAAGTCTACCAAGACACCACTCGTGTTCATGCGGGGTAATATCAAGACACTCTATTCCGATTAAGAATGGCACCATGAACCCTGCAAGCTCAGGACCAAGAATATGCTTCAACGGACGGTTCGGAGACGACTAACTAAACTTGACCAAACACCGACGCGCCGTGTCTCAAACGGGAAGGTCAGCCCGTTTCACATATACACCGACACAGGGCGGACTACACCTTCTGAAAGCAGCTCGTACTTTTGTTACATAGGCGAGCTGATCGGCGACGGATGTCACCTAACTAGTCGGGCAGGTGTTTGCAGCACTGTACCATGTGCCGAGAGACTGTTCTGGAATGCCAAGATGGTAGTGCCGTGGTGGGACTGAATCGTGAGGTGTACTATATAAGTGGGAGCACCCGCCTATATCTGCAATACTCGAGCACTCGTTGTCCTCTTGAGCATCATGAAATTCCTTTATACCCTCGGGCTCTTGGCGCCCCTGGCCGCTGCCAAGGTTTCTTACGATGGTTACAAGGCTTTCAGCATTGATGCTGGAAAAGACCACGATGCTGTGGACACTATCCTGAAGGATCTCAAGTTTGTCTCTCTGAGCTGTGAGAGCAACCACAAGACTCTTGAAGTGGCCATTGCTCCTGAGAGTCTCAAGGCCTTTGAGGCTCTTGATCTCAATGTCACTGTCATCAGCGAGGATCTGGGTGCTGAGTTTGCTGTTGAGGGAGAGTTTGAGGAATACGATCGTGAGTTACGGTGCAAGAATAGCCACATACTTGACTAAAAACACTCGCAGCCCCCATGAGACTCTCGGCCGCCCTTGCTGCGCTGCCTGATATCTCCTACTTCAACTCGTATCACACGTTTGATCAGCATCTTCAGTTCCTCACTGATCTTCGGGCTTCTTTCCCCAGCAACTCCGAGGTCTTTACTGCGGGAACCTCTGTTGAGAACAGAGCCATCCGGGGTATTCACCTCTGGGGTTCCAGTGGCAAGGGAAACAAGCCTGCTATTGTGTGGCACGGGACCGTGCATGCTCGCGAGTGGATTAGTGCTCCGGTAAGTAGTCTTTTCGCTGAAAGGGTGCTCTGGCTGACTTTTTAGACTGTTGAATACTTGACCTACAAGATCATCGATGGTTATCAGAAGAATGACGCCACTATCCGCAAGACGCTTGACAACTATGATATCTATGTCCTCCCCATCGTAAACCCCGACGGTAAGCAACCCCAGACACACCGAAGAACTTCGCTAACTTCCCCAGGCTTTGTCTACACCACCAGCAACGACCGTCTCTGGCGCAAGAACCGTCAGAGACGCTCCGGCCAATCCTGCGTCGGCACCGACGTCAACCGCAACTGGCCCTACCAGTGGAACGTCCCCGGCGGTTCATCCACCAACCCCTGTGACGAGACCTACCGCGGCCTCGCAGCTGGTGACACCCCCGAGAACCGAGTTCTGGTCAACCATACCAGGACCATCGCCGAGAGCACGGGTATCAAGTTCTTTGTTGACTGGCACTCGTACAGCCAGCTTATTCTTCTGCCGTATGGATACAGCTGTTCCGCTAGTGCCAGCAACTTGAACAAGCAGATGAGCCTTGCCGGTGGCGTTGCTAGCGCCATCCGGGGTGTCAACGGTCTCACATTCCGATACGGCCCTACCTGCTCAACCATCTACCAGACCGCAGGAGGCAGCAACGACTGGGCGCAAGATGTTGCCAAGGCTGAGCTTGCTTGGGCCTTTGAGCTTCGACCGGCGAGTGCCAGTGCTGGTGGTTTCACTGTTCCGCCTAGCAACATTGTGCCTTCTGGTGAGGAAATTTGGGCGGGTATGAGGTATCTGTTTGCGAACTTCTAGGTGGAATGTTTGATGAAGTAACTTGACATGAATTCCTTTTGTACTTCACAAGGCTTTCGTGGCCACAACATAGTTTCCTAGATAAAACCCAAGTAAACGACCTGAGGCGAAATGCCGTATCCAGTAGAGCTCTCTATGAAAACCTCAAAACCATCAAGTGCGTGACGGACCAACAGCTGTCGCATAGACCTTGGAACCTGTATCTTTTCCAGAGTCTGTATCATCCGAAACTTCTGCAATCTGAACTGGGGTATTCTCTCTTGTTTCCTCCTCGTCTCTTGTTCCAATATTTTTCTTTGCCCTAATAAGATGGGCTTTAGCATCGAAGTTCTGTAATGGTAGAAGGGATATACATACTCCTTGCGCTTGATGTACTGGTTCAAAACATGAGTCGAAGCAATAAGCGCCAACGCACAGCCAAGACAGAATGAAAAGCCCTTTGGATACGAAGGTGCTTCGACGGTCGGGAACGTAAGCAGCGGAGTCCAAGCCGTCGAGGACTGCGCAATAATAGTGATCAAGACAAGCGTAAATGACCGTTCCTCTGGAGAGTCGCGCAATAAAGTATTAACCCATCCATGGAAAACGCTCGATAAAGCGTTAGACCAATACATGGTTGAAAAGGCAAACCACTTCCCAGCTTCTGGGATGTTCCAGACGACCAACATGATCAAGCCAATGACATTGATTGACGAAGCCACGGTCATCGCCCAAGCTGGTCCGAGGATGAGATCGGAAGCGAAGCAGGCGATGAGGTTATAGAGGATACCCAAGGCTGGTGCGATGGTACCTAGCTCGTTGACTTTGGCTGGGCTGTACTTGTTCAGACTCTTGATCCATAGGAGGAAACTTCCTGTACTCTTGTGGATTCCGGCATTCCAAAAGAGAACATCGACGAGAATAACGGTCCAAAATTGAGGACTCAAAAAGATCTTTTTCAAATGTCCAACCTTGAAAGTGCCGTGTGTAACGTGGCCGCTACTCTCAAGTCGTTTCTTCGCAATCTCAATATCCTTGTCGTTGAGAATCCATCGGTTCGGTTGGTCGATGGTGCCAGGAAGGAGAAAGTAGCCAAGGATGCCGACGGGAAAGGTAATCAGGGCACAGATGATATACATCCATCGCCAGCCAGCCAATCCGTTAACGCCCTCGAGTCGGTGGGAGGCCCCGGATGCGACTAGGCCAGCGGTTAGGGTGCCGAGGTTGAGACCTACGTAGAAGATGCCGCCGCGTCGTGCAATCTCGTGGCCGCGATACCAAGAACCTGGGGCGAGATTAGTACGTAAAATAGGAAGATAACTCCCATGAAGTCACCTACCGAATACGTAGTGCATGGCCGGAAAGAAGGCAGCCTGTACCGTGTCTTGTCAGCATCAAAAGCAAGGCCTCGAGAGAGAAAGACATACCTCGAAGAAGCCAACCATAAATCTGTAAGCAGCAGCCTCGGCAAACGAGTGTGTGCGATACTGCAGAAGCGTAAAAACTCCCCACATAATATCCATGAAGGGAATGGTCCAATACATGGGGATGTAGGTAAAGAGAAACATGAACGGCAACATGCCGACAACTGCTCCCACGGTATACATAGTCTGCAGCTGCACCAACTCGTTACCGTAAAAGTTCAGGTCCTCCTTCATACCGGCAACGTAAGCATTGTCTGTCAAGGTCAGCAGCAACTCAAGACAAATGCTGGTAATGGCGGAATGCATACTCAGGTTTGCTTGGTCAATGTACTTGACCCAGTAGGCGAGAACGGCATAGGGCACCACGATAAGGTCGAGCTTGATGATGAACTTTCGCTCCTCAGGGGTGTCATCGTCGGCGTACCACTGAATCTTCCACCACTGCTTCCTAGGTACTGTAGAGTCTAACATATTGACAGCAGGACAATCCTAGTCGGATCAAAGTCCCAAGGCAGATGAAACCAACTCAAAAGCAAGCAGGTCAGTCCATATAACATTGCCTCGAAACGGCCGATATCGCTTTATATCTCAACCCTCCCATATCTAAAGCACGTCAACACACTTCGGCCTCCCGCCATCTCTAACCTAAGTTTTTCCGCGGCGATGAAACGGTAGACAAGGAAGTTGACATGTTCCCCGGCGAGATAGTGGAACTAGAGCCATCGGCGTCGTGCCGACAGCGGGGAAAAGATCGAAACGGGAGATTTTCACAAGCACGTAATTAATCCCAGCAATGGTGGATCATCTCCATTGGGCAGGCAGGAGGTTGAAGATTCGGCCTCTCGGTGAATAGAATCAGGTCCCTGAAGATAGAAAGAGACGGATAATAACGCTTTGATATCAAAATGGTCCTATCTGTGATGATGCTGCCCGGTTGGTGGTGTCGGCATTCAGTTTTGCTGCCGTGGTTGTTCGCACGACAGGTATGGGGCATCTCGCGTCATCTGGATAGAGCCCGATCCTAACTGCTCGAGGCAATTTTTATCCAAGGGTCCTAGTAATGGTCGGTGACGATCAAAGTACTGGTCATGTTTACACCCGGATGCTTGCTTCCAGAAGGAAATCTCAGAATCCTTCTTAGGGTCTTGAGCAGTGGAAGATGAAGTCTTTGCGACTCTCCAGGTCAAGTGGGGTCCCTGGGTGTCATCTACCGTGTCAATGATGAATCACCGAGCTGCTACTAAATGGTAGACGGCAAGGATGCTTCTCGACTTGGGCTTGTGACAGATTGCCGTGCTTCTGAGGATTTAAGCATAATGAATAAAGATTCATGCTAAATTATCGCCTAAAGCTATTGGTCGAGCTTAAAATCACGTTCGCATGTGTTATTTTCTGAACCTGCATGATGCCATTCAGGGTGCAGGGTATGTTGCAATGGAGCTACTCTCAGGGTCATGAATCACTGTCTGAGTCCAACCCCTCTCCCGTCCCATCACGATGCCTCGGTGAATAGCATAGCTTCCCGCCAAAGAAGCGCCAGGCTGAAGACGGAATCTTTGCTGATAGCAAATTGAACTCAAGGGTGCTAAATGAAGCTTCCTAGAAGCATCCGATGCTGGTCCAACAGGCTTGTCACTGCAGCTCAGCACAACCAGATAGGTACTGTTTATAACCAGCAGCATTGGAAGTGGTTTCAATGGGTATATAGCTGTGACGGGTTTCTAGACATTCGCTGCTTAGTGAAGTGTCTAGTGGTATATAAAGAGAGCTTAAGCTTGTCGTTTTAGATTCAGTTGTGTCGCTTTTTGCCTGACTGGCGATACTGCGTATCTTATGGGGTTTAAGGGCCGATTCATCCATGACCAAATCCAGATTGAAGTAAATAGACTTAAGAGAAAGGATTCAATCGTATATTTGCATCGTAGTCGGAAAGGTTCAAGCAAGGAAATCTCTAATAGACATTATAGAATATTGTCTTCCCTTCAAAGGCGAAAGGGGAAAAAAGAAAAATTATAGAATGAGATGTCTGTCAATTTATACCTCCAAGAGCCCAAACAGCCCCTTTGTCCATATCTTAACAACATGGTTATTCCTCACTGCTCTAGACAGCTTGGATGAGAAGGTCAATAGGGATATTGCCTCCTGTAGAAGCAGTAGTCTCAGAGGCTAGACTAAGAAAGAAATAATTGCCGAGGAATTGAAAACCCGCGAATTGAGTCCAAACGCCACCAGTAGGGTAACAGACTGGGTCATTTTCATCGTCAAAGTCCTCAATGCAAGCCATCGCTGGTGCACTGCATTTCAGGACGCCTCCATCCATCTGTCCCTGGTTGCAGGTGACGGGCGCCTCATTGGTCCGGGGCGTTGCGTTGCAAACATACAACGAAGCTGACTGGGAGCCGCTGTAAAACCCACATATCTTGGAGCCGTCGACGATAAGGGCGCCAGTGACCGCCTCGATAGAAAAGATACCCGCTGGCACGTTGGAAGGGTTGTAACCGCCTAAGGTTATGCTGCCGTACTGTGGAGGTGGAAGCCTGGCTGGTGTGCCGGTTGTACCGCCGCCCTGGCCGATTGCGTTGAAGGTCTCAAGGACCGGAGAAGAGGTAGAAGTGGGAGCAATGGTGGATGAGGTCGTCACATCCGACGTGGCGGAAGATGTGATGGAAATGATAGTTGAAGTAGCCAAGGTAGTTGTCGATTCCGTCGCCGAGTCAAAAGTTGTTGACGAAGCTGTTGAGTCTGAGGAGGTAGAAGATGTGGTAGGGACAGACGAAGTCGTAGATAGTGTAGAAGTCTCAGACGTTTCTAGTGAAGTAGACGTCTCAGTGGTGACTGCGTTGCTGATATTAGCAGGCGGTTTTCTATGAGAAGCTGGCGTCAAGACTTACCCGAGTTAGGCGGCACGCATGGACTTGCAACCGCGCCCAAGGCAAAGGCCAAGGAGACCAAAACGCGGCAATGCATTATATTGAATTAGACAATTAACGAGAGGCAAGAATGAAATGGTAAGAAAAGATGGAAACTGCTTGGCACCTCAGCACGGCTGGCTTGCTCTTTTTCTTTCCTGTCGTAAAAGCCACTTCATTTAGGGGAGCAGCACTATCGAGGAACTAGCGAAAATTGAGATGCATTATTGCTCAGTTATTGGTGAGACTCCACCAGCTAAAGAGCCGAGACCCTCGACTTTGGGCGATGGGCTAGCCGATCCCGATTAAACACAACTTCTGGACTAACTTGCAACCTGTTTGTGCTGTTAATATTGGAAGTGCTCAGTGCGCCGAGACAAGATAAGCCCGAGATACACCACTGATAAGCACGTGACCACCCTTGGAGCCATTATAGGACCTTCACTGGAATGCTCAGGGAGCCAGTGCAGGCACGGCCGGCCGTGTCAAGAAGGTCACGTGATATAAAGCACGGCCAGCCATATAAATAAGATCCATTATGTCAGCCCACGGTGCGTATTATCAATAGCCAATCAGAAGGCTAGTTTACAGTCTAGCCACATAAGCCACACTTAGCCATAGCAAACTAACCACTCGTGCCACTATGCCACGCAAGGGCGAGATAAGCTGCCTCTATAAGCTGCCTCTGTAAGCCAGTTACTGGCTGCTATTGCAAGCCGCTGTTATAGGCTGTTGCAGGCTGCTATTAAAGACCGCTATAAGCTGCACCGTGGGCTAACATAATGGATCTTATTTATACAGCCGGCCGGCCGTGCTATATATCACGTGACCTTATTGATATGGCCGGCCGTGCCTGCACTGGCTTCCCCCTCCTGCCCGCATCGTGAGCCAATGAAGCACGTGCACCCCGCGCAAACATTCTTCCAGGGTCCTCCTCGATGGATCACGGTTCCATCGCTTGACACTAATATCTGACCTGTTCAACCTCAAGGCCGCTTATTCCGAAGAATTTGATTCTTTATCCCTCAAACATCATCTCTCTCCTCGTCCATAACAATGGCATCTCCCGAACTTACCCCCGAGCTATCGGAGCTCTTCTCCAAGATCGAGAACAACTTCAAGACGACCAACCTCGGAGAGCATCGTTGGTATATTCTCGTCATCGCTTGCCTCTCTGCCAGCCCGGACCCGGAAACATCCGCAGCTCTATACCTCTACCTTACGCGTCAAGAAGCCTACCAGACCAGCGAGTCCAGACAAGCTCTTGTGAGACGACTCCGCGAAGCCTTGGTCAAGACCATCTGCCTCGTAGGCGTTTGCAAACCCATCGAGGCTATTCTCGCAATCGCAAAGGTCGAAAAGCCCGAGGATCGAGATTTCAGCAGAACACGACAAGACTGGCAAGCTGATGACGCGAACCACGAGCGGGCCGTGAATTGGTTCAAGCAGTTGTACACGCGCAACGCCGCCGACACAATCGGTCTGTTTGACGCGCACAAGGATTTCTCGTGGATTTCCACCGAGATTACCTACGGGCTGTATCTTTCCGATCGCCAGGTTCTCGATGACAAGGATACGCAGATGGTTGTTTTGCCCGCCATCATGAGTCAGAATCTCCGCCTTGAGACGCATTGGCATATTCGGGGAACGCGACGGATTGGCGTGAGCAAGGAGGACACTCAGGTCGTTTGCGATAGTGTAAAGGCTGTGTCGGAGTTTTTTGGGATCAACTTGAACAGGGTGCCTACCGTGGATGAGGTTGAGCCTGACGTGTAGGCCTGCGTGTTAGACCTGGACTTGGTGGGGTGAAAGCAATGAGGGCCAGGTATAGAAATCTATCGTGGCGTGATGGCATAAAGGAGTGGAACTAGACGTCCCAAGACTGGACCAAGATATGACTCACGAGCGTACTTCGTCTCGATGTAACCCTCACGCAACGAAAATTGAGAACCGTAATGACATTCACGAGGCGAACTCGACCGCACAGCAGTAAGTTCGGAGAGGTGAAGTGAAATAGTCAACTATTATTATCCAATCTAGATTAACCCGATAGCCATGATACAATTTCCAAATTTCCATGAACACACCCATCTCAAATCTGCCAACTATCCTTGCACCGCCAACACGAAAAAACACATGATTGATCCAACCCCAACGCGATTAGTTTTGGTTCCGAGGTGAGGGTGTCATCGTCTGGCTATCGAAGCTCGCAGTGGTGAGACTCTCGTCAAAGGGTCCAAGCTCAGATACTTGGGCCTGAGGCTGGAAACGAGTCGGTCGAAGAACGGGCTGAGTCTGTAGCTGAGGATACTGGGCAAGACCAGAATTCAGATACTGGAGGTTGTCAACTCCCATGCCTCCGGTCATACCGTACGACTGAAGAGTTGGTCCCGAGCTGGGCATCGGGTGAGATGCAGAAACTTGGTAGTTGGTAGGCCAAAAGCTCTGTTGTCGAGGCTGAGTTGGCAGTAGTGAGTATGGCACCAACATCTGAATCCCGAACTCATCCTGAAAGAGATATCCCAATCCCGGAACAGGAGCCATTCTCGCTGCGGTCAAGAGAATGGGGGTTCCTGACTGCTGCAAGGTTGGGAAGTTGAAGCCTTGGCCGCCAGCCCCAGCAATGGGTTCAGGATCAGGGGGGAGCTGAGGCTCTTGTTGCTTGGATGGCTTGCGCTTGGACTTGGTGGCCTTTGTGACTCTTCCTCTCTTGGCGGTGGTGGTTCGCGTCATCTCTGCGTTGGCTATGTCGGTGATGTGGTTTGGCATGATCTTCTTGAGTGCGGGACCAACATCAGGATCGCCGTACTGTGCTTCGTCTTGCTCACTTTCATCCTGAGTAGGTCAGTATGCTGTAGATGACTTTGAAGGGGCACATACCTCATGATCCTGGTGAGGTCGGGCGGCTAATGGAGCCATGATTGCGACCGGGGTTCTGCGAGGTGTCGCGCCTGGCGAAGAACGTCGATGACGCTTGGTGGTCACAATGCCGCGACGAGTATCATTCATTTTCGATGGTCTTTTGTTGCTTGAAAGAAAGATGATAGATCAAAGTCAAAGGGCGACAAGAATAGGGGGCAACATCGAGTAATAGCCACTCAGCCAACCCCCAGTTGTGCAAACGAAACTCAACCATTGTTTGGTTCGAATCTAGCGGTCAACATTTCTATCGCTTTCTCCAGGTTTCAAACGCTGCGTTGGATGCCTCGACGATCGAGGTTGCGTTTGGACTTGACTCCACCGCGGGAGGCTGCACTGGTTAAGATGGGGCGCGGATGTGAGCGTCAGGGGTGCCAAGGCGTCGAGGCGGCCGACCGAGGGAAACGCAGAGTTGAAAGGCATTCTCTATTCTTTTCATGTCAGGATAGTCAACCTACTGTTTCATACCATTGGTGCTGCATGATGAGTATTTATGTAGATTATAGAGTATCCAGTCTCAACGGGACGAGTCATGCGCGTGGGTTATCTGCTCGAGTCCAGCACTTATTTATTACTTTCATCTAATATATTGTGCCAATGAATGTAATATCCATTTTTGGGCACAATCTTCCCTACGTTGTTTTGGATTGCCCCAAAACTTTCCGCAGCGCCTAGTCCCCCAGCTTTAAGCCCGACAAGGGTCAAGCCAAGCTGACCTGGCTCAGGCACAGGCAGGATGTGTCGCAAGCCCACGTGTGTCTACTCTTTCAATAAAAACGTGGCCTTATCTCAGTGCTCAGATCTAAGCCGAATGACATGTGCCAGATGCAAAGAGGCTCCTGACAGAATAATGAGGTGGCAGCCGGACGCTAGAGATGCGTGGGGCCGAGACCGTCTCCGCCGGCTCCACCTCCGGATGCCGTGGTCCTCGGACCGTGCATCGGCTTGTCCAAGTTTCAGGGCTGATTAAAGAGTGTTTGATCCAATGCCCAGGGCGGAACCTGCAACGAGGTCTTGGCTGCAGATGGTGAGATTGCCCATCGATGAGTGGAAATGAATACCCCTAATCCCATATGAGCGAGGAGTGTCATGGAACAATCCCGGCATCTGTCAAGCATAACAACGACCCTATGCGGCCGGCCAACAATTTAATCGGTTGCGCTCAAGGCCTTGATCACGGTCGGGACTAAGCTGCGCGCCATGGACCTTACCAAAGAAGTGTTCTGAAAGGGCATGCTGCTTCTGCCACTACTTGACTAGGTAGCCCTCACCGCGAAGCTAGAAGCGATAGTATTACGACGTTTTCTCCATGCTTCCACACCGACAGCCTGCCAGCAAACGCTCTCGATTGCAATTTTGTATACGTACTGCAGGTACCTCATCGCCTCGCTTAACATTGCCATTCTTGAATGCCCCCTGCAGCAGCTTGTGCGACCGAGGGCGCCACGGCACAGCTGTGCCTTGGTTGCCCCAACGTCACCTGACACGTCAGGGACAGGACGGAACTGATCGCAGCAGACAATCACGCATTCAGCGGTGGCTAGGGGAGTTTTGTAGTCTGGCAAGCATATTCAATGAACGGGTCCGTTACCGTGACCCAGTTCCTCTCCATTTTGTCTTAGAATGAAGAGCCTACAGAGTCTATCGCCCTGCTCTTCTCAATGCTGAGCTACCCCGGGGCCTGGAGGCACCTGTAAGATCCACGTTATGGGGCCGATAAGCGAAACCCCAGGGCGCATTGCCTTGCAAGCAAACACAACTCGACAACGGCAACAGGCCTTTCACAGGAATCGACTATTTCCCGCTTTGAATGCGACTCCACAAAGATACCTCAAGTTTGTCTCATGCGATAGACACCCTGATAACGGCTTTGAGCTTGGTGGATTCTGTACTGAGTCCAAGCCCCTGTTTGGGGCCTCCTCCTGTAGGTACTCAACGGTGAATTGAGGGCGTCGTCGACCCTGAGCTGCATAATTTTATGGCATATCACTACATTAATGCAATTTGTGCGCCCATGCCTTGCCTCCGCTTCGTATGCCTATTCAAGTTGCCAATTGCCGTAGCATTGCCCCAGCCTTCTCGCTCTCTGAGAGGCCGCTCATCGGCCGCCGTCGTGGCTCTGGCATGGCATTTCGCGAATCCACCTGGAGTATCCGGCATTCATTTTAGCACCCGTAACTACCAGAAAATTGTATTCAGCAGGCCTCTACGGAGTACAACCACTGCGACTTGCCTTGGCGAGCGTTGCAAAAGGTGCAAATGCCTACTTCTAGGCAACAGAACCAGGCCCCTCGCAATCGCTCCGACTATTCTAAGCACATGCAGTCACTGCGCACACTCAGAGCCTATGTACTTGGTCCCCAGTTTCGTTGATCCAGCATGATTGGTCGGTCGCAAGACTCCCCAAGTTGCAGAATGAAGTGTTTGCCTCTGCGCTGCCATGTCTTCTTTGAGGGATGTACTCACAGGTAGCGTTGTGCGTTTTCTGTATTCGCATTTACTTGGGCTTGACAGCTCGGAAACAAAGGCCTAGGGGAGCTTGCTTCTTATCGCCGCGTCAAGGCGAGGATCTTCAGGAAAGCCAGAACTCATGCTGCATACGATTTTCCAAAGGCACCCGAGATGTTCAATACAATGTCGGACCTAATCAAGGCAGCAAACTGAATCTTTGAGGAGACGAGATGATCTTATCCCGAAGAGAAACACCAAGAATGCCTCGACCAGAGGAGAGGGGAAAGATAGCGCCAAGGCTGGCGATGCACAGCCCCCTGCGGACAATGACCCCTGCCCATTGGTTCAGTCCGTTGAGGGCTTTCTCACAGCGCTTAAACCGCCTCACATAGCCACTGCGGCTGAGATGCGAACCAGCATGGCATGATTGTGCTCTTTTCAACATCTCTATCAGGTCTCGACCGTCGCTTTATCAAGCCTTAACCGCTTGGAACTGACATATCCAGCTCAATGCACACTTTTGTACCCGTGTAACCATGGAAGCCATCGGCACAGGTGCCAGCACCCTGGCATTTGTGCTACTGGCCCTCAAATCAGCCAAGGTCATCCATGAATCACTCTCCGCTATCAAAGACGCCCCGAGGATAGTGCGCGAGTTGGTACAGGACATCCAACTTCTACAGTCAGTCCTTGGGAGATTGACGCACTGTCCTTTGAGCAATGCGCCAAGCAGCACGATCACTTCCTTCCAGGATATGCTCCAGGCCTGTACGGCTGAGCTCTCTGGCATAGAGAATCGGTTGGAGAAGTTCAAGAAGAAGCCAGACAGTAGCCGGTCAACTCGAGTGTATAAGGGTATCTTGGGTTATGTGAAGAAAGAGGAGCTCGAGGAAGCACGGAGCAGGGTACGAGACAAGACGACACAGGCAAACTTGTACCTCGGCTTGCTTCAGGCGCAGGCCATTTCGGATACAACTTCCACGATCGGCCATCAGGCGACAGCGACAACGGGAATCTTGGAACAAATCTTAGGCGAAGTCGCAAGGCTACATTCTCGCCTCAACAATGACACAGCCTCAACAGCTCAACAGGATGATGCCACCGAAGACGTTTCAGCCTCCATCACCCAGAACCTTGAGAGTATGACGCTATGCTCAGAACTCGAAGAGAGCATTTCGCGTCTATCGAGCCTCGTCGATCATGACGGGTTGACTCTTGACGCCGACGATGCGGAGCAAATCATTGACGACCTGAGAAAGTTCATTCTAATCGCTAGAGACAGAGTGTCAAGCAAGCAGACTGGGAAAGGCAAAGCAACTGCGAACCCATACGCAGTGAATGACGACAGTGATCAAGTGCGGAGAGACTTGAAGTTGATCGAGGGCTTGATGCTCTCGGCTCCCATTGTTGCCATCAACCAACCAGGTACCTTTTTGTGCTTCATACTCACTCTTAATGAGAACCAAGCTGACGTGCCAGTTCCCAACTCTACACATCTTCGAGCCCATCTACCAACTGGCGCCATCATCAGACAAAAGCGAGCAAGAGAGGAAATCGACGTTGAGCACGGCTTCCTTACAGTATCAGTAAACAAACGAAGACGAGTCTCTCGTAGACCCAATTCCTCCGAGAACGCAAGTACCCACCGAGATGTCGTTGCAAATATCATGTTCCGCCCCTCACAATCGCCGTGGATGTTTTCCGTCTCAGTCTCCCAAGGACAGCTGTTTGATCGCAGTATTCAGAGCATACCGCGCATTTCAGTTTGCCCAATTATCCCCAATGGATCGCCCGTCTTTCGTCTCGTGCAGGAGGGTAAGCTCAGAGAGTTTCGTGTGTTGCTGGATGAGGGCAAGGCAAGTCTTAGGGATCATGATGAACAGGGCATGCCTCTACTACACGTGAGAGCAAGGGACTCACCTTCCATAGTCCTTGAAGCTGATCTTTGTCTAGTATGCAGCTGCAGGGAGCGTCGACATGTGCAAGTTCCTCATCGAGTCGGGAGCAGACGTCGACGAAATGGGAGAGAACAGCGGAACTGCCCTCAGCCACATCACGGGGTTGAGTCGCCACGACACTACGCTGGTGTTACTCGAGAACATGGCCGATCCGACACTATCTTACCCAGGATGGGATAATCCACTATCTGCTGCTTGCAGCTCAGATATTGTAAGTAGCTTACCTATTGTCGGGACTTGATGCTCATTTCGTATAGCCATCCGTGGAGCTCTTTCTGAAGCATGGCAGCCACTTTGCCCTTCATGACTTTGAGAGTTCAGATATGAATGGCAGAACAAGACTGCATCAGATTTGCATGGCAGACTCAAGATCAACGAGCAAGCAAAGAGCAGTTGGTATGCTGGTTGCCGCGGGAGCCGACTTGAATGCTCGCATACTCCAATCATGGTCTCCGGACGATCATCAAACACTCGGGTTCACGTGCTTGCATAGTCTAGTGTACACGGCCCATCAAACAGATGATAGGGATGAGCTTGAAACTCTTGTCTACTTGATTCGGCAAGGCGCAGACCCCTCTGCAGTCGACCATCACGGCAACACGGTTGCAACGCGGGCCTATCTACCCAACGAGAACGACAACCAGTATTCATCCAAGGGCTCATATAGAGGTGATCTCTGGGACGCGGCTGTCGCCATCTGCGGGCACGACCTAAATCAATTCCGATCCTCCTACCCGAGAGTTCCGAGGTACAACAAGAGCTACAATCGACAAGACTTTGAGAGGCTATGGCTTGGGCACGAGGCTCTTTGCCCATATTGGAATGACAAACGATACCCAGAGACTGGCCGGGACGAAGACTATTGGAAAGAGCCTTCGCAGCGCTGCAAACATACCTCATGTTCAGAATGTGCTCAATACAACAAGGGCCTCGCCGAAGCAGAGCCAGATTCCGTCAACAATGACGCCCCGATGTATGACTGGTACTACTACAACAAGTATCCACGGAGTCCTTCAGTGGAGCATATGGGGTATGTATACGAAGAGCCTGTCACTCTGGGAAGGAGATATTATAGCCCAGAGCAATTCGCGACTAGTGACATGGATCCAGAGGAGGACTACATGGATGAGATGTTGGGTGGCATGGGTTCTGATGAGGCGGAGCTGGAGGCACAATACCTGTTGGAAAACTCACTGCAAGCATACCGAGACCACCAGATCGACGAAGACGAAGACTTTCTTCATGCTCTCGAGCCCGAAGATGGCCCTGAACCTCCATTTGAAGAAGATAGCGAGGATGGTGAAGAAGCATTTCAGAGGTTGACACACCGAGCGGAGGACGAGACGGATACCTTTATCGATTACTGGATCGATCACGACACTCCTTGCCAAGAAGAGCCAGAGGAGTCGCATGAGGATTGCGAGGTCGTCTCGCCCCCAGCGAGTGAGGATGGTGGGGATGTATATGAAAGATTGACGGGACGAGGTCAAGGTATGAATGAAGGGTTCTAGGTGGTGTTAGAATGACTCCCGAGGTCATTAGATCAGACGGTAATAAAAATTTTACAGATAGAGCCTAATAGTTTATTTAGTTAGCTGAGTAAAGACTCTATTAAGCCTGTCAGTTCATCATCTTCGTCCCGCATCAGTCGTCTTGTTCTAAGTCCCATCTGTACTGCGAATACAAGAAGCCAGCGTACAAGAAATTCGGGCGCCTCCATATCGATGCCCTGGATCTCTTTCCACGTCATTCCTGGACCATCCCTACGGATGTCGTCCTCCAGGAGCGGCGATCCCTCCGTCTCCTCGTAGTCAACGCTAAAGCCCCTCTTGACAACCACCATCATCTCTTCTCCACGCTCTTCGTCCTTGAACAGGGTTTTTTCTTCCTCGGTGTCAACGGGTAGTTCATCTAACCAGTTGCTGGGCATGTCTCGCTCCCACACTGCGCAGGCGTCGTGATCCAGGATCACGCTAGACACGACGCACTGATTAGGACGATAGATGATAACAGTGGGTTTGGTTTCATCGCCATCCCTCTCATTCATGATGCGCTGCCAGTTTTCTGGCTGTGGACGGTTCATAATCCCTTCGATCGTAGATCCAATCATTGCCGATTCGCGGGTGATGTAGTAAAGTTCCTTCCAGCCACAGCTTCCCGAGATCAGATGGTTCAAAATTAGGTAATTTATACACATGAGCACGGTGTTGGTGCCATGCACCGTGAGCGTATCAAGACGGAGCCCTGGGAGTAGTTTGAACATGGAACCCAGAAAATAGGAACAAAAAATGTCTCTCCTTGGTGGCGACTCGGTCAAGACAGGCTTGGCAGTGACTTGCACGTGTCTAATCTTTGACAGAGTTGAGACAGGCAATTCCGTTAATACATCAAGCATGGCCTCGGGTGTCTTGAAGGTCAAGTGAATCTGGCTGATCCAGCTATCGCTAATTTCGTCTCTGATTCGGCGGCAAGCTCGGACGAGGGCGAGAGTTTGCAGAGGTGTGCTTTTCGGACCGGAGGCCTGTTCAGTCTTTCTAACAGTCCATTGAAGGCTTGTCGAAGAGAAGAGGTGCGAGTAAATCTCAAGACGAAGCTCTTGGGGGAGTCGAAACATGATGCTCTCCTGCTGGTAATAGAGAGCCGGGTCTGGCTGGTCAGGTGGATGCGATCCTGATGCCGCCTGCTTTCTCTTGTTGTCACATTCCATATTGCAAATGGGTCTGTTGCTCGATCAAGCTGAGGGATGAAAGAAGACAAAGGATGAGATTTGAACCGCTGCGAGCGAGGTTACGCTCATGGTTTATTTAAGGACTTCTCCTATCACCAAATAGAGTTCCAGATACAAGGTCAAAGAATGCAGTTCCCAACGTAAAACTTGCGCAAACTCTAACACTGCATGATGCCGTAGAGGCGAAGGGAGTGCTGCCTGGATGTGATGTTTTGCGTGCTGATGGATCCTAGGTGTTGTTGAACTAGGTAAGCTTGCGGAGAAGCCGTGGCCATACCGTGCATCTAGACATCAATAGGTCGCAAACAAAGATGGCCTTTATAAGAGTGAACAGAGACGAGTAAATGTGAGCGTGCTACTTAACGGCTTGTGGTATCTTAGTGCCTGCTGAAATGACATGGTGGACCTGTGTTGACCAACAGGCGTTAGCGATAGGCAAAGCTGATGATGCCCAGCGATATCACCTTCAAGACGTCTGTGATACAAAAACAAAATGAAACAGGCACATGTAGCCCTTTTAGGGAAACGGGGCAAAAAATAACCTGCTTGAAGCCAGATTCGAACTGACGATCCCTCACGGGAGTGGTGCTTAAGACCACCGCCTTAACCACTCGGCCATTCAAGCTTGAGGTTTATTTTTTGCGAGTTTCTGTCACTATGTACACTCCGATTGACTCTGACAACCGGTAACCTGCGCAGTCCTAAGATGCCTGCCAACAAACAGTTTCTGTAGGGAATTTCTATTCATTGCTCGGGGATTCAGACTCCTCAGTCGCTGCTTGTGCGCCGTGAAGAGTGCTGGAATGCCACCCACCTATCCCTCCACCATCGAGATCCACTTTACTGGATGACATGTTTGAACATTCCAGTGTTGATATGCCTCGCAATCATGTTGCTTAAGAGTCTTGGTCTCTGAGGGGTATAAGTAGCTCATTGGTTGGACTTTGGGGCTTCGGGTCTTGTTCATCTATGGGCTGGCCTTATTCAAAAGCTCAGGCGCCCTGCAGAGCCCTAAGATAGTTCACAACCTGATTCTACAGGCCCTTTAACATCACATTAAACTACCTAAGCCCAACTGTGTAATCCCCTCCTTCTTGATCAACTTTCGGTCTAACAAGGTCACTTTCCTCAGTTCTCATACCCAATTGCCTTAGAAGATCGCACAAACGCCAAAGGTGCAGACTGGGCCAACAGCCCCCCTGCGTGCCCAGCTACATTTGGATCCTGTCCAAGGAAATCGCCAGGAAACCCAACCTCGAAGGGTTTCACGCTCTCCAAGTACTCAACTTGCTTCTCCGTCAACCTGATCTTCAACGACTGGATATTATCGTGTAGGTGCTTGACCTTTCTCCCACCAACAAGAGGGAAGACGTTGGGTGCCTTGGCCATGAAGTAGGCGAGCGCGACAGCAGTAACCGACTCGATTCCATGCTCAGCTGCCACGGTAGCAAGTGCGTCACTCATTCGTATCTCGTCTTCTGTCTGATTCTGGCTCGAATCGCCACTAAACAGACTTCGAAGAGGTTCACCGCTCTTGTTGCGCTCCTCTACTTGCTTCCTGCTCTGGAATTTCCAGCTACCGAGAACGTCCCAAGGCGACAGGGCCATGCCAAAGTGGTGGGCCATTGGGATAATCTCTCGTTCAAAGTCGCGTAGCATGACGTTCCAGCGGCCTTGGTAGATGCAGAAAGGTGTCTTCCCGTGGGCGACTGCATAAGTGTTTGCCGCACTGACGACCCATGCAGGAGTATCGGAGATACCTAGGTAGAGCACTTTACCCTGCTCTACCAGGATGTGCAGGCTATTCATCACCTCTTCAATCGACGTGGTATAGTCCCACCAATGCAGATAGAGAATGTCGATCCAATCCGTCTGCAGCTTTGCCAGAGAATCTCTCACACTCATATGCAAGCTCCTCTTGTGGTTCCCGCAGTGGTTAGGCGTCTTTCCCTTTCCTAGCTCATGTGCCTTGTACTCGGTGGTATACTTGGTCGCAATGACGAGTTGGTCTCGATTCTTGCGAGACGCCATCCACTCGCCTATCCACGCCTCTGACTGCTCGTCCTAATAACCATTAGCCGTGTCGATAAAGTTGCCTCCAGCTGCGTAGTACACGTCGAGGAGTTCAAATGCCTGCTCTTTGTTCATACTGCCCATGAACGAGGACCAAGCCTCTCCGATTGACATGCTGCCAAGCTAGAGAAGAGACACACGGAGACCGCATTTTAGCGAGAGGATGCAGTAGCGACCAAGTTCAGTTAGAGGTTCAAGCAGGTTAAAGTCCATAGTAGATAAAGGCGGCTGAATAGATGAAGGTAGGATAGTTTTAAATAGATGCAAAGTATAGAAGAACAACCAAGCCTACCACTGAGAATCCCTCTTGATATACTACTAATAGGCCCGACTTCCGGTGAGCTTCACCAGACCGTCGCTAAGATAGTCGCCTCTCCTGATCAGACCGTAGACACGGAGTTAACGGCGTCGCTGGGTCAGCCACATACATACATGGCATTCCAGAATAGGACATGCTTCGCCGGACTAGCTCTCTATCTTTACTCAGCAAATTAAGCTTTGCCAAGTCTTTATCGATTCATGTTTCCCTTTCCAAGCGCTGTCCAAGCCACTCCTTAACATCGACTCAGTATTCCAACGACAGAAGAGACTCGTTTATCGGTCTCGGTCTCGGTCTCGGTCTCGCGATGGACTCTTACGATGGAGCTCCCAGATGTCGCATTGAACGTGCGACAAGTTTCCAGGAACGAAATTAAAGTAGACTCGGGCTGCTAGTGGAGCAAAAGTCGATGTGGGCTGCCAGATGCCAACGGACTCAGCCAAGATTATCTCCATGTCACCACCATAGCGTATTGCCTATCCCTGTGGTGTGCCTGGAACCAGCAAGTATAAGACACCAACTATTTATTTAAACATGATTCTCAACGGACCATTCTTTCAAGTCGACGGCTGCATCGTATTTCGACCATTACACACCTATCAAGTCTCAACACAATGGGCTTCTTATACTCTCAACTCTTTGTCAAACCAAAGAACCCGACGACATCTTTTGCTGGTCAAGTCATCATCGTGACAGGGTCCAACGTCGGCCTCGGCTTGGAAGCAGCTCGACACTTTGTCCGACTCGACGCTGCACGCGTGATTCTCGCCGTGCGCAACGTCGAAGCTGGAAATCTTGCCGCACAATCGATTGAACAGTCCACTGGCCGACAAGGTGTCTGCGAGGTCTGGGAGGTGGACTTGGCCTCATACGAGTCAGTCAAGGCGTTTGGGGCACGAGCCGCCAAACTTGCACGGTTAGACGTTGTCGTCGCGAACGCTGGGATTGCGACTACACGATACAGCACCGCTGAGGGCCACGAGCGCAACATCACCGTCAACGTCATCAGCACATTTCTACTAGCACTCCTACTGGTCCCTGTACTAAAGGCGACGGCTCAGAAAAATGAAGGAGCAAACCCCCGTTTATCCGTGGTGACCAGCGAGGTCCACGCATGGACAGATCTCCCGGAATGGAAGACTGATAACACGTTTGCGACGCTCGATGACGAGACCAAGGCCAACATGAACATGCGCTACCCGGCTTCAAAGCTCATTCAGGTCTTTTTGGCTCGGGAACTGGCATCAAGATTGGAAGGCTCGGGCGTGGTAGTCAATATGCTGCAACCTGGCATGTGCCATTCACAACTGACGCGCGAGGATGGGTGGATGGTTGCCGTTCTGAAACTGCTCCTAACCCGTTCAACTGAAGTGGGAAGCCGGACTCTGGTCGTGGCTTCATCTGCTGGACCTGAGAGTCATGAGGCTTACATGAGAGATGGGGAAGTGGACAATGATGGTCTATCAGCTTTCGTTCGCAGCAAGGATGGGGAAATGGCGCAAAAGAAGCTGTGGAAAGAGTTGTCTGAGATCCTGGAGAGTGTCTGCCCGGGTGTCACAACGCTCTGAAAGCCTCCATTCGATCGAAGACTTGGATAGTCTTGGAGAGTTCCGCGGCTCTTTGAGTGGCGATCTATGAGTAATATCGATAATTATCACATCTTATCCTCTTATAACACATTGCCAAGTGACTGGACATGTAATATAACACCAGCTAGCTTAGCCTCACAAAAGGGAAACCAAGAAACTTCACTCTCACGTACGAGCGCCTACAATTGGCAGCAGTTGACCGCTACGCATCCTTACGACACCAAGCGGACCAAGATGTTTTATCGCCCACACACATTTTGGGCTTCACTGCACCGATGTTACCCGAGAATTTGTCTACCCAGGCACCTCAGCCCGACCTCGGCATCAACTCGGCCTCTCCATAACAAAAAAACAGATTTGTGCGTCCTCGAATTTTGTCCCCGACATTGGTTGGTACCTGTACGCCCGAGGCCGGAACCAACTTTGAGGTAGCCGGAAGCTTGAACTCAGATGTGTGACTCAACAAAAAAGCAAAAGTTTGCTCTTCATGGGCTGGATGAGATGCAATATATGACCGGGTTACCTCCCAAGACGCCTCGACAATTCATCTTTCCCCCCTCACCAACAATCCACCGCTCTGCCCCAGCTTGGCACAATATCTAGCAAATACCTTGAGACAAGTTCCAAATCCAGGCAAAATGCTCCCAATACCATGGGAAATTATTTACATCATCCTGGAGCATCTTCCTCCCCATTCTTCCGTCGCTCTCGCTCTTACAATCAAGCCCCTTTTTACCACTCTCTTCCCAACTGGCAGAGTACCCGTCCTTGGATCCTATCCCGACCAGATCCCTTCCGACCCTTCACCGCAGTTCGACCTTTCAGAAAGGGATGAGCTCCTTTTGCTGCTCGAGAAGGACGATCCCACAGTGGCCTTCTGCTTTGACTGCCGCAAACTTTGCACCATTGACTCGGGCCTGGGCCACTTGAGTTGCGCCGAACTTGCTGTCTTTCGATAGGTCTCCTTTTTTGACAGGGAGGAGTTTTGGCCAAGTCCATTTTATGTCAAAGATGCGGTTGGGTCGCCGTGTGTCGTGGTTGGGACACCGCCTCTGGACTTGGTGACTTACCACCCATTTGCTTGGATCCCAAAAATGCAATGGCCCGCAGTTAACTTTGCCGAGGCACGCTTGACAATGAACCGGCACATGTACGGCGAGTCATATGGATTGGCACTTGAGTGTCTCGAGTATCAGTACGAATTCGAACGGTTCATCAACCTCAGCACCGACTTCATCGACTCTCACTTTCCTCTGGATCAGCATCCTCAAGGCCATCAATATCTCACAAGACATCGCCAAAGAAAAGTCTGGAATTCCCGCGCGATCAACTCGGATGTTTTCACACATGCCTGGACCTTCAGTCATGTCTCTAAAGCACAAATCATCGACAGCGAGCTTTGTATTGTCCGCTTTCACTCCATTCGTGGTCCCCTAGTAGAACGAGGCCAGTTCTTGAACCTACTTGACAGTCTCGGTCTACCGATATGTCGACACCACAATGCTTCATTTCCCCCCTCACTGCCATCTTTATGGCGGCCATGTGGCTATTGCTTCACGGATTATTCGATATCTATATGGAAGGACGAGCTTACAGGGTGGAATTGCGAGGTAGCAACCTGCCATCGTCTTGGGAGCTGTCGAAACCCATCCGATTCCATCTGGCGGCTGGCCAACGATATGGGGAATGATTTCAGGCCTCCGAAATGGCGTTTGCGAATGCCACCCGATGAGGTGAAGAGATTGGAACAGATAGTTCATACATCGTCCTTTATGAAAGAAAACCCCATCGATCAACAGTTGGAATTGACACAGACAGCGGAAAGGAATAAACCGGGAGGGATTGAGGGTTGCTGGGCCCATCTGCGGGAGCGCCTACCCGATTGGAAGAGATGGGAAGTCCGTGAACTTGGTTGGAATAATGCCGAGGAGGATAGAAGAAGTCGAAACAGCCCAAGATCGTTGCGGAATATTCTTAGACGTAGGCAGGGCCTTAATACGGGCAATACCTAATAAGAGTCAGTTTGGGGGGTCATCTGTAGCACTCTGTAGAAGAAGGCGGGTTGGTGTTGCATGCAGTGAGCAGCTTATCCGTTGCCTAATTTCCTATGTACAGTGGCGAAGCAAAGCTACCACGTGTTCTTTTTAGTGTGATCACGACATATTCCTACAATCTTACGGCTGCCTAGACTCTTCATTTCTCACCTCCCAGGTGCAACATAGTCAAAATGACAGCTCAAGACTATCGTTTTTCTCTTCCTGAAACCCTCTGGGATCAGGCACTCACGCGCTTCGATGATCTTAAAGCCAACGAGAAATTATTCCACGGTCCATATGAGACAGCCTTGTACCAGAAAAATGACTTGAAAGTGGCCTTTCAACTGGCACCACAACTCGACAAGAAGCCGATTCTTCCAGCCGATGCACCTGAGCGCAAGTCAAACCATGCCAAGCGTAACCCGTTCGCCAATCCCGATCCAGAGTTTACGCTATGTCACGTTGGGCCTTCACATACTTTGATGCTCAACATGTACTGCGTCTACCGTCCAAGTCTCATCCTTGTCACTCGCCAATACGCGTCTCAGTCTGACTTACTTGACGCTTCCGATCTTGGAGCATCATGGGCCTTGCTGCAACATCTTTCGAAAACCCGGACAGAATCGCGCCTGATGATGTTTTACAACTGCGGTGCCGAATCAGGTTCCAGTCAAGGACACAAGCATATGCAGATCATGCCATATCCACAGCCTGAGGAGATAGGATTTCAGATCTTCCCGGCACGGGCAGAGTCAACGGACCATGTAACGACTGGTCTGTCAGGTGTGCCATACGCACATTTTGTGTTGAAGTTGCCAGACAACAGCACCATCGACGATGCTATCAAAGCCCACGGAACCTTACAATCAGCTTATCAAGAGTTTTTAAAGGCTCGAGGACACGAAGTTTCACCTTCGCCACCGCACAATCTCTTGCTGACCTCTTCTTGGATCTGCCTTGTCCCTCGTCGACACTCTGGGGCTGAGCGAGACGCTCTCACGAATGCCATGGGCATGGTTGGAATCGTCTGGGTGGCCAATGAAGGCGAGATAGCCGAATGGTCTAATGCCTCGGGATCTGTCGAGGGACATTTTGAGTACCTGGGATATCCTACCTCGGGTTGAGACTGGAGGTAGCCAGAAGGACAGGTGGTTGAAAAAGCCCAGTCTTCTACAGTATCTGGGGGGGGGGTTGTAATTCGTTTTAAATTCGAATTGGATTCGAATGGGATTCGAATTAGACTTCACTTTTATTCGATTCTGATATGGGTCTAGCACAGTTTAGATGAGGCCCTTATGAGTTTAGGACGAAGAGTCTCAAGGCGAGAGCGTCAAGCCTCAGACTTGCATATCCACTTCAGCCTCCCAGCCATGAAACCTACCAGCTTTGTCCCTCTTATTATTATCGAGCTTGAGTTTTAGTTCAATGGAGTTCTCCTTTCCACAGTGATCGACATCATGAAAACAACAAACAGCACCGCCGACCAATGAAAGGCCCTCATCCTACTGCGCCCCATGCAGCTGACCTGCATGTCCAGCTGGAGCCTAGAATCCATCTCCTCTGTTCCCCGCCTTGGTCATCTTTGCTGGATCCTCAACCTCACCAACATGGCAAAGGAGGAAGAGCCAGTTCACACTGTTGAGTGGAGATGTCACAAGTGTCGCGACATCTGGTGGGAGTGGAAAAAGTCAGCCCCAACCGAACAAAAAGGAATCATCACATTCAACCATCACGAATCTTTTGCCGCTCTCGAAGAGTCAGCTGCTGCAGGCTGTTCCCTCTGCGCCAGCTTCCGAGCATCAACTATCTACCACGACGCATACCCAAAAGATCGAAACTCAGGCCCAATCGTGCTTGAGGTGTTGAAGTCGAGTCTGAGCCCGCACATCACTTTCAAGATTGGCAAATCTGAACATTATGAAAGCTTTGAATTTGCAAAGCTTCAAAATGGGGTTCCTGGTGGGATCAAAGGGAGCAGATTGCCTGCAAAACGTAATTGTCTCCTCCTCTATGCGATACCCTCTTCAGGCTAACGGTGTGTAGGGCTTGCTCCAGACTCTCTCGATCATGATCTCAATCACCTGGTTAAAAGGCTCATCAAACCATGGATCCATGACTGCACAACCGGAAAGGGCCTTCACAAGGATTGCGATCGCCGAAAAAGAGAACAGGGCGACACACAATCAATTCCAACGCGGCTGATCGATGTGGGCCATGATCAGTCCAGTACTGTCCGACTGGTTGTCCCTTCAGAAGACTTCCCGACCAAGAAGCCGAATTATTTCGCTCTCAGTTACTGCTGGGGTTTTGGGAACGACCCTGCCAAGACGACGCGCGACAACATCAAGGACCGGCGACAGGCCATCGATATAACTCAACTCCCAAAGACAATTCAAGATGCAATCAAGTTAAGCCAACTTGTGGGTATCCGCTACCTATGGATCGATGCCCTCTGCATCATTCAATCTCATGAGAAGGATAAGTACTTTGAAGACTGGAAGGCCGAGGCCCCAAAGATGGGCTCATATTACTCCAACGCCCATTGCCTCATCGCAGCATCCGGAGCGTCAGACAGTAGCGAAGGGCTCTTTGTGGAGCGTGTCGGCCAGCGGTATCCAACAAAGACCTGTGTGATCTCCTTCGATCCGGAATGCAGCGAGTACATGTACTTCCCATGTCCACTCCCCAACATCCTGGACTGGCTCCCACGAGAGCCTCTAATGACAAGAGGCTGGTGCCTTCAGGAAACGACACTATCCATCAGGACTCTTCACTGGTCTAGTGTCGGTTTATTCTGGGAGTGTCCGGGTGTATCTTCCGCATCTGAATTCCAACCCGAGGGCTGGAAGGTGTGGAAGACCGGTCCAGAAGACATGTACCGCATCTTTGACGTAAAGGCCGACAAAGCGCTAGGACAGGCGTGGACCCAACTTGCTGGAAACTACCTCAACCGAGGCTTCACTTTTAAGACGGATCGCTTGATCGCTATCCAGGGTCTTGGGCGACGTCTCGCCGAAATGCACAACACGGAATACTTTGCAGGCGTGTTTAGCTCCAATCTCTCTGATGGACTACTATGGGCTGCATATGACGCCAAGGTCGAAAATCGCGAGAAGCTCGAGTACTTCCCGACGTGGTCTTGGGCCTCCTGTGGCTCCAGGGCGTATTTCACCGGGCCCTTAGCCTACAAGTATGCCAAACCAGCCAAGTCTAACATCTTTCCAGCTGTACGAGATGAAATGGACTTTAGCGACAGCTCAAAGAGGACGCTACGTTTAGAAGCGCCACTGATGACTATCGACTTTGGCAACGAAAAGAATCGGGATGAGCTCAAGGTCACCCTTGCACAGGGGCAGTATGGGGTGGATCTACGATTTGACACACTGGACCTTACGCCTTCGCCTCTCGATAAGATCCTTATTCTTGTTCTGGGATGTCCTGAGAGTCGTGATCTTCCGTACAAGGGCCTTATTCTTCGGCCCAAGGGAAACATGTATGAGCGGATCGGACTGGGTGCTTTGACTGTTTGGGGGAATGCTGAACCACTGGATGGGTCTTTTAGCTCTTGGAGAAAGGAAGTCACTTTAGTCTAGATGAGAGTGGCATCATGTGAGCCGAATTATGGGAAATTCGAAAGTTTCAGTAATCTACTTGCCGGGGTGCCTTCGGTCGATGTTGAAATCAGCCTGCCTTGTTTCTTTCCTTACAATATGATAACCAGCACTTGATGAGAACCCTAACCGTGTCCAGACCGGTCATCAAGTCATTAACGATCATGTTTGTTCATTAAGTGTGCCTGACTGTCCATAGGTAGGGGCAGTACCAGGTAGGGAAAAGTGTTTGAGTAGGAATACAAAGAAACAGAGAAGTATCTATCCCTAGACTCAAGGTAAAGGCAAGATCCCGATGCTTCTTGTGGCTGAAGGCATCTGGATGCTGTCGGGTGTCGTCTGTGAATCCTCCGGCCTCATAGTGACTTATTTCGTCCTCGGCCGCCATCAAACATTCTGGCTTGGTGGTCTAGTGGTATGATTCTCGCTTTGGGCAGTCAATAAATGACTCTAGCTTGCGAGAGGTCCCGGGTTCAATCCCCGGCCAAGCCCTCCCTTTTGCCTGATGCTTCGGTGATTACATGTGTCCAATTCGTTATTTCACTTTTTGGTACCTGTCTTTTTTTCCCTCATGAGATGTGAAAGGCGTTGCTCTGCATTGTTAATCTAGTTTGCTTGGTGAGATGAGTCTCTTTGAGCCCTGCAAAGGAAGCATCCTGGGTGGAGCTGTGAGAGCATAGTGTTCGCTACCCACTTACTTACACTATCACCCTCTCTAATAATACGAGCAAAACCCCAAGCATCTCTTGTTGTCGAGATACCAGAATCTCACTCAAAAGCAAAACGCCATGTCAGAGTCACGTGTAACCAGCTGAAATGATACCCCGCTGCATCACGCAGCCTCACCGCATCAACCACATCCCACGCCAACCACTCAATACGTGCATCTTCAGCAATGGATCCCTTTGGCGACTTCGCTCCCGCCAGACTTATCATCGATCTTGGAGCTGTATTTTTTCCCTCTTCGCGAAGGGCAGGGCCCCCCGACTATGCGGAGTGGAAGAAATGCGTCCGTCTCGGCAAGGACAAGAAATTCCATGGCGTCTGGGATATCCCCCTCATCGGGGATGGGGAGTGGGACTCACACACCAATGAACTCGTTCAGGGATGCAATGAGAGTCCTGCTGTTCTACCGCCACAGGATGCAGGTAGCATTCGCCTTACAATATTCGAGGCACGCGGCGATGGCCTAATCGCCTCTGGCACCGAGGGTGCTTCAGGCTTTGCGGCACTCACATCTCAGTGGAGAAAACACGGCCGTAATCCGTGGTATCACATCAAGACGTACGAAACATCTTCGCCCGCATGTGTACATAAATACATCCGTGTCTTTGAGGGCCAGAACCAGAGACGCCAAGGTAAGGAGTACCTCACCCGGTTGGAAATGAAACGTGTCTGACCTATCTTATGTTATAGTCAAAATCGAATGCCGTACTTTTGTACTTCCTAAGCTCGCTGAAGCACTTGCCAATAACCCCCCTGCTCATCACTTCCTTCTAGCAACGAGACTATATATGGAACTCGAAGCACTTGACGTCTATTATCGCCCCATCAGAGCCGATCAAAACTGGAAACAATCCCTTCTCTTGCAGTTCCACCACGCATGCCTATGCTCCTTCTCCGGTTTCCTCGCGACTCTAATCTTTCAAGATAAGAGAGGAAGGGAGGGTGATATTGATCCCGCGTGGGCCGAGTTGCGTGGGTGGAATCTCAAAGAGATCACCAAATATTCGTACGCGTGCCGAAGTCTGCGGGAGATGGGTGAAGAACTTGTCTCAACCACCGAATCGTTGATCGACGTCGTCAAAGGTTCACCTACAGTGGCTGGAGCCCCCCAAGCGGCGATCAAATTCATGGTCATCGAGGCAGAGTTACGTGGCTATTGCCGAGAAGTCAAGGAGCGACTGCAGAAGCTCTCAGGTGGTCTTGAGCACGATCTCAAGTTTCTCGAACTGGCCAGAAACGTAAACCAGGCTCGGGGCGTTCAGCAGCTTACACTTCTTGCCACCATCTTTCTGCCACTTTCACTCGCCGCTGGGGTCCTCAGCATGCAAACCCGGTTCAAAGATCTGGGAAGCCTACTCTACGACTTCTTTGGGGTTGCGATGTTGCTCGGGGCCACTGTCGTCATTATCTTCATAATCATGACCATCATTGCTATCATCAAGGAAGCAGATGGGAAACTGACGCGGTATTTCGCGTATAGGGAAAGGCTTCGACACATAGTTATCAATCTGCTGATACTCAGCCTATTCTCATACGGCAGTCTGGTTCTCTCCTCATTTCTCGTTGGCATGTTCAAGGATGTTCCTCTCGGTGCCAAAGTCCTAGGCTACGGGACCGCAGCAGCAGTTGGCCTAGTTATAATTCCCCCGGTTCTTGTGTTTTTATTCTTTTGGGTTGCTACTCGTGATTTCTCAAGACCAAAGAAGCAACCGGCAAAGAAAACGAGAGTGGATGGCCCAGAAGGTGGTGCAGTCGAAGACAGTGATCTGGAGGTGAGGGCTCCCCGGAGACACGAGAGTTTAGAAGGTATTTCCATAGTAGGGAGTGAGACGAGATGAAGGTGAAGGCGTAGCGTTTATTTCACTAGCCGGCGCAGCAGCGAGGCTACCAGAATGCCAAAAGGGCATTAGCGACTCTAAGATGCGGTCACCAGACATCATAAGCACTCAATTTCATATTGAACATGCTCCGAGCCTTCCATCGGCACCATAAATATCCATCCATCCCAAATCCAACGACACCGCATTACACATAGAAAACATCCACGGAGCAATGAACCAGTAAAAGTCCCCATAAGTCCTCCCGCTCAGCAGCGCGGCGCAAAGTGGTAGTTGATAGCCATACTCAGTGCCGCAAAGTCCCTGTTGCTAGGATAAGCATCAATGTTGATGATGTTGGGGTAGGTCGACGAAGACATAGTCAGCCAGAGCTTCTCGATGAGGGCGCGGTTAGCTCCCTTGCCATTTTCAACCACGTTAAGACCAGCCTGGGTCAAGGTCCACGAGAGGAGAAACATGGTAGAGTCTGCAGACTGTCGCTGTTCTCTCAACTTGTTCAACTGATCCTCAATCATCTTGTTTTGGTTGTTCTCGTCGGCGTATCTGTCATACAGAGGGAGCTGGTTTCGTCGGAAGAAGCCCTTGTCTGCAAAGGCAGAAAGATCAACTCTGTCCTGTGTCTTGTAGAGTTCGGCATCCACGATAATGATGACAGCAGCACGGTCTTGGATAAAGTCTGAGACACGGAGCTGAGAAATGTCCTCCTCACCGCCTCGGTTCTCGACTCGATGGTTGATCCTCTCCAGCTGCCTCATGACGTCTTCCCATTCTGCCTGGCTGATTTTCGCATCTTTATCGCCCTTGAAGTTGTCCGAGTTGAGACCCTGAGCAACATTCAAAATGATGAGCTCCTTGTTGTTCTCGGTAAACCTGTTGATGCCATCGATAATGTCGTCGAGATACTCTCCATTGCCACCGTGCCAGTTACCAGCTGCAAACGAGTAGTGGCCAGTAGCCCACCTGCCACCAGTCTTGGAAGGACGGATGTCGAACCAGCGAGCACCAAATTCCAGCTGGCCCGCCACGCTGAGCTCCTGGGTCTTGGAGTTTAGAGGCGCGCCGAAACCTGACCCTCCTCCATTGAATTGAGACATGCCCGAGTCGTGCGTTCCAGGTATGGCCAGTTCACGGAGCTTGAGGCACGAGATCCTGGGGTAGGTAGCGTGCATCCAGTCCTGAGGTGGGTTACTTGATACAAGCCAAGGCTGAATGGAAGGGTTCTCAGGGTTCTCCTCAGAGCTAGCGATGATGAAGGGTATGTTGTTGTCCTTGCGCCATTCCAACTTGTGGAACGTGCCGGGTTTGTTGTTGACCGTCTCAAGTGAACCAAATCTGATGCCAGCACCAGGGACCCTGTTTTCTCCCAGCTTGCCTGAGTATCGAAACTCGAAGTCGGGGTGGCCGAGGAGAGCTTCAAAACGGTAGCTCACTTCGCCCCCGTCATCGATGTGGCCCTTGCCTTCGATGTAGATCCTGTTGGATGTGCCTTGATGCATTGTTAGCTAGCATGAAACATTGATTGGTTTAGGAACTATCTCACCTGGTTCAATAATCTCAGGGAACTCCCAGACGTTCATCTGATAGCTCGAGCGACCTGCCAAAGTCATCTTCCAAGGCGTCGCATTGACAAGAAGGAAGTAAGATCCCTTCTTGCCACGACGCTCAAGGCCTCCCGATTCATCGTCCTCCCAAACTTCAACACTAGAACCCTCGTTGTCGGAACGAATCTTGACGGCGTGAGTAACTGGTTCGATGGCTGGGGCGGCGGCGACGAAGCTAGCCAGGGCAGCCGCACCAAGGAGAAGACGTGACAGCATTGTGAAACGAACGCTGAGGAAGAAATGAGAATTATCAGGTCAAAAACAAAGGAAATGGAATGAAGAAATATAAGAAAAGACAGAAGTGGTTTGTTTGCTGAATCTCGAATACATCACCGGTCATGATCACGACTTTATGCTACTGCAAAACCTGCACATTCTCTCAGCCGGTCCAAAAACACGGCCTCACTGTCGCACCAAAACCACCACTGCATTGAAAAGGCACAGGTCCAGAGCCTGCTTGAAGGATTTGGGGCTTGGACCATGTTTTTAGGACCTGACAGTCGAAATTCTGCAAGCTACCAAAGTTCTTGACGGCGATTGCTGTTGGTACGGGCAGAGCTAAGCGAGTGAGGCGCTTCGCAAGCGCCGTGGATATCCTGAGGGATGCTGATTTGGTGGAGTGGCTGTAATCGGGATGAGGCGGAGTAAACGCCAAGACTCAGCCGCTGGTTCGTCGGAACAACAGTAAGCATAAAAGAGCTTGATGAGGATGAATAGTTGGTGCTTTGAGTTTAACAAGTTTCTGTATAACAATAGCTTCAATTAGATATTAACAACTCGTGTGAAGGTTAACATCTCATTGATCTTCATTAAGCGCGTATGAATATGAAAACAACTCATCTCGACCAAGATGTGCAACCAGGCTCTGAGGGCCGAGCCTCTAATTCAAGCTGACGTGAGAACCCACCACCCCAAAGCCATCTTTTCGGGCTTTCAAGCTGTCAGTTCTCTCCCCTGCAATCTTAACTGCCCGTCTTTACCGTGGCAAGTTGTGAGTGGTTACCAAGAGGAAATGACTCAATTGCAGGACTCGCCAAGAGGTTCCATGTTCAGCTAGAACGCCACAGCGGAACCTCAAGGCTAAGAAGGCCGCAGTATGCATGGGAGTGAGAGGAAACTAAACAAATTGCAGGGGTTGGCTCACATTCAGCCTGATGGATTGTGACCCCAGGCGCTTGGCGGCAGTTATGACAACTTCGGGGGGCCCTAAAAAGGAAACTCCAAGCTTAACGCCGTGGCTTAGGTTTTAAACAGGAAGATGATAGATCTCTGCCGATTGTTTGTTGCGAAGAGAAGATGGCGACGTGTTGCGATACGAGTGGCGTTCCGCCCAACTTGCCTGAGAACACTCTGACAAGACACCTGCAGGTCAGGTAAGCACTTGATCAAACACCTTTCAGCAGCCATTGAGCCATTGGATTCTATATCGCGCATTTCCCGGAGCGTTGGGGTATTTTTGACTTGTACCAAGAGTCTGCCGGTGTTGGTGTCAACCACGAAGACCTCATCCAAGCTGGCCGAGTTTTGTGCCCCCAAGTACTGAACTGAGGAATCACCACACAGCCTACTTATCCTCTGATAGACTAATGTTAGCAATCTCACTCTCTCTTGGTAAGTTTCTAGACTTGCAGTTGTCGATAGCTGGCTGCCATCCAGCCACGACGAAGATGAGCCGCAAACCTCGGTGACTCAAGCACATACGACCATACCTGCTGGAAAATACGGGATCCCGTCCGCTCTCCCATAGTCAAGCCAGTAAGGGGCGGATTAGTAGTTGGGTCGGTGACGACCAGCGAATCCCCGCTGTTGTATGTTTTTTGCTGTTCTTTGTTGCTCCTAGCCCCCGTGGTGATGTCTTTGGATCTTGGTGGCAGTCCTCCACGGCGATGTTTTTTGACCTTGTTTTTTGTCTGCAATCTGTCTTTTGGCAAGTTCAAGTGCTCCATAACGTAAAACATCCGGCCTTGCCCCAGTTTGCTGCCATGTCGGTTAATGTCCCCCAAAGGTAGACGGCAAATGGAGCCCGCCGTTATCGTGAGTGGGACTCAGGGGAAGACAACGAAGCCTGCCACAGAAGGTCTGACGAGGCAACTTCCAGAAAACAATTTGCACGCAATCAAATTTGATACAAAAGAAGATAGACGCGACACGGCCTTTGAGTGTTTGGCATATGGACCTGCCAAGTGTATTGGCTCAGCCTTTGCAGCGAGGGTTTGAATTGCCCGGTGGACCACGCACAAACCTTCTCCACACAGAAAAATGGAGACAAAACTAGCAAAAATAAAGCGACCAAGGTCAAAAAGAAATGCTTGCGGTTTATGTGGATCGAACACATGACCTTCAGATATCGAATAGATGATTGAAGTTTGACTTCAGTCTGACGCTCTCCCAACTGAGCTAAACCCGCTTGTTGAAAGACGACTTCCAAAATGGCTACAGGATGTTTGGGTCGGCGATGCGACGGGAAGAGCAGGGCAGACTGGAGACCGGATGCCAGATGCCAGATTTGTCTGAATGGTAAGAACGGCATTGGGAAGAGAGTCCTCTTGAGGCCTCTGCCCTCCACTTTGTCAAAAGAGTACTTGTGGCGGCAATGCCGCAATGGTGCTGGGCGAGTGAAACTCATTCCATAGCGGTATCGGAGATTTGGCTGCGCATTCTACTTTATCCCGCGGAAGTATGACTCTCTCATGAGCTGGCTAATAAGTATATTCAATTGTGAGCTTGGTTCATCCTCCTCTCATTTTTTCGATTTACAAGTGAAAATATTATAGTCAACCTCTGCCCGATGATTGTTTGTTCTCACAGCTTTTCCTTTGCACCCGCTCGTGGTGGACAGTGCAAATCACCGTTGATGAACCGCGGTTCCGTCCAACAACGCTCTTCCCTCTTTCATCCACGCGCTGTTTCACCTCATACCTTAGAATTATTAACAAAAAATTACTAGAAAATATTTTCAATGCCGAGAGACATTAAATGCCAGCCCTGTCGCGCTTTTTGTAAAAATTTCCTGTCCCTTGTCGAAGCTCTAGGGTAAGTAGTTCGTCGGCACATGAAACCCTGCATCGAGACCCAGATAATAAAGTTAAACTCGAGACCCTATCCGTAATTGGTCTCCATTGTCTTGGTTTAGAGTCGTCAACGATTGACGATCAAACTAGATATATCACATAAAATACGTTAATGACGATGCCCTCAGTGTCGCTGTCTCCATTGTTATCGCCGTCACACCACGCCAAGCAAATGTCACCATCAGTCGCTGCGTTCTCGACTAAATCCTTAAAGACACGTCTTACCTCTCATTCGTCAGCATAGAGTTTTCTGTCTCTCGCTTGTTATACGAGCCCGGCTCATCATTGTTCCATCCATTCAGCCCCTTGCTGACAACCATCTCGCCGGATCCAGTGACTCAACTCAGGGGTTCGGATGAACGCTCTTCCGACATGGGTCCCACTTCATGTGCGACATTGGACTATCTAATTGTCTATCCCGTGTTTGCGCGTTCCCCCGTCTCATTTTCTGCCGTCGTCACCGTTCAGTCATTGAAGAGATAAAGTCACACTCTTCACGCGCGCATACTCGGAGAGACGAAAAACACGTTGCGTGTCATTCTCGAGAGGCTGGTGCTCAGGATGGACCCGCTATGGTCCGTTTACGATGCCCCCACCGAGTACTTCTTGAGTCAAGATAACCCGCTCTTGGTCTCTTCCGCTCCGAATTCGCAGCTGCCTCCTAGTTTTGAGGGTCCTGCGCCTGTTACGCTGCCGTCTACGGGGCCTAGGACGACGGTTGCTACTCGCGAGATTCCTACTCGCGCCAACCTCCCTTCGGTCCCTGCTGCCTGTCTTGCTTGCGTGAGTTCCTTTGTTTTCCAGACTTTTTCTCTTCCTGCTCTTGTGACAACAGTGTGTTAAATGTTTGAATGTAGTTGAATGCTAACTTGGGATTTGTTAGCGCAGCAAGCACCTCAAATGTGATGGCAAGCGTCCTTGTTCCCGCTGCAGCGCATCTAGCCTAGACTGCGTCTATGTCGCGTCACGTCGCGGCTACAAAGGCCGTAAACGCACGGCTACACAGGTTGCTAGTCGTCTTGCAGCAGCTGCCAATCCCCGACCTATTGTTGCTCTCGCAAAACCCATAATCGGTCCTGCTCCCCCACCACCGTCACTGGAATTCCCTTCCATTTTCGATCCCTCCATGTTCTCGGGGATTGACCCGATTTACCCAGGCATCAACACAAGTTTCCCAACTACGACCTTTGCTCAAACTACTGCGTCAGCTGGTTTGCCTGCTTTCGCATTCCAGAGTCCTTTTGGTGGTGTAGACGAACTGGATGTGGGTTTTGGCTTTGAAGTACCACGGATGCTTCCTCTAAGAGAACAGTACCTCGACTCATTCTATCAGAATTTCCATGCAGCTCACCCTTTCGTACCACCCAAGGAGCCTCTTCTCGTCTTGGTACAGGATAACTCGTTGGAACCTCTTCTCGCAGCTATGCGCTGGGTTGGTTCTCTATACATCGAGCAAGCCACCTCTCATAGCCTCTTTAAAGACGCGTTCCGCCTAATAGACGGAAACCCTCTCAAAGATGGATTCTTGGTGCAGGCCAGATTGCTCCTCATTATTGGGCTCGACGGCAACCGCCAAAGAAAAAAGGTCAGAAAGCTCATGACTGAGGCGCGGGATATTTCTGTCCAAATCGGTATGAACACACATCTCTTTGCGACTGCCAACGGACGAGGAATGCCGATACTGGAAGAGAGCTGGCGGAGAACATGGTGGGAACTCTACGTGGTTGATGCTCTCATGTCAGGTGTGCATCAGACAAACAGCTTTGCTTTGTATGATGTCCCTACAGATGTTGCTCTGCCTTGCGAAGAGTACCAGTATCGCACAGGAGTAAGTCGCTTCCTAAAGCCTTGCTTTGACCGTATGCTGACAAAATCTAGCAAATACCTCCCCCCATGCACCCACAAGACATGGAATACATTGGCTTGTTCGATGGCACGCCCTTCTCGTCGTACACATACCGCATCCAATGTGCCTGCTTCCTGGGCACGCTCCAAAGAATGCCAACACAAGTCGACCACATTGACAAGCTCCTCGCCAACTGGAAGCTTCGTCTGCCAGCTTCGAAACATGACGCTCACTTTAATGGTGAGCTGGATGAGATGATGTTCCAGGCTCTCATGATGTGGCACGCCATCAACATCCTCCTACACCAACCTCATTCGCAACTGGATCCGTCCTCGACTTATTACATCAAGGCATGCCAACCCAACACGCCGGCTGTGTCTAGCGATGTTTTCAACCTGCACACAATACGTACGATTCGAGCTGCGAGGGAGCTCAGCAAGTTGATCACCTACCGTGTCTCCCTGTTCACACACACCCACTTTTTTGCCTACATGGTAACACTCTCATCTACAATCCATCTCAGCAAGTGGTCACTGGCGTTTGTGGCCCAAGACGATGAGGATCTACGTCAAAACATCCGTCTCAACATTGGAGCCCTCGTTAAATATGCCGAAATGTGGTCCGTGGCACAACACTTGGGGTCTCAAGTAAAACACATCGCAAAAGAAGTCTACATGATGAAGAAGCGACAAAAACAGCCACCAGAATGGGTAGGCTTGCTCCCACAGGAACAAATAGCTGCCAGTATTGGATTTTAGGCGCAAAAGGATGACTTGATAATTCACCTAGCACTATCAAAGCGATGATTGAATGGGTATTTTCCTGACCAGCCTTGAGCTCACTTCGCGGGCTTCTTCTTCTTGCGTAGTTTTTCTTCGCATTTGTGACATTGCTGTGGGTCGACGCTCTTTTGCTTGATTATGATGGCCAGTTTGCACTTGTTTGGGGTTTTGCTCTTGAGATGTTCGCACTCTTCTTCGTCTTGTTCGAAGGAGACGAGGTAGCTGCATACGATGCAGTAGAATCTTGTGATTGTTGTGGTGCACATGTTGGAGAGTGGCTGCGTCTAAAGGCGCGAGATGAAATACTGGAACTGTGTTTGATGGTTCTTTGCGCAGAGGAGAATGGGCGGAGATGCGAGAGTTGAAGATGAGCAAGGCTGCACCGTCAGCGAGAATATGTACTCGAACCCGCCCGTTACTCACAGTTAAAGATTCAAGGCACAGTCATGCACCCCAACCGCGGGAAGAAACCCTCACGAATAGCGAAACTTGATAAATGCAGTGAAGATGTGTGAGGACGCTGTCTCGCGGGAAGAACGTGTGATGTTTTGATGATCATGTGCTCCTGCCCACACTCTGTTGGTTGTACGAGTCGACTTGACTCGTGATACCGTAATGAGAAGGATCGACCTATCATTTGTCTGCCGATGATTTGACGGGAGGCATCGTTTCACGTCTTTTTTCTTGGACGACATGATTACGTGTCAAATGTCCACTTACACAAGGCTGACATCCATTCGTTTGTCAAATTGCCTATGACAAGGAATGAGTCCCTTGGCAGCAAGGAGGATAGTGCTAGATCCTCGACAATGAGTAGGACCAGAGGCGAAAGAGGCCTAACCACGACTGGCTTACAGTAGCTTGATTACCTCCCCATTAGATGAATGACTGTTAGGAGGTCTGCCAACGTCCTCACTCACAGACTTGGCGAGCTACGTTTTGTTAACGCAGGCGAATCTAGAAAGAGGCAAGACTGAAGCTTTCTCGTTTTATAAAATGGGATATAATTTCGCTGTTGGTGGATTAATAGAATTAAGACACACGTTGATTGTCTTATAGATGGTTGAGTGATGCTGGAACACATGCTCCGGGACAAAACTCGCGCATATTAAAATCCTTTTCTATTTCTATAGGGAAGCCCTTCGCTTTGAGCTGAGTCAATGCCAAGCCCAAACTGAGGAGGTTTGAATCAAGGCCAGGGTGGGCTGAGTTTGAGCCAAGCTTCGGCTGAGGTGTCTACGTGAGCCATTTTTGGGATCGCCGCCTGGCTCAAGGCCATGAATCTCCTCGGTCCGAGCCCGATTTGATGCCAGTTCCGAGACGTGTGAAAGTCAATTACTACCATTGGATGTGCCGCATTGGCCCTAAATAACCCTAAGAATCACGCACTTGGTCTGAATAACTAAATCTCGCACCTCATGCTCTGCCTCTACGTCATGCATGCACTTTATCAAAGCCATCTGGGAGCCTTTTATGATCGTCAAGCGTCTTCATGAACTGAACCGAGGGCGAGACGACATGGATCATTATTTATAGCTTGCTGATTGTCAAGGTTGAGGGCACGGAGCTTTGGGGGTTCGGTTGTCATTGGGACAGCCCCGGGTTATTTGGATCGCGTCATACCACAAATTTTTATTACCATCGCTTACCATGCGGATTGTCGGCGTTTATACAGCAAGATCTTATAAACCCGGGTCAGGAGTCCGAGCCGATTGAACCAGAGCAGGGCGTCCGCGAAATTGATCGTTACCGATATGCTAGCCTGCACCCTCCTGACTTAGTATGGTTAAGCCTGGCTTTGAGTCCTGAGATTGGCATTCTTTGGCTTCATTATGCTGCCATGCTGGAGCACGCTGAAGAGCTAGGAGACGAATATGGCCAGCAGCTTAACTATTTCAAAATATCATTGTTGAGATTGGGATTTAGACTGACTTGGGTGAAGCTCTGCAGATCATGGAACCTTTTCGAAACATTCAGATTGTCTATGTGTGGCTTAAAACTAACTGGCACAACGAGGATGATTTCCCACTGCTCACAAGGGAGGAAATACAGCAACGAGAAAGAGAGTTTCAAGAAAGGGATCGACGAGCACTCTCGAGACGAAACTGGGTTGTTAACTATATAGATGATGAGGGGAATATCTGTGGTGGATTTCAGCAAACGCTACCCTGCCTTGGAGGGACAGCTCGCAACAGAAACGAAAGCGGTGATAAGCACTGTGGCTATCTATTCAGTCAGCTATCCCACAAAGGGCCGAGCTTTGGATATAGCAAAGAACACAAGGAAATTGGGAATGCTTGAGGTTGATGTAGTGAAGGAAGCGGCGGACGAAAGTCAAGTGCCAAATCAGTATGAAGTTACCTAGAGCAGGGGAAGGAGAACGCAGTGCTATGGAGGGTGTCGTTATGCATAGACTCGCCGTACTAGCTCTGCCGTCGTGTCTCGGCTTTCCCTATCAAAAGTCACCATCGGCCCTGATGGTAACATCAATATTCCCGTTTGCCTTCATATTGAATGGTTGTGAAGGGCGGAATGGCGAAAACCTGGATCTTATTATTTCCAATTACCACAATCCATATATTGTAAAACTTGCCTAGAATCTAGTAACGCGAATTCGGTCCACTCCTCGAGATTTACTCCGTTGGCAGAGGCTAGACTGAACTGTCATAAACGAGATAGATGTGTGAGAGCCTTGTTGTATATTGAAGCGACGAGCTAACATCTAACCTTCGTTACAATTGGCCAGTGTCCGGGCCCTCTTGTGAGATAACCAAAGATCTGGGCACTGATATTCATTTGCTTCACTACCAAATTACCGGTCCCTCCTGCAAAGCGATACCCTCAAAGGTTGTTCGTGGTTCTGGAAGGATCGGTTGCACTGGAGAACCTTCACCTCAACTTCTAGTCGACATGGACCGACATTTGATACATAAAGAATAGAGAAATCTCGGCCAGATTATGAAAGCAAAGGTGTTGGGCGGTTAGTATCGGAAAACACATCACTCATGTTGCCACCACATCTTTACAAACGGCTGCATTGGGATCCACCTATTACGTCGACATCTGGGGTAACATGACTCGGAAACAACGACGAAACTATCACATTGTTTGTGACCCTTCGGCTTCATTTTACGCTTGCGCGGTGTGCTTGGGATGGCGTATCGTCATACTGAGTTGCTTGCTGTAGCGAAACTCACAATGCTAGTAGATGGTGAGTGCTGAAACTGGGAGAAATGCCTGCTGAAGAAAAAGAGTTCTGCTGATGACAAGACAGCCGAGGTCAACTGTTGAGGGGTAAGGGAGGTCAGCCATATAGGTGAATTGTAGGGTGATACCGATTTGATGCTTGCTGTCACTCCGGGTAAAGGTTGTTAGAGCCAGCGCATTCGACGCTGTCAAGTAACCTCTGCATGAAATTAATCAAGCAAGTGGCCGACCTGTAGGCAAGAGCGGCATCACTGTGCCTTCTGACTCTTGAAGACGTCATTGATGCCAACAACAAAGGCGGCATTCCTGAGGTGCCTAATTCCGGTCAAGATGCGGAGTAAGCTACGGAGTTTGCGTATGCGGTCCTTTGTTGCAGTTACCAAACAAAACATCGGTAGATGGGGCTAGGTAGCTGCCTGCTTCTCTAATACAGCTCTTTATTTACCTCTGTCACTCACCGAAAGTCGTAAACTGCGCTGGTGCCTGAGACGATGGTGTCTCTAACTGAAGATGCAGCTGACTACTGGTTAGTGATTACTTGACTTCTGGCGACCTCGTGGCAAGAGGTGATTGCTCAATATTTATTCAGGGTCATCAAAATGAGCGCGCGGCCAATCCTTGCAAGGTTAAGCTTGACTACTCCGAGCCCAGCCGGTTGTTCCGAAGCTTCGTGACTGGCGATACCCCGTTCGGCCGAACCGATAAGATCTGATAGTGACTCTTGATCATTGAGTCCGTGGTTGAGCGAGGCATCAGTCTTCTGACGAGATATATAGTAATTTCCGGAATATGAGAAATCACAAATGACGACGTTGTAATACCTGTGACAACGTCTCAATGACCTGCAGTGGCGCACGGCTGATTGCAGGAGGGGGCGCAAGGTGTATTAAGCATTCCCGTAGTGAAGCTGAGAGATTAGACAAGAGATTTGGCGGCCGGGTTTCTAAGCCGAGTTTCGCTAAAGCGGACTAGCGAGGAGCATGGCGAAGAAGCCGAGACAATGACCAAGGGAGGCGATGATGAGTTTCTTCTGACCAGATTAAAGGCGTCGGAGTAGATTATTTGGATGAATATGAGGATAAGCATTCGCCGGTCGCACTGCTCGGGACTGGTCAGCAAATACGAGCATCGTGGCTGGCTCTCGTCCTTTCGCTTTGACGCTTGGCAGACCTACCTTGCAGGGGCTGCGCTGGCCCCTCTTTCGGGGCGTGGCATGTCTTTCTACACAAGCTGAATTGTCACATCACATCATTCACCGTTAATCTTGGGGGGCTAGTCATGTGGGAGTCCTAGTTGAGAAGGTGGTTTGTTTGTTCCAGTGTCTGTACTCCGTACATCGACCGTGATTGCGATGCCTTCTTGATCTCCCTTGATGGAATAATCGACACAATAGACAAGGACAGTAAATTACAGCTTATGTGATATAATGACTAACGCGTAAAGAGAATCATTTTTCCTGGTTGCATCGTATCGCATCGCATCCGCCGAGAGCCGGCTAATATCGTCTCGTCTCGCTCGCCGCCGCGGGCATCTACGGAATAATTATGATCCACTTTTTGGCAGCACCTGGGGCTTGCCTTGGCTTGGGTCTTTCTTGTGCTTCCCTCCCGAAAGGTAGCTCAAAGTCAAGAAATTGAGAGACCAAGGTTTTTGACTGACGTTATCTTTCGTGTCCCTTGTCTGCCGTGGACGGAGTCGCCTCTACTATCGCGAGAGGATCCCTGAGGACTTCTACTCTGCCGGTACGTGTTGTCTTCCCCCTTGACCTCGTCCCCTGATGTGTTCTGTCTTCGTTGCTGGGGATGTGAACGTTTGAGTGACGACGCGTTGATGAAGCCAAATATTCCCCTCTCAAGGCAGCGACTGCGCATTGCAAACACTTGATCTCTTTTGTTTGACGCTGTCTCGGGCATGATGACAATCTCTTCTCATGCTTTTCATCACTTACCGAGCTTCCGACCGTCTTGTCATCATCACACACTTGGCAGAGGCAATTGATCACGCATCAAACGCTGCTTTGACGACGCAATTTGCATGATCTTTACTGACCCTCATCCAGATAAACTTGACTCTATTCATCAATCACACTCGCAAAATGCGTCTGACGAGATCTCGCAAGTCTCGGATAGACACCTCGCTGGCAAAAACCAGCCAAGAAGCACCCACACCCACGTCAGACCCAAGCGATAGCACCGACGCCTCATCACCCGTCATCGTCGTGCTCCCCAAGTCCCAAGAAGAATCTCCCACTCACGGTCCTGCGGATTCCTCGCTCGCCAAGCAGCCCATCGTCAACGGCAATCCCAAGCTCCGGCGGCGTGCCCGCGGCAGCGGCGGAACAAAGTCTGACAAAGATTCCTCCTCACTCAGCAGAGACCCCCTCTCCAAGAGACCACGTTCCATCCCCGCCAAGAGACGAGTTCCTGGACTTTTGCAGCGCATCAAGGATCGCGCTGATATTGAGATTTCTCGTGCAGAGGATGCACAAGAGCGCGCTGATTTGCAGATTAAATGGAAGAGAACCACGCCTACGCCTACGCCCAGTATAGGCGGCGAAGCGCACGACAAGATCAAAGACACGCAGACCTGGCCTGATCAGGTGGCTCTCCAGATAAGACCGAGGGAGGATGCGGCGTACAACGGAGACGTGGTGTATCAGCGGAAATCACATGGTCCGCTGCTCGGAAAGCTGGCATCACAGGGTTCCGTCATAACGATTGACGGAGAAGACTACGTCGAGTATCGGGTACTGGCGAAGCTGCGAGCTGTTTAAGTGAAAGAGGGAGTCGGGGTGTTTATGTCTACGATCGCTTTTGCCAGCAGCACTGCTTTTACATGTGTTTTAGAGGCTAGCAAGAACATAATCTAGCCAAAAGATTGATTTCATTGTTCTAATATCTGGAGAATTGGCTGTGACACCATGGGATATTACTAGCAAAGTTATTCTCTCAAGCGCTGATTTCTCAACCATTGTGGTCGCTAGGTTTCAAGCCCCGTTCACCGCCACTCTGGAGCGCCCGAGGACATGTGCTTAGGTAGACTCAGCTTTAGTTCACAAGGCGGCTGGTTGACTTTGACTTGCGAGGGCTTTATATAATATTAGTTGATTCTTTTATTATTTGTATTGTTAACAGTGCAAAGTCTGGTATTGGATGTAAAGGAGTTATACCTTGTCAAGGTAGAAGATGTCTGGGTTCGCATGAATGCATTTCAGTAGGTAGGTGACAGAGATGATATGGTATCTTGAACTTTTGCCTAAAACTCAGTTAATATCGGCGGTCACTTCATAGGCAGTTATGTTTTCTTTGTCTTGAATGTCTCCTGACCCTTGATCCTCACGTTCTCCATGCTTGCCTGGCCTTGTGGTTCAGCTCAAGTTTGCTACCCTTTCATTGTCACCAGGGCAACAATAACTGTGACAATATTGCTACCTGCATATGCCACATGGAATCACTGTCTCTCAAAACTTGATGGATTTCCTTGGACTATTCGCAGACCTGGCTAGCAAACAGTGTTGTCACCTTGCTCCACAGCTCAGAGTGAATACTCTCCTAGCCAACTATCCGTGTTTAAAACATCCCTCAAAGGTATATTAACTCCCCCCTTCGATTCTGGTACTAGAGAATTTGCTATCCTATCTATGGTCTCCGGAACACAGGAAAATATCTCAACCAACAGCACCGGCCCCACTCCCGGGTTTGACCCCACCAGTTCAAGTCCGTGACTTTTCAGTGTTTTCACTTCAGCAACTGCGTGGTGGCAGTGGACCGTACTCATCCTCGCTGTCATAAACATACCCTCCAAAGCAATGATAGATTAAGAAAAGACTAGTCGTAATCCGATAAGGGCCTATTCGATAGAATCGTCTTCTATTCTGTTGCATGCGCTCGGACGGAGATGCGTGTGAACCAGGACCCGAGACTAGGTTCTAGTTGTGGCGCTAGGCCGGTGCTGAGGATGTGTTGAAACTGGGCAATGTATGGCAAGTCGCTGAAATCGGAGGCATCAATTTTTAATTTGCATTGGACTCACTAGTTTAACCAGTTGCTAGTGTTCCTGACAAACCAATCATCAAATTCTTCAGTGGTATGTCGAACCTTGGGCAAACTCTCTTCGCGGTTTGCGTCGATGAACAAAGCCAGGGACTGGAGGCGATATATTGTGCATCTGCTTCGAATCTTATATACTATCGATATTTATTTCTTATTCCTGCTATGAACCTCATTGCTGATGGCCATATCCGACATGAAGTGGAACGAATCAACGTGGGTATGCCGTGCGTCGGGCGGCGGGTCAAGTCCGGACACGGTCGGAGAGGCTTGAGGCTTGTGACAAGATGCCTCCCTTTCGGGGATGGCGAATCCTGGCTTTGTTTGAGCCTCGATGGTGATCAAAGAGTGCCACGGGGGCCTCCAAAGAAAGATGGAGAGCGGCGATGGCAGAGTTGGGTGCATTATTGAGCAAGAAAGGAGGAGTGCGGCTAGGATTAGGTGAAGATGAAAAAAACAGGTGCAAAAAAGGTCACTATTAGCATCGGGCCATGATGTTATGATGTGTTGATGATGTGTTCTTGATTATAGTTGAAGCTCTGGCTTTGAGAGATAACTGAGCCAGAAGAAAGAACCATCTCAAAATAACAGCGACATGTGCTTCCTGCCGGCGATCAACGGATCAAATCAGATATTCATCTCCGAGTTGAAAACCTTGCACCACCTAAAGACCAGAAATAATATCCTGAAAAGCCTTTTCCCCAATCATAAACGTAGACAGCGAAGGCACAGCACCAGGCTGGACAGGAAAAGCAGACCCATCCACAACTCGCAGGTTTCGCACACCCCTGACTCGGAACTTGGAGTCCAAAACAGCCATGGGATCGTCGTCTGATCCGATAGCGCAGCTTCCAGAGGCATGATGAGATTGACCTTGAGCACGGAGGTAACCCTTTTGCCAATCATTAGTACATTCGACACCAGGAGCGCAGGGTCGCAGTTCGGTAAAGGTGTTGTCGGTTAGGTTATTGAACAAGGGTCTGACAAAGTTTATACCCTCGACCATTGATTCCAAATCACCGTCATTTCCTTCTGAGAAGAAACCGAGATGGATGTCAGGCACGTCTCTGGGGTTTGCGGATCGAAGCTTGACGGTGCCGTTGACGTTTCGTGGGTGAAGCTGCATCAGGCCACACTCGAATTCGTTCCTGTTCCAACCTGGCATGCCGGGCCAGAAACCGATAAAGTTCATACTCCCGCAGTAGAATTGGAGATCACGACCGCGAAGTGCCAGGGCTGTTTTGTAGAAAAAGTCAAAGTAGCCAGTGACGGGTTTGGCAAAGGTTCCGTATAGAACGGCCTCGTAGTTGTCGTTGACGTTGGTGCCGACACCTGGAAGATGCCTCACAACGGGGATACCAAACTTTTTCAACTCGGCTGCTGGCCCGATGCCGCTCAGCTTGAGGATTTGAGGTGAGTTAAAGACACCTCCAGCGATGATGACTTCCCGGGTAGCAAAGGCTTGACCTTTGACGCCCTTGGACTGCGGATTGTGGCGTGGGTCAGCTGCGTAGAGACTCTGACCTTGCAGAAACTCAACGCCAATGGCTTTTGGCTGCTTGTTCTTAACATGTGTGTCCGAGAAGAGAACTTTGGTAACGAGAGTATGTGTTTGAACGGTGAGGGGATATCGCCTAGCATCTGCTAGAGTGTCACGGATGTAGTTCAACGGACTTGACCGCACACCATTTCTGGAACTAGTGTGCGGGGTGATGACACCAACAAACTCGTCCCTATTGGGGTCGTTGGAATTTATGTCACGGCCAAGCAGCTCGTACAGTGACTTTCCCGTCTCGAGTCCTCCAAGGGAGTTGGAAAAGTAGGAAGCAAGAGTTGTGAGGTCCGATCGGTTGAGGGCCCAGTCGTGATTTGCTTGAGAAGTGTCGAGATAACCAGTGAATCCGTGAGATGGGTCGCTTCCATTGCGAATGTAGTTGCATCTTTCCAGTCGAATAAAGTGCTTCCGCATGTTTTCGACAGACCAGCCTTCGTCGCCGGTGATTGCGACAATATCTCTCCAATCTGCATCAGCAGGCAGCGCAAGAGAGGCGGCATTGTGCATGGCGCAACCACCAATGGTTCCAGCGCGAGGGTAGTAGATGCCTAAACGTTTGGCACCTGGAGGGGGATCCAAGCCGACGTAGAACTCGCCATTGGTCTGTCGCCAGGTTGTGAATTCGTACTGAGCGTCGATCTCGGGTGTATCTCGAGAGACGAAAAAGTCCCACCTGGTGAGGGGGTCGTTGATGGCGGGTGTGTTGTTGTAAACCATGTGAGAATTCTCATTGCCAAACTGATCGTCGCCGGCGTCAATAAGGAGGACAGAATGACCACTCCGCGCGAGGTTAGCCGCAAGAGGACCGCCACCAGGTCCAGATCCTACGACAATGTATTCGTATGACTTTGGCTTTTCTTTGGAGGCTTGAGCTAGAGCAACAAGGCCCAGAAGGGCAGTGGAAAGGTGCATGTTGCAAGTTTTGTAACTTGTAGACGTGAAAGATGTTGCCTAGTAAATGATATAACAACGGACTGTGGCAGGACTCACAGAACTGGCTGTTGGTCGTAGTATATATACTGCTCCTCTCTTCTCCTGAAACGGAACCTTCGGAGTTGGCTCTTTTACTGTGTATGTGAAAAGATCGGGCATCGGATATTGGCATGCTTTGGACGCGTTTGCTGGCGTCATCTGCCGGCGCAAGTTGCTTGATCTTGACCATGCAAGGGTTGATCGCTCAGTCTCTCATGTGACTACGCCGCCTTGGTAGGTCCTATACGGCGCATTGCAAAAGTCTAAAACCCCGAGCAAGATCTTGGTGCTCGTTGACTGGGTTCCGACTTGCGCGGCAGATGACAATGTCCCACATCCCACATCCCACATCGCTCGAGCAAGTCTGATGAGGCACGGCTGGGAGCGCTTTTAACTGGATGATCGCATGAATGATATTAATGTAACTAACTGGATAAAGGCAATGGTCTATCCCGGACTTAGGAAGACCTTAACTCCATCACCGGCATCTCGTTTGACTTTTCCGCAGTTCGAGTATTCACACCATTGCTCCCCTTCGTCAATGACGTCTCAAGAAGAGGCCATCAGCCATAGCAACAAAAGACAAAGCTCACCTGTTCTCACCAGGCATGATGCCTTAGCTCATTAGTACAAGATACCAGGCGTTAATGTTCCGATGGGCTCTTCCAGACCAAGAGCTAGCTTGGGTTTCTCTCCGCCCTGGGACTGCAACTCATACCCGCCCTCTGGCCCGACCAACTGCACCCCTTCCTGCGAGGTATATTTCTGCTGCGTTGCATTGTTTATATCGGCTCGAACTGGGCCTGCCGCAGACTTGATCTCGCCATAACCTCTTGGAGACGTCATTGATACCACCAACTGTAGCAAGAAAAGGTCACCTTTGTAGATATTAAAAACGTCATTTACTTCCGGTGACTGAGGCCCCAGATAGTATTTCGTGTTAGGAATACCTTGGAGCCGGTATACTCTATCAAGTTCAATGATACCTATATGTGATAATATCCGTAGCATAACTACCTCCTAAGATCGGGCCAGGATGCAATCGCCAGCCCTCTCACTTCAGCAAGAATCCACCCTCGACATGGATAACCTGCCCAGTGATGGAACCACTCTTCATGATCCCCAAATACATCTCGGCAACATCCTCCGGGCTACCAATCCGATCAAGCAACGTCTTCTTCGCAAAAATATCCGCAACATCCACGCCTCCTGCGTTTTGGACCATATTTTCGAACAGTTCTGTCCGTATCGCCCCTGGAGACACCATGTTCACCCTGATGGGCTTCAAATCCACAGCGAGCCCCAAGGCCATAGAGCCCATGCCGCCTGCAGTAGCTGCTGTTACGCTGTACCCTTCCATAGGCCTGTAATAGGCTACACCGCCGGTAAAAGTGATGGATGAGGTGTGGGCCTTGCTCATGTAGTCCTGTGCTATCTTGCACAGCAACAATGTCCCGGCGATTCTCATCTTGCCGGCATCAAGTACGTTTTCCTCGGTCGCGTTTTCCAAAGTGATACCAGTTGCTCCTGTACCGGCAGTGCTCACAATGTGATCAAGCGTCTCCTGACCGCTAGCCGTCGCAAACTCGAGGAGCTCGGTGACACTAGCCTCGATGTCATTTTTCAGATCAACCACATGTCCGCGGACACGATCTTTAGCATCTGGGTATGCTGATATAAGGCGGCTAAGGGCATCGTCGAGCTTGGACTGGCTGCGGCCGGCGATGACAACGCTGGCACCGTACTCGAGGCAAGCTTCTGCGACGGCGAAACCGATGCCAGAGGTACCACCGACGATGAGGATCGACTTGTCGTGCAGTTTGGATAGGTACTTGGAGGTTGATGCCATTGTGAAGGATAGTCCGAAGTCTTTAGGCGTTATGAGAGAATGGCTGTGAGACGAAGAACCGGAAGATTGAGTGAACACGGCTCAAGTTAAAGTGTAGGAAGAAGATGAATGAGCACAAGGTATTTGAAGACAACTTTTACATGAAATTTATAGTGCAACCGTTCGGAGCAAGTCCACCTAAAGGACCCAAGGGCCTTCTCAAAGTCCGCCGAAAGTCCGCTCAAACAAGTTCTGCCATGGGCTGACGATATGGCAATGGCTTGGAACAATTTGCCCACATAAAAAGCCACTTCCCGAGTGCTAGAATATCAAGTTTTAGCGAGCGAAAAACTGATCATGGAATCATCGGATTATACTACGTTTCCTAGAGGGTTTGATGATCACTAAGCACACGTTTGCTGCAGTGGAACTTGTGATGCTCTTTTTGGGGTTGGCATTAGGGTCGGGCTTCTCTTTGTCCCCGAGGAACCGAGATCCAAGCACTGGCTTGGACGGAGATAATTGGCCTTAATGCCGAAGCGTCAAGAATTGTGTTTTTGGTACTGTGGCCGATGACTTCTTTTGGAAGCGTCACCGAGTTCACAATTAGATGAAGGTAGGACAAGGGCAGCTTTGAAGAGGTTGGAAATATCACTCTCGACTGATTGTGGAGATGTTGTCAGACTGAACGCCAGATCCGCTAGAAGTTAATGATATTGACCGCTTATTTTCTAAATTCACAGAAGAGTGCCGTTTTCACTCTGGTTTTTATCATGCGGGTGTCTGAAAGAGGCCATTCTCGAGATTTTATTTTGACTTTGCTTAAATCTGGAGTCTCATGGCAGGGGAATCTTGACTGCTCCGATCTGCACCATCAACCCAAACATATCAGGCAAGCCGTATTCCTCCACAATTTTCCCATTAACAATCTTGTACAGATTCATAGCCGTCATTTGAATCGCCTTTCCAGAAGGAGGCGTGCCAAGAAAAGGGCCATTGTGTGTCCCACGCGTTGTGAATCTTGCGACCACCTTATTTCCTTCACAGACTATCTCCTCCACCGTCCACTGGATGTCGGGAAAGGCTCCTCGCATCATGCCCAAGATCTGCATGTATCCATCGAGGCCTTTCAGTGGTTTGCTGTCGAACGGGACATGGAATTCGGCGGATTCGTCAATGATTTGTTCGCCGAGGGTGCGATCTCCGGAGTTGATGAACTCGACGAAGCGGTCGAAGGTTTTTTTGGTAGACATGATTAAGTGGTTGGCGGGTAATGATGATGGAAGACTGGTTGTGCTGGAGTTGAGAGAGCGGGAGGGACCTGGTATTGATCTTATATTGTAGGGGAATACGAGCTCACCACATGCGCATGTGTCATGACCTTCGGCCCGACTTGTGATACTTTCTCTCCATATTCATATTATTCGTGTGTAGTGCTTTATCTTTGAAACTACAGTGCGATGGCCATTCATGGAGAGGTGAACTTGACCACCCACCACACGTTGTAGATGCATTAGATGGACTTTATCAGTTAACTGTAGACCAAGATTTGCGGCAGGATCCTTGAGAGCTGGATTTCATAGAAGTTTCGCGTCATTTGTCCGATTATTTCTTTGGCTTTCATGGAGAGCAGAATCCATAGTAGGGCGCGCGGATGCCGATCTCGCAGGGCGCTATTCCCTCCTCAAGTTACTCCGTCTTCAAATATCAAGGAACCACGGTGGCAACCCAACGCCGAAAACCGGACGAGTCAGTGCGTAAGGCGTAGGGCGTAAACTCTCTCTCAGCCCTCTCCACTGCAATTTTCACCCTAGCCGAGACGCTGAGATATAAACGCACACGGATCACGTTCACTGATGTTTCTGCCCCAAAATCTGTTTATTGTCTGTCTTGGTTTGCAATATGCTGCGCTGCAATTAGCAGTGGCGGTCAGTGACCCAGACCCACTCGGGAAACAATGCTCGCCTGCTGGAACAGTTGCGAGCAATGCTCACTAGTCTATGTCATTCACTGCAATTTTAAACCCAGCTGAGAAAATGAGATATGAACGCACACGGATCCAATTCGCTGGTATTTCTGTGCCAAGGCTTATCCTAGGCCATGTCCTTGACGATCATCAGGTCACCGAGTTGAGATGCAAGGGTCGTGGCCGTCTGTAGGAGCAAGCTAAGTCTAATAAGGAAACCTGTTCGTTTTCCGTGCTCAGCCCGAACACGGTTACCTATTTCAGCTTTCACTGCAGTTTTAATCCAACACGAGTCGTCAGTCTCACCGACGGGTCGGTCCATTACTCGAGTGCTGTGCAGGACAGGGTCTTACCGTAGCTTGTGGTGGAGATCAAAATCATTGACAGTGGATAGCAGTATCGTTTCATTGCAGTAAAAGAATATGGATAAATATGTAATTGCCAGAAGAACTGTGAATTTTCTACGTGGCCTCTATTCTCGATCCATGCGGAAGAACTCAGTGAACTAATGCCTGGTTCTCCTTGTTACTCAACAATCACCCACTACTACACTCTCCTAAGGCATCTCACCCTTCAGGATTAGCCCGTTTGTCATGGCCGCTAGAATGTCACAAAACAAAGACTCCTGGGCGTGTCTCTCAAGCTCTAGAGATTGCTCAGCCTCCAACAGCTGTCTCTCAAGTCTGAACCAGACATGCCAGCCGCAGAAGTCAGTGTCGTTGTCTTGGATCCTCTGAAAGGAATCATCGATCACAAAGGCATTATCCCCAATGTTTTCAGCCCAGGCCTCAAACTCCTTCGACACGGCGTTGTGCTGACGGGTCATGCCTAGCTCCAGCTCGCTGATGCGCGTCTCGACGAGCTTAATCCTGTCGCGAATCGCCTTCTCACACTCAAGGAACCACTTGTAGCGATCTTGAGTGATCAACCTTGTCAGTTCCTGGATCTCAGTGGCGGCAATGGATACATGATCCTCCTGGGTCTTGGGACCGAGGACGGCGCCAGGTGCCACCTGATGATGGAAGCTGAAGTTGGGAGGATAGGGGGCAAAGGTGCCAATGTGCAAGAAAGCCCATCTTTTCCCAAGTCTTTTGGCGAGTCCCAGCTGACAAGGGGCACGGCAGTTCGTATCGAGCCTGCCGGTCTCGTTCAGATATTTGAGCTCATCCCTGATCATATAGATTGTCTCGGTCAGCTCATCGTCATGTGCTTGCTTCCGGTGCTTTGGCGGGCGGCTCAGTCGCGGGAGCACGACGATGGGGAGGGGTTGACCTACGTTCAGGAGTACAAACTGCGCTCTGAGAGATAATTCGCGGTCATAGTCCTGGTCAAAGACGCACGGGAGTTGTGATTTGTCGAAAACGAACTCGCGGTTCTGGGCTGCCATGATGGTTGAGTGTTAACAATCTTGGCTCAAGAGAAAAGGTAGGTGCGGCAACAACAGGTCAAAAAGTGACAAATGGTTGGTTCTTCCAAATTCGAGGTGGTGTGTGGAAGTGTTAACATGGTCTTAGGGGTCTGGCCTTTTATAGAAGAGAAGGTTGTCAGGGTTTGGTTGACAGCGCGGCTACTCTCATGAAATAACCGTGATCGTTCGCATGTTCGGTGATGGAGTATTAAACTACTCACTATTCGAACATTCCTCATAATTTTAGATTAGAACTGATCCACTCAAGAAAAATGTGACAAGACGCGGGTTCGTAACTGTGCAGCTTTTGGCCATGGCCGAACAAAGGAACAATGACGTGGCGGCCAGCAACAACTCATGGTAACTCCTTTCAGGGACAGCCAAGTGTTTTGTTCGTGAATAAGGTGAACGTGATGCATCATAGTTTGATCCACCAAATACCATAAATGAACATCACATCTTATCTTGGATGATGCTCGATGTGCTGCCTTTACCTTGCCGGCTCCCTTTCCAATCGCACTTCCAACACCTTTCACAATGGATGGTTCCGAGGCTGCCTCTACTGAAACCACCTGAGAGCCTACCAATAACAACGTCGGTTGAAACCTTGACGGCACTGAGATCCAAGTCCTTGCTATTGATCTTGTTCTAAATCTGACCTACATCTCCAACAACAGCTCCAGCAGCGCCTCCGACGAAGAAGCCGCCGCTGGCACCAACAGTTGACATGGAGTTGCTTGTGTTGGAGGTTAGAGATTTTTGCGAGCTTGTTTTGTCGCTGACAAGGAACTGGATGCCTGCCGTCGCGTGGCTGACGATAGGGATAGAGCCCATGACATCGAGGACGCCTTTCCAGAAACCGATAGTGGTGGCTGTTCAAAGGTTTTGGTCCAGGAACGGCGCCTGAAACGTTGGTCGGAGAACCGGCGAAAGGACAAAGAATGAGACAAGGGCTTGTGAGTTAGAGTTATGATCGAGTAGCAAGAAATGTGAAGAGTCAAGGTAGATTATATACTCTTTAGGGACAGTCTCAATCCACGCCTGTATCTCAACCAAGGCGTTTATCGAGGTAAGAGTAGATATAAATGATATGATACCAGCTAAAGTCCAATCTGGCTATGGGCCGTGAAATAGCGCAGAAATGCCAACCACTAACAACTGCTGCCCGGCCTGTCCCTCACGGCGGCCTCTTCGCACCAAATTAAATCAGCGGCGTCTAGCTAGGCCAACATCTCATTCAGGAAGTCTCAAGCATCCACTCTCTAATGACAAAGATCAATTAGGACTTTATAGCTTGCCACTCGTCCGAAATAAGCATCAAATAAAGACCCAGTCGTACCGCGGACCTGGTTTCTTTAGCCTTGTGGGGAGCCCAGATCGGTCTAAACCTCAGCTAGCACGGCTCAGCCCATCACTTTATCCACACTTGCCGGTGGCATACGTGAATAATTTATCACAATCTACTGTGAAAACTGCAATAGGGAATGATCGAAATGCTATCAAGTTAGAACCCAGCCCACCGCCGCCCTCAGCCCTGGGTCTTCCCCCAATGAAAGTAACCTGACTGCTAGGCTCGGGAACGACGTCCTTCAAGTCTTTGGTTAAGTCCGCACCATAGATAGTTTCACGCCTCAATAGGTGGTATACCTCTTCTTCATGTTTAGATGATCTTCAAAACCCGTTGCTTGGCGCCATTAAACCACCGAGTGAAGCCGTTGCTTCGAGGCTCCGAGTTGCAATGCACAGTCCCCACGCGCTCGCAAACAAGGGGCTCTCTAGCTTCCACAACTCTGACAATGATAATAGCTCGGCTTCCCACCAGCAGGGCAAGATACTCTGCGTCGTTGACAGGAATCAACTTTCCAGGCGGACGGTCAGGCCACTCCACCCTGGGAATAATTCCACACCAGAAATCGGCTTTCGGCGTGGGTTGGACGTAATCGGGCCGGTAAGCGCCAAGCCATGTGTACTTGCCACTTGCTAGGTCCTGACCCTCCAAGGTGATGGTCCAGCATTTGCCGTTGAAGAAAAACTCCTGGGTCAGGCGGACTGGGATAGTCTTGGCTCTGAGGACCAGTTCCGCCGAGGTGATCATTCCTAGCTCATCAGATCCCGCTAGAGAGCAATGGACGCTGAGGATCTTGGCAAGAAAAATACCTTGCTCACCGAAGCGAACTTTGTTAGAGACACTTGCCCATGACCAGGTTGGTGCAACGTAGTTCGATGTAGTCGATATGCGACCGCCATCTGTACTGCAGGCATACCAAAAGAGATCAGCCCGGAGGAAGTTGGACCAGAACCCTGCAAGGTAAGTTCCCATGTCCATCTCGTTAAACATCCGCTCCTCGTCTTTGTTAATCGACGGTCGAACAGGCCCGATCCTGTTCGAGACTTGGAATTGTCGTGCTAGAGCTGAGAGAGCAGGGAGCCGGTCGGACCAGAACGACAGTCGGCGCCCACTGTACCCTTGAACTATATTTCGCCAGAAATCGTGCTTTTCTCCCTCTGTACAAGTCACATATGGCAGGGTTTTGAGGAAGATGTTATCATCATAGCTTTCAACCTCAGGCCCGCGGAAGCCACATTGACACTCGACACCACCAAGACAGTCGTAGGAGACTTCATCAACGGAAAAATGCACGATCCGTCGGGCAAGTTGCTCTTCCTGGTAGCACCATGCTCTTGTTGATAGAGGGAAGATGCGGGTTCGGTCCAAACGAAGGTTCAATATGGTCTTTAGGGTGTGGGTATAATGTGTAAGATCGTAAGACGCCTTGACGGAGCAGCCTTGCCAAAGGACAGGCGATGGCGATATGGCTACAGACCGGGGCCTCGCCATATTGCACGATCGGAATAGGCCCACGTTGGTGTCGGGGGATGCGTCCGCACTAAGCATCAAGTCGCAGTGCGAGTAGACTTGGTGCATCATGCTGGACTCGGCCTGCCAATCCGCAGACGAGTCCTGAAGAATGCACAGTGCGTCAATCCAGATGTATTCGAACCCAAGCCGCTCCGTCACGGCAACAGCGTCGCGGAAGGTCTGCGGAAGCTCCGCCCAGGGAATCCCAGAAGGTGATAGTCGAGAATCGATGTTTAATGTCGTGGTCTTGGCGTAGGACGGGAACTCGAGGCCCCAGCAGTGACTGAGTGTGACATAGGGCTGACGAGAGGTCCCTGTAACGAGGTGAACGGAATATTTACCACCGACAACCTGCACGTGGACGAGCCTTGTAGGCATGAATGAGGCCAACCTAGGTGCGCATGCGTTCGTGTCGATACAAATTTTCAAAGCTCTAGACGCAAAAGCTAGCTGTGTTCGGGGTTCGGCATAGACCTTTCGCTTCTTGGCCCGAAGCGCTTGGCAGGGGGAGAAGGACGCTGATGGCACAGTCTGGGTAAATTTCACTCCCCAGTACTCCAATAGGATGATGTTGCGTACCTATATTGCCGTCGATGAAGAGTATCACCGGTGGCTCTGTTAGACAAGCTCCATCGACATTAGTCCACCTCAGATATAGCCCATCCTTGTCGCGACTGATATGTAACCCTCTTTTACTCCCCAGCGGCACGGTGGGATCCCAGGATGGCATGGATGAGATGCTGGCATAGAGGACCGCGCAGAACCAACATGCCGACTCGGACGCTGCGCGGAGCTCGTCGAGTGTCGTTTGGATATGAACAGGAGAATCCAAAAATGTGTCCACTCCGGTTATCTGGTTTGTGGGCGCTTCGTTCATAACGGTTGATCCGTCCTTCCTTTCATGGCTACATGCTCTCCCCGGACCTGCACACCGCACATGAAAGGGAGCGCACAGGCAGTCTCTGAGCCAGTGGTTCTCGGGAGTCACTTCTCGCCCTTCGCACTGCAGTTGATCTTCATGATTTGGGGCATCCCGGGAAGGCTGTCCAAGGTACTGGCGAACCTCATTATCGGTGAAGCATCCAGGATACTCGCGCGCCGCTACAAGGTCCTTGTCTTCCATGGCGGTGATTCACGCCTCATCCAGTGAGTCTGGATGGTTTTAAGATGAACGGTGGTTGCGATGTGAAAGTTGGATGCCTCCAATGAGGGATTTTGAACTGTTAGTGCCCAATCCCAAGCCACAGAACTCAAGGACTTGATGTGATTGGGCTTGCTCCTCAGGCTGACGCCTTGCATAGCGTCAACCCGCCGAGACATCCCGAAACAGGATTATTCGCAGAACAGAGAGAGCATAGACAAGATCCCGAGTAGCTTAATAGTTAAAATGTTTCCTGATGCGGGTCAATAAGGGGCTGAGGCTTGTTAGGTTACGTCTCGCCTGTGTTCCGTCTTACATGAAACTACAGCGAACCCCTGTGGTTCTCATCGACTGTTATTAGAGCCCAAGAAAATTTCTCCAAGACAAGGTGCAGTGTCACCTTGGGCTGGGCCTCTCAACAGCCCTCACTTGGCGGACCAACTACTTAGTCACGGTGCAACATGATTACCTACTTCAGAGTGATATACAAGGGTTAAACAATAGGAAAATGCTTCATGTTATGCCTAGATGCATGCGTTATTAAACGTACAGGAGACGCGATCTTCACACACATTGAGAGGTCGCAAGATGACATTGCTCTACATCAGGAGAGGAACGAGTGCCACGAGGCCAACAGCGAGGGTCGGGAGATGAAGGGGAGCATCATTGCTCTTGTCTCCCTCCTTGGACTCGCTGGCCTCCTCGTCGCTATCCTTATCATCACCACTCTTACTGTCCTCATCCTTGTTGGAGCTCTCCTTCTCGTCACTACCATTGCCCTTCCCACTACTACTACTACCAGTGCTTCTGCTTCCATTTGCTTCTGTGGCCGTCTGAGCGCCGGCACTGCTTTGTGCTCCGTCCTCATACTCGCTCAGATCGCATTCCCCGTTCGACGTGCATTTGCCCAACTTGCACCAGCCGCCGCCATTATCACAGCACATTCCAGTCGGTGGGATGCAGAGTATGCCGCAAGGGGTATAACCATCCTGACACCCGTCACCATCCGAGTCACCGTCGTCGCCGCTATCGTCATCGCCATATCCACCCCCGGAACCGTTGTCGCCGCCGGGGTAGTTACCGGCCTTGCTGTCCTTGCAGCCGCCGAGAGGGTCGCATAGGGTCTCGCAGTAGGATCCGTCGCCAAGGCGGCAGCAGTCGTAGTTGTAGGGGATGCAAGTTCCGTCGCAGTCTATCTCTACAGCACCGCCGCCGTTGCAACCGGTTTGTCGTTCGTAGAGGTCGGAACTGTTTGCCACAGGTCGTGGTGGTTGGAGGTAGCCAAAGTTTTTTGAATTACTGAGGCTGGCAAGAGCTAGAACGACGATAGAATGAAGAATCATTGTCAATAAGTTGAGATGAGAGCAGGAGCTTGTGTTCGGGATGGCGTAACTTGACTAGCAAGCAGTCAACGCCATCGAAGGCACTGACATCCGTCATATATACGCTTAAAAGAAGCTCATGAGACCCAAAAAAAAACACATCAACTTAAAAATCAGCCGTTTCGTTTCAGGAAGCGTAAAAGGCCAGGATTCCAAGTCAGTGGACCCCCGGTTTTTTATTCAGGGGCGCAGCACAGGTCCATTGTCGATCGGCGACCAACACATCTCCACAGCGCAGCTGACTTGGGTTGGAAGCGAGCGAGATTGCCTCGAATCCTTCGCTTGTGAAAGGCGGCTGGAGAGCCTGATGGGTTGTTGCTGGTCTGGTAGGTCATCTTTGAAGTGGTACAGCTGGGATAAAAACATGCTGGGGGCTCAAATAACTGTATTCTTTGTTATTGTTGTCGATGGTCTCTTGGAAACGTTAAGCTCCGTGTAGCATTGTCAGTGTGTCCCGTCGGCGTTAAGGATGATTCTCAGGCCCTTCTGAGCCGATCTTTAGCTTCACCAGTTACCGGAGCCGTAGTGCATCAACTAACCAGTTGGGTATCCTTACATGAAGGGGGTGAAGCAGGGCGACATTATCGATATTTTGCAAATAGATTCATCATATGATCGTCGCTGGGTTGTGTCCGCCTTGAAACAACACAACTAGAAGCCATGACTAACTGCATCTCAAAGCCTCATGAACCCCGGACTCTCAAGACGCCCGGCTACAGTGAGAGCCCCCACTGAGGCTCGATGTCTCTGAAAGGAACTTTTGCGAGACTGGAAATTGTCGGTAATAAAGTCTTGGAATCTGCCTGCCAAGACTCCAGGCAACTGTTTTGAAGCCCAGTCGTCTCTGTTGGTCGTGCTTCGGTTAAGCGAGCAACACTGACGGTCTTGGCAGTGTGGATATGATCGACCGAGGAAACCATCCAACTGGCTTGTCTGGGGAATGCCAAGAGCGTCATTTCCCAGTGCGCTATTCCCGGGTGATCAGATGCCGCCTCGGCGATTCCGATGGACGCCGCCGACGCAAAGATTGGAATTGCAATGGCCGTCGGAGAGTTTAAGAGGCCGAGGGTAGTGAATTCGTCCGAGCCTCATCAAGGCTTTGTTGTAAGCGTGGACAGATTCTCTCTGTACCGTCTAACCTCGGGACCCATGCCGGCAACCTGATCCTTAACTAAACTTGAGCCTCAACAAGACAGGAAGATATATATGATTCATCAGACCAGAAGGGAACTTGAGAATAACAATTTCATTCCTCTAGAAGGGACGTGAACAATATGTTATTCGAAGTAGAAAGGAGCAAAAAGTCCCAGCCAAGCGAATAAGGAGGGAGGCCTAGGGTAGGCCATTAGAGGATGCTGACATTACCTCGTGGGCAAAAGTGTACCCATAGCTAAGTCACTTAGGACGACGCAGGCCGCAGAACAAGGACCAAGGACAAAAAGAAATGATGAGACTGGGACTCGAACCCAGGAGGATTGCTCCATCAGGAATCTTAGGTTGTTAAGGTGACCTTAACCTGACGCCATAACCAACTCGGCCATCTCACCCGGTAGTCCTTGGAGGGGACCCGCTTGTCGATGTCCGGCGGTGGAGATTCTGTCTAGATGAAGGCCGTAGCGCTGGATCCATGGCTTTACCAAAAGATGAATTACGGTATCCTGTGGTAAGGATATTGTCCCTTTGAGCTGAATTTAAAGGGAATGCGTGGTTCAAGTTGTGATAGGAAGGGAACAGTTCTATTTGAGTGGTGTGGTGTATCTTTACTCCCTTAGCCACGGATCCTGAAGCAGTTCCTTCGCCGTTGGCCTTTCCTCCGGGACCCATGTCAGCACTCTCCGAAGAAATGCAATGAAACGCGAGGGGTCTTTAAGTCTTGTTTCGAGCTCCTCCAACGTTCGATTTGGTGGAATAGGTGCCAGACCTAGCCAGTTTCCTAGATGCAGCCATTTAGCTCTAAGCAGAGGCCAGTTGGGGGAGACTGAAACGTACCATTCTTATCCCAAAAATCAGCAGCTCTCTCAGGGTTTCGTCGCAAGAATTCCAAGGGAGGCGGTCCCAGGGCTGCAATTAGTTGAGCCAGGTGTGCGGCATCATACATATCACCATCCTCGTCTTGGGCGGTGAAAAGCCGTTTAGGTCCAAGCAAATCCCATGCCTACAAAGGTTAGAGAAGAGAGAGAGTTCAAATGAAGGGTAATCACCGTGAGCCCAACACTCCAGATATCAACTGGGTAGCTCCAAGAGATACACATTATTGTTTCTGGAGCTCGGTATTGGATTGGCATGATATCGCCGGCGTGAGGTCCTGGGCCAGATCTTGCCTCCCCAAAGCCTGAAAGCAGCATTGGGCCAGGTTTCGGGCGCATGAGACGGGATAGGTATATGGTCCTATCGGGAGAAACCCCCTTTCGGGCAACCGGGGATGAAAATTCTTGGTCTTCTAGTGGGCGAAGAATTGAGTCGTCATTTAGGCCCAAGAGCAGGTTTCCAGAGTGAACATCTACTCAAAGTCAGCTCAGATATCGAAAGGAATTATCTTTCCCTTAGTACACACCCGTATGAACCACATGAGCCTCGTTATGGAGAAAGTCAAGGGCCTTTAATAGCTCCTCCACAGCCCCCTTTACAAACATCTCGTCAAAGCCACCGTCTTTCCGGAAGACAAGTTTCATGTCCCGAAGACTCATCTGGGCAGGCTGAAAGACCAGCGCGACGTGTTGGCCGTGTGGCCCATCAATGTTGAAGGAGTCCAGTAACTGCCGAATGTTCTTCCGACCAGGGTTCTCTGTCGTTGAAAGCTTTTGGTCCATGTCTTTGTACAGCGGAAGTTCCCGATGGAAGCGAGAGGTGTGCACATAGACTTTGAGTGCGACATATGGGTGATCACTGCTGTCACTGTCAGCAGAATAGCTTAATATTCAAGACGTCTCACAATACTTTAAATCTCGAGCTAGCCAGATGGTAGATGAGCTACCAAAGCCCAATTTGGCAATGGTCTGGTATCGGCCGTGAAACACTTCACCCAGACGAACAGGATAGAACCGGTCAGCGACATAGTCGGGTAATTCTTCTTCTTCCACCTTTTGACTTTGATCTATAAGGCTAAAACCCGAGGTTGGCAACGATCGCGGCTCCTCGGGTGTCTTTTGCCCTTGTCTGAGTCGGCCTAATGAGCTGGCCAGTTTTGACCACGTCGAGGCCATCCGGAAGAGGCCAGTTGGATGATGTTGAGGGAGGGTCAATGGCTTCCAGAGCAGTTTAACCCTTCTTGAGCCGAAGAAAAAAGCCATTTCTAGGCTCTGTCGCGACAGCATTGCGTTTTTGGAAGTCGGGTGAGATGACCTCAACTAACTGATGGCAAGGAAGAGTAATCATGTCGCGACGCGTGGTCTAATCACCGAACGCGCTGGAGTGGGGTCATGTGACGGTCGAGGCTTTCTGGAGAACATACATAGATAAGGTCAAGAGTATTGTGAAAATACAGGATGACAAGCTCGGTCAAAAGAGCGAGAGAAGGGGGGTCTTTTGGGGACGCCGCTTGAGAATCCAGGCGTCATGGCTGGTTAATGTGACCTTCACATCAGACCGACACCACTGGCTCTATAGGCTCTCTCAACACTCTACTCATTCAACAACAAAGACAAGCCGTCATCGTATAGGGGTTAGTACATCAGTTTGTGGTCCATCGAGACACTGAAAACGCAAGTTCGAGTCTTGCTGACGGCAAACCTCTTTTTTTGCCAGTTGGGTTGTTCCAGCTTCAACTAATCTTTTTGGTGTTTTCGCACACGTCAACTGAATAACCACCACCTGCCCATTCTTCATAAACGAGAAAAGTCGAAAACCTCTTGAGTCTACTAGTAAATCTGTTCATGCCGGGATGATGCAGTCATGTCTTGAGTTTATGGTGTGCATGGAGCTGAGAGCGTGGCGTCTCGTAGAGGACCAGCCTTCGGGCCTGGGAGCAAAATTACTCGTGCGTAGAAAACCACCCTCATGCAGACTACCCGCCACTGTGTCATCGTTACATTTGCGGTATATGAGAATGTGTGTACCGCTGTTCCTGTGACATTGGGCTTGTGATATGGAACAGCACTCACAGAACTGACTCAACCTCGGCCTGCCGCCTTTCAGCAAGCATGCTCCCTGTTGCCCAGTGTCAGACATTTTACACAGACATAGCGTACTTTATCACAATTTATCGCTGGAAGAGAAATCGAGACAGCCCTTGCATCACAGGTTTTTCTCTCACAATGGGGAGGTTGAGCAGTTAGGGCAAAGTGCAACGGGTTTGTAAGCATTGAAAAAGGCTGGAACAGGCTTGCTAGAACAAGAATAGAGCATATAAAGCAGCCTCAAAGCTTGGCTCCCTTGGCAACTCTTTCTTGCCTCTCCTTTTCCCTCAGCTTCCTCCTCAGAATTTTTCCAGTCGGGCTCTTTGGAATGGCTTCGATGAACTCGACTCCCCCCTTGAGCCACTTGTATCTAGCTTTGTGCTGCTCCACATGTCTATGGATGTCTTTCGTGACATTATCTTCAGATTCCTTTTTCGCACCAGATGACTTGACGACATAGGCCTTCGGGGCCTCTCCAGCTCGTGCGTCTGGGACTTGAATGATTGCACAGTCATCGACGTGAGGGTGGGTGAGGAGGTGTGCTTCTAGTTCTGCGGGTGCGACTTGATGGCCCTGTCATCGGGTTAGAGTGACTCTAAGATTCAAGATATGGCATTAGTACCTTGACTTTGATAAGCTCTTTTACTCGGTCGACGACAACAAAGTGTTCATTCCCAGAGGGAGCCTTTCGCACAAGTACTTCGTCGCCAGTTCGAATCCAGCGGCCATCTTTGTCGGTGAAGAACGTCTCTGAAGTTGCTTTTGGGTTATTAAAGTAGCCCAAGGAAACAGAGTGGCTCTGAATGAGAAGTTCCCCGGGAGTTTCATAGTCCGTGATTTCATCGCCGTCAACATCAACGATCCTGGCTTTGGCGCCTGGTACTAAGGAGCCAGTGGATCCCACAAAAGTATCGTGCTCACTGGACTGTATAAAAACGGTGGCAGTCTCAGTCATTCCTTGTGATAGTTAGTGGTGCATGGTATTTGGGGCCGTTCTTCTTACCGAATCCTTGGCCCAGCCGCCATTTTGGATAAATCCTCAACAAGTCATCAACCGTTTCCTTGCCAAGTGGCGCCGCGCCTGTGTATAGAAACTCTACACTCTCCAGGTCATACTGTCGACATATATCTTGCTTGCTCAGCATCTCAATGACAATTGGTGGCACGATGCTAAGTTGACGAATCCTATACTTGCTCACTGCCTTGAGAAATGTCAGAAATGTGTATCGCGGTAGCACGATGATTTCATCGCCGCGGAAAGTGCCAAGGTGAGTAATTAGCATGAGACCAAAGACGTGGCTGAAGGGCAATAAGCCAAGCATGGCTTGATTGTCAACGCCGAAAGCCTTGCGGGCAACAGAGTCGAAAGTGTGAGTTTGGAGAATGCCTGCAATGATGTTGTAATGCGAGATCATGACAGGTTTCTAGCGCATGTAAGTATTGTGGTGACCACTGGATAGAACAACTCACTGGTAGACCTGATGTGCCACTTGAATAGCATAAGTAGGCAGCTTGTCGAGTAGCTTGTCCCTGAGCCCAATTAAGAGGTGGCAACTCGGGCAGCTTTTTGCCATTCTCAATCAGATCTTCAATTGTCCGAAACACTGAGTCCGTCTCGACGTCCGGCATCGGAAGTAGGAAGACGTGGTCATTGGGGATCCCAACAGCAGCCGTGGCTTTGAGAGCTGCCTCCAACAAGGGCTGGCAAGTGAAAATGGCTTTGGATTTAGATAATCGGAGCTGATCTTGAAGTTCTGATGAAGACAGCGCAGCACTGGAAAGGCTGACTACGCCATTGAGTCGATGGATCGAGTGGGTGAGAGGGATATAGTCAATCTGAAGGACAACGTCAGTGAGATAATACATCAATTTTGAGAAAATTGGACGGACCGTATTGAATGAATACACGCCAACTACTTTGTCCCATTCTGAACCACGTTGAGGATCGAACTTGAGTGCTTGACCGATGCCTCGAGCGAGGTAATCTTCCCGCGCGATCACTTCAGCAGCATCGCGTGTTTTACCGGTAAGCCCACAAGTATACGGGTTTCGTGATTTAGCGATGGCGCTTCGCCCATATTCTTCCGTGCTCATGAACTCGGCGACCGAGATTGAGTCTGGTGGTTCTGGCTTTTGGTTAGTAAAGTGCTCGCAATGAGAACATGGGGATAAGTACGTATGGGCAACTCAGGAACCCATGGCGGAGGTGTAAAGACCATCGTAAAGTGCCTAAATAAACAATTGATGGCAACCGATTATAGTACAAAGATAAGATCAAAGTAGGTGTGGAGGTGTCAAGATGCAGCTTCGTTATCAATCTATGATCTTGCGGCCTTTTCTCGTCCCGAGCCGACCCCGCAACCCAGACGATGCAATGAGACAGTTGAGACTTGGCGATCCGTGGGGGTCATTGTCAATAGCGTGCACAATTTCTAACTCACCGTTTACTAGACATCAATTGCGGGGTTTCTGGTCTCCGTTTGGCTTCCGACTGGTTCGCGTCGATGCATAAGTGCTGATCGAGGAGAGATTGGTCACGAGACGTTGATATGCATTAATGTTACCTTGTCTTGCTGGAATGGAGATTCGTCATTGAATAGGTGTTGCTACCCTAGAGGTGAGAGACTCGGAGGATCGCGAGGATTGTTTCCCTTGCTCAAAACTCCTTAGGGAACTCAACAGTCCTGTCTATTGCAACGGTATCTTATAATTGATCAAGTCATTTTTTCACATCATTAAGTTGTTGCTTTTAGATTCTGGACATCTCTGTGTTTACTGTGTGGTTGGACGGTGGATATCGTCGTGTAATTTCGCCAGATCGCGTGCCAAATTGCGAACGCAAGACTCTCATGATTCGTGGAAAATAGTCTAAGCTGATAACATCGATAAATCTCAAGCATTACTATTTTATGAGCTTGCAGCAACAATTTTGCTGACCAGACCCAAAATGCCAGCTGCAGTGACGGGCTCCTCCGACCTCTTGAACCCTTCATCAAAAGGCAAACGCTCTTGTTCTGAATCATGTTAGTGAGCGTTCAACAAGGCGAATAAAGGTGACTTACCGAACAACACCTTGACCCACTCAGTCACAGCATTGCCCTCCTGAACGTTACCGAAAATGGACAAGTAGAGGGCGGACTCGATGAAGCTGAACTGGGTGCCGTCGGCAGTGAGTGTAAACTCAGGGTTGGCGGCGGCGGCGGCTTGGAGACGCTGCTTCCTGGCAGTAGCGGCTGTCTGAATGGAGATGGTAGACTCGGTGAAGTGAGATGCTACAGAGTCCCAGATGGTCTGGTTGAAGCTGTGGTTATCGCCGAAGAAGATATCGTTACGGCTCAGGCTGCCATCGTGTTCGATGACTGAGATAGTTAGTGCTATAGCTCATGGACTGTGCATCACATTTGACTCACCACCATGCTTGTTCAGGTTGTCCAAGTCAAAAGTGACGTTATCTCCAGTGGTCAATGCCTTTTGTCCCACCAGCGTAGTAGCAGCAGGGTCCAGGTTGACAGCATCGGTGAAGGCGACAATCAAGTCAGCCAAAGAGATGTTCAATCCGTCGCGAGGAAGAAATCCATGGTTTGCCACCGCGTTGACCATGGGGCAAGGGCTTCTACCTGTTTCATTGTCAGTGGACATGTTCACTTCTTGGAGGTGGACACGTACGGTCATATGCACCAGGGGCTTGCCACTCATTGCTGGCGCTCACAGCAGCAGCAGCTGACAAGAGAAGTGGGACGTGATACAACATGATGAATTGGCTAAAGAACATAGACAGTGATGAACACATTCATTCGGCACTAGGGAGTGTGGACTGACTTTATCTATTTCTCACGACACACAAGCCTCGGCATGACAAACTCCTTAATACCTAATAATAGTAAAGCCGTTACAACTTCCGCATAAGGCGACAGTCCGTACCATGAACTTCCACAAAATATGTTTTTTTCTAGCGCTCAATGCCGAGGCACACGGACGAGTTCCAGAAAAGTCGGCCGAGCCGTAGATCGTCGGAGATTATTGCTCCTAAGAGACTCGACCGGCCGTTGCCGACACGGATACAGGGGTTGCCCAGGGGCTTCGGACCAATGATGGGGCAGGTGATTACGACTTTCTAATGCTGACAAGAGCCGGACATGGCGGGTGCGACTCCGACGGACTTTTGTACGCTGGGGTGTGTTTCAAGGGTCCAGTGAGATTCTCCCCTTTTCGCACACAGAAACTGGAATTTGTCAAGCGGTGACATGGTCAACATACGACAGACCTGATTTTTCTCCGTGACATCATAGGAAGCGATGATTACTAGGCGAATCGGGTTTCTCGGCAGTGCCCAGATTTCACAAGTCTAGTGCGAAAATAGTATGAGATGGGATATGAAAATTCATGTTGACTATCGGCAGGAATCTTAAAAAACCAACACAAATGTCAAGATAACCACGTCATGGCCTGAACAGTCTAGGCATCTACCTTGACAGTCGGGACGTTGGGGTAAATGTCAGGAATCGACTGGATCTCAACAGGCTCCGTCTCAGGGATCCGCTCAGCATCGACCCAATTGCCGTGAACGGCAGACCGGAGTCCTACGTTGGATTAGTACATGGAAAAAGCCCTATCCTGATGATGCACTTACGAAATGGAAGAATAATCCTGGCAACGACTGCCTGAAAGTCCTTTGTGTCTTGGATGATCTGCAACAGACGAGGCGTGAGTAAGATGGAACACACAAGACAATTTGTGGGCGCAACATACCACCTCGTTTCGGTTAAGCCGCTGATTATCAATCATGGTGATGAGGAAACCATCTCCTTCCCCAGCGTCAGGATGTCGAGGGCTGAAGCAAGGTTCCTGAACGAGGCAGCTCGGCCCTGGGGAAAAGTACTCGACATTCCCAGTCTTGTAGTCAAGACGCGCCAAGGCGTTGAGGCCTTGATATAACTGTGCCGTGTTGCCGCCGTCGGGCTTGTAGCAGTCCATGTAGGTGTATCGAGCTGTGGTTGGTGTCATGTTAGTTGAAGCGATGGACCAAGTTGGAGTAGGGAGACTTACTCTTCTGGCCGAGGAATCTCTCGTCGATTCTGGGAAACTCACAGGGATCACTTAGAAGAACCTCTATGGGAACGGTTAGCCTGCATCTAAGAGCATCTGCACTAGTTCTCACCTGGGTCTGGCATGATATCGGATGCACTCGAAGGATCAATGCACCATTTGACATAGTTGACAGTCACATCGCTCGGCTTTGGGTTCTCCCCGTGGCGCGAAGCTGCGAGTTGTAAGCATGATTCTAAATAGTTGGGATCTTCTAATCTTACGAAGAAACGAAAAGGCATTGTGAGAAGCCACGGAGGAATCAAAGTAGCTGGACGCAGATACGGTGTCAGCATTAGCGCACGACGGGAGCTGGAGGCTGATACATACATCTTTCCATCTTCCTCCCAGCTTGCGCCCGTGTGGATAGACATGCAGTTCTTGTACTTGAACCATCGGATTGGGGCACTCTCGTTGCGCGGAATGACACCAAACCACGCAGGGCATTTCTCGTCGTAGTACCTCGTGAATCGTTAGAACAGCAATTCCGTGCCGTGGAGCCATGCGTACCACTGATGTTTCCTAGGCTTGTCGTGGTCTTTGTAGTCGACCATGAACGGCATGCGCATGAGAACGACGTAGTTCTCAGTCTTAATCGCACGTCCTTAGTGAAATTTGTAGATATGAAGCGCGCTGGAACACTCACCACGGCACAGTCGTGAATGATGCCTCCACCTTGAAACTCAAAGTCACGCTTGAGAGTTCTCTTGCCGTCTTTGTTGATGACATAGACGGAAATCTGGCCCAGACAGTATCAGGAAACATGCAAAAAATCAGAAGAGTTTGTGTGGTTCTCACCTGAGGACTGCCTAGTCCATTCAGCTGGTAGCCAAACGCAACGAGGTCACCAGTCTTGGGGTCAACCTGCCTCAGGTCAGTTTGGAACCATCTATGGTCGAATGCCAGTATCACCCACATGCGGATGGGCAGTGAACGGCTTCCTCGGGTCTACACCCTCAAAAGCATCGTGGCCAACAGTGCTAAGAGAGTCTACCCTGGTCAGCAACGCAAAACGAGACACAACTGGGAGACTCACTGGGGTCAAGCTCATAAGCAGGCCCGAACTCGGAAAGCGCTAGGAGCTTGCCGGCATGAATGATAATGTTTGTGTTGGCGGTCGAGTCCAGAACTGCGCGAACGCAAGGATGATGCGAGAAGGGACTGGAAAACATGCCAAAGAGGGCACGTCCGGCCTTTCGCTCAGCCACGAGTCGTTCCGTCATGACGTACTTTTGCTGGAACGAGACTTTTCCGTCCTTGATGCGAAAGGCGCTGATGTTGCCGTCCCCGTCAAAGGCAACAGTCTTGGAGCCGCCTAGGTAGTAATCCCTCTCGTAGTAAGGGTCTTGCATAACCTAGCCACTTGAGTCAAAAAGCGAAGTATTGGGCAAGGGGAGATTGGACAAACACGGTAGAAGGTGCCGTTGAGTTCCTTCGGTATGGTACCCTCAACTTCAACATCCTCGATGCCTACCTCAGCTCTGAAGGGGCGAGAGGCGGCGGCGAAGTCGTTGTAGATGGCATGGGCCTTGACCATTGTGGTGGTTGGTGATTTTACTGGAGGGGAGGAGGTAAGGATTGAGCGGTGATGATGATTCTACTCGCTGCCTTTGAGGACGCATGTCGACTTATATAGCCGTCTACGCGGCCAGCCAATGTTTCTTTGCGTCATGTTTAACGTCCCGAGCCAAGTATCGTTAGGTGTATGTGGGTTGAGTGACTGTCATGTGGGGTAGCGGCGATGAGATCGGATCCTTCATGTGGGGGAGGTGTCAAAGGAGGCTAAGCTCAAGGGGCCAGGAAGGGATGTTCTTGTTTGCGCGATTCGCATTTGGTTCTGTGGGTGGTCTCATTGGACTGTTTTTGATTCTCAAGTCTCTTATTCGCAGTTACCTTTATTATATCGTTTGTTTTTATTTGCAACAATTGCTCATATTATTGTCGTATTCCATTGCATTTGCTTCAAATGTGCTTTCATCTGCCGGCCCACACCTGGGAACTCCTCCTCGTCCCCCGCATTTTAGTCAATCCTATTCCCTTCAGCCCGATTGGCCGACGCCTATGGTCCAAACATGTCAAGACACAACCCACATCCATCCCCTTCGTCTCCAGCTCGCCATTGTCCTCCGCATTCTCGATCATCCAACGCCAATGCCTCTCCCACATGCACAGTCTGAGGAGGGCCCGCATCTGCATGCTGTTGGCCCTCGCTCAACCCTCAAGCGGTACCAATGCACCGTCCCGGGCTGCCACCGAGCGTACCGTCGCAATGAGCATCTTCTGCGTCATATGCGTTCCCACGATTCCCAGAAGCCTTATGAATGCCCCAGATGCCACAAATGCTATAGCCGACAGCGAGTCTCTTGATGATCCTCGTGAATGAGATAGCAGCTGACGCCTTGAAACGCTAGAGATGTCCTGAAACGCCATGTCGCTCAACAACATGAGACCCTTCAGCGGCAAGCAGACTCTTCGAGACAAAAAGGTAGTTTCCCTTCAGCACAACTGCTAGCCTATCGTCATTGACGTCCTCGCTCCTCGTCTAGGAAACCAAGACATTTCCCAGTCTCACCTCGTGGCGTTGTCCCCGTCTATAACCGAGAACGAGATGTCCGTTGGCTGGCAACGAGATGAAGATGATCACCAGGACGCACGAGATGACCGATCACTCCAGAGGGGTATCAGGGACCGGAGAAGTCAATCGCAAGTGTCGACCGGCCGATGTGTTTCGGACGTTACACATGAACCCGAGCTTCGTTCTTCCATGATGAGTCCAGAAACGGCACTGCAGCTGGTGTTAGACTCATGTGGTCCCTGGGCAGCGCAACCGGCCACTCCGGCCTCGTCTTTAATGGCTGTGTATCACAACGCACGTCAGGACGCCCCAGGAACCACTGAGTGTGATTCTTTACGATTAGGTCGACCGCACTCAACAGCCGGATCGTCCAGGTCCATTGGCTCACAAGCTGACGTCCTGAGAAACGGGATCTTAGAGGAACTGGATGCTATAAAACACCCTGACTTTAGCGTTCGCCATCCCCTCGATGAACCGGACTACCACTGCGAGCAAGCCTTTCAAGTTGATCAACCGCCTCCAATTGCTATGCCCCCTGCAGGAGAATTGACTACTAACACGTGGCTGGACTATTATTTTGAGAGATTTCATCCCCGATGGCCGATTATCCATCAGAGCACATTTAACCCAGCTACAGCAATCCCCGATCTACTATCCATGATGTCGATGATAGGGGCATGGGAGTATGGCGTTACTCCCTCGCTGGAAGCCTCCGAGCGTTGGAGCGAGTCTCTCGTCCTCAGACTGAGCCACGTTCTCGTACGCATATACTTCTTGATTGAATGCCTGCAGCTAACATGATCTAGTCCCAGGTCTCGGCATGGCCCGCGACTGTGTCTGAGAGTGCGATACAAGCCTATCAAGCGTTGCTCCTCAACGTGATATTTACCCTTGAATATTTAGTATGAGTACACCACACAAGCCCAATGCTAGGTAATGCTGACAGGGACAGGATGATATGAGATTTAAGAAGGCTTACCCTCGTTACTGCATGATGATTGCCATCTTTCGTGGCGCTAGTCTGTTCCAAGAGCAACAGATCCTTGTCCAGGATGAAACTCAAGACATGATTCCAACAAGTTGGTTGATCAGAGAAAAGTTCAAGAGGTATGCCCATCTATTGCGCATTACGGTTTCGGATAGCTAAATGACCTCTTTTCAGGTTAGCCTTTTATACCTTCCGACTGGATAATTACTTCTATTTCCTCCAAGGACATTATCCGGTCTTGAGGTATGAAGAGTTGTGCCTCGCGACACCCTGCTCTGAGAGGCTCTGGGAAGCCACGACGGTCGAAGAGTGGCACGACATCAAAGAGATCGAGTCCAAGAAGCGAGCAGCCATGCTGTTCATGACGCTGATGGATACTGCCATGGATTGCGAAGGACGGGACACGCTGCCTCCGCTCCTCGAGGACGATTATGTCTACGGCATTTGTGCTATGCAGACATGGCTCTGGCGAGACATAAAGAGGCACAGACCTCGTCTGCAGGCGTTGCAATCTTCTGAAGGACCCGGCATTATTTCTGCCCCAGCATCATCACGGCCGATTGAGTATTGGTCGGCCATGTTGACGACCTGGAGCGAATGCCTGAGAGACCGTTCAATTGGATCACCTCTATCATCCGAGAAGCACAGGGAGTTGTTGGAAAACTGTACCCCGGCACTATATCATTTTTCCCAGATGTCTCTTCGAGCAAATCTTGAAGCTATACAAGACCTCGCCATGGACCGATACCACAAGCAGTACTCAGGCCCTTACAGGAGACAACTCGAGTCCCGCATCTTGGAATGGGTAAGAACTTCAGATGCCCGGCTAGCCCTATGGCACGCGGCACAAGTTCTCAAGCTACTTCAAGAAACCTCAGACAGCATGGAGACGAGAGGAAGCTCTCTAACGTCTTGGCGTATTGACTTCATCGCTCCTTTGGCGCTGTACAAAGCAGGGCTAATAGTCTGGGCGTATGCGCGCTCCGTCCAGGTCTGCGACTCGTGCTCCATGGGGTCGATCATGCAACCGGCGGTATCGACACGAGCCGAGCCGTTGGACCTATTCAGACCCCAGCGAGGAGAAGAGTTCCGTGAGTGGCTGCATTATGGAGGAAGGGGAATGATACAGGGGACTATGGTGTGTGCTTGTAGACTGGATGAGCTCCTCAGTGCCTATGAAGCGTGGCTACTTAGGTATTATTTTAAGAGTCGTAGTGTGTTGGAAATGGCAGGATTGCTATTGCTCCTCAAGGACAAAGATTGATCATTACATCAAGTCAAGATAGGACAATTTGGAGAGATTATTACATGCGAATTCCCGCAATGCTCGCTTGATATCATTATCGAACCAAGCATCTCTAAGCCAGCGCCCTGGGGTAAAGTCAGATACAATGGCGGTGTACAGCATGCAGGCCACAGCAATAGACCCAATTCCTTTCCCTCCACAAGCACATACGGTCATACCTACTGGAAAATACGGGATCCCGTCTGCTCTCCCAGAGTCAAGCCGGTAAGGGGCGGATTAGTAGTTGGGTTCGGTGACGACCAGCGAATACCCGCTGTTGTATGTTTTTGCCCCCGCAATCTTTATTTTTTGCGTTTTGCGTCCTAGTTATACGTTGCCTTTGAAAACTGGAGTCGCAGGAATGGCACTCAATATTGTCACGTTGAGCTCATGAGATGTGACAATGTGCAGGACTTGAGCACCTGGCACAACCCAGATGGTGGATATATACATAACGCTAGTGACTGCCCTCATTAAAAACCCCCAATACAAGGGGGAAAAGAGTAGCATTGATCCAAATAGCCGTTAGTCCGCCATTCCTACCCTCTCAGCACGGTGGGCCAGTCTATAACCACCGAGACGAAGATCCAAGTTATTTCACCTATGGACTCAAAGTCAGTATCTCCCGCTTATCAAGGCCTATCAGCAGTGGCACCGACTGGCAGGAGCATCCACAACGACATGTTCCCGATGCGTTACAGATAATGCAGTTGCAGTTGACGCACCCGCAAACACTACACCCCATTGTGTACTGTCTTTGCACGTAGTAAAGAGGAGGGTTGGGTGAATGAACTTGTATGTTGAGAAAGAAGAATAATTCGGCAGTATGCGTTTGGAGTTTGGTCTTGGACGGGAAGAGAAGCCGGGAAGATGGAGGGTTATATAGAAATTGGTGCACTCGAAAAAGCTCATAGCCCGCTTGCCTTCGGCATACCCGTCTTGTATCTCCTCGGCTGGAAGTAAATTTGCTGCATTCTCGTTCCATTACGGCCAAAGGCGCGTGTACCGTCTTTGCACATTGGCTTTAGCATTTGCTCTCATTTGCTACGGGGAATGCCAAGGGCCTTGGAATGGCATGATGTGTGCCGAGATTATCCGTAAAATACCCCAATAAGAGAAACACAGGTTTGCACATTCGAGTTAAGTGTGTTGTGTGTGTGGTTCCATTCAGCTGAAATGCAAGCCGCAAAAGAGCCAACGCCGTCAAAGCTACCTGTGAAATGTGAGGTAGCCCCGTCTCTATCAGGAAGCTAACTGTACCCAGCCTAACCGCTCGAGAATATCCCTCGCCTTTTGTCTTTGATGCGGACACGGGCTGTACCAAGAGACCATCTCGAGTGGAAAAACCATCTGAACGCAGGAGCCAGTATTAAGTCGGTCCTGGAGATTACGCGTGAAAAGAGCGTCTGCAAAGGCCAAGAGCGACGCGCATCTCACGATGGACTCAACCACGAGATCAGTACACGGTCGTCTCTTCAAGATCAAATGATAGATCATGATCCGAACCGCATGGAATGCTGCTTCAAGCGTCGTCGAGCAGAAGTCTCCTCCGCTGAGCCAGAATTCCTCTTCGGCAAGCTCTACTTGATCAAAATGGAACGGTAAAGAATGCTGAGACGTCGTTCGTGATTCTCTGGCGTATGATTGCTCGCTATAGGCAACGGCGTCGAGGAGTGCATCGAGCTGCGGCAGCAAGCGTTCCGGCTCTTCGTCTTCAGCAGAGACCACAGTTTCAAGATTGAATACGCCATAAATGATGTCGATCAACATATCTGTTGCTGCCTTTGTCGATTTCGCAAATGGCACAGTGTACCAGTCCTTGGTGTTGAAACATGCACCAGAAGCAGTTCGGGTTAATACGTGAGCCTGCAGCGAATATTAACCTTTGCCATTTCAAGCCGACAAGTGCAGAACTCACCATTATCAACCTTAACGACCTAAACATGGCATGACATGGTCCATCTTGGCAGTTCTCTGGCCCCCTCAAAACCAGCAGTTGACAGCACGCCTTGAAGTGTGTCATCCAACTCCCGATGAAAGTCGGATGCAAAAGCTCATAGTACATGAGCATTAACGATGCACTAATGTCTTTTTCGGAAGGCCGCTCCGCAGGCAGATTGTTAGTGTCTGTGGCCTTGTTAATGTGCCGTTTGATGCGCCACTGTTGAGTTTCAAGTGCGCGTGCGTAGCATCTATCGGCCTCTTTGCAAAGGCTCTCTTGGTTTGTCTTTTGTCCGTAAAACAGTAAAGTGATTGCACGGACGGACCAAGCAGTGGTTGAGCAGGTGATCCAAGAGGACAAGTACCGTGTCCATGACAGAGTATCGATACGCCCCGGTTTTGAAGATGTTGAGAAGCAAGTGATAAAGGCGGCGATGATTGACTGCTCGAACAACGGCCGCTCAGATGGTCCATCTAGAAGCCTGCCCTCTTTATTGCTGTACGTAACATCTGTGCAGCTCGTGACGTGGTTGGACCCTCGACCAGAATGCACAAGAAACATCCCCTTGTACACTCCTGGGCAAGACTTTTTAAGCCGGCCACACGGAGAGCACACTGGCTGCCGTTCATCGCACTTCGGTCATTAATTTCATGATCTCAGAAAAAGATTCAGGTTAATGTAGTTCACCTTGACTTTACGCTGTAGGCATCTACCACAGCCCCGGCTTCGACTGACGGATCGCACCATCTCAAGCAGTTCTTCTGTCAAGACTGATATCTTGTAGCTTGAAGGGCAAAGATGAGGTGAGACGCATCGACAAAAGATGATAATCCGGAGCATCGTTGATCCGACTGTACTTGTCAAGTTCACCCTTTCTTGACCGACACCCGACGCCATCTTAGATCCATCAGCCGTTCTGCGGAGTAGACACACTAAGGCCTATTTTTAGAACGTCCCCTCAACCATATCTCACTGAGGAATTTCAGATTCAAAGAGTTGAATATATAATGTCTTGACCATCAGCTAGCCTAAAAGTCCTTGCTCTGAGCCGCATTCTCAATAGGAGCTAGATATGATGCTCTCTCCGGGGCATAAAACTCGGCATCAATCGTGACGTTCAATTTCTTGGCATCGTCCAAACTTCCTCCTTGAATCAGCTTCACCCCCCTGAACTGCTCCGCAGTCGCCTCCTTCCACAAAGTACTTCCGCAATCGGGACAGAAGAAGATGGTGAGCGTCATCCCATACTCGTGCTGGGCCGAGTAGGACTTGGTCTGGCCCTTTTTCACGGTGAACTTTTCTTCGGGGATGACAAAGTTGACGGTGTTGGTGCCTCCAGAAACTCGGCGGCAAGGACCGCAGTAACAGAGAGCCTGGTGAAGATTAGCAACTCTTGGGGCTACAAACAGAAATCTGGGTGAGTATTTTACCTTCACGGCTGGCTCTCCGGCGTAAGAGTAAGCACAGGCGCCACAAAGGCAGGAACCAGTGGTTTCAGATGCCATTTCGAGAGGGGTCGAGAGTGAGTATGTGATCAAGCGTTGGTGTCCGAGGCGAGATTGTAGTGATAAATTTGGAACTGATGACCTGTCAGGGAGATATATATACTCCTACCAAACACATCAGAACAGGTCACATCCACCCTTCACAAACAGATACGGGCTCAAGTGCACAACTAGAATCACCAGTTGGATAAGCTTTCCGACTTTCGAGTAGTCCCTCCGCTTTTCGGCGGAGTTATATAAGAGCCCCGTGTGCTCGAATGACTGGCACCATCCTTACGTGATACACCCGTGCACACCGTCGAGGAGCTTATTCCGCGTGTCTAGAATTTCCAGAGTCATCTTATGTTTGATGGAAGCTGGAAGATGGAATTGTGGGGTGCCATGACTTGCAGCGAATGTCAGCACGACTGATGCTATTGCGGGGGCTGCAGCTCGGAAAACTAACTCAATGCGGGCTAGTCGTTTGCGTGCGAACGGAGGCTTCTTGCCATGCTGGTTAGTGTCTTACTACCATGCCCTGGGCTTATTCCCATATATATGCTCTAAAACAGACCACAGTCCTTCTGGAGAGCTAAAGTCTTACCACCCTTTCCCGCCAGCTTGTCATCTGACACATCATGGCGCTGCCTGTTGTTAACAATGTTCTCGACGCTATCGGCAACACCCCTTGTGTATGCCTCAAGAATGTCGTCCCTGAAGGATGCGCAGAAGTCTAGCTCAAGCTCGAGTACTTCAAACCCAACGGGGTCATGTAAAGGCAGAATGGCCAAGTCCATCATCGAAGAAGCTGAAAAGAGTGGCAGGCTGAAACCAAGCATGGCCGTGGTTGAAGCGAGTGGTGGAAACACAGGTTCTTCACTGGCTCTTGTCTGTGCAGCCAAGGGGTACAACTGCCACATTGTTACCTCGAATGCCTTTGCTGTTGAGAAGCTTCGGACGATGAGTGCTATTGGGACACATGTGGAAATAATTCATTGTCCGTCTGGCAAAATCCACGCCGATCTCATTCCGTCCATGATCTGCCGGGTTGCGGAGCATTCGCAGGATGATCAGATGTATTGGACTGATCAGTTCAACAACCGAGACGGTTTCGAGGGATACGAGGTTCTTGAGTCAGAGCTGGTTGAACAATTTCCGAATGGGGTGGATGCCTTTTGCGGTGTTGTTGGAGCTGCTGGTACGGCAATTGGAGAGGGAATATCTATGATATGGTGTTTACAGGAGAGCTGGGTGAAAAAATTCTTTCTGTTTTCAGCCCTTGTCGAGCAAGTTCACTGGAAGTGATCCGGGCGTCCTTCCGTTAGGCTGGAGAGTGCTGCTCTTAAAAGACTTCGGGTCAACACTTGGTCCAGACCCTGGTGGCTCAGCTGAATTGTTCATTATTGTGGCTGATCTTCTCTTTAAAGACGTCACGATGATCAACAATGAGTCCTGTGGCTTTTGGGCGCCTTTTCTAGCCCTTTTGGTGTGTGGCGGTTCTCATATCCGCTCAACTATCTAAAACTCCGTCTTTAGACGGGTTGATGCAACATTTCTTCCCTCACGTAAATCTTTTATGTGCACTGCCTTACTCAAGATGAGAGGGATTTACGGTTTGGGTTTCATCTTCCTTGATGGTACCTTCGGTCAAAAAGTAGGAATCGCCATTCCAGGATGTGTGGTAAGTATCTCGGTGGGACACAATTACCCTTTTGACAACTCACCTGACACTACACTTAGAGCGACTGCATCAGAAGCATGAAAGCTGAATGCGATTCCGGAGCCGTAATGTGTCTGCACTGGGCTTATAAGGGCAACAGATTTATCGATGAGCTGTCGTCCTGCCTCAAGGAAGGATGCAACCCGGATGAAGTCGTTCTGGCTGAGGATTTCCATGGTCCTCTGTATGCTAGAGTGGACAGACCTAAGATTGGTCTAGAAGGGCGGATTACCACAACCGCAGATGCCAATGCACCACCTATCGTTGGCCAAGGAGAGTCATTGACTACTTTAGGGGACGACACCCAGGAGGTTATGTCAACCGAGGATGCCAATGCACCACCTGTCATCGGCCAAGGAGAGTCATTGACTACGTTGAGCGAAGATACTGAGGAGGCTGTGTCAACCAAAGATTCCGACACATCGACCTCAATCGATTCTGTGAAAGCTGGGGTAGCGGCTTCAGCATCAACGACGAAAGCTGTGGCAGAAACGACAGCTTCAACGAGCACCAAAAGCTCAATCGCCCGAAGTACCTCAACGAAAGAAGAACAAGCCACCGAAACGGTACTACCGGCTAGTGATAAATACTACCCTGGAGGAGGGCTGAGTGCCGGGGCCAAGGCAGGTATTGGAGTCGGCGTAGCCTTGGGTGTTATGGGATTCGGTTGTCTTGTCGCTGCGATCTGGCTTATGAGACGAAGAAGGGCCATTATGGGTGCACCGGGGACAGGTGTGACACATGCTCGACCATTGAAATCACCGCGGCAGGTCGAGGTAGCAGAGATTGATGGACGACCAGCTCCACAAGAGCTGCCTGCTTGATCCCCTGGTGTGGCAATTTTGAGAGTTGAGTGGGATAAGAATGTATAATGAATTATAGTAGGACTCATGAATATGAATCGAAGGCTGTTTTAAAGTCAGGGTCCATGCCACCTTAAGCCTCGGTCTAGAGTCAACTTGTGATGTTGATTGCCTTGAACCCCGACCGGATTGCTTTTCGCAGTCTAGGGATGGCCCCTCTGCTGCTAGTATACGAAAGGGACCTTTATTATACAAATTCTATTGAAGTTCTGTCGCTAACAGTCATGAATGCAAGCTAAAGCAAACTACCTAGGTAGTGTTCGCATGCTAGAGCCACCTCCTCCGCTGAAGGAAAGCCGACCCACCCACAATATGATCTGAGGACTCTATCCTCAAAACGTGCGGTCAGTCAATTCCATGAACCCTGTACTGTACTTTTGCATGATGTAACACGACCAACAGCTCATTGTCATTGCTGTACACGCTTGCTGCGACATTAACAGGGGGTTGATTGTGGGACCCCCCTCTCCTCGGATCTGCAACAAGAGACATAAAGAGGTCTGTGTTGTCATTTTTCTTTTCCCCTCAGTTCTCCGCTTCGCTTTTCTCAATTTACCAGATTCCTTGTCTCTAGATAATTGCGCCTAGTCCACCAAAAGAGGTGTAGAACCGTCATGTCGTCCCCAAAGTCTCGTCACTCCCAGTCGCCAACAGGGCGGTCTCCCACGACGAGTGAGCCCCTTGGAGACATGTTGGTCCAGGGAACCGAAGACCAGTCGAATAATGGCGCTATCGAAGTCGTACGGTTCCTCCATCACGACGACCCCTTTCCAGATCTTGACTGCTCACCATGGGGATGTCATATCTAGGATAACGATTCCGACTCTTCTTACTCGCAGGCGTGGGTTGAGACCAAATATTTCAGAACGTGCTGGCTGGGAAATGCTGAAACCTCACAGGTCCGCAGTTACTGATACCCAGTCCCTAAGATCCTCGATCTTGAACTACAAGTGGGAAAACGGGCGGCGTTACCACGCTTATCAGGAAGGATCTTACTGGTGAGCCCTCAAAACTCGGAAAGATGAATCACAGAACACTGATAAAAGAGCCAGGGCCCCCAACGATGATCGCCAGCAAGAAGCCGAAGACCTTATGTCAGACTCACCCACAAAGCTTTACCCATGAGTGCAAGGTAGCTGATCGTGTTGCATAGGCACGAAGTATATCGGATCATCCTGAACGACAAACTGTACGAGGCCCCTATCGGAGATAAGCCACAGGTTAGCCGTCCATGCTTTGAAATGTTAATGAGCATTTGCTTACAAGAGCTTAGAATGTTTTGGACCTTGGCTGTGGGACTGGCATCTGGGCTATGTAGGTTTTTAAAAGTCGCCTACGTATATCAGTGCTAACTGGAGACAGTGAATTCGCCGACATGCATCCCTCCGCAGATGTTCTTGGTGTTGACCTCTCCCCAATTCAACCCAACTTCGTGCCTCCTAACTGTAGGTTCGAGGTTGATGATATTAGCCAAGATTGGACATATCCCGAGAACAAGTTCGACTTTGTTCATCTTCGTGGCCTAACCGGCTGTATTCCCGATTGGACCAAATTTTACGAGGGCGCTATCAAGTTCGTTCTTCCTTATATGTGATCTCATTTTCTAACCTTAGGCAGACACGTCAAACCCGGTGGCTGGATCGAACACGTCGAACTATGGGGTACTGCAAAGTCAGACGACGATACTCTGAGAGCTGACTCACCCCTGAAGACATGGGTCGAAATCTTCACGAAACTAGGCGAGATGACCGGCAAGACCTTCTTCTGGGACCACAAAGCAGCCGAGTCTGTCAGAGAAGGCGGCTTCATCAACGTCACAGAGCGTCGAATCAAGGTCCCCATCGGAACGTGGCCCAAAGACAAGCAGCTCAAACAGTGGGGAGCTTGGAACCGCCAATTCTTGTTACAAGCTCTTGAAGGGTTTTCGATCCGTGGTCTTACAGAAATGTTGGGGGTAAGCTCCTTTCCTACCACTCAGCGAATGTAGACCTAACCGGCGGCGCTGTAGTGGAAGTACAAAGATGCTCAGTTGTATTTGTCGGATATGCGGAAGGAGTTGACTAACCCGAAACTTCACTCCTATCTTGAAGTGTAAGTCTGCAAGCCCCTTTATCTTCTAGTCAGCTAGTCCGATTGCTAACGGAGACTGGCTTGAAGTACTGTCGTTTATGGCCAAAGGCCCGAGGCCACAGGTGAAGAGGTTTAGGCTTTCCGCGTCGACATCCAAAAGGGCGTTCGAGGTAAACAAAGTTCAGTACGTTTATTGAAAAGTTATGCGGGGACAACCTTCCGAAAATGAACTTGCAAACTTCTATATGAACGAAAAGTTGATGAGTGGCTAATACAAGGGCACTTGTCTAAGCCCCGGCTTCTTATTTAGACACTCTTCAACGTGACGGAACATAAGAATTACTCGGAAAGGATTGAAAGAATAAAACTGCACTTTTTTGCGGCACAGATCAGGTTACTCTAAGCAAACTTGAATGTATAGGATAACCCTCTCCGATGTCCTCAGTCCACCATCTATTTCTGATGTCTTCTTTTTTGGATTCTGTCGGAAAATTGGTACGTCATGTCCCTATTCAATTTTTTCCATTAGACCCTGTGTTTTAAAGCGCTCTAGGGCGATTAAACATAAAGGGAGCTAAAATACTCACATTTAGCCCCCAAAACATTGTTGAATCATCTCCGCTTGGGATCTCTCGTTCTACAATGGTCGAGGGAACGGCTAAGACTCATCTTCCAGATCATCGCCATCATTCCGGACGGAGTCAAACCGTGCGTCTTGGCTGAGAATTTGTCCGATCGCTTCGCTCTCGGAGTCGGTAGGAGATGGAAGGCGATCGACGTCAATGGGATATTCCGATGTGCCTAAGATGGTTCGATTCCAGACGAGAGCGTTCAAAGAGTCTTGGTTGGCACGGGGAGGAGATGGTGTGTGATGCCTAGTGTCCCGGTCCCCATCTGAGTCTCGATCCTGGTCATGAGCACTACCGAATTTCCTTTGCGTTGGGGAGTTGGGTATGTCATTCAAGGGGCCCTCTGTGGAAGTGCCAGACTGGCTGGAATCCCGACCATCGGCGGCAGCCGCACGTTTCTCTAGGTCCTCTATGCGTTTCCTCAGCTGTGAACCTGTGGAGCATCACGTCAGTTACATGCGAAATATAAATCTTGACAGCGACTTACGAAGGCCACGCTGAACCATTCGGTTCGCCCTCCTTCTCTGCTCTGCTTCGTCTGTGATCAGAGACCAATCCCTGTCATGGTCACGAAAGCCCTCCACCAGGTCAGGATCCTCGCTGAGGCTCCTTACGGTAGTGCGGATCCCTTTTGTGTTTCCCAGCTGAATAGGAGGAAGCACCGGAGGATAGGGATCAGACAGGGGACGATTGGCCGCTGTACTCAAACGGATGGGGTTTAGTTTTTTCTTCAACGCAACAGTGTGGCTGTCAATGCCAATGCTGGGTTCCAAAAAACTCAGTTCAGGCGGAGGTCGGTGTTGTTCAGGCACATCGGTTTCAAACCCATCACCATCGCCAACAAGGTATGAGCAATTGCTGCATATAGGCCCCTTGCGACGATCCTGGTCTTCTGAACCACAGGAAGGGCAAATCCGGCGCCAACGTCGTTTCTGCCAATCATCGAGACGTTGGCCACGTTCAACACTAGCGGCTCTGTCGACCTCCTCCTGCTGTCTCATTATACCTTCCTGGATTTTTAACCGCTGACGAATAAGCTCCATATCAGCTTTAAAATTCTCCTCAGCCTTGAACCCCTCTTCAGCTGCCCTCTCTGCCCGCTCTTTAGCTGCCTTCATCTCGGCCTTGTTTCGAGCAATTATGGCCTCGATGTGCTTTCGCGCTCCCTCCTCAGCTTTTCGCTCAGCCTTTCTTTCAGCTTCTAATCTCTCACGGCTAGCCTCCTCGGCCTCAGCCCTGGCCTTTCCGACCTCCTTCTTTGCCTCTTCTTGAGAAGGCTGCATCTTCCCCATTCGGCGATAGAAGGCTGCTTCCTTACCATTGTGGATCTGAACGTCAGGGTCACGCCCATGTTTTGGATATTGAACAAGCACCGCGTCACCGGATGTAGGCCTGACAGAGGACGAAGCGGGATAGTCCGAAAAAATAGGAGCGTCATCTCCAGCAGCTTCTTTAGTAGCAGCGTGAACGAGATCTTCCCATGTCTTCCAAGAATCTACAGAGGCTTCCGAAGGGACAAGACCTCTGTCATTGTTCGGCATTTGTGGTTCATAGCCCTGGATTCTCAGCGGCGAGGCGGCCTTCCCTTCTCGTTCTGTCGGTCGCCCGAGGATGGAATAAATGGAGGCATCAACGGTCTGATGAGATAGTGTCGGCTGCTGTTCTTGTAGTTCTCTTTCACTCTCGACTGGCACGGCCTGGAGATCTTGGAGCTTGTCCTCGCTGTCTTGATGTTCCTGGTCGTTGTGTTCTACATCCAAGCCCGAGGTCTCGGAGTTTGTCTCGGAATCGGGAGCCGCAGGCAATGCCGACAGGGATATTTCCTCAAGATGTCGGCCGAGATGTGTAGTGATTGCGGTCTTCCCAGGGCCAGCTTCGTCTCCACAGAGAGGGCACTCGATCTGTTCCCACTTTGGTTCCATACCATGGTCCAGAGCCAGATGTTGAAGCCAGTTGGCGCGGTTGGAGAAGGTAGAATCGCTGCGTTGGCATGATGTGTCGAGGCACACATACGGCTGAAGATCAATGTATAGATGGCGTCTATCGATGTTAGTGGTGGCTTCGGCTGAGGGCTCCATATACTTACTTCCACTGGGAGTTGGTCGTTATGATGACCGAACGCCCACATGCAGCACACGGGAACGGCTCTCCTCTTTTTGCTTCCTCTGGCAATGGAGGAATTCGAATGGATCGATTGCCATCCCCGTAGTTCATGATTGTCTCTGCATATGAGCTCGCAGGATTTAAAGAAGAGCCAAGACCAGAGTCGTGGAACTTGGAGCCCGTGGTGACTTCGACAGCCTGTTCGGGGTGTTCAGCATGGACTTGGTTGTGGTCTCGTTCAATTCGACACCTGAGGTAACGTTGATAGTTGACCATACCAAGCGAGGAAATCAACTTGGTATCAGCTTCGGGGAACCGATGCTCGATCTTGTTGGCGGAAACTTGATGAGGTGCCCATAAAGATAGAGAGACATCGGCTTCTGTCATCTCCGGCTCTGGGTCCGCGGCTGGGTCTCGAATAATCTGGTCGAGTTCGATGAGACAATCAACGTCAGTTTTAAGATCCTCTGCGAGCTCGTGAACATCTGCCGTGCTGTATTCGGACGTTGAATCGCTAGATGAATCGTCTGCAACGTGGGAGAATTTGATTTCCTCCAAAATGTTGTTCACTTGGTCGCAAAGCCCTTCGGTCTTGGAATTCGAGACGCGTGCCACGGGGAGAAGGCCTAAGAATGTTCAGCGACTCTCTGCCAGGAAAACGATAATATCGCTCACCGTCAATGAGGGTTGTGGAAAGATGCGATAGTGTCTTTATGGTAGCATGCCTCAGCTTTCCCGATCGTTGGAAGCTGTCATCCAAACTCCCACTAGCCACTCCATGGCCGTGGGACCAGAGCGAGAAGCAGCTGCGACTTCGATCGAGGCTGATGAAAATATCCCTGGGAAACTTCCCCTTGTCGGAAAGGATCACCACGGTTTCGCGAAACAGGGTATCAAGAGCTGCAGTAAGGCGTGCCACGGCGCTCTTCTCATCAGGCTCCGGGGCTGGGCCGCCATGCTGCCGTTCGTTCTGTCGGGACTGCCATTCGCGAATGGCGGTCTCTAGGTCAAAACCATCCTGTGATCGTAGTAACGCCGCCATTGAGTCTCATGCTATGATCTCGATGGACCGAGTGCGAGAATGGACGAGATGAAGAGAATGGGCTTCTGGTTTCGCTGACCACCCACTGCAGCTGAAGCTGCACAGCCCTCACAGCCTGCATACAAATCACAACACATCACTCCAGCTGCACTCAAACAGCCAATCTCAGGGCTTGAAACGGCCCAACCTCCACCTCGCCAAGCGGTTGCATGATGCCTCGTGCAGTCTGCCTCGGCCTGCTAGCTGCGCCACGGTCGGATTTTCGATGAGGACTGAAACTGGAACAACTGTGCAAGTGGTAGGCTTGCTTCGCTAACTTCTCTCGCGCGACCTTTACGACGAGACTCCAAAGCCACCTTTTTCATCAGATGAATTGATCCGACACATACCGCTCTTCTTTCGCAATTCCACGAGATGGAGCCCGTCTCACTGGCCTTGGGCATCCTCCCCGTGATCGGCGGCTCAATTGGCGCGTACAAAGCGACCGTCTCAAAACTCAAGATCTTCTGCCATTACTCCCGGGAGCTGAAGCGACTGCGACAACGGTTCGACCTTCAGCGGGTTGTATTCCTCAATGAAGCCGAACTGCTTCTCTCCGATGTCCTGAAAGACAAGGCACTCGCAAAGAGATTGGTCGATGGAGAAGGTCAATCACGATGGGATGACTCTAGCCTTGAGGCTAGCGTTCGAGATCACATGGGCCGAAGCTTAGACTCGTTCAAGGACGTCATGGAAGAGATTGGGACTACCATGACAGAATTCCAAGACAGTTTAAGGTGCTTTAGGCAACTAGAGGCAGAGAAGCAAGAGGTACAGTGAAGTGTGGGCTGACCGATATGGCCCCGCTGACGGCAACAGGACGAGAGTGCCAAAGACGCAGTCAAGAGACTCCGGGAGCGATTCGAGATTCCCTTTAGCAAAAGCAAGTTCGACGGCCTTACGAGCAAGCTCAAGCGATCCAACAAGGACCTCGAACGCATCCGCAAACAGGCCCACGACATCAACGCTAAGGATAGTGCCAAGTGCGTGGTCAAAACATGCCGCAAGGTAGAAAAGCAGCCTCCCCGCCACTTTCCGTCTTTTGGTTCCATACGGAGAGCTTCGCGAGCTCTTCATGAGGCGTTACTGACAGCTTGGTCCAACGCATCGGAAAGACATCTTCGGCATTCCCTAAGGCTATTTCTAGATGCAGAGGGAGCCGAGGAGGTGCACATGAACTTGGCCATTCTATGCTATGGGCATCAGATGGCACATGAGTAAGGGAGCATCCGCAGGCTTTTCCGCAAGCAATTAACTCCAGTATAGTGTACCCACCAACGAAGCCACTTTGATCCGCCTCCACGTTCAGTCACGTACCCTCGAATCGCTATCATGGGCTCGTCCAACCGGCCTACTGACGCCAGCCGACTCGACAGCTTCGATCGAGTCCCAATATTCCGAGGAAGGCAGTAGGCAAAAGCGGCAAAGGGTAAGATTTGCACCATCTCCATCCGACAGCGCCAGGGACGGCCAAAACGATGTGCCTGATCATTCATCAGTGTTGCCCAAATGCCCAGCCCCTGACTGCCAAACTACTCCAGACCCGGATATACTGGAGCTCTCTGGTGATATCTGCATGGAAATTAAGCGCAGGGTTACTCGGCACTTCATCTCGCAGACCGAGAGCTGTGTCCCTCCATGCCTGGGTCACATTGACTGCTCGGTGGAAGAGAGCTTTCGACATTATTTTTATCCATTACTGGATGATGATTCTGATCACGGAGAGTGCCAAGCCAGCCTCAATTCAGAGGAGGTCATGAGGATGGACGATATCCTCGCCAAACCAGTTGACAAGAGGCTAACCATTGTCCACCAACTCCGCCTGGCTCTGCAAATCGCCTCGGCTGTCCTCAAGTTCAGCTCGACGCCGTGGTTAAGGGAGTACTGGAGTGTCCGTGATCTATACCTTTTTCATGGAAGCCAGGCCGATGAGCTATCTGCATCTATCCAGACGATGCACTTTAAAGTCGACGTCATCAATTCGCAGAGTCTAAATTATGAGTCCTTCATGGATGTGGATATGTCGTTGCCCAACAATCCCATGTCAGCACTGATAGATCAGGCAACGCGAAAGTACGGCATCCGAAACATGACACTATATAGTCTTGGTGTCGTTCTGTTGGCTATCGGACAATGGGCACCGGTTGACCTCAACGACGTGGAGGAAGTGCGTCGGCTGGCTGCTGAACCGTGTCGCTTGGGGCCGAGGTATCAGGAGCTCACACAAAAGGTATTGGACTGTGATTTTGGTTATGGAAAAGATTTGAAAAAGCCGAGACTTCAAGAGGCTGTGTACGAGAATGTGTTGCTGGAGTTGGAAACCATGATTGAGCGGTTAGACTTGAGCAAGTAGTAGCCAGGCTAGCAAGTTGACCAGGAGGGGGAGAGGAGAGTGCCTTTGCCATACAGTACGTTCACTCTGGCATGTATCAGATAATTTTTCTCGTGCCATTTCCACAAGTCCAGCCCAAAACCTGGCTTCCTGCCTCAAGATCAGGCTTTGTCGTACAATGCCCTGGTACTGAGTACTAGGTCGTGGAACTCACATTCAAGACGAACCAGCAGTTCAGTCACGTGGTGTAAATGTCCAGCCTTATTTAAACCCGCAACCCCCCCGTTTCAAGTTGAGCATCCCTCCAGTCAGCTTTAGCTGCATAAATTTCTGCTGTTCTCAACAAATTCACCTACCATTTCCAAATCCCCACGAGCAAAACTGCCATCAGATTCCATTTCTCACTAAATGTCACAATGAATCTACTTCAACTCCCTACAGAGATTCTGCTCATTATTCTCCGCCTAAAGGGATCTGCATTTTTCCGCCGTAATATTCGTCGACTTGTGGTGTCAAAATCGTGGTATGAGCTCGCCAGGCTGGTCCTCCTTCAAGACCTTCAGTTGTCTGCCAAGTCACTTCCGAAATTCCTCAAGGCGGACATGAGTTCTTTGGTTCATCAACACACAAGAACCGTCAAGGTCGCCTTCGATGTTGTCCGAGATCGCTGGGCGGTATCCTCAGGATCACGCCATGTCTGGAGAATAGTGGTTACAGACTGGACAACAAATGTGGACAACGACTTGACATCGCTTGCCTCCATTTTACAAGGTTGCAGTAATCTGCGCAGTCTCAAATTGAGACCAAGGCCAAGGCCGCGTCCCCTGGGAATGATCTCGCAGACCTGGCTCTCGTCAGACGCTCTCGTCTCTCTCCTATCTGTTGGCCACCTCACCTGCCTTGAATTTGACACTGTCAGCACCGGGCTCCGTAGTACAACTAGCCACCGCAGGTCTGACATTTGCGAAGTTATCAGGGCGCTGCTCCCCACGCTTCGACGATTGCGCTGTCGAATGAGAAAGATCTGCCCCAGAATCCTGCTCCCTCCCGAAGAAGGCCCACTTTTGAGCCTCGAGGAGGTCATCATCAACTTGAACTTGGGTGATCCAACCTCCCATGATCCGCCTCAGCACGCCTACCGATGCGGCATCTTTGTATCCGGTTCACCTGCGACGTGGAAAGCGGAAATGGAGTCAGGAGCAAAAGATTTGGTGGATAGAATGGCAACACCGCGAGTTGTAAGGGTCTTGTCACGCTCACCGTCTGGCCCCCAAACGGAATGTTTTGATGCCATTGCACAGCGTCGGATGATGCTCGCGCCTAGTGCGGCTTGGGATGCAGATGGAGAGGAGGTGGTGGAAACGGCGGCAGATGAAGGGTCCTGATGTCTTCTGCATCTAAATGGTTTTGTCTTTCATACTCAAATGAAGTGTATGTACTTGTGATTGCTTTGTAGGAACTCAGAAAAGGAAGATATTCTTGTACCAACTTGGCAGCAAACTAATAGGATAGTATCGCCCAAAAGTGGAAAACTAATAAATTGATGGGATGGGCGAAAATATGGCGTTGAACATGATACATACCGAGGGCTTATCTATCTGATTAATGTCTGATCCAGAGCCTTGATCCACGGTCCGACTGAAGCCGGGGATGTGAAGGACCTCCGAATTGCCTCCACATTTCCGCCGCCCATCTCCGAGTGGGGCCGATATCCCCGGGACTCAGCTTTCATACTTCAAGCTGGTAGCAAAAACAGTACTTTGAGACGAGAAACACTCACTATCTCGTATGAAGTGATCTTGTAAGAGGTGCTAAATGAAGTATCGTCATTACCAACGACGTGGATCAAGCTTAGGTAGCGTATTTTCGAATATCATAGTGAAGCACCATCATTCACAATTTCACCGAGCTGGTCGAGTTTAAGGGTTCATTTGCGGCAATTGAGGTGTACAGTACATGGAAATTCATTCCGTTCCATACCCCAACAACTCAGTCCTATGCCGTCCAATCTAGCATCAAGATTGACTACTCGTCGATATCCTGGAGGACCTCGACGCTGGCCCCGGGTCCAAGCTTCTCACGGAGCTTCGTTGCGAGCTCCTCATTGCCCCTACAAAGTATTAACAACGACAACTATAAAAATAGGGCTGGCGACTTACTTGAGCATGTACATGGGAGGGAAGATGAGAGGGGAAGGTAGGAAGGCGTAGTCGGAGTTGCCTTCGATAATCCTGGCTTGGTATTAGTATTGGGAGGATCCGACCTGTCTTTTCAAATAAACTTACTCGCGGATGGTGCTCTCGTTGATGATGTCGCCATCACGAGTTCGGACTTGGATCAACTTCTGGAAAGGGGACGTTTGTTAGTCCTGGTGGAGCTCATCAGGTAGCTCTTGAACTCACGGCCATGATGAAGGTTGGTGGTTTGGATGTGTTGTTTGATGTTGGTGTTTGTTGTTTAAGAAGTGAGTTGTGCTGATGAAGGTTGGAGCTTTGGATGGCGGAGGAGCTCAATATTTATAGGCAGAAGGATGTCGACCAGCGTAACTACAAACTACAAAGACACTACCAGTTTGCTTACTCTCAATGTCAAAGACTGCGTCATCAGTATACTTGCCAGGCAGGTCTCATCGTGGAGTGAAAGCTTCATGGCCTCCACTTTGACAATGAATGCAGGGCTACGAATGGGGCGAACACGGCACGGCCCGTGGCGGAGCCTCTCCAATGAGCTCTACATGGGGCTGAAACCTTTGACGCAAAAGGGTCCACGGAAAGATCTAGCGATGAAGATCATCTACAATGATGGAATGCTACATGCCAACGGTTGGCCCAGACGACGCTATCAAGTTCCTCTGCAAGGAATTTCGCGCATGTGTGTTCCAGATAAGTGACACAGAAGATGCGTCCATGAGTCGATATCTTGATGAGCGTGCGGTAGAGGAGCTTCACCGGTGGAGCGCATGTCTCACTCGATCTGGTGCCAAGAGGACCCTGATATCGTGGCGAGCGGGGAACTGAATCGATCCGAAATGACTCGTCTCCTTTTGTCTGCCGACAGCCCGATCTACACTTGACGGAGCAATCAAGATGAAATGGGTGAGCACAGCTTGCCTTGACGCATGCCTGAATGAAGCCTCTTGCCGATGGCCAAGACACGGGAGAATGAGACATTGTTGACGCGACATAGAGAGGGCCTCAATTGGTCTAGTTACGCGCCTACATCCTCAACATTGACTTCAACTTCGTCATCATGTTGAAATCTGAGACAACCCTCCGTGTTGTGAAGGAGATAGTGTCCGGTTTGCTCCGTAGCTGTCCAAGAAGTACGGGACCAAGAACAAGAAAAATACTTGAGAATTCGGTTTCCAATGTCACTCCCAGTCTCTTGTGAACATGGGTGTCGGAGTAACCCAATCTGGAACGCACGAGACGCAGTGCTTTTAAAGTAAAATTACACATCACGCATAATGAATAAACCCTTGTTAAGCAAGGCATGTCAATGGGGAGTGGCTGCAGGTTTCATTTTTGATCCAACCACACTCAACATCGACATTCGCCTGGAGAGACCATACCCTGCCTTATAATTCACTTATGGCTATTCATTGGGGCGTCTCACTTTCACGGTTCTGTCAGAGTTGGTGTGAAATTACCACTTCGTCAGACGCATCCAATGAGGAGCATTAGGCACCGCACTTCCTGCAAGCACGAAAATACGGCGCGCGGCCTCTATGCGATATCATAGCAAGGACTACTGAATCAAGTTTAGCAAACTTCCAACATGGATATAGATTTATAAGAGAACCAAGTTACTAGTGTCTCATAAGCCACTACGTCGGTCGGACCGCGCACAAGACACTGAAGAAGCTCCAAGAGGGCATGGGCCGTGTTCTTTTCATCCACGAAGCCGATCGACTTATGTAAGGCTCAATACGGCGCCGACGCGGTTGACGAGCTGGTCAGTTTCCTCAGCAAGCCTGCCCATGTTGGTAGAATCATGGTTATCCTCTCTGGCTTCACGTCCGATATGCATCGGCTCATTCCTAGCTAGAGCAACGCCCGCGATGTCAACAATCGAAGAATTCAAATACTATGAATGTTTCTTGAGACAAGCCAGTCGGGACCCTGTGGAGAGCTGATACTCACCGTCGACCTTATTGTCGAGTGCATGAAAGACATGATTACACAGCGGAAAGATCGTTTGGTGGCTATGGCGTCTGGCGGCAAAATTCCTCCTTCAACATCCCACTCTAGGAGTTTCCAACTCGGGTCCTGGCTTGGAGAATCCGCAGCTTGCTCCACCTCCTCCATCTTCGCAGATGTCGATTTCTCCGAGAAGATGGCGGCTTGCGACTCGCTTCGGGATCAGCTCACAGATGTCCAAACCCAGTTGCGGGTCAATGAGAAGATTCACCGAGTCCTTCGGCAGTTGAACCATTGCGAGTATGGGCATTGCTGGACCAAAGCTGACGGGGGTTACCGGTGCGAAGGGGGGATGCACTTTGTAGCTGAGACGGAAGTCCAGGCAATGATGGCATAGTCGTGATTAGAAGCCATGCTTTCGTCTCTTGTGTCCGCTTTAGAAGAATGGTTGAGAATGAAACTAGAGTCTTGTTTAGTTGTAAAGGATGCGAGATGGATTCCGGAGTATGAAAAGAAGCCTTGATTTGTGATAGGTTGGCTGTTTCGTTCGAAAGAGCATCGTAGTAGTTCATAATGGAACACTCATGGCAAAATCTTCCGGTGATGCGGCCCGTATCATCTCCCTCCAGCATAGAATAAACTTGTTACAATTATATACCGAGAAATTGCCATAGGGTAGCGGTCTTAACTACTAGCCTAGATCAAAGGACGGTTGTTTTAGCTTCTAAGCCGTACCAGTCAAAACTCATGGTGGAAACGACAACAAGATGAATCACAAAGTTATACATGTTGGCATGAGTACGTATGCAAGGTCCACTTATCGAATGGAATCTCTGAGACTCGATGACACCTCATAAGCCGGTCTCGACGTCAGATGCGGCATTTTCTGACTGATTCTTTAAGACACTTGCGAATCTTTCGTCAGCCATGCAGGCAACAAATCACACAGCCCTCTTATTACAGCTTATTCTTAAGCCGAAATCCTTGTCACTTGTCCGCTTACTTTCAACTTCACTGCAGGGGACGGCACCGGAAGCACCGGAGTCCATCAATACCCTGGCCCACGCAACGTGTACATGACCCATTCCATCGACTGGCAGGCATGCCAAGATTACTTGCAAAGTCTAAGACACATGGCTCTCCAACGGCAGTTGCCGCCCTTGACAGATGGAACGATGTCGCCATTTAGCTCATCCATAAACGCACTAGCAGACTCTTGGGTCAAAATATGTCGATCCGTCGTATCCAGACCAATATCTCCTACGACATAGACGCAGAATTTCTTTTGAAACATCCTAATTCACATGCTGGACTGGATTCTATGGTGCTCATTGACACCCACAACACCTACAAACTTACAGCCTTCTAAGAGCATTGAGTTTTTTTTTGGCAGTGACAAGTATTGGGGATTGATTTACTCCGTGCTCCGTCCCGGGACGGGGGATGCAACCCTTTAATTTCAACATCCTTGCCCTTTACCAAGTCGTTGGTCTTCCCCGCAAGCTCCGTAGGCTCGGCAGTTGGCAGCTAACTTCCGTATTTATTAGGCCCTTGCACTCACGTAACGACGGCCTTGACAAACCTGGAAATGTGCAAACCTTCTCAGCAAACAACCTCGCTCTGGAATGGTGGCTAATCATACTAATAAATAACGGCAAACTCTATCACCTTGACACTTCCAAATCACCCGGGCTACCCACCGCAAGCCTGGAATATGCGGCCTGACACTAAGCTTACTTGCCGTGTGATGTTTTATTGCCCAAGATGAGAGAATTCGACTCCGCCCCCGCGGCATCCTTGAGTGCGTTGAGGTACCTATATCATGCGTCCCCCGCGACGTTTTTGGTGGCACAGCTCCCCTTGGCAATCCATCCTTCCGGACATTTGACACTCAAGCTGTCGTGCACCACTCTGAAGCCGCCATGCGTGTGTCAAACACCCGTCTAGCCCTCTGGGCCTCATTGGTTCCTCACGTCATATCTTTCGCCTACAAGCCCCCCTCTAGCACATATGATGTTGATGTTGCCATCATTGGTGGAGGCTCCGGCGGTATCCATGCAGCAATTCAATTGAAGGACGCTGGCGCCAAGGTCGTCGTTATTGAGAAGAAGGACCAGATTGGAGGTCACGCCGAGACATACACCGACCCTTCTTCAGGTATTCCCGCAAACATTGGTGTCATCATTTTCGAGGACACAGAAGTCGTGAACAACTATCTTGATCGCCTCAAGGTTGAAAAGAAGAAGGGAAATCCAGCTGCTGAAGCTGGCACCCCCAAGCTTTACGACTTTTCGTTGGGCATTCCCATCCCGCCGCAGACTCCAGAGGAACAGGCTGCTTCGCAAAAGGCTATTGCGGACGCACTCAAGGTCTACTCCGAACAGGTCATTCCAAAGTATCCCTGGGTTGATCAGGGGTTTCTTCTCCCTGACCCCATCCCAAAAGAGCTTTCTCAGCCTTTTGGAGAATTCGCGCAACAGAACGGCTTCAGTGCTTTTCTGCCCAGCATCGTCCAGTTCAACTGGTACCCGGGGAACATCACCACCATCCCGACTCTGTATGGCCTCAAGAGCCTTGGCCCTGGTTTACTGAAGAGTGTCGCTGGGGGTTTCGTTTTCCCCGCATCCGGCGACACTCGAACCATTTACAAGGCCGCCGCCGCCGAGCTTGGCGACAGTGTCCTGCTTGAATCCACAGTTGTTCATGTCCAACGCAACAAGAAAGATGGTGTTGTCCTCATCGTGCAACGACCCAACCACGCTCCCAAGACCATCCGAGCCCGCAAGCTCGTGGTTGCAGCACCCCCAACTCTGGAAAACCTTGATCCCTTCGACCTTGACAAGAACGAGCGCAAGCTGTTCTCCAAGCTCTCTGGACTTGGCTATTTCGCTGGTATTGCCGCTATCCCTGGCATCAATGGAAGCATCCAAAACGTCGGAATTCAGACACCTTTCAACACTCCTGTCATTCCTGGCAGCAACGGCTACTACCCTTCAGGCACACCCAATCAGGTCACTCTCGGTGTGGCTTTCGATACAACCGATTACACCGACAGTGAGGCTGAGGATCTTGTACGAAAGGAACTCGCCACGCTTGCGGCTGTAGGTGCACTGCCGGCCGACGCCGCGGAGAAGGTCACATTCCCCTACGTCTCAAACCACGCCCCTTACAACCTCCGTGTTTCTGGCAAGGAGATTCGCGATGGTTACTACCGCAAGCTTCTCAAGCTTCAAGGTTCGCGTAACACGTACTGGACTGGGGCTACCTTTGCTGGACACAACAGTGGTTTGATTTGGACCTGGAATGAAGGCACTGTGCTGCCTGCCCTGAAGAAGGATCTTGGTCTGTGAGATCTTGGGTCGAAGCCATTATTAATTATGAGCACCTGCCGTTTTTGCGTACTATTTTGCTATTCTTCTATACACATAGCGATGCGTTGTGTGCCTTTTTACATTAGTCTTCATCGTATATATTAGCTAGTCGAAAATTTACAACCTTACTACTCGACCATACGTAAAAGTAGTTCCCCTCCAGATAGGAGGTTTTCTACCATAAGATTCAGGAGATAGATCGCATTCAAGACTACTCTACCAAATTGCTATGAACCGATCACCCTCATCTTCAGCACCCTCTGGCCTGAGTGCCTACCATCCCACGTCAATTCCTCTAAATACATAGATTGCCATCATGTAGCAAGTCGCACTGACAAAGTACGGCATTCCAAAAGCCATGCCACCGATTCCAATTCCGCGAACCCAAAGTGTGGCCATCAAGGGTGCTCCAAGTAGAGAGCCAACAGTCTTGACGAGCATGACGATGGAAAATATGTGACTCTCCGGGTTGGAAGGGTCTGTCGCATCACCGGTATATGGAGGACATATGACGGGTGACCTGAGTAGTGAAAGAGTAAAGATGGGTAGGGCGGATCCTAGCGCATAGACGAATAATGAGGGAATCAGTATCCAAATCTCAGCAGCCACTGCAATGCCCAACGCTCCGAGGACAGACACTATGAGACAGGCGGTGGCATATCGAACATTTGTCTTGTCAACAGTTGAAGCTGTCTCTTGTCCAGGCTCGGCGCGCGAACGCAGAAACTTGGGGATGATCCAGGTGAGTAGTGTAAAGTTCACAACCGCCTTTCCGGAGAGTAGATATCCGGCGGCAGCAAAGGTCCAATGGTAGCGTCCCGAGATATACTGCACCAGGAGCTTTGTGTCGGAGCTGGCCAGTGATGTTAGCATGAAGCTGATAAGTAGGAGTGTAAAGTTCCGTGGGTGGCTGGTGACGATGGTGTAAATAGTCTGCAGACGATCTGCAGTGGAGTGCAAAAGTGATTTGTGGTCGTCTTGAGCCTTGAGTAGTGGTGATGAAAGGAGGGGTTCCCTTTGCTCTTCATCAGGTGATTGTCTACCCTCAGCAGGGTCGCCATGAGATGGGAGGAGATATATAGCAGGGATAGCCAGCAGAAGAAGGAAGATGCCCAACCAAAACGGCAACCAAAGAGAAAGTGTCATGGTGGATGAAGCTAGTGCTGGGCCAAGAAGAGCTACCACGTAAGAGACAGAGCTCATGTATCCAAAGTAGATGGCTCGCTTGACATGGTCATCAGTAAGGTTCGAAGCGAGGGCATATGTGAGGGAGTTGAAGACGCAATCTCCCCCGAAAACCGATAGTGTCGGACCGGCAATAATTGCTCTCGTGGGAAGTAGGTGCTCGAAACGGCCCACTATAACAGCCCATAACAACATCAAGACTCTTGGGACAAGGTTGAGTCCCAGGATAGTCCGGCGACCCCACGTCTCGGCCAAGAAACTCAAGGGAATCGTCATGATGAAGTCTGTAGGTCGTCAGCCAAGGGTGCGATTTTAGTACGGAATCGTCAGTTTCTCACCTCCAGATACCCAAAGGGTCTCCATTATTCCTTGTATCCGACCCAGACTCTTTCCAATCTCGTCGACCTTGCACAGTTTCTCATCTATGCTTCCATCTGGTTGGATAAGGGATGGGTCTGTACTCCGGTAGTAGTCGCTGCAGAGTCGTCTCTCGATGAGTCTGTTCAGTGGAAGCTGGTACAGACTCATAGATAGATTAACCAGTAGAACTAGGGCCAAGACTGGGACGATAGATCGAGCCTGTCGGCGGGCCTGAGGACGCCGGTTGACGTCCTCATCCGGCGAGGCTGGCGCATCAGCCATCTTATCACGCACAACAACTAATGAACTAGTACTAGAAAATCATTGAAGATATTTGCTTCGCTACACACGCTCTTGGGCTTAGGATCAAGTATCGCGCTTCTCGGTGAGTGTTTGCAGTCGACGCGTGATGTTGTTGGGTTAGAGTGAAGCTTATCAGCGAGAAGCTTATCTCGCGTTGAGCACGTGAAACTGGCACGTGCCGGCCCGTGGACTGGTGAGTCCGAAAATAGTTAGCCTAGTGGGTCTAACCGAGCCAACGGCACAACAAGGATCAGATGCAGAGTACTTTACGTTACACGTATTTACACATAATTCTAAGTACCTCTTAGCAGGCATAACCGAAGTCTGTGCGAACCAGTATTCCCCGGCACCATCCCAGAGGATCAATAACAAACCAGCTGAGTTCCCGTGGAATTATTATCAGAAGCCCACATCTATGAGGCATGTAATCCAATACGCCTTGTGCTATAATTTTATCCTTATCTCCTTTCCTACATCTCTTAGCTAGCAGATACCTCGTCTTTCCATCTTCAGCTATTCTTTTCTTCGTCTCTGTCTTCATCTAGGGTAGGCCGGCCATCTGGCAAAGCATGTCTCAGTCATGCAGATTTGGGTGCCTGAGGCAGAGTCCACCGTCGCGTCCTTCAGCTGCCCCCACGCGTAGCCATGTTCAATCAACACCATCATTCCTCACCGCGAGGCCCATAATCAGCCACGAATCTGAGTGAGTAACACGGATAATTTATCGTCATCCTAAACTCAACTATCTTAATGCCAGAGGCATCACCGCAACGGTAGAAGACAATTGCCAATGTGTGCTCACTTGAATATAAAATCCTGTAGCCCAAACTCAACCTCCTCTTGCTTCTTGACCATCTCACCGCGCATCATACCCTCGAAGCAGCAGTCTCCTACGAGCAGATATTCGCCCCCATCAGAACGAATAACCAGAGGTGAAGGACAGCCGTAAAGAATGCACACCTCGTCACCCACGCGTGTCCCTGGACGCACAAACCCCATATACCCTCTCTCGGTGATCGCAAATGCCCTTGACGCCCAAAGGTTTCGCAACCGCTGCAGGAACATGTTGATGAAGTTCATTGGCGGATCACTGACGGTAGGTTTGTGGAAGGGTAACAAAAAATCCTCGCCGGTATCGCTACCATTTTCGGCTATGCGGGTTCCAAAAGCTGCCGTGGCTTGCGTGTAGAGTTGATCGCCAATGGACTGAAGCGCGACTGAATCATCTGTCTGGGAGACGTCTCTGATGACATTCTCGTCACATGCAGAGTAAAAGTAGCTTAGTGCAGGGTTTCCCTCCGCGGCGATTAACTGCAGTCCTTCTACCGTCGTGGGGTTCTGTCCTTCTCTTTTCCTCAATGCGAGCTCGTTGTCAAGTTTGTCAGAAACCGTGTCAGTCCGAGAAGCCGCCCCGAGACAGAGCATGAACCCTGATGCCAAAACCTTCTCGGACATCCAGATTTGGTCAAAACCCTCATAAGCAGGATTGTGGGGCTCTATCAGTAGCTGAGGAGGGAAGATGGCCTTGAAGAGCTTCTTGTAGATGCCCACTTGGCCACACTGTTCCCCACCGAGTAGTCCAAGGGACATGGCGATTGAGTCTAACATGTTGTTGGTAGGAACTTGGGTCATCTTTGCTATTCTGTCGAATGAAAAACCCCTGGCTGTGAGATGCTTGTCGTTGAATGAGTACAATGGATCCTTTAACCCAGAAGCGTCGAGTTTGTTTTTATGGCCAAAGCCTGACATGAAAATGGGGTACGCATATGGGAATTCCGCATTTCCGATTCTTCGAAAGTCGGGGATCCAAGAAGGGATGTCTGGAAAGGTTGAATCTTCAAACGTACCAACGCCACCCATAGTTATGCAGTAGAGGCTGTTGTAATGTCTTATCCCGTTCGTGACGAGATCATAATAGAGCTCCGCTTCTGATAGGCGATAATTAGGTTCCACGATTCTGTGCTCTGAGGGAATCAGGTTCAGCAAGGCGTAAAACTTGTCGCGGACGTCAGTAGCCTTGTACCGAATTGTCCTTCCAAAAAGAGTGAATATGTCTGAATGGGCCGGCGAGATTTCTTGCAGTGTGTCTCCCAGATGTTCAAGCCAACCCTTATCTCTGTGGAAGTTGAATGTATCAGCTTGACCATCAGCGGTGCCGGTTCTGATGTCAAGAAATTCTCTCAAAGGTCTGAAAACATTGGCATGCCAGTCAGAGCTTCCAGCAAAGCCCAGCTGCAATTTAAACGCCGTTTCCCAAAAGAAGAGGAAAGCAGCCATATTGCTCATATCAAAGCTGTGGCGGCCACAGATGAGATGACAACGGGAGGCGTGTGTGAACTCCTGAAGCACCCAGACCCTCTTCCAGTAAGGGTTCCCGCAAAGTTCCTTCATCGCTTGCCTGTTCGAGTCGTTATTGAGAGATTCTATCTTTTCTGGCATAAACGCTTCCATCCGAGGACAGGTCGATCCGCCGTTTTGATAGTCAGCTTCCATCCCGCCCATAAGCTCTAGTGCGTAAGAAAGCGATGTCTGCATAAACGAGAAGGCCTTTTCTGTGGAATTAAGCTCTTCCCCAAGCCATATGAGAATAGTCTTAGCCCGGCTGTAAATCTGGCTCATAAGGGGTACCTGGTGGCTCTTTTCATCGTCATCGCTCTGGTTGATGCAGAGAGCATCTGCCCAGACGTACTCAATTGAAGGGTCTTCATACAAGCGCTGTAGAGCGGTAAATAAGTTCTGGCCAACCGGTATGCCATGGCCATCTACCCATATAGTGCCGGCAGGATCCGGGCTACCCCAAGTGTAGGACAAAGCCTTGTACGGCGGAGCCTCGTCAAGCTTGAATGTCAGAAGCCTGCATGTGATTGGTGCTCCTCTTTGGCGTGGTGGCGGGTAAAGCAAGGAGCTCAGGAAGGTGACAATGGTTACCGGGGTGACAAATCCAGGAGAGAAAGTTGGCGAGCTCTTTATCTGAAGCAATCTGATTTCTTGGGATGGGTTGTCTAGAGGTTGGTAGATGGAAGGGTTGAGGGTGTGACTGCTCATCTTAAATGGAAGAAGGCCGCTGGAAGATGGAAGATGGAATGGAAAATAGATGTTTTGCGGAGTTCAAGTAGGAAGGCTCATGGCAATATTTCAACTGTGCCCTCTTTTGAAGAGAAGAGTCACGGGTATCAACATTTGGTGAGGCGGGGTTCAAAGCTGGGAAATGATCTGGAGTGAGGCTGAACTGAACCAGTGTGTGTCACGTGTGCTAAGGCTGTTTCAACCTAACAAAGTGAAAGAATGAGGCTGTGCATGAGTGAATTCTAAATAGTGAGGCTTGACAAGATAGCTTGGCAAGGAAAATATGTTGCGACCTTCAAAGTATCCATATCAGTTAACGTTGAGTGAAATGTAGCCAGGCCCATTCACTGTAACACTCTAAAGACAGATTCCTCCACAGTCCGATCCGCCGTTCTCGGGATCACAGTCATCACTCGGGTCGTCATAGCACCAGAGCCCGTCCGGACACTCCAGTCCGGCGATGCCCCCGCACTGGTGTAGCTTCTTAGGCGCACAGATGCCCGTCATATCGCAGGCCATCCCGCATGAGTTTGGGATCCGCGAGTCGTCGATACAGCTTGTGCCCTTCTTGCATGGAGGCGGGGGCTTGCGTGTGTGGCCGCCACAGGTCTGGTATTGATTCTTAAAGTAGCACATTCCGGGGCAGCGGTTCAGGTCTTTGCAGTCAGGAGAGTCGGGAATGCACTCCGTGTCGTCGGGACAAGGGGCGATCTTGAGGCCACATGGGCGGTCGATGCCCTGCTTTGCAGCTACGAAGCTGGTGAGGCCGAGGGCGGCGGCGATGAGGAGGTTCTTGACGAGCATTGTATTCTTGCTGAGTTTGATGGAAGGGACAGGGTGGAATGAGTTGTAGAGAGGATTGAGTGGATGCATCGACTAACGGGACAATCAACCTATCTTATATCTGCCCTTAGACAGTAAGCTTAATCAATTCCAGCCGTGATTCATCTCTCTGAAACACGCATGTAAGACAAAGCCCTTTTGATCTGCAGTCAGCTGCCATAAGGCCTCCGACGGTCCGAGAATGTGATTCCACGATGGGCAAATGAAAGGGTCAGCCACTTCGTATCACCGCGCCATATGCCTTTATTCGCACAGAATGATGCGCTCGATCGTGACGTTGCACAGAGCTGACAAGTGAAACGGTTGTAGCTGTCAGAAGTCGGCATAATTTACCCCGGCGATGATCATCCATGCTGATGGGGTCCCAGTTTTTGAGGCTGGGTCCATTCCAGATGCTGCAATCGGCCGGCAGATCATCCCAGCCTAAATTGTTACTCGCCGCGATGGGCCGAAATGGGGGACGGGATGCAACGTTGAGGTGTTGTGAACTTCTGAAATAGACTATCTTCTTTGACTAATAATAGTGACATAGGGCTTGTAAAGAAAGCTATTGGCTCCCTAGAGAATCTTAACTGCCTACGACTAAATCCGCCCATTCTCGGTACGGACAACCTGCCACGGCCCAATGTAATCAATCTCTTCATAGGTAGGAGGCAATACACGGACCATCCTCCCCGTCGACCAGTCGACAAACCACTTTTTACCGCTCGAGATCACGTAAGAGCTCTTCCGGGGGCTCTTGAATAGGAGGTTGGAGTAGCACAGCTTGGCGTACAGCATGTCGTGCGCACTCGACCACCGGCACTGTGGAAACCATTTCCCCGTCACTGGATTGATCGAGTCGTCTGAATATTGAGGGCCGAAAGAGTCCCAGCGTCGTGATAAAGAAATCCCAACGATAGGCGGATTCGAAATAAGTGTCTCACTGCCATTAGATACATCTCCAGTTGTTGTGCTTGATCGCCGAAAATCGAGCTCACTCCCGAGGTCACGATCGAAGGCGGGTGCCCGCTCTCGGCCGTGGAATAAGCTTATACGCTCCAGCCGTGGGACGCTATAGTCGAAAGGGAAATCCCGGTCTTCGATGGGCGCTGCAACGTTCATGGCTGCGTTCAACCAGTCAAGCCACTTGACAAAGGTGGAGAGTTCGCAACAAGAGATCAAGAACTGGTCAGTTTCTACCCGTAGCCGGATCACATACCGCCGCCTATTTGAATGAGTCAGTTTAGTCTTGTCAATGACGTCAAGGGGTTCAGCTTACTTCTTATAATCAGATGCGATCCCACTCTCAGCGTACTGGAGACTATAGCTCTTCAATAACTTCCCCTGGTCTATCCACGGTGGATTATCAGGGTCAACACTGGGGCCATCATCTGCGGTGCGCCCCCATTGCCAGCTTTTCTTGACGCCATAGATGTTCAGGGCCGTGCCGTGGAGACTAACGTAGACCATTCGCCATTGTCGATCTTCGGCACGCTGCGTGGTGTTTGTGATTTCCATCTTGCGCATGAAGACCCCTTCTAGGTCAATGTCACAATGGTACTCTGGTAGCGTGTCATGTGGCAAGGCGACGGATTCCTCGTAACCAGGGGGTTGCCGTGGTTGTGATTGAATCAAGCGTTGATAAAACAGGTCTTCATCAACAGGCGGCAGTCGTTGAGTATGAGAGGCGTGACCGGACGGTATTTTTCGCTCTGATGAAGCACTGGAATCCTCAATAATACCTACATTCTCGCCCAAGAGGTCGACCTGGTGAGGTGCGTCCGGAGTGTGCAAGTCGTCTGCAAATCGGACAGATCGTTGGCCTTGAATCTTGTCGCCCGCCCTATTCTGTTCACCATCAAAGTCATGGTGTGAGATTTCGGGTGTGGCGCTTGAATCACGGTCATCCTCATCAATGCTATTCCTGGGCGTACGCTCAGGCTCCTTCGGGGTGAGAGGAGCGCCATCAAATTCGTAATCAGAATCATCTGTACTCTCCGTAAAGATGGTGGATGCTCCGGTCTTTATTGTAGTCGACAAGGCAGTCGATTCCGCCATGAACATCAAGTCCAAACCCAAGACTTTTTCTGAATGATCGGCAGAGAACTTATGTAATATCCGAACCTGCTCAGAAGCTGAGTTAGCGGCAGATTCCTCACCGAGCTATGCTACTACGCTTACCTTTTTGGAATCCTTCGTCATCCGCAAGCTATTCTTGACAGCCTCTAAAAGCTCAAGTCGCTGATAGCATAGAGCCCAAGACTCCAAGGAGGACCAGTCTGATGTCTGCTGGGTCGTTTGTATAAGGCTATCCAGGTAGGTCAAAAGCTCGAAAGCGTAATCATCCTCTCCCCTCAAGTGATCAGTTGCAAGGCCACTCAACAGTGGGAGTGGCTCTGCAAGAGAGACGTGTGTCGTCTCCAGCAAGCCCATGATCTGACTCATCGTGGATTCAAGTGGACTTATGTAGACTTCACCAAGAGGGTTTGATCCCACCACGTGCCCAAACACAAAATTTGGAAGGCCCGCTCCTATGACAATAGAGCCAGAGTCTCCAGGAAGGAGCCCTATGTGATGCATTAGTTCACGTAAACCCTGAAAGATACTGTTCTAGCTCACCTGATCCTGGAGACAAGACGACAGTCCAGTACTCAGCCTGTCCCTTGCGCGTGATGCCTCCCAGAAAAGAAGGCACCGGCTGCAGCATCCCACGAAATACTCTTTGCCTTGGGGCAACAATGAGTACAGGGGTTTCTTCCTCAGGTAAGCTGCCCGGTGTGCTTGAGAAAAATGTTGGCTGGCACGGCTGATTGGCGTCGAAAAGGGCGTTGGGTAGCCGAGGTTCTGCTACGCTCATGCTAACTAAGGCCCAATCATTGTCCGGAACTCTACTATATTCGCATGATTCAGAGCAGCTGGAAGGAGCAAGGATTGTAGGATTGACGGATGGGGAGGTCTTGAATGGAAAGGGTTGTGACTCAGGACCTTCGACTTGCGCTTGCTGATCCTCTTCGTCCAGGTCCCCGTACTCGACATCATCCACGAAATCGTCATCGTCATCGCTCGTATGATTATCAGGAATGGAAGTGTGTGTGGTGTAAGTTGATTCGACCATGCCATAATCTGAAGTCGTGCTGGATCTGTCGTCCGATGAGTTGGCCATTGATCGCGTGGTAAACGAAATCGAATCTAGTTCCCGTGCCTCGTGACAACGCGAGTGGCTATGAGGAGGGCTGTTCGTCCTGCGCCGTCGTGAGGTCTTAATTCCTTGATCAAGCAGATGTGCGGCTGTCAGCCCGTAGAACCTTGAATCAACTTGGAGAATGCAACCAATTGTGGAAGTAAGGAAGCCTCCTGATCGATTTGGGATGGCAATGACACGGCCTGACGTGGTGAGCCTGGCATGCGGGCTATGTGTTGGCTCCAGGAACACTGAGGCAGACGCCATAGGATGCTGGTGCGAATACAAGACGCGTGGTCTTTGAGCTCTCCAGAAGTACAGGTTGAACAACGGCTTGAATGTGTCAGATGGCTTTGCTGGGATGCTCTTCCCCCAGCTTTTCCAAGAATATTTTGGTGAGGACTTGCGCAGACAGTACTGCAACTTCAGGTGTTTGCTATTGAGAAGTGATCTCAAGCAGTTAAACTCACTGGGTCGACAAAAGACGATGATGCATGGATGGGCTTCTCCGGCTGATGTTCCGCACATCCGTAGCTCATAGTCGATGTGCTCCAGATGGGCCTTTAACGGCATATGTTGCTCTGCATTCAGCCTGAAGAGATTCACCACCTCGCGGAAACGGCTGCGAAACGCGTCGGGTATTTCTGATCCGCTATGAGGATAAACGTAGATCTTTGGCGAAACATGGGGCAGCTCGACTGCATCTCGGAATGGACCGTTTTCTTGGAATTCCGACTCATCCGGAGTGGTAGTTGGCTCTTGATGCTGAGTGTTATCTAGGGGCGCAATGGGGTTGGGCCTCGCTGCTGAAGTAGCAGGCTGTTTTTGGGCATCTGAGATGTGCGGTATGGACTTCAAGTCACAGGGAACGCTCTCGTCTGAAGAAGGCAGCGGGGGTTCCGGAAGAGCGTTACGAAATACGCTAGAAAGAACACGGGGTCAGATGCGCACACAGCTTAGGGTCGTTTCGAAGATTCTCACCTTGTGAGATTCTTAAGTTTCTTTGGGACATGCAGCAACCTCCTTGATTCGAGCAAGGAGATACTCTCACTCGCAGTCATAGTAGCATTGAAAGCGCAGACCAAAGCCCAAGATAGGAATTATCAATGCCTTAATTCCAAGGGAGGCACCGTTGTTGATAGAGCGGGGGAAGGATGTTGATGGAGGGAAATCAGCCAAGGCCCGATACAGAAATGAGTGGTAGGTTGAAAATCAGTAACTGGTCTTATCGGGAAAGGTGAGACCGACGTGTCAACCTATAGCATCGCGTCTTCCTGCATACTGCCACACTATCGACGCGGCTGATCAGGTTTGTGGTGGCTGTGCTTCTCAAGGCTGATTTCTGTCTGAGCTGCTCCCTACCCGCCCTCACTTCCTTCCTCAAAATTGCCATCGAAGGTAATCGATGAATCTGACCTGGAAATTCCTTTCGAGATGCGCTCCTGCAACGAGGCAGAAGCACATGTGCTGGCAGGCGAGCTTCTTGGTGCTCCCTCTTACAGCAACTCGACTAGTCCGGTTTTCGGCGCGTTCTTCAAGCACTACAATGCAATTCTCAGCCCTTCAACGTTTGGCGACGCCGTTGCCGAGATCGAAAGCCCCGTTTTGAAGTCTCACAAAGATGTTTTATCCTGTGTGCAAATACTCAGGAGCAACCCGGCGTTAACATTTGACAAGTTTCTCGTTTTGGCCTTTTCTGGACGAGACGCTAGGCCTGCCGAGAAGGAGTATGCGGCGAGAGCAGTCATTAGCGCTGCGTTTATGATAAACTGCGCATCCAAGGACTACTACTCCGAAGGATTCCAGTCTGGTTCCCCCATGCGAGTGAAATGGGGGCCGAACCAAGGATTTGCCGACTTTCTGGAGAAAGCCTTCACCGGAAGCCAAATGACAGCTCTTGACCAGGATTCAAAGAGGGATATACCGTACAGAAGCTCATTAAAAGCATGGAAGCTTGTCAAGAGGAACAAAATAAAAATCCGACCCACCAACAACTTGATAGATCACCTACTCTACGATCCGAAGGACCGGGTACTCCATGTGTTCCACCAGACCATGTTCCTCCAAAGTCAGATCAAGCGTTGCAAAACCGGTGATTTTGATATGGATTTTGACGAAAGTTTGAAGCTGTAAGGCACCCTGAACATGGCATGAGAGGAGACTCATCCGGGATAGTGGAATGTTGCCACCGCGGCTGCTCTTCGAAACACTGGTCACCATCCACTGTATCCTCTTCCCAGTAGCGAGCATCGGAAACAAGAGATCCATGAGGCTATTGAAGAAATTGATCAAAAAGGAAGGGTTTGACCCCGAGGCAACATGGGTGGAGTTTGTTAGACCGATTCCGGATGACCTTTCCTTCACATACTGGGGACCGCGGTTGGCTGAACTTCATGACGTGGTGAAGCGACCGAGACCTACGAATTCTCTTGTTTCGTGGTTTGAGAGACACACCTCAGAGAGAAACGCGTTGACTGTGGCTATTATAGGGCTTTTCCTCTCCGTGCTGCTGGGTCTCTTGTCACTGGTGGTTGGTATCTTGCAACTAATTGTTGCATGGTTGGCTTGGAGAGATGACCAGAAAAGGAACGACTAGTGATAGATGAATGAAATATGCAAAGAGCGGTGTTTAATCGCTTGAAATAACATTAAGCAGCAAATCTCCTAAGAATTGATTTGGCCCGCGACTTTTTTACCCCAGTGCCTTGCTTGCGGACCGAGTGTAATAGAAACAATAGCGAGGATATAATAGTGATGTCCAAGACAGGGTCTTCCATACCCGGAAGCAATATGACCCCTTCGCTGAAGTTTGTACATAGGTCTTTCTCGAATCCGCAGTGATGGTAGATTGCCACTATAGAGTTATACCCACCATCTAGAGAGTTTTGCTTCTGCTTTATCAAGTCGTAACGCAAAGATCCAGGGTTGTCCATGTACAATTGCCATTTGAAGGAACGGGGTGGCGTGGCATCCTTAGATTTTGATGCTCCTAAATCAAGCTCCAGACTTGGACACCTAGTTGATCCATCCGTAGTTGGTTCAACGGGTGCGGCATATACCAGTCTTGATGTAATGCAGGGCCGAGCCGCAGGTGACTGAATGGCCAGCGAGAACCCCTGTGTTCTCTGGGAAGAAGATCTAGGACGATCAGCAGGTCTTGTCTCGCACTCTATACTTTGAACTTGCATTGCAACTTCCAACGCGTCTCGTCCGATGCATCGCTCCCGAATCGTTGCTGGCAAACCGCTTGAATCCATGTCTACGAGATATCTGACGTCGTCTTCAGGATGGTCACCACAGGGTTTTAGAAGAAGACAAAACTCGATTTTGTACTTCCTTTCACCAAGTGGAAATGGTCCAAGTGTTTCGAAGTAGTGGTCGGAGATATCGTATATAGGCAGATGAGACGTATTATGGGTGTGAATTGGAAGATAAAGGGCTCGTGCGAGATGAGCAGGAGCGCCCACTTGCACCTGAGCGGGTTTGATCTTTTGTTTGTGTTCAAATTCACGTGGTGAAGACTGAGAGGCTTGGCACCTAGCCGTTGAAACATAATGTGAGACTGCCATTGTTGATTTGAACAAATGATGAAATGAAAAAAGGCAGAAAAAGATGAAGGGATGCTTTGCCTCGGCTTAAATTACAGGTTGATAATATGCTCTTCCTCTTCGTTATATATCGTAGCAGCACTTCATGCAGAGAGTGGAACCGAATTTCGAACAAAGCAGGACCTCGGAAATAGCTATTTGCACTACAGGAGTTATCTTACCTCTTGCAAATATTGACTAAAGGGTTTCCACAAATTGGCAAGGCTGTTCGCCACGTTGAGTCACTCGGGCAGGATCATATCCGAAGACTTGACAACTCCGATTAACACACATCTCCGACAATTCCCACGTCATGTCCGAGAGCCTTTTTCTCCGAATGTGGGCAGCCACGGACAAGTTCCGAGCCTCAATTTCTTGGTAAGACCATGAGCGAGCACTTTGATAAAGCTCAAAAGGCAAACATCTTCTCGTATACAGTATTTTGACTTGACATTTTTGTAGATACGCTACCTATACACTAACATCATCTACGTTGTGAGACCCGAAGCACCGGCTCCAGAAGAAATATGACCCCAAAGCGAGATAATAAATATAGCCATGAAGCTTAAATATAATCTAGCGCAAGGGGTATCATACTGGTTTTGTCACTAGCGAAAGTCGTGGGATCCCTTGGAGTTTGTTATGCGCTCCTCCTGATGTGACACTATTCACAGGCTAGAAAACTGGCTTTTCATAGGTATATCACACAAACTACCTAGCTAACTATGCAGCCTGCAATGCTTATCTTTATTTGGGATCCCCCACCAACAGATCAAGATAATGGCCAACAGCGCCAGGACGACTGGATGCAACGCAGTAGTGCCGAAAACTTGAGCAAGCAGACCTGTAAGAAAAGAAGTGATTGCGCCCCCCAAGCTTCCAATTGTGGTAATGGTTATCATCTCTTTGGACGTCTCCCTTTCCGCTATGGGGTGCGTAAAGATTGCTGCCACATGCGAATAGATCGGGCCGAGCATTGCACCCACGGCAAACGTTGCAATAGTGGTGGTGTTGGCATTAGGCATGAACCAAAGTAGCAGTTGAAAAGCAGATGCTAGAATACTCGATCCATAAACCAAGTGATTTTGACCGAACCGTTCTTCGATGTCGGATGAGCCGAATCTACCGACAGCGATGCCAGCCCAGAAGCTAGCCAGCACGTATCCCAACGATACAGGCTCCCCGGTACGGGTGTCGATGAGAAAAGCAATGGTCCAGCCAGATATAGAAGCCTCAGCACCCCGATAGGCCAAGATGAGAATTGCGCCAAGTAGAACCGTTCGCGTGCATAGCGAATGGGGAATGTCCCCTATAATTGTGTCCGCTACCAACTCTAGATCTCGAGAATTCATATTCGGGTTCTTTCCGCGATACCGAAACGACCACGAAGAGAGAGCAAGAACCGAAATGGTGAGACCCAAGTTGACGATATAAAATCGGCTGCAGTGCATACCCTCAGTTGCCACCATAGCTGTTGCGACAAGAGGACTGGCTGTGGTGCCAATGCCATAGCACGCGTAGAGAATTTCGGATAGAAAGGGCTGGTTCGGAAAATGGGAGCAAAGAGTCTTCCCCCGAACGTTGTTGATCGCCACGCCAAAGCCAACGAAGGCGAACGCAATAGGGATCAGGGGAAACGGCGCTGCTGCCACCATCGGGACATAGCCAAGGATGGCAGCCATATTTGCTATCCTGAAAACGTCGGGTTGGCTGAGGCTCGGATAAAGGTCGTCGAGGAAGATCGCGGCGAAGAGGCATCCGATACCTTGTCCGACGAAGACGAGTGAAACAACGGCATAACCGATGTTGTAGTCTCTTGAGGAACATTAGCTCTAATACAGTTATAGCAAGGAAGAGAAGAGAAGGCACCTTTCCATGTATGGGAGTATTGCTCCCAAACTCCCGTCGTTGAAGCCATTTAGCAGGCTCGCAAGGCCAAGGGTCGCCAGCTGAAGGCTGCTCATCGAGACTTGGACGTCCGGGCCTTCCTCCACGGCCTTCATAGCCTTTGTCTCAGGCATTTGTAAGAGGGTGTATCGATCGGTTCGGTCGTGTCGACATGGCGTGGGTCAGTATGCGCTCGTTGGGCCCACGGCTTGCGTGTTTGAGAAGTCGGGATAGATATCGTGGGAGACGTTGTGTACTTAGTAATAGAGCACGACAAATAGTGGATTGATGAGATGGTAGGTAGAGTAACATCAGCGATCTTTTCCGTAGCCGCCCCGTGACCAGACAACACATGGTGTCAGCTTGCAGAAGTCCGATAGGATCACATCTCCGATCCAAGAAGGCCCCACACATCTCCGACTCCGACAGCTTTGTCACGGCCCCACTCCGATCGGAGACTCACGGAGATGATCAGACGGTGAAGAATTGAGATATGACGAGGCGACAGTTATCCACTCTTCGGTGAAGAGGCTCAAATAAATAACTTGGACCCTAAGATGTTTTTAAAGATTGGAATCAACAGATCATCTTTTCACTTGACCGAGCACCATATCAATCACGTTTCCGATTACAACGTCACGTTAGAGCTCACTACAGTATAATTCTCGGCGAGACATTGCGCCTACGTCGCACTTCTCTTATCAAGTCCTGCCATGCGCTCTCTTCTGGCTCGGATAACTGGGATACCTCCAGTCCGCGTGAAAATAAGGTAACACCCAAACTCGCAAACTCGAAATCTCGAACTAAGCGCCAACCCTCTTCAAGGCCGGAATACGATTATGTGTTTCTTCGCGGATATGGAGAAGAAGCTGTTGGACAGTATCTCCGAGGTAAAGTCACTCTCTCTGTCCGTGGAGGTGAAAGTGTCAGGGGAGTTCAACTCAGACTGTCTCACCAAATTTCTCTTTGGTATGTCGGGACCAAATATGTGACCCTTTGGGACAAAGCTAACATGCTGTAGGGATCACAAGACAGGGTCTGGTGATGAAACGAAAGTGGAAGCATCAGTCGTGAACGAATGGGATTCTTTCCTAGTTGAAGGCCAGCCGAGCGAAGTATCTAGGTCTGGAAGGGTCTACGAATGGCCCTTTGAGGTGTTCATCCAAGGCCATCAAGAGGAGTCTTTCAGGGGGTGCGCCCGTTGCTCCAACACTTATCGATTGGATGTTTTCACCATCCACGAAGATTCCTCACAAACACTCCAGGATTTTATTCCTATCCGGATAATCCGCTTACCTTCGCTCTCTGCCTACGAGTTGATGGATCCTGTCACCGAACAGGGTAAATGGCTTGGAAAGATCCAGCACAGTGTGTCACTGGGCCACAAGGCCATTGCTTTGGGAGGCCTCATCCCAATTCACGCAGAGCTGGCTAAAATCGAGGATGGAGTCCAAGTAACAAAAGCAAGGTTTTGCCTCTATGAACACCACAAGACACTGGACGATGGTGTTGCGTCCTATGAAGGACGCAGGCTCGTGGAGGAGTGGCCGCTCGATTTGACCAACACCAACGAGAAGATTCAAACCTGGGAGCAGTGTTTGAGACTACCAAAGGTAGTCAGGAAGTGCTCGCCGGACCTAGATGCTTGTGGCGTCATCATCAGCCACACACTGCACTTTGCTGTAACGCTGAAGGAGGGCGACACTGAAGCAGACGTACGTGGTCCCCTCTGTCTCTGAGGTTCTTAACTGACAGACTTTGCAGTATGAAACATCACTTCCAATTACGTTGTTTGTCTCCCCAGAGCTACCAATCAACGGCTGGGGCGCTTTCGTACAGGAGAATGATCAGGCCACTAAGGGTGCTCTTGAGGCCTTGTCGGAAGGCATTCAAGCCCCACCAAGGTATTGCAAGATTGACGAGGGAGACAGGCAGTACGAGATTATTGTGGATGCTCCTCCAGCTTACAGCAGGCTGTGAGCACGAGACTTGGACGTAGGAAGACGGACAGGAAGACTAGACCAGAAGATGGATGGATCATAGACGTTTGGATACCCAAATGGCCAAGAGGCCAGTGCATTTTTGGAAATAGACAAAAGGAACAGACAACCATATATCAATTCTCTTAAAATATCTTTATCAGGCCATGAATGGTAATGAGCCCCTGGCTTGTTCTAAGTAGTGGCCGTAAGATCGTCGTCGGCCTGGGGGGTGGAAAAGTCTCCATCCCAAAAGTCCTGTTCAAGTCAGTATTAAAAGATTGACAAGAAATGATTATGTACGTACCCAATCTATTGCATCAGGCCTAAACCAGTCAACGTTGCTAACCCAGTCTTCAAATCTACTTTCGGCCAACTCTCTGGCCGGAGATGGTGGCGAGGCTCGTGACAAGCGTAATCTAGAATCATCAGCTTCTGATTGTAAATGCGAATTGTGAGTGACTTACTGGAGGCAGCGCAAGATGGGGTAAATGTGCGAACAAGCTGGACTCTTTCTTTTCAGGCACTCTAAGCGTACTACCGCAGCATCAATCACCGCCAAGTGCTCGGTAAAGTCGGCGTCGTTGGGCATATCCAATAGGCACGAAGTGAGAGCAACAGCTCCGTGGAGTGCATTGCAGCTAATTGTGCCATTGACGAGCCAGCGATAACACTTCAACCTCGGAAGCTGGAAGAATTGACGATGTATGTCCAGCAATGCCAAACCGGATTGAGCGCATCTGTCTCTGGATTCTGGTCGGAATCGGGTTGATCGAGAGTGATGGAATGGGCGATGGAGAAGCAGGTAAAGCTGATGTGCATAGGTCTGTAGAATGCACCAATGCGCATAACCCGCAGTATCCAAGATGCTTCTTGCGCCATTGACGAGATACAGAGAGTCCCACTGCTGTTGCTGCGCCGATATCTCGGCGTCAAATGGGCCGAGTGCCGCTTCATTGAGCTGGTTTGGGCCGGACACATGACTATGAACTCGGGTTGATAGTTGAAAGAGTTGAAAGTGAAACCTGATGAGCGACATATGCGTAACTCGACGGGATGAAGCCTGAGCTGGTGGTGTCAAGATGGCATGCTCTTGTATCTCATCGTCGTTAGCGTCGGCTGGCATCGTGGCTTTCATGTTGGCGAGAGAGGACAAGTCAATATCCCGATAGAGAAGTGTCTGGTCGGTGTGAAGGATCAAAATTCCCGCCCAGCAGCGTCGGCGACGCTCTCTTTCGATGAAGTTGGACGCATCACCATTACTATGGCAGCGGAGAGCGATGGCGATATGCAACGCGTTTCCCAGCAGGACCCAGCCATATTCAGTTCCTTCAGTATTGGCGATGGTGTGAATCAGGATCAGCAGTGCTTCAAGAGTGTTGAGATTGTGTCGGACTAGGAACTGATCCTGTGAAAGACACATCATGGCTGCCTCTCGACACCGAAGTGATAAGCCGGAAAGATCCCGGGGCGTAGATGAGTCTTCCCATAGCTCTGACAGACCGGGATCGGTGGGAGGGACAGTCTTGAGAGTCAATCCGCAAATGGCGTAGAGAAGTGCCAGCCATGAGAGATCCGCTTGTTGAGGATTTTGTAAGAACGCCCAGTACTGCTTCTGGAACGTCGGACCATGGAGAATGTGGAAAAGTGGAGAGAGTGTTGCGAAGTAACGGGTGACTAGATACTCGCAGACGGGGTCAGGCGGTAGCACCGCAAGGAGTTCGGTGACTGGCTTGCTTGGGCCAAAGGACAAGGTGAAGGGAACATCCGTGGGAGCTGGGGGAGTCGGCTCGACCGGCGGCCGACATAGGACGGCATCCCATCGGCTCTGGATCGCCTCCGGACTTTGACTTCGGGGCAAGACCGACTCACCCTCCGGCTCCGATAGCTCGGAAGGCTGATGCTGTGGCTGCAATGAGGGCCGGCTAATAGGGGGTAGAGCCCGCCGCCGTTGAGGCGCGCGCCGGCAGCTCGAAGGGGCGTATGAGCAAGAGGCTTGCCAACCCCTTCGCAAGCACGTCGCGCAGGGCAGTTGACGATCGCATCGGAGTTTAGAGTGCCTGCAGGGCTCACAGCTTAGTGGCTTTCGGGGACGGCGCTTCAGGTGTCCATCTGCTGTATGAGAGCTAGGAGTGCTTTGGGTCGAATCGTGCGTCATGGCGATCGGAGTTGATAGATAGTACAAGATAGCCGGAGCAAGAGTTTGACGTGGTGAAGTGAGGGTCTCGGACATTTGTGTGGATCGGATCGGACATGTGACTCGGAGTTGAGTGAAGAGTTTTCTCCGGGTCCTCTTTACGTCATCTCCGACTGGCGTGATCACGTTTATTGACTCCATGTCAACTTCATGGTCACCAAGCTAGAGAAGAGTGAGGAGTTAAATGAAATGATTTAATTGCATCTTGATAACGATCTTTCGAGTTGTTCAGCAAATAACTCAATCCATTGAGGCAGACACCGCCAAGTCTTTTCAGCAATGCCTCCACAAAAGGCCTGACATCTGTCTGGACTTCCCCGACCATGAAGGGAATGATCAAAAAGACACCGTTTTGCAAAGATATCATGTTGCAAGCTTTCAAACTGATAAAAAGAGCATTCGGAAAGCCTATCTGATTGCCCTGAGGGGTGACTATCCGGGGTGAACTGGGATTGTAGAACACCAGTGTGAGTGGCCATACCGTATCAGTCGATAGGGCGACACGATTGTTTTTGCAGACATGACGGAGAAGACGTACAACAGCAGTGTCAGTGCTGGAAACAAGGTCAAGCTGAGCCTCTACCCAGCTTTGGATCACACGGCAGCTGTTGGAGCATCAGCCCCTGAGTGGCTGGCGTTCCTTGAAGGCCTGTTGAAGGGACAAACGATCAAGCACTCAACAAAGGAAAAGAAGGTTGCTTTCGATCTTGAAAATGCAAGCAAGCCTCCCGATACTGTTTGAGCTTGTTGGAAGTGACCTGGCGGAGGGGGATCTTTGAGCTTGAGTAGATATCGCTTATTTTGTATCTACAATTGCGATCGACCTTCATTTAGGCAATCAGACATATTTTCAACTCGTATGAAATCCTTCGCACAACTTCCTTTTCTCCAACCATGTACGGGGTCTCTCCCACTAGACGGACTTTCGACCTTCTAGCTCACTTAACTCATCAAGAGCCGGGATCAACAAACTTTCATTTGCCGCTTAGGCATCTCCGAGGCAGCGGACGCGGAAGTTACCCGTGGAGGTCTCAGAGTCAAGGGGGACCCAGATGGATCCAGCGTCGCCGCTGGGCTGGAACTTGCCCGCGTAGTAGTCGAACAGGGGGAACCATACGACAACACCGGACTGGTTGCCCTCGCACTCGATGGGGATCTCGATGCTTGTGCCACTGGTAACAGAGTAGCTGGAAGACACCTCGAGACCAATCTCGGCTGTCATTACGTCGAAGAGTGAGCCCCCGAGGCTGACAGAGGCTGTGATGCCAACAGTCTCGGTCTTGCTCTTGGAGGCTACCCATTTACCGCCGTTGGGTAGGCGGTCGGTCATCTCAATCTGAGCCCCTGGTCTCTCGACACTCTTACGGCGGTTTGTGATTTCGAAGCTATCATCATCCTGTGGGCGTATTAGTTTAACTTGGCAGGGGGCCATGGCAGTCACTTACTCGAGCATGTAAAGCGTGCTTGGCTTTCTGCTCTTCTTCAATCTGCTTGACCTCTGCCTCATTCTCCTCAAGACTCATGACCTCCTCAGTCACGCCTGCAGATCTATCCACAGCCGCCTTCATGGCAGCCTTCCAATCTGTGTTAGCCCTGATGGCAACCTCGGTCCAAGGCTTGGGCTCAGCGGGAGACTCATAGCCGCCACCGTCATCAGGCTCACAGTAAGAAATGATGGCGCTAGTGCGTCGTCCCCATTCCTTGCTGGAATCGCAAACTTCCTTGTCCTCGTTGTTGCAGAACGAGATGCGGCAATTACCTTCGCGGAAGATGCGACAGGCGCGTTGATTGACGCAGACGTCACGCTCGTCACCATTGCCAAAGTAAACATTGCCGTCAATGATGCTTCGACCTTTACGCCAGTCAGTCATCATGTATCGCACACTGAAAACGGGGTTTCTTACAGTCTTTGTAGGACGGCTGAATCAGTCCGTCGCATTCAATGCCAGGCTTTGGGCGAGTTCCGTCAAACTCGCCGTCAGATTGGGGTACTGGGGTTCCCGTGACGAGACCATGGATCATGGCGAGGAGGGCTAGGGAGGTCTTGGAAAGAAACATGATGAGCAATCGGCGTTTCTGTCAGGCAAAAAAGGGGTAAGGGTGATGGTGCACTGCTGTTATTTCTCAGGTGATTCTTTGTACTGGAGATGTCGTGCTGCTTGTTGAACTGAAATTATACCACGAAAAGTGAGCCATCTTTATACTCAATAGAGGTCACCCCAAACGCCCTTGATCGCATCGTTTCTCCCAAATCGTCCCATTACTTCGTCCTCTGTTTCAACGTCATCCGCCACAGACGTCAAAGAGGCATCCTGAGATCCTCGATACCTTGCGCTCTGAAGGATTAAGATGCATTCACGAGTATAGCCCACTATGACGATCTTGTTGGTAGTTGTTCGGACGGTCGGGGACTCGGGGAGGCCGGATCCTAGGGGGTGAGATATTCCTTCAGAATCTGATACAGATAACATCTCGAGAATCATTTGCGAGGATACTGCTTGGCAAGTAGGTCCTGAGTATCTGATAGGGCAAAGAAGCTAGAATTCTCCGCAAGTTGGAAAGGTACTGCCTCGTTAAACTAAGACATGCAACTCGGCTGTGAAGGGGAGCAGCTATGCGAGAGAAGAGGGATTTGAGGCAGCCAAGACCATGTGCTGACTTGTTTGGAGTAAAACATTGTTGTTTTCTGGGTATCTTCAAAAGTTCTCGGGCAGTCTCGAAAGGAGCTTCCCGAAACTGAATAGAATCGCGATGATCCGATGGCCTGCGTCGACAGTCAGGTCAACACAACACTAGGTGCGCTGCCTGGGCGCAAGAAGCTGACTTTGAAGATCATTTGCTGTCCCTTTTCTTAATCTCTCACTTCTAATATGATCTCATGGGTACTAGATTCGAAAGGTCCCATGCGGTGAAGAGTGCTAAAGGGGAATATTCATCGCCGATTGTTCTTCTTTGAGAAGTAAGCGACGGGCAACTGAGACAGGAGAGGGAATAAACACGAGACGTGTCAAGAACCCTTGTCAATAGGAAGCACGGGGAATTAAGTGATCGGCACAAGCATTCTCGGAGACTTGTCAACGCTATCTAGATTTCCAGAAGGAAGCTAATTCAGCGCCTCAAACAGGACCAGACTACATCTACTACGAGAGTTACTCGGACGCATAAAGACAAAAGACTATGAAAGGCAGGATTAAGCTCTTTGTTTTAAGTTCCGACATTCCTAGTCAGTCACAAAAATCCTTCATGTCGTCAGCCAAGATAACCCAGCCCCAGATGATCAGTCTTTGAGAACCTTGATGGCCAATTCCAAGACATCACAGTGGGACGATGACCAACACGCATTTCATGCGAGGATTGCACTCTGCCATAGAAATGACTGCAATAGCTATGCCAAGAGCAAACATGAGTTTTGTTGGTAGGATCATCGCTGCTTGGACAAGTTGGGAGAAAGGTGTTGGCCGCAAGGGAGACTGGGGGCCTACATAAGCTGAATCAGAAGGGAGAGACCACACCTTCATCCTCCAACGCAATTCCATCTTTTTTCTTGACACTTCTGCGGTCATGATTTCCTCACAACGCTTCCTTCTTGCCGCGGTGGCATCTGTTTACATGGTGTTGCCTGGAGCAGCTCAATGCCCTACTTCAGTCAGGAAAATCAACGATGGCAATTTCACATTCAATGCGACTGGAGACACCTCAGTCACCTTTGTCAACAAAGATCCTTGGCACCTTTCTTTGACCATTGAGGATTCTCGTCGAGAAAACACGCGTTACGGCTCGGAATGGAACACGCTGCAAGACTTGGGCGTCTTTCTTAGCGTCCCAGAGTCGTTCATTGGCACAAGAGATGGCAATCGGACTCAAGTCTGCACGTACCGAATGGTAGGCCAAAACGCAACTTCCGATGCTGAGGACAACAGTGCAAAGTTGTCTTGCAACGGCATACTCAGTGAAGACTGCCAGAAGGCGTTGCGAAGTGTTTCAGCCCCAAAAGATGGGGAATGCCCATCAGCACCATCAAACGTGGCTGAGGCCTGTGGGGAGTCGATCAACATCTGGACCTGTAAGTTGTCTTGTCCGTTGATATTAGCTGAGCGGATGCTAATTATCACTTCCAGCCGTTCCTCTAAACTTTTCAAGTTCCAACTGCTCAGTTGACGAGCTTCCTGGTGTCAGTCTGCCCGACGACTACGAGACCTTTCAGCTATCTGGAGGTGGCCTTGTTCCTCCTGATGCCGAGAAGGACTCGTTTGAGGTGTATGACCTACGCGTCCAACAACCCATCCCAATCCTTTTGTCAGTGCTGCTCCCGGACGGCAAGTCGGCTGCTGAAGTCATATGCCTGGCTCCAAGTAACATCACGCAGAGCAGTCGTGAGCCAGAGGCAGAGTTTCCACCCAATGCTGCTGGTAGCTTGGAACCAAGAGGGGCTTTGGCCTTTGTGGTGGCGGCTATGTGCGTTGCGGCAATGATTCTAGCGCCTTGATAGAGACAGAAACAATGCTGCTGTGTCCTTGCGCAACTGTTCAGTAATGTCCGTTCCTATTAAACGTTTCGAGTTCTTGCTGTGCCTTTCCTGAGCCTTTCCACGCCATACCCTTCTCGTCAAGTTCAGAATTTGATTTGCCAATGGGGTCTGGTTCGCCCAAATCTTACCAAGCCCTTATAGGAAGGTCAATCTGCTAGAACTTAACCCCAGCCGCTGTCAACATGGATACACGAGAGCCTCAATGGCCCGCCAACGACACCAACGTTACACGACGAAGATCATCTCCACATCAAGAAAAGATCTTTTGCAACGTTAATTCCGAAATTGACGTGCAATCAAGGATTGTGGTTCGTATTGCAAATCGATTCCCAACCGACCGGTTCCTTTGTATTAAAAATCCCCGTCAAATTGCCGTTGTTGCCGGTTGTCGGTCTACTATGCTAAGGCGCATTTTAGCCTATTGGGCCGGGTCGGAACTTCTGTAGACTTCGACATGCCCCAGTTATATTGCGCCATTTGCCTCCTTAACCAGCGTCGCAGTTTGAAGTTGGCATCGCGTGTTGGTTCGCCTCTAAGCAGAAGTTCCTGTTGAAATTGTGATCAGGTCAAGATCCTCCAAAGCACGTTGTTCCTGGGTGGACATTCTTTGGGGCATGCGCCGTTCGTTTAGTTCGTGGGTCACGCCATTTCGATCACGAACTCATCGGTTGTACAGGTTCGGTCCATTTGATGGGTCCAATGTTTGACATGATGGAAACATTGTTAGATCTGTCGATCGTACTTATAATGTTACCATGTTCTATTCGCGTCCTTTTGCTTTTCTAGATCTGCAACTGTACTCAACACAGACCACTGAATCCCATGCCTTTCTGAACGATTACCTACCTACCTTGACAAACAGGTAACCATGACGACCAACGCCAGCCCTGATGGGGGCATAAAGCCCACTGCTATTGCAACCACGGAGGGCGCTTTCGCGCCTGAGGAGCCGTCCTCGCCGGACCTTTCCTCCAAAAGCAAGGATGACCGGGACCACGAGGTTCATCGACTCCAAGACGAACACGATGAAGCTACAGTTTATGTCAAAGGACATCCTGTCATTCGCAATGGTAACTCGCTGTGTGGTGTCTCTCTTTGACTTACTGCTGACATGCATGAACAGGCATGGATGTATCCAAGTACTTGATTTCGGACCGTGATGATGGGGATCCCTCCTTGACCTTTCGCGCTATCGTATTGGGTTCCCTCTTCACAGCCCTTTCCAGCGTCATTACGATGCTCTACGTTTTTAAACCAACTCAAATGCAGGTTTCTGCAGTCTTTCTACAACGTGCGTTATCTCTCACCTTGTGGCCCCTCGCAGTCTAACACGGATATCAATCTAGTTCTCGTTTATATCTTCGGCCAAGCCTGGGCACTTGGTACTCCTCGCCCCGATCGATTCAAGTCTCCCTGGGTTCAAAGAATCCTCCGATTCCTGAACTTTGGTCAGCCCTTCAAAATCAAGGAGCATGTCGTCGCCGCTCTCATCGCCTCATCCGGAAACAATGGCCTGTCCGGAGTCGAAGTCTACGGTGTTGAACGACTATTCTACAACCGCAGCGTTACTGCCCTTACAGCAGTTCTCGCAACATTTTCCATCTCTCTTTGCGGATTTGTCTTGGCTGGTGTTTTACGGCCATTGATCGTCTACCCCGCCGAGATGGTATACTGGTCTACGCTTCCGCAGGTGGTTCTCTATCAGAACCTCCACTTCGACCAAAAGGCCAACCGTGACCGCCTCATCAAGTTCGGCTGGGCTCTCGGCATCGCCGCCGTTTGGGAGATCTTCCCCGCCTATGTTATGCCCTGGCTTGGAGGCATCTCCGTCTTTTGCCTTGCGTCTATGAAAGCGCCTGAACACACCCGCACCATCTTCACCACCGTCTTTGGGGGCGCCTCTGGCAACGAGGGCATGGGTCTTTTCAATATTTCGTTGGATTGGCAGTACATCCAAAGCCAGTTCCTGTCGCTCCCTCTCAAGCAGCAGCTTAACACTTGGATTGGCTACTTCTTCTGGTACATTGCGATGCTTGCTTTGTACTATGGAAATGCGTGGAGCGCAAAGAAATTCCCCTTCATGTCGACATCTCTCTTCCACGAGAACGGAACCAGATTCGATAGTACGAGTATTCTCAATAATCACGGCACCATCGACTTTGACAAGCTTGACCAGATCGGTCTCCCTTATATGACGTCAAGCACAGTCTGGGGATATTTCACGATGAACTTGGCCATTGGTGCACTGATTACACATGTCATCCTCTTCTATGGCAAGGACATGCTTCTGGCTTGGAAGCAGGCTCGCAGCAGGACTCAGCCCGACCCTCATTATCAAGGCATGCTCAAGTACAAGGAAGTTCCTATGTGGTGGTATATCGTCCTCTTTGTGCTTTGCTTCATCGCTGGTATCGTGGTCACTACTAAGGGCGAGACGACTCTCCCAGCTTGGGGCTTCATTGTTGCTCTTCTTCTGGGCGGCTTTATCGCCCCCTTCTCTTGTATCCTATACGGACTCTATGGAACGGGAGTTGGAACCAACGCACTATCAAAGATGATAGGCGGCGTTGTGCATCCTGGCCGACCTCTGGCGAACCTGTACTTTGCCAGCTGGTCTCACCAAGTCATTCTCTTGGCTGTCAACCTTTCGAACTGGCTAAAGGTCGGACAGTATACCAAAGTACCGCATAGAGTCATGTTTGCCACCCAGATCTACGGAACACTTCTCGGCGCAGCACTCAACTACGTTGTCATGACTACTATTGTCAGCAACCAGAAGGAGATCCTCCTGGACCCTGTTGGCAACAACGTTTGGAGCGGCTCAACGATGCAGAGTCTCAACTCACAGGCAGTCACATGGGCAATGGCGAAGCAAATCTATGGCGAGGATGGTCGTTATCTTATTGTTCCTCTCGGTCTAGTCATTGGCCTCGCACTGCCCTTTGCGCATTGGGGCCTCATCAAGGTGTTCCCACGCGCGAAATACTGGCCCATCAATACCGCCATTATTGCCTCATACTCTGGCGCCACAACTTACTTCGGTATCACCTCCTGGATCTGGTCGTCGATTGCGGTAGGTATCTTCTCACAGGTCTACCTCCGACGCCGGCTCCCCAACATTTACAACAAGTATAACTACCTCATCGGTGCTGCGTTGGATGGAGGATCTCAGATCATCATCTTTATTCTGTCTTTTGCAGTCTTTGGTGCAAGCGGAAAGGAGAGGCCGTTTCCTACTTGGTGGGGAAGGCCAGATGGGAACCCAGACCATTGTCTGTAGATTAGCAGTCTTCTGGCTGGGAATTAGTGTAGACACAGCGGGCATTGATCTCGTGGGCCTGAAAATCATGGTCGGTGGACTTGTCGAAGTCTAGGCCGGGCAGATTACCGTTCATGGCTTGTTGGGGTATCTAAGAGGCCATGCCTACAAATCAAAATTGACCCCTATTCTAGATTTACCACATGAATTTCAGATCGGACCATGGCCTCTTTAAGCTGAAAAGGGTGATATAATACACACTGTGCTCGCCCGGCCTTGGCAGCCAGGGTGTGGTGTGACTGGCCAGGGTGAAGACGCCACACAGTCCAGTAACTTGCTCAGTTATGCCTGTCATTTTATATAAAATGATTGGCTACTATTTACTCGGTATGTGGTAGGCTACGCATAGTTAAAGCACATATTCATACAGTATTCTTATAACGGCGAATAATAACCTGGGAAGGCGTTTCTTTTATCGAGACTGCCATCTCGACTAGGCTCGGGACTCAAGACAGAGGCAAATAGATATGATCTGGAGCTTTTACGTCCTTTTCGTTACAGCCTTTTTCCATCCTAGGCTTTCTTTGCAGACTTTGTCGGGCCCGTGACAAGCCTGGCTGCGAAAGGGATAGGCCATGCAAAGCTATCTATAGGATCCTCTGTTACTTCGCCTGAAGTTACCAGATCAACTATCGCAACGCCGATGTAGCCTCCAATAGCTGTGAAAACGTGCCACCTGTTTGCTGTTAACGACGAATAAAAGAGCACAAGAGTATAAGAGCGGAACATACCATCCGTGCAGCTCCAGGAGAAACGCAACGGGTATGCCGACTGAGCGTCTCGCGTCGATAAGGTGATGACACGCCCAGTCATCTATCAGCCACACAATGTATCCAAGGAGAAAGAATCCTATACTAACGTCAGTTGCATTCGTGAGTTTTTTACGAGCAGGATAGCTTACCGCCTCCAAGCAGGGCAACGTTACGAACTGCCCTCCTGACTTCTGGGTCTGGTACTTGCTGAGGAATCAACTTGAGGTTTCGAGTGGCAATGATGTAGACTCCCAGGCCAAATGTCGTGGCATGTAATAGGAATTCATCCATGACCATATGGGTCACCATGACAATAGTAAAGAGTGAGCCAAGGATTATTCCAATCCACTTGGTCTTCTGTGGGCTTGCCTTGAAGGTGAGGAGACGATACATAAGCGGCGTTGTGAGGAGGTGCATCGACAGCTCATCAGCTATCAGACAGTCAGAAGAGTCAAAGATAAGCAGGCAATGTGAACCTACACATCTGAGTGTGGTACTTCATCGTCATATGGTATCCGGCTGAGCATATGCCCACACCGATTAGACCACAGTATGAGATCCATCGTGGTACCGTAGGGGATTTTGAAGATCGGGACAAGCCATAGATGCCGTAGGCGACTACACGGTGTGAGCGAGTTGTCTACCGAGTTCGGATGGGACCGACGGACCGAAGGTGAGACTGCTCAGAGTGTTTACGAATTCAGCGATATACCGCGTCACAACATAATCCTGGGAGTGTGGGAAGACACGTTAGAGCTCTATCTTGATGATCAATGCCTGAATCAAGTACCTCCTCGCAGAAACTATAGACGCCAGTTAGCATAGCCACAATCTCAGTGGATACATATACTTACTTCAGATATGAAGTCTGAGGTCCCCAAAATGGTGTCGCCATGGCCGTCTCAACTCCCGATTACCGTCGCGATGTTTTGTTTTTGCCACTTTTCCCCAAGGGCTACGAAACCAATTTATACGCGCCCCCCGGACCAGCCGGCACGCAACCCAAGACACAGTTATGACGTTGGGCGGTGGCTTGCAGCAGAAAATCTGCAAGACCTCGGGAGGAGTTGACCAATGGGAGACTAGGGAATTAGACACATATCTTAGACTGCAAGAAAAAGTGCCGAGTGTTCCGGTGCCCAGCTTGTCTGCGGTATTTTGGCCGAGTCTTGTTTACGACGTGTCCTTTACTGGATTACACAATTCTTAGAGATGGAGTTATCTTGACGGGTCAACATATCGTAGTCAAGTTGCTTACGATCTTTGACCTCTCAGAAATGTCATCGTTATCTCCCCCGGAAAACTATTCCCAGACTTCGTCCAATTGGGACAAGTGCCAAGAGTCTAGACGAGTTACACCCTTGCACATTCATGTGAAGCCGAGCTGGGGATGCATTAGTAATGCTATGCACTCTGTGCAAGGGTAGATAAAGCTGCATAACTCAAAAGAGTGCTCCAGGGTAAGTGCCAGCATCAACAACCCCAACCTACGGATGCCATTAAGTCATGCTACAAAGAGGAAATCCGCGTCCCTATAATTGCTCAGATGATTATTTCCGTCTTTTATTATGGATAGACTTATTGTCGTAGGCAACAAGGGAGAAAGAAACAGAATCTCCATGCCTTCTGGATTAACTGCAAGGTTTACCCACGGAGAGACAGACGGTTACGAAGGGATACTTCGTGGTTGATGAAATTATTCATATGCAGTTGAAACATTCGTCATCGGTGAGCCAATTCCGCGCATAAAAGACTTGTTGAAGTGTAGAACTGTGTCTCCGAATGAGCTACAAAATGTCTTGAACGTGGCCGCACATGGTCACACAATCTCTATGTCAACCCGGAAGCCATCCCAGAAGCTCAGTTCCTTGAACCTCTTTGATCCTCCCATGTAATAAAGGGAAGTGTAGCCAACACGTTCATACACAGTTCCTTTGGCGCGAAGCAAAATGCCCTTCTGGACCCTTCCAAGGAGAACGATGAGGATGTAGAGATCTTCTTGAGTAGTGGGTACCAAGCCCAATGTATCATAAGTGTAGTAGGCGTTGAATTGTACCCCTGAAACTTCGAAATCGTACGAAGGGTGCGTCCCATGCTGATACTGACCAGGCTTAAAATTTAGAAACGGCGCATCAAGTCGAAGCATCCTCTTCTCAGGCGGCTGGAAGTCGAGAGGATCCTGCACAGCCGGGAAACCTCTGAACGTGGCACACTCGACTCATGGCTTGGTGGTATCAGTGATGATGACGCCCAGATCAGATTGGCAGGATGCCCAAGACCAACTAGGGAAGTAATCCAACTTCTCCCGGGCGTCGTTCTCGGGATCAGCTTCCCACATGATTCCCCACGAGATGTGGCTACTGAACACGCCAGCAAAGTACTCGACCCCATGTATGGCCGCAAGTCGACTTCCAAGACCATGGACCGCGACGAGCCGATCTTTGGCGAATGAAAAGGCTTTGGCGCTGTACTCATGGATGTAATCCATCCACGGCTCCCACGGTAGTCCCCAACCCACTCCAGGGCCTTGGACGCCATGGAATACGCACGAGTTGGAGATTCTGGGATCAGCTGCGAATTCGTCACAACGAGTGGAAAATTCTGATCTGGTTGCGTTGTCGCCGATGCACTTCCAGAACACGCCGTTTCTAGACCAGTAGATGATTCGGCGGGCTAAAAGACGCTCCTGGAAACACCATCCTCTCTTGAGAAGTGGCGACGCATCGAATTCGTCTGCGAGAGTTCGCTTTGATGGTGGGAGGTGGATGTACTCGTTGGTACGTGTGTCATAGCCGATGACGCAGCTGGAGGTTGGGTACCGATGTGCTGGCCGTGGAACAAACAGTCCCGTGCTGCTATCCGGGGCACCGAGTGCTGAGATGAGGCATACGGCGTTGGTGTAGTAGGCTCCCATCTTGGGTGCTTCGGCTTTGAAGTCGTCTTGGTAGTTGTCACCGTGATGACACTGAATGATACAAAGTGCATCAACCCAAAGATATCGAAATCCAAGAAGTCGGGTGATCTTGATAGTGTCTTGGATAGTCTTTGGCAACACTGACTCGTCAATGCGCTTCAGACGACTGGCTAGATTGGCCCGGGTTGTCTTTGCCGGGTCGTTGCCACTGCCCCAGCAATAGCTAAGAATCAGATATCTGACCTGCTCATTTTCGGGAAGAGCTTGACCAAATTCATCTTCCGATATGATGAGCTTCGCCTTGGGGTCTTGGCCGTCCCCGACGTCGATTAGGCGTTTCGGCATGGCGCCTATTTCGTCCATCTTGAACTTGTACCTGCACTTGCGGTGAAGTCGATTGCCATTGACACAGTCATTAAACCATGGCTTTATAGAGTCTCCCATGAGGGCTTTTAGGTCATCGCCTGCCGTTTCTGGCAAAAACGCTGTATACCATCAGCCGGAATCAACGAAATTGTCTTTGTGAGTTCTCACATTTTGGCGACGGCGCGGGGCCGGGCGTATCGTCCCACTCAGGAAGCCATGTAGCTGATTTGGACCTCCCCAAGGCTTCAAAAACATCATGACGATAGTTGTCGCCGATCTGGAAGTGAATGTCGACACCCCGATGGAACCAGAGCTTGCACTGGCCACTTGGTAGTTCATCTCGATCTGATAGCCAGTGGAGGACGCGAGCTCTTAGGTTGATACAGAGACTACATCCGGCAGCAGCTGAGGTCTCCAATGCGATTGAGGAGTCGTGGTGGTCAAGTTGCAGTTGTAAATCCCGCTCTAGGAGCGCTGTCGCGGGATTTAACTCCCACTGCTGGCAATCCCATGGATGGCTCGACATTTAAGACATCTCCATTCGACAGTTTGAACTGAGTCGGATGACCCGGTCATCCTGGGCAGTATTTCGTCGTTTGCGAAAGACAAGGGAAGGGATGATGGACTCTTCGAACAGTCTTACTTGATTTTCGGAATCAGGCTGTGGCAGTCTTCCCCGCCCTCAGCCAGCAGTTGATTGATTGGAAGTACTAAATGCAGGTGAGTTACGCAAGGCAGAATTAGAATCACAGCCCCAAAATGCCAAGGCACTACTGCTGTTGGCACTCTCACAGTTGTATGGTGGTGTTTGAATTGACCAAGATATTAGTATTACAATAGGTATGAAACTTGAGCGAAATGTGACCTACCATAGATCGCTGCTTTTACAGTCTTCTTAGTTGATAGCTCAACTGCGTTTATCCGCCCATTGGCTCCCCTCAGCTCTGGCCCCTAGGTAACATTCTCGTGTGAGATGTGGTCACAGCAGCTCAAAGGGTGAAGATCTGCGTTCGGGTAACTGGTCTTGCCTTTCAACGCGCGAATACCTGACGCACACGCTTCCGAGTGAGGCCTCAAGAGAGGCCATAATTGTGATTGGATTGAACCCCTACAACCTGCAGGTTGTCTTCACACACGCAATTTCTTACTCAGCCCGCTCTCTCAGCCGCACTGTAACCTTTATCTTCTGGCGTCAGAACTCATCTTAAACTTGTATTCTCCCCGGGAACGAAACAGACACGCTCTCCCTTCGGAACTATGGCTGAGGCGATCGGGTTGGCCGCCAGCGTGACAGGCCTGGTCTCGCTGGGTCTGTCAGTTTGCAAGGGCCTGGCCGCCTACTACGATACCTACCAGAGCGCCGAAAATGATGTTAAGCTCCTTTGCGAAGAGGTGAACAATCTCACTCTGATACTCCAGGTAAGTTTGGTTCAAGCGCGCAAGAGAAAATTATTATTGACTTGGCAAAGAGCTTTGAAGATGCCCTGAACGACAGCGATATGAGATTGAAGCTGGAGGCTTCGGCGTCCACTAGACCCATCAATGTTTGCATGGGTAAGATGGCTCTATCTCAACTATCCATCTTGGATGTCTTCCACATGAGTGTTTAACTGAATCAATGGCACTAGAGAGGATAAACGAGCTGGACAAGGGACTACAGAAGCTCCTGAGTTCTGGAAAGGACGATAAACGATCTGCGAGGAAGTTCATGTCGAAGACCATGAAAGCCTTGTATCCGTTCAAGGAAGAGACACTTCTGAAGCTACGGTCCAATATCTCGAGGACCAACGAGATGCTGCAACAGGTGGCAAGCACAGTTTTGATGTACGGTGACTGCCCTAATCGTCTGTAGCTGCTCGTGAGTCTCTTGCTGATCCTGTCTACGTTAGCCGTCAGAACCACAAGATGCACGACACGATCAATCAGTTCTACGAGAAGGAAGAGTCTAGGGAGATAATGCGATGGCTTGATCTGCCAGACCCTTCACACAGCCATGCCGTGGCTTCCTCGAAGCGTGGCGAAGAAACAGGTTCCTGGTTTATCAACAGTTCTGAGTTCTCTTCTTGGAAGTCCTCCCCATATTCTGTGCTGTGGGTATATGGCAGTGGTAAGTCATGCAGGAAGCTTGTACCGAATGTTTTGCTAACGTCGGCTTCTCTTTACTCACCCTTAGCTGGATGTGGCAAGACTGTACTCTGGTAGGTGTAACGAGTTCCTTGTGTAACTTCATACCGATCTTAGCAAAGCTCCATAATCATTAACCACCTGTTGCAACATTGCGAGAAAAGGCCAACGTCGGGAGTTGCATACTTCTACTTTGACTACACAAATGCCTCGATATCGCAACACCACAACAGGCTTCTGAGATCGCTAATCGAACAGCTCTCTTCGCAGAATGGTGCTGTTCCCAAGCCTCTCAAGACCTTGTACGAGCGGTGTCGACATGGAACTACGCAGCCCACCGAGGCCGAGTTGACCCAGACCTTGCGTAAGATTATTCAACTATTTTCTCCTTGTTACCTCATCACCGACGCCGTGGATGAAAGCAAAGAGAAGCAGGAGTTCCTCAAGCTGCTCGACGTTATCGCTGGCCAGTGGCGTCTTCCCCAGATTCACTTCTTGGTCACTAGCCGAACCGAACTCGATACCGAGATCCCGAAAAGAACATGGCAAGGCGCCACCATGTCCATTCAAGATGGAATAGCTGGGGACGTTGAGAGTCAAGTCCTCTCGACGCTCAAAGATGAAAATGGGGCTCTTGGCCAGTGGGACCTGGATCAGCGCGAGATGATTGCCAAGTCACTCATTGACAACTCGCGAGGAAAGTGAGTGACGTCAAACACACCAATACATCGTCAGTTGGATGAGAAGAGAAGGGTTTCGGCACATTCTGAGATGACTTTCTTTTTCCGCTCGCCCGATGCATCTCGACGAGATCACAGAAGTGCTGGCCATTGACTTCTCGGTGAAGCCTCGACCCCAATACGATCCCCGTAAGCGACTCGTGAATTCTGCAAAGTTCTTTCACAAGCACAGCAACTTGGTTTCGGTATCGACAGTCAAGAACAGAGCTAGGCAACACCAAGAGCTCCGCCTAGCCCATCTATCCGTGAGAGATTACCTTCTGCCAAACAAGATTGTTGGATCGCCGGCTTCCTTCTTTACCATCAACAGTCTATCCGCGCACCGGAGCATCGCCGAGGCATGCATAGTATACCTCCAGCAGTTCACTAAATCAGATGGAGAGCTTGAGAAGTCGCCCAAAGCTCACTCTCTAGCTCCCTACGCCGCTCGATTCTGGTCTTATCATGTACAAGCAGCGACGGCTGCGGCTGGTCAAGAGCGCTCGTCGACATCCAGAGCACTTCTTGAGACTTCAAATACAGAGGCTGTTCCCTTGATCATTCTCATAATCGAGCTTCTTGCCCAGATACTCAGAGTGTTTGGATTCCCCGTTCCGACTACCGAAAGGGAACTTCAAACAGATTTGAACAGTCTCTGTGTAGAGCTTCTCAGCGCTCAGCTCGAGGGCCAGATCAGATTCTTTGACCCAGACACACCGTGGATTGACAAACCCGACGTTTCCAGGCAAATAAACGCTCTGCCCTCTGGTCTCTATTACGCGGCTAACTCTGGCCTCACTGACTCGGTCAGGCTATTACTTGCAAAGGGCATGGATGTCAACGCTATCGGTGGTCGACATGGCACGGCTCTACAGGCTGCGTCCTGCAGAGGATACAAGGACATCGTGCAACTGCTGCTTGAGAATGGTGCAGAGGTTGATCAGCTCGCGGGAGATTATGGTTATGCCTTGCAAGGTGCCGCCTGCTACGGCCACGAAGAGTGTGTGAGACTGCTTCTCGACTGGAAAGCAGATGTCAATGCAAAAAGTGGAGAACATCATACAGCCTTGCACGCCGCTGCGTTCAATGGACATGAGAAAATTGTCGAGATCCTAGTTGAGCGAGGTGCAGCTCTCAACGACCCAGGATCAGAAGAGCGAGGCCAAAGCCCTCTTATAGAGGCGGCCGCTGAAGGACACACGGCCACAGTGCAACTTCTCCTCAAGCTTGGTGCAGATATCTTGCTGAGAGACCAAGGAGGATGGACGGGTCTTGACGAGTCTGCTCCGCCTGGATTTGACGCTGTGGTCCATATTCTTATCGACCATGACCCTGCCATTCTCCAGTCCAGGGGCAAGAGTGGAAAGTCGGCGCTCCATCACACGGTGGGACAAGGGCACGTTTCTACCGTCTCCTTGCTGTTAGAGCAAGGAGTAGATGTCAACGCAGTGGACACCGAGGGGCGCAGCGCCTTGTTTGGAGCCGTGAGGTCCGGGAACAAGGCCACCGTCGAGCTTTTACTCAAACACGGGGCGGACCCATTGGTTCAGAATGAGACCGGCTGGTCTGTCCTTTACATGGCTGCTTTCCACGGGCACGTGGAGGTAGGCGAAATGCTGATCGAGGCTGGGACACCGATCAACCAAGGTCCAGAAGGGATATCGCCGCTTCATATCGCCGTATTGAGGGAGCAGACCAGTTTCCTTGAGATGCTCCTTGATCACGGAGCCGATACTCTAGCCGAGACGGAGTCTGGTGCAAATGCACTGTACTTTCTGGAACTCAACGAGACCTACGAGGCAGAGGCGGTTGCTCAGAGGCTCAGCATCGATATAAACGCCTTGACAGTCACTGGGTTACGAATCGCAGCATCCGAGAGCTTCTAGAACGCGGTGCTAATATCAATGCAAGGGACGAGGGCGGCCATACAGCTCTCACGTGGGCAGCTATGAAGGGCCATATATCGACCATGCGGTTGTTAATCGAGAATGGTGCGGATGTGAACGCCTGTACTGATGATGGTAGGACGGTGATGGAATGGTTTAACGGGATGGATGAGGATGTTGTCAACTTGCTGTGGGAACACGGGTATAAGGAAGAGGAGCAATCTGTTGACCTTGACGCGGGAGCGTCCTTGGACATTGCGGAACGGGAAGTTTTGAACGGTATCAGACAGCTGTTGTCACTCTAGTTTAATTTTGCCTTGTCGTTTCACGTTATTCATCCAGTCATTCTGGTACAACGAGCATTCGGGTGAATATCTAACATTCTTTATTTCTGTTGAAGCCTCGCCCTTGATGGGATAACTGAGCCAGAAGACCGAGTGACATGAAACGCCGCCTACGAAAGAATGGAGGCCGTGTTTGAAGATATGCATGCTAACTAGAGACTGAATATCCTCAATATCGTAAAGAGCCCGACTATTTACAGGGTTCTCATCTCCATTCCAACCCCTTTACTGCTGCGCCTCCTCTGGCTTTCGACCGACGACGATGTTTTGCCGATAATACGGATGAAGCTTGGTTGAAGCCAGCTCACGTCTGAGATGAGCAGCATACAACAAAATCTCTTCCTTCTTCCAACCCAGCAAGTCTGCCATGAAGATGACGGCTCCCTCAATGTCTTGGCCAAGGGCTAGCTTCATGTACCTACCCACCTCCTTGAGCTTCTCGTCCTTTGGCCACCCGCCGATGGGACACTTGACATTTGTGAGCCGCGGTGATGCCTTCGAGGGAAAAGAATACTCACCTTGAGTGTGGTAACCTTGATGTCGACAAAGCCCGCTTCCTCCATTGCCTTCTTCTGTAGCTCATCTTCGACAACTGTAAAAGGTCGACCGATCTTACGACCGCCCTCAATAAAAATCTCTCCCCACTGCCCCAGCGCCGAATCGTCAAGGACAGACCCGTCATCGCTCAGGACCCTCGCTGAAGCCTCATGGCTCTCGAGATAGGCGCCGGGCTTGAGACATCGATAGGCCTGCTTAAACAGTGCCGCCCAGTCGGGGATACTACCCACCAGCCAGCGTACATGCACGAAGTCGGCCGAATTCTCCTTGAATGTCCATTCTTGGGTGCAGTCATCAATCTGGCTGTTGGGCATGTCAGTTGGTCGTCGAGATGAGGATAAATCGCCTCACAATTGCAAATTCGGTGGGACCCAGCTGGGTTGGATTGGTGAGACGTCGGTGCCGACGACGCTTGCGTTCGGGTATTCGTCTGCAAAATCACTTGTTCCCGGTCAGCATGCCATGGGCCTCATAGAAGAGCCAAAATCTTACATAGCCCAAATACCTGTTTCAATTCGCTAGCTTTTAGTAACCGTTGGTTCTACTAAGTTCAAGGTAAGACTCGTACCTGTTCCCGTGCCGATATCGATAACTGTCTGCGCGAACTGTTAGGGCTGCCTGTTTCCATTCATCGAGGCGTGACAAACGTTAATGTCCTCTGACAGAGGGGCCAGATGAAGCTTTCCATCCAATAAAAGGTATTGTACGTGATGACTGTCGATGGCTTGAGCTAGGCCCCATTGTGCGTTTTGTGCGCTGATCCTCACTTGATATCCATCGCATTATTCTGTTCCTCATCATTGGACCCCCTGTCACCCATCAGTTATCATTTTCTATCAGCAGGTTCAAACCTTACCAATATTGCGCATTGCCACGCTCACTATGGAACGATCTACCCAGGATTGTCCTGTATTCAAGAATGGAGGAAGTCAAGCTAGCAGTGGAACTTTGATTGTCGCTGTAAGTTGAGTCTTGATCGCTCGTATCGGGATTCTGTTTCATTAGTGTCCGACTTGCAGAATGCACTTTGGTAGGGATTCGTACTTCTTCCAACTGCGCCCAGTGCTCTGCCGGGAGCAGGTTGCTTTGACCCGCCGTGTCAAGAGCTGCTTGGCCCGGGGACGAGGTCGGCTGTCCCTGAGAAGGGCTCTCCTGCGGAGGCGACGTACGATCACCCATATTCCGAATAAAGACCAGAGAAACCAAGGTCTGTGGGAATCAAGACTTGCTGGCAACGCAGCGGGACACCGCTCCTTAAGTACGGCCCAGTCCTCCTGCGACCTGAATGGCGTGGTCCGACCAACATGATTCGGAATGTTCTGACGACCCCGCATGCAGTTTAACCATTTGAGTTAATTTACGAGGTTCGCGATGCAGGCCCGCGGGGGTCAATCCCGTCGTCCGCCCTTGGCATATCATCGTTGGTTGAGTGTCTCTTGACTATTGGTTGATTGATTGTGTGTTGGTTGTCCCTGGTCTCGGAGGCATCTGAATGGGTCAACTCCCTGCTTCGACCTATCAGCAGGCCCCGGCTTCCCATTGCTTGTTTCCGTTGCAGCGACCTTTTTAAGCGGATGGAACCCTTTCGGTAAACCTGTGATGGACATGTCTTTGAAGGAGGATTAACACCAACGCATAAAGATACTACTCGCCATCTAGTGAGATGCGCTATTCTTTACACGATCGAAGATACAGAACAAGCGGGAAAGCATCCTCGAATGATCGCCCAAGGGCTTCCAGGATCAGAACTCGATTATAAATCAGCAATTGTTCTCGCTTACAAATAATAGTAGCGCTCCTGAGCCAATAACTGTTGATCAGCAACTCGGAATTGGTTACCTATTTCATTTGTGAACCACTACATAAGATTTCAATCCTTTCCACGACTCTGTCCAGGCTCTATTAGTATAATCCTAAGCCGTGCATTGCAAGTATTTCTGCATATTAACACCCTTCAGAACTGCTAAAATCTCAAATCATTTCCTTCTTTACTTCTTGCACATACGCAATGGCGGACAATTCGTCTTACTGGGTTGAGTCTGAGGACTGGCATACAGCTGGAGAACCATTCCGCATTATCCAGCACCCGCCATCAGGCCTCCTACCCAACGTTCAGACTGTTTCGGAGCGTTACCTCGAGATCACCAAGACCAAAGACCATCCGCTAGATCGGCTCCGCATATTCCTTAGCCACGAACCTCGAGGACACGCCGACATGTACGGTGGTTTTATTACCTCGCCGAATGACTCTACAAGCTCCTTTGGTGTCTTGTTCTGGCATAAAGATGGCTTTGCGACAGCCTGTGGTCATGGCACTATTGCCTTAGGCTATTGGGCCGTCCATAAGGGTCTTGTTGATGCCCCCGAGAATGGGGTCGTGGATGTCATCATTGATGTTCCATCAGGCCGCGTGGTCGCGTCGGTCACGAGAAAGGATGGCAAGTCCATAAATGCTGACTTTGTCAACGTCTCTACCTATCAGGTAGCGAAGTCGTTGTCCGTGACAACCCCTTCTCGCGATTCCGATGTCGTCGTCGACCTGGCGTTTGCTGGTGCTGTGATAGCATCAGTAGACACTTCTCAGCTGGGCCTCGAGGTCAAGCCGAGCAATGTAAACGAATTCATCAGACTTCAGCGAGAGATCAAGGCATCTCTTGGAGATAGGGGAGAGTACGGTGACAACAAGTGGTATGCGATGCTATTTTTCCAAGAAGAGGAAAACACCAAGGGCCCGGGGTGGATCGTCCAGAAGAGCGTCAACATCTACGGCGACGGACAGGTCGACCGGTCTCCCTGTGGTTCTGGAACTTGCGGAAGGATGGCTATCCTGCTTGCTCAAGGTCGACTTAAAGAGAACTCGAGACTCCTGCACCACTCTATCATTGGTACAGCGTTTGAGGCCGAGATAGTGTCTAAAGGTCAGAGTCCAGTTGAGGGGTTTCCTGCCTGCGTTGTGCGCGTGAGGGGAGAGGCGTATCTTGTTGCGGAAACGCGGTTTTTTATCAACGACGAAGATCCAGTATCTCCAGGCTTTGTCCTGCGCTAGGAATCACAATGATTCTAGTAAAGGGAAGAACGAGACATTGTGCAATTTGTAACTTCATCAGCCTTCACGACAGGTCTATTTTTTCCAACTTCTTTCTCAGCCCTCCTCACTCATATATGAGTTTAGCCAGGCAATACTGCATGCCGGAACCTCGTTACTTTATCATTTTTTTCTATACTATGTGACATATCTCATTCCTGTCCATATAAGCGTTTTTGTAGTACTAAATGTCGACCTGTAGAGGCCTATTCTCTTCTCCAAGTAACCAACCGCGGTGGACCTTGGTGCGACGACCTCTGAGTCCTGAGGGCTAGGGGGAAGAAGCCCCTGAGTTACAACCGCATGCTGTGAGATGCCATCCCAGTGCCCTTTCCACATTCCTCAGCTTCGGCGGTAATTCCTTTCCTTCTTCCCTATTCATCATCACCAACAGCGGTAACGCAAGTTGAGAACTGGGATCAAATTTCAGCAACATCTCTTGGATCTCTTGCCTTATAGAAGCATCACGGCATTTAAACATGACAAAAATGAGCGGCCGAGCGACCGCGTTGTCCAAGACTGCGATGCCCCGTGCCTGGCTCCAGTTTTCCTGCATCTCCCGTGCCGCTCGGACGATTTCGAGATAGACTGATCGGTTATCAGGAAAAAAGTTCGAGTCGGGTCGGAATTTCAGATGCAGATTCGTCAAGGCTTCGAGGAATAGAGCTTCCAGAATACAGGTACTCATATAAGTGTAAAGGTCCTGGGTTTTGTTTTGCCGGGCATGTTGAAGAAGAGGCAAAAAGCCGTTGTGCCATTTCTGCATAATGTTGACAGATTGCTCCCAGGGTGTGCTCTTCTCAGGAGCTTGCTGCTCTTGGTATTTGGCAAGGTCGTGGTGGTATAGATAATGCTGGACCACATCCCACCACGACAAGGCATGTGGTAGATCACGGAACGAGGCCGGTAAGTCCTCCAAGCTATATCTATGGTCGCTTCTTTCACAATACATGTGAGCTTTGTGATCCGTCCTAGAACTGGTAAAGCCCAGTTCCAGAGCCCAGGGGTAGGTGGTGAGTCGCTGCACCATCTCATAGAGGGCCACTTCAAGTGTTGACATCGGCAAGGAGTCTATTGTGACGCCTCTTTCTTTGCATCGTCTGTCAAAGTAACTGTCGGCGACTCTCCGGCCGTGATTAAAATGAACAAACGCACTCGACGTGTCACCGCGCAGCATATCGTACGTAACAAAGAGTATCGACGCCACAGCCACCGTGAGGAGAGTGTCGTTCGTAGTTTTAGCTTCAGTGATGGTGCTGACTGCACGGTTATAATGCACGAGAGAGGTCCTTGACAACTTTTCATCAGCCGAGGCATCAGAATTCGGGTCCGCGAATGCGCCCGCGGCGGCACCGATTGCGATGCAGATCTCGCGTATGACACCATCACCGTGGGCAATCTGTGGAGTAAGAGCTGCCAAGGTATTGATAGGTACAGTTCCAGTTTGCTGGCTGCTAAAGACGAATGCGGAGAAGAAGTTCCATTGCTGCTGATTTCCAAAGATGGACAATATGTGGTTGGGCTTTGTTAGAATGCGATAGTCGGATATTTCTGTGCTTTCAATTATTGTAGTAGAAGAGGCGCTTGATATGTCGCCACTTTCTCGGGGCCTAATGACTCGGTTTCTTGTTGGAACCTGGGTGAAAGAAATGTCGCAGGTCAGGCCAGCGATTACGCATCTCCGACAAGCCGGCTTGCCCTCGTCGCATTTAATATGCCGTCGTCTATTCGTCCGTGTTAACGAGGTCAGCCTGCATAAGACATGGGGCGACGTACTTGCACTCCTTGCATCCTGTCCGAGTGTTTGGGCCTCTCTTTTTGGTGGGCTTGGACCTATTAGGGAGGTCTAGGACCAGCACATTGGTGCCAGGGAGTTTAGCCTACACTCGCCGATTTAAGTCAGTTACGAGCTCCTCTAGGGAGAGTCCGAGATTGAGCTGCATAAACACCTACCATTGGTCTCAGTACCGAGGGTGTGGTAGATGATCCTCCGAGGCGGTCAAATGGTGGCTGAGCTATCAGAAGATCTTTCTCTTCGCGGATTGTCCGGCAGCCAGGGGATCTATTGACGCACTCAAAGACAGGCCTGAACTGCCGACAGCCTGGGATAAAGAGAATGCACTGCAAGGTGTTATGTTCTGCCGTTTGTTGATTCGACAGTGTTAGACAAGGAGTGAGGTTGGGCGTTGGGCTTGCAAGCTCGGAATTTGCCGTTCCACTCAAACTCGGCCAATTAGAAAGCGAGAACTCCGAATTACCTGTTCGAGTTAGAGCGAGTGGAGATGAAGATAAGCGCTATTCCAGTTATCGTCAAGTATAGGGTTGCAAGGGGATGACGACGATTATAAAGCAAAGGAATGTCTTTTGGTTAAGATGGAGAAATTATTTCGTTGCTAGGCTCTTCAAGGAGCTATAAACCGGCTTTCCCTCTCGCCTCGACTTTAGAACGGGTTCCAAAAGTCCCCGTTGTTTTGTGGTAACGATGACTTCGACTGCCATGGAATCATTATACTACACGGAAGTTCGGCCGACGAGTGAGAACATGAGAATCGTCCCAAGAACCAACTACTAACTGATTCAAGATTGCCTGGACCGCATGTTCTACGTCCAACACCGGATAGGTGCTCAATCCAACGTTCTACTCTCGGCACACTATACTCCCACAACCACCTCAAGCAGTCGTCTATCTAAGGAGGCTGTCTACTATGCTCTCCGCTCCGTCATCGAGGCATATCCAGAGCTTTCTCTCATTGGAGTTCCAAAAGCATCCGACAACGGGAAAAAGCATCTGCTCGTTCTAGCGGCACTACATGAAATCGACTTGGAGACCTGTGTCGAGTTTCTCGATGACCACGAGCCTGCCTCTGGGCCAGAAGTACTTGAGAAGCTCCACAATGAGTGGTTATGGACCGATGAGACTTTCAATCCTCGAAACCCATGGTGGAAGATTGTTGTTTTTGGACGACAGGAGGTGGTATTTGTCTTTCATCACATCGTTTGCGATGGTCGTTTCGGTCACTTCTTCCACCGCAAGTTCCTTGAGGCAATCAACTCTTTTGATCAGGATCAGAGACAAGTTGACCGTATCGTCAAAATCAACCCCGAGCGAGTGAGATTGAGCAAAGAAACGGAACAGTTTTGGATCAGCAGCCTTTCTGCCCTTCGCATGGCTCACATATTTCTCATGCTCCTGTTGATTCGACTCTTCTTTGGCAGCAAACTCTTCTTCAGCGACCTACCAAAGGCAAAGGCCTACGCCAACTCCTTCTTGATCGAGGCTAAGCCCCACCAACGGACAAAGACACGCATCGCCAGCGTTCGTATCCCCGCTGCCAAGATGCGGCAGATCATAGCGGCCTGTCGAGAGCAGAAAGCGAGCTTCACGCCCCTTCTCCTCGCTATGATCCGCTGCACCCTTGCTATCGACTACTATCCTGAAGCCAAGATTGGAATTAGCAATTGCGCACTTGACGTGCGATCCCTCTATCCAGAGAACACCGACTCTTCTGGAAAGCTTCTCCAATGTGCAGGTGGCGTCAGGAAGGTCACATGGTTGAGCAAATACCGCCGCGCATTTGGCCCAAGGCCATTGAGGTCAGGCCAGGCGCATGTGGACGTCCAAGGGGCTTGGGATCTCGTTCGAGAATATCGAGAATCCTTACAAAAGCCATTCCAGGGAGCTCAGCCACAACTTCTCACGGTGTTTAAAGCATCCAATGGTGTTTCTGAAGACCTGGAGGGGCTTCTGACGTCCACTCTCCCGGCCGTGGGTCTTCATCTCAACAATTCCTTCCAGATCTCCAACCTTGGAAGCTTTTCGACAAGTGGGGAAAAAGAAGGGCCATGGAAGATTGACGGCTTGAACTTTTCGGCTTCTACGGTGAATGGGACTATTAGCTACAACATCAGTATCAACGTTGCTGGCGTCGAAGGCGGGGATACTATTATTAATGCCTCGTATGAGGATGGAATAATTGCGGAGGACATGGTTTATGACATTTTGGAAGGGGCGCTGGAGAGGATAGAGGCAATTTTGTAACGACGGCTCACAGGTACTTTCAGGAGAGGGTAATAGTTTGGATAGGCATGCTGAATTGCTATAGAAGAATGGAGTGCATGGATTTTCAGGCATTACTAGATCCAAGATCTGAACAGCGCCCAATCAGCAAACGTGACGAACACTAATTGATGCCGTGCTGTTGGAATCCCCAGCTACGTCATCAGCGCATCATAGATTCCATTGTTACACCAGACCACATCAACTCGAGGAGCCAAATTCATATCTATAAAACAGAAATGGCATCATTTGGATAGATCTCCGGTCCTGACTCACAAAATATCAAGTTGCTTTGAATAGTTCCTCCTCCATAACAACGAACATGACAAGCCAATCATCCACGCAGCATCAAGGCAAAGTCTTGAAGCAAAATGACAACGTCGATGACGAGCAGCTAGCGACACTATCGGAGGGAAAAGTTGCTGATGCTGTCAAGAAAACAAGTGGTCGAGATAAGCCGCGGAAGGATGACATCCAGATCGAGGACTACACCTCGGGCCTTGAAAGGTTGGGTCGCTGCACCGTGACACAAAAACGTGAGCTAACATGTGGGATTAGAAAGAAGGCTGAGCAGGCTGAAGCTAGGGAAGAGATCAAAGCACAGAGAAGAGCCGGAGTTGATGTTGATGGAAGCCTTGGACAGGGGCGGTTACGCAATGAAGACAATAGCGATGTCTGAGGACCTCCCGTCGTGTCAGTCCATCGCTCCAGTCCGTCGCTCAGGCTTGAGAGATAACCAGAATGTAGAAGACGGACGGCTGCGTCAACGGATCTTTGGAGGCTCTGTACGGTGAGGGGATGGGAGAATTGAGGTCAGAGGAAATATGAGTAAACTCGGGATAGAGAAGAGAAATAAAGACACGATCACTTTCCAATATTATGAAATTTATTATGATACGCTTCTGAAAGTTCTTAGGCCTTAATCCTAGACCTTTTACCATGATAATTCGAGAGGGTTAGTTGAGTGTCTGGTATTTTTTGACGACGGCGTCACTGCCTACGCTGACGGTCACCGCTGCTCCGTCCGAAGTCTCGAGACTTCACCATGCAATTTGATGAGGTCATAGGATAGGCATCTATTTCTGTTGAGATATAACAGCCTCTGCTTCAGATAGATCGATGAGGTCCAGCCATGGAGATGGGAACTTATCGGGTTCCCTACGATGAAGAAGCTTGGAAAAAATATCGTTTTGAACCCAATCCCAAGAACGGCCCTCATTCCACCAGGAGAGATTCCCCCTGGCCGAGTGTCGACGAAACCGGGCATAAACCCTGCCCTGTCCGCTCCCATGTATTTCACTGTCTTCGTGAAAACGCCTCCGACCTCTCATGTTCCCGCCCTGCCTCACTGGCAAGTCCGCAGAATTTCTGGTGGCACACTGCCAAATTGGGTCGCTTAGGCTACTGCAGTAGCCAAACCGGTGAAAGGTGGTAAGGTCCAGTGTCCATCCCATTGAGGTGTTGGGGTTCTTTATCACGAGGATGTAGTCAGTGTAACACACTCGACAGGATCGAGAGACATGGACGTTACGGTCGAGTTTCAAGTTCCCAATCTCCGGGAGCCCCATATCCACGTGGTAGTAATACTTGCTATTGAACCTATGATCTCCACTTGGTCGAATATGGCGGCAGAGCGGAAGATCAACGGTTTCGAGAAGATACTTGAACGAGGCAACTGAGACCGGGGGCCCTTTGATGACATGGTGGCGACGCAAGTACAGCTCGTTTTTGATGATCTTTGCTTCTGAGGTGTGTCTGAAGTGCCACATCTGAGAAGCTAACCAGGAGTCGGGGTGGTGAGAGTGTATCGCATGTGCCGTGGGAGCAAAGTTGCAGTCAGGGTTGGTGAGGTACTCGAAAGCAGCGTTTTCATCTTCGAAAATCCACTCTTCTTCAGGTGTAAGAACCTGTTGACCCTCTGAGTGACGTTCAAGAGGAAAATGGCTCTGATCATATGGTCGATCCAGGTCGATGAACCTCCCAAATTCGTAATCATAGGCCAAATGTTCAAGCGGCAGACCATGCTTCTCACCGTACAAGTGGCGTTTCATGACGGAACGAAGCTCGGAAAAAGTAAGGTTCGGCCATACGATCCCAGGCATCCAAGATGCCCGATTGACCGATGCATTTACCCAATCACCCGAGTTGATTGGAAGAAGAAAGGAGCTTTCTGAAGACGCAGCGCAAGGAGTTCCTGAATACCACCACTTGGCATGAGCGAGATTGGCGGAATGTGGGCGGCCCTGTGCACGTTGACTGATAGTCGAGTCGAAAGGACGAAGCTTGTTATGTTCGCCGCATAAGACGAGGTGAGGGTTGTCCTTTTCCAAAAGCGAGAACAATATGTTCAACTCTCTGTTTTTGAGAGTCGGTATTCGAGCAGAAGGGTAGAGCTTCGTGAAGAGGGGCTTGGAGGAGAGAGCGAGGCAGACTTTTGATAGAGGGATTAGCAGCTTGACTACCATGTCGAAAAGTTCCATAGGCAAAAGATAGAGCCAAGCTGGCTGGTTCTGGTCTTGGGTCGTCATTGTTGGGTGCGTGTCTGTTGGAGTAAAGAAGTTTCTGGGGGCAGAGTCTTGAAGTTTGGGAAATGAAAAGGATGACCAAGAAGTTGATTTATGATGATGAGAAGAAATCTAGAAGGTTAATCCACCGAAAATTTTTATTGTTGGGTCTACTGCGATGTGGCTTCAAGGGGAGCCTCTCGGGGTACGTTGATTTTGAGTTTTGACTTGTATCATGCAGCCCGGCCCTCGATGGGTTAACTGAGCCCGAAGATCGGGATGCTATCACCCGTTGAGTTAAATCTAAACTAATAACATTCTCTAGAGTAGCCCATCGGCGAGTATATAGCGTACTCGAATTATCTAGTTCCCGGGAATCGGGAATATGCAGTAGGCACTGAATGCCTACTCATAGTTGTCCCGAGGACAGGCTCGAAGTACTGATACGGGTTGGAAGGTTGCGTCCAGTGTGGCCGACAGTAGTTGTTGCAGCTGTGTTGGCTGAAGAAAGAGCTGATACCTTCGGAACCAAGATCGGTGACGCCGTAGTCACGATTGCGCGACAGAATAACAGGATCGGAGAGGACAATCTCGTGCTGGTAGATGCCACCCTGGAGATCGCATAGCACAAACTGTCCACCCGACACGTGGTAGCTAAAGTGGCTAAGGGCTTGCATGACCTCCCCCCAAGCCCTCGAGTCGTCATTCCATCCACTGTTGCTGTTGAACTTTTGGTAGTTTTGGATAAAGGGTTCACACAAATGCTTTTGGCCAGCCCATTCGTCGTCACTATCGTCGCTGAATTGCCAAACGCCAGGTACATTGATCTTGATGTCTTTGTCGATCATGTTTAATTCGTTAAATCTGTTGACAATATCCAAGGCCTTGTCGACGGCTTTGATGTCTAGGGTGAAGTAGTCTGCTTCAAAGACTGCGCCCGTCTTGAACCATTTCAAAACGCATGCTTGGCTTTGCGAGTGCCTGAAGAGTAGACCCCCTTGGCTACCCAGCGGAAGGCACCTTGAGCAAAGGGGTTTTGAAGCGCGTGATATGAAACAGTACCCGAGTTGGAAATATTGTATCTGCCACTGTCGGACTGTTGTGCAGATGGAGTATCGGACGGGTGCCCGTGGACGCAACTCGCACATCGCGATACACCGACACCCTTGGAGTACTAGTTGGCCGTGTAGGACGACCGAGGGAGGTTTCTGCCGCAATCGGCACAGTCGCGCATGGCCGGCCTCATCTGAAGGATTCAGGAACAACAAAATGACGACACGGCGTTGAAATATGAGGTTGAGATGTGTGTTTCGAGCCTTGGGAAATTACAGTACTCCGATAAGGAGGGGCTAGATGCTGATGCCTCAGGACACGAGGCCATCAATATCAAGCACCAAGCTGGACCCACTTGGAAGAGCCAATGGTCGTATTTCAGTATCTATCTCCTGGCTCAGTTATCACATCAATGGCTTGGCTTCAACTACAACAAAAAAGACATAAGAAACTTCTTCCATACAACTAAATCCTCGCAAAGACTCACAATCTCAGACCGATCTCGCTGCTCAGTGCCGACCTGCCTAATCCTTCAGTGCAACTCTCATGCTGGAAACCCAACTTTTCTATTTCTGCCTGAACAGCAGCTCCGCGGACCTTCTCTCACCCGGTTCAAACACTTCCTCCAAGATCGACTGAATCTTCATCTTGTCAAGATAGCCGATGCCTCTTGCCTTTGCGACTGTTGGTCTTGGGTCCTTTCGCCCAACTACGCACTCAATTTTGTGGTCGGCGCCGTGCTCTAAGAGCATTCGAATGATCTCGATGTGTGTCTCTTTGAGCTCCGGGTTACTCTTCAGCTCCTCCCGTGCTTTATATATCCTCGTCATGTATTGTTTCCAGATCTCTGTCTTCTCTTGTTTTGAGAGCTCGCGTCTTTTGTCCCCTGGTTTTAGGAGTAGCTCCACCATTTTGACCGAGGGGTGAGGCAAGCCGTCGGCCTGCATCCGGGGCCTTTGCCATCGCGGAAACAGAACACTCTTGAGCAGTGGCGCTCCTGGACCATGTAAAGCCCGTGGCAGATTTTTCTGGACGTAATGATACATGTCTCTTTGAGCAATGACGCCAACAAAGGAATCTCCATTAAGGAGGAAATCACTGTTTCCTGTCTGCTTTGTGATTGTCTCGTGAAGCTTGTCGAGTAGTTCAAGCTGCAGGTGAGCTTTCTGCTCAAGCTGCGAACCAGCTAGCTGCTCAAGCTCGGACAAGTAGTAGGTGATTTCGTCGAGCAATTGGAACATCTCCCGGGCGCTGAGTGTCCAGGCTTTGTGTCCAGAATTTTTAGCCCCCCTGATGTGAGCCAAGAGGGCTTTGCTGGTGAACTCCATGGGATCAAAAGGCTCCTTGATGCGATCTCGCAACATCTTTTGAGTCTCCTCCAATGATAAAAAGTCCTTAACCGTCCGGTGTAAGAACTCTACCTGGTGCCCCGTCATCTGCTGAGCTGTTTTCATGGCGCTTGGGGTGCCCTTGATCTTGATGAGATCTGGGCATCGGACCTTGAGGCGGCTCTCCGTATCCTCTGATATGTGGAGGCACTCATTCTCGTCCCATGGCTTGGGGTCATCTGTGAACGACAGATCGCCATTGCCAATGAACGAATAGACGGCCACGGGCAATGTTGCTCGAGCATGGGATGCCACCTGGAGTATTTGAGCAGCCTGTTCGTGATATCTCTCCTCCACTGAGCCGAGAATCCGATCAAACATGGCATGGAGCGTCTTGGGGGTTTCTTCGAATCTTTGACGAAGTTCATCAACCCGATCACGGTTTTCCAGTCCTTGCAATAAGCTCTCCACAACAAGAGCCACCCATGAGAAGGCACCGCGAGAGTCCTGAACAATCAAGCTAGACAGGTTTCCAAGGTCTTTTGTGGAAATCAATGACTTCTGGTAGGCTGGGCTACTCGTGAATTGTTCTTGAATGTAGCGACGGATATCCTCGCGATTCTCATCATGAACGCACAACTTTCGGTGGGAGGCATGGCCAAAAGCGTTCTCAAAAGCTGGCCATGGCCTGCGTGAGACACAGAGTTTGATGTCCTGAAGACTTGCGAGAAAATTGATAACTTCAATGATGTCTCTGACGTGCGCAGAAACGCCGCCCTCTTGGCTGCCTCGCCTACCAGCATAGTCCTGATATTCATCAAGACCATCGGGTGAGAAAGAAGAACTTGGTAGACGTTGACTTGAGGGTCAAGGATTTGAGAGTCTCTATAAGCTCAGACCGCGTCCATGGAATACCCAAATCCGAAGACCATCTCGACTTGCAGACTGTGCGTATCAGAGAAGGGCACTGCCGAAGGATCTGGAACAGCAGGGATCGCAGTAAGCCCTCTTGGGACTTTTGAAGAGGAGTACCAGAGAACCAAAAGTAGAAGCTAGCCTTGACAAGAATGTTCGGTGCAGCCCATTGGACCAGCTTCTGATGCGTCTTGGTGTGATGTGCCTGATGACTGAGATATTTCATAAATGTCGATTTTCTTGACCCCGGATGACTAGTCACCTAATAGACACTATCGTCCTTAGAGAGCCACTCCAGAAAGCTGAGCTGAGGTTTCTCTACCCATTCGAATGTGCGTGGCTGGGCTTCGACTATGCCATCTCTTCGATGCACCATCTCGTCGAACCGGAGGCTTTGAAGAATGACCTGCTCCTTTTTCAATGAGTAGACTCTTTTTGTCCACTCGAAGAGCTTGGTGCTGACATCTAGTGCAGCTTCTTGAGACTCTGATTCCTTTGAAATCGCATCCAAGATGTCTGATTTCATCTGATCGAGATCGTTGGAGTGTGCAATACTAAGCTGGCGAGTCTGCTCCACGAGTTTCGCAAGGGCGAGCTTCACACCGCTTTGTTGTTGGCTGCACCTCTGACTTAGCTGTGCATACTGCAGACATTCGGACGCCAAACATACCTGATGTGGATGATGAGTAGTCGGAAAAGGTGCTTCCTTAACTCTTCCCACTCGGCTAGCTTCCTGTCTACCTCGTCCCTCTTACGTTTTCTCTTGACAAGGGTCGATGCCAATTCCAACAAGTTGGAGCGGTCTTTGACGGATCCACTCGCGATGTCTTCTCGTAGGTCGCTTGCCATTCCCTGACACCTTCCAGCGATATCGCGTATCTGCTGTTCAGTTGTTGTCAGCTCGCCCTCCAAGGAGCTCATGCCGGCCGAAATTAATCCAAGTATTTCTTCACCCCGAGACGTCGAGTTGAGTGACTCTTCATCCTTCTTCGTCAGGCCCTTTGTTGATGCTCGGATTTCTCCAATTATGACGTAGCATTCCTTGGCGAAAACGATGAATTGAATGATATTTGCTGCCAGCGAGACGGCCTCCATGGTTGAAGTCAGTGCAGTGTTTGGGGTTCTGAAAATAAGGGGTTTCTGTGCAGCAACAAGTTCGATGAGCCCCGAGCAACCTTTATTAACATCGCCACCAAGTGCCGTCACATGAGATATGGCAGGAAGATTAAAATAACATCACAGAGCGTTATTGACCGAGCCTGATGGCTGAGTGGCGGCCTGCTGTGTAACCCCTCGGCGGCAAGGAGTGAGGCATGCTGAACAGAGCCTCGATATCTATTGGCCAAATTGCGCAAAGTGCGCTGCATTCTAGCCGCTGCCTAGTTGTTTGCTTACGCATCGAATGCCTTTGTGTTGAAAGTGCAAAGAAAAATGGCGCAGCTGCCTCCCCCGTCGGCTTGGCTCAGGTGAGGTCGGCCGACGCGAGATCAGGCTCTGAGAAGCAGTTGTCTCTTTTCGCAAAGCAAAGGGCTCTGTGAGCCACTCAGGTATTTTATTGAAATTTCTTTGCTACGAATCAGGCTGTCGAGGACAACGAGCATTTTTCCCCGAAGGAATCTTCGTCAATGCTCGGATCTACACTATGCTGTCCTTTACCAAGTCATCTCATCAACAACCATGAAAGATCCGGCAACTACTAGCTCCTCTCATTTGAAGAGAGCTCCAACGTCTCAAACGCGACCGACCGGCCATGCCACCACTTCGACCTGATTGGTGGGAATGAGCTCTCGGGGCCTTGCAACACCATGCCTGGATGCACAACGTTCAGTACAACCACCGCAATGAGCATCGGTAGCGCATCCAAATATAACTGAAACTCTTCGTGGCGTAGAATGACGTTGGATGAAGAGACGCCCTGGCTGAACTCAACAAGACGGAAAATGATGCGGACCTGAAGCCATATCAGTTTCTTGTACTTAAGCTTTGGTTAACTGAGGTGAGACACTGACCACAATCAGGGCAAGAACCACATAGATAACCCACAGCAGCGACATGGTCCACAGGCTCCGAGTTCTGAGCTTCCCAGTGCGCGCATTGCGAGAAATCTCCCGGCGGAAAAGAGTGTGAATGGCCAAAAAGACAAGAACACAACCCAACTGAACACCCACCCCAGCCATATACACCTTTCTTCCCAGATCTGCAGTATCTGAGTTGTTCTGATCTGCAAGCATCGCACCGCCTGCTGCTTGAATGATGAAGCATAGAACATCGACGGCAACAAAACATTTTGCCAGCCACTGTGCAGAAAGACCGGCGAGGCGGCGTCGTGGATGAAGGAAGTGGACGAGACGAGCGACGGTCATGTAGGCAAAGGCGTTGATCCCTAGCGGTTATATCAGTAACTGTCTGAGTAAAAAGTACAGTTGGACATACATAGTGGCGCCAGCAATAACAGCAGAGTGGACACGATCATGTACGTCGATTCTTGCTGGTCCCTTGCACCCAAGGCCCGCAGGATGAAGCAAACACACTCCCACAAGGCGCCCATGACGATGACCCAGCAGAAAGACTGTAGTTAAAGGTTCAGCTTAACTCAATTCGTTGCCGCAAAGGACAGACCTTTTTGAGAATGACGGCTTGCACGAGGTGAGCTACGGTGGACAGGCCAAATGCAACCGCAAACGCAGTGTTGTCCTCCCACTGTGGGTAGAAGCCGTAGTTGGCGTTGCATGAATCGGGCGGGACATAGCCGTACTTGTCTGGGATCGCGGTCGTGCAAGTCGGGCTCGCCGATGAGGAGGTTAAGGTTGCTTGGAAGACGGTTTGAGTGGGCATGGTGTCTTGGTGGTCGAATTTGATAGCTTTGGGGATGTTGTTAACAATGAAGGCGATGATGGTGATGAATAACAGAGTGAAGATAGTTTCTTAGGGTATATATGGATATAAGTCTGATTTGCGTCGTCATCAGTCTTTTGAGGACATCTAAAATTGACCCTTTCTGAGCACTCTCAGCCCAGCCAGGCTCGCTTTCGTCGCAAGTGACGCGTCTCGCCTGATGAGAACAGCTCGCAAATTATAACGAGCGACTTTCCCAAGCCATCTGATAATGAGCCACGCAAGTAATGTTGCCAATCATGAAGGTGTCCTCTCATTGGTCAGTTCGTCGCTTTCATCGTTTTCGAGATGCCTACCCTGGGCCTGAAACCCCCACTCAATTTTTGGCAGGCAACCTCCTTGCCCCTGGCAACTTGGGGCTGAGGATGCTGTGTTCAAGTGGTTGTAATAATTCCCAAAAGTATCATGCGCTTACTGTGGAGTACCATGGAATCGTAGGAAATGCAAGGGTTTTTGAAGCACGGAGGTCTATGAACATCTACAAGGAGGCATCTAAACTAACGTGGAGACTCTCCAAAACCCCTGGCTAAACCTAGTGGCCACATCATGTACTTCTAGAAGCTCTTGGGAAGAGCACTTGCAATATTGTTGATCCAAGCCTTTGTAATGCCCTTGCTGAAAGCGAAATGTCGTGTTGTGGTCTCGGAGAAACATGTCTCCAAGACGTGGTCCAACATAAGGAAATGCGCGAGGAGCACTTGGGCCACGTGATTAGAAGGGTCTGTGAAGCCGGCGTATTCGTCGTCGGTCATCTTGTTTGTCAAGGCGTAGCAAGGCACCATCTCAAGAAATGCTGCCAATTACATTAATATTGAAGCAGATGATAGAGTGGGATAACTGACCATCACGTGGAGATGCAGTGCTCAGCTGCGCTAGCCTCTCTAACACAGACCAATATCGTCGTTCTGCATTGCATCGGCATAAAGGTTCAACTGTCTTCAGTGAAGCAAGGCAGTCTTGGATGAGTGTATGATTGCCAGCATTTTCCTGTTGTTCAATATGTCTCTCCATGCTTCCAACGAATGATTCACGAGTGAAAGTGCAGAACATGGATTTTGTACGATCTGCAACCAGAGTGGTCTGAATGAGCATCCAGCCACGCATCATGGCCAGAAAGTCCATCATTCCATCTAGCATGTAAGACGACTGAAATGTGAGAGCAATCACAGCAGCATACCGAGCGTCGGCTTCAGCTGCCGTGAGACAGGGCTGTGATAGAGCGTGGTTCAGTCCATTGATGGCAGAGACTCTGAGACCGAGAGCCTGCACCGAGTAATCGGCGTGGTTGAATAGAGTAAGGTGTTGAGCAGCGAGTGCCAGTATAGATGATGCTAGGAAGTCATGCTACGGGGATTTTGCTTAGCATAGATAGTGAAACGGGGCCTTTCAGGAGAACATACCTCGTGCGACAGTGCAGCAACGTCCTGCCATACAGCTGACGAAGCATGCGGATGCGGTGGGTATGCTTCGATAAGGAAATGATGGAAGAACCTCAGATGGTCAAGAGATAGGTTGACCCTTGACGGTGTAGATACTATTGAGTGGCGAATCTGAGGTAAGGTGGTCGCTGGATAGACACAGTGCATGCCCAGCCGTCGACAGCCCTGACACTCGGGGCGACACTCGGAACATTTCACCCTGCGACGCTTGCAGTTAAAACACCCTCTTCTCGTTTTCCCGAACCCTTTGCCGGGGACCGGTTTACGCTTTGGTGCGTTCCGTGGTTGGTCTTGCCCACCATGGTCTGCCTCGGCCATGGCGGTCACAGCTGATTTACCGACGTGAGTTTTGCTTTAGATAGAGAAAGAAAAAGACTGTTGAATGAATATTTGGATACGACCAAGACGCTTTTCTGCTCAAATCAACGAATGTCTGAGAGGTTAGCTGATGTCGAGACGCTTACGTGTTCTATGGGCCTATGGCTTACCAAGGACATGGGTTCGGGTCAACATTTACGCCGACTATCGTCGTTGTCGTGTAAAACCGTGTCTTCACATTTCGAGCCTAGATATCGTGATAAACAATGCTATTGGGTTTGGGGTTGTGGTATAATGTTGGGTCAAGGGGATCGGACTCAAAGCTTGGTTGACTGAAAGCTTGAGCATATTATACAGGGCGAATGTCAAGTCTGAGGGCGAAGTTTGCAGAGTTGGTGACAGTTCTCAAAAGAAGGAATGAGAGAGAATTGAATATGACCCCTACTAAGAAACAAACCTGGTAAGAAGAATCTATCATTATACGAGATGTCCTCCAAGAGCGACATTGAAGCCTCGTCATTCTAATTAAACTAGAGGCATTTGTCTCGCCGGTTATTTATCGCCTGATAATCTTTTAGATATTAATTTTCCTACAACCCTAACGACTTCTTGCGAATTGGCCTCAATTGAAGTTCATATCCCCTCACATGTTTGCTTTCCAAGCACTTGGTTTCGTACAGCCTATAGGGGTCTATAATGTTATTAAATATACACGAGCCGTAAGGTGTAGCGAGGGTGAGATAGACTGATAATTCGCTCTTGGAGTGATACCTCTCGCTATGGTCCAAGAAAATAGTTGAGTTGTTTCATTTGCGTTGAATTGTTAAGGACGTTGCGCAAGGCTGCCTACCCGGAAAAGAAGAAGGCTCGGTGAGAATCAATACCGTAGAAACTCATTTGATACACACGGGAGGGGGGAGAAACTAAGGCACAAACCAGAAACGGTCATTCGTAGTAAAGTCCCGACCCCTCATCTGATTAGCAGAGGGCCTCTTAGCTTCTCTAGCCTGCCGTGTGTATTTATTGAGTTTTTACGATAGCACAAGCTGAAATGCATCCCAAGTGCCGAAGCATGGATTCCAGCGCCACGCTGAAGGTGTGATGAACTTTGATGCACTCTGGCGCACTTTGGCGCACTTCACCCAACCAACTCATAACAGGGCAGTAAAATGTCTTGTCTCAGCGGCTACCCCAGCCTCCTGTTCCAGTTCTCTTCCCTTCTCTTATCCCCTTCCACAGTGAGCTAAGCCGCAACTCGCAAACCCCGGTGCTCCCCGGACGAAAACAATGTCAGTCGAACTGAATGAGTGGAAATTCGCGACAGAAGACAGATGCCCAGAAATCGGGTTTGACTGTATCCCCCCGAGTGCCTGCGCAAGGCACCCCAATACCGGTAGGAATTACTGCTGCAATGCCGATGTGGAAGGAATTTGCTGGAACCAGGGCAACGCCGGAGAAGACAACGAGGTCACCAAGGCTTGCTCTACGGCCGAGGATCTGAAGGGATGGAGATGCATGAGGGGGAGGTTGGTCAGACCCTGAGAACGAACCCACAGCTCCCCCAACTGATAATCTACCAAGCGAAGAGTGTGTGAGAGGAGGAAAGATCAATCTGTGCACGTTGCCGCGCAAAGAAGCAGAAAACCCGTTGCCCGAGATAGGAAGCTCCGTCCTAGAAGAGATGTATTCTTCTTTGAGCGTTTCGGCGCCCTCTGAAACGTACCTGAGCTTCGACCCATCAGCGCTTATTGCGGCGACACAAACCTCTTCCTCGACAGCCGCCTCGACAACCGCTTCGACAGAATCGACTACCGCCGACGCAGCCAGTGCGACAGCAGTAGTTACAAACACGACCGAGCCCGAAAGCGGACTGGGCGGCGGTGCCATCGGGGGGATCGTGGCGGGGGTCGTGGTTGGAGTGGCGCTGCTTGGCTTGGGAGCCTGGTATCTGCTGAGGAAGAAGCGGCGCGAGAGGGTGCCCAAGGTTGATAGTCTGGGAGAGACAAAGAGTGATGCGGATCACCAAATACGAGACCGACAGATGGCAGAGCTTGGATCACGCGAGCTTCAAGAGTTGCCTTGAAAAAGGGGTGCCCATTCACAAGGACAGAAACGAACACGATGAATTAGGCTTATCTCTGGATATCTCTTCATGTACAGCTTAGCATCGTGAGGAACGCGCCAAAATATATTAGAAATGAAAAGAATGGCAAGCGGGTGGCTGTGTTTGGCGTGATCAGTCATATCTACGTCTTTTCAAACTATGGTCCAGAGTATGTTAAGCTTTCTGGCCATATTGTACTTAAATAAAGCACCTCAAATCTTTCAATCATTTCCTTTAGATATGACACTGGAGCCCGAAATGAAAATTCTATGAAGTAAAAGTCCCATGTCTTCTTCTTTCCTTTGCCCTTTGTCGGCCACTCAAAGGTGTAGAATCTCAAGCCATAATCGTTACTATCGAAAATGTGATAAGTCATATCGCCAGCCTCATATTCAAACCAGCGATCGGGTTTCGTCTTGATCTCCTTGTTTGTGTACATGAAGCAAACGAGATCCTTCTTGTAGTAAACGTCCACCTCAACAGACGCTGGGGTTACACTTGTAGGCTGTTGATGCCAATTGTGGTGTGATCATGCCAACCGTGAAGCTCTTGAAGATCCTTGCGCCTTGGCATTTGATTTCAAGGGTGGTGTTGTAAGGCTACTCCACTTTCGTCATGTAGGACCTGGCCCCCAAACGCATTAGTATAGGGCATAAGTGCATAAGTATTTATAATCGCACTAGTGAGGACCAGTCACTGCTTGACGCATCTATACGTATAAAGGGGCAAGGGACGCCACCGCGCCAATGGGTCAACAAGGGCGGTACACATAACAAGACAGAACATCAGATTTCTTTGTGTCCTGACCCAACATCCTATAATATGAGAGGCGATGCGCTCCGACCAGATGATGATGCCTACAAATATAGCTACGAAAAAGGCTATAGGACCTGGTGGGCGCTCTGGAAAGAAGCAACTACGGGCTCCGGGCTTCCGTCAGCCTGCCTGAAACTTGACGACATCTTCCCTCAGCATCCATACTTTCCTTTGGGGTTGGATCTTGACTCCACTGGCTTACTGACAGCTACTTCCACCTGGATACCGACAAGTGGATGCTGTGATATGCCCGCCTTCGAGCAGCGATTTCAAGTCACCCCTTCTATTAGCAAACCCACTGCTATTTTAGCGACATCCGATGCAAACATACCATTCTAAGAGCACTTGGGAAAAGAAGATAATCATCTCACTGTGCTTGTGCTGGCATGGGCCTACACTTTGTCCGCACGTTGGACATCCATCATATCAGGAGCGGCACCGCTTGACTATACCGCCAGCCAGGCAAAATAGGCAGAAACACGCCACCTACCCAAGGATGAAGCATCAGGAATAGTCCAGCTGGGCTCTATCAATGATGAAGCCGCCCGGTAGTAGGCAGCCATTCTAGCTCCAGGGCAAGGTTAGAAAGCTTCAGTCCCACACAAACAATATCAATTCCTCTCTCCGTAGACCATTTCTTTAGATTCAACGCGTCTAATACTACTGCCTCGCAATTCAGAGCCCGCCTCGCCTACTCTGGGAAAGTGTCCACCTTTCGAGGACGCTATTCAGTACATCGCCGATTATTCTACATTGCACTCGGCCAACAAACAAAACCATGCGGCTTTCGCTGCAGCACTACTTCTCCCCCTTGCCAATTTCGACAGGAGAAAGGTCCGGCTCCCATTACCTCAATTTTCCATAAAGAAAACATCCAGCACAACGTCACATGGCCCCATCTAGGGGCAGGACTTGCGCCAATTTGATAGACTCCTGACACTAAGCTACAACCCGCAGGGTATCAAGTCCATTCTCAGCAGCACTTTCTACGAGCCTGATATACCCTGCAACGTTTATAGAGCATGGTTACAAGGAAGTTTTGCATTACTCCATTCCAAACACACGCGTGATATTAACCTGCTTGCCCGAATATTCTTCCTCCGAAGGCCGCACCTTAGCTTTTTATGGCTCGGTGCCATGATTACTAGCGCACACAAGAATCTCCTCAAGAACCCTCGGGGACTATTAGGAACTGAGGAAATTGACCTCCATAAAGCTGCTTGGACTAGAACTATCGTTTCATTTATTAAAGAGCCTGTCTCTCGCGTCGACCGCGATGCCAGCTCAATTATTCGGGCGAATGAATGGCGGTTGGCATACCTCTCTCAGGGACTCTCCGAGTACAAGTTCCCACCCCTGTATCCTTATCCACCGCCCGGCATAACTACGATCGAGGATCTGGATATTAATATTCGACTGCATGCAACGTGCGCTAGCAAACACAGGCTCAGATTTTCCAAAATTATTTAGAATTGTGCTAGAGGGAGACAAGAAGTCCATCAAGTCATCGACGAGCGGGCAATACGCCCTAATATTACACCTTCATCTCCACTAAACTGCCTCCCTACCCACATTGACTACAGCCATCTCGACCGGGAAAAGGACCTTTCTGAACTCGTTACACGGACTATATTTAACTAGATGCGAGGGACAGACGGTTTCCCTGTTGCGGAACGAGACATCTATAAGCATGATTGGCTCAATGACTTCGGCTCAGATGATGAGAGTCTATGTGAAGGAGAAGGGGGAGGAAGGTCTTCAGTAGGGTCTAACGAACTGATCCGTTCCTGGATTTCGAAACAACATCATGCTGATTAGTGGTGGTGGGTTATTGAATTCCCTGAAGTTACCTGATCTTGCGGTGATTATGTGTTCAATGGTGTGTCAAGGACATGGGCTGCGCCAACCTTTTTAAGGACTAGAGCTTGCTTCACAGGAACAATCCATTATATGGGACAGGGTCCAGGGGCAGGAATGGGTCGTGACCTTTCTTGCCAAGTTAGACAGCGCCAACCATGGCCGTTTGTCATGAATTCCTTGTCCAACATCTGTACCCCAATAAATACGTCTCAGTTAAAGTTCATATCTCCTTGGATGGTTTGATCTCCAAGTACTTGGTTCTTGACCTCGCCCCAGTTGTTGTTGACGATACTCCTTCCACGAGACTGCACCAATGTTAGATACGAGCATGTCGTAGGGAGGCATACGTACAGCTTCTTCAGGTCCACCATCGTCCTTGGCCGAGACCTTGAGAATCGCAGCAAGAACACTCTGGTAACCAGGGCTATCCTGGTCGGCGAATTTACACATTGTGGAGTGATCTGCGTTGATAGACGCGTGGTCTCCGAACCCAGGTATCCAAGAGTTCCGCTCAGGCACAACCTACACAATCATCGTCAACCCCGAATGAACCGGCGGCGAGTGAACGTTGTCTTACTAATACGCCATGCAGCTTCTTCGTCTCGTTGAAGAAGGCTACACGAATCTCATTGTTATCTCTGATACGCTGGTGCAGCGCGGAGGCGAAGGAGTCGGCCAGGATCTGCAGCTTCTCCGACTTTTGCTTAAGGTCTTTTACCTTTTGTGAGTCAGCGTCGTGAATGATGGATACCATCGTGCTGATCGCTTTGCCCCAAGGGGCCGCCGGAGAACCATGAAAGGGGGTTCCCAAGAAGACCATGCCGCGAGTGTGGCTGGCGATGAGGGATGCGTTGTCGGTTCCATCTCCGAGAGCACCCTTGACAACCATCTAAAGAAGTATGAGATTAGGCCTAGATAGTAATGATAGAGGGGAGGTTTCTAGCCTGGGCACAAACTAAACCACCTAGGCTGTGTGCGACAAAGACCAAGGGTCGATCTGACTGTAGATGGTGGGTTAGTTGAGACTGGCATCCCAACGACAGAGCCGCAAGTGTCTAACCGATTCAGTCTTGACTCTTATCCCAGCGAGCCTCTCGCATAGATCGGCCGCATGAGATTCCATGGTCCCCTTGGTAACTTCTTGGTCAAGGTTGAACTTGGTCACGTCGGCGTCGTAGCCAAAGGTGAAGATGCGGGCCTTGGGAAGGTCTTCGCCGAGGAGCTGCTTGGGCCATAAAACGCCATTCGTGGTCCAGGTGTTTACTCTGTTTCCAAAGAGCCCATGAACAAACACGATGCTGGTGAGCGGGTCAGTGGCCAGTTCAAAGATGAGGGGAAGTGTGAGACACACTCAAGATCTGCGTTCTCCGAAGAGCAAAGTTCTTGGAGCCCAAGTTGAGACATGTTGTGGTTAATTTACTCTAATCAAGGAATATGAGATGATGAACAGAAGCGGGTGGATGTCGAGACGTCCTTGACTATTAGATCCTGTGTCGAGAAAGGGGACCAGCCAGATCAGGCTGTGAACATGTTCCCTCATTTTAAACCAGCCACTGCTCCACCCAGCTGAGGTCTTGGCCAAGTCAGCAGGCCTCGGCTATGCAAGACCAGTGCACATTTGTAATGAGGGTGGTGCGGCTGGGGAATTTTACGCCAACGATTGGCCCAGGTAGATAAGAGGCGGTTAGCCAACATGTCTTGGATGCATGCTGATAGAGGCGAAGCGGGAGCTCAGCCCACAACAAGGCCCGGCATTAAAATGACGCAAGGCGCCCTGGAAGTCCTCTCAATTGACAAGTCCAAGCCTTAGATCCCAAGCATGGGTTCAACCTCGACCCCGACGCCAAAGAGCGTCTCGTCAGGCACCGTCCAGAACCAGGTCTTCGGGGATCAGCATGTATACGGCGATCAGAACTTCACTGTGTAAGTCGGCACTCCCTTTCCGGTAGAAACTCACAAACGGCCTAGATCTGAGCTAATATGATCCTAAGGCGACCCAACGACGCGCAGGCGCTCGTCCAAGATTGTTTGAGGTCCTTGGCATATCCAGAGATGAACGACCGGTCCAATTCAATTAGGGTCTCTGCCGGAGGAACCTGCGAGTGGCTTCTTCAACACGAAATATGGAAAAAGTGGAAGTCTTCTGAACGTGGCTTACTCTGGATCAAGGGCAAGCCGGGCTCGGGAAAGTCAACCTTGCTACGATACGCGCTGCACGAGCTCAAGTCAACCAAAACGGCGAAGAAGGCACTAATGCTATCATTCTTCTTCCACGGTCGCGGTAATGACCTACAAAAGAACCAACTTGGCCTCTTCCGCTCACTTCTACACCAAGTCCTCTCCGAAATGCCCAAGCAGTTGGCCAAGTTGGTGACCACATTTGACCAACGACGGCATGAGATTGGCAGACCAGGAGTAGACTGGACCTGGGAGCTTGATGAGCTGCGCGAATCATTCAAGTGGTCCATTCTTGATGTCTTGAAGAACCGCCTAGTCTGGATATTCGTTGACGCCCTAGACGAGAGCGGGGCTGAGAATGCAAAAGAAGTAATCCGGCATTTCAAGGACCTGCTACAGGGCCCGTCTGCCCGTTCGAAGCTTCGAATTTGCTTTGCTTGCCGTCACTACCCCATTGAAAGCTCTGAGGGTGGCTTCGAAATGTGCACCGAGGATGAGAACAGCCGGGATATCCTCACGTATGTCCGAGCCCGACTATCCGATTTCCAAAACCCCACGGCACTAGCCCTTCCGGATCTTATCACTGAGCGCTCTAGTGGCCTCTTCATCTGGGCTCGCCTCGTTGTTGACCGGATTCTGGATCTTGAGCTGGCAGATGACCCCAATAGTGCTGACCAGCTAATCAATAACATCATTGACACACTTCCTCGGGATCTGAACGCTCTTTACTCCGATATAGTCCGAGATACAGAAAAGTCGCCACCATCCCTGAAGTTGATGCGGTGGATCAGTTGTGCTCAAAGACCTCTATCCTTGGATGAATTGCGGTGGGCAATGGTCATCGACCCTAACTTGCCACACAAATCATTGAGAGACTACAAAAACACTCCAAATTACATCGAAAACGATGATGTCTTGGAAAGAAGAGTGAAGACGCTTAGCCACGGCCTGGTCGAGATCATTTCTTCCTCTAAGACACGAACGGTTCAGTTTATACATCAGTCGGTCAAAGAGTTTTTCGATAACAGGTCTCCGGCATCTATGGAAGAAGCTTCCGGGGATAAACTCTTCTCACTTACCGAAGCGGCACACTACAGGCTATACAGGATATGCATTCACTACTTGACTATGGAAGAGATGGCCGAACTTTCTAGCTTGGAAGGGATGGGCTATGCTCAGCTGTACCAACTCAATCAAGCCGCCTTGTTGGCTAAGTATCCCCTACTCAGCTATGTTATCACGTCGTGGATCGCGCACCTTGAAAGATGCCGGGAGAGCCATCAAGCAAGATCTCAGCCCATCAGTTGGCCGCCGAAGTCTATCCTGGAGCGATGGAGAAACGCTTCCTGGTTCTTACACACGCGCATGATCGGAAATGACTTTCCACCAGCCAAAGCCACCTTGGTGCATGTACTGGCACGGTATGGATTGGTTGTGCTACTACAGATGCTTTTGGGCCACGGAGAACCAGCCGACATAAATTCAAGGGATGACCTTGACCGAACACCATTGCTATACGCAGCCGAGAGAGGCTACGAAGCCGCAGTACAGGTTCTTCTAGAAGCAGGAGCTGAGGTCGACCACCAGGACGTTTATGGAGCGGCGCCATTACATTTCGCAGCACTAAGAGGACATGTTTCGATCATGAGACTTCTCTTGGTGAGAGGAGCTAATGCCGACCTGAAAGACAAGCATGGATTTACCCCATTGGCCTGGGCAATAGAGGGCGAGCAAGAAGCAGCAGTGAAGATGCTACTCGAAAAGGCTGTGGACGTTAACGGTGAGTATGTACTCATGGGCTACATCGAAAGCGGTATCGCTGGTATGGGCTTTGAGATCAGCCGGGCGCGCTTCTACGGAGTTGATGACCCGTGGACTTACAGCTTTTCTCATTCTCGCAGCGTTCACGTGTTGAACTATCGTGAATCTTTGCCATTGGGGGCAACTATAGAGTATTATGACGACGAGCCAGACCTGGACGATTACCTTTCGTCTTGGAACCCGCTAGCGAAGTATCTTGGGCATGGTCATTATTATTCTAAGATTGGTCCGCGGAGAAAAGGTGCCAGACCTGGAGACAGGACACCGCTATTGCAGGCGGTAGAGCTTGGGTTGCAGTCCATTGTCTTGATGTTGCTTGCCAAAGGAGCAAATCCAGAATTGCAGTGCAGGACCGGATGGTCGCCTCTGTTGCTGACACAGCTGAGACGGTATTCTTCAGACAAAGCCATCATGCGGTTACTGGAGGCACATAGACATGATTCAACTACTTGATTACGGGACGACATATGTCATGAAGTGCGGCAAGTAGTGCGTGGTGAAATTTATAGATACGTAACGCAAAGCGAACGCAGATGTAGCACCAGCAGAGATTCGATGAAAAATTGTAAAATACTGGGTTCGAATAGCGGCAATGAAGACATGCAAGTCAACTTAATGATCAAGTACAACACTGATGACAGCTGAGAAACAAGGTAGAGATGTCTATGAGGCACGGACAGTATATGGCGCATGTCCGCAATGAATCTTTGATTGACTCCCTTCGGTTTAAAGGTAGGAAGATCACATCTATACTTCTCAAGGCAGTGATTAAAAGCAAGATTCGGCTATAAATTCCAGCTACTCCTTCGCTCTCTCCTAGACGCAACTTCAACTACAACAACCTTCTTTACGCAAAACAAAGAAAACTCTCACAACAAGACAACACCTTACCCCACTAGCTCATCATGAAGCCTAGTCTCCCAACCATCATCCACTTCCGCCAGGATTCCATCCTCAATAAGGGGACGCTCAAAGAGGCCCTCTCCGAGATCTTTGGATCCACCTACTGGACCTTGACCGAAGGTCCTCACACCTTTTATGTCGAAGCGGCCAACGAACCGAACGTTGATGTTGTGTCGGCGCTCGAAGCAGCTGGAGCAATCCAGATGAGGAGCGTGGATGAGCCGTCAGCCATCATGGACGAAGACAGAACAGAGTCGAAGGAGACTAAGACGGAGGTGGAGAAGAAGCCTGTGAAAAAGGCAAAAAAGAAGAAGAGGGCTGAAGTCAAGTCGAAGGAGAAGTCTGTCAGAAAGTCGTACAACGTGGCGGATGAAAAGAGCACGGACGAGCCTGTAAGAGCGATTTGTAACGTCAACAAGCCACGAAAGCCGACTGAAGGAGTTGGGAGGGCAATGGCGATGCCTCCTAACTAGCGTTCGTGAGGATGGCACTCAGGCAGGGTAGTCCGTAGCTATTAGGCTAGAGGAACACGGTTTTTGGCCGTATTGCATCTTGCCTACCGTAGAATTGCCCCCTTATATCGCCCCCTGACACTTCATAGCGGAACCCTGTTCCTGGTGATTATGTATTGAGGCGTTGGACAATGGGAGAGACCTTTAGTTTCATGACATCAAACTCTGAGTAAAATTGGAATATTTGAAGCCGCAATTATTCCTGCCTAGCCAGAAGCCCTAACCCTTTCAAGTACCTACCAACGGTTCTCACTTCTGGCAAACAGCAACAATAGCTGTCATGGGAAGACCTACTCCCTGGCTTCCATCATTCATAGTGTAGGGAGACGATGCCTTGTCGATCTTCTCACCAGCCACTTGACGGAATTTGCTCTGGTCCTCTTCCGACCAGTCCTTCCAAAGCATCTTGAACGAGTTCAGGATTAGGCCTAGCAAGTCCTCGGCAGAAGGTGCGCCGTAGTAAACAATACGCTCAGAGACGGTGACATTTGCAAATCCGCCGTCTTTGAGGCACTTTCCAACAAAAGCCGAATCAAACCACTTCTCCGGAATAGGTAGCTTGAATGGTGGATCGTTTGGCCTTACAGCACTCTGGGCTGGGCGAATGACCTCTAGATAGCCGAGAGCAGCCCAAGAAGTAACCACAGCGACACCACCAGGCTTCAGAGTGCGATGTATCTCCTTGGCCCCTGCATCTCCATCCGTGAAGAAGAGGATACCCACGTTTGTGATGCTGTGGGTAAACGTCTCATCCTGGAACTCCAGCTCTTCGCCAGGCATTACGGCGGTGCTTGAAGTGGCAGATACTCCAAGGGCATCCAACTTCTTGCGAGAAATCTCGACCATGTTGGGGGCAGGGTCGACGGCGTGAATCTTGGCCACATTTGCGTTTGTTCGATGAGCACGCAGGGCGATTTCCTCGGCCACGATGCCGGTTCCACATGCATTGTCGAGCACGATAGCGCTTGGCTGGTAGATGCTCTCGAGTTGCGGAATGTCGAGAAGCAAGCGAGCTAGTTCTCGAGTGCATCCACCGGTAGAGGCTTCATATTGAGCAGCCGCCGAGTCGAAGTGACCAATGGCAGTAGGTGCGGGTTTCTGTGACATATTGCACTGAGCCAAGCAAGAGAGGTTATCAACAAGTCAAACTTTACAGAATTCAGATAGTAAAGACAACGTGCCAGGGATACCTCGAGGTTAACTAAGTACCTCATATTGAGAACCTTGATGAGTCATTTCGCCAAGACAAAAGCGAGCCACCGACAGCCACGACACCTTCCTCTAAGCACAAGGTTGGACACAGATACCGTGGACACAGATACCTAAGGAAGGCCAATACGTTACATTGGCCACTGTAGCATTAGGTAGAAATCCCCAAAGCTCTGCCACCTAGTTACATCCGTCGACTCGGATGTCCATAATCCCGACCCTGATCGTGGAATTCGCCCCGGGACATGGGCCGATCCCCGCCTGCAGGATAAGCCCCAGGAGCTAAGAACGGCTCTTGTCTCTGCGGTGTTGGACTATCAGGATCTTGTCTCACATACTCACCCTCTCGCCCAGCAAATCCCCTGGCACCTGAAGGGGAGGCCGGATAGGACGGGCGCGGATACTGGAACGACCGAGGCCTCGGATAGTCTGTATACATGGGCCCGTAACGCGGACTCTCACGTCTCCCAGAGTTGTCACCGCCGACTCGCAAGTAGCGTTCCTCCCGGTCCGCGGCAAGGTCGTCGTCTGTCTTGTGTAACAAGTCCTGACGATACTGAGTGTATTCCTCCATGGCCTGGAGAACCTGATCAAAATGCTCTCGTCCGAGATGCCTTTTGTCATCATCCTTTTGGTCTCTCGCGTCGGCATACGCAAGCGAAGTGGCGATCTGAAAGGCATTGCGGATCTGACGTCCATTCCACCACGTACCCGGTCCGCCTGGTCCTCCAGCATTTTTGGCAAAGTGAGTGAGTGCGAAGCCTCTAATTTCCTCTGCCTTGATGATCAATGGGGGTTCCTTGTTACTGGTAGCCCTTTGCTGTGCAATCATCTCTGATCGCTTCAAGTTCATGTCGAAGAGTGCCATGGTCTGTTCCGCGTCGAGGTGACGGAAGTAGATGCTCACGTGTACGCGTGAATTCAACGCTTCATCCAGAACGCCGACTCGATTTGTTGTGAGAAACAAGATTCCTGGATAGTACTCAAGGGTTCTGAGGAAGACTGTGGTATTTGGTCAGCGGGGGTATATGTCAAGCACTTGCTGTTGGACACTTACTTGAGACCAGGGCGTTTCTTTGAAGGTTGTCGTCCTTCTTTTCCCTACGGGACAGGAATATCTCGGCTTCATCAAGAAGCAGAATACAATCCCACAAATTTGCTAACCGGAATATCTCAGACAAGGTCGATTCAACCTCCCGAGGGTCAATGCCCAGATCACCGCAAGTGATGGCGAACAGGGGCTTCCGATGCGCAGCGGCGATTGCTTCGGCTGTGGCAGTCTTGCCCACTCCAGGTGCGCCATGCAGCATGATAACGAGACCCTTGCCTTTTCCGCGGATGAAATCCTGCTCCAGTGGTTCAATGTCTTGTGCTCGCAGTTGTCGTTGGATCGACTTCTTGTCAAAATGATCCTGCACGACAGATCTGATGAGTCGCTTGTGAGGTTCCTCAATCTTGAGGTCGCTAAAAGGATCCGACATGAGCTGGATAGGCTTCAGGTTTTGAACATCTGCGTTGATGAACTTTCGATTCCTCAAAGAGTAGACAAACATGCGTGAGGGCAAAAGCGCAAGGTCTTGACCTGTCACCTCGCGCTTGGCTTGGCGACTCTCGACGGGCCTCAGATCTGGGTCCATGATGAAATTGTCCTCATCTGCGAACTTGTTCCATTTCAGCGTGTCCACATCGTCCAGTGATACGACAACTTCTGTGAGCTTGGTGATGGGTTTGGAGCGATCTGGCCCAGACCACTGGATGACTGCAAACTCATCAAATGTTGTCTCTGGTTCAAACGTGGGCTTCTTGTAGGAAAAGAAACTTGGTTTCCACGATGGATTCATCTGGTAGGCTTCCTGGAAATCGATGATGACATCGCTGTCAACGTATTCAGCCGTCTTGCCAGCTTCGTCCTCCAGCTTCGAACCAGCAGGGTCATGGGTAAGTGTCCAGCCGTCGTGTTGGACAGCCGGCTCCGTCGAGAGTAACAACTTTTGGAACCTCTCTCCCGAGTCCACCAGCTTGGAGATCTTAGCTTCATAGTCCTTCTCAAACCGCGCCGGATAGAAATCCAGTTTAGTTACGTCCTTTTCGCCTTCAAAGGGCTGCAGCGTCCAAAGGTAGGAGAGGCCGCAATAAGAGTTTCCGTCATAGTCGATGTAGTAGACTCCGAGTTTCAGTTCAGTCTCTTTTTCCAACGTGTTGCGGCGAAAGTCCCCGTTCTCGCTGTCCAGGTTTTGTACAGCCCAGTCCACGTTGGCTGACTCGATGGAGTGCAGTCTCCACAGCCTCCGGCTCTTCTGTCGCCCATCAGGAGAACGATGATTTTCGGCTTCCGTGTTCGAGGAGCTCCCTTTGGAATCACGTCGAAAGAAGACGAACTCTCCGATGCGGAACAAAGACCAAAGGTCGTCGTAACGCACCTTGACACGTTGGGTGTGATCCTTTTCCTCGAACTTGCGGTAGGTTGGGAGAAGCCGTTCCCGAGCAAGCTCCATGTAGCACTTGATCTCTTTGAACCCGGCTTCAGTTATCTTCTCCCAAGAATGAGAAACTGGTTTGTTCCGTGAGATGGGACTGCTTCCAATCGACAACTCCCCTTTCATGGGCTCTGTGTCAGGCTTTGTACTCTCGATAGCAACACTTGGCGCATTGCTCAACAACTCGTCCTCTGTCGATTTGACCTGTGGCTCTTTTCCGGCAAGTTGCGACGAGTCTTCAACTGAGCTTTTCCCTCTCCCATCCGCACCAGGTTCGGATTGTGACACCTCTTGCGTGGCCTGGCTATCGTCTTCAAACCTCGCCTTCAGTTTGTCAAATTCCTCCTCAAGCTGATCATGAAAGTGTATCAAGATCTTGAAAGGCCTCAGGAAGGTGTGGGGCTTTTCTGCCCATGACATCTCCCCTGTCACTCCACCAATGAATGACAGGATGGCAGACGAGTTAATGCGAACACGTTCCATGCGCTGTCTGTCGGGTCTCTTGTCGGCACGAGGTCGTCTGGAGGGCTTCTTTCGTTTTGTTTCGATGAGCTTCTCCCTCTTCTCGGCAGGCAGTCGCTTCAGTTGCTCTTCTTCCATCTCACCGTCCAAATCATCTCCGGCCAGGAGCACTTCGATAGCAAAGGTGCATTCTTCGGGGGTGTAGCGATTCTTGAACTGCTCCCAATTGCAATATCGGACTTTGGGCTCAGTCTTGATCGATTGGATTGTTTCCGTCTCCTCTTTCGCATCCGCATTTTTACTTTCGTCTTTGGCCTGACTGCCTTCAAGTGTCGTCAAGCGCGAGTTCACCTCCTTCAGCCAGTCATAGGTGACACGTTGATGCCATGGTGCCTGTTCTGGCGCGTCTACAACGTAAACAGTTAGAAAGCGATATTTGTCAGGAATTTGAGCCTAGACTTGCCTGTTGCCACATTCTGGCTCACAGCTTGTGTATTCGCCAGCAGTGTGTCTTCCAACGCAGCGCCAAGTGTTTCAGCGGGTGCTTTTATGTCTCCTGGAATCTCAGACACAGTCTCTGGTTCCTTTGATGGATTTTCGGGGCGTGATGGTTGAATGATGGCGGGTTCCGCCTCCTGTTTGGGATGGTCCTCCATGGTAAGGAATAGCGAAGGAAACGCCTTTAGAGGAAGATTATGAGTGAAAGGGGTTTGAAAAATACAATGGTAGCAATGGATTCGCAGAAAAGGGGAGCAGCAGGTCTGAAAGTCGCTCGATTTTGAACATTCAATGACTCCAGGGACAGCAGAAACAGAGCGATGTGACCTCCATCAAGTATTGCTTCATAAACTTGGATCATTACCCGTTCATGTTGGGTCTGCAGAATGTAACATTGGGCGGTCAGACAACATGCTCATAATCCAATATGTGTGTTCAGCTTGCCAGGCCCTCCGCCAATGCCATGCGACAACTGAAAAGGATGGCAGCCCTCATCTGACCCGTGTGATACATCCAAGGATCAATACATTTCAGCTTGGACCAGAGCCTGCTTGATAAACGGTGGCTGAGCCTGCAGGCTGCATCGGCCTCCAATCAGCATGCCTGTAGGCCACAAAGAGGCTGTCAGGCCATCGCCTCCTCACTTCATTCAATTCGACAAATCCCCCGAGCCTGGTCTCAAGGTGGTGACAAGCACTGCCTCGTAAATGCAGCCATCTTGAGGTCAGACGTTCCCTCTGCTTTGCATATTTACTCACGTAATCTTCCCAACGCGTAGCAACCAGGCTGTCGAGCATCCGATGAGCGCTAGGCTTCCAGACATACAGACAGAGCCCCGTCCTTCCCTGTCTTATCTTCTTTGCCAGATATCCTCCACACTCGCACCCTCTCATCGTGCATTCTCGATCACAAGAAAGCAAATTCCACCAAAAAACTCATTCCACTTTGTCAGAGGGCATGACGGAGCGAAACCTGCCCGTGACTCTACGGGAACAAATGAACGACGATCAAGAAATTTTTATCTTTCATGAATGGTTCCAAGATTACTCGAGCAAAATGGGGACCCCTTCAGTTGCACTCCAATTCTATGACAAGGACACCTCTCGCTTTGTTCAAACATTGGAGAACCCGTGAGTAGTACATAGAAACCATTTCCTGCGCAAAGAAATAACTAACGTTTTTGTTCAGGACTTTGAGAGCTGCAATCCAGAGATATAAGGAGACACAGCCCAAGACCGATTTTTGGGACACCTTCAACCCCGATTCCTGCTCATGGGATCAAGTTGTCGCTGAACTTGAGGACACCACAAAGTTTTATCGGGCCAAGGCAGACGGGAATCTTATTCGGCGCTCCTTCCGTAGCCAAGGAGTTTCGAGAAACATGGTACCCCTCCTGGAAAGCATCCCTCAAGATAACGGCTTAGGAGTTCTCAAGGGAGGACTGCTGGTCATCTTTAACGTGAGAATCACCTTTGGAATATTGCCACTTGAACTCCCCCGAGCAAATTTGTCTAACGTGCTTCATGAATTTGTTAGGCTGTCAAGAGAAGAGCAGATACGTGTGAGAAAATCTTTGAAAGCTTCGAGCATATACCTAGCTGCATCGTCAATGCCGAGCAACTCCGCCAGATTTATCCCCGAGACGAATCCCTGTTCTCTGCTGTTAGTAATCTCTACAGTCAATTAGTCAAGGCTATCCCACTTCTAATTGATGTTCTCCTTCGTAGGAGCAGCGGCTCCAGTGAGTATATCATGAAACGACAAGCTACCCGGTCATTCTTTGCTCATGGGGTTACAGAAATCAAGAAATTTGGCAAGTCCGTTTTCGGCGACTCTTCGGCCGAGGTCGATGGCATCCTAAAGCCAGTGAAGAACGCAGAGGACATGGTAAAACAATGCCGGTTGCGCTTGGACACAAGGGGCATTGCCATGAACACAATGGGCATGGTCGAGAGCTATCAATGCCTACAGGAGATGCACGTTGAGCTTCATTCTCACAAAGAACTTTCAGAGCAAAGATTAGCGACCATCGAAGAGAAGCTTGACGCTTTGAGAGCAGACTATAAAGAGACGCACAGCCACATCGGTCAGTCTGTACAATGGGTGGAAGATTTCAAGAATATGATGTACAGTTTTGGCCAAGAGACCTTACGGAGCCAGCGGCTGTCTTTGGGTTAGTATACTCTTCTGCGCGAGGATTGCATACATGGCTGACCGAGCAAACAGAGGCAGGGTCTTATAGAGCAGTTACACCATCACGACTCACAATGCTGGACGTGATGGAAGCCATCTGCAATGAAACCGAGAGGGCTGCCCCTCTCCAAGATCTTGCACTAGTCCTACGAAAATACCACGAGTTCAGCTCCCAGGGACTTTCTCGGGCCAATTACCTCATGGCAATTTCCAAGTTCCAGTCATGGCTGATGAGCCCCGAGTCTGGTATGCTACTCGTTGATGGACACTGCGGCGATCAAAGCATCGGCAAAATTGCTCCTACGTCGGTCTTTTGCTCAGGTCTTGTAGAAGCGCTTTCTGGGCCGCTTCACAACCCATCGCTCTCTTCTCTGCCACAGCAGCCCCAACTTGTCTTGCACTTCTTTGCCGGACAGCATACAAATCCCAATGCGGGACTATGCGGGCCCCATGGCCTCATGCGAAGTCTTATCGATCAACTCCTCCTCCAGTGGCCTGACCATGAGCCACTTGATCTGACGTTTCTGGAGCGAGAATTTTCAGCAAGAAAAACTCCAGACGACTTCGAGACACGATTTCTCTGCTACATCTTTGAACAACTCGTTTGTCGATTGAGTTTCAGCTCGCCATTATGCTGCGTTGTCGACGGTGTTTCGCATTTTGAGACAAATCTATGGGGCTGGGCCGATGATTTTACGATGATCATTGATAGCTTTCTTACTTGTATGCATGAATGTTTAGGCTCGGTCAAATTCTTACTTGTCAGCCCAGAGAGAAGTACTAGGGTGCGATATAGAATCCCTGAAGAATTTCATGTCGACTTGAGGGCTGGGAATTTTCATCCACGGTCACCGGGTCAGAGCTTGGTGGTGGACATCACAGAGATGAAGTCTACTTGGCGTACCTATTGACGAATCTTAGTTTTAACAAATAGATTCTTTCGCAGATGTTATTCATGAAAAGGACAAATGATCTTGATTGCAAATCTATCCGTAACTAATAATGACTAAAACTTTCTATCATCAAAAGGCTCAAACTTGTCACTAATGACCTTTCTTGTCAACTCCATCAGATCTTCCCCTAATTTCACTTGCTGAGAGAGGTTGCTTCCATGCTCGGGCGTGGCTGGACAGCAGAGGTATTCTCCGGTAAGGTGTGTCGTCGTGGCAGCGTAAGCGGCGCTCGTAGCTCCCTCGAACTGGTCCTTCTTGAAAGGCTCCATGACTGTGGACACCATGTATCCAGCGAGAGGGTAACTATTGGGGTATTAGATGACTCAAGGCAAAGGAAGAGGATATACGTACGGTTCATGGACGTGTTCTGTGCTTTGTCTCGTACTGACGAAACCCGGGTGAGTGGCATTGACAATCAGGTCGGGGAACCCGTTTCTTGTGACATTGTCATCAAGATATCGTGCATACAGAAGATTTGCAAGTTTGCTTCTTCCGTACTGAGCATTGGGACCTAGGTCCTGGTTGAGGTCATCTAAACTGTCAAATTTGGTGTCTTTCGGTGCCGCCTGGTGAGCGTTCGAAGACTGGTTCACAATCCGGGTTAACCCGTGCTTCTTAGAGGTCTCCTTGAGAAGTGGGAGAAGGTAGGTGGTAAGAATAACATGGCCAAAGTGGTTCACTGCCATGTGTCGATCGACGCCGTAGTCCGTGAGTTGATAGGTCATGATTCCCCGGCCGGCATTATTGACAAGGATATCCAGACGATCAGTCGAGTTCTTGATCTGTTCAGCAGCCTTCTTCGTCTCAGGCCAATTACTCAAGTCGCAGTTGATCCAGACAATGCGATCGGCTTTTTCCTGGCCAAGTTCATGGGCGAAAGACTTCTTGGCGCCGTTGACAATGTCTTCGGACTTGGAGATGATGTACACCTTCTCAATGTCGTTACTGAGTAGAATATGGGTGATGCCGTAGCCAATGCCCTCACTACCACCAGTAACAACTGCGACCTTGCCTTCCAGATTCGGGACATCTTCAAGGGTGAAATTTCTTGCACTCAAGTTTACAGCTGGGCCACCAAAGTTTTCGGCGATGGTGTTCTGGTCAGGGGTAAGCTACTGTGGGGGAGAGGGGCGAAATGTCAATATCTTACCTTGACGTTTTCAATGATTGATGACATGTTGACGCCGCGTGTGCCTATAAAAGGAGACTTTTCTGAGGTATGGAAAGGTCGGTTCAGTGAAAAAGGCGATCTGATGTGTGTGGCTGCTGCAAGTTGACGAGTAGGAATCCCAAAATGGACAATGCGTTTACTTCGATGAAACGTAGAAGCCTTCATCAGACTGAGTTAAGGGAGTAATTTGCTGCTTGGTTTTTCTAGAAGCCTTGTCCTTCGTGCCGTATTTATCTTCATCGGCAGGCGAGGCCAAGTCATCGCATCACCACTGGCGCCACCGACACACATTAACATCCATGACATCAATGACGCGTAGAATAGGTTGGTAGAAACGATCTTGTCTTTCATTTCCGTCCTGTCTCATGTCATGATCTGCGATTCACAAGAGTGTAGTCGTCATAATGTTTACCCATGACATTGTCATAGACGTTCCTGTCCAAAGCTGCAGACGGGCAGACTTAGCTAAGATCCATCTTCTTATCCCGAAGCCACCCCTCTCACTTCAGGAATAACTCATATGTGCAGCCGTAAATATCTTTTTTTCAGATACAACCCTGAAGGGTCTATAATGTTAAATGGCATACAATACTTATCAGGCGTGGCAAATACCCTTCAGAGTACTTTTCCAGTGAGGGCACTCCTCTCTTTGGCTAATGTTTAGTGGCGAGGTAGAAGCGTTCTTACCTTTTAATATTATAGACCCTTGAAGGTTGTATACAAGTTTTACTAACTAATGATTCCAATTGGTGCATCTTCTTAGGCTCGTCGAGTTGGTAGAAATATTTATGCTTATCAGTAAACATAGGATATCGTATCAACTATTAAAGAAAGCTTGCTAAGTCTAGGATTAACGTCAGACTGTATCCCACGTCGTTTTCCTCTCCCTCCCATCGTCAACACCGTCCTCCACGTTGACTATCACATCAGTCGTCATCCGAATACCCCTACCAACATGATCGATGCTTCCCATCGGCATAATCTCCGTCGTCGAATCACCAGCACCTGACACGGTGCCCCTCCTACCCGCGCCGTCGCTTTCCTGCTCTTGATCAACAGTACTCTGTTGCTTGACGTACCCGCTTGCGCGCCAGTTGTGACTGCTCGGACCCCCTGTCCCCGTGTTCCGTGTTGTTCGTTTGTAGGTGCTTTCCAGACGACTTCGGAGGCCGAGTTTGAAGGAGATGATGCGAAGGAGGGGCTGGAGAGATGGGAAACAGCCGCACCAGAGGCCAACATGGACTTCCAGAACAGTCCAAGGCGCTACCCGATACATCTTGTAGGTCCTGTATCGATGTTAGGAAGACCTTTGAGTAGAATGAGAAGATAATATGACGAACGTGTTGACGCTAAAGTCAGTGGTGACGATAAAGCTGAGACGAATGATTCCCGTCATAATAGCGAACAAGCCGACACAAAAGACTAGAATGACCTTGATGGCCTTTGCACCAGCAGCCATCTTATTCCGGATAACCCAGATCGGAAGAGCGAATAGAGCACCGTCGATGAAGATGCCAACAATTGCATGTGCCCACATCATATAAGCCTCTTTTTGTTTACTGATGCACTTCTTGTTGGGTTTGGTAGCGTGGAAGAGGTCCCTGGGGGAGTTAGAAAGCACCACTCGCGAATCCGGGCCATCAACATACAGGATAGGATCGCACTCTGTGAGGACAAAGAAGAATGCTGCCAGAGTGATGGTCAAGATAACCACTCCTGTGGCCCAGATGCATCGCATGAAAATGCCTGATGGTAATGTTAGTTGTCAGGCATCCAAATCAGCAGGTCACCTACGGTCTCTACTCAGGCGAGGAAGAAAGGCCAAGATGGATAGGCGGACGAAGCCGCAGGCCAGGAAGAATATTAGTTGATTAATTGGTAGTTGCTTCAAGAAGTTCAAGTTAGCGCCGCAATCATCAACCCAATGGGACTTCACTTACAGAGAAAAAGGCATTGAGCTGCTCTGGTGAAAGGGTGCTCATCGGAGCTCCGGCTCCTTTTCCAACCGCTGTGATCTCCAGGATTGACAAAGTGATAGCAAGGCACTGTTCAATAGGCGTTAATCAATGCAATAGAACTCAGTTAGTGTGGTGCTCCTACATAGGCAACCATCGCTATCACATCGTCCAGTCCAAGGGCCTTGGTCACGATGCCACGAGCGTATAATCTCGTGGCCATGACAGTGGTGGTCAAAACGATCAGGGCTATGTTGAGATCCAGTAGAAGAGGGCCCTTGGATTCGGTCTCCCCAACCGGGTCTGGTGGTGGTCCGCTTGCCATGTTGTGGTGTCGAGGTGGTCCTGAGTGAGGTCTAAGAACACGCAACCGAGGCGACTTGTGATGCGTGTAACTGTTGATAAATCTCTTAGTCGACAGATGTCATCGTCCCCCGCAAAGGAATGATCATAACGTTCAACGTCCAGCAAAAGAAACAAGAATCTTTCCAGAACTTTGGGGGGCACACACATCTATTAAGAATGAACGGAATCGCATTCCGACCATCCCCCGCTGCAAGAGGTCTCGCGCCTCGACGCCACAGCCACGTTTTGCTCAAGACAACTGTCTCTGGCTAGACGGCGCAGGGGCTGATAGCCACGCTTAGCGCAGGGAAAATCTGTCGTCGAACTTGGCATTGGGCTTGCCCTGCATGTGATCCCCTGAAAGCCGACTCCATGGACCCTGGAATTAGAGCTATAACCTGGTTCCCATCAGTCCCCGTCTTGGACATCACTCTGACCAGCGGCCGCCACCTTGTCAAGATAATTAAGCGAGACATTCAATTGCCAGGTGATATCGGGTACTGCAAAGTTGATCGCCAACATCACGACCTGGCTGGAATGGCGTTTGACCTTTTCGCGCCGAATGCGGTGCTTGGACCAAAGCTAATCGTCAACATCCTTTTCCGGCTGAAACCTGGTGATGGACCAACTGAGACAATCTCAGCGCGAACTTCGAAGTAGGCAATTCAATTCTACGCGCGCGGTGCCTGTAATGCAGTTGGATTACGGTGGCTTGGAGGATGCAGTGACCTGACTCGTCGGTAGGAATCCCCTGCATTAAGACGGAACACGGAATTTTCGCAACCATTAGAGCTTAGAGTCTCACCACTTTATGACCAAAGAGCAAAGCTTATAAACATCGAGACCGCGTGGCATCCAACCCGGTCAAACGGATGACCTAGATATCAGTCGATATCAAGGTTCAAACATCGATCGACCCCGGGAATGAAGTCTCCCGCCCGGGCTCGACCTGCATCAGCCTGTCAGCCCAAGCACTACGGCACTGCACAGTCCGAGCGGATCCGTATGGCCATGGTCAGCGCACGCCATGTCAGTTGTCGGGCAGAACTTTAAGCTTGCCAAGCCCAGGGATCTACGTCTTTGTTCATCTCGCGAGGCTTGGGACGGTGGCAGCTTGGCAGGCCTCGAGTGAAGCATGCCGAAAGTTGGTTGGCTCGCGGATCAAGACCACCATCTCCGTTCCTGGCTAGGAAGCTTGGCCTTTGATTGACGCCTGTGAACTATCAACTTGGCATGAACTTGGTCAAATGGAGGCTGTGTAATGAATATGAGCGAGTCACGTAGGTCTTGTCCCTGCCTGTGCCGATAAACGCGATTCCAAGACAGGTTTGGGCAGATGTACTAGCCTCCAAGGAGACAGCAACACTCTAACACCTTTTTTCACCATCTGATAAAAGCTGCGAAACCAATGAGAGTACATAACTCAACGCACTTCAGTTGGGTGATTTACAGAACGCTACAAGACACCTTGTGCTAATCATTGCAGAGGTTAGATAACCTTGCGAAGCACTGGTGCCTGACAGGTGGCTCCATACCCAACTCTCCTCAGAAGATGCCCTTGCCACTGTTGAAAGCCAAAGGGCACAAATCCATGACACGAACAAGACATATCATGTCGTTCAATCAAAGGGCGCTGGAACGATCTAAGCTCGCCTTAAAAAAATCAGACCGGCTCATCGGCATCAAACCCGAGCTTAGAGATCCAAGCATCTTCTAAAATGAACACATTAGCTTTCCATCCAAGCAACGGCAAGGCAAACCTGCACTTACCACCGATGCCCCATCTCGAGCCTCTCGCCACAGCCTGCTGCACCTGCGGCATCGCGGCGACAAACTTGTTCAGTATGACACAGGCCTCATCAGGGCTGAGCGAAGAGAAAAGAGGCTCCTCATCAGGTGTTGTCAGGATAGTTCGTGCACGCGTAGCCTGCACAAGAGTGTCTTCGAGGTTGGAAATGTGGTAGGCAAGTTTGCTCGTGTCGACTTCAGGTGCAGTCTTGTGAAGGAATTCCTCCATGTCCGCCACTTCGAGTTCAGCAGGCTGAATATCAGAGCCCCTCCAGTGCTTCTGGTCGACCTGAATGGTCGCCTTGGAGCGGACGAATGCATACTTGAATCGCATGCGCGTGGTGCTAGGGCTGTCGACACCCGCGAACTCGGTGTCGCTCTTCTTAGACACAACAGCCATCCAGCTATCAGGGGTGAGATCCCGCAGCTTGGACTGTACGCCTTTGTAGGCACTGGAGTGGTACGATCCCTTGGCGATGGTGTATGCCTCAGTTGGGAGTGCCGCAATCTCTGAAGATTTGTCCTCTCCAAGGGCCGGAGGTCCGCATGAGAAGCAGTGTGCGCACTGGAGGCCAGTTCCGTTGTAGCTGAGCAAACACAGCATCTGAGATGCGAGATATTGGAAAAGGCCGTTGATGAATCTGGTCGGGGTCAGGGGGGCGTCGCCAAGGTAGAAGGACTCGAGTTGTAATTCAGAAGAAGCGACGAAACCACTATCCTTTCCTTCATGACTGACAAGCAGTTGCACCACTGGGAATGCCGGCAGAGTTTTGGGATGGTCTCGATAGGGGCGCCAAATGTTCTGACGGATTCCGTTTGCATACAGACCAGTAAGCGTCAGCTTCTTCAGGGCCAGAGGAGGGTCTGACTCGGCCAGAGCGTCAAACAATCGGTTGCTGGCGCCTTCATCTTTACGGTCTGGTTGGTCCAGGACCTGCAGGGTGTGTAGACGGTCGAGTGAGGTCAAGGCCTTCAAAAGCTCTGCGGGCTCGTGGTTACGCGAAGCTGTAAGGCTGATCCCTGTGGCACCCTTCAGTGCGTCGGACGCGAGGGCCACTTTGATCGTCTTGGGGTCGAGTTCCGTGAAGAGATTCCACTGCAGACAGTCCTCACCAGCGTAGGCTAGCTGAAGAAGATGGGCGGAAGCATGCGTTGGGCCAACCTTTCCAGGGTGGCAAAGGAGGTACTCCTTGACCATCCGCTGAAAGCCGGGGAAATTTCGGACTTCATCCAGGAGGGAGGGGTCGAAATCATCATCTGGCGAGGTGAGAAGACGGTCAAACAGTTTGGCAGCAGCCATATCTCGGAGTGACTTGGTCGTGTTCCCATCATGGGTGTCGTACAGCGGCTCGGCTGCCTTGAGCTTGGCTTCTTTCTTCCAGCCACCCCATGGCCAGGTTCCTGTAAAGGTCAGTACGGTGTGGTAATAGTTTTGAATGCGAGATTGTCTCTAGCCCAGCATCAACGTACTTGCAAGTGCCACCTCCTCGACAAGAGGCGTATTATCGAGCGCCTCGATAACATCCATGTTCCTTTGCACCATCTCATCTGACTCGCTGTAGTAGCCTCTCAGGTATTCTCGTCCGGGCAAGGGAGTTTCGGTAGCGGGGTTGTCGGAAGGGGGAGCGTCTATTCACTTGTTAGACAGCCCAACTCAGCGTAGCTAGGGATGAGAGACATGGACAACTATAAGTCTTATTAGCAAGTCGGATACGAAAGAGGCAAGACAGAGTAACAACAGCGACGCAACTTGACCATTGCTCATCAGGTGCGTGTTAAAGGGTCGGTTGCGTCAGCTAGTCTCTCTATTTGTACGTACCTTACTCTGAGGGTCCTCATCATCTTCATCTGCCGCATAGATATCGCCGCCTAAGATACAACTGTCAGTCAAGACCACTTGATATCAACACAGAAACGACTCACTGCCAAAGTTCACAAAGCAATAGCGCACATGATCCAAATCAGTAACGTCAATCACGGTTATACCGTCATTGTTGTCGCCTTGGTCATAGCCCATGTCGTATCGAAGCTCGTGAATGGCCTGGACTTGGCCCGTCTTGGAGTCGTAGCTAGCACCGATGGCCAGACAAGTCGTGATGAACGGGAAAGGGCAAGTGGTACTTTCGGCATCTCGATACTCTTCTGGCTCAGAGGGAGGAGGAGGTTTGTCCTTGAAAAAAGCAGCAGCGAGATCCAGTTCGTGCTTCAGGGCCAAACGGTTGCCCGGGTCTGAAAAGATGCGGAGCAGTCGAAGGCATGAACGCAGGGCCGACACGCCGTACAACCACTGATGGTGGACGGCGGCGAGGGAGCGATAGTGCTTGCCCACGCGGGCGATTACGAACAGCTGGTGTCGCTGACCCATGATGGAGACGTCTACTAGAAGAACAAAATCGCTCTGCTCGTCAGATGAAGCTGAAGGAGCGTGAACTGAAGTGCCCGTGAAACAACAAGGTGAAGTTCAAAGGCAGCTAGCCCCGCTTGGGCGAGCTAGGCATCCAAGGTGTGAAGCCACATGTAAAGCCACAGGTAAAGCCACAGGCCCACAGGTGAAGAAAGCCACATACTTACCCACCCTAGCCACGGGCACAGCCACGGTACCAAACTGCCTTCCATCCCAAACAGTGAGCCTTCTACCTAGAACGCCCAGTACTACGAGACTGGCTGCGCCCTAACCGCTCATTTGGATATCTCAGATCTCTGGTTAATAGAATTGTCTGTAATGCCTATGGAGACGATAACACCAAGGTCTATGAGGGGCCAACAACGCAGGGGACTGACTGTGCTCCGACAACCCTTGTGGCTGTGCTATCAGTCTCTGACATCAATCAGCTGCCAAAGCGAGGCCGCCCAAGGCAACACACATGATTCATAAACTGATACCAGGAATCTATATTCCTAGAGCTGGAAACTCGAACTCAAAAGCAAACACAAAGAAAACTAGCACGTTTCTATATCCTTTATTACCAGCCAGCCTTCGGCCTTCAATCACATCAACTACCTACCCTACACGACAATACGGACTACGCTGGATCATCAGGATTTCCCTCCGACAACAACATGTTCCCAACGCCTTTCCTTTCCACGCCTTACTCCGACTTTGACACCTCTCAAGGTCAAAGCCGTCAGTCACAATTCTCATTCAACACTCTGACCTTGCCGGATCCAAGCACCGACCCTTTGCTGATTGTCATGCCGCCTGCGACTCCCAAGCCTACCCCCGAAATAGATATGGCGTCCATGTACCGCGACCTGGAACGGGGGACTTCGACCATCGAGGACTTTCAGAGGAGTAACTTTGGTGAGCGGATGGAGCAGCATGTGCAGCATGTGCAGCATGTGCAGCACGCAACCAAAATCGACATTTGGTCTCCGCTGCCTGAAACAACGGCGGAGGAACTTGAGTCGGCGGAAGAGAGAAAGCTCAGAAAGGAGAAGCTCTGTCGTGAGGGTAAGCAGAGTTTCAGTGAATGGAGAGCTGAGAGAGGCGACGCCTTGCCCGGTTTTGAGCCGTTCTATTATAATGTACACCGGGGGGGCCATGGTAGGAGGTGAAGAGGGCTCGAGGGTTTGAGTGTTTACAATTAGACTTTTTCTATAAGGCCTCTACGTTAGAAGCTATCTTCTCTACTCTTATTATCAGTCATCTCTCCATCATGGAGCAAGTCATCAAAAGACATTTACACTAGTCCACTGTCGTTCGATACCCTATCATCAACAAGAGCATTTAACTACGTCAGTTGCAACTGCTGATCCCTTCCCCAAATAGACAAACACGAGTCATGGTTGTCTGTGCTCCCGCAACGACAGTGGAGCATACCAGGATGATCAGGTCTGCCCTGACCAGCGGATAACGATGGCCATATCTGGGGTAACATATTTATTGCGGGGAACCATGAAGTCTTTATCCGACACCTATGATCATAGGACCATCTCGGGCCTACATCTGGTTCCTCCTCCGCTCAAACTGCCTCGGAAGTGTTTGCGGGGTATACTTGATGTTGCATCCCATGCCGATCCCAGCGTTTATCGAAGTTGCTGGTTGGTCTATGACTTGACTTCTCCTCTGCCGATGGTATGTTTCCGTCAAGTGAGCGGATACACTCTGCTGATCTTGTGGTCGGACAGTTATATCTAGGTAGTACAACCCCTCATTAATATGACCTGCCCCATTTTCAATCTTGCTCTTCTCAACCATTCACATCTTATTGCATCATGGATATCCCTAAAGCATCTGTCGAGCTGGAAGAGGCCAAGAGTGCTGGCGCCATCAAATCCCCTGCCAGCCACGAGACAAGCATCGAAGTGTGGACCGAGTGGTTTAATAACCAGAGCACAGAGTGGCAGAACGAACTCAATAAGAGGACACTTCGAAAAGTCGACATGCGACTCATGCCCACACTTGTCATCATGTACTTGCTCAACTTCCTAGATCGCTCTAACCTTGCCCAAGCGCGTCAGGGTACCCTGGAGGTAGACCTAGAAATGTCTGGCACCGACTTCAACTTGGCTACATCCATCTTCTTCGTCGGCTATCTGCTGATGCAGCTGCCGTCCAACTTGCTTCTCACCCGCGTACGACCCTCTTGGTACCTCAGTGCCTCTTGTTGCCTATGGGGAGTTGTGTCGACGTGTAATGCCGCTGCGCACTCCTTCACACACCTTGTGGTCATTCGATTCTTCCTTGGCTTTGTTGAGGCCCCCTTCTTCCCCGGCGCCATCTTTCTCATGAGTTCATGGTACACTCGTGCTGAGCTTATTCGCCGCGTGGCCTGGCTTTATGCTGGAAATGCCTTGGCCAATATGTTTGGCGGCCTGCTGGGCGCGGCCATTCTTGGTGGGCTTGAAGGATCGAAGGGAATCGAAGGGTGGAGGTGGTTATTCATCATCGTAAGTTGATTTCTCTATCACATGGCATCTTTGTACTCATACAGTTTTAATTCACTAGGAGGGTGTGGCAGCCATCGCTTTTGCGATGCTTGCCGCTTTTATTCTCCCCGACTACCCCCACACCACCAAATGGTTGACCCAAGAGGAACGTGCCTTTGCTGCCTGGAGACTCACCCAGGACATCAGCGAGGCCGATACGTATGGCGAACAAACTGTCTGGGACGGTGTCAAGATGGCCGTCCGTGACTACCGCGTATACGTCTTCCTGCTCATCCAGCACGTTAGCTTACTCTCGCAGACTTTCCAGTATTTCTTTCCCACCATTGTTGGCACGCTTGGCTATGGTCGTATCGTTACCTTGTGGCTTACGGCTCCGGCTTGGGTATGTGATTGACTCATTCCCTTTGTGGATCGCATGTTTTCGTCTTTGTTTGCTGACATCCGAATAGTTTGCCACTTTCCTCCTCTCTATTTGTGTGACATTGAGCTCGGCGAAGACAAATGACAGATCCTTGCACATTGTTTGTCTCATGCTGCTGGCAGCCGTCGGAAACGCGATTGCTGCCGGGACAACTGTCGTTGGGGCCCGCTTCTTTGCCATGTTTCTTATGCCAATGGGGGCTGTGTCTTCCTGTGAGTCGATCTATGCAATCCCAGCTTACGCAGTCACTAACCTCTCTACAGACCAAATCATCGTGTCATGGGTAGCAAATTCCTTTCCCCGTCCGCTTGTCAAACGTTCAGCCGCAATTGCTATTTGCAACATGATTGGCAATACCGCAACCATTTACGGGTCATACCTTTATCCCAGCAGCGATAGCCCTCAGTACCGACCCGGAGGAAGCGCAAACGCGGCCATCTGTGTTGTCGTCGCTCTGCTTGCCCTCCTGCTACGCTACATCCACAAGTGGGAGAACAAGAAGCTTGAGCGTGCTGAAGAGGATCGGAACGATGCCACAGAAGGAGGAGGCAAAGCCACTGCTGCATCTGGCCGTCAGCTCCCACAGCCGGGGTTTCGATATATCTATTGAACTGCCCAGTATACTAATGCATACGACTGCTGCCTTTCGAGCACACTCCAAATTTTGCCATTGTCTCCCGAATACCGTGAAGACAGTAGGAAGACGGTAAATCACGGGACCAAACACAAAACGGCCTCTCCCACAAATGTGGTCATGGTGACGCGGAGTCGTGGTCGGCCTCCCTGTGTTACCCAAGATTTTTACCAACAAAATGATCACTGGAGCCCACACCGCTGGACCCAGCTCTTTTTTCTGATTTTATCTTCTCTGCTCTTCCAAAGCCCAAGTTGTGCGGCAATGATGACAATGGCGTCTATTATTCCCCCATCGCGCCCCAGTGCACCCTGCACCCTCCTATCCATGCCATTGGAAATCCGTCAGCATATCTTTCGCCTTTGCACCCCCCAGAACCTCTGTTTCAACTGCTCTTGGCCTTTTGACTCTCAAAACCGCCCCGACGATTGGCGTAATGCGGTCGCGCTTGACGACGACGCCGGGATAGTCGAATCTTGGGACTCCTCCTCCTCAGACCCCGAAGAGGATACCGACAGTGAGCCGCCCTATGAGCCGTGTGGGCTTGATGACTACTGTCACGAGTCTCAACGTCACCGTCCACAAGGCCTCACATCTGGTCCGAGCGCTTTTCCCGGGCTACTTCTCGTTTGCCGCCAGATTACTGATGAGGTGACGCCAATGCTGTACGGAGGTAACACTTTCATATTCAATGATCAACATGATGCTCGGTTTGATACTTTGTTCGGATTGGGCTTGGGAGCAGAGAAGCGTATCCGGAAAATGATTCTGGTCCTGCGGCCCAGTGGAACTACCCAGGGTTCCCCCCTGGACTCGGACATCTGGGATAAAATCCTCAGCAACGTTCTGATACTGGGCATCATTGTCCCGATGTGGGGGCCTGGCTATCGCGATGAGTTTGGCGCAATATACTCAAGCGAAGGCATGGGTAAATGGACCGCCTGGTTGACGTCGATCCTCCAGTACCTAGACCGGGCTCTTCCCAAGACGACCAAAGTCGTGGTGGATACGAACAAGGAAGAAACCACGGATCAATTAGTGAAGAAGGAGATGTTTGGACGCTGTGTCTTCCAGCGACTGCGCGCTGGTGATAGCATTTTCAGAAGGGGGGAGTTCGCCATCAAGACAAGACGATCCGATGAGTCGGACCATGACGACTATGACTACGACGACTATCCGACTAGTTGTAGGGACATCATTGATGATTGCGACTACTGCCTGTACTATTCCGACTAAAGGTGGGAAAGTTTGATAATTCATGGCAGGTTGACGGTGGGCTCTTCTAGGATTGTGGCGGAAGGGATGAACTAACAGTCGAGAGCGAGCTGACCTAGGGAATGAGAAACTCTAACCCGACGAGAGGCTGATGGGAGACACATGGAAATGTGAAAAGCGTGCCGATTACGGCTTGGTCTCTATAGTTGTTTGTTTCTAAAGAGACTTGATCAAATGTAAATCACGTAAAGACCAAGGTATCTTCCATGTGCTTGCCATCCATTGGCTCTCCCTATCTTGTCAGTTCCGAATCGGAGAGACCTACCGCTTCCGGGGTAGAATCCGACTCTGGGATTATAATCCGTGACGGGGGTTGCAATATCCGCTTCGGATGGATACCTATAAAAGTGTAGATGCCCTCGCATTCACCCCACCTGGCCAGACGCCTTGTTGCCAGTCGATTCTTCTACATAGATCATGAAACTCTTTTATGAAATGAACCCATGGAAGGCCTTGGTCTACTTCTCATCTCTTCCTGCGGCACTGGGACAGAACGGCGGGACTGACTTCTCAACATGGTTCAACATCACCGAGTTCCCCAACCCCCAGGTCGCCAACGTCGCACGCCTTCAGGCGGAGGCCCAAGAGCTTGCCCAGGGAAGGCTCTGGTATGACTATGTCCATCGATGCATCAACTCCCAGAAATACCCGACGATTTCCAACAACGTCCAGACTCCTGGCTGGGTGACCCCTGCTCGGGCTTTCGACTCCCTCTTCTTTGTTGGCTACTCATTCGTGTCATCTTGGGCTATCGGCACAGGTGACGGAATCATCTTGATTGATGCGCTCAACAACGCTGAAGAAGCCGAGAAGGTCATTATCCCGGGACTGAAGGCCTTTGGATATACTGCTCGTGACATCAAGGCCTTGGCCATCACCCATGAGCATTTCGACCACTACGGCGGAGCTGCTTGGTTCCAGGATACGTTTAATACCCCTATCTACGCCTCCAGTGCGGCATGGGCTGGTATGAAGAAACTTCAAGGCACCCCGAGCATTGACAAGACTCTTGACGAGGGTGACGTCTTGGAGATCGGCAACACCACGGTGCGCGTCTTTTCGACTCCAGGTCACACACCGGGCACCATCTCTCTGATATTCCCCGTTTATGACCGTGGCGAAAAGCATGTTGCAGGACTGTACGGCGGCGGAGGCATTCCCAGCAAGGCGGAGGACAAGACCACCCAGGTCCAGTCATTTCTGAGGTTCAGTCGCCTGGCTAAGGATGCGGGGGTGGATGTCCTGTTGAGCAACCACTAGACGTAGGATCACACTCTACAAAATTTGGATTTTCTGGCAAACCGGCAGTGCTCAGGCAAGAAATGCAGCTTGCCAAACCCGTTTGTGGTCGGAAATAAGCAATATGTATGGTACTTGGAGTTGATGGCCAAGTGTGTAGAGTTGCAAGCGGCGAGACAGGGTCAGAACCTCACCATGTAGATAGCAGGTTACTTGACGTTCGCGGCTATTGTCAAGGTTAGGCTGATCTAGTTGATCTAGATTTGGCTTCCATCTCTAAGCCACTAGGCTCTAGTACCAACGCAAGAATACAAGTAACCACTGTCATAGGAGGGGATAGTTCAAGTCAACACTTGCACACTTTTCTAGGAAGGAACATTGAATGTGATGAGCGCATAGCAGCCATATCCAGCTCCAGGCACTATTCTAGTTCCGGTAGTATTCCGCCCAGCAACGATCTCTCTCCATTTGAACCCTCGTTTTAATCAACTCGACCTTGACTTCTGGTCCTCATGATTCAGTGGTAGCCAGATTCTACACAAGCTTCCACCACCAATTCCATGTCACCAGCAGATGATCATGCCTCCAACCCTACATGCCATCGTCAAAAGGGTATGGTGGGTGCTCGTCCCAGTTACGCTCATCCGCTTCAGATGAATCAAAGGTTGTTTTCAATGCCATCCTCCCGTTGTCAGTGTACTTTGGGACTCCGACGATTATCGCGCAAAGGGAGTAAGCAAGATCAGTGCTGGGCTCATTTCCATACTGCCTAGAGTTAGAAATACTACCAACAATGCAGGGGGTCATCAGATTCCGGGGTGTAGGTAGGGAATCAAACTCACAGTCATGTAAGTAAACGCTGCTTGCGCGGTGCCTTCGTCGGCTTCGTTCAGCCAGACGACATCTTCTATGGCAAGCTTCTCGAGGCCCCAGCCCGTGTTTAGAAGGTCCTTCCAATCCTCCTCCTCGTCGATAGTCCAGTTGTACTTATCTAGGGGAAACTCAGTGCCAATATGGCGGGGCTTGGCACGGCTTTCATAGGGATCGGTGATCAAGACTGGTCGCAAGCATACGCCACACCCGAGGCGTTGAAAGGCTTGCCAAACGTTCATGTCAACACCTTTCAAGGTATCGGTCAAACATGCCTGTGCAAAAGTGTGAGGATAGGTGTGGGTGGTGTAGAAGCCAAGGTAGCCGCCTGGAAAGAGTCAGAGATCATAGCTACGAGATGAAGACGGAGATAGGGACAGATATTTACCGTCTGGCAAGAACTCCTTGTCGCTAATGAGTTCTTCAAGGTGCCCAAAAAGAGGCGTGTGGTCAATGGTAAGGGCATTGGGATGGTTTGACAACTGGCCATCTCCCCGAGTAACATACAGGTTGTACGTGAGGGTGATGCGGTGGCCGGAGGTTACTTCGAGAACCTCATGTTCGCAGTCGCTGTAGAATGCAGCCCATTGAATCTGGGGCCCTTCGGAATCCATATTGTCCCAGTCAAAGTGCATGAGTTGATCTTCCTGACGGATTTCCAAGGCACCTCCCTTGTGTTGCGCAGGCAAACAAACCACCAGTGATCCGATCTGAGAACGGGAGCGAGGAGTATCGACATGGGAGCTGAAGTGACCAGATGGCCCAGTATAAACCTTGGCTAAGGTTAGCTGAGTTATCGCAGAAGTTGGTTAGCGGGGACAGACATTGAGTTTGTACAGTTCAGCCTTGAGAGTCCTCTGTTTCTCTGAAAGCGGATTTGGGAGGAGGAGCTGAGACACGACACTGACTATGCCCGAGGTATAGGGACAAAAGCTAGTGGTGAAACGGTAAGGGTCCATCTTGGAAGCTTTGCGGTAGCTCTCGTCGTATACATGTTCTCCTCCGCGACCAAACGCTGCGGGCTCCATATCAGCAAGCAGGCGATCGAGGTTGTCCGCGCTAGACTCCTCGATAGGGAAATTCAACTTGCAATGGGCGGCGGGAGTCATCGAATCTCGAGGGTCCCATCGCAGGGTGACTGGGGGGTGAGGGGGTGCTGACGGAGCAGTGCCTGAGCTCAAGCTTGAGGCACGGTCGGAGGCTGAACTGGACGGGAGTTCTTCGTTTGCAGATGGCTCTCTCTTTGGTGCATCGACCTCTGGAGCACCAGCAATGATTGGTATCGCCCCACCACAGGCGAAGAGAGCGTCTTTGCAGTGTGATTCGAGCCACTGCTGAAGCTGGCCGAGAGAACCGCCATCTTGATGGTCGCTGCCAGTATTGTCGTGGGGCGTACTCTGGCTATAATCTTGACTCCCACTCTCGCTCTCGCTCTCGTATTCTTCATCGTTAAGAGACCATCCGACAGGATGCTTGCGTTGTTCACCGGTTGGCGAGAGGGGCGCGCTTTCACGGTGTTGGTCCGGACCCGGAGATTGTGAAACTACGTCAGGCACATCCGCCTCGGGAGTGCGCAGGGCAAGGCCAATTGAGTTAGAAGGAGAATCCGACGCCATGATCGAGATAGTATGATATCTGTCGGGTCTCGATAGATGAAGAAGGGGTAGAAAAAAAGGGTTGAGTGGAAAGGAGCAAGATGCAGTAATCTGACCGTGAAGTTGTTGATGCGAGTGCCTCAGGCAGAGGGGCATGCCGTGCGACAGCACAGATGCCAATTCTATTGGACGTTTGGTGGAGCTCTTCCAGGCACCAGCCAAGGTGCTCAGGCTGTCATTCACCCCTGCTCGCAATTCGCTTGCGTTGGCATTCTTGGCGGACATCAATGAATAGGCACCAGGCCCGTCAAGACAGTAATCACCAACAACACAACTCCTCTGTTCGCGATAAGCATAGTACTTTAGATAATTCAAGGTTTTTACACAGTCGCGTAAAGCATTGAGGGTGTCGTTCCTTTTCTTGAGCGAAATGCCTGGTCTAAATTGTTAACCCGGTCATCTGCAGCAGCTACATCCTGGGCGAGCTTCACTAAACATGAGGCTTACGGCTATAAGAAATTGGTGCTAATTCCATAGAACTGGTATCGAGAAAATACACTACCAACGGACTGCGTTAGTCTCAAGCTACCCACGCCATAGTTCGCAGCTCTATATCAGATAGTAGTGGGACTCTCTATCTACCCCGATCCACTAACAACAACAGGTCAGGTTGGGAAGACGACTAGGTAAGGTAACATTGCAAGGTAACTCTCGTACATGTTGAGATCGTCGTCGAGGCCACGTTGATAACGTAGCTGTCGCCGGAACCCTAGCACATACGACCATAGCTCGTAGAGAATACGGGGTCCCGTCTGCTCCCCCAGAGTCAAGCTGCGAAGCGCCGGATTAGTAGTTGGGTCGGTGACGACCAGTGAATCCCCGGTGTTGTATGTTTCTTTTGCTTCATTATCTTTTTTGCCATTCGTGATATCTGTGCTCTTTTGTGGGCGGTTGGTCTCCCAAAATTGGCAACCTCATGTGGCACTTGACAGGACTCTGCCAGAACAATATTTTCTTTCCCCTCTAATATTATGGCTTCCTGACACTCATTTTCTTTTTGTAAATTTGTTATTAACCAAGGAAGACCCATCAGCTGCGTAGTGGCTGTCGTCTCATCTCCTAATTAATCCCACCATTCAACCACCATCGTCCCTCAATCCTTCACCACGCCCAACTAGTAGAGCCATCCCAAGCCCAAAGAAACCAAGGGATGTAGTAATAAATGTCGCTGTCGTAAATGTAAGAGCCTTTTGAGCAGATCTCATAATCCCAACAACCGCCGTCTGTGGCGCAATTCATTTCCTCCCCAGGGCCCGTGACCGAGGAAGTAGAGGAGGTCGTAGAGGTCGTAGAAGGTTCAGGTTTTGTTGTTGTGGTGAGCGGGGCCGTAGACTTGCTCAACAGAGAAGCAGGGAGAGATATCTCGATGGAGACTGAAGTGTTCAATGTGGTGGATGGGTCAAGTGGGTAGCAGTCTTTGGCATTGGCATGGACAGCACCAATGGCGATAAAGGCAAGGACGAATTGGAGCAGCTTAGGTGAAACCATTTTAACTAGTGATAGTGAGCGGGTGAGTGTAGAACTCTGGGAAGTGTGGAGAGTCGCCTGTCGAGGTCCGCGATCTCTCTAAGAACCTCTCCTCCCCCTGACCTTTCATTTTTTTTTGGTCATATCATCAGTGGACCAACACGAGTCCATGCAAGATTCAGCCCATTAAAACACCAAAACAGCCAACAAGATGTCTGGGCCCATAAACAGCGAGGAGCCAGGGTCTCTGGCCTGATGTTCAATGCCAAGTTTGTTGGTGAGGAAGCTTTGATGCCCTGAAAGTCAATGAACAACCAGGTGTCAGACCCGGACCAGGCTCACCATATCAAGACCGGACTTCGGATTCGAATCATCTTACACATGGCGAGTGCAGACCGTCTTCCATAGATTACAAAAGAACGGCTTACAGGACGAGATATGCTCTGTGTGCTCGGTGGAACTTGTCAGACTAGATGAACTATATGGGTGCTCTGGTCTGCAAAATATCCCCGAGCTCCTTGGCCGTTGTCAATAGCTCCCATACCTACCCGAGAGAATCCGCCAGTCTTGAAATTTTCGGCAATGATAAGAAAGTAATCCTTTGTTGCAAATATCCAGTTTCCCTCCGAGTTCCATCCTGACCAGTATGGGACTTGAGCGACGAGGAGGAGAAACATATTTTTGTCCATATATTTCTCTGTCCAGCTTGAGGAATCCCACCAAATTTCCTTGGTGGTTGTTGGAATCGAGCTGAACGGAATCACTATGCCAGAGACGTCCAGTTTTGCATACTTGACCTTTGAAGTAAGCTCTTTGCCTTCCCATTTAACATCCACGCAGTCAACTTTCATCGCCATCTCGATTGTCCTTGGAGGCCGAAAACATCCCCGGTGCTCGGTGTCGAACGTAATGGGTCCATCAAATCCCATCCAAGACCAAGAGGGGATCGACTTGAGCTCAACGGCTTGAATGCGGCCACTGGGCTCACGACCTCTCCAAAGCAAGCCGGCATGAAAATCCCCTTCCCACAACCCTAGTCGGGGGGCATCATGACGATGAGTATTCTTATCATAGAGGAGATTCCTGAAGCGTGTCGTGGCTCCAGCAAGGGCAAGCGTTTTGTCCTTGGCTTTGGATAGTAACCTGCCGGAGTAGCCTTGGACGATATCGTCCCAATCTTCGTATACACCTCGTGCGGGGTACAGTGGTTTTGGTACGAATGACCGTCTAATCCTATTTTTGCTCAGGACGACCAGGCCGTCCTCACTAGCAACTTGGCTCTTGCATTCCCAGATCAACTGCTTCTTGCAAAAATGGATCATCCTTTGAGAGAAGATGCGTTCTTGGAGCACCCATCCTCGTTGATTCAGCGGCGCCGAGTTGATCTCGTTTTCCAAGTCCGTCTGTATAGATTCGAGAAATGCGTAACCTGTCGATTCCCAGTGTTTGAACCGGGAGGCGCTGAACTTTCAGCGAAGATTGCTCGGATAAAGCATGCCTCCTTCACAGTCGACTGAGTCTGTCGCTGCAAGAGTAATTTTGGCATGCCCATAGTAGTCGGCAATCTTGCTAGCCTCCGATTCAAAGTCACCGCCGTCGCCTTGTATGATGCAGAGGGCGTCGATCCACAAGTAGGGTATGCGGAGCCCCCTCGTGATAGCGATTGCATCTGTGAATGTTTTGTGCGCGGTTTCCCCCTCGAGCCGGAGAGATTTCTCTCGGTCCTCAAGATTGTTTGGAGTTGTTTTGGTGGTTAAAATGTCGTTGCCTGAAGAGTCTCTTCCCCAGCAGTAGCTCAAGGCAGTGTAGCGCCCCCATTCACGCTCGCTTGGTTCATATAGAACCATCGATTCCACATTGATGACTCTTTTGGGCAGTTGTGATTCTGAGTCAAACTCGCAAGTTTCATGAGATTTGCCACACTCTGCCAACTAGCCTCTGATCCTGTTGAGTCTTTCATCGAGATTAGACTCATGCTGTGTCCAGATGGCTCTATTCTGAATCCCTTTCCAGTCTGCACGAACAATGTCAGAGTATGCTGTAAATTTGAATATCATTAAAGTGCTTACAAGGGGTTCCTTCATAAATAAGTCCCACGGCTCTCCCCTGTCGGCGATTTCCGGAGCCACCAGCGCTTGGTTGTAGAAACCGGAACGGTACTTGTTCTGAGAAACGAGGATGAAATGGCAAGCATGGCGGTTCCTTTCAGGGCTTCTCTAAATTCTTGGGACCATCCCGGAGCCACAAAGGTCTGATCAGGTTGCTCAATGACTGTTTCGGCTCCTTCCATGGCCCTGCAAAATACTCGACATAGCGGGCATCTGGTGGAATTTGTGAGCTTCTCAATTGATAAATGATGAGCCCGCTTCCCCAAGTCTCGATGCCATAACACGTCGTTACACCGGCTGCATAACCTTTCGGCAGCTGGGACGTCGGCCACGCTGTCCACCATGCTATCTTATCGCTGATGATGTTTGTGTCCGCGGAAATTCTGGTTGCTGCGTTCACAGATATGCCCTAGGCACTCCAACGGGAGAAACACCACGAACATCTAATAACTAATGCCTGACAAGTGCATAAAGTTGAAATAATAACATGGAAAGGAGGCAAAATGAAGGGTGTGAGGCATTTTATCTCTATCCGCATGTCAGCACTCTCTAGCAAATAGAAGCTCACCACATGTTCAAGTTCCCAGATTACCACCAATGATCTGACTGGTCCTTCGCGTAAGCCTCATCTCAACAGCGTATGGATGCCATATAAGAAGATCACATCGGCCAGGATGGCATTATTCAATTTTGTATCCAATAAGCAGTACAAAGAGTCCAAACCACTTCCAACGTGCTTCAGTTGACAACGAGATAATGGTTTCCCTGCACCGAATCCTTGGGCATTGTCCACTCCTTGTACACCTTGTCAAGTCGACTCTTGAACATCTCCTCAACCTGTTTTCTCCTAATGTTTCCCTTCGTAGCAGTTCGTGGCAGCGTGCCTCGAGGAACGATCAGGATGAATCGTGCGTCGTCAATGCGCTCGTGCATGTATCTCCGTTTGTGGAAGGGATTGATCCTGAAAAGGATCTCGTTCTTGATCCTCCAAAGTCCTATTTCCTCGTCGTGCTCTTCAGGTCCGATTGATGCACCATCTCGAAGCTCGACAATCATTGAGGGAGAAGGTCGACCAGCACCGACGACAACGACCGCATCAATAAGGTCATCTCCACAGGTTTCCATGGCGTTTGCCTCGATTGAGCCTGTATCACAGCGTAGCGCCATTGCCATCTTGATCCAATCGTCGTTTCGCCCTTTAGCCACAAACTTCCCAGGTCTCACTTCCACAAAGAAATCCCCCGTATGGAACTTCCCGTCCTCGGAGCTCCGCAAGGAGATGTCCGGACAGTCAGCGGACTCAGGAACTACTACGAGTTCAAGCAGCCGCTCATCCATATGCGTGTCCTCCTCCAATGGCACATACTCATAGGTGGAACCAGATAGAGTCGTGAGATAGGCTGGGTTTGTGGTGTCTTCCGAAATCATCATGACGCCAACTTCAGTGGAACCAAAGACGTTGACGAGATGGAGACCTTGGCTGCAGGCCCATGCTTCATCTGTAGGATCCAGAGCTGAACCACCGTACATGATGTACTCCAACCCCTGTAAAGCTTTGAGCAAGGAGGCGTCTCGACGGGCTTCGTGGAGGACGTTGGACAAGAAGGCGGGAAACATGTTCAGCCTAGTCAGTCCGCATTGGTCGATTATCTGTCGGAGCTCGTCATTCGAGTATGGGATCTCGGTCGGGAGGACAAAGCAACTTCCACGGCAAATGGCGTCGATGAGTAGCATGGTGCTGCCAATGTGACTGAAGCTTCCACTACAGGCCTATCAGAACAGTGAACTCACTAGAACTTCAATGAGACTTACATGGAAACCTGGACCCGTTGCGGTCTCGTTGAAGGAAGTATCTCGTCGACACATGCCGTCTTGCTGATGACACAGTCGAACCACTTCGCCGTCAGTGGCACAAGCTTCGGGATACCGGACGTTGAGCCCGATGTATGATAAATCATGATGGTGTTCTCAGCTTCTGGTGACATATTCAGGTGAGGCAGTGGCAAGTGATCATAGTTGGAGGTGAGAATGTCCTCAGCAGGGTAAGCCTTCACGGGGCTGTCGGCGACAACTGATTGGAAGCCGGCATCGTGGATCAGAACCGCGGCCTGTGACTTCTTGAGTAGGTTGTAGACAACAGATGGATCTGTCATCTTCAGAGAGACGAGCTGTGGGATGAAGCCAGCTCGGTAGATGCCCCATATATGGAGGAGGTCCGTATAGGACGATCCTTTCAGCCTAAAACGACAGTTAGACAGACTCCAAAGCGGTGGCTTGCTATACCTACCATAGCCCAATAACAGATCGCTGTTGGATGCCTCTTTCCAGAAACTCGTTGGCCCAGTACCTGGCACAAGTCTCGATGTCCTTGGTGAAGTCAGTGAAGGTGATATCCTTCCAAGACAGTTCTGCCATCCCTTCGTTAGGGATTCTCAGTGCTGTCGCGGATGGATAGTCCCTTGTGCTAGCGTAGAGAGCAGCAAGAGGCGTTTGATAGGTAGTCATTTTGGTAGAATCGATTGAGAAGAAGATGCTTGCTTTCACAGTTCAGATCAGAGAATATCATCGAGGTGAAATGTTGTGATGAGCGTGTACTTATATGATTATTCGCCCCATAGCTCCAGGACGGGGCCTGTAGGTCGCCCCAGTTCTCCATCCCTATATCTCGGCCATACTGGAAGGCCACTCACTTTCCCGTGTCTGACTTGTCTGACATACGAAACTAATCGAGGCCCAGACCCATCTAGCACTGGTCATTGCCGTGTAAGCTCACGCAACACTCCATCTTGAGGAAATAACACGGCCTCAAACTCGATAATCCCCGAAAAACTCAAATATCTACCGAATCATCCGTGTCAATAACGGACATAACAAAGTTTACTCGGGATAACGGATAAAACGGCGTCCGTAGGGCACAGGGCTGACGGCGGTTTAAACCTTGCTCACGTAATTGTGTGGAAGGAAACTCTCGCGCTTGTCATGGAAGGAGGTGGTGATAGGGCGGAAGCTAGGAAGTCCCGGGAGGGGGTTGCTAAGCTTAGAAGAGGGGATGTGTTTTGTTCCGTTGAGTGGCGGTAAGTTTCGTAGGTATTTTTGTTGATCGACGAGTTATTCACGTGGATGGCATTACGTATGGTTTCATGAGTCAGAGACGCTTGCAATAGGCTCGACAAAAGTCCTGGCAGATCATATAAAATAGGGAGCCTTGCACTGTGTTGGCCTCTGGATTGCGGTAATGCGGTCGTCTTGTCCATTTCCATCACCGGTTTGGAATCAGATTCGGCAGATGCCCAATCCGTTCCGTCACTCCCACATAAAGATACACAGGTGAGTCTTGGTGGAACTATCGGGAGGGAGGCAAGTCCAACAAACGGGTGAACACGATTACACCGGATTGCTTTCTTACACGACATAAGAAATTAAGTCAACTCCTAGTGGTAGAATAGACCTTCGCATGCAGGCTCGTGTTACCGATATCATTGGTGGGAGAAGGATGGTGTATGTCTGGCTGACGTGAACACGAGCAAACTCGTAACACAAAGCTGCTCCGCCTCAAACAGACATCAAATGAAGGCCCTCTAAGAGGAGAGTCAATACCAGGACTGCATGGTCTAATAATATCCCAACGGGCGCAGACAATACCACCGCAACCACAGTCACCAGGGTTCGCCCAGAAGGGCTTCGAACGACAGTTCTACGATTCAGAACGCCGGCCGGGACAGACCAAACTCACCAATACCCAAGAATCGTCATAGGCAAGTGTTAGTATTAATTTTTCATTGCTTTGATCTCGACTCTGAGTCGAAAAATCAACAATCTACCCAGCAGTGTACAATATCCATTTTATCAGCCCCGGCTCATCGTGCTTCTTGGGTTTCTTATGCCTATGTCTTCCAGACTTCTTCTTCACCGGCCTATACTCCATCTCCCACTCTGGAACCCACCTTGGGCTCTCGCGCAGCATGGGCATATATGGATCGGGGTATAATGACATGAGAAACCTTCTGTCGCCGTCAGATAACACCGAGGCGTGGGGGACATACATCATCCCGTCTCGGGTGTCTTCTGGGGCGATGGGGTAATGCATGATGGACTCTGGGTCATAAGGGAGGGGCTTTGTACCTCGAACAAAGCTTCGGTCGTAGTTCTTATAGATCATGGCACATTTCCACCCCGTCTTTCTTTGGATTTCGCGGTAGTTCCAGACAGCTGGACAATCAGGGTGTTGATGTTCATGCACCATGCCCAGTGAGTGTCCAACTTCGTGTAAGATGTCAGCTTGCCTCAGGCGACGTCGCTGAGGGCCTGGTAGACCGGCGATGTGTCGGTACATGTTGAGCCACAAGGTTGTCCCATTCGGATTCTTCTCGGCTTCCGTTCCAAGACAGGAGCTTGACTGGGTACCGAAAGATATTCGGATATCAGAAGGCCCAAAATCGTTTGGTTTGAGAAACTCGAATTTTAACCGCATCGGAATGGTGTTGTAATGTGTATTCACAAGATTCGTGACAATTTCGCGATCGGAGGCACTCCCATTGAGAAATCGTACCCTCAGGCGACGTTTCTCGGGAGGCCAGACGAAAGAGCTCGGCGTTACCCCATTCAATATGTCGTTGGATACTGCGCCTTGTAACGTATCGGTAAATTCGCTATCGTTGCCGGAAGAGCCCTGTGTGCAGCCCCAGCCAACGCCGTAGTGGTTGCTAGTTGAACCCGACGCCTCAACTTGGAGGTGTGCGGGATCGCTGTTTTGTGCTGCCCCATGTTCAAACCCGTCGACTAGGTAATCCATAACATTCGCATTGTGTTGATAATGGTTATGGCTCCGCGGGGCATGGTACATGGCGATCAGGGTTGCTGGTGGCAATGTATTGTGGCGGGTTGAAATTGTGCTATGCGATGGAGCAGAGTTTGAAGGGAACAGGGAACACCCTCTCTTGTCATTTACGGGTCGATTACGGGGCGAAAAGTCCCTTGGCTTAAGATTCATCTCACATCTCAAGAGCCTTATTCACAGGTGTGGTGGTATTGCATCCTTGACAGCCAATAAGTGTCGTCAGTTTAAAACCAGGCGCAAGAACACACCAAACAGGCGTCGACACAGCCTCCGACCAAGCTCCTTTTGTCCGCACACGTCGACCTGCATGAGCAAATTACAATCACGAGCGCTGCTGGTCAGCCCACCTGTCGTTCGTCCCGTGCCGCCGGCTTGCGCTTCCGCCCAGTTACAGTGGTCTGTTGGAGTTGTCAGCAGCTCATCACCTATCATTTTCCTTGCCCTGATGTGACAAAAAGTGCATGCTTATTCTCCATGTGCGTTCGGGTCTGAGCGTCTTACCTCTGGTGATGAAATGTCTCAACTGAGGGAGCCCGCATACAGTGAAGAGTTCTGAATTTTCGCCCGGCAGATTAATATGCAGATGACCACCCACATTATTCCAGCGGTCGCCTTGGGCGCGTAGCTCCCCAAGTCCATGGCTGCCATGAACTGAATCACTGTCCGTATATTCGTAGCCATCGTTTCGATGAGGCTCCCCAAGCGCCGGCCTCATCCAGGCACCAGAAGATTCACCGCAACAGCCGTTCCAAATGGTTGGTTCACTCACCGACGAGAAGGCACAGCCCTACCAATATTCAAGAGCCCAGTCTCAGCATCTTGGTTGATAACTTGGCGAATAGTTTTGTCGGAAAGGCGATAAGGCTTGTTGGGCTCACACTACTCAATGCTACGACCGCACATGATGGCCAGTCGCTAAGCTTCATTGACCACCATCAATAGGCTGCGACTAACAATCAATACGAGCCCTATCAGTGAGCTCATAGGTATTGCAGATAGTAAATGTCGGTATGCGCTTATTATCAAATCACAATTTTACACGCGGCCAACAAAGAGTGGCGACCAGATAGCTATGCCAGAACCAAGAGCGAGACAGGAATAGTCCTTGTATATGATAACAACCCCAGCTCTGATAAACGTGGTTGATTGGTTTTTAACTCAGGTTCTTCTACCTTTCGGATATTAGTAAGTCATCCAGCCTGGGCAACTTGAGTGTTGATTCCGTACTTCAGGCGACCCAGCCCAGCCAGGACCAAGGTTCACAAAGATTCCGCACCCCACGAACAGAGGCAACCTTCTCGATATCTCATATTTGTCTCGGTAAAAAGTATTGACTCTAACCAGCTTGGGCCAAGTTTCCATTCCCACTCACCGGGGGAGAGACATACCAAGCCAGCGCCGGATATCGTGGAGATGAACCCATGGCACCGTCCGCCGGGAAAAGCGGAAGCTCTCTTGGCATATGATCTGATTGTGAATCGTTTTATATCCGGTTCTCAAGCCTGTCTGTCTTGACGGTGTCTCTGATTTTGGCCTGAGCAGAACATGCTCCTCCACGTTGCGCGAGGTGGCTGTGCCACAGGAAGGGGAGCCTAGGCGAATGACCAGCCATCAGTTACCCAGGACAACAGAATGGTATGCATTGAATGAATGATTCCGTTAAGGATCATATGAACTAACACAATCCGCTTATTCTGTCGTGCTACACAAGAGAAAAGAGGACAAGTCTATAAAAGAGGTGTGCTTAATGCGATAATGTAAACTTAGCTCACACCCTTTTCCACCAAATATATGGCAGGCCAAGAGTCCATACGTCATCAGAATGGCCCATAAAGCCTTCCCCATGATGAAGGTGATAAGGTCCTTAACGGAAACTCCATTACGAGCCACATCGGCCTCTCATTTGTTGGAGTCTACGCCGCAGACCTTGGTACCATGCCTCTCCACGTTTTCCTGCCGGCTGTCTATGTAGTATCACGAGCTCGTGTCCGCCGTTGTATATCCTTCTAAAATACTGGGCCAGGTCAGACAGGGCACATCATATTGGCATCAGCAAACCGAGCCGGGGGATGGATAAATGTCACCTTCTCAAACTGGTAGAGGCATGCGTGTCTTTCGCCCTGACGATCCATGGCCTCTTCAACTTTTTCTCACAAAAATAACCTCTTCGTATTCTCATGAAAAATCTGTTACTTGCTTCACGAGGCTGTTTGTATCTAGTTCTTTTCCCAGGTCGAGGTGGCATACTGCAGGTTTGTCATCATGCCTTCAGTGAAAGTCGATTTCCACGCAGGCTCACCAGTAACTTGACACTAATAACCACCTCGTTTGTGAGAGAGAATTGCGAAAGGCAGCAATCAATATACTAATTTCTGTTCTTATTCCGCTCAGTATATCTGGCTGCATGTACGCGACTTGGTGATCGGATCTAACCTCCCGAGTGAGTCCAGGGTAACACAGACACGCAGCCAAGGAGCCTCATTTGCCACACCGTTCAATGATATAGGTATGCCTGCAGCTGTAATATGCCCCCTTATACTCATTCATTCAAAGAACTATTCTCTCGAATGACATGGAGGCATCCTTGTTGTCACGTCGTGAATGTGTCGAATACTCCAGAGGTGAACTTCTGAATGGAGGCATCTGAAGCATCAGATGGATCCTGCTACAGAGCACATCTCCGGCGGCAAGTTGTAATTCTCGATGATTGGATAAATGAGGCGATGCCAACTGTGTGTCTGATTTGCTAACAGTGAAGCGTGGCAGGTAATACTTCAACACTAAGCAACTCACTGAGACTTGACAGTGTGCAAATATAGCAAGAACTCACTATCCAAGAAAGCATGACATGAATCTATCGTTCTAATCAAATGCTCAACAAACTGTTTTACAATCCCAAGATGCAAAAACTCCAGGTCCCAGTCTCCCAAGCGGTATTCAGACAACCATTTCAACTCCGACGACCCGTATGCGTTTATTTTGCGGCCTTGGCCTTCTCCCTCAACATGACACCCGAGTAGCTAACAACGGTTAGTGATATGATCGATCGGGAGGATGGAAACACTCACGCAAAAATTCCAACCAGGGCCATGATCAGGCCAATGACACACTTGTCGGCCACGGTTCGGCCAGACGACATCCAGCCGAGGGCGACAATGATGCATGTTTTGCTGTGGGCGACGACTGTGCTAGTGACAGGTCCCATCTCAGCAACGATGAAGAACTGAGAGACATTGATAAGAACGGCAAAGAAGCCAGACTGTGATGTAATGTTAGCAGCACTCCTTCACCCGGCAGGCTCTGTGCACTCACCATAAGAATCAGAACCCAGCGGTTCAGTGAAACATCACCCCAGACGGGGAAGGTGTCGACAAAGGGAATGACGTAGAGGAGCATGAAAGCAGAGATGGGGGCCTGGTTGAAGAGCAGCTGCATGCTGGTCATGTTCAGGCGTCGTCGGAAGGCCGAGATCCAGACGGTGTAAAGAGACGAGAAGAAGACGCCGAGGAAGGCAAACATGACGCCCAGCTGGGATGTCGTCTTGATGGTGGTGTTGCTAGTAGGCCTCGAGTCATAGTAAGAGACCATACCGACGCCGATACAGGCGGGGATCAAGGTCAGGCAGGCCTTGAGAGGCAGAGTGACCTTGTACATGACGTAGTCCATGGCGGCAACCGAGGGCGTCATGAGGATACGCGCAATCTGGTAGAATGCGACGGATGAGTAGGCAAGAGAGAGGTTAGGGAAGACGACGTTGAGGGCCATGGCGATGGACAGAGGCGCCGTGTGGCCAAAGGAAGCCTTCTGAGGCGTGAAGAAGCCGAATCGCTCTCGTGAGAGGACATAGAGGGCCAGCCAGGTGATGGTGAAGTGAAATGTGGCGAACGAGAGCTGCACATGCTTGAGAGATTTATCTGAGAAGATGGCTTTGTTTGTGAAGACCTGGTTGAGGTTAACATGGTGATGTTGAGATGGAAGGTGAAGTGACATACGATCAAGACTGTGGCCAAGACGTTGATCAAGGTCCATGCTACCGCCTTGAGTGTTTTGGACTTCTTGACGGGCTCTGGCTCTGGCTTGTCTGGCTTATCGGCCTTTTCTTGGTCACCAGCAAGGAGGGCATCCTCCTCCTCATCGTGGTAGAGCTCATCGAGCTCAAACTCACTGGGCGACCTCGTCATGTCGCGGTCATGCTCACTGTGATCAAACAGGGTAGTCTCCTTGGGCGAGGTAGACGAGGATGATGCCGACGAGGACGATGAGTCCGCGTACGGCTTGTGGTCGGCTTCCTTGGACATGGTGAATTAGATGCGCGCTGATGAAGACAAGGAACGACTGTAGTTAGGGAACAGCAGATTTCAAGCAGCCAGATGAAGGAACAGTGAAACAGACACAGCAAAGCAGCGTTCTGTCTGGTAAGGCAGAGAGAGGGGGATTGCTGGAAGGGCCGGAGAAGTGGGATAAAGCAGCCCGACTGGGGGGAAGGGAAAGACGCCAGCCTGGTCAAGCACCCCTGCCCCTGGAGAAGCATGTATTCGTATTGCTCACTGGTCCCGGACAAGGAATGGGCGTGGAGTATCGACGACAATCCCAGAGATGAAAGTACCGGTACATGGGCGCGAGAGAATCTTTCTAGCGGCTCCGGAATGCCTCTTCTTTACGACGCCACCAACAAACCACCCCTGCAGTAGCAACCAACTCTGCTCGGTCTCCTTTTTTTTTCTTCGCATTCTCCCTCTTTTTTTCCTTCCTTCTGGCGCAGCCGACAGTTAGTCTCATACGTGCGGGCGGTAAATAGCCAGTCCAGCCCCAAGCCACGGTGGGCCAAGGGAGAGCCGGATTCTGAGACTATCGAAGAGGCCATTTGCAGATCTATTTGGCGCTAGGCTATCAGCCGGGCATGCGATTGACGAGCTGAAATACGAATCCAGACTAACCCGAAGCAAGGGCAAAAAGTTTGTGTTTTGTCTGCCCCTCTTGAGGTTACTGTCTGTAAAGGGGTTGATGGTTCAGGGCTGAGACGAGGTGTGTGGCGGCATCTGCCAAGAGAACATGTGCGTTTTGGTAGTTTGAGGCTCTGGAGAGTTTGACCTTGTCATCGTCCCGTCTGCGAGAGAAGGAATGGGACATGCGTGGCTGCGGGTACAGTACGCGCGTGTGTGTGGTGGTCGATGCACCAATGGGGCCATTGTGCATTGTGATCAACCAATGTAATCGTGCCGATCGGTCGGGAGGGTAAAAGAACGAAGTGTTTGAAGGGTCGGGATGATGAAGCAAACAGCGCAAATCCTTCGGGATGTGGTGGTGTTTGTTTCATCAAGACGAGACGAGGCAGACAAGACACAGCCTTGTAACAAAAGAATTCATGTCATTATTTTTGACTGGGGATATCTAGGTAATACACAGTCTATCCATACCGGTTACACTTGCTTGTGCTCAAAATAAAACTTACACGAGGGCTGCAGAATGGCTCTACCCCTGCTCCCATTCCATGCCCCTCACCCGCACCACCAAAGCTTGTCTCTGTTGGCAGCGACAGGGCCCAATCAACCCTGCGTGTCAGGGGGACACCTCTCCTTCTCGAGCTTCATGTCGAGAATCATGTGCATCTCGGGACAGTACTCAAGCGCTGCCTTTCGTGTCTCGACGTTGCCCCAGACTTCCTTATCGAGACCCCTGCCACGACCAAGGGCGTGGTAGCCCATGGGTCTTTCTGTGACGTTGTTCTGTACCGAGAAGACTTCGTTGGTCAGGTTGGCGAGCTTCGCGTCGGGGAGAATGTAAAGACGCTTTCCGAACCAAATGTCTTCTTGGTCTGTGTCGTTGTAGCGCTTCTGGAAGCCGAGGACTTGCTGGATGGCAGAGACGCGTCGCAGCGAGAGCTTTCCGTAGCCAGCAAAAGCCTTGACATCGGCTCTTTGACATTGTTAGCAGGGGTGTCGCTGAAGCGATGGGAGTCATCTTACCTGGCAGCACCAGCCCATGTGTAGTCCAACCAGTCGTTCAAGCTCGACTGCGCATTGGCGCAAAGAATGCTCTCCGAGTCAAAGGTCAAGAGCCATTCAACTCCAGGTAAAAACTCGTTGTAGAATCGCGAATCCGTGTACAGGCGGTTCAAGTCCTCCTCAGTCTTGATGGACCAAGGGCTGGGGAGCCTCATGAGATCAATCTTGCCCAGACCCTGCTGCAGCTGAATGCCGTACTCGCGACCGACAGTGTAGACGCTCTTCTTAGATCCGATAAAAACGAATCGCCAATCCGGAGGCACGACGGCGATCATGTGCAGGATCAAGGGGACCAGCAAAGGAAGAGGCTCGGGCTCGATGATGAGAGCGACCTTGGATGTGTTGTAGTTCTTGCGAGGGTCGTCGTTTGGCGCCCAGTCAATGCTGACTGACGGGAGTCTTTGTCGGGCTTCATCAATCTGGGATGTGATGGTGGGTTTGACTTGAGGGACGAGTACGGTCGCAAAGATCCATCTGTGTATTGTCAGTCGCTGCTCGCGATGTCTTCATTTGAAGATCTACTCACGTTGAGATGAGGGAAACGACAATAAGAATGGTAGATCTTGAAATCGTCGTGGGGAGTCTCGATTTGAGGCTCTTGGTAGCCATTACTGGCAAGTCGGCCCATTGCGACAAGTCAACTTGCGGCGCCATGATTGCTTCACTTCACTTGTTCTGAAGATGGAGGAAGTTTTTGGATGGAGTTTCCAGGTCGCAAAGACCCAAGTTACGCTCCCGTCAACCACAATTGAGACCCCCTGCGCCTGGGGTGTGTTATCGGCTCTATATGATGCGATGCCTCTGTGAGCGGCTAGAGGGGCGGCGCCACTCCAGTCCCACCAGGCTCTCAAAATGATAGCGCCCATCCCTAGCATGCCTTGTGGAGAGGCGGTCTAGAGCTACTGCCGCAGAGGCAAAGCCCTCCGGTTCAGCCGAACACAGAGGGAGTGCAAGGATGGGCGGGATAGTGGGTTGTCTAGAAGCAGGCTGTCAAGAGATGCAGATGTGATGTACAGTACAATCTACATGATGGAAGAGAAACCCCCCTTATGTTAGAGATGAGCCCCTGTCGTTTAGAGTGTCCCCTCTCTCGTCGTCTCCTCTTGGCCGGGTTCTCTCTCTTTGCCGCTTACACCCCAGCTTCGACGAGGGAAGCTGGGCGACGACTTTGAACTGACCTGACTCTTTTACTTCTTTCAAGCTGAAGACCGAATTAATTGACAGACGGCAGCTTTTTTTTTTTTTTGTCTCTATTTTGTTGTATTGCTCTTCCCGTCACTCCTTCACCACCGCTAGCAGCCGTCATGAACTTCCTCTCAAACCAGCGACTGATGTCGCCCAAATTTGTGCGCATCGCGATCGGACTGGGAGTTACTTTTGCGTGAGTCTCTTCCTAAAGACTTGGAGGCATCTAGACTGACCCAATCGCCTCAGAACCATCATCTTTCTCTCAGTCATGGCGGTCGTCGTCCCTCATCCGGCGCTCCCCAAAATCTCCCTCACATACGCCAACCAGTCCATCTACAACGAGTCCAAGGTCGCTCTCCTCATTGAGAACCGACCGCAGCCCATCATCGTGCCTCTGATGCTCAAGTTCATGTATCAAATGCCTCCCGACTGGCGATTCCGCTTCATGGGCTCCCCCGAGTCGGTCGCCTTCGTCAACCAGTCTGCCGCCATGCGCGAGCATGTCAAGTCTGGCAAGGTCGACTTGACCTACATCCCCGCCAACATGAGCACCGCTGGTCAGGAGATGATCAGTCGTTTCTTGACGACTCTGTGGCTATACGATCATGTGCTGCAGCCTGCCGAGATCCTCCTCGTATTCCAGACTGACTCGATGGTCTGCGCCAACAACAAGCGCTCCATGGATGACTTTATTGGCTACGATTGGGTTGGTGCGCCTTGGAGTGTCGGAGGACGTTATGGCGGAAATGGAGGACTCTCGATCCGTCGCGTGAGCCGTATCATTGATATCCTGCGCAACCAGCGTCGCATTGAGGGCAGCCAGCCTGAAGATGTCTGGCTGTCTGAGCGTCTTGGACATCACAATGCTGGCAGTGTCGCCAACGGATCTATATCATCAACCTTCTCTGGAGAGATGAACGGAGGCCCGGCCGAGATTGTGCCTGAGCCTGATTGCGACGCCGACCTCGATGATGATCAGGAGGAATGTGAGTGGGAGAACCTACGAAAGAAGTTGAGCGAGCAAGGCCGACCAGGTGATTGGGTCAAGGGCCTTGATGACTGGAGGAACGGATTCTACGAGCCCATGGGCTATCATATTGGCGGTGCCGGCCAGCTTCACGGCGCTGTCTGGGGACGAAAGGAGAAGCGAGATCACATCTACTCGTACTGCCCCGAGGCAAAGATGGTGTTGAAGATGGACTGGGCAGAGTATATACCAGGCAACTGCGGAGAGTCCTGGTAAAAGATGCGATTATAGTATGTAATATAGATGGTTTATGCGAATCGTTTCAAGCTGAGCGATGTTGGTTATTGAAGAGACGGTTGGCACAAAATGGAGGCTCTTGGAACAGGTGTTAGAGTGGTGGCTCGGATGGACCGATCTATGACGAAACGGCGTTGGCACTGAATTAATTCACATTATTTTATCTAGACTTGACAGCTGTTCTTTTATAGCCAGTGATGAAGAAAAATACAAAGAGACCACGTCCTCACAGAGCGCAGGTGCTCTATTGGACGCCAGCAGCCTTCATACGCTCAAAGCACTGCCTGTAGGCGTCGTGGACCTCGGGAACCTCGTAGTTGTACTCCTTGAGCTTGCTGACCAACTTGTCCGTGTCGAGCTTGCAGTTGCTGCGACCAGCCTTGATGACCTTGGACTGCTCCTCGAGGCTAAAGTTCTTCCAGGTGTAGTTGGGGCGGACAATCTCCTTGAACAGGGCGAGGACCTCGTTGTGAGAGATGGCGCCGGGGTTGGTGAAGTTAAAGACGCCGGTGTTGTTGTGCTCAGCGAGGAGAATGGAGCCGGGGAGGAGGTCGTGGAGGATGGTGTTGCTGTTGGGAATGTCGACGACTCGGTCGTACTTGGAGATCTTGGTGACAAAGTTTCGGGGGTGAAGATCGTCGCTCACAGGCATGCGAAGACGGAGGATGAGGACGTTGTTGTAGCTGGCCAGGATCTGTCGCACGTCAGAGGCGCATTCACATATGCTTCAGTAGAGATACTCACAGGCTCAACGTGGCCCTTGGTCATGGAGTAGAAGCTGCCGACAAAGTTGGGAGCATCCTCCTCCTTGAAGCCAGCACCACCCATGGGGTGCTTCTCGTCATACTGGTAGATGCATCCGGTCGCAAAGATGGTGCAGTGAATACCTCGCTGGGCGCACTGATCGGCCAGCGTCAGAGTGCCAATGACATTGGAGCGAACTGTCTGCTCCTTGTTGTCCTCGCACCAGTCGACGTTGGGTCGACCAGTGCAGCCAGCAGCGTTGAGGACGTGCGTGGGCTTGATCTCGTCGAGCACCTTGGCGACACCGGCGACATCTTCCATGCGGACAGTGGTGCTGGAAACCTCCTTGCCCTGCTTCTCGAGGAGCTCCTTGAGGTGGCCAGCCACCCAGCCCTTGCCGCCCCAGATGAGGAAGCGGTTGGCAGACGTACCGTTGGAAGTAGACATGGTGATGGTGTTGGTGTTTGGGTATGAGGTTTGTACGATTAGCAACGATTAGCTATGAAGAGCAAGCAACTGCCGATCGAGATGAGGTCAAGAAGAAATACAGACGAGGAGGAAGCTCCAGTAGCTCCAAGACAGCTGCATGTACGTACTACGTTGCAGACTACCGGCCTGCAAGCCTCCCTCCCTCCGTCCCTCCTTGCCCGTCATGTCACCTCTGTTTGGGGAATCAGGGGTCTGTCACTGTAGCCACATCGAGACACTGAACGAAGAAACGAAAGAAGGGCCCTGGCACGCCGCGCCGTCCCTTGCTCCAACATCGACACGCCCCCAGGCTGAGCTTCTCCACGCTTCCAATAGTACATCCAGTAGCTCGGTTTTACGAGCAGCTGGTCTGTGTTGGCTAATGCAGGGGCGAATCAAATTGTTTTGGAGCCGCTTATCGCTGTTTTACGTTGCAATGCCGATCTGTCTAGTTAGATCGAGCCTTTCGCGTGGCAAAAAGGGTGAGACGCCGGTCAACTTCTGGCTTTTTTTTTTTCCTTGCCCCTTTTCTTGACAGTGACAGAGAATCAGAGCCTAATCTTCTGCAGGAGTGAATGTGCACTTAATACGAAAATGCAGTTGGTTCGTAACGCGCTGACGACAAATGATCCTGTTTGTTTCGTACCCTTGTTTTCTCCGTCGATCTCAGCCGCTGGAAAGTGACCGCATTAGCACACAATCACCTCTGTTTATACGGGTCCCGTCACTTTACAGGGCAACAAGCTTCGTGTACCGGTACCGCTACAGGTACCGTAGCACTCCCCCCTGGCCCTGTCAGAAGCCAAGCGCGGGACTATCGGACCCTCATTCGCTTGGCAAACGTACTATCGAACGCCTCAGCCCAAGCCTCAATTGACAAAAGATTGCCATGATTAATGAGCTGAACTTTTCCTTGCCGGCAGAATTGTGCGGCAAAGCAAACAAGCAAGCAAGCAAGCAGGCAATCAGTTCCTCCTGAAGGAACACGACACATGCAGCAAGGGGTTTGTACTGTTACAAGACGGGAATGGGCTGAGGTATTTGGTCTCGCCCTTGGGAATGTTTAGTCTCACACCCCATTCCTACCATGATGGCCCCCCCTGATTCTTCACGCTCTCATCACTTTTTTTTTTCTCTCTTCACTCTGGTGTGGGTAGCCCGTGTAGACAGACTGGCCGTTAGCCGTTGAAATGGGCCGTTCGGTGTGGTAATAGGGGAGAATGCCACTTGGTGGCTCATGTAAAAAAGATGTCTCTCTCTTAGGGGCTTTCTCTCCAGTTTTTAAGTACTCGTTAGACTGAGACTGCCTGCTCGCTACCCGTTTAGTCTTGAAGATTGCTTTGCATTACTCTGTCCACTTTGTCTTTTCTGTCTCAATTCTCCGGTAGACGGTGTCTTTCTTGTTACACTACTCCATCCAGCTTTAATACCCTCCAGCCCAAGATTCTCGTCTGGTTGCATCGTCAGTGACAAACATGGCTCCTCACTTCGACTACTCAACTAACATGGGCTCAAGCAACAATAACACCGGCAACATGCGCTACAACTTCCTCCAGGACGCCGACGTCTGGCAGGGTGCGCCCATCTTGACGGGCAGCACCAAGTTTGAGCCTCATCCCGATGTCAAGAACATTATGATCACTGGTGGCGCCGGCTTCATGTGAGCACAAGACCACACCTTGATCCTCATGCGCCAATGCTAACACCAAGCTTTACAGCGCTTCTTGGCTTGTGCGACACCTCACCCTCACGTATCCCCACGCCTACAACATCGTCTCTTTCGACAAGCTCGACTACTGCGCCTCGCTCAACAACACACGCGCCCTCAACGAGAAGCGCAACTTTAGCTTCTACCAGGGCGACATCACCAACCCCGTCGAGGTTGTCGACTGCCTCGAGCGCTACAACATCGACACCATCTTCCACTTTGCCGCCCAGTCGCACGTCGACCTGAGCTTTGGCAACTCGTACGGCTTTACTCACACCAACGTCTACGGCACCCACGTGCTGCTCGAGAGTGCCAAGAAGGTTGGCATCAAGCGCCTCATTCATATCTCGACCGACGAGGTCTACGGCGAGGTCAAGGACGATGACGATGACCTCCTCGAGGCGAGCATTCTTGCCCCTACCAACCCTTACGCCGCGAGCAAGGCTGCCGCCGAGATGCTTGTGAATTCTTATATGCGAAGCTTCAAGCTTCCCGTCATTATTGTTCGGAGTAACAACGTCTACGGACCCCACCAATTCCCAGAGAGTAAGCATTTCCAGCTCGACAGAACACCAGACACGGCCACTAACACTCGCCCTTCACAGAGATCATCCCCAAGTTCTCCTCCTTGCTACACCGCGGTCAGCCCGTGGTCCTCCACGGAGACGGCAGCCCAACACGCCGCTATCTCTACGCCGGAGACGCCGCCGACGCCTTCGACACCATCCTCCACAAGGGTGAGATGGGCCAGATCTACAACGTCGGCTCGTACGACGAAATCTCCAACATCACACTCTGCCACAAGCTCCTCGCTGAGATGGGCATCGACGACCAGAACACGACCGAGTTCAAGAAGTGGGTCAAGTACACACACGACCGCCCCTTCAACGACCACAGATACGCCGTCGACGCTACCAAGCTCAAGCAGCTCGGCTGGACACAAAAGACCCCCTTCGAGCAGGGTCTCAAGATCACCATGGACTGGTACCAGCGCTACGGTGACAGATGGTGGGGCGACATCTCTGCCGTCCTGAGCCCGTTCCCCCTGGTTGTCAACAAGAATGTGAAACCGGACAACGAACCTATCATGGACTCTCCATGAGTGAAGGAAGCTGCTGCGGGGCGTATAGAGGTGGGGGTTTGTATGTAATACTAGACGAGCATTGATATCCGTTGGTTGTATGTATGTTTAATATGAGACAGCGTGCCGCGTGGCCCTTGCAACTGGTTCCTCTCGAGTTGAAGGTTTCGGTACCTGAAGTTGGGTCGCCTTCAATCTTGAGAATGCCCCTCTACTACGTAGTAGTAGCACAGGGATTGCGCCCGCATTCCCGAAAACCGCGCAAGCAGTGACGTTGGTGGGCTGATGGATCACAGAGTGCTCAGTGCGTTCTGGAAGATCTTGGGTACAGTGACAGACAGGGTTGATGGAGGGGCTACCCCTGAACGGCATGCTCTGGTGCGTCTTGGGTTTATTGCGGCTGGACAGGATCACGAAGGCTGAATTATACGGATGCTGCAGTGCTGTTGTCTATTTTCAGAGCTGTTTGCGAGCCCTGGGTTGGCCCATCTTGTCGACCCATCTTACCACTTTGATGCAGCCAACCTGGAGAGGGGTCAACGCGCTTCACAAGTGTCAGATGCTTCATCGGACGGCAAATACGGGTTTGCAAAAAATGGCGTTCTTGGCTCAGCTCGCTACGGTAATACGAGGATGGAATCAATTTGTTGAGCACGACTTATTACCATGTCCCTCTCTAATATAGATTCAACTCATATTAACGGCGATTTCGTCGTGGCACCACAACATTGTCTCGTGCGCATTGGAGCATCAATAACCACATGATGGCCTCACCACGTAGATATCTGTTCCTTGCCTCGTTTACGCGCCTACTCGTATTCCGAATAATCACCAGAGCCATTCTCAGTTCTCGTATCCGAAACCAACCGAATGTGGTGGTGCAGAGTTATTTTCTTTGAGGGATCAGTTAACGTGATGCTAGGTACTGTACATGGCAGGGGCTTGTGAACTAAGAACAGAATCAAAGAAAAGGGGAAGAAAGAAAGAAAGAAAACACCAAGACAAGATTCGTATAGAATGAGATTCAAGTTATCTCAGCCACGATGCCTCTGTGTAGTGCGGTACTTAGACTTGTCTGTTGGCGTGATAAACACCATGACCTTGCTCCATAGAGGCCTTCCAGGCGACAGTCCGGGGATCTCATCTCGTTTCGATGTGCGAAGCTCCCTACTAAAAGCTGTCAAATACCGTCATGCTGGTCAGTTCTCGTATCCGAATTAAACCAAACAGATGCGCCAGTGTCGAATCACGGTCTTTGAGCGAACAGTCAACGTGATGCTACATGGAAGGAGGGCTTGCAGACCAAGAAAGAAAGTGAAAGGCCAACAATACAGCAATAATATGGAATGATACTCAGGTTATCTTCATCATGGCCCGTGTAGTGTGGGAATTGCATTTACTTGTCTTGATAAACACCGTCGCCTTGCTCCATGGAGATCATTCATGTGACCTTTGCGAGTCTTAAATCGTTTTGATATGCGAACCCCCCTTCTGAAAGCTTGCTAATGTCTTATGGTTGTTACCAGGCTGTTTCTTCTCCATCATCATGATACCAAGAGGTCGTCAAGTCATTACTAGTATTCGCAGGGTTATGACAGTGGACCGCTCTAACGCCGTTTTCTGGCCTACCAATTCCCCTATCATGATCCTTGCCAAAAAGTCGAAATCTTGCCGAGCTTGCAGAGAAAGCTTAACCTTCTTGGCAATCGGCTTGGCGTGTGACCGGATGCTTGGTATCAAATCTGATGCATGAGAGAGGATCATTTGAGCGTGATGTTCTGACAGATGGCATTAACTCTCAGCCCCAAAGAGAAGTTCAGGCCAAATTCACTCTAAGTTTTACAAATAATCAATTATCGTCCTTCTCAGAAGAAAGATATGCTAGAATCAGCCAAGAGTCCTTCATATCGGGCAGCAGAGGCAGGTGAGGCTCACTGCTGCATGAGAGCCACAAAGAAAGAGAGGGGAATGTGCAATCCTTGGGCTTCCTGGATACATTGTTTCATATAGTTTCCTTATTTCATCGAAATAGCTAAAGGCTGTTGAACTTGCAGGTCTATCTGGTGTGGCAGAACGGCCACAAGCCTTTGCCATCCCCAGTTTGATGAAGAAAGAGATTCCTGAAATTTGACAACCATAAGGACCTTAAATCCAGGCTTCCAGATGCTTCGGGACTCTCTGATGGCTGAGCCTGACTTTATCATAGACACATCAGCTTCCCTTTAGCCATGCATGGAATGGGGTGAGTTTCGAGGCAAGCAGCGATCAGGATTCAAGCTCAACCTCCTCGATCAAGCTAAACAGCATCAACATCGGCTTTACTTTGGACCCGGAAAGCAAAGGCTAGGTCATTAGCGGTCTTTCATGGCTTCGAAGCCGACAACCGACCTGGTTGTTCCGAGTACATAAGTGGATGGCGAGCTGGTGTGACAAGGCGTCCACTGGGCCATCAGTGTCTGGGGACTCAGCTGCTTGGCCATAGAGCTCGTACAATGAATATCTAAACGCTCAAAGCGAGCTCAGGTCTTTCAATAAAAGTAGCGAACATCTGGGACAGGTTCAGGCCGATCCGATTGCAGGTTCTATCAGCCTGGGAGTCTCGTCTTCGACGACACATTACGCAAGTGAGATGATTTAAGAGTATTGAGATGGAATTATTAACCTTACAAGGGCTGATAGACATAAGTTATTATTTTTAAGTATGTTTCACGGAACATAGGCGAAGAGCCGTCCTGTCTTCCAGAGGTTGTGGGCATATGCTAGGGGCTCATCGTCCCCTCTCAGCGTGGACGCCCATTTTTGTACCATGAACCAACAACTTTTGACCTTTGAGGCCTCTGAACTAACCACTACTTAAATTCAACAAACATCACCAACTTGTGGTCACAGTTTCATGCCCAAGACCATGCCCTAGCTTTGCACAGAGAAAGGAAGGATGCTCCAGTTGCTCTACTAGACCGGTTGGGCTAGCAATGGGGTAAGGAAATTGACTGCACAATGTTCTCAAGCTGGATTAAAACTTTCTAATGGGGATCAGTACTCGTTAGAGGCCCGTTGCCCGTGTATGATCTCACTCGAGATACATCAATTGATCTGGCCGTGGAATTGAAGTGCCAACCAAAAGGTACACAGCCAGCTAAGACGACCACCCACGTGAATATACTTGACTGGAATACCCCAATGCGGCATAGGATGCCGACTGCGTCCTAAATTACGATACACTACCCATGATATTCTCGCTATGCCCCAGGCACTACAGTTTCAGCTGAAGACACTGCACCCAGAACGTATCTGGTCAGCGGATGGTTGGCTTGGAGTATCAGGTACCTACCGGGATACGTTGCACTTAGCGAAATTGTCCGTTCTAGTGATGTAATTATACGCTATCAAAACTGCAAACAGATCATCAGGTGGTTCACGCCAATGCCAGCTTGGCGCCAAGTTGACAACACTCGCCGTCCACGAAGGCAGAATCTAGGATATTTATGAACGATTGGAGACATTTGGGCTAATAAATTATGTCCTTGACTTCCTCTTCTTCTTCGGTGGCTCCTGAGCAGAGAAAGTGCGGGAGCCAGACTTCTGGAGCAACCAAAACCCAACCATTTCTCTGGAACAGATGCCTCACGGTTGTTCTCTTAGACTTTCTGGAGGCATCCCGTGCCTTCCGGTAAGCTCGAAAAATATGCAGCTCACTAAATACGATCTTTACTGTCTCTTGATATTCTCAAAGGCATCCAGATGTTGCGGTCCGGGAACACCGACAACAGTGGTGTGCACAAAGCCGGCCTGGCAGAAGATTTCGGGAGACAGATGGCTCAGTGCCTCACGTCCAAAGTAAACACTACTACATATACATATGAGTAAAGGGATATAAACCTGCCCTGACTTCTACGGCCTCGGCGAGGTTCTGTTTGGGACGCGTCAGTGCCATCCGTTCCAAGATCTACTGTCCAGGCTACGGTTTCAAACAAGGAATCTGCTAAAGTCAAGACTGCTCCTTAGACACAACTAGTATCATTCTGAATTCAGGGCTGAGATTTTACGCTGGCTTGGCTTTGTTGGGTGCAAATCTCAAAATAGACCCTCAAGGGGGGGCTCCAGCTGAGCAAGCAGTTCTACGACTTTTGCGTTTGACGGAGGATTAGATTGAACCGCTCAAGTTTCGCCACGCTCGTATGAGCTATTAGTATACAATTAGACATCTTGGTGCACAGGAGCCACGGGGGTTGATGCCTGTCTCTTGCTATCATGTTTGCTAAGGGGGTTAGTTCATCGACCATGGCAAGCACCATGTCCTACCTAATGTTTGAGGGCTTCTCCCATGCCTTGCAGAACAATGCTTCCTACTTGTCGAATCATGTTCAAGTATTTAACAAGGCTAGGGTGATGTCCACGTTTTGATAGAGCCTTCCGGGTGGGCATCAAGATCGTGTCTAATCCAAGGCTATATCTACTTGACGTTGCATTATATTTCTCCACGAATGATGAAACATTTTCATGGCATCATTTTAGTGTCTCCTGTCAGCAGGGAAATCTTAATGTCAGACAACCAGGGCCATCGGCACCGACCATCCACCCTACGATGTTCAGTCTAGTGCGTCACCAATTTCTGTCTGACAGCCGAAGCGGGAGACTGTCAGCTTACGGTGTCAGGCGCGCCATAATACTATCTACAGCCTATCTTGTGCTGTGATCCTCATCGAGATTAGGATTGGTTATGTGGTGACTCGCCAAGTAAGTTGGATTGACGCGCTCGGCACGCTCGGGTTTGATGCCAAAGACAACTCTGGGAGTTGACAACTCATTTATCATAATCTTGTTCCCTTTTCCTCTCAGGGCGGGTATAACTGGAACCGCCAAGATCTTGAATGACCTTTTGCCAACCGCCCACTTTTCTTCAGCTTGAGCCAACTTTGCCCTCAAAGTCGACCAGCAGGATGTATGCAGAGTGGCCTCATTCAGCCACCGTCTACTCTCATTGGAAAGACAACAAGCCATGAAACATGCATAGTTACCGTGAAGCGCCTCTCGGATATTTGCCTTGGCACCTCCGCTGATCGACGGAAAGATCAACAATGCATCTTCTCGCAGGATGCACCAAACATCAGTCAAACCAACTTTCAGTGGTTGCCACAACTGCATCAACCCGCTACGTTGCGTTGGTTGTGACACCGCCATTCTCACACCGGCCCGTCGGCATAATTATAAATCATGCACTCTTCAATTTCTGCCTCGTCTTGTCACCAACCAACACATGTTATGGGCTTTGCTATTAAGCTACCTTTTGTTAGCGAGTCTTGGCTCTGTAGGGTTGTTCTGAACGTGCACGTCGGTCATTGGTTGACAGGGTTGCAGATTCTTCCCACAGCCACTTTTTTGTTGCCCGGCTGCGCTGCACTGCATGCATCGTTCTGTCGCAAAGTGCAACCTGTAACCGAAGGTTGTTATAATCTCGCTTGGTGTGCAGTCTTGAGGGGGGATGGGGCAGGTTGGGGCGCATGCCTCGGCTTATTCTCTTCGCCTCTGGCCACCTGAAGTGTTGGTCATGAAAATGTCTCGCCATTCGGGCTTATTATGCGTAAAATATGTTGTAGCGAGCGAGTGTTGGTTGCTGAATGACCAGGGTGAGATGACCCCTGCAGGCATTTCCACCCCAGATCCCAAACATGGCCAATTATGGTGGATATGTCAGTAATTTAGCCCAGCTTAAGCTTTGAGGATAATTTATCGGTGTTTGAGATAGAGTGCGAATACGAGATTGTTATTTCTCAGTCTTAGACAACATCTCCAGCCTTGATTGGCAGTTGAATAATGCAGTAGTTGTAAATGTGATGCCTCGACACAGGTTATTCTCATGATCATATGGTAGGAGGGACAAAGGCAGGTGGACTCTTAATGGTCTCAGTAATTCATGTACTCTATGATAAATATGGCCTCTATGCTAGAAAAGACAAGTGGTATATTATCAACTGGTTCAGGCCACGTCAAGTTACCAAACACCAAACTCCAATAGCAAGAGAAATTACCCAGGCTCGACAGACAGGAATATTCAAGACGTGGCCTAAAGAGTTAAAACCTGCTTGTCTGCATTGAGACGCGCCGTGAGCTTGGCACGGTCGACGTTTTGGATGCTGACGCCCTGCTCGATGGCCAGGACGGCTGCTGTGGCTGCGCTCTGGCCCATCACCATGTAGCAAGGCTCCATGCGGATGGCCGAGTAGGCAATGTGTGTGGCACTCATGGTGACAGGGTTGAGGAAATTCGTGGCAATGCTTGAGTTGGTGATGATGGAGTTCAAAGGGATAGGGAAGGGTCTGCTGGTTGTAATGTGTACCCAGCCCTCGTCGTAGATTTTACCATCGACGAGGACACGCTCGACCGCGTGCACGTCGAGGAAGTAGGAGCCCATGCCAATGATAGAGTCCTCCTCAAAGGCAACAGGCTTCTGGACATTGGATTGCGCCATTGTGTAGGCGCCGTGCATGCGTCGAGCCTCACGGATATACATCTCATAAGGCCAGTTGCCATTCTTGACAAACTCGTCCTTGGCCAAGCCCCAGGCGCTATAATCCTTGCGGACGCTCTCGGGGACGCGAGGGTGGTTAGCCAGGGTCCAGAGGAAACCCTGGGTCCACAGCTTGTGCTTCTTGACGGTGGCGGCTCGCTGCGCGTAAGAGTCCAATGCATAGTTGGAATCATGGTCAAAGTTGCCGCCGATCAAATCCGTGCTAACCTGGCCCTGGGCGTTGGAGTCGGTCTTGAGGTTGGGCATGAGCTGGCTGGTGAAGAAAGGGCCCCTGTAGCCTCCCTCCTCGATGTATCGGAAGAGGATTTCATAGTCGGTCTCGTTGTATCCAGCAGGCTTGACAAAGGGGATCTGGTTGTCGGGCATCTTGGTGAGGGCGAGACGGTAGTTGTAGGACTGCAGACGGTAAGGATCGCCCTCGCCGCTAACGGCAACGGGATCCTTGATGACTCGCTGGATGCCGCCGATCAAACCACTGCTAGGGTCACCCTTCTTGTTGTACGGGTCGATATTGGTAAGTCTGTTCTTGGAATTGACGTAGACACCAGCAGCGCCCTCGTTGTAGTCGGTCCGGCTCTCACGTCCAGTGCGGAAGGGAATGCCAGCAGATTCCATCAGATCACCCTCGTAGCCGGCGTCGATAAACATCTTGCCGGCAAAGGTGGTTCCATCAAGGGTCTTGAAGGACTGGATCTTGGTACCGCTGTACTTGACGCTCTTGGGAGAACGGTCGATCTGCTGGTTGCGGTAGATGAGGATCTTGCCATCCTTGACCCATTGCTCCCAGACATACTCTGCGACCTTAGGCTCAAAGGTCCATTGAACCTTCTTGCCGGTATCGATCGCGGGTCCGGGCTGGGCTCCGATCCTTCGTCCAATGTAGTTGTCCCTTGTCTCGTACTTCCAGGCGCTTGTCTTGAGGTAGTGGTTGTAGACCTTGCTGTAGAACTCGCGAGCAATGCCACCAATGGATCGGCCATCCTTGGCATCTGTCCAGCCGAGACCCGAAGCTGTGAGACCACCAATGGTGCTTCCAGGGCAGACAATGGCTACCGTCTTCTTCATGCGCAGGGTCTGGATGGCAGCAGCCAATGCGGCGACCGTGTTGCCGTAGATGACGACATCGTAAGAATAAGTCTTGGGCGTGTTGGCGGCAGGCTTGGCGGCAGGCTTGGGAGCGGGTTCGGGGGCGGGCTCAGGCTCCGGCGAGGGTTCCGGAATGGGCTCCGGTGCTGGAATGGGGTTCGGCACAGGCTCGGGGGCAGCCTCTGGAGCGGCCTCTGGAGCCGGTACCGGGGCCGGAGCAGGCGCTCTTCGCTCAACAGGACCAGAAGAGACGATTATGATGAAGGAAGAGACCACGCAGAGGGTGAAGAGGAAGTTGAATATCGTGTTCCGCGAAGAGGTCCACATGGCTGCGGCTGCTGTGTGAGAGAAACTCTCTCTGCTTCACCCAAGACAAGAAGCGAGAGTGGCGTCAATGGACCGATACCATGGACGGGTTCTTGCAGAAAATAAGAGACAAGAAGACGCAAGAATGGACGGGCAAGACCAAAAAAGTGGTGATGGAGGCTTGGAGGTATATGGCTGTTAATTAAACGTGCCGACAGCATTCGGCCATTGCCTAGAACGGGACCTGCAGACCAGAGCACACACACAGATGCACAGTTAGCTTGGCCATGGAGAAGGGAAAGTAAGAATGAGTGACATGGCATGATGATCTGACAGATTGGTCTAGCCTATAAAGTGGACATTGTGTTGGTTGTGGGCAAGGAGTGGTTTTCCCCCGGCCCCTCCGCCCCCTGCCCCTGGTCGCTCTCGCACACCCTCTCCAGGGCCCCGCGGGTCTCGATGGCGCCTTGGTCAAGGATCTATACGAGCCGTGCCGAGCTCCGTTTGGCAGACCTGAGAGCCAGGCCAGGGCGAGATCTGCGACCTACGAGTCGACCAATCCAGAGCCTGGAGAGACAATCAAGAGGCTCCACCATCTTGCTCCGTCGATCCATGCTGGACAAGGAATTACTGTGTCAATTGCCTTGAATCTTAAGAAATGGCCAAGAATCCTCTGCCTGTTGTCTCATGCACTGGAACCATCCAAACTGCGGCCCTTTTGTCACTGCTCCCCAGCGATGGGACAGAGCAGGCAGACACATGCATTTTTGAAGATCCAAGGGTCACATTGCATTAGGCAAAGCCTCGGGCACCAGCACCAAGCTTTGGCAAGCTTTGGGGCTTCGGCTTTAAACAGGACAAGCACCGGCCGACTCTGACTCTAGCAGAGCAGGGGTCAGTATTTTTAGCGACGATAGCTGGTCTAGCTAGCCCATATTGAGGTCACCAGTGCGACGGCCCTTGTCCGTGAAAAGAGATGCCATTGCGAGATGATAAGGCGGAAGATGCGATGCGATGCCACAATAATGGATACGTCAGGATCAGCACAAAGGATTTCGTTGCAGAAGGATCAACATGAGGAAAGCTGTGCGAAATGGAGACTATTAGAGTTGAATGACAAATGATCGGCAATTGAAGAATTCCAATGCATCATGATCATACCCGTTGCAAAAAACTTGGAATGCGGCATCTCGAAATGTTGCGCATCATGGCTGTAGCCACAAAAAAGCCATGATAACTTTAATTGCAGCATGAAGCCATTCAGAACGTTGAACAAGAACCCCAGGATCGGATACGACACCCACACACACACGAGATGCTAAGCTTAAATTTGTGTCTTGCCTTCTTTTTCCTCGGTGAGGACACCTTCTAAAACGGGGGACGGGGATCTGACCGGATGAGGCTTGAGCCATTAATCCAGGCGTGTGTTGGTGACGGGTTGTTTTGCAGGCTTGGCGTAAGCCTCTGGACAATGCAGCGACGGCGCAGCTGAGGAACATCACCCCACTAAAGGCAGTGTTGGTTGAGGGATTGATGGCCCTGCGAGGCTGTGTACCATAGCGACCTGCAGAGCCTGCAGCTCACGGGTGCACCGGGCTGAGTGAGAGTGAGGGTTCTAGACAATCTCTCACAGCGTTGCCTTGCTCCGCTCAGCGAGATCCTGGTCTGGAGGGATGATCGAGACCTCAGTGGAGAAGATGAGAGCAAAAAAGAGGCCTGCAAACTCTCAAAACAGAGTTACGCTGCGCAGGCACACAATTTACAAACGGCCCTTTGCGCAGGAACCCAGTTCTGGCAGCCCTACCACGTGGACCCAACAATGCCAAGACCAGGCACAAGGCCCAGATGCTCGCTGAGTTCGATAGCACTCAGGGCCAGAACAGAACGGGGTTCACCAGGGGGTCAATAGTCCCCTTCGCTTAAGCGCCTCGACTGACTCCTCTGGGAGAGAGCTCTCAGGGGTGGTGATTGTTAAGCCGTACCTCCGTCCCCAGCTTCGATCGAGGCTTTCACGGGTCCACCGGCAGTGCGGCAGTAGGAAATCCACCGAGACAAAACTCTACTCAATAGTCAGGGGAAGAGACGCTGCACTGCAATAAATGCATCCTGTCGGACATTTACCCTTCTCAATAGGGGGCGGAACACGGCACTTGAAAGGGGCTGGCTGAGACAGCCGCTGCAACAACCATATGTAGCCTGCCCATAAAAACACGTCGACGACCGGCTCACGGCATTATCGATATCCTCTTGACGCTATCGAATGCCGGTGCCTTTGCAAAGCCAACGTCGATAGCGTCGTCGCGGGCGTGCCGCATCCGTGGCTATTGGGACGTGGCGTTCAGCTGTTGGATTTTCTGGCTTGTTTTTTTCTTCTTAACCAAGACGCCACCAGCTCATCGAGCATTTCTCATTGGTGGTCCTGATCTGGTGGCTTATGACGCGGTTCAACATGGCAGCTGTGACGTGGAAAGTCGGTAATTGGGCACCTGTTGAGGAAGAGCCCCTTACAGTACGGCGGAGCGGCGTCATCCCTCCTTGGTTTGATTAGTGGCAGCTTCAGCTGAGGACTCACAGTTGAGGCCGTGATAGTTAAGGGATGGAAATATTCACCGTTGTCCGTTGATTGCGAATTTGCGGATCCTTTGCTGTGGCTGTGAGTCGGGAATCCCACTCTACGCCACATTGTCACATGTGAGGAGCGCGTCTAGCTACCCTATACGTGGCTCAACATGTTCTCCGGCATCGCCGGCAACGGTTGATAGAAGAAGCTGGATCAATGAAGCGTCTATAGATGAATCAGCTGGCATGTGTTGCGCAATGTATCCTTTATTTCGCAAGTAAACCTCACAGTTTCCTACCAGATGCACAGTGACTCTCTGACGACACGCACGCATGCACACGAGCTTGTTCACCCTGACTTGAAACTACACACCTAATGTCCCTCTCATGTTGTAGTAGTCAAACAATCTCATTGTCATCACGCACATTTACAATGTTTCAGGCACTCTCTAATCATCGAACAACAGGTCCTCTCATCCGTCGAATATGGACCCAAACTGCCGTGAATAACATACTCAACACCTCTATATGTACGGAGCTTTCCGGTCTCACATTCTTCAACACCCTTAGCAAGACTATTGCACCCCTCAGAACCTTGGAACACTTCAGCCGAATATCACTTGACTTACAGTAGTGTTGCAGCCATGCCAAAGTCCGCCCCCACTACAACGATCCGTGACGATCACAAGTACTGGAAGTGCAAGCAATCTTTCACCAGCGGCAGCACTTGCGACGAGAAGAACGAAATGTCGGAAAAGCAATGTCCCGCATGCGGGAGCAAGCGCGATGTCAATGACGAAGCGCTCGACGTTTACATGAGAAAGATCGGAACTATCTTCATGACTGATGCCAACGGGAAAGAGTGGTGGCAATATAACTCGTGACGATCTGACATGATCTACTTGATCTTGCGAACCACTATAGACTGGGGTCTTAAGCTGGTCTTGCACATCTATGGGCATACTCTGGTAGTCATGGCCCAAAGCCCTGTATTGTACTGTCGTCCCCTGAACGACATCTCGGTCACATAATAGTAATTGAGTTTCGATACCACCTGAATATCGCCAGCCACAACTGAGATGGCGCTGTCACATTGAAAAATGGGTCGGAAGACGGGAAAGGTTTCGTCGGGTTATTTTGAGTTCCCAAACCTGTTGGAGGTGCGAAAACTCGTATTGTGTGGTGTCGTCCTCGGAGCTGTTGCCGGCTCCCTTTGGACAATTATAATGGGTGCCTCAACATAACGTCGTTCGCTTCTAATGATGCATATCAAGGTCTAAAATGATGACCCGATGAAACTATTCTCAATGTCTGCACACTCTTTGGGTTTGTCTGGTTGTTTCATTTGGATTCGTCGCGGGAGCAGCTCACCGAACCCAGATCGACACTGGGGCTGCCTCAGATGCCAGATATAGTAACTCCAAGGGGCCACGTAAGTTAGGATGCGGAGTATACTGTAGCAAATCCTTGGCACAAGCTGGCAATTGAACGGAGTCAAGTGAGGATCACGAATCAAGAGGAACGAGATGCGGTTCGTTGATGGTTTTGACAATCCAGTATCTTGTACGACTGCAACGTACGAGACCGGGTAAAGTGCTATTTTGCGGAACTTAAATGCATATGAACTCTCTTACGCAAGTACAGCCCCAGAACAAAAACGATTTGGCAACTGGAAGATGTTCTGTCATGGGGAACCTTGACGCATGACGGTCAATATTCGACGCCGGTACCTGCGAAAAGCGCGTCAAGATCCATACCGTACAGTAGTCTCCATGTAGGTATATAGAGTTTCATTCAGTCAATTGTATTTTGACTAAAACGTAATTCGTTTCAATGATACCCAATGATACATCTTACGATAGCATGTGTGAACTTCGGCACGATGACACGTGCAACCCTTCCATACAGTAGTGCTGACATCGCCGGGACCGCCTCGCCAGCCAGTAGTTATAACTCGTCACATATTGCTTGAAACGTTGAAGGTCATGTTTTAGTGCACCCAACAGATGCGCCCTCCAGTCTCCAGAGTGGGAGCCCAAACAGCCGGGTGCTCGCCTGCATTTGCAAGTCCTTCACAATCATGAGGAACTGGGAAATGCCAAGCTTTGATGCGCACCGGGAGATCTTCATGTTTCATTTATTTTATAGCGAGGCAACATCGTGGCCTTGAAACGGTATGGATGATCGGTCCTGGCAAGGGTTCTAGTGTCAGACATAAGGGGTTCTCCACTTGAGCCGCATCTCGGGAGCAACCGATCTCGGGGAGATCTGCGCTCGGAATGTAGGCATTAATCAAGGCGAAACTAGATATGTTTGGCGAGATTCAGGCTATATAGTCCTTGGCTATGCTGATGCCAAGGCTTCGGGGTGCCCTTTGATGAACCCCTTTGATGAAGGGATCGACATCCTTGCTTGTTTATCTAGGTAGATAGCATTCTATCAAGGGCGTTTGGTCAAGGTTGCTTTGGCTCATAGGGACAGTTGACATGCGCCTTTTCTTTGATAAAGCGTTTTATATCAGTCTAGTCTTTGTGCTTTTTAGAGGTTGCTGGGTAGGTAATCTGATCAACTCCGTCCAGGAGCAAGGGCGTCTCGTGCCCGGAGAGCACTCAACAAGCGGCTAGCACAAGCAAAAAGAATGGGCAGGGTTAACTGAGGCTTTGATTGTCACGGCAATATCGAGACTGAAGCCCTAGAGACCGCTGCAGGCTCGAGCCAAGGGCCAAAAAGATAACTGCCCTGAGACAGGAACGGCAAAAACGTACAACAGCGGGGATTCGCTAGTCATCACTGACCCAACTACTAATCCGCCCCTCACTGGCTTATCTATGGGAGAGCGGACGGGATCCCGAATTCTCCAGTGGGTATGGTCGTATGTGGTGGTGAAGCGAGGAAAATTTGCTTATCGCGAACCCGCTTGGCCAACATTCACGATGCCGCCCCTATCAAACTGGCTCGCAATATTTGTCACATACGTAAAATTTCTTGTAGATCCATGGCTATGGGAAAAAATTTCTGTATCTCGTGGATTTGTGAGGAGATAGGTGCGTTGATAAACCCCAAGTGGTAAGCGCGCAGCGTCAAGTCCCCATACCTGAAACTTGCTTCACGATGCCGTCGCCGTTTGACGCTGTAAGTCAATCACAATATACATTAAAGCATGAATCATTACGATAGATATTGAATATGACGTTTGGCGCAGTTGAATGCACTGCAAGTCACGGAGGCCCCACCCTTATGCTCATATTCTTTGTGCAGCTATACTGGCTGTGAACTGGAGCTTACTACTGCCAATAAAGAAATCACACAAAGGATAATGGCGCTCGAAAGCTATTTCGTGTGAATTCTACTGAACAAAGGGTAAGCTAACTACATGGTTGACTTCGAACATAATTTTGTTAGAACCCCTCAGGAGAACAGCCCCCGGTTCAGCCAATGCCCGCAAAACCATTTAAGACCTGAATGAACATCACTGATAGCGAAGTGATATTTTAATTCTACTCGAAGAGAAATTCTTGATACCACAAACGGTACTACTTCGAGATCCCGTAACGCGTAACCCTAGATCACCATGGATTCTGACAAGAACTAGACCTAGCTGAGCCAGACTGCCAGTGAACAGACTGGTAGCAAACCGGAAAATGACAAGCCGGATGCCAGGAATCAGGCTGATGGTAAGAGTACTGACCACCAACCTCCCGGAAATTACGCTCAACTCATGTCAGTGGCGAAACTCGCCTCGAAGAATCGGCGGTCGGGGGCTGAGCTTCAAAGGCGCCGAGCTACCATTTGGAGAGAACTCGAAGAGACTGGCAAACTTCTTGCTGAGATTCGAAGCAGGTTGGAAGCAGCACCTCCAGGCTTTGACGAAGATGACCTGGCAGAATACAGGGCCATCTTGGAAGCCCGGGCGAGAGATTTGGGCGCAAAATTGACACTGTCTGAGGTGGAAGAAGATGAAGATCAGCAATGCGAAGATCTTATCAATGAGGATTGCGAAGGTGAGGACTACGAAGATGATGAAGATGGTGGAGCTTCCTTTTATTTAGAGCCGCTCCCCGAGAGTCTGCATGAAGACAGTGGCAGCAGTTCTGACGACATGAAGCCAAATAAGGTAGTCTACTCAGACTTTGATGCCGACTCAGATGAGGACAGTGATTCGGACGCTGGGGCTAATCTGGCCAAGGTCGAGGGAATCAAGGCTGACCCTTCTCTGAACGGCGAATGCTTCTAAAGTGAACGGGAGTTAAGGAGGAGGCGTTGGATGAACACTTAGGCAGGACGTGGAGGTTAATGATAGTATCAGTCATCTAGCCTCGAATTAAACGGCCATTGGGTTGATGTAGCTTTGATAATCTGATTCCGTGATGACTGCTCCCCTAGTGAATCATCATGAACACGGAAATTCGTGCGGACAGAGTGTCACTAGCTAGACGTGGTGGTGGAAAGCGCATTGTAATACATAATATTGGCATCGAACCACAACCAGCGAAGCGTGTTAATACTGATGGACGGCTGCTTTCTTTTGTGGCCCAAACCCGCATCACCCCTACCTTTCTTAACCCTGGCATGCTCTGATCAAGTAGCCGCAAGCTATGGTCTAGACGATCTACTTGCCCGCGATACCAACTTATCCATGTTGGTACGTTCAAGCCTCCCTGAAGACTGATCAGCATCCTGATACAATCCCAGGTACACAACAAGCTCACAGAACGTGTCAGAATAAACAGGGATTTCTCGGCCAGGTCGATGCAGATCTTGTCGTGCAACTACACGGCCTGACCGACCTTGGTGTCCTCTGGAAAGTGTTTCAAGAGTCAGGTCTCTTCAGCGTTAGGGCTTTGTTCAGTCATAAATGAGCCATGCCACGGTTGATCGATACTTTGTAGCCAGATCACGCTCAAAGAAATCTACCGACCTTCTTACTTTTGTTCACGAACAAGGAGGCATCCACAAAAGCACAAAAGGAGAACATCACGACCAAAGACAATCGCGTGTCTATTCACGAAGAGCAGATTATAAAGCTGAGGTCCTCTCTCTTTCTGTTTCGCGCTCTCTCTGTGCTAGAATTCGTGTTCATCCAATTCACCTGGTGCAGCGACACAAAAGACACTTCATCAACACTAGCCACTAACAGAAATAACAAAAGATGGCCATGGAACAGGAGCATATGCAAGCCAGTCGCGTGGGCGAGTCTGGAGAAGCAGGAGAAGGACATGATGGCAAGCAACAGGAAGTCCTCACCAAGGAGGAGTTGATCCCTCCCATCATACGCTACAGGCAATCCTTTGACTCTTCTGGAAACTGTTCTACCATTGCAGTGTATTCTCTAAAGTTGGCGTCTACCACTTCGTCGGTTGAGTCCTTCCACAGCGCACTCACTTCGTCTCCAAGAGAGGACGAGGATGACAATGCGAGATCCGAGGATTCGTCGATATGCGAAGGCCAATATGCGAACCAACCTCTGGAGGATGCTCATGATGCCAGTCAGACCGTCGCTGATCCCCTGCCACGTCCCGGCCTAGACATGCCGCTCACCCGGGCAAAGGCTCTGGAAACCTGCACCCAGCCTCCTATGTCCAGTCCTGATAAGGACGCAGAGACTTTGAACCGCGTCCATCGAATGCACAAGCGTATTACCAAGAACATCTCTAAGAAGCTTACAAAGCGCAAGGAGAACTAGCTCCCTGGCTTTAGGGGCTACAAACTGACAGGCTTTCTTGTCCCTAGATAGACTTGATCTTGAAATTTTGTCTCATCCAGGTAGTCCCAACAGTCAATTGCATCCTTTAAATTATCATCTCTCTCTCTGTGCCATGATGGTGCTTCATCGCGTGATGTCCGGATTTGTCAGACGCTGGTCAACGGGACCGGCATTCCGATCCCCGATGATTGTCCCCACTTTAACGATCCTCCGCGCCGATGCTCCGATCTTCCGATCATCCTATTGACCATCCCATGGATTTTTTCATGGTTGATGATCCTTCACAATTAAATAACAGTCCAATAAGATATATTAGATATTCCGTGATGTCTAACAATACGCGGGATCGCTCTCTCTCGACCCAGAAGTCCCATGCAGCATCTGGCTTGTCACGGTATTTGACGTCGGAGACGGCTTTCCTTCCCAGTCAATGTTTGTCAGATGATTGTGATAAAGACAAGGGGTATCGAGGAAAACAGGTAGGGATGCCGTTGAGACGCCATGCATGCTAGTTGGTACCGGAGATGCGGCCACAAATAGTAGCTATATAAGCACCGACGCTTAAACAGCGTCAACACCGGGAGTATCGGCTTTGAAGGTTATAACACGGGTACTATTCGTTAGTTTAGCAAGAATATCATGTATTTCGCCACCTATGCTGATAAGAAGGCTCTGGCGGACGATGTTGCTTCTTGAGATGAAGACGTCGGAGGATCGGATGGTCGGACTCGCGCACGCCCGGTACCCCTGGTATAAGACTGACACACCACCCTGGCTTCAAGAGGAATTACGCACCCTAATTCTAACAATCAGTTGCATTTAAATCTAGATCTCCCACTTCTTTTTTTGTTCTTTCTTGGCATCTGTGCTCTGATCTGACAAGCAAGCAAGCACTACCTATCGTGCCACACCTAGCCACCTCCCATCACAGACCAACCACCATGGCGAGACCAGGCCTGCCATCCTCCGATGGGGAAGATGCTGGCAGCACAAAGTCTCAGACTACTTTGACACGAAACGACGTCGAGGGGGCTGCAAACTACTCGACAAATGCAGAAGCAGAAAAGGTGTCTGATGAACCAGACACAAACCCCAACATTATCGACTGGGACGGCCCAGATGATCCCCATAATCCTCTTAACTGGCCAAGCAGGAGCAAGGTCATTCAAGTGGTGATTGTGAGCTTGTTCACGCTCAATGCGTAGGCGTTTACCCCTTCTCTTTCTACTGACAGCATCACTGACTGTGGTCGCTCTAGAAACCTCGCTGCTACCATGTACGCACCTGGTGCACACGAACTAGCCGCCGAATTCAACATCACAAACTCCACAGTCATCGCACTAACTGTCAGTCTCTACGTACTGGGTTTCGCCATTGGCCCTCTCTTCCTCGCGCCACTCTCCGAGCTCTACGGCCGTCTCATTATTTACTATGTCTGCCATGTCTTGTTTATCGGTTTCACCTTTGGATGCGCTTTCAGCAAAAATACTGGCATGTTTCTTGCCTTCCGCTTGCTTGGAGGCTGCGCTGCCTCCGGTCCTATGAGTGTTGGAGGCGGCTCTATTGCTGATCTGTATCCTGCTCACGAGCGTGGAAAGGCAATGGCCCTGTTTAGCATGGGACCTCTTATTGGTCCTGTATGTATTGTTTGAATGGACGGAGGTTGAACCTAATGCTAACCATGTCGCAGGTCATTGGCCCCATCATTGGCGGATTTGTTTCTCAGAATATTGGCTGGCGGTGGACCTTTCGACTCATCCTGATTGTTGTAAGTCATGCTGAGTCTTATTAAAGTTGATATCGTCTTACTAACGTGACGCTCTAGGCTGGTGTCATCCTTGTTGCTACAGTTGCATTTGTCGGCGAGACCAACGCCGCCGTTCTTATACGCCGCAAGACTGAACGTCTTCGAAAGGAAACAGGAAACGAAAAGCTTGTTCCCAAGTTTGACAGAGCCGAGACGCCAAAGCAGATGCTCCTCCGCGCCATCGTCCGTCCTCTCAAGATGCTCATCTTCTCACCTATCGTCCTACTCATGTCGCTGTACACGGGTATCATCTTTGGCATGATCTTCTTGCTCTTCACTACCTTTACTTCTGTCTTTTCCGGGACCTATGGCTTTAGCGTCGGCATCTCGGGACTGGTCTACCTCGGCCTTGGTATTGGCATGATGCTCGGCCTGTTCACCTTTTCCAAGACCAGCGATAAGCTCATGAAGATGAAGGCAGACCAAGGAGGCTCAAAACCAGAGGATAGGCTCATTCTCATGAAATGGCTGGGAATCACCACTCCAGGAGGCTTCTTCTGGTACGGCTGGTCCGCCTACTACCATACCCACTGGATCGTTCCAATTCTCGGTACCCTCTTTATCGGTGTCGGAGCTCTCTTTGTCATTGTCCCAGGACAGCTCTACCTAGTGGACTGCTTTGGACCTGAAGCAGCTGCATCAGCTCTCGCGGCCAACTTGCTCATCCGATGCCCCTTTGGTGCGTTCTTGGATCTGGCTGCTCCCGCATTGTACGACAAGCTTGATCTTGGATGGGGCAACTCGGTGCTGGGATTCATCGTCTTGGCATTCACGCCTGTTCCTTTTCTTTTCCATGCCTACGGAGAGACACTGAGGAGGAAGTTTCCGGTTGATCTGTAGCGTGGAAGCACTGTACTTGGCTTTCGATGATCTGCTGGGTAAGTAAGCAAGATCTCTCTACAAGACTATCATCAATTGTTTCATTCATATCTCTTTAAATATCCCTTCTCAATTTTATACCAAATATCCCTTTGTCTTCTTTTCTTAGTTATTTTCGGTCTGCGGTATGTCCACCGCACCACAGGAGATCTCAAGATGGTTCATAATGGTAGGCCTTTCACAATAGCTATGCGCCAGAGACCACTTTCACTCTGGTTCATGAGGATTTTAATAGATTCATAGAATAGAAAACGACTCTCAACTTCTTGTTCTCACAGCTGGCTGATGAAAGTGAGCACAACCGTCCTCTACAAGCGATTGGTGAAGGATGGAGTGCAAGTCGAGATGGGAACAAGATGGCAGCTCTTAGCTATAAATAGAAATAGAGATTGGTATTGAAATCGATGATGTCGAAAACATTGAGAATTTGCAGGTAACTTTATTCAATAATAACCCTTATTCATTGGCCAAGGGCGTGTCAAAGGGGGTCGGAGGGTCGGCTAGACAAGACATTCAGCTGGACTGTCGGAATTGCCGCGATGGCCGCATTCGAAAGGAATGTTTCGTTAGTCAACCTGATCCAAGACTCGATAACTCGATCTTTTTGGCAGGCGGTGAAGATGACAAGGGAGATAATGGGTCTCGGGTATACAAATTCTCCAAAAAAAAGGACATTTGAGTGAGTGCCACGTTCAACGAGTGGAGAAGTCCGGTTGCAGAAGTCTCGGAGATGCAAACGGTGGAATGGCCTTTGATTGACGTCACGAGTGAGATGCATAACCGAGAGACAGTTAATGCAATGCAATTGAGCTGAAAAACCACCTTGTTATGACCTCTCTTGTTGTGGCTTGTGGACAACCAACAATGGCTTCAATTCTCGTATACGTAGTGCTTACGTTCAGCTCCTCATGTAGGGAGAACTATTGATTAGTGCAGATCGATCAAGGATGGGGATATCGAGAGGCTAGACCACAGAAAAAAACAAAAATTAGCATCTATCGATGCGTGGCTTCAATATAGGCTGAGACAAAGAAACCAGACCATGCCATGGACGGATTCAAGCATTCCAGATGACTGAGATGGAGGATGGGGCAAAAAAGAAGGGGCCCCTTTTAGGAGCAACAAGGGCGAAGATGGCAAACTTGAACCTCTGGTGAATTAAATCTTTGATGATCAAGAATTGCACCACGTCACGAGAATTGCCTCTTCTTACGATTGCCCAGCTGGACACGCACGATACTCGCTTCTCATGACGACAGACCTAGAGGCAGAGCAGCCGCCTCAATCGGTCGCAACACCACCATGCGCCAAGCCCGTTCAAAAAGACAAGGTGGCTACATGGATCGAGGCATCAGCGCCCTGATTGTCGACTCGGCCACTCTATCCAGGCTGGAGGGGGAACCTCCAAAGACTCCAGAGCTGAGGGTAGAATCCGATTCTACAGAGACTGACGACGATTCATTTGTGACGACGTCTCATCCCTGGACGGGTAAGTGACCCTCTTTCAGCGCTAATCGTCACGCTAAGATGATCTGCAGAAACGCGGAATGGCCAGGATCTCAACATCAGGATTCCATTCGAGAGGTCGCCTTTTGTCGCGACAGGCGATGAAGATCATGAGATCATTGCCGATAAAGATGATGAGAATTTATTTCGGGACTCAATCAGCAAGAGTCGCCTTTTATTGGATGCAAATCGGTCCATCTCACAGCGATCACTTAATCGCATTGAAGAAAACACCAAGCCCCCACCACTACCACTGGAACCAATCGTCAACAATGACCTCTTTCACTCTTGTCTCCCTGATCGCGGCAAGATTATGACGGCAGCTCAGTTTGAAAGTTACCGAGAGGTCAAGGGGCGCCAAGACTCGAGTGAGGCTGATGAGGAATCTCATGGTGATGGTCGTGGTGATGACAGCGACGATGAAGATGAAGCAGCGATCTCAAAGCGACACCGAAATGAGAGGAGGAAGCAGGAAGCTCACATCATCAACTACAGAAAAAACATGATCAAGACTACCGGCGACCCGAATTTACTTCCAACCAGGTCGGCGCTATCAACACCACCATTACCGTCACCGTCACCGTCTCAAGACGACGACGTTCCTCTTGCCTTGCTTCAGGTCCGCAGATGCCCAAGTGAGAGTAGCCGTCCTCCGACTGGTCTGGGAAACCCCAAGTCCAATTCCAGCTTGCGAAGCACCATTCAGCAGCCCGTGAGGAGGCCAAGTACAGCGAGGAGCATCGCGTCTCAGCAACCCACCAGACGACCCAGTACGGCGCGGAGTGTC